AGGGCAAGAAAGGAAACTCGATTTCTGAGTCTCAGGCTGTTGCCGTTGAAGCCGGCCTAGTCATTCCTGAAGTTCGAACTGAAGACAACATTGAAGCCGCTCCAGCACCTGTGGACGAGTCGGTTGTCCAAAATGAAGCCTCCAAAATTGAGTCCGAAGCAACCTCTCAACCACGCGGGAAGCAGGTGGCAGAAGAAGTTGCAACCATCCCTGCTCAAGCTTCCGAAGAACCTTCTTCAGTAACCGACATTCCATCCATTGCCGAACCTGCCTCAGCACAGATTGAAGAACAGACTCCGACCTCACCACTTTCTAAGAAGGACAAGAAGAAAGCTAAGAAAGCTAAGAAAGCTGCTCTCGAGAGCGAGGTACTTGAGAGCCCTGCTGCGGCAACTGAGGAGGCCCCAAAGCATGAAGAACGGACATTGCCTGAACCGCAATCGGCACTTGAAAATCGAGAGCTTCCCGTTGTGGAGTCATTGCCTGAGATTGAGACTGTTCCTGAGGCTGTCTTGCCAGAGACGGAGCCCGCCGAAGCTTCTCACTCGGACTCTGTACTACCCGTCGTTTCTTTGCCTGAGGATATAATCTCTGAGGCCCCATCCACACTCGAGACCGAACCCTCGATCAACGATCCAACCGTTTCTGAGGTCGTGACTGAAGGTCCTTTGGACGAACCGACGGAGAAGGTTGAGCCCGAAGAGATCACCGCTCCCGAGGAAGGCAAGAAGGAGGGAGAGAAGAGCAAGCGCGTTTCGATTGTTGACAGTGAACCTTCCACACAAATCGAAACACCTGCGGTGGAGCTTACAGATTCACGTCTCGATGCTCAGCCAAGCCCTGGTCCAACACTCACTGAGGAGTCGAAGGATGAGGCTGAAAAAGTCCTGATCGATGAGCAGCTAACGCCCGTTCCTACTGTTGTCGAGGAGTTGCAATTTCAAGCTACGGAGCCTACGTTCGAGGAACAGACATCAACTACTCCTATCGTCACCGATTTGTCAAAGGATTTGCACGCGGAAGCTACTGCCACCGAGCAACCTCTACCTACTCCCATGGACTATGTTCCCGCTACGGAACAAGTGCAGGAAGAAAAGAAGGAGCCATCTCTTAGAGACCACTCCGTCTCTGCGCCTACACCTAGCGAAGAACAAAGACCCGAGATTGTGCCTACTGAGCAATTTATCTCCGCGCCAATCACTGCCGAGACTCCTTCCATTGGTCCAGCACAAGAACAACTCCCGGCCGTTGAGCGGCAGATTCCTCTAGCACTAGGTCCCGACGCTCAACTATCCGAAGTTGTGTTTGTTGAGCAGGCTGCTTCCGTGCCATTGCCTGCTGAAGACCCTTCAGATAGCCTCTTACAAGAAGAAGCCGCTGCTCCATTGTCTGAGAAGACCAAGCGTGTATCTGTCGTCGAGAGCGAACCGTCGACTCCGACTTTTACGCCTGCGGACAGTAGAGAAATCCCAATTGAAACGCAAGTCGATCCTGCTTCACAACCCGCAGAGGAGCAGCCTGCTGTAGTTGCTCCAGTTACTGAGGAGCCAACGTCTATCCCGTCCGCTGCTGGAGAACCAGCTCTCATCTCGCCCATTGTCGAAGAGTCAACTCCCATCCTATCAACGGTCGAAGACTCTTCCACAACCCCAGTTCAAGGAGAGAAACCAGAGCCCTTGTCCGAGAACGATGAGCAGAAGGAAATTGAGGCGAGCAAACCCTTGACACTATTGGAAACGCCTGAAAAAGACCTCAAGGTTTTGCCAGTGGACGACCAGGCGCCTCCTGTCCCCCAGTCTCTGGACGAGCAAATTCCGGCAGCTTCGACTGATGTGCAGCATAGCTCCCTCTCGCTTGTTCCTGAAGAACATTCCATTGCCGAAGTCAAAGACGAGGCATCATCGCCAGTTTCCAAGAAGGATAGGAAGAAAGCGAAGAAGGCGGCTAAGCGTGCGTCAATTGGCGAGAGCGAGCCATCTACGCCATCCATCTCGGTTGCGCAAGCCAAGGAGGATGACAGGGAGATTGCTGTCGATGTTCAGCAAGCCGTCGAGCCTTCAGTTCTCGAACAAGAGGTCAATGCTCCTGCTTCGAACGACCAGCCAACCATCGAAACTCAAATTGTAGAGACACCAGTCGATATCCCTTCTGTTGACAGCCAATCTAATCTAACTTTTACGACCGTGATCGAGCCGGCCAACGATGATGTGCAGGAGGACGAGATCGCAAGTTCGGCGTCTAAGAAGGACGAAAAGAAACCCAAGGAAGCAGGAGATCGAGTGTCTATTGCAGAGTCCGAGACGCCTGAACAGTTGGCGTCGATCGAAAAATCTGTACCCGAAATTCCAGATGTTCCTATGGATGAGCAGCCAGTTGCAGCAGCAGCAGACGCAGCAGACCAGGCCCGTGAGACTGTGGCCGACGAGCAGCTTATCTCAACTCCTTCGGCCATTGAGGAGCCAAGTATACCAGAGCCCAAAGATCAAAGCTCGTCTCCAATGTCGAAGAAGGACAAAAAGAAAGCAAAGAAGGCTAGCAAGCGGATATCGATTGCCGAGGATGCACCATCTTCTCCGATCATGGGTCCAACAAGCGAGGTTTCGCAACCTGCTGCCGATCAACAAGTTATCGATATCTCTCCTGTGGTAGAGGAGAGCAAAACTGAGCAACAGACCGGAGTTGAGCTTGCCAACCAACCAACTCAGCCTGAGCCAGACGATCCACCTCCAAATGAGCCTCCAGCACCGGAGGAGGCCAAGATCATATCGGAGACGCTTGAGGCCGTGCAGAACGATGCAACTAGCGCTACTCTCCCAGCGCCTGACGACAAGAAGGATGATGAAGTCAAACCGGAAGCATCGGCACCGCTCTCGAAATCGCAGAAGAAGAAGGCCGCGCAAAAAGCTAAGCGTTTGTCTCTTGCTGGAAACGAACTGTCTCAACCTGCAACACCCACCGAGGAGTTGCGCAAGGAACTACTTGTCGATGATCATCCATCTACCCCTCAAGTAATCGAAAAGCCTGCAGATGATCAAAACCCCACCGAGGTGGAGGAGACAGAGACACTATCGCCGAAGAAAGACAAGAAAGAAGTCAAGAAGCAGTCCAAGAAGACGCCGTCTTTTTTAGCACTTGAGACGCCTGAGGAAGCCAATGTTTCTGAAACTCAGACGTCTCCACCCCTTTCTATACCTTCGGAGACACCTATTTATTTCTCGGGGATACCGACCTCCTATCCCCCTACTGATGCACAGGACCGTGCCAGTATTGATTTCGACGGCGGCAGCGCAGGCGCACCACTTGAGAAGACGCTCCCTACTGAAGATGTTTTGAACGTGGAAGAGTTGGGTACGGAGCAGGTGGCTGTGCCCGACGAGATTCATGAGCCCACAATGAAGGATGTGGACGTAGATGTAAGCTCAGTGAAGGAAGAGGAAGAAGGAGATGAGGAGAAGAAGCCAGAATCTGTTGTCGAGGAGTCGTCGCACGGAGGCTCTGCTGTCGTCACTGAGCAAGTCAATGTGTCCGAGCCAATCGAACCAGTTCAACAGGAGATCATCGCACCTGCAGAGGTACCTCAGGATGTGCTTCCAAGGCAGTCCGAAGTATCCGATGCTCAGTCGTCTGAGTCGCAGCCCATCGAGGAGAGCAAAGAAACTATAGACAGGTTTGCTACAGCGCCCACCAACCAACAGTTGCCTTCAACACAAGTCGAAGAAGCGACAGATCAATTCTCCGAAACTCAGCCAATCGCGGAAGTCGAGCAGATTGCAGAGGAGCCTTCCACACTCACTGCAGCCCATCCAGACGTGACAAGCGAGGATAATTTGGAAGCTTCTACGCCATCAAAAGAGGAGAAGAACGTACTCACGATCGAAGAACCTATCGCAGCACCGGAGACCAACGTCTCTGAACTAGATCGCGAGATATTCACCGAAGGTAGCCTGCCAATCGAAGAGGTTCCGGCTGTCCATCCTGAGAATTCGGTGCCTAGTGCATTTGAAGCAGAGAAGCATGTTGAGAAGCCCAGTCAATCACCAGACGTTCAAGTCGAAGAGACTGTCATCGCACCTCAGAGCCCTCTCATTGCCTTAGAAGTCCCAACAACGCACGTCGAGCAAACAGTAGACGCAGAACAGGTCATCGTTGCTCCCCCAGAGCCTCAACAGGCGGAGGAGCCAGCACTTGTTGTGCCCAGTTCGCCATTGTCCAGGAAAGAAAAGAAGAAGAAGGCAAAGAAGAACAAGAAGCAGGCAGAGGCCGGAACATCTGTTCAGGAGACTGTCCCCGAGGCTCAGCCCTCGCAGTCGGAAGAGCCCGTCCTCCCTGTGCCTGAGGAGCCTCTCCCTGAGCACGAAGACACACAACATTCTCTTCCAACCGAACTTCCCCGCGAGGACCCCGTTGATGTCCAAACACCCATATTTGAGGAACGGCCGCAAATCGATCAAGTTGCGGCCGAGACCTCAAGTGACCTCCAACAAACTTTGCATGCGGATCAGAGTCAGGATCCCGCGTCTTCCAAGACGCTTGAGAAGAAGGCCGAGCCTGCGGAAAGAGTACCTGTTACGGAGATACTAGTGCCGGACACGGTCGCTGATGTTCAATCTGAGAATGAAGCAGAGGTTGATGCTGCAGTGACTGAGCATCCTCAAGTAGAGCCAGAGGTCGAGCCTATTGTCGATATCGAACAGGCAATTGAGCCTGTAACTGAAGTCCCGGTCGAGCACGTAGAGGAAGCAGCAGTTCAACCAGCAGTCGAGCCCGCAGTTCAACCAGTACCCAAGGCGACAGTCGGGCCAACAGTTGATTCAGCAGTCGAATACACTATCAAGCCAATTACCGAATCTGCAACTGAACCAGCAGTCGAACATGCAGATGAAGCTGCGGTTGAACGAGCAGTGGAGCCGGTAATCGAACGCGTAGAACAACAAGTAATCGAACGCGTAGAACAACAAGTAATCGAGCCCGAAGCCCAGCGAGCAGTTACACATGCAGTTGAACGAGCAGATGAACCCTCAGTCGAGCCAACTATCGAGTCAACTGTCGAACACGCAATCGATCCAGCAGTCGAACCGTCCATCGAACCAGCAACCGAGCCTACAGTTGAACATGCGATCGAGTCCAAATTCCAGCCTGAAGTTGAGTCGACCATCGAACCAATTACTAAGCCTCTGATTGAGCCTGCGTTGGAGCCTACTGTCGAATCTGCGTTTGAACCCACAATCGAGCCTACAATCGAGCCTGCAGTCGAACATCCAGCTGAACCTGCAACCAATCCCCCAGTTGAATTCGTACACGCACCATCGGTCGAACACGTAGAGCCTATTGTTGAGCCAGTAAGCGAATTGGTCGAAAATGTCTCAGAACCAGCGGTAGAGTCAACCATCGAATCAGTAGGCAAACAAGCGGTTGAGCGTGCAGTCGAATCACCAGTCGAGTCGACTGTCGAACCAACTACCGAGATTGTGACGGAGTCTGTGTTCGAGCCCACAAATGAGCCAACAACTGCACCTACAATCGAGCCTGTCATCGAGCTTGCAACCGAGCCTGCGACTGAACTATCAGCCGAACAAGTGAATGAATATCCAGTCGAAGTAGTACTCGAGCCAGAGGTCGAACCACCAGTCGAACACACATTCGAGCACGCAGCTGAACAATCAATCGAGCCTGTTGTCGCGCCTGCCATTGAGCCTGCCGTGGAACCAGCAGTCAAGTCGAGGGAGGTTAAGGATACAATTATCGTTTCTCAGCAAGATGACATCCGTACAATTACCAACGATGTTGTCGATGTCTTACCGCAAGACAGCCAAGCTACAAACACAGTGATTGAGCAATCGCCGCTGGAGAAGATCCAACCTCTCATAGATACGAGCATCGAGCCTTCACAGCCTGCCGAGGATGAGTGGGTTCACATCTCCCCCATGGAGGACAACACGGGTATTGAAAGCGAAGATTCTAACACCGATACGCCAACGATTGAAGCTGCTCCCATTGTTGAACCCCGACAACAAGAACAAGATCAAGAGCCTGCTACTGTACCTGTAACGGAAGCGGATGCCAAATTCGACACTGTCGACAACACTGCAACAGCTACAGAGACTTCTGTACAGGAAGCCATCGAAATCCCACTACCTGTAACGCCAATCGCAGAACTCGAGCCAACTATTGAACATGACAGCGCAGCCCCATTGTCCACGAATGACGCGGAGGAGGATAAGACAGGCGAAGGAAAGTCTTCAGAAGTTGCTACACCAAGCGTCGAGGACGTTCCAAAACCACTCCTTGACTCCGCTCAACAGGGTGTGAGCTCTGAAGCTTTACCAGAATTGCAGCTTGAGATCGACCAGGAGACTGCCATTGTTGACGATGTATTGGAGATTGCTCAAGTACCGCTACCTACGACTCCAAGCAAAGAAATTGCTCAACAGCCCAGCATCGCTGAAGACGTATCTGAGATTGCTCGAGTGCCTCTGCCTACGACACCAACACAAGAAGATATTTTCCAGGCGACTCCCGTCGTCGAAGATGTATCTGAAGTTGCTCAAGTACCTCTCCCTACAACCCCAAGCGAAGAGGAGGTTGCTCAAGTTCTCCTACGTGCGACCCCAACCGAGGAGATCTTTCCAGAGGTCTCCACGATCACTCAAATACCTCTACCTGAGACACCAAGCGAAGATGAGATGACTAGGGAGATTGATATGATTGAAGATGTGTCTCAGATTGCTCGACTACCTCTGCCTACGACCCCAATCGAAAAGGAGATTGCTCAGGAGACTGATATCGTAGAAGACGTCTCTGATATCGCTCAGGTACCTTTACCTGTGACCCCACGGGAAGAAATCGACCAGGAGGTATCGGCAATTGCCCAAGTGCCTCTGCCTATGACCCCAAGCGGAGAAGAGATCGCCCGAGACACTGCCGTTATTGAAGACGTATCAGAGATTGCTCAAGTGCCCCTCCCTGTAACCCCAAGTGAAGAGATCGTTCCAGAGGTCTCCGCGATTGCACCTGTAGAGGAGCGAGTTGTCACAGAAGCGCCATCAGATGACAGGAACGTTTCGACTCTCGACACTACGGCAAATGAAACGTATCCCATCGATGAACCAGCCTCACCATCAGCCTCTAAGTCTGAAGATGTCATCCAAGTTGAGCCTGACGTTTTGCTTCCAGCTCGACACATGGTGGAAGACAAGTCAAAGGATGAGGAGATTCTGCCCACAACTGTACCCGTAATGGAAGAAGAGCCTGCGATCGGTGATTCGACTATCTCGTCAACACAGAAGACGGAGGAGGAAAGTAAAGACAAGGAACCTGAAGCTCAAACTCCCACAATCGAATTTGGGGACCCTGTCAACATGAACCCTACTCTCACAGACTCGCTCATCACGGAACCTAGTGCAACACTCGAAGCTGCACCTCGGGAACCCATGCCCGAGCCCGAGCTGTTGGAACCAAACACCTCTTCGGTCGAACTCACAGAGTCCGTGGCTTCGGAAGTACGCATGATGCCTGACGAAGTACTCCAGTCGCCCGTTGTGGAACCCGAGTCAAGCGAACAAATTCCGGGATCATTTCCAATCGAAGAGTTGGCGCCAATTGAGGGAAGCAACCATGATCTTGATGCTGAGAAGCCTGCCCTTAGCCGCGAGCTTTCCGAGGACGAGAAGAAGGCTGCTCCCTCAATCGCAGACGATGAGCTGGTAAGGTCAGATATGCCATCTCTCGAAGACGATATCCCAGAAGTTGCACCCACATCGGAATTGGTTGAGCCCTACACGAGTGTCGACGAGGTGCAAGAACCTCCACACGATGGTCAGGTAACACCACAAGCATCTCCGTCTGAGCCTATGATACTACGCGACACGCAAGAGGATATACCGTTAGTAGCTCAGGAGACGAACGAAGACATACTTCCCACAATCGAAGAATCCACTCCTTTACCGACCAACGATCAGATCCAGGAAGTTGTACCAGTGTCATCAACCGACTCCGAGATCCTGGCTACTGGTATCCAATATATGCCAGGTTCATTCTCCCCTGAGGTTACAGTGGAAGACTCTTTGCCTGAGCCAGTGGAAGTTGAAGATCTACCTTCCTCAGTCACCAGTGACATTCACGATCTTGCCGAGCAGTCTGCCGAAAACACCGACATAGGCCAAGAACCATCTCTGAACCAGACAGAACAACCCGAGGTTTACCAACCGACTAATGAAGAAACGCCTAACGGACCTAGGGACCGTGGTGTTGCTCCAGTGCCAATCAGCCGCAAAGCGTCAGAGACAAGCGACGACACAACCGAGTCGGCATATCTGATTGCTCTGCCTGAGACACCAGTTGTCGATGAGATTGTGGAACGTGAGCAGTATCTTGAGCCATCATCGATCGGTGCACCATTTGATCAAGCCCTCACTGAAGACATTCTTGATCCTGTTCCGTCAATTCAAGCTCCTGTCGTATCAACTGTTGTGGCCAACTTCGTCAAAGAACATGTATCAGCGATCGTTCCAAAAGCTCTACCCGGCAATGCTCAGCCTGTAGAGCCAGTCACTGAAGTACAACCTGAAGTACAGCCACCACTTGAACGTTCTGAGTCCATCCTGTCCGCCCAGCTTCCAGTTGAGTTGGTTGTTGCAAAGGACGTTGTCGAAGAGAACGACCAAGTGCCAACTTCTGAGGCTCGATCAAGCCAAGCAACGCCTGAAGATTCGCAAAGCTTTGCCTTTGAGATGCAGTCGGAGACACAGTTGCAGCCTGAACCTTCTTCAACGTCCGTTCTACAGACTACATTCGAGGATGTGGCGTCCGTGTCTGAGCCATCTCAGCATACTGAACAGAAGCCGACAGAGAACAAAAAACCGGACCTTTCACTTTCACACTCCACATCCGAGAAGAGCACTGATGAAGTCGAGAACGGAAACTTTACGTCCGCTACACCTATCAGCGAGGTCCCGTCTGTCACAATGCAAGACCAGGCGCATGATGAAGCTAGCCCCCTACTCACAGACATGGACATCGAACGACCTACATCGCCAGTGATTCAAGACTTCAAGCAACGCGAGATCCTGGCTGGGCCCGAACAATCTACATCACCTGTACCAGAGAGTGCAAACGTCGAATCATTTGGAACCGAAGAGATATCCGTTCTTCCCGAACTGACAACACCAGAGGTATTTCACGATGCGGCCGACCACCCTATGGAGCCAGTCGTCACTTCCCAACAGACAGTAGACAAAACACAATACGCTAGGAACCAACCGAATGAGCTTTCCCCATCACCCCAGGCCGGCCAGGAAGAAGGTGCCAACCTGGAAGAGCGATCCAAAGCACTCGAGCAAGTTACAGCGCCAGAACAAGGACTCGACGAGTCTTCTTCTTCACAGCCAGCGCCACTGTTCGATGTGGTTGGCAAGCTGAGCGAGAATGACGAGAACATGGTGGAGGAAAGGGACAACGCTATGGACTGGGAGCCTGTCGCGCCCGTGGTCGTGCCTGGTGTTTCGGTCGAGCTCGGAGTCCTAGCTGATTCTGAACTTACAGCCAAGCCTGAAGTTTTGGTCGAGCCAGAGATTGAGTTCGTGCCGGAAGTTGTAGATGCGACGAAGGAAATTGACGAAGAGGCTATCCAGGAGACCGAATCTTTCAACACGGAAGTACCCATCAAGGAGGTGAATACAGCTCAACAGGAGGAAGTTATCCAGGAAGAGTCCATCCAGCAGTCCATCAAGAATGTAGAGTCTGTCGAGGAAAGGGTACCTGCCCAGATCGATGTTTCCTCACCCGAATTGAGTGAGAGGGAAGAAGATCAAGCAGTGCAAACTGCGCCAAAATCGACCGTGGCAATCAGCAAGCCCTATGACTTCATCAGTGAGGCTGAGACCGTCAATGAGGTTGAGCCCGTCAAAGAAGTTGAGATCATCGAGGAAGAAGCTCCTGTTGAGATCGATACTCTAGCACGCCAACCAAACAAGGAGGAAAAGAGAAAGACGATTTCAGATTCGATCGATGTGAACGACAAACCTCAAGGAGAGACTATGGCAACTAGTGAACCCCAGGATCTCATGATGGAGCAGCCAGCGGATCAATTATCAACCGTCCCTGAGCCTACCACAAGCGAACCTGCTCCAGAAACCGACTCGCAAAATGCCACCGTCGAGCCTACTCCTAAGGCATTTAACGCCGCAGAGGATATTCTTCCAACACCTACAATCGTGCCACAGGAGTCAAGTTTCGAACAGCCGCAAATACTGTCCGGGAATCTCAGCAAGTATGACGGAGAGAAGACAAACCAAATAGCTGTGGAGCAAGAAGAATCAGTCCTACAGCCGGACACCGCCTCACCCACGGCCCAAACTGAAGTTCAAGACTTTGCAGAGACTCAACCCGAAGTGCTTCTTCCAACTCGCGTATCACCGGCTACCGAAGAGCCTGCGTTTGCCCGCGTTTCGCAAAGTCCAGAGACCATCTTGGAGGAACGAGCCTCATCACCGCGTCAATACAGCGAGGAGAAAGGTCACACCCAAGCTGAAGTCACTATTCCTGCCCAGGACAAAGCTACATCAGAAACAGTCAAGCCAGTGACCAATACTCCAAGTGAAGACGTTCCTGAGGTCGACCAGCCTTTTTTGACAGAACAGCAGGAGATGGTCGCAGAAAAGATACTTGCTCCTACATCCAAAGAGTCTCCTAGGACCGTCGACGAAACCTTCGCTCCAGGTGATGTCCAAGAGCCCATGGAGGATGCCACGTCTGTCATGCTTCCAAACAATACAACCACGAACGACCAGAATCCCTTCCTCTCGCAGCAATCGGAGCCTGCCGAAAAAGCTTCGGTCGACTCACCGTCAGAAGGCGACGAGATGAATGTAGTGGATGTACTTGAAGATCTGACAGAACAGGAGTCGTTCATGCGAGAATTTCCAAGTTTAGTCTCGCCAACAGTAGAAGATCTTCATATGAGGCCGGACACGATGATGGATGAAGTTCGCTCAGGCTTCTCTACCACGCCTCAGATTCTCACGGAGCCAGAAGCTACAATCGCCACGAGTCCCCAACCAGCCTTGCAAGCCATTCCATCATTCACGCTCAACACCCAGGACAGCACTCAGGAAGAGCATGACACCGTTACTCCTCTCCAAGAAGAATCTCCTCTTGTGACTGATCTGGCGCGCGAACAAAGTGAGAGTGTGTCTTCTGGTCATGACATGCATATTGCAAAGTCCGAAGATGTACAAATGGAAGATGTCGCAACTCCCGAACAATCAAAAGATGTCATACATCCTATCGAGGAAGTGCTATCACCGGTACCAGTCGTGCCACTCGACACTGTTGAGGATACTTCTCTCACGACACGCACTGAGGATATCCAGCAAAGCACGCTTGATGAGATCACCCCTGAACCTGCTGTAGTTACAACGAAGACCATTGACGAGCCGATGCCTATCGAAACTTCTGCACCACAGCCTGAGCCAGAGTCGAAGATCGTGGTCGCACCACTAGAAGAGTCCATCGAGGATGTACAGCCTCAACCTTCGAAGAAGAGTTCTCCTGAGCCAAGCATGAGTTTGGAGCCTATCACAGTCAAACAACCTGCAGCCGAGCCTATCCAAGAAACTGACATTTCCTTGAAGGAGGCTGAGAAGGAAGAGCACAAGTCAAAATTTACAACTGCTGCCGCCAAAGAACACAGTCCGACTGACTTTACTTTTGCTCCGCAAGATAAAGTGATTGAGCCGCTTGTTCTTGACAAGAGTCAGCATCTTGGTGGTGATACTGTAACTGTCACCCCAGAACATGTGCCAGAGATTGAGGTGGATTCTAAGAAACTCAAGAAAGAGAGGCGTAGGTCCAAGCAGAAAGATGTCGCTCTCAAGGACACGCCAGTGAACTCTATCGAGCCAGAGGCGCCGATCGATTCAGGATCCCGACAGGATGAGGTCATTCAAATTGCGTCAGAACAATCCAGTGCAACAGTACCCAGCGCTGAGACGAAGGATGTACCGAATATGCCCACAACGGTCACACCAGTCCCTCTCCTCGCCCCTACCGAAAGCTCAGAAGCAACCCCAACACATACTGTGGTAAAGAAGCCGTCCAAGAAGCATAAGTTGACGGCGTTGTTCGAGCGCGATGCCCCGGATGGAGTCGATACACCCAAGCGTGAACTACGTAAGGAAGGCGCAGCCAGTGTAAAGAACCTTGCCGAGCAATTCCACAATGCCGAGGAGCCAACCAGTACACCTGAACGGGGTTTACGCAGAGGACGCACAGGCAGTGTCAAAGACCTTGCTGAACAATTCGAACGCCACTCGAGATCAGTAACGCCCGTTCTCTCCTCGGGTTCTCACTCACGGTCCGTATCACGTTCTGTATCACGATCCGTATCACGAGTTGCCTCGCATGATCGATTCCGACCAAGTTCTCCAGCACATGATATCGACTTTGCGGCGACACTCGCAGCTGGTCTAGAGGAATCTGGCTTCGATGCGAACTTTGTCATCAATGATCCCGCGTTTCTTCGTTCTTCATCTGTCCAGGGCATCCGCGACATCGCTCCTGACGACGACATTGCAGCTGCAAAGAACAAGGCTAGCCGCTCAAAGTTCGGATCCCTCGGTCGCACTGCATCGGCGTCGTCCTCAGCCATGCCCTCGCCGAAGATTCGGCCAGCTAAAGAAGTCGAGACGGTCCTGCCGCAACCCATAGAAGTAGCCTGGGCATCAACGGACGCTGTTTCTTTCGATCCGATGTACGTGCTGAGTGATCCAGCTTTCTCAATCCGGAAAACGCCTTCTGGTGTTCTTGAGGAGGCCGATCCTGAAGAACTCTGGTCTTCGTCCAAGGGCAAGAGGCCGAAGGGAAAGAAAAAGAAGCGTACATCCGCTCCTCAATCACCAACCGAAATCGATGTACCTGAACCTGACTGGGCGATCATTACGGACAAGGAATTGGAGGAGGTGAGCAAGAACTTGGGATTTACAGCGGGTACACCAAAGCTCGAAGAGATGTCTACTGCCGCCGCTGTCAAAATCCCAGTGGATGAAGCACCCATCAGCGTGAATCCTGATGCTGAGGCCGCAATTGACTCCACAGTCCGCGAGATGGAACTCAAACTGACATTACCTTCGGTACCCACACCATTGGAAGAGGTCAAAGGCAATGAGTACCCATTCCCTCACGTCATTGAAGAAGAAACGGCAAGACACACTTCCAACCAAACGACAACACCGAGCCGGAAAGATGATAGCGAAAAAAGCCAGACGCTGTTGCCACCAAAGGAAAACGGCAAGAAGAGTAGAAAGGGCAAAGAGAAGGCTGAGACTGGTTCTGAGGCAAGGAAAGAGAAGGAACAAACGATCGGTGATATGGAAAAGGGGGGTTTGGTTGGACGCAAAGCCTCGGACATGACAGAAGATGCAGCCCACAAGCCACATAAACGACGAAATCATCCAGTGTCCGTTCACGAGGGGCAGCCAGATGAAAAGCGTCCCCACGTCCGAGAGACATCTTCAAAAACTCCCTCGGTGACTCAAGGAGCAGCATCCAAGCTGCAAGCTCCAGTTGCCGCAGGACACACTACATCCGAAGCCACATCGACATCGCGAACCACTGACAATCAAGGTCCTACAACTGCAGCTATGACCATGGCACCTGGTCGTGATGGTTCTAGGCGGACGAAATCCCCAACGAAGATCCCCCGTGATTCTCCACTCAAGCGGACAATGTCTGAGTCGCGTTATGATCGGATGTCGCCTACAAAAGAGATGGAAGAGAAAATACCATACCCGTCTCTGTTTGGCGATCCAAGCGAGAAGAAGATGGAGAGGGACATCCCAGCGCCCAAACGCACACGCACGCCCGGGAACGCACCGCTTGACACAATCAAGGAGACGAGCCCAGAAGAGTCGATGTTGCACAAGAAAAACCGATCACTCACAGACATAGGAGCACCTGAACGAGGAGTCAAGTCTGTCCGCCGAAGTGGAAGCACAAGGTCGTTCACAGACCGCTTGAAGTCACCCCCTCCAGTCACACCAACACCGTTGAGCCGCAGAGACACATCGTCAGCACTCAACACATCCGGACAAGATACATCCATGAGGGAATTCCCATGGCAACAAATCCACGAAGTCAACCGCGGTATGACTCTCACTCCTGCACGCCCAATGCCTCGTTCGTCTCCTAGTCCGGATCCATCAAAGCAGCGTTTAGGTGAACAACGATCACCCAGCGTTCGTAGCGAGCGCTCTTTGAGCAATATTGGAGCCAGAATCAAGACCCCAGACCAAAGCCGTCCACTGAGCTCAACAAGCAATCACTCCACGCAGTCTTTGCGACGGATGGATAAAGCTGCATCAGGTGACTTGAGATCGACAGCCAGGCTTGGCGAGGTCAGTGCGCCGGACACTAAGGACCCGCAACTTGGACCCTCAGGTATCACGCTCCCAGCTGGAGCGGTCGCGACAGCTCTCGCAGGCATCGCAGCTGCATCAAACTACGACCCGGTGAGGGGTGCAGGCAAAGGTCGTCGTACAAGCATGGTGGAAACCTTCGTAAGTGCACATTGATGCTGTGATGTTTATTCCGGTAAAGTTAACAACGTTCTCAGGAGGCATTCGGCGAGGCCCAGGGCTCGGGAATGTCACCAACGCGCGCGCCCAGTCTGCGCAAACGCCAAAGCATACAGATAATGGACTTGCAGCAGCAACTTGACCAACTCGCAGCGCAAAATCAATCGCTCGAGGATGCCCGAATGAAAGCGGAGGAGTATGTGCAAGCTACGCATCACCAACGCCAAGTCGACGAGCAATTGGTACAGGAAGAAGTGGAAGCACGTGATCGCGAGATTTACCAACGAAACATGGATATTGCGCAACTCAAGGACACCCTTCAAAGACTACAGGAAGAGATCTCAAGACTGACAGAACTCAACAAATCTGTCACTGAAGCAAATCGCAACCTCACCAACGACGCCAACGAAAGATACAGCCAACTCCAATCTGAAAGCCAGTTGATCCAGCAGCAATGGCAAACGTCGGAACAGGAGTTGACACAGGTCCGCGCCCAATATGACCAGATGACAAAGAGCATGGAAGGCGTGGTCCGCAGTGAGATTGGCGCCGCACTGGACGAGCGCAATTCAGAAATCGACCGTTTGAACACCGAGCTTGCAGAAGCACGAGAACAGATCACGATCTTGCAACAACAGATTTTGGCATCCAAGACGCCCAGCGAAAGCTTCCTCACCACTCGTGACGAGGACTACTTTGACAGCGCCTGCCAACAACTCTGTCAACACGTCCAGCAATGGGTGCTGCGATTCTCCAAGTTCTCTGACACTCGAGCTTGCCGCCTGTCATCGGAAATTGCAGGCGATCCCAGGCTGGATACGCCAACTCGGCAAAAAATCGATACTCGCTTGGATAATGCCATCCTCGATGGCTCGGATGTCGATATGCTGCTTGCGGATCGTGTAAGGCGGCGAGATGTGTTCATGTCCGTGGTCATGACAATGATCTGGGAGTACGTCTTCACGAGATACCTGTTTGGCATGGACCGAGAGCAGCGACAGAAACTCAAATCGCTGGAGAAGACGTTGTCGGATGTTGGTAAGCATCACCCTCTTAACCATTTCTTGGTTTCATCTCTAACGTTACCAGGTCCACCCCGAGCTGTAGCTCAATGGCGCGCAATCACACTCACACTCTTGTCGAGGCGAGAACAATTCAAACAACAGCGCTCCCAAGACACTGAAGCCGTCGTCAACGAGATCTACAGCACTCTGTCGACCCTCCTCCCACCTCCATCGCACCTGCAGCGCCAGATCCAAGAATCGCTACGCAACGTGATGCGCCTGGCCGTCGAGCTTTCAATCGAGATGCGAACACAACGCGCGGAGTACATCATGCTCCCGCCGCTCCAGCCCGAGTACAACACCAACGGCGACCTGCTCGCAAAGGTCACGTTCAACGCCTCGCTCATGAACGAGCGCTCTGGCGAGACAACATCCAACGACGACCTCGAAGGGCGCTCTGCCGTTGTTAAGATTGTGCTTTTCCCGCTCGTAGTAAAGAAGGGCAACGACTACGGCGAAGGCGAGGACGAGATCGTCGTCTGCCCCGCGCAGGTCCTGGTCGCTGGAACGAAGAGCAAGAAGGTCGTTCGCGTTATGAGTGGTGCGATGAGCATCGTGTCGAAACGACCACCTTCTAGAGCGAGGAGTGTATTGAGTGGTGTTAGTCTTGCGCCTCCGCCTGAGAGCTCGCTTATGGACTTGGATTGAGAGGTTGGAGTGTAAAGGAAACGAGGGGAGTAAAGGTGTTGGTCGTTGTTTGTTAGTATGGGGCTATTTTTCTTACTCGTTCAGTGTTTGGGCATGGGTATACCTATTTTATTTCCTTTGTGTTAAACTATTCCTGCAGGGGGATGCAGCATGTATATCATAGTTAATATTCATATTCATATTCACTTTCACACTTTTCTTGACTTGCACACTTTGATCTTTCTCATACATCTCTTCACCCCACTATATCATTCTCTTTCAAGCCTTGCCCATCTCTCGGTATTGGACCTAACATTTCACTCTACTATCCCTCGACTCTCCAAAGTTCTGTCACGCCCCTTCCCCACTCCTGCAATCCCTCGGCTAGCGCGATGAGGCGCAAAGACCCCGCAAAATAGGACCGACCGACGATCGCCATGCTCAAAACAGCACCACCAAGCAACCAAAGCATCTGTGCGCCTTCCAGATAAGGGCGCACAGCCAAGCTGATGCTGAAGCTGACGCGGACACCAACCATGCCCTTGACCTGACCCGTCCTGTCCTGACCCGTCCTATCCTATTCACACACATCCTCCTTCTCCATAATCAACAGTAACAACGTGAAGCTACCAACCCACCAACCAAAACAATGCCAATCCGCAGTGAATACAGTCTCGCGCGCGAAGGTACGTCCTGAAGCCCCACCAACAGACCGCGGATACTAACTAACACATTCCAGGCATAACAGGCGACACGCTCGCGCGCCTCATCCACCACACCGCGCTGAACCCCGCGCTCACTCTCCCCCTGCTGGCGCTCGCGCATGCCACGGCTCCAGGCAAGGCGCTGACGAGTGCGCATCCACGCGCGGTGAAGAGCGTGGTTGCGCTCGCGGGGCTGGGGCTGCTGAAGCGCGTTAGTGCGTGGCTGGATGGGCGGGTTGTGGATAACTGGACGGCGGACGGGTTTCAGTGGGAGAAGGAGGTTGTTGTTGTTACTGGGGGGAGTGAGGGGATTGGGATGCGGGTTGTGGGGTTGTTGGCTGAGAGGGGGGTTAAGGTTGCGGTTTTGGATGTGAGGGGGTTGGGGTATGAGGGTGAGATTTATTTTACTTTGTTGGGGTTGAGGGGAGGGAGGGAAGTGGAGGGGGATATGGACTGACACTGACGCATCACAGCACCGCCGTCGGTCAGTTTCTTCCACTGCGACCTCTCGTCCCCATCCTCGATCGCCACAGCCGCAGACGCCATCCGCGCACAGCTCGGCGACCCCACAGTGCTGATCAACAACGCCGGCGTCGCCCGCGGCAAGACCATCCTCGACACCCTGGAGAAAGACATCAACCTGACGTTCCGCGTGAATACCTTCAGCCACTACTTCCTCGCGCAGCAGTTCCTCCCAGCCATGATCCGCGCCAACCACGGCATGGTCGTAACCATCGCCTCGCTGGCAGGCTACATCACCGCGCCGTCGATGGTCGACTACGCCGCGTCAAAAGCCGCAGCTGTGTCCTTCCACGAGGGGCTCGCCGCGGAGCTGGTCACGCACTACGATGCACCCAAGGTGCGCACTGTGCTCGTCACGCAGGGGTACACGCGCACGGCGCTGTTCGAGGGCTTTGGCGGCAAGGCATTGTATCCTGAGACGGTGGCGGAGGCGATTGTGCGCGCTGTGTTCAGGGGCCGCTCGGATAGTTTGTGTCTGCCTGAGACGAGTTGGCTTGTTGCGCCGAAGTTGAGGGCGATGCCGCAGTGGGTGCAGTATGCGCTTAGGAGGCGGCTGATGATGATGCAGGGGTGGAAGGGGAGGCAGGTTGCGCAGCCGAGTGAGGAGAAGGTCGAGGAGAAGGAGAAGGATGTTGAGGATAGTACGGTGTTGGTGGATGGCGAGTAGGTTGTTCGTCGTTGGTGGGGTACTTTGCTTTGCTTTGCTCTGCTCGAGCTGGGGTGGTGGTGCGGGCCGATTGCTGTTTCGATTTCCATAATTTCCCCGCCTTCTGCGCTGCAGTGCCAGATTTTACATACTGAGTCGAATTGATCCGTTTCCGAGTGCTTCGAGTGTCCAGGAGCCTCGTTTCGCTAGAGCCAAATCCGTCTGTATCCCTCCACTGTGACCCCCCTCAATATGTGCTAAGAGACGGAGAATCTACCTGCAGTAAGCCAGTCATAACCGAGGTCAATCCGCAGCACACGAAGCCTCGAAAAAACCCATCGATGGAAAAAAACGACAAATGCGTCGTTTACAGTCTCGAATTAAGTCATGCTTCCATAAGCGAGCGAATAAGTACTCTGTGCATGCATGCCCTTTGAAGGATGAGAAGAGAGAAAAAAGAAAAAAAGAACCATAGCGACAGTATAGCACTAAGAAAACGCCTGAACCGGGTATCGTATCGCATCGCAATCAAAAACACCTTCCCACATGCTTCCGACCATTACCCATGCCCCGATTATGCAAAAAATATTCATGCCCCAATGTTACGCCTTCATCAATCATAATCTATGTGAGACTTCGCATCTCATGTCCCCCCCACCGTTGCCCCGCTTCACGTCCCCATATCAATCTTCCTCCTCTTCCTCGTCCCAACCTTCGAGCAGGTTTTCCATCTCCAGGACTAATCCGTCGAGATACATGCCCGTTTGTCGTTTGTACGTCTTCTGCAAACACACTTCCGACTCCTTTGCTCTCAGACTTCTAAGCGTGTCTTTCCGTGGACTCTTCTTCCGTTTCAGGCTCTTTTTCGGCGACGGGGGCATCGGGCGTGGCCTCGAGGGGATGATTTGATCAGGCTCGGCAGGAGCAGTAATAATGGGCGAGCAGACTTTTGGGCACGAAGTGCACATCAGGGAGCATGTGTGTGGGGCGGGGGAGGTGGGTGGTGAGGTTGCGGGCGTGGATGTAGCGGATGGGAAGGAGGAGTGGAACGAGTATGACGGAGACGATACTGAGCGGAGGAACGGGGTTGGCGATGAATTTGACGAGTGGGATGAGGATGGCGGCGACGAGCGGAAGAAGATCATCGGCGATGAGTTTGTAGAGTGGAACGATAGTCTTGGCGAGGCCGCTGTCGTTGACGGCGAAGTGGGCAACGGCAATATAATGGGCGATGGAAGCCCGCCTTGAGCAGCAGTAGCGACGTTCAAGGATTCATCCGTCAGCGTGTTCCGCCTGCTGAACAGCGGCGCGGGAATGAGTTCTTTTGCGATCTGGAACACCTCAGCTGGCAATGGCGGGAGCGGCTTCGAGTACAGCGGGGGAAGCGACTTTGAGTATAAACGTCGGTTTGGGTTTCTGCGCGGGCCCGAGGGCGCTCTGCACATGATTTCGTCAATCGCCAGGTCCATTTCCACCTCGATTTGCATTTTGACTCTTTTGTGTTGGCTCGCGCCTCTTCTGTGTCCGCCATCCAGCGCCATCTGGCACTGAAAAGCAACGCAGAAGGAAAGGTACTAAGTGGACACAACTTGTGTTGGGTAGAGTGTGCAGCAAGCAAGACACCAGCAAGACAGGCCGACACACAAACCTTCTCGCCTGAATATTGAAAGCGACCATGGAGCGTTGGACAACAAGGGAGACAGGTGACCCGCCACCGCCAGGGGAACCGTCAGGATTAAAGACATGTCGTTGGTCCAGCGTGAGCACGGTGCTGTCAAGACGTCGCCGGATTCGCCACACGTCATTGGCCCGGTCATGGCGTACGGTGAGCAAAGTGTGCTGGCTGGAACCGAGCGGAACCTGGGAGCCCGGGATCACCCCTGCACGCTGCCGCGCTAGCCATGCACGCCACGACAGTAGCATTGCGGTGGATGTCGATGGCATCGGCAGAGGGGACGGTGCGGCGCTGAGGTTTGGCGGGGATGGCCTGATGAACTGAGGAGGAGTGAGCGTCGTCTTACCTCCGTGAGACGTGCGTGAGAACCCTCGCGGGGGAGGGAACCGTTGCTCGAGAGGGGCCGGCCGCATGATCAGGTGACGCTCTTGCAGCTTTTTCTGCGGCGCTAAACTCGACTGCAGCTGTTAAGATTTGCTCAAGACCTCAGCGTGTCATACACCAATTTCCTGCAAGGTCCCGCCATCGACGATACCATGACTTGATCTGCCGCCGACGGAGAGCACACCGTCGCCGCGAAAAAGAGACAGGTGGCTGGCCAGTGCATGAGACGCTCATGTGGGATGTGTGCAGGTGATGCTTCATCGTATTCGTCCGTATATGCTCCGTCGTCATGCTCGCCGTTATATTACAATCATATATGCTGTTCCAAAGAAGTGACGAAAATCGTACAAATGCCATGCAAGCTATCCCAAAAAGAAATCCAAATCGCCTCATCGTGTAAATGCAGACATGAAATCATGTACCACGCTTGGTATCGTCTGTGAGGTACATACGTCCAGTGGTTGTCCTCAAACTCTCGTCGTCGCTTCCATTCAGCGACCCGCTTCGCTAGTAAATGTTCGTCTACGGGCTATTGGCTCCCCATGGTTATTAAGGGGAATGCCGAAATCATCCTCTTCGGGCCACTCGACCTCGTCGCTCGACTCCCAAGTGCTAGGTGCCGTCTCTGCGCGCTGCACCCCGTATGTGCTGAAATTAAAGCCAGTCGACATGTTGGCAGCGATGCGGAGCATGAGTGAGACCAGATGCGCTGGGGGTCCAAGCACAATTTCACACGTCTTGCGTACTAGAGCATTTGTGAACTCTCGTGTAGGTGTGGCGCTGGGTCGGCGGAAGAGGGCTTGTGATGGAGGCATTGGAGAAAAGGCTCGCTTTTGAGAAGCACCCGTCAGTTTCTTCTTCCGCATCGCGTCTGGTGGAGTGGCTGCATCTGTGCCCGGGAGCTCCACACTATCTTCATCTGAATCGCTGACAAGTGGTGGAGTTGATGGCGTCGATGTCGTGCTAGGATGGAACATGATTATGGGTGTGATCGGAGTGGTGGGTTCCGCTCGCACAGTGCTTTCAGAATACTGACGACGGTGTCTGGCCCGTCCCCTCGACTCGTCCTTCATCGCAGGGATAGCCGCCCAGGTGTTGAGGAGTTCGGCGTGGGCATCGTAAAGATCAAGAAACTCGGACTGCGCATCGTAGAATGGCGTGGGCGGAGTGGATTCGTCCAACGAGTAGAAAGGTTCTGGGCTTTTCTTGGGGCTGGCGACCTCAATCAAATCCTTTCGCTCGACCACCTCCTTCTTGGGCTCGATGGGCTTTTCCTCCTCTTTTGACGACTCGACAATGTGTTGCATAGAAGACACTGATCGAAGTCTTCTGGGGCCGAGTGGCATTGTGGCTGACCGTAGACTTTGAAAGGACATGGCACGCTCCCTTACAGACAGCCTGCGTGGAGGCTTCCATGAAGAAACCTCTGATACAGTTTCACTGGTGTCGGTGTGTATGCTCGAGCGATCGTCGTCGTCATAGGGGGCGACAGCAGAGTCTACACTTTCTACAGGAGTAGAAGGCCGTGAGCCATCCTCGGGGACCCATGTCCTATCGAACAACCACTTCTTCGCCTTGGAAGTAGGTGTTCTCGATGTCGGTCGGTTTCGTGGTGGTGAAGTCGGCCGCTCAGGGAGGTTGTCTTCGAAACCGCGGGTGAAGGGACATTGCGTCTTCTCGTATTGTAGCAGCTGGTCGAGGGCTGTTCTCAGCTGTGCGACCTTCTCTTTGTCCTCTTCCGTCTCATATGGCAGTTCTATGCGGTAGTACGAGTCCTGTCGGATGCGCAGCACGAATATTGACTGGTCGTCGACACACCAGCATTGCGAACGGGGGAATATGGTGTGCAGGAGGTTGCCCGAGTTGAGGAAAGAGACGTTGGATGTTATGACACGATAAATACGGAGGATGCCTGCGAATTGTCAACTATGTTGCTACCCCTCATGGCAAGAGTCGAACATACCAACTGCTAGTGTGCGCTCTGTCGGCGTCTTCCAGGCTATGGAAGGCGATGCGCCGACACTGCCATTAGTGCGGCGCGAGGGGGACTGGCGCCTTGAAGGGCTCGCGGCTGTGAAAGAGACAATCTTGGAGCTGGAGCATATGAACAGCGTCTCGATGCCGTCGGAACCATGTGAAGGTGGCGGCACTGACGAGGGCCTGTTTGCGATGCGCGCAGGGACTGTGAAGGCGCGCCGGGGGTTGGTCGACGCCGCGCGCTTTGGCGAGGTTGTCGGGGCAGCTGGAGACGACATGACGTGTGCCTCATACGGGCATCGTCTTCCAGAGGCCAGGGCCAGTGTCTTCCCGGTCAAATCGCGGAGCTGAAGAGGGGGTTTGGGGCGATTGTGTGTCGAGCGTCTAACGCCGGTGGTTAAATGGCTTGGCAATGGCTCGAGTTTCACCACGCCAGGACATGCAGTGCGGTGCACGTCGAGACGGCGTCGGAGAATTGTTTGTTCTTTTGCATGCTTGTTCGGGAAGCGTGTTTGCTTTTGAGCAAAAGGCACGTCTAAAATTAGGGCCATGCAGCAGGTCCTAGGGGAATGCAGCCAGCGTCTACACGCACGCGAACTACGAGCAGATGCAACGCTCATAGGCTGAGGCGCAGCTGCGAGCCACTGTGCGTGTGGGACCACGCGTACGTCATGCCAGCCGACAGAACCCACCAGTTCATCCAGACATCGTTCGCGTCTTCGTGCATTCGGCAAACCCACCAGTTTGCAGCCGTCAACAGCCCCCAAAATTGACACGTCGCAGAAGACGCTTCACCCGCCATGTCTAAAATGGCGAACATGGACCCAAACGCCATCCTGCGCGGGGCACAGTTGACTCTTGTGGGCGGTCAGTGGTGCTTATCCAACATTCTGAGCTACAGGCACTGACTGGCTCTCGTAGTAAACCGCGCCCTCCAGAACCCCAACATCTTCACATCAGACATCTACCGACAAGCTGCCCTTGCTGTTGCCGCTGGAATTGCCATTCGCGTCATCGTCTCCGTCCCCGTACGTCTTCACGACCCTCTCCATGCAGAGTACTACATTGGACAAACACGGAAAATTTTATATCGGCCATGTGCTGACGACTCGTCTACAGATATACGGCGTGCAAGCGCTACTATGGACTCTTTCGTTCGTGGTCGACATGAGCCAGACGCACTGGGACGAAAGCATCGTAAACGGAATGCACTTCATTGAGACTTCCGTCCTGCAGATTCCCTTCTTTCTCATGACTATGATGCGCTTCATCACACCAACGTTCGACCTCATGCGAGTCTGCTCAACGTCCTCCAGATGACCACCGCTGACATGCCAGCCAGGTTCATGGAATCGCTCGCTTGGGTCGATCTCACCTACGTCCAAAAACACAAGACCGACGACCCCCGCAATCTCCGTGCTATGTACCATGAGAATCTGCAACAGTACCCTACACATGCCCCGAAGACGCTCAAGGAGAAGAAGACGCTCAAGGACACTGTCATCTTCGTCGCCACAAAGCAAGCAAGGAAGGCTGGCATTTCTTTGGCAGTCCTAGCATTGTCCTATGTGCCCTACGTCGGGCGCTTCATCCTCCCCGCTGCCAGTTTCTATACCTTCAAAAAGGCTGTGGGTAGTCAGCCGGCAGCAGTTATCTTTGCAGGCTCTCTTCTGTTCCCGCGGAGATACCTAGTCTCGTTTCTACAGGCTTACTTCTCCTCCCGCACAATGATGCGCGACCTGGTACGTCACCCCTTAATCATATCTAGACTCACAATCTAACGAATCGCAGCTCGAGCCCTACTTCACCCGCGTGCGTTACTCCAAGGAGCAAAAAGCACTCTGGTTCAAAGACCGCGCAGGCGTGCTATTTGGCTTCGGACTAGCTTTCTACATCTTCGCCAAGATCCCACTCGTCGGAGTTCTCATCTACGGCCTCGCAGAAGCTTCGACGGCCTACCTCATCACCAAAGTCACCGAGCCCCCACTGCCACCCTCTGACGCGGACAAGTTCAAGCAGGAGTCGCTGCGTTGGAAGAACAAGCACGAATTCCTCAAGGCGCCATGGCAGAACATGGATGCGTACAATATTGCAATGCATAAACCTGCGGCTCAGTCTGACGTCAGGCAGACCCCAAGAAAGACATTCAGTTGAACGCGGGGTGATGAGTAAGGTGAGAGATGAGAATACACATAGATACACGCATGCATACATACATATACATACACATATACATACAAAGGCACCCAATCTGCCAATTCCAAACACACTTTCTCCCTCACAAACCAATAACCTCCGCTTCACACCCCAAAAACAAAGCCGATAAGCACATCCTCACAAATAGCGCACCTGCACAATGACAATATAATCCACGCGTCGCGTCCAGCTCCAAACCCCGCAGTGGATCGCACCTCTCGATAGCGGGGCAGCCGCCATGCTTGGTAAAGCTACCCAGCGCAAAAATACGTAACACCACCTTTCACAGCTCCCCACCCCCGTATCTCCCAACGCTTATCTGCCTTCCTCTTCGATGTCTAGTTATCTAGCCCCAGGGGTCGGGTCTGGGCTCCGGTCCCCGGTCCCGGTTCCGGACAACGGCAGGGCCGTGGATAGGCTTGGGAGGGATGGGGAGATGGAGCTGTCTGGGTGCGTGGGAGATAGGGATTCAAGTGCCGTCTGCGCCGTGATGGATGGGAGGGAACCCCGCGTTTGAGGGCTGGGATGGGTATATTACTGGGGTGGTGCGACGGTTTGGTATCTGTCTTTTGTTTTGCTTGCTTGCTTGGGACTTTTGTGCTTGGTTGAATTGACTCTACTTGAACTGAACTGAATTGATTTACGGTTTCTTATATATCGAAAGCCATTTCTATCGCGCAAGTCATCACAATGGGTAAACAAGGACTCCGCTACGCGGCGAAAGTCTCCTTCGATAAACCGGCGGCAGAGCAAGAGTGTCTGCATGTACATCTCATCACCTCCCCCTTCCCCAAAACAACCCCCAGCTAACGCGCCGCAGAACCGCTGGCACCCCGACAACCCCTCCTACGCCACCATCACGCCCGGCGAAGCCGTGAAGATCGAATGCGTTGACTGGACCGGCGGGCAGATCGGCAACAACGACTCTGCCGACGACGTGCGCGATGTCGATCTGACGAAGATCCACTACCTCACGGGGCCATTTGATATCGAAACGGCGGAGCCAGGCGACGTGCTGGTTGTTGAGATTCAGGATGTGCAGCCGTTTGACGATCAGCCATGGGGGTTCACGGGGATCTTCTCGAAGGAGAATGGTGGCGGGTTTTTGGATGAGATATATCCTAAGCCGTATGTTTTAGCCCCCCCATTCGTCCCGTGGGACTAGGGATAGAAAAAACTAACGACATGCCAGAGCGAAAGCAATCTGGGACTTCGAAGGCATCTTCTGCTCCAGCCGCCACATCCCCGGCGTGCGCTTCGCCGGGCTCATCCACCCCGGTATCCTGGGCTGCGCGCCCTCGCAAGAAGTGCTCGAGACGTGGAACCAGCGCGAAGGCGAGCTGATCGCCACGCACTCGCACCTAGAGCGCGATGTCGCGCAGCCGCCGAACCCGCAGTCCGTGCATGCTGGGACAGCGACGGGCGCGGTCAAGGAGAAGATCGGGAAGGAGGGCGCGAGGACGATTCCTGGCCGGCCTGAACATGGCGGGAATTGCGATATTAAGAATTTGTCCCGCGGCAGCAAGGTTTATCTTCCTGTGCATGTTAAGGGGGCTAAGTTCAGCGTGGGGGACCTTCATTTTTCGCAAGGAGATGGAGAAATTAGCTTCTGCGGTGCGATTGAGATGGCGGGTGTGATTACGCTGAAGTTCAGCGTTATGAAGGATGGTGTTGCGCAGCTGGGCATGAAGTCGCCCATCTATGTTCCCGGGCCGGTGGAGCCGCAGTTTGGTCCTGGACGGTATGTGGAAGCACAAACTCGATATGAAGTGCTCTGGGGGCGTTTGCTGACCGTATATCCAGATACATCTACTTCGAAGGCTTCTCGGTCGACGAGCACGGAAAGCAACACTACTTGGACACGACGGTTGCGTATCGACAGACGTGTTTGAGGATAATTGAGTATCTGAGGCGATATGGTAAGGACCCGATTCCCTTCTTCCCTTCTTCCCCTGGGCACAACCTTACCTTCACGACAAATTTCCAACTCTTTCTCGCATCTCCACCGATTTAAAACTCCCCAAGCTAACACAATCCATCCAGGCTACGACGACTACCAAATCTACCTCCTACTCTCATGCGCTCCGATCCAGGGCCACGTCGCGGGCATAGTCGACATCCCCAATGCATGCACAACTATGGGTCTTCCGATGGATATCTTCAACTTCGATATCTCCCCACACGTTCCTGCCGAGAAGAAGGATTTGGGAAGTTGTGCGTTTGCGAGTAAGTAGGTGGGACGGAAGGATGGGCCGGAGTCTGTAGATGGGTGGTGTTGGTCAAGGTGATAAACGAGCCGGCTAGGCGGAGGTTTGCGTGTGAAGCCAATTTGATGTCTTATGTTGGCTTTTGTGAAATCAAATGTTGTGAAATGGTGTTGAGCCAGTTGGTCAATGTGTGCTCGAGTTGTTGGTTGTCATATTCGTTACAGATGTCTGTTCGACCTTGCGCACACTGCTTCGCTTTAGAGTTTCCACGGTGAGTTGAGTCCGCCTCTAGTAGGCATTCGTAGCCAGAAAGTCAAACTGTTGCAATACAGCCAATTCGGCAGAGGGATTTGCAGACTTTGTTCACCAATCTTGGATGAGCAGGGCAAAAGTGGATATAACGAACCCGGGTTAATGCCCTTTTAACCTTTGGTACATTGGTTGCGAGCCGTAGCTTGTAGCTCTTTGAACCAAGTCATATCTTGTTATGAATCTGCTGTGCGTCAAAGTGGTTTTGGCAAAGGGTGGACTTCTACACCCGAGAATGAGAGAACTGCTGAGATAAAAGTCCTGCACACCCTGGCACGTCGTTGTGCAACATATTATAAACCAATCGTCGATCAGGGTGTTGTAGGTTCTGTGGCTTGTTCTAATAGCTCTAAAAGATTCCATGGAGAATGGAAAAAAGGCTATCATCTTGTGGAAGACTCGAAAATTATTCATAAGACCATCACTCTTGAAATAAGTGATCCGTGTTAATACATCAGCTCTTCCTGAGTGTTGGCGTATGATAGATACCTTGCACTTTGATCCAGAGGTTGTGATATGGTGCAATAACGGCACAAAGCTGGAAAACTACGAGACTCGTGATGCGGTGGGTCAGAAAACACTCAACTGGACAGCTTCCTCGTATACACAGATGTTCGTCATCGTCTTACTCCGATTGAGGTTACGCATCGAGTGAACAGACAACGAAACACGCCAGTCAGGTGATGGGAGACGCGTCGCCCTTAACACAAAGATCCAGCAATGTACTAATTAATGCGAAGACTGCTGATTAACGGAAAGCGACAGGGAAATAGAGGAGAAGTTGACACGAGGGTAGAATCGAGATGACCTCAAGAGCCTGGCGGCTCGCGGCGGATGTGAAAATATGATAGTGTAGCTTGGCTTGGCTTGCAAGTCGTGGTATACGAGGACATGACCCATGGGTCAAGGAAACTAGCAGCTATGGCTTACCCGATGCTCAACTCATCGAGCAACAAAAAACGCTTGAAGCTTCAAATCCGATTCTTGCCTGTTTTCGAAGTCGGGAGAGACATCAAATGAACAGAGTCCGTCGTCTGTTCGCTAGATCCTTGAATTAATCCCATGAGACATTCAAAGAACCTTGTCAGCGGCGGAAACTGCAAAAGTCAGTATTGTGACTTAAAAGTCTACAACAACAGGATTTAGATCAGACGGACCATTCAAGCCAGTGTTATCTGGTTCTACATGAGCCTCTTTGACAGCGCCATCTTCGATCACCAATGCATAACGCTTGGAGCGGTCACCACCGAATATTTTGGCCCCGTCGAAAGAGAGGTCAAGAGCCTTTGTGAAGGCCAAGCTGGGGTCGGCGATGAAGCGAATCTGTTCATATCAGTGTGCAATTTGCAGAAAAACACCACAATATACTTACGCCACTGGAGCCTGATGGGTCGAGGACTTTGCCCCACGCCTTCATGCTATGCTTGGTCAGCTGCATTCTTACTTCAACTGAATCCAGGACAAGCATGTCAATCATACGCTCAGGACGAGACATAGCGAGCCCGTATGAACAGTGAATTGATCGTGTTCCCATCAATCTGATCATGCACGACAGCTCTTGTCGAGACAGTCGCGTCCTATAATTTGCAGAGATTGTACGTACACAAAAGCATCGTTCACTTCAAGAGACGTCAGCAAAGCTCGGATAGATACCATTTAGACCAGTTGGAAATAATCGTCTCGATTCGTTGATTTGCCGGAAAAGGGATACACAGAGCTGTATCCTTACTATAAAATACCGTGATCAAGGCAGTGGAGGCGGCAGTACATACCTGAGACGACGAACACCTTGCCGGCGTCCTTGAGTTTGGCAGCGTTGATATAACCCGGGATATGGTTCTCAGAGCATGCAGGAGAATAGGCGGCGGGGACGCCTGTACGTGATCAATCAATCAATATTCATATTTTTATCAACTCGATATCGATGGGCCCACCAATAATCAATCCTTTTCCAGTCAGCTCTTTTGCGAGATTGACCTTGTTGCCAGGCGAGTCCTCCATGAGTTCGACATTGGGGATCTTGTCGCCTACTTTCACGAAAGCGGGAGCCGAGGCATGAAAGAGGCGGTGACTAGCGACAATGCGCGTTAGGGGCAGGTGGCGGATGGGAGCGAACATATTGGCGGCGTAATGGTGTAAGTACTTTGCTAAGTCGAGGTGGTTTGTGTTGCGGTGGGTTTCAGTGAACAGGCCCTCATTGGACAAGCACGCTACTTGGCAGGGGACTACGCGAGACAAGGGTATGGCCCAACAGCACCTGCGCTTCCATCAAAGTGGGCAATTCGGAAGCGTGCACCGTTGAGGTCGCGGCTTTACAGCGAAAGCCAATTACTTCTCACGGCGACATTGTGTTGCAGATGTGAGTGCCGCCGCATGGCGTTGTCCTAGTGGCGATTGGTGGGCAGCTCTCTTGGTTGGTGCAGATCGTAGTCTAACTTGGCTGGCGAATGTGACATGCATGGCTCTTCTCCAGCTGGGTCGGACCCACATATGAACCTTGGGATGCCGAGAGCGTTACTAAGGTATGTACCGACGGAGTGAAGAAGACGCTGATGTTTGATCCAGGTCCAGCAGTCGAGTCGAGTAATGCCTCACGACGGTCCGTTAGGTTGCCGTCGCTGCAGTACAAAAGCACGCGACGACTCTGACGGGTAGGGACTTGGACCTTCCCTGCCACCCTCGGCAGCTCACTTCCTGTTTTAGCGCAAACATCATCTCGCATTCCTCCAAAGCAGAATTAGATAACCTGCTTAGACCCTTTTAGACTGAAAGACTTGCCGGGATGCCGCAAGTCTCTTTCTCCTTCCCCCCATCGACCCTGATCTCGACCTCTCTGCAATCCCATCGCCTAGACGTGTGTCCGGGACATTCTTACTCACCCGGCTAAGCTACCTGGTTTCGTCATCGGCGGCGCCCAACAGAGCTTCTACGCGCATACTCGCTAGGCTCATCACACTTGACGTGGAAGCTGAAGTTCGCGCGCCGACCGCCTTCTTTCTTCGTCGCGGTCGGTTTGAAGTGATTTAGGATCGCGCTGGCGAACTTCTGCATTTAGTCGCATCTTGTGCTTCAACGCGCACGAGTAAACGACTATTTTTGCGCGTTTACTTGGGCTGGGAGGGAGGGCAACCCGGTCGTCATAAAACCATCCGCTGTCAAGATGGATCCCAATCAGTCAGGAGCCTCGGGCTCGAACAACTCCAGCGATTTTGTACGTCTGCAATCGCATTGACAACACCCGTAAACTGACAATGGCTCCAGGTGCGCAAGTTGTACAAGTAAGTTTCTAGCAGGACATGCGCCTTGTCACTCACACATGCTGACATGTGTGGTTAGGATGTTGGAGAGCCCGAGTGATGAAAGTGTAGTGCGATGGGGGAACGATGGCGATAGTTTTGTCGTCCTAGAAGTATGTCCTTGCGCTGAGCGAGCCATGCGGATGATTGAGTGCTGATTCGCAAGACAGAACGAAAAATTCACAAAACATATCCTTCCAAAGCATTTCAAGCACAGCAACTTCGCGAGTTTCGTTCGACAGCTGAACAAGTACGATTTCCACAAAGTGCGACATAACAACGAAGAGAGTGGGCAGTCGCCATACGGGCCTGGGGTATGTCCATGTGCCAGACTTTGACTTTGCAGGTCCTACCTGCTTAGCGTGCCATCTCATAAGACGTGCGCTGACCAATACGCAGGCATGGGAGTTCAAGCACCCAGACTTCAAGATGAACAATAAGGACGCGCTCGACAATATTCGACGGAAGGCGCCCGCGCCGCGCAAACCCAACCAAACCAGCGTCGACGAAGTGCCGATAGCAGCACAGCAGATGGATATGGTCAGCGGCCAATTGATGGCAACGCAGGCTCAGCTGCACACGCTGGAGGGGCGCTATAATGAATTGAGCATCCATCATTCTATGCTGCTACAAGAAGTCATCGGTTTACAGAAGACGGTCGTCAACCACGAGCATGTTATGCAGAATGTCATGACTTTTCTACACAACGTGGACGCGCAACAAAGGAGGAACAGCAAGCTGCTCTTCCCCCAGAACGGCGCATCCGCGCAGAACGGAGCCACTGACCCAGCGAATCCAACTGCAGACGACGACAATCCCGCTTCACCTTTACAGCATGCCTCCAAGCTACTGAGCGAGACCAACGCCGACGTCATGTTGAACCCCAGGAACCTGGAACACATGAATGAAATTACCATGAGGATGAATGGTACCTTGACCACACCACCACCAGACTTTGCGCGAGGAGCAATCACTCGTCCCACTAGTCGTGGGCCACCATCAGTAGCAGGGTCTGTCAACTCTTTGCGCATGGAGAACCTCGATAACTTGGTCTATCCTGTTGGTCAATCGAACGGCATTGATCCTATGTACAGTGAGCATGTCAACAACATTCCGTATTCCCTTCCACCAAAGCCGGCAGTTGATCCCAGCGAGCCAAAATTCCAAGAAGGGAGAAAGAAGAGCAACATCCCCGACCCTGGATGGATTCGTCCTCCACAAATTTTACTCGTGGAAGATGATCCCACTTGTCGACGTATTGGAAGCAAGTTTTTGTACGCTTTTCATTGTTCCATCGATAGTGCCGTAAGTAAACACATCAACTTCGTTTTACTTAGACTAATCACGTTGTTTTCAGCTGGACGGATTGGAAGCAGTCAACAAGATGAACCAGGGATCTAAATACGACCTCGTGTTGATGGACATAATAATGCCAAACCTCGACGGCGTTTCCGCTTGCCATCTTATTCGACAATTTGACACAACCCCCATCATTGCGATGACTTCAAATATCAGAAGTGATGACATCTCGATGTATTTTCAACACGGTATGTCCATTATGGTAGAATATTGAGCAAGTTCTGATATCTATAGGCATGAACGACGTGCTCCCAAAACCATTCACAAAAGAGGGGTTGCTTCATATGCTCGAAAAGCATCTAGTGCATCTCAAGAAACCACTGGCACAGATTGACGGAATACCAGCGCCTCAACCAGTGCAAGTAGCTAGGCAACTTCTCCTCAAGGAGGAAGACTCACCGGCAAAATCACCGGCGACCGTGAGCCCTTGGGCTGCCTCGCCCAATCCGGTTCCGGGAGTCTCTCCTGTTGGAAGTAGTGTGCACGAAGATTTTATACACACTATGCAAGGTCAAACAGCACAGCATCCCGCCGTTCCTTACGGCGTCAACTCGATGCCGGCTCCCATGGGCTATGCGACCTCGCCGCAATTGCAAATACAGGCGAGACAGCAGCAGCAGCAGCAGCAGCAGCAGCAACAACAACAACAACAGCAACAGCAGCAACAGCAACAACAGCAACAACCATTGACGCCAGCAGGCCATCGTAGGCAGCTTTCCAGTATTTCAGGAGGAGATGACATAAACAATCCAGCGAAGCGCCAGCAGATGTACCCTCCTCAGCTACAACAACCGATGAATCCTATGCTGCCACGCCCACGATGAAATAACGAGGCATTACATACTAAATTGGGGTAGCAACGATGCGTCCTAGATCCTGTGCTCGGCTCCTCGGATCGCCACTCCAGTGAAATGGTACGATTTGAAAGATCCGTGAATGCTGTTGCGACAGAAAACTGGCGGTCAAAATAGAGACAATTCGAAAGACGAGCGAAAGGGGTCGAATAGTGGGCGAGGAGGCTCGGGAACGCTTTGATGAGCCACGTAGGCTGTCAAGCCTCAGGATAGGAAAGGCGTTTGGGGGGCTACATATAACCAGAATTTTCGAGATATGCGGGCGTTCATTGGGTTTGGTTATATCTGCTTCGACGCACTGTACAATGTGGAACCATGGCGATGGTTGGGATAGTTGTTTGACACGGCATACCCTTCATAGACAAGGATATTATGGTGGAAGTCTACGGGTTGTTTTATACGCTTCTTCTAGGCTAGGGGGTAGCCAAGATTTATTCACAATACAAGACGGTTTTAATGAGTCGTTTGGTTACTCTATGTCAGTTGAAGCAGTGATTGTAGGATGACTCGGCATTTCTCTTATTATTTTTGCAAGATATGTGAAATAATGACCGCTCAAACAAGTACCAGATCATCTATATGTAGAAGAGTCCATATTCACAACCCTCCACCACTGTTTATGTTGTATGTCCCGTACAGCTTGTCGGCCATCGCCTATGTTTCAGGATTTCTAGCACTCACAGAAGCTGCAAAACATCTTTCAATACAGCCAAATACACTCACTTGACCCTTTACACGTCTCCCTAATGCGTCTTGCACTTCCAAGTCATTAATTTGGCTTTAGAGTCACCTTCTGGTCAGCAATTTGCAAGAATCTAGTATCTTGAGGTGAGGAATGTCGTCGCAATAAGCTCTTTCCCAGCAGAGGCTGTTCCTGGAATCTAGACCGTCATGGCCGGGTGAAAGCGCACAGACAGGACCAGATGCCCATGCACCTTGGAGGGCTGCGCCTTCCCGCGGAGCCTCCCCACAAACCGGTATGTCGTTTCCCGGTGTTGTGGTTCTGTGTGGTCCCTGTCGTGAGTCAGACCATTGGGGGATTTTCCTGAGTCTGTGAGGCTGCTCGGCAATTCTTCCCCCACCACCTTCTAGATCTCGACCACGCGTCACACAATATTGCGCGACAAAAAATATTACTGACAAGATGCCGCCAAAAGGAAAGAAGGGCCAAGAGAAGGGGAAATCGGGCGAGGAGGAGCGCGAGGACCCACTTCAGGCAGTGGTAAGTTCTGCAAATGCGCATATGTCGCAAATAGTGCTGATTTTGTAGATACTCGCAGATCCGTTCGAAACGCGCTTCAGTCCCTTCACACTCGAGCGACCAAGGGTTTGTGTGCTTTGTTTGTCTGGCAGCTGTTGTACTGACGAGCTCGTAGTGTCTGCTGCCCCTCGCGAATACCCCGCTTATCGAATACACGTTCGAATTTCTAGCCAACGCCGGCGTCGAAGAAGTCTTCGTGTACTGCGGCGCACATAGAGAACAGGTCGAGGACTATATCAACCAGTCAATATGGTCTGCGCGGTCGTCGCCTTTCTCCAAGTTGGAGATTATCCAGTCGACATCACACTCCATTGGCGATGCGATGCGGGATCTGGATAGCAAGAACTTGCTGGTTGGCGACTTCCTGCTGGTGTATGGGGATGTAGTCAGCAACTTACCGCTGGAAGGTGCGCTCGCTGCGCATAGAGCGCGCAAGGCAAAAGACAAGAACGCGATCATGACGATGGTGCTGCGCGAGGCGGGAACAAACCACAGGTCGAAGGCTAGAGGGGCAAGTCCAGTCTTTGTGATTGATCCCACAAAGGATAGGTGTCTGCACTTTGAGCAGATGCCAAATCGGGACCAGACACATTTCCTGTCCATTGATCCAGAGTTGCTGTCAGAGCATCAGGAGCTCGAGGTACGGCAGGATTTGATCGACTGCGGAATCGATATCTGTACACCCGATGTGCTGGCACTGTGGAGCGACAACTTCGACTTCCAGGCACCCAGGAAAGGCTTCCTACACAGCGTGTTGAAGGACTACGAACTCAACGGCAAAACCTTCCACACCCACATCATCTCAGATCACTACGCAGCACGAGTAAGGAACCTCCACCAATACGACTCGGTGAGCAAAGACATTGTGTCACGCTGGGCATATCCGTTATGTCCCGATAGCAATCTCGTCCAAGGACAGTCGTACCGGTTACAGAAGGGCAACATCTATAAGGAGGAGGGCGTTATTCTGGCACGCGACTGCGTCATCAACTCAAAATCAGTTATCGGGAGAGGAACAAGCATCGGTGACGGTAGCGTAATCACCAACAGTATTATCGGTAGGCATTGTCAGATTGGTCGAAATGTCCGAATTGATGGCGCCTATCTCTGGAACTATGCCAGCATTGGCGATGGCAGCACCGTAACACGATCTGTCGTTGCAAATGAGGCTTCGATAGGGCGGAAGTGCATCATCGAACCGGGTGCGCTCATATCATACGGAGTAGCCATTGGAGACGGCCAGACTATCCGAGGCGAATCTAGAATCACAAGAGCGAAACGGAGGCGAGAGCACGGCGACGACTTGTTCAGGGGAGAACCGGATGTTGAAGTCGTTGGAAAAGGAGGCGATGGCTTCGAATTCCAGGATTCCGACGAGGAAGACGAGGATGAGGTCTTGGATGGTCTTGTCTCAACAGGTTCAAGTGAGTTGTTTGTCTTGGGAGAAAAGTTGTATTGCTAACATACACAGTGTACAACGTCGCAAACGCCAACATCTCCCAGGAATCGATATCGACCTTAAACTCTGAGTCAGAAGTCGACTACTTCGTGGCACGGCATGACAGATCAGCAGCAAGCAGTTTCCTGTCCACTGGCTCCCAAGATAGTCAACATGCAGCAAACTTTGACCACGACGCGTCAGCAAGTATCTACGATTCCCTTGTCGAAGGCCACGAATCCGCCAACATTCAGCTCGAACTCACAGCTCTCCGCATGAGCACCAACGCATCAGACCACCAAGTCCGTCGCGCAGTCGTCACCTCGTTTGTAAAGCGTATCTCGCAGCTCATCAAGTCTGGGGAATCTACCAAGAACGCCATAGCTCAGGTTTTTGGCACACACAAGGAGCTCATTGACCGTGCTATCTTCGACAAAAGCCAGACAGACAAGCCAGACCAGGTTGACTTTATGATCTTACTACAGACGGAACTAAGCCAAAAGGAGAACGGTGACACAATATTGTTGACGGCAGCTACAAAGTTGGTCGAGTTGGATGCTGTGGAGGAGGAGGGAATGGTTCAGTGGTGGGAAGATGAGAAGAGCGTTGAGGGAGATGAGATGAAGAAGGTGAGGGAGAAGACGGGGAGCCTGATTGAGTTTTTGCAGCTGGAGAGTGAGAGTGAGGAAGAGAGTGAAGAGGACGACGAGGACGACGAGTGATGGATTGTATGGTTGATGATACGAGATTATGACAAAACACGAGACTACAGGCTGCCCCAACTGAGACCAATACGGTTCTATGATGTGATACTTTTTACTCGTAGGCGCTGCTCATAAGGCAAACGTCTCGACTGCATGCGCTGGCAAATGTATACATGCGACGTGATGAGCTGAGACGGGCTGGATGCAGTGACCTGGTGAAACAGCAAGAGAGTTTTGGGATGATGGATGCCTTGTCGCGAATCTTCTAAGGAACAATCCGAGTTCTAGATGATACGACTACATACGCTAGGCTGAACAACGTGTAAATTGCTCGTAGACAAATTTGTACCGCCTCAAGTATCAAGGCAGCAAGCGGAGAGCAGAGGCAGGTGCGGCGAAGCAAACCACAAACGCCGCTGCACTACGGGGCCGGCTAACCCAGACAAGCCAAGCTGCGTTCGAGACCGGGATGTCGCCGCCCGCACGCGCGCCCAGGGAGCCCACCCAACAAGCAACTCAACCCAACCAAACATCGGTAGCCTTGTGACTCTGACTGACAGTAGACACCCTCTTTGCCCGCTGACCAATACTGCCCCAAGCGTCCTTATCCCTCCCCACCTTCTGCTGCCTGTCAAGCTGCGCCACGCGAGCTCCAGCATCTCATCCCACCCTCGTCGCCTGATTCCGTCATCGGCGGGACAGGCTCTATAACAGGCACCACGCCTCCCACCGCTCGCAAGCGGAAGGCGTCTCACGGCCAACTCAGTCCTGCCGAAGGACCACCGCTCAAGAAGAAGACACCCGAAGCTGTTGATTTGCCCGTGACACCCAGGACCAACGCCTCGGCCATGGATTCAGACGATGAGTTTAACAGCTCCTTGAGCGGCGATGAGTTCCTGGACGACCAGGACAGCGACATGGACCTGGAAGAGGGTATGCTTAGCTCTCTGCCGTGTCTGCGAGGAGTGGCGTACTAACACCCCGGCAGTAGACTCCGACTTCGACATGGAGCAAGACGACGTGGGCTTCGAGTCGCAGGACAAGGACATCAAGCCCAGCAAGCACGCCTGCGAAGTCGACTTCAAGGTCTTCGACCCCGCGCAGATCCAGGCACAGCAGGACAAGCAGGTCGACGAGGTCTCGAGAGTGCTCAGCCAACCGCCCGAGGCTACGGCCATCCTCCTCCGACATCTGCGATGGAACAAGGAGCGCCTGATCGACCAGTACATGGAGAAAACAGAGGAGGTCATGGAGGCGGCAGGGCTGGGCCAGGACGCCACAACCAACCCACCGAGACTGCAGACGGTTAAGGGCTTTTGCTGCGACATTTGCTGCAACGACAGCCCCAACATGAATACGTTTGCGATGAAGTGCGACCACCGGTTTTGTGTCGACTGCTACCGGCAGTATCTGCAGACCAAGATTCAAAACGAGGGCGAGGCAGCGAGGATACGATGTCCTGGCGAGGGCTGCACACGCATCGTGGACTCAAAGTCGCTGGACCTGTTGGTTACAGACGAGCTTCAAGGAAGGTATGTAGCCCTGCTTAGGAAGGGTGCCTTCCGCGTGCTTCAAAAATGCCAAACAGGCATTATAAAGGACACTGGACATACTCAGCCTGCGTTGCAGCAGCCATTCGTTTCAAATCATCGGCTAACAACCACAGATATAACACACTCCTCACACGAACGTACGTCGACGACAAAGAAAACCTCCGCTGGTGCCCTGCGCCCGACTGCAAATACGCCGTTCAATGCCAGGTCAAGGACAAGGATCTCGACAAGATTGTGCCTACTGTACACTGTGACTGCGGGTCCTACTTCTGCTTTGGTTGCTCGCTCAACGACCACCAGCCCGCACCATGCGCGCTGGTCAAGAAATGGATGAAGAAGTGCGCAGACGACTCAGAGACGGCGAACTGGATTTCAGCAAACACAAAGGAATGCCCACGGTGCAACTCGACCATAGAAAAGAACGGAGGTTGCAACCACATGACGTGCAGGAAATGCCGACACGAGTTCTGCTGGATGTGCATGGGCGTCTGGTCCGAACACGGCACCAGCTGGTACAACTGCAACCGATTCGAGGAGAAGAGCGGTTCGGAAGCTAGAGGAGCCCAGGCAAAATCTCGAGCGTCGCTCGAGCGATACCTGCATTACTACAACCGCTACGCCAACCACGAGCAATCGGCCAAGCTGGACAAGGACATCTACCTGAAGACGGAGAAGAAGATGCAACAGCTGCAGAACACAACTGGCATGTCTTGGATCGAAGTACAGTTCCTAGACCAGGCGTCACAGGCCCTCCAGCAGTGTCGTCAGGTTCTCAAATGGACATATGCCTTTGCGTACTATCTCGCGCGAAACAACCTTACAGAAATCTTCGAGGACAACCAGAAGGATCTTGAGATGGCTGTGGAAAACTTGAGCGAAATGTTTGAGAAGCCGATTGATCAGCTCAAGGGGTTGAAGGTGGAGATGATGGACAAGACAAGCTATTGCACTAAGCGTCGTATCATCTTGCTCGACGATACGGCCGCAAATCTCAAAGAAGGTACGACTTTTTCTGTCTGATGGTGTAGACATCTATAGTGGACTTGAACTAACTCTGGCTAGGCAACTGGGAATTCAACGTAGCGTTAGCATGAGTGTCGAACCAAGGACAACATGGCCGCGACACGGCTTGGTCGGCAACGCCCTCCGGGCGAGGCAGCAGCAGTAGCCACCCAGCAACAAAAGAAGTCGTCGTGTTTTGCGGGACTTCAAGGAACCCCACGCTTGGTCGTGACTTTGTAAGCGCCTCCCCTCCCCGATTATGTTATGTTCTGCATGGTTTCTGGCGCGGATTTGTTTGACGGGCTATTGGGGGCGATTCTATTCATTTGCATGGCGTTCTTCTTTTTCTTTCTCGGGCTTTGGGGGCGTCTGCTGTGTTCAGTTAGCGAGTCGGGTATGCTACTCTTCTTTACGATGGATTTGGGATGTGACTGGACTGGGCTGGGCTGGAGATGACGGGAAGGAAATGGAATGGAATGGAATGGATATAGATATGCATACACTTGTTGTTTGCCTGCTACTTGATTTGTGCACTTGGATTCGTTAAAATGTGATGTGTCGTAGCACATGAGAGGCATGAAAGATCGGAGAACTTGGAGATGAGACAATACTGGACTAGACAAGTCACTCAAAAGCCAAAGTAGAAGTGTGAGCGATACATGTATTTATACAACCCCCATCCATCCATCCATCCATCCATCCATCACTCCCTGCAATCCAACAAACCCCCCCCCCTAACCCCATCCTGCAAAAAGGCGCCCAGACTCCGCGCAAGTTGTCTACCCAATAACAGCCGTAAAATGCTCTTTGCGTTTTTTTCATTCAACGTACAGTAGTATCCCGAGGTCCTAGCAAGGCCTAGTGTGTTTTCCCTCTCACGCGCTCGCCTACTCTTCCTCTCGTTCTTTTCTTCCAACTCCCGCAATCCGAGGTTCGGAAGGTCAGTCCACGGCTGCTTCAATCCACCTTGATGGAGCGATAAATCTTGATGACAAACAAGGCGCTCGCAAAGAAGCCAATCGTACCTATGTCGCACGCATGCATTAGTCCCGTTCATTTCATTCCCTGGACGAAGGGGAGAAAACAACATACCAGTAAGCACGAAAACCAGCGCGCTCAACAACGCCGAGTACCCCAAATACACGACACCACTAGTCCAGCTCAAAAAGCTCACATCCTTGATCCAGTACAGCAAGCAGCTCGCAAACACATACGCGGCGCTCGCGCCCGCAGTGCAGAAGCTGCGCCACTGCCAATGGTAGTTCTCCGCACAGAGCAGGAAGTAAATCATCAGGACGGTGACAGCGGCGGACGTGATAATCATAAGCCCGAAGCAGACGAACAGGAAGCCGAACATGTAGTAGACTTTTGAGAACCAGATGGAGTTCATAATGAAGTAGAGTTCTACGAAGATAGCGCCGAAGGGGAGGACGCCTGCGAGTGCCATGGAAGGTAAGGGGCGGAGGTATCCGACAGCAGGGGGGATTTGGCGCGGGATCTGGTTTGTGCGAACGGGCGCTTCGATGGCGGATTGCTTGAAGCCCAGCCAGGAACCCGCGAAGCTGAGGGGCACGGAGATGACGAACCAGATTATCACTACGACGAGCATGGTGGTGAAGGGTACGGCGCCCGATGCGCCGCGGCCCCACACGAAGAGGTTCAGCAGGAAGAAGGTTGCGAAGACGAGGCCTGGGAGCGCGACGGGCGTGTAGAAGAAGCATAGTTTCCACTTTTCGCCGTTGAAGACTTTGTAGACGCGCGAGGAGACGTAGCCGCCGAAGAAGCCGAAGAGGGTGTAGAAGATTATGATTACGGTGCCGAGGGCGCCGCGGTTGCTGGGGGAGAGGAAACCGAGGAGGGCGAAGACTGTTTGTGTGTTAGTTTGTTTGGGTGGAGTTTCTGGGGATGGATGTGTGATTTACCAATGGTCAGAGCAGTCATGGCGAAAAGCTGCGCTCCGTTTCCGATCAAGACTGACAAGAACAGCGGGTTCATTGGCGGCCTGAACACATCGCCATGCACCAGCTTCCAGCCAGAGTCATCTGCCACGCCGTCCTCGACATCGCCGTTCTCGCCAAAGTCATCGAGTGCGAATTGCTCCAGACGGTTATACCGGGCAATGTCCTTCTTAAGGGTACGCACAAGAATCGTGCTGACCATTCCAACAAGGAAGACAACGATGACGGCGGAATTGATCAGAGAAAACCAGTGGATTTTCGGGTCGTAGACGTGGAGGTACTTGTCCCATCGAGTGGCGAAGGGGGTAGGGCTGGGTCTCCAGTAGATGCTGTACGTGAATGCCACCTTGCTCTCCTCCTTGTCGTTCAACACCACCGGTGCCTGCGCGCTTCCACACTCGGCCTTGCCATCACCGAGGATGCGCGAGTCCTTCATCGAGTAGGGGTCGACCAGCACACCCACGACCCGCAAGTTGTCCGGACCCGCCTCGTGGTAATCAATCACGATATCGTAGTGGTTGTTGAAAATCGGCTTCTCCTCCTCCACCAACCCGAGCGCAAACCCAGGACTGTAGAAGGGCAGCTCGGAGTTGGGGTCCCTTAACAGTTGCGCCGCGGGCAGCCCGTCTATTAACCAATTCAAATCGTAGCCCTGGTACACCTTGCTATTCACAAACTCGGCATCTTCAGGCGAGTAGGGCGCCTCGCACAGCGGCTTGCACGTCTCGTTGACCCCCATCTTCAGCTCAAACGGGCTCGTCTGTATGCGATCGCCGAACAATATGCTCCCCAAGCTTTCGCGGATGTACTTGGGCCCGCCTTCTGGCTGGCAGAAGTGGAAGGGCGGGTGGTAGTAGTCGAAGGAAAAGACGGAGCGCAGTTTGGGGTCATCTTGCGAGTCGGCGGGTGTGAGATGGTTGACGTATAATGGCACGGCGTCTCCGACTTTGTAGGATGTGGGCGCAACTCCAGGGAAGTAGAAGGCCGACGCTGGCAGCGGCGCAACGGCTAACAGCCACGCCACGGCGGCGCCGGACGACGATATACCGGGTCGCCGCATTGTCTATGTGTGGCTGATGGTACAGACCAGGGAGAAAAGGACAAGACTGGGCGCTGTCGAGGGCAAGGCGTCAGCTGGATAATTCAGGCGGGCAGACGAAACACGTACAGTCGCCCGTTGAACCGTTTCACTCGGCAGCGTTGGGCGGATATATATGTATTGATGTCTTCTCGAAAGCTAACTCGTCATGGGCCGGCGCACAACTGTTGCCTGGCCGTGTGGGTGGTGATAGCAATGTGGTGTTGAGTAGAAGCTACCTGTCCGAAGCCCCGACGTTACCCAGTGCCAGACTCGGCTGCTTGGATGTTACGCGTCACTTAGCCTCAAAACCACCGTTATTCAGGGTCTGTCGAACCCCTACGGCCAGCATCGTCATGCTTATATGCCCTTGGATGAATTTAAATGTCTTTGTTGCAACTTCAAAAACACTTGGCAAAATCGCGATTGTCATATATATCCGCCGTAATCCTCTCCGTACGCCGAAGCGGTATCAGACCTCCCTCCTCGGCCTGCAACATGCAGAATGACGCATGCCAGAAACCCCAAACGCGCTGTGATATCGATAAATTCAAGAACGGGAAAGGATGCAGAGCTAGCGTCTTCATTCACACAAGACCATCGTAGAGAGACAATGCCGACACAATCGTTTCGTCGCGCTTGGAACCCTCCTTGAACTCGGCCATGTCCAGGCTGCCGTTCTCGTCCTTGTCCATCATCCGGAAGATCTTTTTTACGCGCTTCTCGGGCGTGTCTTCGTCTTCGGGGAGCTTGACCATGGAGCCGACCTGTAATCGTTAGCAACCAAGGTCTGTCATGTCGTCGCATCCTTGCATACCATCTTGTAGATGGCTTCTACAATCGCCAACATCTCCTCGTAGCTAATCTTGCCGTCGCCATCAATGTCGTACAGTTGGAATGCCCAGTCGAGCTTGTCCTCCATCTTGCCGCGACTAGTCACACTGAGAGCACAGATAAACTCTTTGAAGTCGATTGTGCCTGACTTGTCCGCGTCAAATACGTTGAAGACATAATCTGCAAACGATGATGGATCGCCGAACGGAAAGAATTGTTTGTAGATCTTTTGGAACTCCTCTTTGGTAAGCATGCCCGACGGGCAGTCCTTCAAGAAACCTGTATACGTTCAGCTGTTGGCCAACAAAGTCTGATATCTGGCAATGCGCACCCTTGTACCATTGCTGTAGCTCTTTCTTGTCGAAGTGGGTTGCTTTCTGAAGGTCGGCCAGTTCCTGCTGGGACAGCTTGCTCTGGCTGTAAAGACGCACAATCAGCTTTTCGTTCTGTAGCTCCAAATATTCCACAACGCTCCGTGACCACAGCTCCTGCTCAAACTCGCGAACAGCGTTGGCCATGACGACTTGCTGCAGGGTCTTGTAATGGGCGTATCCTCGTTCGTCGTGGCGGGGCACATGGACATGGCGTAGGCGCGCAAAGTTGAGCGGCGGATGATGGTGCTCCAGCATGGGCACGTCGTGTGAGCATAGCGGTATGTTATGCGATCTCGTATCGCGCTCGTGACGGCGGTCATCGCTATCGCGATTGTGGACATGCGATTGCATGGTTGAGTAGTTTGCGGTTGATAGTGGTGCTGTCGATGTGCCAGTGCTTGCGCCGTCCGCGTGGGGAGAGCATGGCGGAACTTGCGTTCTTTCACCTGGTCCTGGCCGTCCCCGCGGTGAAGGAAGGTGTCGTCGGAGAGCTGAAGATGGTGCCGGCGTGGCCCCCGCGCTGGGAAACAGGAGCAGGAAGGAACAGAGCACTTACGATTTACCCATGGCTGGAGAATATGCACGAAGTGATCACCAAGTATCGAGTTTAGTCGCGTAGATGCAGGAGAAGGAAGTCGCGTAGGCAATGGTGAGCGTGCAGGCGCAGCAGACGAATAGCTTGGTAAGTGGTGGCGGGGTCTTCTAGGCCAATCGATCGGGGTTGGCGGGGTGCAGGACGAGGCTGTGCAGCGTAGGGCGTCTAGGAACAGGTCACAGCAGGCTTGGGAACAGGAGGGTGGCCAGCGAGGACGAGAGCGAAGTGCATATGTCAAGGCGATATGACGACGATGCGCAGTAAATGGGTTTAGTAGGGCTAGAGTTGCAGCAAGAGCTGTCGGCTGAGACAAATATAGCGAGCGGCTTCCCCGAGCCTAGATAGCGGTAATCCTGGCCAGCTCGTCATCCTCCCGCACGAACATCATGGCATAGCGCCGAGCAAACCCCGTGCAGTTGAGGCCAATCGCCTTTGCACGTCGACGATTCCCCATGCTCCGTGTCTGGCCATGGTCACGTGAGCTCTCCAGCTGCGTGGATGTGTGGATGTGTGGAGCAGGGCCCTGCATCCATTCCCTAGCTTCTGCCTGTGTGCCTGAGCTTCGCCGCGACACCGCATGCTGGCGCAATGGACGACATCCTGACGACGCAGTTCGACCACGTCGAGCAGGCTGTGCACGCCCTGGTCGAATCCATCGCTGCGTATAATCCGTCCCCGCAAGCTGCACTAGACCTGGTTGCAGCCGACGACGAGCTGAGCCGAGGACTGGACCTTCGTATGTGCCCGCTGCGACACGCGTCCAAGGCAGCAATCGCTGACCGGTAACAGTCGCCCAGCACCAGGCAAACCACGCCCGCATCCAAGCCCTGCATGCTCAGGCAGACGCCCTGGAAGAGCAGCTCAAGTCCTCTGTCGCGACCCTTGCCAGCCTGCGCCACGAACTCTTTGAGACTCCAGCAACCACCTTCCCTGCCGATTCGCGCCCCGTTCGCCTCGATGAGCTTCTCCAGTTCGCGACAACCATCTCCGACTTCACCGTCCCACCGACCTTCCGCGAGCGCGTGCCAGAAGTAGACGCAAACAAGGACAAAGAAAAGGAGGATGGGTCTGGCGTAGCTCTAACAAATGGCGCAAGCACACCAGCCAACATACCAGATGCCGTGGAACCACCAAAAGATGCCACAGAGGGCCAGAAGGAAGGCGAGAAGACAGATGGCGCAGTGCCAGAAATCACTGCCGAAGAGGAGGAATGGCTGAAGAAGCTCAAAGACAGTAACCTGGCATGGTACCCGTGGCCGGACAACGACAAGATCCGCAGGGGCAATCTCTACAAACTCCAGTATTACCGCGAGAAGAACTTTGATCTGGATGCGCTTGACATCTGGGCGCACGAAGAAGCGTTGAGGAGTCAGGGTATGGGCGTGCCCACAGAGGCGATAGAGCCGCAGAACCAGGCACTAGAGCCATCAGTAGAGCCAGCGCAAGAGCAGCCTGTTGCCCAAGCAGCGCCACGGGTGCAATCGCCACCTGGACCGCCAAAGCCAACATTCGACATGTTTGACGATCTGGATGACGAGTAATTCAAAATCGGAAGATACCCAAAACGCATACATGGCATGCCAATAGTTTTCATCCTACATTTAGGGCGGCCATCTGCGTTTGAGCATGTTTTGGTGTGCATCAACGGAACAGTAAGAGCCTCTCACATAGCCTCGACCCCTCATGAACGCTAGGCCAGCGACGCGATGAAGCACGTGATAGCGTGTTGAGCCCGGAAAACGCGGACCGGGAGCCCCGCTTTTCCTCCCTCGTACCTGGGACGCTGTTCACCACAACACCGAGGAGCCTAAGACGTGGGGACTTGTTGGCTCTCATGCCGTGTTCCCACCTGGTCGTCTTGCGCTGCGTAGTATGCAGGGTAGAAAGAGGTCAATCTCCACCCTTCCAATCTCGTCCATATAGGCCGCCTTATTCACGACGTGGAATCTTCCATAGTCTGACAGGAAGGTCGTCGCTCCTACACGTCGCTTCACATCACATAGATACGTCACCAAACAAAATACTATAATAACCTCGCTACCTATCTGTGTATTTCCACATCATGCCATCCATATCTCAACCCACATTCACCCCATCTACATATACTAACCCCCAGCTCATCTCACACACCAACCAACCATGTGCCGCACAACCCTCACCAGCTATACTTTCTGCAAGCACACCACCTCCACCCTGAACCCATGCCCCCACCCCTCCCCCACCTGCCCAGACCAACACACCCCAGACGTACTCCAAGCCCCAAAGTGGTGCCCAACATGCGACCCCTGGAAGGGTTTCGATGCCCCCTCCCCTGCTCCCGCGCCGCTCGCAGCACCGAAAATACCTCGTCGTGATGGGGAGCCGCCGCCGTCTGTGCTGTATTGGGGGAGGGTGAGTCTGTATGATGTTCAGCGTAGGGAGAAGATTAAGAGGGGGTTGTTGGGGTGTGCGGTTGGGGGGAGGGTGGTGGGGAGGGAGTGGGGTGGTGGGGAGGAGGGGGAGGAGGAAGAGGAGGAAGAGGTGAGTGATGATGGCGAGGGGGAGGAGGATGTACAAGAGGGGTGGAGTAGACCGAAGTGGGAGCGGGGTGAGTTTTGGCGGGCTAGGGGGTCGCTGAGGGGGAGGGGAGGGAGGGAGGGGTTGAAGTATTATCAGGGACGGGGGGTCGAGGGTGCTGGGGATGCTGATGCGGTGGTGGAGGGACCTGTGGAAGCGCAGGTAGAAGTACCGGTTGAAATACGAGTGGAGGTACCAGAGGAAGTGCCAGTCGAGATACTAGAGGAAGTACCACCAGCCGAAATACCGCCAGTCGACATACCACCAGTCGAAGTACCTGTCGAAATACCAGTCGAAATGGTATATGAACAGGAAGAACAAATTGAAAAGGAGGGAGAGGGGCCTTGATTGTATTGGGGCTGTGAGAGGTAGAACACAGATGGAATGCCAGCAGATCATGTTGTTATGGCAAGGATTGGATCATAGTTGTTTACTTTGAGTATATGGCTGCATGACGCGTTATGATATCTGAAAGGCCCACGGACCGTTGAAAAAATACTGCGAGAAAGACGTACACCCTGTCAAACCAAAAAGAGATGACTATCAAACTCAAAAGAGTGTAGGCCTGAAATGGGAAGCCTCGATATGCCTTCTGTTGGTTACCTCGACCAACTTGCTAAGCGTCAGTAAGAAGGGGGTTGCTTGGTCGCAGTACCTTGATGAGTGTGATCCTGTGGGATGCCTACAGGCTGCTCGGAGGCAAGATCGTGCAATTCCACCGTGTCTGTCGACTTTCCGTTCCAAGCCCTGTGTTTTGCGATCATCATGAGAATGACAAAACTAAGTACCACGAAGAGATCGAGGATGAAGTCTGAAGCTACAACGCCTCGCCAGTCCGTTAACATGAACCGTATGTAGTCGATGCTGCGGATTAGAGCTATCAAAGTCCAGATGAACATGGAGCTTGTCAGCGCAACTACCCAACTAAGCAAAGCCTATTGTTTCGTTAGTTGGGGAGACGTTGTTGCTGTTGCTTGGGAACTTACACCGCCTGGCTGTCGCCTTGATCGCATGGAGAACGTCGACACTACCGAGAGAACGCCGGCGACTAGTACACTGAAAAAGTAGAGGGACCAGTACGCGACGTTGAGACTCTTGCTACGATCCCCTAGTACCTCCACCGAGGAGTAGGAACGATTCCCGGAATATGTCGCCTGTAGTTTTAGGACTTGGCCTTGAAGGGCAATGTTGCTGACAGTAAGAACGCCCATCAAGAACAGAATTGCGCATATGAGCCTGAAGATGTGAGACTTGCCCCCGAAGTGCTTGCGAAACATGTCGTTTAGAGTCAGAAGGAACACTACTAGAAGAAGGTATCGTGCAAATCCGACTAGAACGCTGGCCGTAATGACCCATCCATAATAGTTCTCGTCGGTCGTCGCCGTACATCCTAGAAGAACGGCCACTACGATGGAGGAAGCACTTCCGCTGATAGCAGTCAACGCGATGAACAAATGGGAAGCATGTCTTGGGCCTCAAGCACTCACAGGAGATAGAACAACACCGCGACGATGTAGAATCCTCCTAGTAGTTGCTTCCCTGCTCTAGTCTTTTTGCGGACCAAAAAAGAAGCAACGGAGATTCCAAGTAGGGCAAGGAAGAAAAACACGGCGCACGCGAAAGAGACCCGGTTGCTCGTGTCTGAGAAGGCACCAAAGCAGCCGGAAGGACTGGTGTACCCTCCTTCATTTCCATTGTGCCGTGGAGCCATTTGAGCACTTCGTCGACTTGACTTCCAAAGAGACCAAGACCATACGCCAAGATCGATTGAAAGTTCAAAGTCCATGGGAGTAGGAATTATAGCGAGAGAATTGTGTACAGAGCAGTATCGTACTGTTCAACAGCATCATGGCTCTTATATCTTGGTCGGTACAACGAGGGGTTCTCAGCACTGCCTCGTCTCACCTGCGTATGCACTTTGTTCGTCGAATCAGATTGCGACTGCCATTATACAAGGTTTGGGAGGCCTTAATCGATCTTACGAGGTCGAAGCGAGGAAGATGCGGGGAGGGAAAAATAGGGTTTATAAGTTACGACTGTTGGCACCATCAACTGGTATATCAGTGACATGTTGGTACTGGGAAACCGAAAACGCTGCTCCGATGTCCGGCCTCTTTCTTTGGCCGCATGCTGGTGCGAGAGACATCAGTCTGACAGTGCGTCGGTCGGGGTTGATCGTTGCGCAAGAACCGCATCTGGACTGCCAAGTTAATTGCCAAGTAGCTTGTTGGCATTTGGATCATCTGGGTGGTTTGCGAGGTTTACTACAGAAAAGAAGACTTGATAGAAACAAAGAGGTGACATGTTATGCTTCAAGGTAAATCTTGCTGTGTAAATAGTACGCTCTCTAGCATCTTGGCAATTTTGAAATTCGTGCTCAATAACTCGAATGGACAAAGGAGAATATCAAGGCTATGCCTCTTAATCAGACCGTTGTTGTTTTGGGTTTGTAGCGTATTCATGCTTGTTGTACAAGCAGATCGACGCAACACAGTACGAATCTAGTACAGTAACTCAGTGTAGAAGCTAATACCCAGACCCTTTACACACAGTAGATATCAGTGAGAGTACGCAGTGAGAGTAACAAAAAGCTGATCAACCGTCTCTTGACGACTTGCTGCTCAATGTACTGGCGCGGACGCGTGTTCGAGATCCCAAAGCAGACCGTTATATGAGTTATGTTAAGGCTTTATTGTTGTGTTGTTGTGCAAGTGTAATCGTCCAGCGTCTGAAACGCGACGTGGCTAAGGTATGACGTAGGTGCCCAATCGGGGAACGAGCCTCGGGCTTCATCATCCCTGTGGGTTTGTTGCGAACTCGCGACAGCACTCCAACCGACTGTTTGTCCGTTCGCCGGCTCTGTCGGATACTGAAAGGTCGCGTGCACAGGCAGATGATCCCGTAAGCTGCTAGCCATCTTACTCAAGCACCTCAAAAGCCACGTGTGAGATGTTATTAGTGATGTGTTCGTTTTCCACAGAATCCAGGAATTTCGTCACAGTTCCATCTCAAGAGGCGTCCACTTGAACGTTAAATAAGTACCTGGAACTAACACGCCTGACTCGGGACTTGTTCCCGAAATGTGTCACGAACCCACAATGGCGGCGATCAATATCGAAGGGGACCCGCCACAGCGAAGCAGCTCAAAGTCTAATTTAACATCGCTGACGAACGGTCAATCAACAATGTCGTACGCACTTCAAGGACTCACCGGCAGTCAGGAATCTCGTCACGACGGTTCATGGACACCAGATACCTCGTCCGAGATGTCGGATCCAGATGGCGCGACTCTACTGAAGCCTCAGTCGACAGAGGTCCCGTCAGGCGGTAGTACGCCCGCCATATCCTCGGACGCCGACAGCCTCGAAGTTTTGGACAACGAAGAAGAAAAAGAAGTGAACACTACCAAGCGCAGGAAGAGCATACAGGTTGTCATCGAAGAGTCGAGCAAGAAAGGAAAATACACTGTCACGACGAAGGACCCTGTTCTTCAGGATATTATGCTATCCGCCATGCATCGAGAGACCGAACAGCGCGGCGGGAAGCGGAATCACAGGTTTCGAGATCTCGCCTTCACCAAGCAGTTCACGACATTCGACCGTCAAAATCCCAGCGCATCGCAATCCCCCTTCCATGGCTTCTTTACACTATTCTGGATCGCGATGGTCTTACTGCTTGTAAGAATTGCTGCATGGAATTATAGGACTCTAGGCTCGGTTTTTGGGAGAGCAGAAATACTGCACCTGATGGTTGACCGCGATCTATTCGCAATGCTGGCTACCGATGCGTCCATGTGTGCTGCAAGTAGCTTTGGATTCTTCTTGCATCAGGGAATCGCCAAGAGCTATCTTACGTGGGATGGATCAGGATGGATTATCCAATCTGCCTGGCAGACATTTTTCACTGGGATCATAATATGGATCACGTTCTGGCGCGACTGGCCGTGGACGCACACCGTTTTCGTTGTGCTGCATGTATTCGTCTTGCTAATGAAGCAACACTCATATTCGTTCTACAACGGCTACTGTAAGCTGATAATCAGGCTGGATGATTCCCAAGCTAATGCATCCCAGTATCCTGCGTATACCGGCGGCGCAACCTCATCGAACAGAAACTGCGTCAATTAGACGGAATCAATGCACAAGAAAGCTCTTCGCCAAAATCTCCCGAGGCACAGATGCCAACTACCACCGGTAGTGATCGGCCCGGGCGCGATGGCCTTCTACAGCGCCGACAGAGTTATGGTCCCAAGCACTCAACAAATCTTTCCACAGAAGTATCAAAGATTGCAACCATTGGCCAAACTATCGAAGCTGGCAAGCCCCTCGATGCAGATCAAATCCAGGACTTTCGTCGCATCCTTACTACCGAGCTCACGATTCTCGACGAAGAACTTCGTGGCAAGTGTAAGACGCTCGACAATGCTTACCCGAAAAATCTCACCCTTTACGACTTTGTCGAATGGACCTGTCTTCCTACCCTCGTATACGAACTCGAATACCCCCGACAGGAACGAGTGAACTGGTGGTACGTAGCAGAAAAGTCGGCTGCAACCTTGGGAGTCATCTGGATCATGATCATCATCTCACAAGCATACATGTATCCTGTCGTCGTAGAAACGATCAGACAAAAAGAAGATGGGATGTCGCTCGATGAACGGTGGCAAGAGTTTCCGTGGGTCGTGGGCGACCTACTGTTTCCTATGCTACTCGAGCAACTCCTCGCATGGTACGTCATTTGGGAGTGTCTTCTCAACGTTCTCGCCGAGGTCACACGCTTTGCAGACCGCGGATTCTATGGCGATTGGTGGAACAGTGTGTCGTGGGATCAGTATGCGCGCGATTGGAACCGACCTGTGCACAACTTTCTGCTTCGCCATGTTTACCACTCGTCGATTTCCTTCTTTCGATTTTCCAAGTTGCAAGCAACATTCTTCACCTTCTTGCTCAGCGCAGTCGTACATGAGGTTTTGATGTTCTGTCTGTTTCAGAAGGTCAGAGGGTATCTGTTCACGTTTCAGTTGGCGCAGTTACCACTCGCGGCGCTGAGCAAGACAAAGTGGATGAAAGGGAGAGATACACTAGGAAACATCATATTCTGGTTCGGGTTGTTCATTGGGCCGAGTCTGATCACGAGTTTATATCTGATCGTATGACCTAGAAGACAGGCACATAGATATTGAACACGATAGGATGTGGATGTCGCGCGTCGAAGTACGGGCCTATGACATGTGATTATTAATTTCTCTCCTCACATTTATATGCTCCTCCAACACTTGTTGTGAGTCTGACATCTTCCACATTGAGAATATGACAGCTGGCAGATGATCTTCATAGGCGTTATGAGACGTGAATAACCTCTCTAGCGAATGATTATCCATGCTAGTGGTCATATATAAGAGGGTGTTCTCCCTTGCCGTTTTCCACTACACACTTAGCATTCTTATTCTCAAAAACAGCCTTCAAACGCTGCATAACTTCCCAGAGCCCGGAAAAAACGTCACTGGATACCATGCACTGAAGAATAACACGTTTGAAATAATCGACCACAAATTCATAGGTCTGGGATCTCGACGTCGAAGACATTTGAGAGCTCGCATGTATGTGTGCTTCAGTTTCTGGACTTTTCAAATCGCTTTCTACCCGGTCTATGGGGTCAACAAATCTTCTCAATACGCTCAAATCCAGTGGCGAACAAAAATATATGTATACTTTCCTGGCGGCGATTGAAGAATCTACTACGACTTTGCGTGCTTTATCAAAAAGCTTTGACAACATGATAGTGGAGATGGAAACTCCCTCAGCTTCCTAACAAAACATGCAAACTTTGAGCTTCATGGAGTGCTCGAAGTTATTGCGCAGTTCAATCGTCGGATCCCAAGATTCAGTCTCCTTACATGAGGTAGGGCAAACAGAGTAACAAAACGATTGAAGAGCTATCTTGGTGGTTTTCTCTGGAAAACTCTTCTCAAGATAGGTGCTGAAGAAGAGCATGTGTTGGGCAAAGACCTGCGTTGAGAACGGACATGTATCTTGCAGATGTCCAGAAATCCTGGTGTCCTTCCACGTCTTTTCCCTCAGCCTTGGAAACACAATTCCAAAACAGACATCTGGCAGTTTCATGTAGTACTTGAACACGCGCGAGAAGTTAAAGGGCATGTTACCTTCATCACATCACCTCGGAAGCCTGCCTGGATGATCGCATCAAATTGCGCTTCGTGTGCCACCGGAAACATCGAGGGGTGGAAGATTCTGTCACAACCGTCCCGAAGTCATCTCAAACAATGCGTTTTGCATTGCATGAAAGTAGAAATGCTCGGCACCAAAACATGTACGTATGCATAAAGATGCAATGCCGTCTGTAACATCCTCAACACCGCATCCCAACCGTCAACGTTTCACATCAACGACGACCAATTATCGCTTGCAATTCGACTAAGAAGAAAACTGAACATATCTCTAGTGTGTAGACGTTGCATAATGTACTGTAAACGCAGATGCGGCAGAGGCACGCGTGTTGTGTAAGGATAGGCCAGCGACAGATGCGAAGAAAAGCGAATAGCTTAGTATTTGAGAGGATATGCTCCCCGAACACTGGACAACAAACCGACTGTCTTTCTTTCATATCTCTCGATTATTTTTCGATCTTGTATGTCTTTCTTTGTACAATATGCCGTCATTCGCTTTTTGGAAAAGTACAAAACCAGATGAGACCAGGATATCGCTTCTCAGCAATGATGCAGCGGCCGTGGAGGAGGGTGATATAGAATTGTTCGTGCCGAAAAACCTCGATCTCGATCCAGGCAATGACGATTCTGGTATCTTTTTGTTCGACGATGAAGATAATTCCGAGTTGCCAATTTCAGAACATACACTGAGAACTGGGTCAGCAACTCAAACATCTGCAGAGTTCCAGCCTATCCCGGTTACACAAGATGCTGTCATCAACTTGTTGGATTGCGAAGACGTTGTTCTGGAGTCATCTACCCCATGCTTATCGCCGCCAGAACTCATAGCTCATACAATGTCTGATGCGACTAAGACAATGGACAACATACAACCAGACAAAGAAGACCAGATTTATCCAACACCACAGTCTCCATCTCTGCCTGTATTCTCGAACACTAGATCCTCTACCGATACCACAATGACAACCCGAATATTTGCGGCAGAAGAAATAGTCGGATCGAATACGGTTGGCCTGGAAGACGTACAGCTGCAGTCAGCGCTGACGAACGAACCTGCCTCGCCGAACCAGTTGCCCACGAATAATGCAGCTATTGTTTCATCCTCGGCATGTTTGGCGGCGGCGATAATTGAGAACGCTACCCTAGATTCAAGTGTCGAGGAATCAGAGATTTCCTTCTCTGACAGTCAGAATATTATTCCAGAGTCACAGCCTCCTTCTATTGCTTCAAGCAATGACGTTCGATCGCTATCGCGACCGTCGCTCTTTTTATCACGAAACGCCTCTTCAACCAAGTCGTCACCTTCATGCCAACGCACCAATTCTGCTTCATCCCTACGTCAACACACTGACTCCGTCGCACATCGCTTATGTCGACCTGCAGAGCTGAATCTTGGATTGAGCACTGCGGCTGATACATCGAAGCCGAGAACCGAACTCGAGAAAAGATACGAGGTGATCCGCAATTCCAAGACCCAGTCCAAAGCCGCTTTGCGTTCGCCCACCGACCTTCTGCAGGATCGCTTGAACATGTCTCGGAAGAAAATCGAGGAGAGAGTTCGCATCTTCACGCCTCCCAAGCCACTAATCAACGGATGCTTACTGCCCGGTCCAGGAGCGCAGATGGAAACTTTCACCAGCACATCGGTGCGTGCACAGACTGAAGCTGGGGGAAGACCAGCATGGTGGTGCAAGTTCGACAAGCTTGTAGTCTTCGATGGTATTGAGACACAGGCTGACGGCGAGCTGAAGATCCACACAAGAACGAGTAAGGGCCTGACTATTGCACGACGTCGTGGCGATATGGAGAGCATAGTCATCCCTATGGACTGCGTACATTGTCAGGAAATGTTAAATCGAAATGAGTGGAAGTACGATATGCGCGTTTGCAAGAGAAGTGTATGCTGGGACTGCAAGGAGAGGTGCAAGTGGGAGTTCGAAGAAGAAAAGAGGAAACTGGGTAAGGTTAAAATGACGGGTGTAGAACAAAAGACAGATGCAAACAGGTACAGAGCGGATAGTGTCTTGCAGGATGAACAAGGAATGGTATAAGAATCGGTGAGAAGGATGGTACTTTAGTAAGGACAAACTGTCAGCTTTATCGGTGCAGTTTATGGAATTGAAAAAAGAATTGGAAGGTGGAAACACACACATTGGAACAAAAGCAAAACTGCTCAAGGACATGTTCCATCTTTCCTTGTATATGCAGAAGATGATAGAGGGACAGCGAAGACAGCAGCTGAGGATAAGTCTGGACTTAGTACCATTCATAAAGCCGTTCGACATGATCAAGGTCTTCTATTGTAGTTATTGTCACAGGAAAAATAGCTTAATGACACGTCTAGTCAAGATCCATTGCATCATCCATGTACTCAAACGGGATATCGTCCATTTCCATGCCGTCATGAATGTACGACTGAGGCTGGAAGGGTTGGCTGGTGAGGACTGTGCCGTTTAGACCAGGGCTGTCATGTCCTTGCGTCACGCCGTGAGCATGTTCACACCCTGCAACGAGATTTTCAAGCATGAGCTGCAAGTCCAAGTCTTGAAGCTCGACGTTCTTACGAGACGTTTCGTTTTCAGATGTCCAGTTTGAAGTAGTGACTTTTTCGTCAGCGTCCTTCCAGGCGTTGCGGTAGTCCTTTGCTAAGCCAAGCTGGATGCGGACATCTTGCATCCCGAGTGATGCATGCAGTGGGCATTTCTCATCATCCAATGTTTCTAGCAGATTGGCGTGGAATGCATGTGAGGCCAACGGCCGTGTCCTGTGTAGATCTGGGTTTGTAATATATCGAAGGGCGTTAACATTGTTACGAGGGGCAGCCGCAGAAATGTCAACGCCAAAAACGCCAAGACAGACAGTGATGTAGCGTTCGAGGAGAGTATAGAATTCAAAGAAGTCCACTTTGAACATGGACTCTGCCTGCCTCTTCTTCAAGTCAATCGCTCTTCGTAAGAGCCTAGAAGTAGGGTGACCACTCACACTCAACGTATCCATCGCATGTTTATGGTGTGAGTCCTCGTATCCGTTCTGCTGGCTTAGTGCCTGCGAGATCTCCATTGCCTTGCCGTAAGAGACCATCAGCAGCTCCGCCTTCCATTTCAAGCGCCCCAACAACCGTGTCGCTCTATCCTTCTCCTGCTTCAATCTCTCCGTTCGCGACTGCGCTAAGCTTTCGAGTGGTGTTTTCGGTGCGTATTTCGATGTCTTCATTGTGAATTGTTTATGGTTAATAAGTGGTGGTTGCGTGTGGGATGAGTCTCGGCGCGCGACGGACAACAAGAAGTTAGAAATATGATTCCAAATGTGAGAGACGAAGTAGAGAACAAGAGATATTTATCGCAGAGGAACCAACTGCTTCCATGATGAAGCATAGCAGTTCGTGCATTGTGCGTGAACGTGAACAAGAACAGTGCAGTTTGTCGTTGCAGAATTGTGCACCACCAAAAGCCCCGTATTGTGTGAGCTGAGTCAGCTTGCGCAAACTTCGCATGTTGTTCGCTCTAAGATATGCAGTTGCCTACCAAACATACCGTTTTGAGTACAGGAATGAAATTTTAAGGCGGCATAGATGAATCCAGCGCAATCACAAGCACGTGGTGACGTGATAACGCGTTTCTGCCTAAACGCGAAGTCCCGCTTAGGTTAGTCCCATCGTGGTTGCCTTATCCCATTGACCATTACCCAGCACGTAGTGTTGATTAAATACCCATCAGGTCTCTATTCGACTTCACATCTCATCACTTCAACAGTCGGCACAATGGCGCTCTCAAATCGCAAACGGTCATCGTCAAACTCCCTGGAGCCATCATCCAGCTCGAATCGACCCCAGAAACGACAAGCGACGAAGTCTCGTAATACTAAAAAAAGAAGAAACGACGAGATCAATACCGATCAAGTTACTAGTGAGAACAAGTCCGGTGTCTTCAAAACACCCAAAAATCCGTATGCAACTCTGGGAGGACTACCATCTGAAGTATGTAGCGTCACACTCAAGCAACAACATAACATCTAACATAACGAAGCTGCGTCTTCGGATCTACCACTACCTCAGCGACTCAACAATTATTCATGTGCACCGGCATAATGCTACCGATGATACGAATGCACGATATACCTGGACACCATGTCGTCTACCGAATCCCACGTGCCCCCTCCTCTGTGCCAACCCAAAATGGTCAGGCATGTGTGCCGAAGAAGACCGTTGCACCTACAAATTTCAGAGTCCCCCAGAGCCACGAGGTTTCTGGGCGATGGCGGAGTCATGCAAGTTCATTCGCGATGAAACCCAAGAGTTCTTCATACGAGACAATGTGATATCCATCCATCCAGAAAACCTTCCAGGCTGGCTCAATCATCTTGCCCGACACAACCCCAAACAAATCGAGCATTTAAGACGTGTTACGCTCGCCGGCTCTAACGACCAAGGACATCTTTCGCACCAATGCCTTGGACTTCTGCGCGATCGCGTCCCTAATCTCGAAGGCGTTGGCGTCCAATCCAAACAACCTTTCTGGCGATGGATTCTCCCGGCAGTAAGCCGTTATGATGACGAAAATATTCGAGTGAAAGTCGATGCCTGGCGTAACTGGAACACGATACAGGACATATATAATTTCAAGCCTGCTGTTACGATTGCCCTTGAAGCTACGGTGTGGCGGAAGTATCATGCAGGTACTCCCAATATCAAGGAACAACAGTTTACAGTGGGTATCATTCGCGCAGGAACGGATTCAAAGGACGAATCAGCTAGTGGTGGAACCTTACCGTGGACAGATGAAGATGTGCAAATTGAAGTCAAACTATCAGGCGATTTGTTTGCGGCTAAGAGAAATGCTGGTTGGCGACAATGGTGGCGTGGGAAAGAGTTGCACGGTTTCATGTGAAGACTTGACTCTAAACGCATTAGTCTATATACGAACAGTTGTTTTTGAGTTGTACCAGGGATTGGAATTCCTCTAGATGAGCCTTGTTGCCTTTCGATGCACAACACAAATAATGATTCCTCCTCGACTATCCGAGAACGAAACACATCTCCCTGCTAGTTTCCCCTTTTTAGTTATACAGAAAGAGAATGAGGCTGTGAGCGTAATGGTGTGACCTTAAGAGCTTCGCTTCACCCTGACGTCATCTTGACCAACTTAGATAAGTCCATAGTAGTGACCACGATCCGACGGGTCCGCTTCCACTGTCCGCGCCCAGCAGACTATAACTGCACGCTTTAGCTACTCTGGATTAATCAATGACAGGTGTTAACAATGTCGATATCAAGGGACGATAAGCTGAGCCCTGGCGCAAGACTCCTGCGAGATCTCACGAACCCGCTTCCTACGCAGTTTCGTCCAGAAAGAGACAGTGGCACAGAGGTGTACAGACAGCGCAGCGAAGAAATGCAGAACCCAAATAGCAAGAGAGGGAGTGCGGTGAGCGGGCAAGATGCCAGGCGCTCCGCGAATGGATATATGCCGGTACGTTGGCCATGTGGGATGCGTATAGCTTCATCTGGGTAACTGACCATGCACGAGTAGATCGAGGATTACGGGCTCATTGGGAACATGAGAACCTGCGCTATGGTTGGGACTGATGGCGGACTAGATTATATGTGTTGGTGTGTTGATTCATGATTATGGACACCACGCGTCTAATATTGACGCGGAAATAGGCCTCACTTTGATTCACCGTCAGTTTTCTGTCGCATATTAGACAAAGACAAGGGTGGACACTTCACGATCAGTCCTGCCGGCGAAGACCCCTGCACGACAAAGCAAAGCTATCTCCCCGCCAGCAATATCCTGCAAACGCGATATTTGAAGGAAGAGGGGGTTATGAACGTGGTCGATTGTATGTCAGCCTTTAAATCTGTGCCATCATATTTTGCATTATACAAGCAAAGATTCATGCCTCAGTTCAGAACTTTGCTGACCATATCATAGTCTTCCCACGTCCAGACAACAAGGCTCTGGACGCACAATATCATGCAAATGTAATTGCAAGTGACAACACTGGCAATGTGGCGGAACGACCGGATTTGAAGAAGTGGCTGGTACGGAGAGTCGAATGCATGCGTGGGGAGGTCGATGTAAATGTCGAGATTATCCCAGCCTTCAGTGAGTTGATTCTATATCCCATACTAGCAGCGATACCTAATCATCCCATAGACTATGCACAAGACAAACACAAAACTGAAATCGTTGATGTTGACGATCCTGCTAAACAGCAAAAGCAACACCAGAGCGTTGTCTTCAGGTCCGAGAAATTGGCTTTGGAACTCAACGCAACGATCGATTGCGGGGAGGAAGAGGGTGATGCCTGTCCAAGCGTAATATTCAAGAAGAACTCGACGCTTTCTGACCTTGGAGACGGAATCAACATAAGTTTTCGCCTGACCGAGGGACAAGCCGTCTCATTTATTATTCGGGATGCAGACGATCATGCCCCTGATCATATCGATACCGCAATGGTCGATGAGCTGCAGATGAGTACCCACAAATACTGGTCGAGATGGATCAAGGGATGCAAGTACATGGGGCGTTGGGCAGAGGTGGTTGCGAGGAGTCTGTTTCTCTTGAAGATGCTGTCGTTCGAGCCGACCGGAGCGATCATCGCAGCACCTACATTCTCCTTACCCGAAGATATTGGAGGTATGTATGATCAGATGTCTGCTTAACTATAAGCTCACCAGATGCTTAGGTTCTCGGAATTGGGACTATCGCTACTCATGGGTTAGGGACTCATCGTTTACGATCTACATCTTCCTTCGCATGGGCTTCAGTCATGAAGCAGAGGCTTATACGAGCTACATCTTCCAACGTGTCAAAGAAGCCAAGGCACGACATGGCGCGTTGCCCATCATGCAAGTTTAATCCACAAGTCAACACAATTGCGCTCGCTGACACCGAAAAGGTTCACCATTTGGGGCGAGACAGATATCCCCGAGACTGAGCTCGAACATCTAGACGGTTATAGAGGTAGTAAACCTGTGCGAATCGGCAACGGTGCAGCTTTCCACATACAGCTCGACATATACGGCGAGCTACTGGACGGTATCTACCTTGTCAACAGATTCGGACGACCCATCACATACGATCAATGGCTTTCTGTCCGAGAAATCGCAGACTACGTCTGCACCATCTGGAAAGAGGAAGACATGTCGATCTGGGAAGTACGAGGGAAGAAACAAAACTTCGTCTACAGCAAAATCATGCTATGGGTCGCTCTCGACCGAGCTCTTCGACTGGCAGACAAGAGAAGTTTCCCCAGCCCTAACCGAGCGGAATGGCTACGTGTTCGGGACGAGATATGCGAAGAGGTCATGGACAAGGGGTACAACCAAGAGCTGGAGTGTTTTATACAGAGTTACGAGGCAAGGGATGTGCTGGACTCGGCGGTGTTGATCGCGCCCTTGGTGTTCTTCATTTCGCCGACAGACCCTCGTTTCACGAAGACGCTCGACCGTATCTTGAAGGCACCGGAGAAGGGAGGCTTGACGAGCACGGGTCTTGTCTATCGATACAACTCCACAAAGAGCGATGACGGCGTGGGAGGTCGTGAGGGCGCCTTTAGCATGTGTACCTTCTGGCTTGTGGAAGCCTTGACAAGAGTGTGTACCCTTCTTCCATCTCAATTTGGCGAGTTTACTAACATGAAATAGGCGGGTGCATATGACGAGAAATATCTGCTGCAGGCGGTTACTATTTTCGAAAATATGCTGAGCTTTGGCAACCATTTGCACATCTTTTCGGAAGAGATTGCACGTTCGGGAGAGCAGTTGGGTAATACACCGCAAGCTTTCAGCCATTTGGCCTTGATATCGGCGGCTTTCAACTTGGATAAGACTTTGAACGCAGCGCGAGGGATCTAATTCGGAAGAGTAATACGCGCATCCACGAAAGAGTTGACTGATTTTATAGAAGCATATTAGACTGCATGGTCTGAGAGGTTTTACTAAGATGTATTAGTCATAATGGTTTGTAGAGCATGTTATGCCAGTCCGTAAAGAAGGCGGATGGACTGTACATCCAGCAGGTACAGTATCACAGTAAATCAAATCCACAAGGTTCTTTGTCAATGCGATCACTTCTAACTCATGCATCATAACAACACAACACCCTGAATTACTATGGGTCCTCATACTCCTCCTCAAGGAAACATCGGCCCGCATGTAAGCACATGTCTTCTAGCTAAGACAAGAACCTGCGCACTACTAAGACCAAACTGCGTTCCGATGAACGATAACCGCCCAAACAGCCAATCCCTCTGCAACTGCGGCACCGTCTCCGCGTTCGCAGCAACATACAATGGCCAAACGAGCGAGTACCCGCCAAAAGCTTCAGCAGCTATTCATTGTCAGTAAAAAAGGCCATCCACACGTGCGATGCGGTACAACATACCATTCTGCTCCTGGCCCATCTCCCGCGCTAACGGCTGCAAGTCGTAGCTCATGTGGAACGGTACACACGCACTGATATCATCCACCATCTGTTGTATGATGAACACGCTTCGCCCATACGCCCCATCTTCATCCCAGTTCCCCGTATCTCCAAAACCGAGCCACGTCACGCACGCCATGATGACGCGCCGGCAGAAGATACGACACACACGGTAGTCGTTCATGATACTTGCGAGTGGCACGTCGTGGTACACATGCTGTTCACCCGGCCACTTCTCCACCAGCGTGATGTCTTCGGTAGCGGCGGGTATCTCGCTGACCACGCCGATGATGTGGTGTTTCCATTCTGGGGGTAGTGTGCGATACCACTCCTCTAGGTTGCCGTCGACCATTTGCGCAAAGTCGAGGATTTGCGCGGCCTCGCTCTCTTGGGTGGGGTTGTGGGGTGTGTTGGTGAGGCGGTTGGCTCGCGCCCGCAGATTGGGGAGGTCGATGCATATCAAGGTTAAGCGGTTAGCGGCGTTCAGATCTCCAATAGGTTCTATCCAGCCTTCAGTGCCGGGAAATGTGTCGATGGGTTTTGAGCGTTGGACGCAGCTTGTTATCTGAGCGTGTTAGGAGGTGTCTTGCTGTTGAGAGGATCGTTCCAAGGAAAGGACATACCATCATTGTCCGTACTGCACGGAACATGGCGAGAGACATCGGGTCGCTGAATTGGTCTGTACCTCGCAACTTGGTCAGTGCTACAGCTCCATCTACATGGTTTCCCCATGCAGTTATTGTGTCGTCTGTTGACATTATAGTCTACATCTGGTCAGCTTCATCTTCATATTTCGTAAAATAGTAACATAGGACTACTGGGCTTTTGCAAACCCGAACGAGTAGCTTACTTCGTATAGGGAGAACATCAGCACTGCAAGCACTGTCTCGTTAGACCTTGACTTCGCCGAGTCTGCAAGGTCCACTTTCAGCTTCTTCAACGCTCTGCCGTAGGTAGACACGGCTTCACGGACTAAGCTCTGTCTTCCAGGATATTGTCCACATGTCGCGAGAGCCACAGCACTTGTGGCCATGTGCAAGACGGAAGAGGGACGCGCCCGATTATACAGAGGTACTAGGTATTCAAGGTACCCTCGCGTACTCTCCGCTTGCTGAGGTAGTGTGATGAAGTTCTTGAAGAAGAACGGAATGGCTTCACATTCTGGAGCCAGGATAATGGTGGGCGGGAGCGCCTGCTCGATATTCCAGAGGAAATCTTGAAACGTCTCATAATTTGGTGGTGTTGTGTATGAAGAGAAGGTTATGAGTTGTCCATCCTCTACATCTGATGATGTTTGAGATGTAGGTGTTTCCACTTGGTATAGGCTTGTGTCAGGCGTAGTCTCGAAGCTCGGGCGTGGTGAACTGTTTGGGTTAGCGGTGGTTCGTGACACTTTCACATGCAAAGCTATGCAATGTGGGTCATTGCACTTTCAGGAACGGCAAACTTTGTCTGTCCCAACACCCAACGACAAGCAACCGCTTGAGGAAGCTTGTTTCGAGGACCCACAAGCCGTATACACTTGGATTGGAAGCAAGGATTGGAGTGGAACTCACGAAAGTGGAAAAACATGCGAACTGAAGCCAATTGTGCTGCTTCTTGGAGGCGAAGACGTTGGAGCTGCGACCTTTCTCGCCTTGCGCGCCATTGCTTTATTCTCATCTCGGAAGACCAGGTCGAATTCGTCTGGGTACCCTGGACACGCCCGGCCCGACTTCTTACAGTTCCCACATGTTGGTCGTTTCTCGTCGCACTGTACAGGTTAGCAAGGACAACGACGGCGCTCGAACGACCCGGGAGACGGGTTGCCGCCATCACAGACTAATACATAAACATCCCGAACGAGGAAACATACCTTTATCCTACGACTCTTACACATACCACACCCGCGACTAGGCTTGCCCGTATAAACCATTCTGCTGTCAGACGTCCAAAAAAGGAAAAGCAGAACGTAACAGACGCGTAGCACTCGATCGACACAACAACAATCTGAAAGCCTGAGCTGGTGCTTCTGATATTGATCTTTCCGAATAGCGGTTTGTTCGTTATTGAAAGGACTCAAGCACTCCGCCTCCAAAGCCTACGACTACCATGAAGCCTATACTATCACCACGTTCCAGTAGCCCCTTGAACCCTCCAACTGTCCACTAGGTTCGCAACGAGCGGGACGGCTACCGAGGCACGCGAACTGCTTGTGAACCTTGACGTATTCGTAGGCGTTGCTATCTAGCGAATCGCAGGCCAGGGAGGGGAGGGAACAGCCTGTGGGCGATGAATGCAAGACGGGGGAGCAGGCCGTAAGCCTATGAGGAGTGAGGAAAATCAACGACGGTGATAAGGGTTGCATGTTTTAGGATGGCAGAGCCATTGCGTTGCGTGAGGGCTCATGGTTGTGTTTGGTGGTGGTTTACAAAATTCTCGCAACTTTTACCAGAATAGGCTTAGTCTAACGCTCCCACGTTCTGGCGCAGCGCTCCTTCCGGTGATCTGATAGGGAGGCTGCACTAGAAAACGTTCAAAAAGTGTTGCCTGATATGTGACGAGCAAGTAACGTGTGACATTGACGTATGAGCGATTCTTCTAGAATCTTTAGACAAAAGATGACAGAGTTGGCAAGATGGCGACACGTTCTGTTCGTGATTGGGCTGCAACAATCCAGTATCAATTTCTTGACTTGCTTTCCTGTGTGACCCTCGCTGATTCGCACTTGAGTTGAACCTGGACCGTGGATGAAGCATGCCTGTTCCTTCTCTCTCCGTGCAATGAAACTCACGATGGAGAGTGCCCTCTGATCAAATATCGTCATCTTCTCATATTCCAGACGCCTTTCAATGCCGTAAAATCCATAACGCCTCCCAATGCATGATCTTTATTACCCGGCCTAGATAGCTTCGAGTTCAAAATCGTCCAGCTTGTCACGGTACTTCATGATATTCCTCTTGATCTTGGAAGAATCCACCCAAGTCACAAAGTCCTCCATGTTCCTGGATCTCGTCAGCATTCGTTTCCCTACTCAACGAATGGGAAACAACTTACCTCGTCACAAGATACGCCGGATCCGTAACAACATCCGTCCCGACCCTCACATGCCCTTGCTCAATCATTTTGATTGCGCCTTGGATATGATCCGCCATCCTCAATCTTGTCATCACGACTGGTAGTCTCCGCCTCGCAAACGCGCTCACAGTAAGCTTGTGCTCGACATCGCTCAGCTTGCCCCTGCCTCCACCGCCTGTACCCAATATCCCCATATCGAACATTTTCTCTAGCAGGAGGTCTTCGTGCTTCCGGCGGAAGGGGTCTGAGGGGTCGAGGTTCGCGAGACGGTGCGCGAGTTGGCGCAAAGAACCGCACAGTTGATTGTACTTGCGGTAGTCGTCGCGGCCTTGAATGGCATAGCGGCGCATTACTGAGGCTTCGCGGTGGTCGGCATCGGATTTATAGGTGTTGAAGTCGACCTGAAATGTCAATTCGGGTATGCGATGCAGTGCAGGGAAATGAATACCTTCTTGAGCAGCTTTTGCTCATGGTGCTTGAGTTTCCGCACCATCCTGGCGGTGAAGTAAATTCGCCTTATTACTTTATGGGAGAACTAGGGGTGCGGGACGCGTCGAGCTGTCCTATGGTGGTGGTTGTGGAGAGGTATGGTCTTCGAGGCGTGCATGTTCAAAAAGTTGAAGCTCCGAGCATTTTCCGCGACGCGCTAACGTGGAACGAGATTAGCACTTCCGTCATATCATGCCCCTCCAGTGACTGGCAGCGGGGCCCAAAATTTACCATTGATTGAGTCAAGATTGTGTTTCTCGAGGTTCTCTACGTCCTTTCTCTCCATCTACTATATTTCTCGCCATGCCGACCGTTCACCTACTCGACTACGTCGCGGGCAACGTTCGCTCACTCGTCAATGCCATTGAGAAAGTCGGCTACACGGTGGAATGGGTCAAGTCGCCCGCCGACGTGCCTTCTGCAGATGTACGGCCTTCTCCGTCTGCGCATTTACATCTCAATTGACGTGTACTGATGTAGTTTTGACCCTAGAAACTCATCATTCCGGGCGTCGGCCACTTCGGCCACTGTTTATCACAGCTCGAGGCTGCTGGCTACATAGAGCCAATCCGCGAACACATCAAAGCCGGGAAACCTTTTATGGGAATATGTGTTGGTATGCAGGCGGTGTTTGAAGGATCGGAGGAGGACCCGCAAGTCAAGGGACTAGGATTGATTCCCTCGCGGTTGCGCAAGTTCCAGGACACAGACAAGAGCGTGCCGCACATCGGATGGAACAGCGCCAATACGTCAAGGCCTGGCCAAGTTACTGATGAGTCACTGTACGGACTACGGCCAACATCAAAATACTATTACGTTCACTCGTATGCTGCGCTGTATGAGGAGGGCAAGTTGGAAAAGGAAGGCTGGGCCGTTGCAACAGCACGATACGGCGACGAGGAGTTCGTGGGCGCAGTAGCCAAGGATAACGTTTTCGTAACACAATTTCACCCTGAAAAGAGTGGTGCCGCAGGTCTGCGCGTCATGAAAGCATTTCTGGATGGAAAGCGATCGCAGAAGCTACCAACGACACCTTCAGCATCCGCAACAAAAGAGGGCCTCACACGTCGTGTCATTGCATGTCTCGACGTGCGCACAAACGACCAAGGAGACCTCGTAGTCACAAAAGGCGACCAATACGATGTGCGAGAAAAGGCTGGCACAGGCAACGCCGTCCGTAACCTAGGGAAACCCGTCGAGATGGCGAAAAAGTACTACGAGCAGGGCGCCGACGAAGTCACGTTCCTCAACATCACATCCTTTCGCAACTGCCCCGTGGCCGATACACCGATGCTCGAGATCCTACGGAAAACTAGTGAAACAGTGTTCGTCCCCTTGACAATCGGTGGCGGCATTCGCGACACTGTTGACACAGACGGAACTAAGATCTCCGCCCTCGACATCGCGACCATGTACTTTAAGTCTGGCGCAGACAAGGTGAGCATTGGCTCCGACGCCGTTACCGCCGCAGAGGAATACCACGCACATGGGAAGAAACTAGCAGGCAACACGGCAATAGAAAGTATTTCCTCTGCATACGGCAACCAGGCGGTCGTCATCAGCGTCGACCCAAAACGCGTATATGTCTCCTCCCCAGACGCCACACCACACCACACTATCAAGACCAAAACTCCAGGCCCCAACGGCGAGGAATACTGCTGGTATCAATGTACCATCAAAGGTGGGCGCGAGGGTCGTGACTTCGACGTGCGCCAACTTGTCACAGCTGTCGAAGCCATGGGCGCAGGCGAGATCCTGCTCAACTGCATAGACAAGGACGGGAGCAACAGCGGCTTTGACCTTGAGCTTATCAACGACGTCAAGGCTGCCATCAAGATCCCGGTCATTGCGAGTAGTGGAGCGGGGAATCCAGGACACTTTGAGCAGGTCTTTGCAGAGACCCGGACGGATGCTGCGTTGGGGGCGGGCATGTTTCACAGGGGCGAGTATACGGTCAAGCAGGTTAAGGATTGGCTGCAGGACAAGGGGCAGATTGTTCGACCTTTCGAGGCGGATGTGTAAACGCGGATGAGCTTCGATGGGTTGGAAGAAATATGTTTAGATTCGTGACCCATCGTTCAACGCATATCTGTTCAACGCCATGCTTTTTGGTATAATCCCCAACGCCTGCCATGCTTGCCCTTGTGACACACCCCAAACGCCCAATATGCTACTATCGTTCTCTCATTTTAAGATCAGGCCAGGTCTAGCTAAAGTGTATGCCTTCTTGATTAAACGCATACAGCAGCTTCAAGAAGTCGCCCTCGTCACACAAACGCGCCCGCTTATCCGCAAGCTGCGTATCATCCTCGAGGACCTTCCTGACCTTCTCACGCACCAACTCGCTGACCCTGCCCTTCTTCTTGCGGTTCGCGCCATTCACTTTCTTGGACGCTTGTAGCTGCTTGAAGAAGTCGGGGAGGTCGTCGTCTGGGTCGTCTGGGTCGGAGAAGCCCTTGAACTCGTCGTCGTCTTCGACTTGGTCGACGTCCATGGTTTCTGCTTCCACGGCGGAAGGGTCGAGCGGTGTGTCGTCGACGTCGATATTGTTCTGAGCGCAGAAAAGGCGGTAGTTGCTCGCTAGCAGCTCGAGCACGGCTGCGGTGCCGAGAAAAGATGCGCGAAGCGTTCTGTTCTTGCGCACGAATGCGATGCGCAGCAATCCATCCCACTCCTCGTACGCGATCTGCGGCCGTGGGAACTTGGGCTCGATGCGCACGACGTTGCTCTCGACTAGCGGCGGCGGGTTGAAGTTGTTGCGCCCGACTTTCATGATGTGGCTGACTTTGGCCCACATTTGCACATTTACGGACAATCTGCTGTAGAGTTTCTCGCCGGGTTTGGCGAAGAGGCGCATGGCGAATTCGCGTTGAAACATGAGTATGCAGCTCCGTGGCGGGTTTGGCAGGGAAAGCAGCTTGAAGACCAAGGGCGAGGAAATCTGGTACGGTGTGTTGGAGATGCACACGTCGAAGCGCGGTAATTCTGTTTTTATCACATCGCCGAGCATCACTTTGAGTCTCTTGCCCTCGGGCGTGCCTTGCACTCGTTTTGTCAACTCGGCGGCCATACGCGGATCCATCTCCACGGCTGTGACTGATTTGGCAGCCTTCAATATCAAGACTGTAAGATTGCCGGTTCCGGGACCGACTTCAAGGACGTGGTCGGACTGTTTCAAATGTGCCTTCTGCACAATTGCGCTGGCGACACCAGGGTTCTTGAGGATATGCTGGCCGAGGTCTTTGTCCATTTTGAATATTGAATGCGCGGCGGCGGCCTTGGACGAGGGTTTCGCATAGGGCGTGGCATCGGGGGCACCCGAGGTGCGCTTTCGTTTGTCTTTTGGCATTCTGGCGGTCGTATGTGGGGGAGCAAGAATGGAAGCGGCGTGTCGAAGCTGTGGTGTTGGAATTTTTGGTGTCGAAGTCTTATCGGCCGATAAGAAATTTCGTGGGATTGACTCGTGCACGTGAACTGGCGTCATTTGACGCGTGACGTTTGATTGAGCTTCGCGCTGTGGCGCGCGAACTGTCAATTCCCATCCGAAAAGATCTCCCTGCAGGATAGTTTCATCCCTGACGTTGCTGCCAGTAGAAACGTTGTCCCGGGCCAACCTTGAGTTCGCCTTGCTCTTCCATTTTGGACACACAATCTCTAGCTGTATGCGACCCCTTTCAGAACTCTTCTATTGTCATCTACACGCTCTTTTCCCATTCAAGACCTCGTTGCGCCCTGCCTTTCCCGTGTGTACGCGCGCCTTCTCTCATCTAGTAGAGCCGCGAGTCACGCTACAATCACCCGCGTTCTGTCGCAACATCCAATTCAACTACACAGCCAAGCATCGTAAGCTACACTGCTCAGCTCTTGTCACCCCTGTGATCTCTGGACATCCATCGCCCCGCCGGGACCCACGCTTGGAGGCTGTGATTACTACTGGATCAATTCCATTGCGAAGTGAAGCTCGCTCTTACCTTCACAATATTTCATCAGAAAGCCTACCTTGGCAAGTCTCACCTCGCCGCCGACAGTACCACCTGACTACAAAGTCTACGTCTGCCCCTTACCACACATCACCATACACTACGCTCGCCTCACCTACCCTACCAACCAACATAATGGCGAAGAAGATATCCGACACGTCCTCCGAGTCGTCGCTCTCGCCTCCTCCTGAAGGACTCAGTGCGCTTGCTGAGAAGGCCACCGTCCAGACCACAGCGAAAGGCACAAAGAGAAAGGCAGAGGCCATTGTCACCAAGACTACCAAACGTACCAAGAAAACTGCAGTCGAGGATGGTACCAAGGAAGCTGCTATCGCTAGCACTAATGAGGTACCTCGAGCCAAGCGGGGCGCGACGACCAAAGTGAAGTACGAGGAGACTGTCGAAGAGGAAGAAAAGGCAAATGGTGTGGTGACCAAAGCCGCCACGGTCAAGAAAACAGCTCGTACAGTCAAGAAGAAGAACGTGAAGGATGCGCCTCCGCTCGAGGAGCGCACGAAAGACTCCAAGCTACGAGTAGGAGCCCACGTCAGTACCGCGGGAGGTGAGACCAAATCCATTCCTAGTTTCATTTGTGAGAAGAGCACACGCTAATATGGAACGGCCGGGCGAAAATTAGGTGTACAGAATGCCATACCCAATCTGATCCATATCGGGTATGTTACAGTCTTTTCTTTGTGTCGACTACTCATCCAGCTCCGGGACAACAAGCTAACTTCTCCAGCGGCAACGCCTTCGCTATGTTCATGAAGAACCAACGCAAATGGGACAATCCTGCAATGGATCCCGAAGCTGCCACAACATTCATCAACGCCTGCGAGTTGCATCATGTTGAAGTCGGCGATTGCTGCTTACCCCACGGCTCATATCTCGTCAATCTGGCGCATCCTGACCCCGAGCGCAAGAAGCAAGCCTACGACGCTTTCCACGACGATCTCGTACGCTGCCACAAGCTTGGTATCAAGCTTTATAATTTCCATCCAGGCAATGCAAACGCTACCACACGTGAGGAGGGCATCAAGCTCATTGCTGAGAACCTCAACCAAGCTCATAGTGATCCCGCCACCGGCGAAGTCATAACTGTCCTTGAGACTATGGCGTCGCTTGGGAATACGATTGGTGGTACTTTCGAGGACATTGCTGCTATCATCGAGCATGTCACCGATAAGAGCCGGGTGGCTGTTTGTCTCGATACTTGCCACGTCTTCGCTGCTGGCTATGACCTCCGCACTCCAGACGCGTACGCAGAGACAATGGCGAAGTTCGACAAGATCATCGATCTGAAGTACCTCAAGGCTTTGCACATCAATGACAGCAAGGCTCCTCTGAGTAGCCATCGCGACCTCCACGCCCGCATTGGTACGGGGTATCTCGGTCTCCGCGCGTTCCACAATATTGTCAACGATGAGCGCCTCCATGTTCTGCCCATGATTCTTGAGACTCCCAATGATGTCGTCGGCGAGGACGGCAAGAAGTTCGAGGACAAATCTATTTGGGCTCGCGAGATCAAGATGCTTGAGAAGCTTGTGGGCATGGACGTCGAGAGCCAGGAGTTCAAGGACCTGGAGGCCAAGTTGCACGAAGAAGGTACCTCAGAGCGTGAGCGCGTCGGCGACCAGGTCGACCGCAAGCAAGCTAAGGACACTAAGCCAAAGAAGCAGGCTAAGGAAGCCAAACCAAAGAAACAGGCTAAAGAAACTAAGCCGAAGAAGACAGGAAAGGGCAAAAAGAAGGTTGAGAGTGAAGACGAGGATGATGACGACGAAGAGTGAGCTGAAGGCGAGAAACGAAGGCGATGAGAAGCGTCCTCAGTTATCACCCAGAGGTATCTACTGGACGACACTCAGTCCAGGGATGAGGGAGTTGGCAGTGCAAACTCAAATTTACACCTGACGCCTCCATAAAGATTCAACAACTTGGTTGGATCCTGCACCAGTGATGGCATGCAGTGGGAGACAGAAGAGAATATATCTAGGGCGTTGGATGCCTACGAGTGTGGCCCATAGCTAACAAGATTTGGTTTTTGGACGATGGGTGCATCTGGTTTCACATTTTGGTTCTCGACTCTGTATTGACTTCTGGAGACACTCTCTTCCGATGCCCAATCTCAGCGGACATCTTCCGACTTTAGCATTACGAATCAGAAACCCGTTAACCGAGTGCATGGCTTCCTGTCTTTTAGCATCTATTCAGGCCCCCTCTACCATCCCTGCTGTTTCGATGCCTCACCGTCACTCAACAAGCCTTAACACGATGACATCTACCCGTCTTATGTATACCATGCCGCCAGGTACATGTAGCGCATTTTTCTATTGCTGACATGCATAGACTCATCGTGGGGGCGATAACCCAACGCGCCACCTACGGAATCGGATCGGGCCTTGCAGGATTCTCGATCTCTTAGCACTTTTCTTCGGGCCATATGACGGTCGACCGCAGGAATCGAAGTGCATCATTCAGATGCGGCTTAAATGCATCGCTACGCCACAGTACGCCCGTTGAGTTTTCACTTTTCACGTTGCAGGTCCAGGGGTTGACTGGTCGATTCTCGTGCATGCTCTTTCTATTCATACATTGCTGTCTTGTAAAGGCGTTTATAATCATGTAAAACATACTAATACTAAGACATGGCGGAGAAACACAACAAACCAAGATAAGTTGATCATCGTCATGCGATCATGTCAATACAGTCTCGTCTCCACTCTAGTCCTTCCCTTACGCAATCCCGCACCTCAGCTTACATTCCGCACTACCTGCAACAGCGCCAGTTCCCACGTCTGGGATTGATTCCCCCAGATCCTCAGTATCGAGACCCGCATTTCCGAAGGCCGCCTGAATGATATCCCGAGGGATAGTCCAGAGGCTATTAAGGATATTGAGCGTGCCGCTATCCTCGCTGTTCAGCGCGCTGATGAGAACCGAGGGTTCGCAACCTGTCACACCATGAGTTTCCATGTCAAAGAAGAGGAATGTAGGTCAAAGACATACCGTTGTTCTGCATAACATGCAGACTCGCCCTCGGGAAGATCGTCATCCGCATGGGTATCAGATTCACCTTGACTGTCCTCACCCCGTTCTCCCCAATCATGTAACTAGTCGTGTTCCCCGAGATGGCAGTGACGAGATTCGTCGCCCGTGGGTGCAGATGCGGGGGCAGCATACTGCATGGCCCGAGTGTCAGCAGCGAGATGCTGATGCCCTGACCCGCGAGGGCAGGGAATGTGGCTGCGTCGGCGGCGATGACACTGCCGACCGTACTGTTGTAGTAGGGGTGCTTGAAGAAGTCATAGTACCAGTCTGAGTCAGCGGGGAGGAGGGTATTGCGGTCGTAGTTTGTGGCAGCGGTGAGGAGCTGCGCGTTCAGATCTGGGTTGACGGTTCTGGATTTTGAGGCGTGGGTGAGGGGGAGCAGGAGGGCAAGGAGAGTGAGTGGGGTGAACATCTTGTTGGCTTTTGTGGATTGCAAGGAAGATCTGATGCTTTGATGGATTGTTCAACGACGGTTTGGTCTCCCCTTCTTATATACATCTCAAGGCTCCTAGATCGCGCCCAGGCAGACACGATATAACTATGAAGTGGATACTCAGAAACTGAGACAACGAAGTCCGCGGGCCAGATGCGTGAATTCTTGCTTTTCGTCAGGCTGTGCAGGCGTAGATGGGGAGGCACGCCTAAGTCAAAAAATATCATGGCGTTGTGTGTGTTGGGGGCCAACAGCAGAACTTGCCCTTGCTTTACAGAAAGTGGATACATGTGGCTGCTGACCGCATCTGCCTTGTGGTGCTTTTTTCTGCCACTGTTTCTCTGCTATGACAAGGCGTTATGGGAGAGATATCTACGATGCATTCCTGGTTTCGAGGATTCTTGCACATGACGTTGAGGGAAGCTTATGTCTCTGCTTCCGATCATCTCATCTACAAGAGATCAAGTGAACGTTAAGAATTTTGCGTCCGTGGCTAAGCCTCGGTGTGATCTAAGTGTGAGGTGTTTGCTGGCAGAGTACTTGGATGTTCCCTCGCTGTCTGCAAGCCCTTGGATCTCAATGGTGTTCAAGTTTTCACTAAGGTAGCTAGTGGAAGTGTTAATGGGTCGCCTGAATTATCTTCCTCGGGCGCAGCCAGGGGATTTCGACATCTTGCGTTGAGGAGAGATATGTGACAGACCAACAAATGTACAAGTCAAGGACATGAATTACTTATCGAGGGTCAGTTGGGAAATCTTCATGCGAGGAGTTGGCTTTTGGTAGTTGTCCTGGAACATGATGTGTAAAACGAGGCTAGAATGAGACGAGAGGCTTCTTCTCGTTACCTGGTAAATCGTGGAGACATTGTGATGCCTGAAATAGCCTAAAACTGCCTCCATGTACTCATTAGCGCGACGCCACAATATGGTAGTGCCGAGTAGGCGCAGTTCGTCTGAGTAAAATTAGCCGGATCGTTATGGGTTCCTGGTTCAGATCCGGCACTTGACTGAAGCTTCCTTCGCATTGGTAGATCCACTCTCCATTCGCGCTGTGGCTTTTCAACTTGCATCCTCGTCAACGCTCCTGTGGTCCATGCTTCTAGAAATGATTCGCTCCAACATCACACTCGTAAATATCTCTGGGTCCTGAAATAGAGCGTGATCGCATTGTTGGTCTATTTATTGGGTCGCCGCCGCGAGATTGAACACAGCCGCTTGAGCAAAGGTCGGAAAGTGTTATGATTTGGGATTAGCAAGATTGTATGCACCTAACAGCACTAACGCCGCGTGTAGCAAACAGTGTCACACAGAGCACCAGAAAAGTGACAGATGAGATGGTAGATCGAGCAAGTAGGTAAGTTTGAGACTGACCATCCCATAAAAGCGAGCCTCAGATTGCAGGCCGACTATTGGTTAAGGCAGCTACTGTTGGGTGAAGCGATGCCTGATACCGAGCCTTGTGGGGCATGTTGTGTAACAAAGGTATCTAAAATCCACCTATAATCAATGGTTTCTTAGATATTGCTTAATTGGGACTGTCTAACAGTACTTTGACGCAGAGATACCGGCTATCTTTACTGCACGTCTTATTGTTATGTTACATTTTCTCTTATAACTTAACACTATATGACGTCGTACATGTATAAGACATAAAAAGACTTTGTGAGAGCTGCTTCTACCAGACGAGGGATAGGTTATCTAAGAGCTTGCTGTCTTTGTTCTTAGGAAGATCTGTCTCCGATCATGCTTACGGAAAAGTGTCATCTCAACTAAGCGGGCGTAATGCCTTTGCACAGGCATTATAAGACAGGCAACAAGCTGGGTCGTGACGCAGTGTAATCGACACATTAACATTTATTCAACTCATATTTGTATCTTCAATTTATAAAATCAAGTTTCAACGGACTTCCATACCATGGATCGGGTTTTCGAAGAACGCCCTCCCCTGCTGTGGGAGCCAATCTCAACAGAACCCATAGAGGTCAGACTCGCCAACATGCGGGCCGCTATAGCCTCTGGCGCCGACCCTAACGAGCTTGACGGCACTCGAAAGCCACGTGTGGGTCGCCCCCTCGACTATGCTATAACCACTCTGGCATGTGCCTATCACGAAACCGTAAAGACGAATCTCCCTATCGTAGAACTTCTTTTAGAGACAGGTGCTGACCCGAGGCTTCCGGGTCGGATACCAATACAGGACGTTTCGCCTTTGGAAGGAGTGCGGAGATGGCTGGAGGCTTTTGATATTCGTGGCGGGAACTGGGCCTCAGAGGAAACGGCGTTGAAGCCTTTCTACGAGTCGGCATACAAGGCAATGAAGAAGGTTGCGGATAAGCTTGATGGTAAGTTTACCTAGTTTGTACCTAATTATAGTTCAGGCAATCTGACTCTTTACGACAGCACAAGATGCGGCGGAAAGAGCTAACGACTATACTACTGAGAAGGAGAATGAACTAAATACAGGCAGCTCATGGTTTAGTTGGCTAACGTTTTGGTAACCTATCATAGCTACCATGGATGTTACGCTTAACATTCTTTTCTTGGATGTAACGGCTTCTGGTTTTCTTCTTGTGTACTGTTGGCGGGAATACCGCGTTGGTCAATTTAATAAGGAGATGGAAAATAGCATCTGCACATCAATCACCATGCCAAGTGACTGTCTTCGCTGCATTTTCCAAAATTTTCAACCTTTTTCGATCAACATAGATTACAACGAAAACATCAAATCGCCCATTAGCTTTTGCACCAGCATGCTAGATTGATCAGATAGTATGTACAAAATAAACCGTGTAAGATGATCGTGAACAACTCCGCCTATGGTATGCCTTGAACATCGTATATAGGTCATCCGAAATTTACCATCTCTTGCTCCAGGAAGTTCTGCCCTCAGTTAGGCGTCTTTCGTGGTAGTGTCTGTACGACAGTCTTCTTGAGCTCGCATCAAGTAAGACAATACACCCCAGATCCCTCTCATGGCTTCGGTGCGGTCGTCAACGTCGAATAGATCATACCAGCGCGTTCTCTGAAGCTTTGGTGAACACCAATCAGCATCTGGTGGTGTGTCTTCGGGGAGGTGTCCTTCGGTAAGGAATTGTAAGTAGAGTGGATGTACGCGTAGTTTCAACACACTGATATGGTGATTCAATGATGACACCATGAAAACCTGTGGTTGAGTTAGCAAATCAGCGTTGAACGTGTAACATTCCACGGCGACTTACATCGTCCCACTCAGTACTTCTATCCTTCCCAATCCTTTCATACGTGATCTTTGGGTCCCATAGAGCGTTTCCTGTTTTCAAAACTTTCCAAAGCTCTACTGGTGATGGCCTTCGACGAACCCTTGAACCATCTCGATTCCTTAAAACAGATTTGTCTTCGTTATTAGATGTGTTACTGGTGTCTTTGGTCCCTTGAGTTTCGCCCCCAGGACCTCCTCCCCAGCGCTCTTTAGTCGTCCACCATTTGCCTTCACCACTTCGTTTTTCTGTCTTGCCCTCCCTTATCCTTTCTTGTGCCAACAGAAGCATCGCGCCAAGTTCACGAACAGCATCGAGAACAGACTCTGCGTCTAACATGCCAGTAGAGCCAAAATTCACGTCAGGCCTGCATTGAATACCTAGCACAGGCCCTTCCATCCATCCCTGCCGTGCCTTTGCTCTGTCCTGAGGCCCTCGATAGGCTACAGAGCTCATTCGTACTGGGAATCGGACTTTGCCTAGTGGCAGAACTGGTGGACGCCGATGCTGAGAAACAGAAACACCAAACGCCCATGCGATAGATTCCACAAAGGCTCGAACGCACTCAACGCGGTACTGGTCGGGCATCTCTGCACCATTTCCAATTCGATAACCCTGGTAGGAGCCGTTTGATGGATCGATTGGTTTGTTGAGAGGCTCCAAATTTATAGGCAGCGAAACTTTCGGTGACGCGATTCTTTCCGGTAGCACCCCGCTTGGAACGATCAATGATGTTTGCGCAGCTATCAGTCCGTTCGCACGATCTTTGGAGTTGAGAGACTGAGCCACTGTTTGGTTATCTACCGCCTCTAGCTTTGCTTTCTTGCGTGGATCGCTTTTGGCGGAAGACATGAAGGTGGAACCCATATCCGCAACCCAGCCTATCTTGGTTTCTCCTTGTGCCTCCTGACTTTGATGTTTTTCTCCAGCAAGAGTCAAGGACGAAACTCCCTCGTTATTGGTAACTTCTGGGTCTGGCGGAACATATTCGTCAAGAGAGTTGTCCCAGTAGTACGCCATGTTGTCCAGACCTTCCCAAAACTTTCGGAAATGGGCAAGTCGTGGAGTTGTGTGGCTTTTACCTCCTTTGCGAGTAAGCGTGGAGAAAGCATCGTTGTTCTTGAATGTCAACTCTTTCGCACGCATATAGAATTCTCTTTGATCAGGCACTCTTCTACCATTGCTGAGGAGGGTGGCGACAGGGCCCTTGAACGAGGAATCGTTTTGCTCTGGCGGATTCAACCAGGATCTTGGAGGAAGATGCGATTGCGCGTTGTTTGACAGAGATGATAGCAGCGTCTCGAAATCACATTCAGGTTGGAACGTGACATTCAAAAGTGCCAACGTGTCCTGGGTAACATCAGATGGCTTCTTCAAGGCCAGAAAGTGGGCAGGTATCCCTGCTCCCTGTTCAGTAGTCCAGGATGGTGGAGGGGTTTGTATCGATGGTGTAGGTGGGTTGAGAGACGGAAAGACAACGGGTATCGGCTTTGGTGGTGGCGATCTCTTGTTCTGCGTGTCATGCTGTCCCGCAAGCATGTTTCCTATGAAGGTCCAGCCTTATGTTAGTGCCAAAATTATGTGCACAATAGGCTTCAGACGAAACGTGTCTGATGTTCTCGAACGGGTGGAGATACGCGAAACGCAACGCCTCGGTGCAATGCAAAGGGAGAAGCCGGACGACCAGTAATAATCGGTAAAAACCTAGGTCTTGCTGCTACGTGTACTACGAAGCTCGAAATGCTAGCAGCTACGATGCAGGCCCGAGTACACGATAGGAGCGGACGACGGAATTGAGTTTTGGAAAGGACAACGTGGCGATCGTTAGAACTTACCACTAAAACTGAACATGGTCGCAATCTTTTTTCGAGATGTTTTTACTTTCGACGAGAACTGCTGTCGGTGTGAGGTTCGAGGTCGAGTCCTCGTCGATCCGATGTTGGGAAAGCGCTCTCGGTCGCATCTTCGCCTGCATGTAGCGCTCCATGGCTCGTCTCCACATCTCCACTCTCCTAACTGTACAACGGAGGTGGTAAAGTTTTCTGGTTCAATGCCCTCCAAGGATAATCTCTAAATCTATCTGCCATACTTCGAAACGAACGCCAGCGAAAGCTACTGTCAGTGGCTGATTATGCTTGGCGTTTTGCTCTCAAGGCCGGGTCATGGCCGTCTGGATTTTGGAAGGTATCGCGATGCAACAGTTTGGTGAAAACAACTCGCAGAGCCCCTGCAGAAACAGAAAATCGTGCATGGGCTTTACCCAAGAGATCTCTTTCGTGATGATGAGGTAATGTAGCCCTCATGAGGGCTATCACGTGTCTGCTAACATATTGAAAATCCTCGCCAACGGCCACCTCGATTCCCTCTCATTCTCACCTCCCACGCCCACCAGCACTCAAACCATGACAGAACCCAAACTTGTCCCGCTCAGGATCAGACTAATTGGCTGAGACGACCGAGGCGTTTCTGCCCATAACTGCGAGGCCTATAGCGCATCATGTTTGTTGTAGTCGCTGCTCAAAGCGGCACATGAAGCCGCCCACGTTTCAGATGCCTCGGAGCGCTGTTCATTGTGCCAACGACTGACAGCCACGCGGTCGCTCCTCGAACACCTGCTAACATTTCTTTCCATGATATCGTTATTGATGCTGAGCATCGTAACGGAGGTCTGCTATCTTTCGGAGTAACATGCACCAAGTGCCCGCGATTTTTGAGTTCTCTTTCCTTTGTCTACTTTTTTGAGCCTTGCTGGCGTTTCCTTTCTTGAATCTCGCGTCTGCATGGCTACTCCGCGAGAGTCGATCACGACAGTGAATGGGAGGCGGTGCACTCGTTCCCGGGCCCGGTTTTCAACCACATCCGCCGTCATCTCAGAGACTTCAGCGGTCGCTACTCAAACTCAAATCACTACCTCGACTGTGGCAGAAGAAGCATCGCAAATACGGAGTAGCGCCATCAGTTCTACAGCCCCGCCTTCCCTGTCACCTCCAGAAGCTTCTTCATCGTCGTCGTTAGCAGAACAGCCTGTTCTCACGTCCACAACAGAAGTAGCAGTGTCGTCCGCGCTAGGTACGGATACTATAGACCCTATTTCACGCCCACCGATCGCACCGCTTGTCAACCTTATGCCACCTGTACCGGTAGCAGGTTCAGAACAGTCTGCGCAGACCAGTGCGACATCAGTAGTGCCTTCACGTGTTGCTGGAGTTATCACAGTGCCTCTTACGAGTTTGGCACCCGTATCTGACACGATAGAAACAGCTACTCCCGCCGCATCATCCACCGTACTCGCGCAAGTATCCTCAGGACTTGCAGTTCCAACCGCACCCACCATCACGACATCCAGCACAACACTCCCTGCCTTACCTAGTCAACCCGAAACACCATCAGAGTCGTCGTCTACGGAAACAAGTGTAGCTGAACTGCCACAGCGAACAAACTCTGTCGTGTTAGCAATTCCAACCGGGGGACAAGCTGGCGTGGTTGCGCCAGAACAAAACGCCAGCGGTGGTAATGGCATCAGCGGAACAGATATCAAAACCATCGTTGGAGGAACAGTTGGTGGACTTGTAGGTCTTGTGTTACTTGGCGCCCTACTACTCTTCTGCCTGAGAAGACGCAAATCGAAAGGGAAAAACTGGAACGAGAAAGAGGAGGATTCCCGTTTTATGACAATGTTTGTTGCAAAATTGAAGGGCAACAAGACCAAGTCAACGGACTTTCCGTACGAGCAACATGTCCAGGGTCCAAGTGCCAGTTCGGTATATGCGACGCGCCCGCACGGCCGAAACAGTAGCAAGTTGGAAGGGATAAATGCAGGTCGAGGGATAAAAGGCCCAGTCCGTCAAAATAGCAACGGTGTCCAGGATCCCTTTGCAGATCCCGGGTCGCCTGCGAATGTGCAGCTGCTCAGGTCGAATTCGAGCGGACCTCTCATACCACAACTTGCAGCAACTGCGGCACCTCGATCGCCATTCGCATCGCTCCTTGAAGAAATCGAGGGCGCGCCAGGTTGGTTGAGAGATTCAGCTTGGTCAAACCATAGGCGTACACAGAGTTCAGCTTCAGCACTAAATTCGCACCCGCCTTCATCTGTATACTCGACAGCAAACGACCCCTTCAGGGATCCCCCTAATGTGTCGCCAACACCAGGCCAACGTCTTCCACCAAATCGAGCGCGTCACTCATCGAACGTACATTCTGAATACATGAATATCAACACGAAAACCGCTCCAGCTTCTCGCGACTCTGATTTTATATTGTTTGGCGAGCCTGGACCGAGTCGGCCAGCCACCGGAGTGTTCACTCCTGTTCCTAGTCGGCCAAGCACCAACACGTTCACTCCTGGACGGACGCCTCGACAATCGGACCCTTTCGATCTGGATCGACCTGAGGTGCTCGGCTTTCGGAATGTTATCAGTCGAATGGTCAGTGTGGGGAGGCAACCTACGCAAAGTAGACGAGCGAGCAGCGTTGGCAACTGGGGAAACGGTACTGATTCATATTATGGCCAGATGGGGAAATATAGCCCAACACCAGGTCGAGGAGACAGGTGACGTTGATGAAGGTTGATGTTTACGATCGAACGCGCAACATACAAGAGCAGGACTTAATGATGAGCAAATATGGCGCCTTAACAAAACACATTTTCACGATAGCAGGAAGCATTCCGTTGGTTCTATCGCTCGGCATTGAAGGAGTTTCTCTCGCGGATGCATAATGTTCCTTATCTTTTTGTCGCATTTTCTTTTCATTGTAGCTGGATCTTACTACCTTGCATATATGTCATACCGCTTCGAGTTGCATTCCAACCATGTAGCGCTAGGACGCTCCACTGATAGCTCTTGTTACGCAAATCGGATACATACAACAGCGTTAGAGATTATACATGTCTTGGCTGAACATACAATTACTCATGGTCATATTATATCGATGAAATAATGAATTTCTCAAACCCTACAACATACCATTACTCCACAACCGACCATCAATACTATCCACCACAACCCAGCACTCCACCCAGTGCCTTCATTACACCCCAATCCACCCCACCCATGAACCTCACATCCACTTCTCCGACCCTCCAAACGGTGGATACCTCAACCCTCCTCCCGCGCTCCCTCTCCTCTTCCTCACCCACCTCCCTCCTCCTATACTACTCTTACTCCCGCTCCCCGCCGAGCTACTCACGCAATCCCAATTCCACGGCGCCTCCCGTCCAAGCATCTCATACCCCGCTACTCTCCGCAAACGGCCCCGAGCACGTTCAGGTCGGACCTCACGCAGCGCTGCGATGGTCTGGGCGCGGATTGCGGCTGGCTCCACGATCTGCGTGCGGTATGTGGGTTCTCTTGCCGGCGGGCAGATTGGCGACGGGGGGCGGCAACGCGATGGCGGGCGCGAGGGGGTGAGGGACAGTGAGGAATGACGTTTGTGACCTGAGCCGTGGAGTGTGATGATTGGGATGTTGTGGTCGTGGTGAGGGCCGTGGAGGGGGTGGAGATGCAGTGGGTGCATATGGTGGTGATGGAGGTGTGGGTGCAAATGGTGGTGGTGTTGTTGTTCGGCGGACACGACGCTGCTGGAGAGCTTTACGTGGACTTTGCTCAACCGCGGGCTCGAGATTGGACTGTGGTGGACGCGGGCGATTTGTTCGACGCAGGAGGGTGGTGAGGAGGGCTGCTTGGACGCCTTGGGGGTGAGGGTTATCCAGCACATGACTGCGTCTGGTGGGGTTCCTGGAAGGAACCGAGGCGAGGGATGTTGACAGCGGGTTGATTGTGTGTAATGATATATGATGATGGTTGAAAGTGTGGTATTTCGTAGGATGGTGGTCTTGGTGGAGGATATGGGTATGAAAGGGATTTGTAACAGGACATTCGGACGAGGATGGCAGGACAACAAAGGATCACAGTGCGATACTTAACAAGGACTCAGACTCTCTCTCAACGGATGACCACAATCCTGCTCTTGCATTCCCCCATCGTGATGGCGCCGTCGTCCGTATATACACTGCCCTTTGGCATCATTTGCCGACATCACACATCATACAAAGTACTTCACGCGCACAGTGCGATTTGTCTGCCGACAAAGAAATCCAAGACAGAAGGGACGTTGACTGTGCCTGCATGATGGTTGACGGTGCCTGCGTCTCGGCGCGGCGAACATGTGTTGTGGTCTCTTGAGGTGGTGACTGAGGCTGCTGGGGGTCGCGTGGGTTGGCGCTGTCTTACGTGACCTCGAGGTTCACGGCGACCATGTGATCGCTTCTGACTTGTTGCCTACTCGACACGGGATGACGTGGGGTCTGGAGGGATAGTGTATTTGAAATCCCACGTTGAGATAAAGTCATGGTTTTTGGGAAAGATTATAATAGAAAGAGTTGAGTGTTCCTGGTCGCATGGTGGTCGAGTGCATCGGAATGGACGTGCTGTGAACGTGACAGGAAGTATGTTTGTTTCATGTTGTTCTGTCGCCATAGATCATATCTCGTTTGAGAAGGCAAGAACCGAAAGATGTAAGTGGAAAGTAATGCATCGACCTCTAGAAGTTTTGTGAGAAAGAGAGACGAGATGACGAAATCAGGACAGAGCTGGTTTTTGACGAGTATAATATTAACAGTAGATGCCGCCGACAAGTGCGTCCATTTTCACTGCGAAACAGTAACATAGGCGAAATACAGACTGAGGTAGTTGTGTTCTCTGGAAGTTGGTGATGGAGGGAGGCAGCAGCGGCGGCGTCAGGGTTTGTCTTGGCACCCGCGACAACAGCTCGTCCGCGAGCTTGCCTCATACAATCACTTCTGTACACGCCAACAACCCCGCCACGACTCCTCCATCTCGCCCTCCCATAATCCTTTCTCACAGTCCATAGGCACACAATCGCAGCCATGGACTCATTAGTCTCGCAGTACAGCCGCCCGGCGCACTCGGAGGAAGAGCAGACGCAGCAAGAGCAGCTCGAGCTCTACAACTGCACCCCGGAGCTCTCTCTCAAGTTTGCCCTGCCGCCAGTAGCCCAGGTAAATACTCTATATTCCGAGCAGAGTCTGGGTGTCTCTATTAGGTCGTCATATACTCATATCACAACAGTCCGCATCATGGCTCCGCGCAATGACAGACGACTACTCCAACCCCAACTGCCCCATTAAGATTGCACACGGTACCACAACCCTCGCCTTCCGCTTCAAGGGCGGCATCATCGTCGCCACCGACTCGCGAGCCACGGCCGGAAACTGGATAGCGAGTCAGACGGTCAAGAAGGTCATTGAGATCAACAACTGCCTGCTGGGAACCATGGCTGGTGGCGCTGCTGTAAGCACCTGACGCTCACAGGGGATATATGTGTCGGTGCTGATATAACGTCAGGACTGTCAATACTGGCTCGCGTGGCTCGGTATGCAATGTCGCCTCCACGAGCTCCGACACAAGCGCCGCATCTCCGTCGCCGCAGCATCCAAGATCCTAGCGAACCTGGTGTACTCGTACAAGGGCCAGGGCCTGAGCATGGTACGCCATATCCACCCCTCTCCTCCATCTCTCGACTTACATCCCAACAGGGCACCATGTGCGCCGGCGTAACCCCGCAAGAAGGCCCCGCACTATACTACATCGACAGCGACGGCACGCGCCTCGCCGGCAACCTGTTCTGTGTTGGCTCCGGTCAAACCTTCGCATACGGTGTGCTCGACGCAGAATACAGCTACGACCTTGAGGATGACGCGGCGCTGGAGCTCGGGCGACGAAGCATCCTCGCCGCTACGCACCGCGACGCGTACTCTGGAGGTTTCATCAACTTATACCACGTCAAGGAGGATGGCTGGGTCAAGCACGGCTTCAGCGACACGAATCCTATCTTCTGGGAGACGAAGCTGAAGAAGGGCGAGTTCTCGAATGTGACGAGTCAGCTGGACTAGGGTGGCTGAAGGTGTGGGTGGTTAGACTAAACGATACTGTGAGGGATGTGGATGGGCAGGCATGCAGAGGTAGACTGCTGCTCTCACTTCTCATTCTAAATATGAACGAATGGAATGAAATGAAATCAAGTCTTTGGATTACTTGCTGTCATGGATTTCACTCACTGCACAATCACTAAGAACTTTGAAGTTACACTATTCGCAATTCCTATAAACTAACGCACAGCACAGCATAGCATAGCTAAGTATAAAAGAAAACTAAAAGAAAACTAATACAAATCTGCCAAATCCCCGCAGCTCGAAATAGGACATGTGAATCAAACCAAGCCCCACCAAAGCAAAAACATGGAAAGTAAAGTAGAAGGAAGAACGCCGTGCCCTAGCCCTAGCTTGTGCCCTTCCTGCTCTCCCTGCAATGTGACAAAGAAAAAGGTGAAAAGTTGGAAGCCAGCAAGTCAGCAAGTCAGCAAGACGGCCAGATGTGATATAAGAAAGCGCAAAACAAGAACAAGAACAAGACAAGACAAGCTGTGAGCTGCGAGCTGTGAAATAGAAAACGCCATAATCCCCGCATTGCCATCGCGCGCCCACGAGCCGAGATTGAGTGGGCGGATAACGCCAAACGCATACCGATAAAAGGAGAAGAAAAGTGAGATCCGCGTTTACAAAAGGCCGGACCGAAAAACAGGGAAAGTCAGCCCAAAGGCCTCAAAGAAAGCACAAAGAAGAGAAAAGGCACCGCCTTAATAAAATCGCAAAAACAGCTTATAACAACCCCCACACCCAACATCATCGACTCCGCCTCCTCAGCCCCATATCCTCCTGCTGCAGCTGCTTAATAAGATTGCGACTCGCCTCGTCGAGCTGGGGATCAATAACACCCACGCCCATGCCCAGCATATCCAGATTCATGCCCAGCCCCAGCCCCATGCCCAGCTCGAGCTTAATGTGGTGCTGCGAGTCTCTGCGTCTAAAGCCGGGGGTAGATTTGGGAGTTTTGCTCGCCTTGCGGCTGGATGAGGGGGGGTTTGTGTTGGGGGCGCGGTAGGGGCGTGTGGCAGCTGTGGCTGTGGTGGCGGCGGTGGTAGTGGGTGTTATGGGCGGGGGCGGGAAGTCCGAGGCGGTGGTGTACATGTTGTAGTTGTTTGAGGTGGGGGAGGTGTTTGTTGGGGAGACGGGGGAGGAGAGGTGGTGGGTTGTGTAGCCGTTTGTTTGGGGGTGGTGGGATGTGTTGGGGAAGGGTGGGGGGCCTGGGGTGAGGGGTTCGACGCTGGGGCCTTGACGGGCGGGGAAGTCTGCGTCGGTTGTTGGGCTGGTAGTGGTGGTGGTGGTGGTGGTGGGGTGGTATTCGATTGAGGAGATGATTGTGTCGCCGTTGTTGGGCTGGGGGGTTGTCATGTTCATGGGTGAGTAGTCGGCGTTGTTGTAGGCTTGGAGGGCTGGGTCGATGGGCATCATGTCGTCTTCTGGGTCGTGGTCGAAGGTTTGTTGGGCGGCGTATGCGACGTCTTGCAGCATCGAGGCGTTGACGCTGAACTGGTGTGGCAAGGAATGTCGGGTGTGTAGGTCCCCGTTCATCATGTCGCCGTCAAAGGCGGATTCTTGTCGCATCCTCTTAGCTGTCGTCGAATCCTCCTCACTCACACGCCGTTTCTTGGAAGCAGATCCTCTTGGGATGGGGACCTCATTCGCTTTGACGGGGTCAACGTTGCCGTACTCATCGTGTATGCAACGACGCTGCAAGGATTAGCCGACGTCCACTACACTTACGTGGTAATCCTTACCTTGCTTTTGCGACAATCGGCACAGGCCTTGACGCGACCTGACTTGAGTGCATAAGGGTCCCCGTTTGCGTCTGCCATGATCGGGCCGCCAGTCACAGGACCATTGACAGCTGTTATGAGACCATCAACGATGGAGTGGTCGCTGAGGCGGCGCTTCACAGAGATTCCGTACGAGCCAGACAGATCGATCGTGTGCATACCAGGTTTCGATGTGTCGATAAGCTCGTCCTTGTGTTTGCATCGTATCCGTCGTTTCCTGCAAGCATCGCAAGCCACTCGCTTTGGCCCAAGCTGAGATGTCTTCGGGGTGGTAATGTGTGAGCCTGAACTTGGACGCAGAAATCCAGTCAAAGGGCCGTCGAAAGGTAGGACCGGATCATCTTGGTAGAAACTCTCTACGCCATTTGAAAGTTCAGCCTCAGCCTCAACCTCTGGCTCGACCTCTGTAGCTGGAGCCGGAGCTGGAGCTGGAGCTGGAGCTGAGGTTGGAACTGGCGCTGGAAGACCCGGAATCGGGGGATCAGATGCTCGGATACGAGCCGAGTGTCTCTCAGCAGTTCCGCGTAAAGCCTCATTCTGCGAGTCTCGTTCCATCTTCTTCACTTGGGCTGCACTCATCTTCTTTTCGCCGAGCTCTGGTGGTTCGGGTAGGCCGGCATCGGACATTGCCCACGACGGAATTGTTTCATCCCCTCGTTTCCAAGCAATCCACATGGCAAAGCGTTTCGCGAGAATGAGAGGGTCGCCATGACCCTTTGGAATCGATCTGTTGACCGCACTGCGAGTCCTTGACGGCACATCAATCTTGTCCAGCGAGATTAGAACGGTCCTCCAGATATAGTTGAGCACTTCTGTCAGTCCTTCGAGTTCGTGTTTTGAGTAGTATCGGCTGTTGTAGTTTGGTGGGCCCAAGTGCGAGTTGTGGCCAAATCTGTCCGGTTCGCAGAAGATTGGGACAGAGCGTTTGAATGTATGACCACTCTGTAAAAGCTTCTCAACAGATCCTGGAACGGGGTCTTCCTCAAGGTACTTGATGACCGTCAACCACATGATCTTTTGGAAAAATGGGTACCGGAATTGCGCAGCCACTTTCGTGTTGATCTCGATCTCCAAGATCTTGATTTGCATACCATAGTGAATCCGGGTCAGGAAGTTGCCTCCAATAACAAGACTATCTTCGGGAGTCCAAACAGCATGTATCCAGCCCGAGGGAATCAGCATTGTGTCTCCAGGATAGAGATCTACCCGGTAGCACTCCTTGACTTGCTTGCCAAGCCAGTCGTGTCCTTGGTTGGGGGAGAGACACCAGTCTTCGTACTTCTTCAAGTTCTGCTTCGTTGGTGGAATGAAGAAGAAGACCTTCTTTCCCTTCACGATATGGTAGTACACGGACGAGCCGCCAAAGTCGATGTGAAAATCCGTAAAGCAATCGGCGACGGACATTAGACAGTAGAACTGTACTGGTGGTGGCGCAAACTTGTCGTCTTCCCGCCAGACCGAATCTTGGAGGTCCATATCCCGGACAGCTTTTGGCCGGCGAATAAGGCGCCCGAGTCTGCTTCGAGACACCTCAAGACTGATGACGTTGCGTACAGGCTTCTCGCCCTGCTGCTCATAGTAGTCGGCCCATTTGGCCATGGTCCACTTCTTGACCTCGCCTTCTTGTGCCTTGACGTCGATGACGGGAACAGTCTCGTTCGCCCCGTACAGCTCAGCGACGCGGCGGACCGTCAGACCCTGAGGTATGACCATGTCCAGCTTGTCCTGACCCTCATTTGCTACAGTTTCGTATTCGAATTGCATTTCTTGTTCGTCTGTTCGATCGACAGACTCGTCGGTAGGTGTGTGGACGTCGGTTTGCTCATCTACCGGCAGGTACGGTCGAGGATTCAGGGCACCAGGGATGAGGATAGGCTCCTTGAAGCCATTGGACTTTTCGAGAAAATCCCGTGTTATCAATTCTGGAGGCATGCGTGCAAACGTCTCTGGGGTGAAGTCGATGTCTCCATTCTTAAACGCGGCGATGTAGTGGTGCTCAGGGTTGTCGTCAGAGGTTTTGAGAACGCCCTCGTTCAGGCCGGCGTAATCGACAGTGGTATGCGCTCTAATGGATTTACGAACCTCTGGGCCATATTAGAACTGTAACTCCAGCGTGGGTCGATGTGCCTACTAGTTGTTTCGCCGAACTTTGGTCTACAAGGTTCGCAGTAGAACTTGTTCACATCTCGCACCTCCCTCTCGCTGCTGAACCCCGCACAGGCGTAGTGGTACCACTCTTTGCAGCCGTCACAGCCGATCCATTGCTCCCCGTCGCCTACTTTGACTTCAGAGTCAGAGGATTTGCAAGCCGCACAGATGAGGTCGGGCTGCTCGACGGCTGGTTTCTTGGAGGACTGACGGGGTTCCTCAGCGGGTGGGGTCACCGCTGTGATGGCATTGAGCGGAACGGACTGGGCGCGTGCGGGGTCAAGAGGTAGACGGCAGCTTGGAAACTGGGGTTTGGGGGTTGAGAAGGAGTGACGGCGGGGTTGTAGCGTGGTATCGTGGGACAGACGGACTTGGTGTGGCAGAGGGTCGGCGACTTGGGCCATGACAACGTCAGGGTGCTCTGCTGGGAGGCTCTGGGGCGATTGAAGCTGGTCGGGAGCCCCAGAAGCGCTGGTCGGTGGCGCAGTCTTTGGCTTTGGCGTGGACCGTTTCCTCTTGCCGGTGGACGGAGTGCTGCGAGGCCCCCGCGGCTTGCCCTTGGGCCAGCCCTGGTGCTTCTTGGGCTTGGGCTCGGCTTCTGCTGCTGGTGCTGGCGCTGGCGCTGGTGCTGCCTCTGGCGCTTCGACAGTGATGGCCACCTGCACGACAGGCTGCGAAGCTGCGCCAGACATCTCTTCTGGGGGTGTGTATGTGTGCGCGGCTGGCGCGGTCTCGGCTGGAGGAGCGTCGACTGGCTGCACGGGCGGTGCTGGGAGGTGCATGAAGTCTGCGGGCGGCGCGTCTGTATGTGGGACATGGCGACTGGGGGGCTGGGTGGCTGCTGCATACGGGCTCGACGGCGCTAGTGTCTGCTGTGTTTGCAGGAGGGGCAGCTCAGCCGGCGGTTGCTCGAGTGCGGGCGGGTAGGACAGGCTCCACCGCTTTGCCGTCGAAGGGGGCGTTTGTGCGGCGTGGGCCGAGACGGCAAAGTTGAGCAGCAGCTCGGCGTCGGAGATGCGTGGGTCGCTGCCGGGGGCAGGCTGCGGCGCAAAGGGCGCAAAGGCCACGGGGGTCTGGTACATGCGCGTGCCGCTGTCGACCATCTGCTCGACGTTGTAGGACCAGCCCGGGATGTGGCTCGTGGCGGGCCGGGAGTGGTAGTGGTTGTATGGCGGCGACGTGTAGAACTCGGAGCGTGCTCGCTTGGCCGGACGGTCGTAATGCGAGTACGAGACGTCACGCGTGTAGGCGCGGTATGCGATGGGCGAGCTCGCGGCGTGGGCCAGGTCGCGCGCAGGTTCGACGTAGGCGGGGACGGTGGATTGAGATTCGATGGGCGACAGCGGCTCGACATAGGGTTGCGGGGGCGTAGTCGAGCGCGCCTGGGCCTGCCGGTACTGGGCCTTGAAGGTGGTGCCCCTGACCATGGTGTTGACCATGGTGAGGTGGTGCGCAGAGGGGTACGGGGGTGTTCGTTGGCCGGGCTTTGTCTGCACACGGCTGGCTAGGGAGCGACACGGCGATGCGAAAAGGCCAAGCGGGCGGGCGCAACCATGTCCTGGGTGGGCGCAGAGGGCAGAAGAGCGTAGAGCAGTAGTGGAGTGGAGTGAGGGTAGAGTGGGAGAATGGGCGTGGCTGTGGCTGTCGCGAAGCTCGATGTTGGCTGCCGGGGAGAAGTGAACTCCCGACTGGACATAGCCATTGCCATAGCATGCTCGGCCGGCGAGCGCAACACCAGCGTGCAGCCCCGTCTCCCTGCTGGAGGAGAGATTATATACAACACTGCCAGTCTGTCTATCTGTATTTACTCACATCCACCCTCGCCGTCTCCATCGTCTGGCGTGCCTCCCTCCTGCACCCAGCACACCACGTGACACGCTAGCGCTCGGACGCCTCAATCACCTCTCCACATGCCTGGCGACGAACCATCGACACCCTTCTGCCTGCGCATCCAGAAGCCACTCGCTCCCACTCCTTCACAACGCCGAATTATGAGTCGCGGTGGAAAGCTTGCCCCCGAAGTCAATCGGTACGTCTCCCGATGCATCGCGTGCCCGAGGCTGTCGCATGCGGCCAACTCGCATCACCTCCGCTAACGTGTCTGTGCCCTGGCAGAGCTCTCTTCGTAAAGAATCTGAGGTACGGCCGTCCGTCGTCGAGCCTCGGCCGCATGCTTACCGCCGCCCAGCTTCAACGTCACTCCAGAGGAGCTCTTCGATCTCTTTGGCAAGTTCGGCCCGGTGCGGTACGTCGACTCATTTCCTGCGCTGCCTCGACGCCCTCGACTAACCCGCAGCAGCCAAATCCGCCAGGGCATCGCCAACAACACCAAAGGCACCGCCTTCGTCGTCTATGAAGACGTCATGGATGCCAAATCCGCTTGCGACAAGCTGAACGGCTTCAACTTCCAGAACCGCTACCTCGTCGGTACGCACCCCACGACGCCCGTCCCACGCGTCGAGACCACCACACTAACACGGGCGCAGTATTATATCACCAGCCAGACAAGATGATCAAGGCCGCAAACGATCTCGCCGAGCGCCAGGAAAACTTAGAAAAGCTCAAAAAACAACACGGCATTGATTAGCATGAGGCGAGGCCCCAGGAACCGGTGATCTTGCGGGAGACGAACAGCAGCAAATCTCCTGTGGGCCTCAAACCCGATAGCGTACGCTCAACACGCTCTTCGAGCCGCGGCGGCGATACACGCACTTCTTCATCATCATCATCATCTTCTTCTTCCTCTTCTTCTTCTTCGACGGCGACGACGATGACAAACTCGCTGTCAAAGAAGACATCATCCAGACCCACTTCTCCCAACGAATCCTCGACCCGCCCCTGCGACTGGCATGGCGTCAAGCAATCCGTCAAGGGCCTCTGGAAATCGATTATACGGGCTGGCATTTAAAAGAAAAGAAGCATAGAAAAAAAGATGATAATTTCGTGGATTCTGGACTTGGACGAATTGGGGGGCGCAAACAATTTGCAGCATTTGTTTCAAACTTTTTATTCCATGGCGGCTGGTATTGCCCGATATTCAAACTGGCTACCTTTTTTTGGCGCTTTCCTTTCTTTATTCCTCTTCTTTTATTAAATTGATTGTTTGATTGATTGCCTCGCTATTCGCAGGCAGGCTGGCTGTACAGCTATCGATTCCCCTCACTCTGAGACTCAATGCATCGGGGTTTTTTTTCGCTCTCCTTCTTTGACCATGTGATGTGATGCGATGTGATGGGATGTGTTGGCGGTGATAATCGACGTGGACCCCTTGTTTGCGCTGGCACATGACGGGTTAGGGTAGGGATGTGTCGGTCAGGCCTCGGCGAGATGGAAATGTACTTTGACTTTGACTTTGACTTTATTTAATCTAACTGAGCAGTACGTCTCTCGACGCGATATTTCAAACAAAACACCATGGCGCGGTGAATACATGGTAAGCCCATTCAAATCGATTGGTTAGATTTATTCATTCATTCATTCATTCATTACACCATCGTAACAATGCACACGGGATATATAACGCGAAGAAAGAACCCCCATCACAACACCGCCATCTCCGACCAAGCCCCCCACTTGCCTCAGGTCAGACCAGATGCGAAACCCGTGTCACCGCCCATCTCCACACGGCGCGCGCGCCACTCCCTCAGGCCTTCCATTTCCAAGGCGCACATCTAGAACAGCGTGGCGCCCAGCAGCGAACCACCGAGTAAACCAGCGGCAATCGGCAGCCCCGCGCCGCCACCGTATCCGTAACCATATGGCCTACCGTATGGTCCCACGGGGCGCATGTACCGCACGTTGGAGTTGCCGTACAGACCGCCGGCGTAGGGGTTTGGTCCGTAGCCGGCCCTCTGTGCGTACGGGTTGCGCGGAGGCTGGATGTACATGTCTCTGCCCTGCGAGTCTTTGCCTAGAAGCTGCGGCTGGCCCGTCTCCATGGCGCGAATCAGGGCTTGACGCGCACGGAGGTGGGCGAGGTATGCCTGTCGTTCCTGCTCGGCGCGCTGCTTGCGGTGTGTCTCGCGGTCGGTGTGTGTAGTGCCCGTGACCTTGTCTTTTAGTTTGCGGGAGAACTTGTGGATGCCGGTTGGTTGGGGCTGTGTTGCGGCTGGTTGGGTTCGCGCCGGAAGATGGGCCTCGTCGTCCGAGTCCTCGGCCATCAGGTCGTCTAGGGTGACTGTTCGCTTCATTCTGCTGTGCTTCTTGCGCTCTTCTGGGCTCAGTGTGGCGAGGAACTCTTCGTCGTCAAAGGGGTGTGTCCAGATCGAGCGTGGCGGTGTGGCGCTTGTGTTCACGAAGAACTGGTGCTGCGACTCGGGGTCAAAGGACCGCACCCAGCCGGGAGGTAGCTCGCGCATCTCATCCTCCATGGAGCGGCGGCGGTCCATGGGAATGCCATTCCGTTCTGTGCGAGCGCCAGGCCCGTCTGTTGATACCCGGCGGATGGGTTCGGGGTGGAATGAGGAGCTCTGTCCGGCTGAAGAGGCGGTTGCGGCTTCGTAGCTCGGCGGTGGGGCGTCGTGTGTGGACATTGCAGCCAAGATCTGGGCTTCGTGCCTTGGGTGACTTCGATGATGCGCAGGGGTTTGGAGGTTGAAGTCGTAGCACGAAGTAGGATAAGAGAGAGGGGGGGTTTACAGAGAGGACACGGATTCGCAAAGGATGTGGGGTTGTTGTTTGTGGAGCAGTTCAAGAAACATGTGCCTTCCTCATGATGACGTATGGGTGGCGTGAAAAGTGGCGGGGCAGTGGCGAGTGAGCTGTTTGGCGTTCGGTGTTCGGCGTGCGTTTGGAGAGGTTGGCGCTGAAAACAAACAACACCGCACGCGTCGTCTACTCAACCGGATAGCACCTCCGTTTGCCACGGTCAGGCACGAAGGCCTGGAAGAGCCATGTCTCTCCACGGAAGCTGTACGCGGAGCGGAGCATGTGCACTTTGACATGCCGCAGCCCGTTGACTTGGGCAAAATCAGCGAAGTCTCCAGATCACCATTCGAGTTTCTAAATCACATCCTAACAGTCAAGGGTTATGCGTCTAATAGTCTCAGCTCTCAGAGTTCGTTGGTTGCGTTCTACGGTTCATTTCAACCTGAGCGTGACTACTATTAATTACATGGTAGACTGGCAGCCCAGACGCGTTTTGCGATAACGTGTCTTGTTTGATCATGCCTCCATGGTCTACTGAAGGGCTTTTTGCCTGTGATTTGGTCAGAAACAGCTATTTCCCGTCAGCCCTCTTCCTTACCATCGCATGTCTCGAACACACTTTACTCGATTTGCCAACACCGAAGCCTCCACAAATGATCACTCCGTCTTAAACACATTTTCTCCTACATCACAGTACAACGATCTCTAGGATCTCAACAACACCTCGAAGCTAGGTGGGCTTTTTATTGGATCTCACATTTATGACTCCACTCCGATCATCTTTCTCCAGCATACACAGGACCACATAGAGTTTCGTTCACAGTCTTTTCGAAAGTTCACATCCTTTTCTTATGCTGGTGTCACAACGTTGGACGCCATAGATATTTCGAGGCCGAGGTCTGCGTGTCAAGGTCTGGTCACAGGCCCTTCATTCCACACATTCGTACAGTCCACCAAGTATCACAGAACGCCCCAGATGCCCCGCGGGTCGAACTCCGAGATCTTGTGTGCCACCGATTCAGGTACCAAAACACGACTTTTGTGGCTTGTTGTACAGGTAACTACATGCCAGCTGCCCATTCAGGTAACGTGGCCGTCGTGGAAAGACTATCCAGCCACTCCGTATCGTGGGCTGAACATCCATCTACCTAGAAAATCGGAGAAGGCGTTTCTCTAAATGAATGGTTGGGCTAGCTCTTCATATTATTTTTTCAAGGATACCATTTATCAAAAAAGCACTTTCACGTGGCAACTGCTCATTCTATAAGATACTGCTTCAGCAGCGCAAGTTAGATTCTGCACTCTCAACAGCTCTGTCGCTCCAGACAGAGACTTTCTATCTTCTCTCACATACTTCCAGATATTTGCTCGCAAACATGGCAAATCTTATACTCATCCTGCTAGCTTTGACACGGCTTGCACCCGTCCATTGTCTCCCCACTGGAGGGACGGAGCGGGAACTCTACCAACGAGCTCTAACGGTCAACTCGAATATCGAGGTCACCACCTATTACGCCGTACTCACAGATACAGTACAGTCGGCGTCACCAACTGTTTCTCCATCACTCACAGGAGTACGTACTACCTCCAAACTATTGTCTGTCATTTAGGCGAGTGCAAGACTAACACAATCAACAGAGCATTATCACTGCTCTCCCTTCGCATGGCTTCACTCGAGACCCCATCGAGGAACCTGCTACTGCGACGGGAACACCCTTGATCCCCGAGGAGACTCCACTTGATCCCGGCCCAACAGGACTACCCTCAGTCCCAGTGTTGGCAGATGTTTTCCAGCCCATTGCTACCGGAGGACCTGCGCCATTGATATCGTCTCGTGGCGATCACATTATCCAGAAGCAGCACATTGACGATGACAACGTCCCTCTTCAAACAAACAAGTTCTACGCCAACTTCTTCCTTGGTAGTCAAGAAAACCCTGTTTGGACACATCCATACTCACTGATTTGGGCGAAAGGACGCGGGAATACCTGGGGAATGGCAATCAGCCATACTGAACGACGACAATTCGCTTTCGGTCCTGATCAGGAAAGGCCGCAGTACTTCATCTCACCAATGGGCATCTATCACATTGTGTTTTCTGCACAGGAGCTGGGTAGTGAGACGGTGTTATCTGTTGAAGACCTGCAGGCATTTTCGGTATATGCCAACTTAGCTCCGTCTGCCGGATCCCGGACTCTCATGTCCATTCCTTGTGTCCAGGGGATGGGCTACATTACAGCCATCTACAATGATGCGACGCCGGTCTTGAATAGCGGGGTCTTTTTCCGCTCGTTGTCGTACATCGGGTCTCTCAACGGCGACACATACAAGTACGCTATCCAGCTTGAAGATGATTCACAATGGCTCCTTTACGCCACACCGGCCGGATCTGCCGGTGCTCCTCCATTCAATTTGACAGACAGCTCTACTATCACGGGCCCACAAAACTTCGTCGGAACACTCCAGGTCACCAAAATTCCTGCTGGCGCTAGCGAAGGGCAGGTCTTCGACAGGTCAGCTGGTGCATATGCGATAAACACGACTATATCCGGGTCAGTAGATGGATCCACCGGTCGTTACACACTTTCCTGGGCCAAAGGAGGTCTGCAGTCCCAGACCTTGCTCATGTATGCTCTACCGCACCACGTAGAGTCTTTCGACCAAGAGACATCTGCTGCCTTGACGAACATCCAGCTGGTCACGACGACCAAAGGCTTCGCCCACGCTGTTGTCGCTGACAATATTACTATGATCGAACCCGACTTGCCAGTCACCATTGGTTTTGCCCCATGGACCAAGAACTCAAGTGGAGGTGGCGGTGGTTCCGAGAACCTCAGAATCAACGCCGAAGCTCTTGCACTTGTCAACAGTGTTGGATCGGCTGAACTCAGTGAGGACTTCATTGCCCAGACCAGTCTGGATAGCATGTACTACTCGGGCAAAGGTCTCGCTAAGTTCGCTGCGATCATATACACGATGCAGAGCATAGCCGACAACTCCAACCTTGCCGCCTCAGGACTAATCAAGCTAAAAGATGCTTTCAATGTCTTCGTTAACAATACCCAGCCTGAGCCTCTTGTCTACGACACTGTCTGGAAAGGCGTCGTCTCTTCCGCAACATATGGACCAGGCAACAATGTCGGTCTCGATTTTGGCAACACATTGTACAACGATCATCACTTCCACTACGGTTACTTTGTCTGGACGGCTGCAGTTATCGGTCATCTCGACCCAGATTGGCTTACAGAAGGCAGCAACAAAGCCTGGGTCAACACGCTTGTTCGTGACTACGCCAACTCGGTCACTGACAACTACTTCCCATTCTCTCGCTCATTCGACTGGTTCCACGGGCACTCCTGGGCCAAGGGTCTCTTCGAGTCGGCCGACGGCAAAGACCAAGAATCGACATCCGAAGACGCATTCGCGACCTACGCACTCAAGATGTGGGGCAAAGTGTCTGGCGACGCCAACATGGAGGCGCGCAGCAACCTGCAACTTGCCCTCCAAGCGCGCAGCCTCAACAACTACTTCCTGCTGACCTCGGACAACAAGAACCAACCCCCGCAGTTCCTCCCAAACAAAGTCACCGGCATCCTTTTCGAGAACAAGGTCGACCACACGACCTACTTCGGCACAAACGTAGAGTACATCGAGGGCATCCACATGATCCCCATCAACCCCTCCTCGGCTTACACACGCCCCAAGCAGTTCGTGCAGGAGGAGTGGGACATGTATTTCAGCAGCGGCCGCGCTGGCTACACCGCCGGCGGGTGGAGGGGCATCTTGTACGCGAATCTCGCCATCATTGACCCCCAGACGGCGTACAACTTCTTCTCGGATCCGAACTTCGATTGGAGTTGGCTGGACGGCGGCGCGAGTCGCACATGGTATCTTGCATACTCGGCGGCGATGCTGGACGCTGCGAGTGTGGACACGGAGGAGTATGATGTTGGGAATTCGACATCGGGTTGGTCGCACGAGACGGTGCAGGGTGAAGCTTACACCCCGAATAAACTCATTCAATATGAGCATGCAGGCTCGCATGGGGATTCGGCCCCTAAGGTGCTTGGTTGGAAATGAGGCACTGATTATGGTGGGAGGGCATACGATATGATGAGCAGAAGAGATGGGAAACTACACACGATGGAAAGGAAAGGCTAGACCGGATGGGATGGATGGATTTGTTTTCGCCTGCTGTTCGAGCGGTTGACTGACGTTTTAGATGATTTTACGCGCTTTATGTTTACTATAGATTACGGTATATAGAAGTATGATTAATGAATAATGCTACGCTTAGACACGTCTTTCAGTGTTGTGTTTGTGGGACGATATTGAAGATCGTGCTTTTGATGTTCTGGGATGTGGCTTCCGTTCCTGTCAAACTGTCAGAGATGGGTAGGCGCGGCTTCTCTAGTGCTTCCACTTCAGCTGCCCTCAGCTTCCTCTCTCGTATAGCGACACCGCCAACCCCATACTAAGACGCTTCGTGGGGTGACGCGCACACGAACGGTAGAGCATGCAACTCCTGCAGGCTGTACTGCCTTTCTACTGGGAAGAGGTAGTTGTGGCTCGAGATGGGTTGATGTTTGATCTCAGAATTGAGACGTGTTGCGTGGGACTACCGGTACAGCCGCGCAACTAAACCCCAAGACACTTCAAGCAGACAAATACCGAGTGCGTGTGTCGACGCTAGAATTGATCGTCTGTCTTGGGTGGGCGCATGTGATGTAATCGCAAAGGTGCTTCGTCGTCGTCGACGCAACACAAAAAAGTCACCCATCGACCTACCTATTGGATCTGTTGGGGAGTGTTGCGCGTCGATGCTGTCACTCGTCGATGGGACGTTGACTGCACCCATGGACTGCGGCTGGCTGCTGCTCTGTCACATGTCTTGTCCGTGCCAAGATGTCTATTTTTACACACATGGGCACAGCCACAGTCACAGCATGGGTTTTCGATAGTCGTGGATCTTTTGTCGGAAAGGACTTGGTTCGATGAGACTGTCATGAGTTGCAGTCAGAGGGCGTAGTTGAACACGCCTGATGATCTCAGCCTGTCACCTCCAGGCCTCTAATAACAACGTGTACGGTACGGGTTACACACAAAGAAAGTGCGCTGCTGGGTGCGGAAATGTGTGGCGGGTCGTCCGGCCGTTGGGCCTGGTCTCGAGCGAGCAGGGATTCGCTGAGTAGGGCAGGGTACTGTACCATTCTTCAGCTCCTGCACGCGCAAGAGACATGGTTGGCGCAGTCGCGGAACATGGCGCAACCTGACATGACAGCCTCTGCAGTTAAAGAGAAGTGTTTGCTCAGCTTGCGCCGGCCTGCTCTGTCGCATCCATCAATCTGTAACGGTTCATCCGGGTGTTCCAACATCGACGGTCATCCTTCAGGCACTGATAAGCTCGACTGTACCACCATAAGGTCACTGCTCCACGCGTCTCGGTCCAATCAAGATCAGCGCCCCTGTCGTGGCCAAGGTTTCAGAGCAGCCCCAAACCCGCCCTGGTGCATTTTCCCCTTCTCGACTCCAGCTGTCACCACACCACTCGCTCGGCGCCCTCGCTGTTTGTCTTTCGTTTCACCATTGCCTCCTCCACACGCCTCCAGCATCTTCCTGGACCTCGTCTTGCCGTAGCCTGCTAGAGCCCTTGCCGACGAATCTGCACAAGGCACAGCGAGGTTGAACCTGCAGCCGCGCATTGTCTAATTGTGCCCGTTTCTTTGTGCTTTTTCCCACGCCCGTCTCCCAGACGACCCACGCCATCGCAGCCCGCATTCCTACCGTACACATACCTCGCATATCGAAACCCGCCCCAGGGACCGCCCGCGGGCGAAGGTCAGCAGCCATGAGGACGCACACGACATACTCGACCATGCTCGCGCCCTTCCTCCTACTCGCATCGGCGCCACTGGGCGCACTTGCCAACGATGTTCTCAAAACAAACGGCTACAGCTCCTGCTTGGACGGAGCGTCGGACATCACAGTCAACAAACTGAACATTGAATTCGACCGGTCGACCAAGAAGGTCAAGTTCGACCTCGGGGGCACCAACTCGAAGGAGCAAAAAGTCAAGGCTACAATTGTGGTCAAAGCATACGGAATAGAGGTCTACAACAATTCTTTTGATCCTTGCGCGGACGGCACCAAGGTGGACCAGTTATGTCCCGGTAGGCTCCATTCCCGACTGATCAACCCGGTCGCGACTGACATGTAGCAGTGCCCGCCGGTAGCTTTGCCGCAAGCGGAGAACAGAGCATTCCCGACGAATACATCTCCCAGATTCCAGCCATTGCCTTCACCGTCCCCGACATCGACAGCCAGGCAACCATGCAGCTCACGGCTGTGGACGGAGGCACAGATCTTGCCTGCATTACGTCACAAGTCAGCAACGGAAAATCGCTTTCGACCTCAGGCGTCTCCTACATTGCTGCGGGTATCGCAGGCGCTGCCCTGGTAGTTAGTGGTCTGTCTGCCCTTGCAAGTGCGGGCCATGCCGGCGCTTCGTCTTCCAGTCCTACCTTTTTCGATGTCATGACCTGGTTCCAGTCCATGGCACTGAACGGCATGATGAGTGCCAACGTTCCTAGCGCCTACCGAAAATGGTCCAACAACTTTGGATTCAGTGCCGGAATCATCTATTGGGAAGGCATGCAGAACACCATCGATGGATTTCGCTCGAAGACGGGTGGCAACCTTACCGAGAATAACGTCGACTACCTCAAGAACGCAACTCTTGTTCACACCAGTAGCAAGCGCAGCCTCGACACTGTCTTGCTCTGGGCTCGTGATGAACTCAGCACCAACGTCAACGGAACCGGAGAGGACTCTACAGTAGCAAGCCAAGTCGTACACCAAGTCAAGGGAATCCAGAGTTTCGTTGAAGAGTACAGGATTCCGAACGGCAACGCCTTCATGACCATCCTACTTGTCGTCGCCATTGTCATCGCCTCCATCACCGTCGCAATTTTACTATTCAAGGTCATTTTGGAGACTTGGGCTTTGTTCGGCAGCTTTCCTAAGCGTATGACCAGTTTCCGCAAGCGATACTGGTGGACTCTTGCCAAGACGCTGACCAGCTTGGTTCTCCTTTTATACGGTATCTGGGTCACATACTGTGTTTACCAATTCAAGAACGGAGATTCATGGGCTTGCAAGACACTCGCCGGTGTCACATTGACTCTTTTCACAGGTGTCCTGGCCTTCTTCAGTTGGAAAATTTGGAGCATCGCCAACAAATTCAAGAAGCTTGAGGGTGACGACTCTGCTCTCTATGATGACAAGGAAGTCTGGCGCAAGTACAACAACTTCTACGAGAACTACAAGAAGGGCTACTGGTGGCTTTTCATTCCGGCCATCGTTTACATGTTCTCTCGTGGTTGCATCATCGCGGGCGCCGATGGCCACGGCCTCGCCCAAGCTTCTGGTCAATTTATCGTCGAAGCTCTCCTTCTCATCCTGCTGCTTTGGGCCCGACCATACTCTCTCAAGTCCGGTAACTGGATCAACATTATCATCCAGGTTGTTCGTGTGGTCTCGGTCGCTTGCATTTTGATCTTCGTTGAGGAACTGGGCATGTCGCAGACTACTCAGACTGTTACTGGTCTTGTACTCGTCGTTGTGCAGGCCGTATTGACGGGTGTGTTGGCTATTCTCATTGCTGTGAACGCCATCATCATCTGCTGCAAGGAGAACCCGCATCGCAAGAAGAGGAAGGCAGCTGGTAAGTCTTTCCCACCTCTCTCAAATGAACTCACGCTAACAATATCTTCAGAAAAAGCACGCGATCTTGACAATCTCACTCCCCTGGATGCTCGCAACTCACTCCTCATGGACCCCCAAGATTACAAGCGCGGCTCACTGCCTTCCCCATTCGGCCCTCGCTCAGCCGGCTACGACGTCGTCCCGCTAGCAGACCAACACACAGCCTACAACAACCGCCAATTCTCCGAAGACCGCGGTCACTTGCTCGTCGACGCTTCCACTTTCGGCCGCACCGCCTCGCACGACCGAAGCATAAGCCGAGACAGTAGCAGGAGCCCACCGCGCTTTTCAGACCTCGAACACGGCCATGAACAGCACACGGAATACAACCCTAATGCGCCATGGCAGCCCCAGCAGCAGCAGCAACGTGGCAATCCAGGAGGATACGCGTACTAGATTCTCGATACCCTTTAGAGTAATTTTACATGTTCTGTGCAGAAAGATAGCGAGAGAGAGGATGAGAGAGAAGGGACTGCTGCAAAATCCGGCCTCCTTGATTGTGGCTGTGTGCATCTATCTATATGGTTTTCTTTTTCCTTTTCTCCTGGTTCTATCAGATCTCATTTGTTGTTGTCTATTTTCTATCTTTCTTTTTTTTTTGCTCCCTCCCTCTCTTAGTGTCGTATGGCTTGGCATGGACATGGCATGGAATCGCATGGCATGGCATAGCATGGCATGTAGTGAATTAGCTCAAACTGGTCACATAGCGAATACCAGGTCCTGAATTCTATCGATTATACGAAGGCTCTTACTCGTCCTTTTTTTTCTTCATCTCCCTTTTTGGTGGTGGGTGGGTGGCTGAGCGCGTAACTACGGTAGATTGTAGAGATGGTTGTAATTTTATGAGCGCTGGGGCCTGGGGCTTCGCGGGTGTGTTATGTTCTGTAGTGTTGTGTTGTGGTCTACTTTGTATGTATGGATGGATATGTAGATGGGACATTGAAGGGGGGGTTGGAGGTCTTGCTTATGTATGTATATATGTTCTCTTCACATGTACGCCGTGTTCCGAATTGTTGAGAGGATGCGCTTACTGAATGCTCGAGTGTGTTCTAACTCATAAATCTTCCACATGGAATGCATCGTCTTCTCTCAGTCAGACTACTATGGCTCAATGAACGGCTACGTCTACCCTACCCGTCCGCACACAATATCTCCAGGACATCAGAGCCTTGCCCTACCCTGCCCTACCTTGCCTCGCAAATCTCATCTCGCAATTTCTGCCATGCACACAATCTCCAGGGGCGGGTTTCACATCGTTACTCACAAACCCGGCACTCAATCTCGCTATATCGGCAGATAGAGTGTTTCTTCTCCACTCCCCATCTCTGGAGATCGGGATTTGGATCGGGATTACAGAGCAGGGTTATGATTTGAGTTTTTGTTATTGTTTGTTTTGTCAGGTGCAAGTATTGTGTTGTATTGTATTGTACTATGTGCATGCCGCTCGATGGGATGAATGGTATGTGCAAAGTAACGCGGTGATAGATACTTGCTAATACATACGTGTTTGCCAGCCACTTTTCAGCGCTGAACAGGATGTAACCTCACCATAAGCTCCGGCTTCTCCCAAAGCGAAAACACCTTCTGCCCCTTCATCCAATCTGTTTCCTTGTCGAGGAGTTCGAGGTCGAAATTGAACAGCACTTTTGTGAGGATGAGGCGCATCTCTGCGTATGCAAGACTAGTAGATGTGTCAGCTAACTGCTATCCGTGTATACCTCATGACACATAGAGAGAGGGGGGGAGAGGGATGTGCAACTTACTTCTTGCCCAAACAGTTCCTCGGCCCAAACGAAAACGGATTCAACGTCTCGCGCTTATCCGCCTCGTACCGCTCGTCGCCCATCCACCGCTCCGGCACAAACGCATCTGCGTCCTTGAAGTTCCGCTCCGAGTGGTACGCCGCGTACTGCGAGACACTCACCGCCGTGCCTTCGGGGATGAAGTGCCCGGATATATTCCCGCCGCCGCGTGGGACGAGGCGGGGGAAGCCGGCGGGGACGGGCGGGTAGCAGCGCAGTCCTTCCTGCAGGCAAGCGATCATGTAGTGGAGCTGGTTGACTGCTTCGACCGTGATGTCCGAGGCAGACGTGAACCTGCTGCGGATTTCGTGTACGAGCTTTGCGTACTTTTCTGGATGCTTGAGGAGCAGGTAGGTGACGCCGGAGAGGGTGGTGGCTGTTGTCTCGGAGCCCGCGACGAGGAAGACGATGGCGTTTGCGTCCATTTCCGGCCTTGTCAGGGCTTTTGCGTCGCTGCCTTGGTTTTGCAGGATGAAGGAGAAGAAGTCCGGGCGGTCGGTTTCTAGCTCCAGACGAGTGGAGACTTTGTCGTGCACCATTTCGAAGAAGTTTTTGCGCATCTGCATCGTCTTGGCGATTTTGTTGTTGAACATGTTCCGCATCTTGTCGTAAAAGGCTGCCACGGGGTACTTTGCGCGCGTGGAGAGGAACCCAAAAGACTTGAGAAAAACCAGTACCGTATCGACCCAGACATGGTACTTGTCGTCGCGAAGACAGTACAGTGGCTCGCCGAAACTCAAATCGCTGATGACGTCGAAGGTTGTGTAGTTGTACCAGCGCACGATGTTCATGTCTTTTTTCTCTTGTACGTGTTCATCCATGCGGTGGACAAGCAAATCTACATACCCTTGAATAAGCGTTTCCTGCTGTCGCAACGCCTTCTCACTGAACGCGTGCGACAAATTTCTGCGAATACGCGTGTGGTCCTCATCAGTTGACTGGATGATGGAGTAGACACCGGCGACAGGGGGTGGAAACCAACTCCGGTCTTTGAGGTACGAGCCAGTGTTCTTGTGTTTACCGGTTCTGAATCCGTAAATATCTTGCCATGCTGTGTCACCGGAAGTAAACCTAGATTGAGAGGAAAGTCAGCCATGGTCCTAACAGTACCTTGAATCAATGATGCTACTTACGAAACTTCTGCCGGTGCTATTCGCACGGCGTCTCCATACTTTTCATGCAACTCTTGAAGCCATGAAACAACGTTGCCGCAGCGTGCGTTAACTATGTATGGAATACCGGATACGCGTGAGAGGAGAGGTCCCGGGATATGTTTAAGTGGATGGAAGAAGATGTTGTAGATGGCGGTGTACACACCATACAGGACAACCTGACTATTGTTAGTGACAGTGATGGGATTTAAGGTGGAGCCGAAAGAGAATCAAAGGACTCATGGTATACACTTACTGATGCGAGAAAGAGCCCAACTGAGGAACTGATGCCTGCAAGACTGGATAATCGGAAGCCTTCCGGGGCGTTAATTGTCGGATGCGCCATGATGATTCTCAAAACAATCGTAGATCTCAACTTGAGGGGCGTACAAGCTACGATACTCCACAGTGGCTACTGTCCTTATATATCACCTCTCATGTATGTAGGGTTCCTAGTTAGTCGAACCAGCGCAGTCGTGTCCAATAACTCGGGTGCGATTCGGGTCTCACATCAGCACACGGATGTGAGCAGAGAGGCTCCGCTCGATTACCTACATGACGCGTGTCATTTTCTGTGTTAGGGTTGATGATCAGCATACGTCGATATTTCCAGTAGTGGTGAAAAAGCGTTGACAGGCGGCTAATCCCGGTTGCTCCACTGCGTAATGCGAGGATCGCTAGTAACATTGCCACTTCTCGACAAGTATATACCTATAGTCGACCAGGCACATGAGCGGTAGCAATATTATCGGATACTAAATCTATAGTGATTCGCCAGGTAGGTGTTTAGATTTGCATTCGGTCTTTGCGACGCTCCGAACTCCGTAAAGAGCCTTCGGTTACTCGGCAACCTGGAAATAAGCTCCCAATACTACCTAATATTGAGCGCGCCAGTAATCATTTCTTATGAGTAGAACTCCTCCTTGCAGTAGTCGGTGTTGTGTCCCCTGCTACCCATTCTTGCTAAACTATTTCCCGCTTTTACGCCCGGTTGAGAGGAGACACACTCAGGAGAATCAAAGATGCCAATCAACACCCGCTGAAAGACTCCGGGACGTTTGCGGGCTGGTGATTACTGTCCTATTTTAGTGCTCACTGCGCTAGGGACCTTGACCAATCTCCTCGACTAGTCTTGTCAGCTCTATTTGAGTAAATCGCCTCAGGGAGTAAGACAAGTTTGAACTCTGAACCTTTGGTTTTTGTGTGGTGTCCATCAGAATGCTACAGAATACGACAAAATAAGAGAAGGTAATAAGCTCAGCTATGCGTGTTTAACGAAAGTGGTGGAAGTAGCTTGCCCAGGCTCAGCGATGCTGAGCAGATCCGGTACTCTCTGATGTTGTAGTAGTGCACTCACGCCATCATCCAGGGAGGAAGCTCCGAAAGACTGTGTGTGTACATGAGGTGACCACGCCTAATCAGCAGATGAGAGCTATTGGGGTGAGAGTATGGCTGTCACAGTCTGGCAGGGTTAGTAGCTCCAGACCCATGATTAACCTTCAACTGAGGAAGCCAACGAGGGTTCTGAGACCGTTGAAGCTTGCATATTGTTCCAGCAATCGCATCATATCTCTTGCATTCTGCCTGCTTATGTGGGTTTATGTCAGACCTAACACATCAGGCCGCCCTCGCTCGATTTGCTAGGCATGTAAGGCCTGATATGCAAGATCGTGTCCGACGCCTACCTGAGTAGCTCCCAAAGCTGGCCAAATCAACACCCTCGTTGCTTGTGTCGCATCGCAGGAGACCACCAATATCCTACAGTCGACGCTAGGACTTTCATGTCTCATCTTGTATTTGTCCGCCGGGTGGAGGTCGAAGGACTATTCACGATTAGCGACGCTGACTCTGCGCAGGGCGATAGTAGTGCTTACCCTGCTTGTGCAGTGTTCCATGTCTGCACGAATGCCCTGAATCTGTCAGCACTTCTCTCCCTAGCCTTTGCGCCTCAGCAGCATCCTTACTTCTGAGTCTTTTCCGCATATTCCTCAGCGCTAACTTCCTTAACCCCCACTTTCGCGCCATCCTTCGTGAAGACGACGTTCTTCTTCTCCATCTTGCGCGCGCCGCGCTCGGCCAACTCGTTCGAGTATATGTAGACCTGCAGTCGCGCAAACGTTAGTCGAGGCCTTGGAAGCAGAACACTTATATCTAGAGTAGTGCGCAGTTACCTGGTAGCCCACCCATGCCGCGCCGGCGACAAGCAAGAACAGAATAACCAACGGGACCAGATTTCCCAATGCGCCCATCTTGAGGATGACGTAGGGATAGGCGTGAAAAGTGGTGCGGGGTAGTGAGTGTGGGTACGTAAATGAACTCGAGGATAACAGAAAGATCGAAGAAAGAATTAGCTGACGCGACCGCTTATAATGATCTCACAAGCGCTATCGTCGTGGTTTGGTCTGTCGCACTTGAGCGGGCCAAACGAATTGCAGGGGCGCGAACGGGCCGTTGGTTCGCCATCCCCGACCCGTTGAGACAACCACATACGACAACTTACTGATAGACAGATTGACCGAGGTTGACATCAAACCTCATATTCATATTTCAACCTATTTTTCGAATGTGCTAACAAAACCGATTATGCGACAGCTGTGGGTAGAGGATGAAGAGCAATACATAACTTCATAGGGTGTGAAGGTGACGTGTGTATTGAATTGGTACCAAGATGCAACCAATCTAGGTGTCTTACCGCCAGAAAAGTTAAGGTACATTGTGAGTGTCTTAACGGGACTTGATATGGCGCTGGTCAATCTTTAATCGGTCCTGACGGACATGTTCAAGAGCTTGTGAGAGCTTCTTCACTTTCAACGTATTCGAATCTAAAATATGAAGCCGAATATGGACTATCCATTCATAGCTCAACATCGTAGGAATTTTAGTAGCATTACAAGTAAAGGAAGTAAGAAAATTTCCGTACACCACCGGGAAGACATAGTCGCCTCGCATTCCAGACTGGGTAGCATAAGGATTTGGGACACTACCTCTTCAACATATCCTGTTTCCTCGATTCATAACCGATCGACGCAATTCGTTCTTCAGCAATTTCCTAATCCGCTATATTCGTTATTTCTTCCAACCAGATCTTGTCAATGTGTTCCATCGTTTGGATTCCAATCCGGTTCAGCAAGCTCGAACCCACTCTCTGCAAAACCCGGTGCCACCGTCGTACCAACTAAAGTCCATTCCCCAAGACTCCTAGCTCTCTGCCACTGGTTACCTAGAATTACAATCTGAGGTAATTGATTCTTGAGGATATCGTCACCGAGGATCTTCTGCTGAGTCGCCGTGCCGTTGTTCCAAGACAGCTCGAGCGTAAGGGGAGCACCAGCCTGATACTATCAGCTACGAAGCTAGTATGCACATGTTGGACTTACGTAGTGATGCCAAATCTCTACAGCGTCGACCTTGTGCCAGTACGATGAACCAACCTTGCCCTCTAATAGGTAGTAGATGGCGGTTGAGTATGAGCGATTGTTGACGGTGCTGGGGTCTTCGAATGTCTCGATGTAGTATCCTTTTTCTATGTTCGGTACGAGATTGAGCTTCTTGATGATGTCTTGTGCGCTTACGCGTTTCGAAAGCACTGCAGGCACATGAAACATCGATACCGCCAGTAAAGCCGACGTGATGAGACGCATGATGAGAACAATATCAAGTGAATAATACTAAACTCAATTGACAAACGTGTATCGCTGCAAAGTCGCTCGTCGATTCTAGGGAGATTTTGGAACGTCCTGAGAAGGACGACAGCTGCTGAACGTGCATTTAAGACCGTACCTGAGAGTCACTATAACTGTCTAATGCAAGCAATCTACAACTTATTGGCTAACGTAACCCAGTCGCATGGGTCTATGCACACTGCAGGCGGCCCTACGATCCTTCAAGTTTCGAACCTTTCCTATCCCGACTACATGTCTACTAGGATCTGGCTGACATTTCTCAATTGCGAAGCAGCGAGTTAGATCATGCTGGCTCTGTGAGAAGAGGAATATCTCCGCATTAAGAGATGTTTAGCTCGGTAACTTAGTACTGCTCTCGGGCTCTCATTGTTGCAGAATGTGATTTCGCTTTCTTGTTCATGACAAGTCTTTGCTACTGACGCTCTTTTGGTCAACGTAAAAGCACAGATCGAAGTCACACAGACTGGCTATGCCCAACAAGAAGTCGCAGCACCAACATAACAACGTGTACGCCTCCAAGTAGTTGGATCAAATCGAATCAAAGCTCAAGAGCAGATGCCCTGCGTTTGGTGAGTCTAAGGATTAATCTCCTAATAGTTACCAGACGCGTCATCCGATGATCCAAGTCATAGGTGTAGTCCCAGATCTACATCTTAACCAGAGACAGTTGTCAGAAACAATCGAATGTTTTCCCAAGAACAAGTTGAAAAGGTATTGCTAGAGAGAGAAAAAATTGCTAGACAGATACTCCCGACAAACCAGGAAGCCTTCATGCTGCTCACTTCCACTCTACGCCCCAAGTAACCTCTCCCTTCCTAAACGGCACAACCTGCACGCTCACGCCATCCTTCTGCAGCACATCAATAATCTTCCCTTGGTTCCTCCTCAGCAGAATCTTCTCGCTCTTCTTATCTTCCACGCCGTAGAAGTTCCTTCCCCAAGCGCTGAAGAACCCCTCCAGCACCTCTTTAGTAACATCCTCCTCCTTGACCACACCCCTCTCGACACCCACCTCCAGCGCATCGAGCACATACCCCACAGCATAAGGCTGCGTGAACACCCCCGCAGCGACCTTATCCTCGCCCCTCTTCTTCACACGGTCATGAGGCGCGGAGTCGGTTCCGAGGAAGAAGCGGCCGTTGCTGCCCACGACTGCTTTGAGAAGGGCATCGCGATCCTCTGGCGTTTTGGCAACGGGTTTGCAGAAGCAGAATGGGTCGCCCGCCCAGTCGTCGATGATGAGCGAGAGGTGGTGCGCGGTGATTGTGCCGGCGACTGTGGGGCCGCAGGCACTGACTGCTGTGAGCGCGGCAGCTGTACTGCAGTGCTCGAGGATGATGCGTAGCTTGGGGAAGCGCTGGTGGAGGGCTTTGAAAGTGGGCAGGAAAGCTGGCTCCGCGTTGAGGATGGTGATGGCGTTCTTGTCCTTTGTGGCTGATGTGTGGGCTTTGGTGGGTGTGGAAGGTACCTCGCCGTGCAGGTTGAGGACCATGTTCTGCTTCTCCATTTCCTCGAAGACGGGGTAGAAGGTCTCGTAGTCGATGACTCCGGAGGAAGAATTCTGTTCGTCTCAGCCATAGACGATATTGGAAAATTTGGAAAACTTACCGTTGTGACACCCGCTGGGTAAGACTTTACGCCCATGATGCCAGCCTTCTTCGCCTCGCGGATCACCTCCGGGGTAATAGATTCATGGAGATAGAGAGACATGAGATAGTCCACATTAGGTTCAATCGCGCGAAGTCGATCGCGATACTCGAGGCATTGCTGAACAGTCGTAACGGGCGGGACCAAGTTCGGCTAGGAAGATTCAATAATCACCCATGAAAAGCTTCAAAAAGACAGCAAGCGAACAACACAAATTGAGCAGAGAAATTCAGAAACGATAATGAAGGAATGACCGACGCACACGCTTGGAGTCAGGGTATCATCTTACCATGACATACACCTGATTCACACCACCATCGCGAATCGTTGGCGTAACGAGCTGTGACATCTCACCATCTCGTAGATGCACATGAGCATCAAACGCCGCTGGCAACTCGATCTCACTCAATTTAGTGAATGACATGGCGGCAACGATGTCAAAGTAGCTATGGAGTACAAGGACTCTTGTGGCTGTTTGAGAATTTTGAGGTTGCTGCGGGCAAGTTCGGTGGGCTATGATTGGATGTTGAGTGAGATCAACCGTTAGGTAAACCAAGCAAGCCAGCCACAACTTCAACAAACCATGTTTCTCAAGCATTGTGTAGTCAAGGTAGCATCGCAATCGAACAGCAATTAATGAGTATTGTCCTGTATATATTATTTTTGATGTCTTTTTGAGTATTTCATATGCCGTATACAGGCGTAAAGACTATGCAAAACAGCAGGGGGGTATCAACATCATCCCAGTTCCCAAACACCAACGCCGAAAATGCGAGTATTTCACAAAAACACCTCTTCCCAGATTATAGCCAAGAAACAGGAACAGAACCCATCAAAACGCAAAATCATCCGCCTACTCTGTCTTCTGCATCTTCAATGCCGCTCCTGTAGAGTCGCTCGCTCTGGACCTCTTCAACTTCGCACGGGGCGATAGACTCTCACTTTGTCTTTTGTTACCCACGCTCACGTCATAAACCTCTCCAGCAGCGGTCAGATCGACCGGAGAGTTGAATCCGCTGCCCCCAGCAGCCGTAGCTGCTGAGCTACCAGCAACAATCTCCTCCGCAAGGCGATCCGCAATAGCGGCATCGTACTCGCGCTCGGAAGCGCGGATCGTGTTGGGATCGAGTTGGCGGGCTGTAGCGAGGAGATCGATACTGCCGTCATCGCTATCATCAGAGTATTCGGATTCTTCATCCGAGCCTTCTTCGGTGACGTTATCTGCACGAGATCGTCCACTTGCAATGTATACGTTAGGGAGCTGGAGGGCAGTGTCAAGGCCATCACTCGAGTCTGATCCTACTTCGGATGAGGCATCAGAATCGTAGTCCGAGTCGATGGTTTCAGAATATGCTGAATCGAAGGGAAGGAAGGAGGCAGGCGGGAGGGCGGAACTGGGCAGTGACTTTCGTGATGCAGAAAGAATCTGTTCCCTGATCACTCGTTGAGGGGAGCTAGTAAACGATGCTTTCATGTCTTTGGCAGACAGTTGCATTTTCAATGCATCGAGGATCTTCTTCGGGTAGAAATTCGACTTGCAGCGAGCAACGGATCCAAGAGTTGATGTCTGTGTCTGCGAACGTCGCACGCGAATGGTAAAGTTATCATCTGGGTGTACGCCTCCTAAACCCGAGGCTTCGAAGTTCATTGCATCAGGGCTGTCATTTCCATTACCGCTGCCGTAGCTCAAAGAGTCTAGTGAAAAGCCAAAGCTTCCTTCGCTGTACATAGTGCGAGAGCCGTCTCGTGAGTCGACATCCATAGGTTCAACATCGAGCGGACCTCGGGACTCAATGGAGTCAGACAAGCAGTTTTCTGGCGAATGACTGCTTGATGGGGCACCAAGCGGTTGGCTGACCATGGCCTTGTAGAGTCCAGGGCTAGTAAGAGAAGCTCCCAAACGGTCACCAGTAAGGTCAGTGCAAAACCTAGCCCTGTTATAGAAAATGATTGGTCCATCGTCGCGTCTTCTCCTCGATGAGGAGCTATTCATAGCAGAGCTGCCCATTCCTGAAGGGTTGCCCGGTTGTGGTGGTTGTAGCAATGAGGGATTGTAGAAGTCGTCCTCATCATCGGAATCCTCCTTGTGGAAGAAGAGTGGTGTATATGCGAGTTTGTTCCGTTCGTTTGCACGCTTTGCTCGCGCAACTTGCCTAGCGTGTTGTTCGGCGTTCGAGGGTAATCCACTGCTTGCTCCGCTGTTGCCAGTCCTGATTTGCTTCAAGGGAGAGTCGAATCCAGGCACATGATCGGGCGGTGAGTTGCCGCTGTACCGTTCTGATGAGCCATCGCTACTTTGCGTGGTGATATCGTAATCACCCTTCCACCGTATCTTGCGTCCATCGGGCGAAAGCTCCAAGTGGCTGCTGTAGTCGGTCACTGCATCCTTGACGAAGTCGGGAGTGACGTGCAGTGTATGGAGTTGGGCCATGTTGATGAGTAGGTTGAGATACAGCCAACCATGTCCTTCCTCGGGCACTTCTCCGGAGGCCATATCTGGCGGTGTGAAGCCAAGATGTCGGAAGTAGTCCATGTTTTCCAGTGGAAACTGTGCGCGATAAGGATCGAGATCAAGGGGTCTAGTCGGGCGTTGATCAGGCGACGAGCCTGAGCCCGCAAAATCTTGTTCGGAGACATGTAGGTTTGGATGGAACTTCTGGAGGGTATCAGCCTGGATCGGGATGTCTCCCTCTTCTTCAGCCATGAATTGAGCTTCGCGCAGTCCTTCTGGTCGGGAACCTCGGCCAGTCGCTTCCCGTTCGCGTCGGTCTGCTGTCGCTGCTGATTGAGCCACTTCCTCTTGCTGCATGGGCTGCGGATGGTTCCCAGACATCGATCGCTTCCCAGCGAATATTTGCTCCAACCGCCGCACTACCAACTGCTTCTTCGACTTCTCTGACATTGTCGTGTCGTATCTTGGGAGCAAACCGAGGGGAATGTCGTGCAGATATGACTGGATGCTCTGCTGCTGACGACCGTAGGCCGACTTGGTCATCTTGCGGTCGTGTTCGGTGGTGTTCAGGGTCTGGTTCGACGGTGCAGACGAGTTCTGACAAGAGGCAGTCAAGGAAGCATATCCAGACTCGGCCGTCCGTTGGTGCTCCAAGGTGGGCACGCGAGAGATGTGCGGGTACTCCTTGTCGGCGTCATCATCGAGCCCGGCGGCAAACTTGCGTAATGTCTCTTCCAGCTCCTTCTTCTTGTGGTCGGACAGACCGTGAAACCGCACCTCGAACAGCTTGTCTTCCTCGAGATGGTCGTCGTAGAGTTTCTCGTACTTCTTCAGCTTCTGCTTCAGCTTCTTGTTTGCGACGGTCAAGTCGTCGATGACGCCGCGGAAGTCTTCGGTGCTGCTGCCATCTGTGCCAAAGTGGACGAGCCCAGGCCGGTATGGCATCGACGAGTACATGCGGGCATCGTGGCTCTCGAGGCCGTTGGGCGGACTCTCTGACGACGAGGAGTTGCGCAGGAAGAACGGCGGGTCGTTGTTGACATACAACGCACTGCTCTGGCGAGCGTCGTTGTTGGTCTTCTCGAACCACTTGCCGGCGTCGCTGCTCTCGCCGGAGCTGTGCTGGTTGGTGAGGAGCTGGGGCGAGATGCTCGAGATGCTCGAGGGGGGGTTGGCCCGGTCGCTGGCAGGCCCGTCCGTAGAGCTCAGTGTCGAAAGTTGCTGGTCGAGGGTCGTTCTCAAGTTGCAATACGATGCAGCCGGCGGACCGTGGCGGAGAGAGACGGACTGGTGTGCTGGGCGGCGGCGGGGGTGCTGTGTGCTGCCTGCAACAGACACTTTGCCAGGAGGATCGTTCATGGTGATAGGCGACGCGCCGTGGCGGCTGGCGGGCTATAGTTACAACGCGAGTCTAACTGCCATGTACGCAGGGATGGCTGATCGTTCGGCTCCGCGGAATGCCTGGTAACTGTGGTACTCCCAATAGAGAACGGTCGATGTGGTTGTTTTGGACTTTTAAGATGGTGGACGTGTACGTTGGAGGTGGCGGAACGACAATACTATCGTGTGGCCTGAATGGCACGCATAGGAGAGCCGCAAGCGTACTCCTAGAGCCATGGTGATGAGCATCTCGCCGTGGCAGCTTTTCTCGATCAACCGCGATGCACAGAATGCGGAGATGCTCTCGCGATCGGGGAACGCTAAGGCAAATCTTAGCCCCGTCTGGACATCGTCGATGAACCTTCATTCTAACACCATCCAGCCCGGACGAGACCGTGTCATAATTTCGGCACTCGATCCGCACACGATCTGTGATCATGGATTCCTCTGCTCTGCCCTCGCTCGTCCGCATCGATCTTGTCACGTCCCATGTCAGCATCACCAATACTCTCGGTGCGCCGCGCCCCAGTCGAGCATCGAACGAGTATCAACAACCCCATCGTCTGCCCCATCGACGTCTGGACAACGCACTGGACGGTAACTGTGAGATGGCTGTACCAGCCACCGCTACAAACGATTGATGCTGCCCCAACGGCCACACGTGTACGATCGAGATCGCACACAGCAGGCCCGCAAGCCATGAAGCTAGGTATCCTCCACCATGTCACAAAAGGCAAACTCAGCCGTTGGACCCTGGCTACCTGCCGATTCGATCAGATGTGAGTCGTAACTAGTCTCGCGGCTGACAGCGCCACCACAACGAGTTTCATCCCACAAGGTTACTCGTTGGTGCGTTTCAATCGACAACAAGGTGCGCATCGCTTGCTGCTCTTCAGTGCCTTGGGACCCTGCATTGCATCCTCGGGACTTTAGAGCCTAGAGCGGTGATCGTCGATGGCCTTGCATGGACCAGGGACACATCAAGGATTAAACACTTCATAAGCCTTGCAGTGTTTCCTAGAGACCATTTTTAAGACAGAGCTTGTTGTCAGCGGTTGTGAGCATCGTCGATCCCAGGAGAGAATGACGTGGTACTTGGACTAGCTGAGAGGAGACGCCCGGATGAATAGCAGAGCGGCAAAGCACCCATCGAAACCAAGTAGGCAATCGACATCCATCGGCAGCGAAAAAGGCAACCGAGATGGAAACACGTCGGGCTCTTGTACCGATCAAATACCTACCTAACTGGTTCTGCCTCTGGCCATCCTGGACCTGGACAATGCCGTCATCTCTTCGCACGATCCAAATTACCAAAACCAATATATCTACCCTTTCGATACCTAGTTCCCTCAAGCGTTGTTCCATAAGTGGCTGTGCAAACCACGACATGGAACGTTCTTGAAGTGGGGACCATGGCGCTTTTCTCCGAACCAACTGCGTGCGCACAGCGAGATCGACAACGGCAGATATCATATCATCGGGGCCTGTATAAACTGCATGAGCCGCATGAATGGACCACAACGCAGCGTTTACAACGAAACCCAACACCGAGCCTATCAAATTCAGTTTCTCCTCTTCAATTGATTGTCACTGGCTATCTTTTTCCGAGCTTTGTGAGTTACACGGATCGACTCAGACTCATCACCGATCCTTACGTGTGTACATGGGGCTGGTGAGACGGTGTGGTGGATGGATGAGACGATGTCGCCTGACGTTATTGCGGTTCATTGGGCGCAGGAGGGTAGTGAAGAGTCGATGGGTAATATTGTAGTCAAGCATGTTTCCTGCTGCTGTAGACATCGCTTGGCAGGCGCCATTGTCGGTTCATTTTCCATGTGAGGTTAGTACACGTTGAAAGCGTGGACGGGAGGATGGTGAGAGGCGACAGAAGACTGTTTCGTGGTAGTCAAGGTGAGAGTAAAGTCACTCGTAAGTTCCTCACCAGTAAACGGCAAGCGCGACAGGCCCACACTCCCACTCTTGCAATCCCTAAACTTTGTCCTGCTGCCTCACTCTTCTAGCTGCCAGAGCAGAGCACATTGAATTCACAGGCAACAAGTTTGCAACGTTCTTTTCACTATCTCGGTTGAGCGAACTTGCCTCCTCGACAACAGAGAGCAGTCTCCTCTCATTGCAACAGCCAGAGAAGAACATCTCATCTGCAACTCCATGGCTACGGCACGTCGTCCTGTAGGTACAGTCTAGTTCAAACAAACGACACCCCATACGTCTCCCGCATAGCTCTACCTAAGGTATAACAAACAACACCCATGCACGGAATCATCTAGTGACTTTACCTGCGGCTGTCGCAACTGCGATGAGGTTGATTTAGTGTTGCCCTACACTCCTAGGCTAGCATGGTATTTGGGAGGTCACAAGTCATTGCGGATGCTTGGTCTTCTTTACCAATGCATACAACAGCAAATCGTGAGATCTAAGTAAATCAAGGATTCTAATCATTCTTGACGTCAATCAACAATGACCCAATTGTCCAATGTTGTTTTGAAGACAGCGCATGGCTTGTCGAACGCCTTCAGTCATCAAATTCATATCTCTAGGTCACAGATCATGACATCTCGAACATTGTGGTTTTGGCCCAGACACAGAGGTTGGTATGTTCGAGGCAACCATATTCATGCTGCGTTTCATCCTGCCTTCCCTAGATGACTATGTCAAGACTCAGTCAAACAGGCACACCCTTACTCCTAAGGACATTCACAGTCGAGTGTCCCGTGTAACCAACCCATTCACTCAATGCCCCCATGAACCCACCAACTTTCCTCAAATCCTGCAGCCTGTTGTCCAGAAACTGCTCCGTCTCGATAAAGTCGGGCGACTTGTCCTGCGTCATGAACACTTCAGTGGCAGAGTATATTGTGGACAGACTAGCGCGTTTCGTGTACCAGCTGCTGTCGACGCTTTGATCGCCCGACAGGAACCAGATCTCGTCTGCGAGGCTTGCGAGCTCGGACAGGGAGGCAGGGATATATGAGGGCTGGGCCATGATGGCGAGTGCCTGACATTGTCAGCATCATGTAGTGTCAAACCTCGGAGAGGAATTGATATACCTCCTGCCAACGATGCACAACCGGCTCGTTTGCACGCAACCGTGCCAGAGTCAATGCCCTGACTTTTGCGCCTACACCCATCTTCTTGCCCTGCTCAGCCTCATCTGGGAATTGTACGTTGTCCGCCAATGCCAATCGCTGCGTGACCAGATGGTAGTTCACCAGATCAAACACACCTCTTGGCAGCAGATTCGTCGATGCATCTAGGTAGCCAGCATCGCGTGCCCCGAGCTTCAGCGCATCGATTGTGAAGCCATGGGCCGGGACATGTGCATATGCGGAAGAGAGGATTGCGGACTCGGCGGGCGGGAATGGTGGCGGTGCGGCGTAGTCGTACGAGTGGTATGCACAAGTCTGTCTATAGACGACTGCTGGACGACGTGAGGCAGCTCGGAACGATCCGAGAAGTGAATTTGCTAATCGCGTTGGCGGCATGGCTGTGGCTGCAGAAGTGCGATCGGGGTCGATGTGGAGAGCTCGTCGAGCTTCCGAGTATCTGATTAGATCGCTATCGTGTGGATCGGGACCATGAGATCGATCTGAATGCCGATCAGGGTCGGCTTGCAGTGCGTTCAGTGCGTCATTGAAACGATGGCGGGCTGGCTGTACGACATTTGTCACGCCACAGACTGATGGCTGGAGCGGTCTGGTCTGGTCTCAAAGTGCGAGTTCATTTCACGTGACGATCGCGTTCGACGTGACACGCTAGTGGCAACGCGTAGTAGGTATGCAGGCTGCAAGATCTCAGGTTCCCCTGGCACTGACATTTGATCTTCAGGTTCAATATTATTTTGGCCCTTCCAGTCTTGATCGCGCGATTCATACTTTCTCAACACGGCAGCGAGGCAACGTCAATTTTGGTTCTAGATCCCGAGTTTCAATTGAGCACCCTGACACGAAGACGACATGGCGCGCAAAGAAAAGGCAGAAGTCAGCGAATATGAGCGCAAGAGGCAGGAAAACATTGCGAAGACGCAGGAATTGTTGCGAAACCTCGAACAAGAAGCTGCGCAGGCTGGCTTAGGGCCTTCCAAAACGCGCGCGTCATCCACAACGAAGTCGAAAGCGAAGAAACCTGCGCCCAAGAAGATAAAGCAGGAAGACGTTGGGCCACGGCGAACATCGTCACGTCTGAAGGGCATTGAGGCGGATAGTGACAAGGCGAAGCGCAAGGCGGAGGAAGAGTATGACGCGTTACGCGAAGCCGATCGGGCAAAGAGACAGCGCGTCAGCGGTGCATTTAGACTCAGTGACATTGTTGTTGCTGGCAAAGGATGGGATCAAAGTGGGAACTTCTTGTCTATCGTTGGGCCTGCGAAGCCATATGAGCGCACGTTTGACTTTGACGATGTGAAGGAGACCACGGACAAGGAATTGAGAGCATTGAGGGAGAAGATGAGCGGCTTAGAGCTTTGGGAGGACTTTGAACCAAACGAGGTAGGTCACCACCTTTTCACAATTGCAAAGTGGCGCAAGAGCTGACGTACGTTCACGTACAGATCAAAATCACGCCCGAGCGAATATACGCCATGGGCCTTCACCCAACAACCGAAAAACCTCTAGCCTTCGCAGGAGACAAGCTGGGCAACCTCGGAATCTGCGATGCCTCACAAAAGGTCTCGGTGAAACAGGAGGAAGACGACGAAGACGCCGACATAGAAGGACCAACAATCACTACCCTTAAGCCGCACACACGTACAATACACACCTTCCAATTCAGCCCGCACGACGCAAACGCACTCTACTCCGCTTCATACGACTCCACAGTACGGAAACTCGATCTAGCAAAGGGGGTTGCAGTCGAAGTATACGCGCCATCTGATCCAAATGAGGATGCGCCGTTATCCGGTCTTGAGATCACCCAGAACGACCCACATACGCTATACTTTTCTACTCTTAATGGTCAATTCGGAATATACGACATGCGCACACCGGCCTCAACAGCAGACGTTTTCCAGCTCTCAGACAAGAAAATCGGAGGCTTCAGTCTGCACCCCCAGCATCCACACCTCGCGGCCACGGCATCTCTGGACCGCACTCTTAAGATCTGGGATTTGCGCAAGATAACTAAGACGGACGGGGAGCGGCTTCCGGCATTGGTCGGCGAGCATGAGAGCAGACTTTCCGTTTCACATGCGGCGTGGAATTCGGCGGGGCAGGTTGCTACCGCGAGCTACGACGATACGGTTAAAATCTACGATTTCGGGAACTGTGCCGATTGGGGGGCTGGGAAAGAGTTGACGGAGAGTGAGATGAAACCCACGACTATTGTGCCTCACAACAATCAGACTGGACGATGGGTTACTATGTATGTTGTCCACTTTTCCTTAGTGAGAATAAGCGTGAGAACTGACAATGTATACAGATTACGAGCCCAGTGGCAACAGTTCCCGCAAGATGGTGTCCAGCGCTTTTGCATTGGTAACATGAACCGGTTCGTCGACATATATACTGCGAAAGGTCAACAACTGGCGCAGTTGGGTGGTGAGGGCATCACTGCGGTGCCGGCTGTTGCTAAATTCCATCCGACGCTTGATTGGGTCGCAGCTGGTACTGCGAGTGGAAAGCTGTGTTTGTGGATATAATTTTGGTGTACGATACCCCGAACAACGATGATGTCGTTTCAATTTTGTACCTTGGTTCGTTTGAGCTGGAGTTGGAAGATCCAATCAACAACGAGTTGCAAAGCCATTTGGAATACATCTGTTGGTTACAAGGCGAGGGCCTCGATATTCGGTTGACAAAATGTTCAGACATACATATTTCCTGCTCACGCATTCCGATCATGACGCACCAGATAACACGCCGCGTTGTCTTGACTACCGTTGAGCGGCTAATCGACAACACGCAGAGTCGAGTGTTGACGGGAAGTAGCAAGTAGACCAGCAGAGGCATATCGAAGGAGAAGGACATCCGATGTGGCTGTCACCGTTGGCTGCTATAGGCAGATGCTTGGCAAACCTGGCGTAAAAGAGCACACATTCTCACAAACGACATTAGAGATGAGCGGAAGTTCAGCAATCGTCTGCTGGCTTGTTTGAAGCTGTAACTTTGCCAACTTCCAAGGAGAAGATGTTCCCCATACTCAACGAAAGGCTGGTGGCTTATGCAATGTCATGGCCAAGTTCAGACATGACACCAGGGCAGACCCTGTGTACATAGTAGAATTATTAAGGGGTTGTTTGAGAGGGGTATCAGTCGATTGTAAGAGTTGTACTGTTCAAGTAGTATGGGGTATCTCATCTCAGTCTTGAGAGGACTTAGGAGGGTTTGATCGAAGACGGTATGCTTTCACTCTGATACACGATGTATCTGCGATGTTTGTATTTCGTAACAAAGCTATCCGTCAGTTATACTTGAGTGACGTCAAACTATAAGCCAAAGAGTTCTGATTGGGGGTGTTACCAGTATAATCCAGGCAGGATGGAGGGCTGAATATCACCGCGCATCGCTAGATAACGGCGTTAACGCAAAGTGATTGGCCGGCGCTTGCCTGGCACAACCGTGCACGCACAATCAAGAAGTTGCTCATGTCTTGCATGTGCCATACATTGCTCGGCTGACGGCAGATTGTGCAACCACAAACGAAGACCAATTGCTTGATTTTCTGCATCCTCTCAAGTCGCACAACGTGAACTCCTCGCTGCTTTCAATATGCCCACAAATGCTTTCCGCGCTCCCACCCAGCTTCGTCTACCACCTGCAGCCAACGTCCCTGAACTGGGCCATAGCTATCAATACTAAATTCATTGAGGAGGGCGCATACGCACAGTTTCTACTAGCAATAGCATAGCACTGCAAGCATACGTAGTATGGTGGGTAGAAAAGCAGCCGTTTCTTCCACACCGTCCTGATCGAACATGTGGTTGGGTGCTGATCGTCGTGTATGGAGCTAGGCGGACAACGGCGAAGTTTCTCAAGATGACCAGTCGCGACCTCGACATCACAGTCCTCAGCCAGGTATCTCGGATGTGCGTCGTGAGGGTGTGAAAGATTCATCCAGTGGTCAGCCTGTTGAAAGCCCACGCGCACACCGCCGTCCTTCGCGCACCCATTCAGTCACCCAAGATTCCGCACGGTCCATATCCCCATACGAAGACACGGATAAGGGACGTGTCAAGAGAAGCAAGCAAGATCGAAACATGTCGAAGAAGATTACCCGAAGTGACTCTGTCCAAGACTATACGTCATCGGTATCACAGTCCGGGGAGCTGAACTGGGAAGAAGACGCCGATGCTTTCATCCCAAAACTCGGTCAAATCCTGGAGGATAGAGAGAATAGGCCGTCGAAGAATCGTGCCAGTTCTACAGTCAGTTCCACGGTCAGCTCTTCAGTGGATCCTCGTGTTCGTCGCCGTCGTCGAACTGAAGACAGCGATCTGGGTCATTCACGAGTCCGAGAGAAGCACAGCTCATCACGGCGGCGCCATGAGAGTCTGGCTAGCCAGCCGAATTCCTCTCTAGGCTTGAATCTCTCTGGATTAACACAGCAGCCTAACACGTCTAATGAAAGTAACTCCACTATCACGCAGCAGTACTATCATGGCCAGGGCTATCACATCGAGCCCTACGAAAAAGAGAGACTGTCTATGCCTGCGAGTGCGAATAGCCCGACAGTGAGTGAGATGGAGCCTGCACAATCTAACGTATTTCAATACATGACCAACGACCCTATGCCTGAGCAATTTGTGGGTGGAGTTCCTCACGGCGTTCGACCTACTGCTTCGTCCTCGTCTTCATTCGAAGCTTCTCACACTCAGGATGGCTCGTCTTCTAACGCGGAGGAAAACCAGCATTCGAACATTTCACCAGCAACCTCGCCAGCTTTGACACGAAGATCCAACAGTGATGTATCACACCGTCGTCGCCGTCGTCAGCATCCACGTGATCCTAAAGTGCCTCTCTATGCAAGTAGCTTCGTTCATGGCCATGGTAGTCAAGGGGGTGATTCGGAAAATGTTGAGAACGAGGAAAGTAATGAGGAGGGCAGTACGGAAGAACACAATGCGAATTCCTACCCTGTCGATACCCATTACGCGCACCCTGCCGCGAGGAACGCTCATCCCAGAGTTTCTTCATCCTCTTCTGGAAATAGTGATCTGCACTCCAGACGTCTTCGACAGCAAGAGCGAGAGCTTGCTAGCCACATTCTCCAGAACCCTCAACCTCAAACAGATGTTCACCTCGGTGACGCGTCCTCTCCAAACCCATACCCTTCGATACCTTACTACGAACCGTACTCTCCGGCAGGTGCACCGCCACCAAACCTATATGCTACAGGGCAGATGTGGTCTCCTATGCCGCCTATGCCGCCTCCGCTACAGATTGCATACACACCGCAGTCTCCGGAAACCACATATGGTGTACCAATGGCTCTGCAGCATCACATGGTTGCTCCCGATGCCTTGGTCTCACAAGGCACCCCTGTATACCCACCAAACTATCTGCCATATACTCCAGAACCGGATTTGACCAAGACCACGGTAGTGGGATACGAGCTTCTCGCTGACAAGTTGAATAAATCTTCCAAAAGCAATGGTCATCTCCCACGAGTGGGGCATATCGCACCTTTGTACCGCAAATTCGGAAACTTGAATCATCGGGTTCTGCTTCATCTACAAGACGAGATCAGTGAATTGGAAGAAGAGCTTCGCTATCTCGACGAGTCTATCGCCCAGACCTCATCCAGGGATGAAGCAGGACATATCCACCCTGCCTCGAGGCGAGGTGACGCCCGCAATGGTAGCGAGTTGTCTTGTAAAAGAACGGAGCTGCTCGGCCGCATTTTCCAAAAGATAGGACAATACAGTAAGTGTGATGAAACATTCCTTCCAGTAGAAGACTTGATTGACACAATCCAGATAAAGCACTATCTTCGTTTAGCAACGTGATAAACAACTTGGAGCCTGCTAGCACGGAAGACATCCGTTCTTATCGCAAATGGATGGAAAAGCGTGCGCCAATCGACCATGCAGAGTCCCGCTTCCTTGAGCGCAAGGATGACCTCGTTAAGGTTTCGCGAACAAAGCCTGCAAACGCCAGAGATGAGCAACCACATTCCGCAGTAGTCTGGCTTCCGCTAGTTCTTGTGCTTCCTCTCATGGCGTTCGCGATGGTGCCCAACCTGCTTGGACGACTCTTCGTTCTTCTGCTTATCGGCGCCACTGAGATCATGTTGGTCACGTCGACACCTGGGCTGATGAACTTCATGACCGTCCAGGAATGGACCGGTATTGCCTCCATGTAAGTTGATTTTTCTTTGCACGCTTGCCTACCGAGTGACCGGCGACCAATGACGAGTTGGCTGGGAGTTGGTGCTTTGTGGGGTGCAAGCGCCACCAGTTGTGAGCAACGGTGCCGAAACTCTGGTTGACCCCGAATCCTGAGACGCGTGAAACCCCAAGAGGAGTTTGAGACCAAAGTCACTCTCCCTGCACTCCTACACGCTGCGCACATTACTCTCAAATCCTGAACCTGTTCCTGCGTCCTTAGATTTCTTGAGCTTGGAGCTGATGCACGTTAGCTATTTCGGAGTAATGGCGCTGCTCGCCGCCCTTACGCACTGACTCTGACTCGGGAACTGTGGACGGGCCATGTCTGGCGCCACGAGATCGACGCGCATAGACAGGTGTTGAGCCAGGCACACCCGTCTTGCCCGACGGCGTCCTTGGATTGCGGAGTTGTTCGCTTTGCGCGCCTGTCGTTTTGTTTGTGCGCATGGCGTCATCTTGTGTTGATAGGGCTTGCGACACTGTGTTTTGGGCTCCATTGCTTTTGGAGCGGCGTTCACGGCTGGGAATATTAATATGATTTTATGAGAATGGTCCGATTGGTTGTATGTTGGTACTTGGCAAGTCCATTCGGAACTCACGGACGACGGCCTCCAAGGTAGGCTCCGCGGAAGCCGAGTTGGTGATATCAAGAGCAGATACGGAATGCCAGAACCGTGGCGTGATGTTCATTGAGAGTTATGCTTGGAAGCGGCATAGTAGATGTGTTTGTTGAATCCCCCGCTCGTTGTTACTACTGGTGTGTGGGCGTGTGGCGCGGGCATTGAGTTTCCATGATCAAGCGTGAGCCGCTGCAACGGTACCAGGGTGTAGGTATTGCGATAGTCATATAATCATGGTGGCTTGCCAGCTGCAGGTGTGCCATGGTCGCGTCGCGTGTATTTTGGAGGCAGCATCTCGATGTCATTGAGGCAATATGCGGTACATTGAGTAATACAGCTTGATCGAGATAAGTCAAGCCCATATCAAGACGAAGGATTGCTTGTACAAGCACGGCAGCAGAGTTCAGGGCGGCAGTGTGACAAGGTCTGCATTCCAAATCCAATTATGCGCCAGGCCAGGCAATGCGCGTCTTCGTGGCTCTCTCTTCTGGTCTCTGGTCTCTGTCTCTGTCTCTGGTGGATGACCAGCGGCCCGCCGCAGGACTGCACACGAGCGCAGAACCATGGATCCAGCAGAGGCCTGTCCGTCTTGAGTCTTGACGTTCGGCCGTAGCCTGCTAGCGCCAGGAACCAGCGCAGGCCCTGTCTGCTTTGGGTCGTGATGCTCGGATAGGATAAGGGGGGCATGGGTGCAAATAAAAATCACCGCACCTGACCAAGGTTTCAGATGGGCTGGGCGGCGTATGCGAACCCTGCGCTGGGCCCTGTGCCTGTCCGTGAGTGGGCAGCTCCCCTCGCGGTGTCTTTGTGCCGTTGTTGTCGACGTTGCCGATTGCGAAGACCCTCGCCCGCCGTCTGCAGCTGTGGACCTTGTGCATGCTCTCCACAGAGCCCCTGGCCCACCGCCTGCCTAACGCGCTGAAACACTGCTCCTTCCCGCCCATTGCTCTTGCCCTGCGAGACTACTAGATACACTCGACGCCTCTACCCGTCCGCCTGCTGCACCGCACCACGCCCTCCCTCGCCCATTTGCCTCGAGACGCACTGCACGTCTGGAATGCTGCAGGAGTCGACCTGTCCCCTCGCCGTCTGAGCCCCGCACCTGCCTGTCGCGTTGCCCACGGAGACCCACCCACCATTCAGCGCGCGCGGACCCTATCTGCCACGCCTAGGACCCAAGATCTTGACCCGGACCCGCAACCCGTTCGCGAGCCACGCCCCCAGCACCTCGACTGCATCGTCGCTGCCACAACACCGAGAAAGACTCGCGCATCCCACACCAAGCGCCACGGCGCTGCCTGTGTTGCTGTGAAGCCTCACGTCCTTATCGTCATCGCCGCCCACGGCCACCGCGACTGCCACCATGGCCGTCTCGATGCTGCACGCTCCCTCGCGAGCCTCGACCTCGTCCTCGTCGTCCTTCATCCCCGTCTCGCGCCAGAACACGATGTCGTCGCACGATGGCGCGCGCTCGGTGCGCCAGTCGAAACGCTACTCCGTCACAGCGCTGTATCTGTCCATGTCGGCAAAGGACAAGGACCTCGAGATCGAAGACGACCTGGCCAGAGGTATGTTTGGAGCGTCGAGCAACGGCAGTCGAGGCACGAGCTAACCGTCCGCAGCCCAGAAGATTCTGCGCGAACTCAAGTCCAAGATCTCATCGCAGTCGAAAAAGAACTTCGTCCTCGAAAAGGACGTGCGCTACCTCGATTCGCGGATAGCGCTGCTCATCCAGAACCGCATGGCTTTAGAAGAGGTACGTCTCGCTCGCCAGCCTGCGACATGAGCGTGAAACTGACTGACTGTGCTCAGCAAAACGAAGTTGCAAGCCATCTTGAAGACGGGCTCGAACTTCAAGAGGGCTTCTTCCCCAACGACGACAAGACGCAGAAATACGGCAACCTGCTCTTCCTCCTACAGTCCGAACCGCGACACGTTGCCCACCTCTGTCGCCTGGTGTCCATGGCTGAGATTGATGCCCTGCTCCAGACTGTCATGTTCACCATCTACGGAAACCAGTACGAGAGTCGTGAAGAGCATTTGCTGTTGACCATGTTTCAGGTACGAAAGACACATTGTCTCCGCAATGCCTAGCTAACGTGTGAAATTAGTCAGTACTCACGTTCCAGTTCGACAACACGCCAGACTACAGCTCGCTTCTGCGCGCCAATACACCCGTCTCGCGTATGATGACCACGTACACCCGAAGAGGACCCGGCCAGAGCTATCTCAAGGTCGTTTTGCAAGACAGTATCAACTCACTCATCGAATTGAAGGATCTTGATCTCGAAATCAACCCGCTCAAAGTATACGAGAAGATGGTCCTCGAACTTGAAGAGCAGGGCCAATTACCAGCCGATCTTCCAAAGGGTGTTACTGCAGAGCAGGCCGCAGAGAACGACAAAGTCCAGCAGATTATCGGCCCACGTGTGACCATGCTCATGGAGATAGCCAACAACTTTCTCAGCACCATTATCAACGGCCTCGATGAGACGCCCTATGGCATCAGGTGGATATGCAAGCAGATTCGCAGCTTGTCACGGCGAAAGTACCCTGACGCACAGGATCAGACCATTTGCACGCTCATCGGCGGCTTCTTTTTCCTCCGGTTTATCAACCCTGCAATCGTTACACCGAGATCATACATGCTTATCGATGCGACACCAGCCGAGAACCCCAAACGCACGCTCACATACATTGCGAAGATGCTACAGAACTTGGCAAACAAGCCCTCCTACGCGAAGGAGCCGTATATGGCCAAGTTGCAGCCTTTCGTCCACCAGAACAAGGATCGAATTAACAAGTTTCTTCTTGATCTCTGCGAAGTACAAGACTTTTACGAAAGCTTGGAGATAGACAACTACGTTGCTCTGTCGAAGAAGGATCTTGAGCTCTCTATCACACTCAATGAGGTGTATGCGACGCATCAATTGTTGGAGAGACATATCGCGGAATTGGTAAGCTTTCCTGGCGCGCATGACGGTTGAGAGTGTTTACTGACTGGATATAGGCAAAGGATGACAGTTCGCATTTGGGTGTAATCTTGTCAGAACTCGGACCTGCACCAGCCCAACTTCCACGAAAAGAGAACAGGGCCATCAATCTGCCGTTGTTCAGCAAATGGGAGACACCACTTGACGATTTTACAGCAGCTTTAGACATCACACAAGAGGAGATCTTCTTCATGGAGGCTAAGTCGACCTTTGTCATGATCCTCCGCTCGCTCCCACCCAGCACCTCGGTTACCCGACGTCCTTTGAGGCTCGACAGGATCGCCGAAGCAGCTGCAACAACGAAAAACGACTCCGTGATGGTGAAGAAGGGGATTCGGAGCATGGAACTTCTCAGCCAGTTGCAGGATCTGGGCGTCATCGACAAAGAAGACGGATTCTCACTTCTTAGGGATGAAGTCGAGCAAGAGTTGGTTCACTTGGGGTCCATGAAGGACAAAGTTATCGACGAGACAAGGAAGCTTGACGAAGTCAACCGCACGATTCGAGACCACAATGCCTACTTGATCGGTCAGCTGGAGACGTACAAGTCTTACCTGCACAACGTCCGCAGCCAGTCTGAGGGCAAGACAAGGAAACAGCAGAAACACCAAGTCCTAGGTCCCTACAAGTTCACGCATCAACAGCTGGAGAGGGAGGGCGTTATCCAGAAGAGTAACGTCCCAGAAAACCGGAGAGCTAACATCTACTTCAACTTCACAAGTCCACTCCCCGGTACGTTCGTCATTTCGCTGCACTACAAAGGTCGCAATCGTGGTCTCCTCGAGCTCGACCTGAAGCTCGACGACCTCCTCGAGATGCAGAAGGACAACCAGGAAGACCTGGACCTCGAGTACGTTCAATTCAACGTGTCCAAGGTTCTTGTCCTCCTCAACAAGCGATTTGCACGGAAGAAGGGATGGTAGAATCGCCTCCTCCCACCACGCGACGCGCCACGAAGAAACTACGATACCCCCGATTTTTACTATGTTCTCCCTGCTGTTTGACGTTCTTCACCCCCCCTCGCATGCAATTCTCTTATCCTTTGCTACGATTATTCTCAGGCACATTTTGACGCTGAAGGAGTACGGAGCATGTAGGGCTATTTTTCAGTTCTTTTAGGATATCCACAGGAGAGCTGAGGTTGAGACGATGCGATATCGACGGACAGATATCATTTTGTAGGAGGTGGACATGTTTTCAGGCTTGATGCTGGGGTTTCTTGCAACCAAAGCGTGCTTGTGTGTTCTTCACAATCCTCGCTCTAATACGCATGTTGCACACATTTGGGGAGAGTAAGAATACCCCGGCTAGCGTTATCTTGCTGCCTTTTCGTTGCTATGCTCGTTTGAGGTCTCGGCAGGACCGGGATTGTATTTTTTCCTTTGTTGACTGAGCGATATCCAATTGTACGATATGGAATGGACTGCTTTGGAGGCTTGGTACTTAGCACTGTGCTGGTGTAATGGAAAGGGATGCGAGCGGCATGATGCTCTTTGTTTGATCAGCATGTGTAGTGTTTGTGAAGTACGTGATCAACAACTCCAACTGCAGGCATTCCGTGGCCCCAACTTCCTTGTTGTTTCGTCCGCGCAAGGATTGAAGATATCCGAGTTTGGCCTCACTATCGTTGAGGCCTTGAACCTACGTCACCAAGCCCCAGTCACCACACACTGCTCTTCTGCAACCCTCACGTCCGGCCAGGCATATAATTGCAACTGATATCATCAGTTCCCTCCATCTATCTGTCTCACATCCATGAGATAAGAGATAACACAAGCGTCATGCCATGCATGCCCTGCGCTGGTGCCTGTCACGGCCACCCCCCACTAGCGTATGATCGTCAGGTTGTCACGCGCTGATTCGTCGGAACCTAGGCATGACTGACGAGGCTGTGACTGTTACACGAGGAGCTGGAACTCTGCTCGTCCGGTCTCTCTTCTCTACACACTCAACTTCTTCCACTGTCTCATTCCGCTATTGTCTCTTCGGCTGCGACGGCGTGACGGGCTCATTCCCTACCACCATCCTCATCACCACTATCAATATGTCGCAATCCATTGCTATCCCGAAGCGGACGAAGAAGGAGCTCTCGCACGGCTCAGCGGGAAGCTCCGGCTCGAGCCCTGGGAGCTTCGCGGCATATGGCAGTTTTGGAGCGTCGTCTGTTTCGTCGACGCCGGCGGGGAGTCCGTCGCAGGAGGGCAAGATGCGGAGGCAGTCGCTCATGTGTAAGTTCCGCGGGTGTCAGAGGAGGGGCACAGGACAGGGCTAATGACAGTCCAGCTGAGTCGTTCTCTCGGGCTGAACACACGGTTATCAATGTTGGGGATGCGGAGAGTCCGCGCCTGATCACTTGTGTCAAGGCGTCGCAGGGCTTTGATTGGAATCAAGGTGCGTTTTCTCGGCTCTTGCTGTCCTTTTGTTGGTTCGGCAGGATCGAATTGAGCGTGTTTGCTGACGGTGTGTCACAGAGATCTTCCTTCCCAGTTACGCCGACTACCACTTCGACGACCTCGAGTGCCGACAGGATCCCGTGCAGGACATTGTGCTCACGGATGAGGAGGCAAAGAACATGTTTCCTTCATGATAGTGATACAAATGCGGTATCATTTGGCATTGGGGAGGCGCTGGGGATATGGAGTACATCCAGGGAACATGGGCATGGCGTTATGGAAACTTTGGATCGGTCATCTGCTTTGGCCGAGTTTATCTGGTGGACGACTTGTATGATCTAGAACACTGCTTGCATCAAGAAATTCAAACTCCGACTGCAACTCTCTGCCGTGCGTGCTTCCATTGCCTGCTTCGCTCACAGAGTACCTAAAGGGACAGCTGCGCTGCGGTGCCCCACACCTCGGCGCGCACCACAATCGATAAGCGTTCGCGCGTCGATCTCCATCTCAACACCACCAAAACACAAACAACAAAACAGCGCACAACCCACCACATCACCACAACCACAACCCCTCCCACACCCCCACCACACAACAAACCACCCACCCACCATGAACCCCGAACACCGCAAAATCGAGCTCCAATCCCCACAAGACCTCACCTACCTCACAACCCAAATCCGCACCGCCGCGCTCCAAAAACTAAACCTGCACCTCCCGCCCGTCACCGACTCCGCCGAGCCCGACGACCTCCGCACCCAGGTCGAAGCCCTAGTCGACGCCTTCGTCGCGCACGTCCTGCAGGGCATGCGGCACAACATCAGCATCAACGGCATCGACGTCGTGGCCTCGGCGCAGGCATGGAGCGACTCAGGGGAGCGCATGGAGGGCGTGATTTCGCAGCAGGAGCTGGAAGTCGAGGGCGTCGAGTTTGAGGCGTTTGATGAGAAGCTGCGGGGGAGGCTGGGCAGTGCTGTCTTGAAGAGGGATGCGCTTGTTGCGAAGATTAGCCAGCATAGGCGCGCGACGCCGGCGGTGGCGGCGCGCAGGTTCGAGGAGCAGTGGGTTAGTGAGATGCAGGGGTTGGAGCAGGGGCAGGTCGGTGGAGAGGAGGAGGCGCTTGGGGACGAGGCGGTGATGCTGGCTATGCAGAGGCAGGATGAGGTGCAGAAGAATTGGGAGAGGGCGGTTGAGGGGCTGGCGAGGTTGAACAAGGGACTTCCGGAGACGAGGGCGCGGTTGGAGAGGTGTGGAGATGTGGTTGGCTATCTGGGGGGTGGAGAGAAGAAGTAGTGGATTGGGGAGGTTGTGTTTTGCTTCGAAAGGGCGAGAACCCTAGATGGATGGGATAAGATGGGATGGAGAGTTGCAATGGCGTTCTGGCGCTAGGTTTTGGACTCGGTAGAGAGGGAATACCCCCATGTTCTTTCGTCATGAGCTGCATTTGGATGGCGTCGAATTGGAATTACGATTTTGCACTTGAGTCGAATGTTTGCATGTCCGCTTGCTGTATGAATTGAATTTGGGGTATCTATCTCACACCAAAACGCCATGATCCTGATCCTGATCCTATTTACTCCTCACTTTGACTCCTACTCCTCTCCCTCACAATAAAAGCACCCGAATCCACCGGGTTCCACAAATCAATCTTGTTTCTCTCCACCCACGCCCTGACTCTCGCCTTGTTGATCACCACCTCTGCACCACCCCTCTTTTTCTGCTCTAGAACATCCATAGCCTGCAATGTTGCTATCATGTCATCAGGTGTAATGTAAGTCTTTTCGCGCAGGTCAACAACAGTGATTATCTTTTTGGAGGTGCAACCGAGAATTGTGCGCGCGAGCGTTTGCGACCAGTAGTGCGTGTACGCTCGAAGACCGAGGTCTGATAGAGCTGTAATGACTGTTAGCCAAAGCAATCACAAGTGTAGTCAATCAAGAGTTAGATGTGTACGTACGTTTCTCAGGCCCGCCCAACCTTCCCTCTTTCTTGCTCATCTCATAGCTCGCACCCATGAGAATCTGCCCCAAGCCCTGCTTCTGCCATGGCGGAAACACCAGGATGCACGCTAGATTGTTGTTGTCCCAACTCATCTTTTCCTTGCTGAAGAAGCCCACAACTTGGTGTTGCAGCGCCGTCCCATCTCCGCCCAGATTGGTATTGGGAATATTGGGTGTAGGATTGTGCGCGACGAGGAGGTAATAGAGGAATGTTGTCACGTCGTAGAACACGGACTTCGTGTCCAGGAAGAGCTTTGCAAAGAGGGAGAGGTTCTGCGCGTAGAGCTTATGCTTCTCCCCGTCGATCTCGTAGAGCGAGTAGTTGTCTTTTGTATATATCCTCACACCAGGCGGGGGAGTGCAGCGGAGGGGACATGTTTTCTAGGCATGTATTAGCTGTGGTCTCACGGATCTTGTGCGCGAGGCGAGTGCACCAGATGTCCCAAGAACGCCATCAACTCCTTGCTATACTTAAAGCACCATTGGCACACGTATAAGCGCTCCACTTTCCTTCCGACCAGCTCTTCTGGATAGAACGACGGGTACCATGGCTTTATGAGGAGGGAACCAAACACGACTTCAAGGACATTTGGCTCAGCGGGAAGCTTCTGAAGAGGCTTTGACGCGGCCTTCAAGGGCGTATCGTTTGACGAAGCCACGTCGAGGGCCATTGAGGTGCAAGGGAAGTGAAGAGGGGTGTTCGCATGCTGGTGGGGACGCGAAATGACGTGTCAAGGTATAAGTACAAGACGACGACGAGCCGAGACTAGCGCGACGCGAGGGCACGTGTGGAGTTCGAGAACTCCAGCGATATCAAAGTGATTCACAACAGAACTGTTACCTGCTGAGAACTGACTCTTGTTGTAGAATGCATAAAAAGCTAAGAACCACTATCCAATTTCAAGGTCAAATATCTCTAACCAAGGAGTTCTCCCTTGACAACGCGCAAGTCTACCTAAGGAGGACATGTTCTGCCAGACAAGTCCAAGTAGCAACGCATCGATGCCTTTATGCAACTAGCCTAGCCACGCATCCAAACTCATCTTCATCTTCGTACCCATGGTGTTCCAATACGTTCATTCCCAATCCAGTACTCGACGTCCAACATCGAAGCTCATCAGACCCTCTGGTATCGCCAAACCATGTCATCTCCACAGACATCGCTCAACATAGTTAACCCCTGCCGCTACGAAGCATCGCCCTTGTACTCCTATTCACCTTCTCTGGCGTCGATGGAGGCGTCATGATCACTGGCTCCTTCGTCTCGTAGTATTGAGTAGAAACGGCCCTGACAACAACCCCGTGGCGCATGTACTCTTCCCAGGCGTCTTCATCGTTGGTAATCGCGGGGAGCCGAGCCAATGTTTGTATGATAACGGCTTTGCGAAGACCACGGTCCATCTGCGGGAACTGATCGTTGAAGACGAATGCTGCGATGTCGATAATGTTCAGCGCATCCCCAACGAAGGGAAGTCGGTCGATGATAGTTTCGGCTGTCTTCTGCTTGATCTTCTCAAGATTGTACTGTGCCTGTATTAGTTGATGACTTCGTAAATGGATGATGAACGGACCTTATCGCATGCGACGAACAGTGAGAGCAAGTCTCTCATGATGCGTTCTTTCTCGATCTCACGAAGAAGTGCAAAACCCGTGAACAATGATCCGGTGGTGGGATTGTAGACGTCGTACATCTCTTCGAGCATCGTGCCCACAGTCTGTTCCGATTCGGGGAGCACAATTGATCGACTCTCGCTCTCCTGTAAACCATCAGTATAGCTATTTGCATATCAGATGAAGCGTAGCAGGTCCTACCGTAAAGCAGCCATCGCAGACTGCGTCGAAGTATTGTGATCGTGTACAGAGCCTGAACCTCATTGTTAGCATGAGTGTTTGCAAGCAAGTCGTCATATTCACAGAATACGGTGAACCGGGAAGGACTTGTTGCCGGCAAAGACAGTGAAGTCAGAACACTTGTTCGTCTTGTAGATCCTACTAACGTTAGTTTCTGATCTTGGAAATAGCTACACACAGACATACCGGGCCCATTCAGAAGTGTCCGAGTCTAGCACCACCACCCACGACTGTGGCACCGAGCTGATGTAGCCCATCTTCTGCATGCTGAACTCGGCCTTGGTGAAAGCAACATTGCTGTTGGCATTAGGATCCGCTCATGGTGCAGCTAGGCTCAAACTATACTTACTTCGGAACCTCGTAGACTTGGAAATAGAGATTACCAAGTTTTGTCGCCAGTTGTTCTAGGGTCTGCAGGAAATCTTGCGCGTGTTCGGCAAGAGTAAACTCAAGGTCTATTTGAAAGTTCTGCATTAAAATGCAAACTTTCTTGCATGTGTTGTTGCATCGAAAACTTGCTGCGCATACTCCTGAAACCTGGAAGTAAATGGGCTCATCATTGTCAGGAAACTGAGCCATGATGGCTACCCCAGAGTCCAGTGGATAGAGAAGACCAAACTCGCAATTCGCACGGTCGAGCAGGAGATGCGTTAGAATCTCTGGTTGCGACTTGAAGTCATTTCCGACCGCGAACGACTGGATAGGCCAGTATACTGATTTGTGCCCCTCAGTCGTGAAGGTTGATGTTGAAGCCATTGACGTGTGTGAATATGATGTTTGAACTAGAGTGTGGAGACACGAATCGAGACCGTGTTGGAAGAAAAAAGTCACTCCTATCAAGATAGAACAGAAAGTAACAAAGCGAGGGGATTAGGTGGCGGATTAGGGGTTATATAGGCCATCTCTACAGACATATTGCGACCGCTGGAACAAGCTTCAAGGAATCTGTGTTGTCGCGATGAGGCTAGGTAGTAAGTGAAGTGGTGAGTGAAGTGATGATTGATAAGTGTTGAGCAGTGAGCGGTGAGCAATGAGGAATGAGAGGCTTCCTCTAGAAAGACGTGAACACCTAGTGATAGTCAAGATGATAAGATAGTACATGTTGTTATCGCAATATGAGGAGTGACAGAACGAGTTAAGAAGGAATCGGTTTTCCAAGCTGATTCGGCGATTGTTTGTGATGATGGTAGCAGTTAACATAAATTCTTCATAACCTTATAAAAAATATCAGAATCTCCTGGCTCTCTCTGTATTAACCTTTAAGATCTTTCAACAGGGACCGTTCGTTAAAAGTCTCAAATCTACGTTATGGGGCAGTCGAATACAAGCCTGGACGACTTGAATTTCAGTTCTGCTGTGTTGCCTATACTGGCTACTAAGACTGGTAAGAGAAGTATTGATTCCCGTTCTCTATTGGTTGCTTTCTGCGATAGGAAAGTATTGCCACTGTGGGTGCCCCAAGCTGCGATGAGCATCGGTGATTTGAGTTTGGACTACGTGTGGAAGAATGAGAAGTAAAAAGTTTCAGAGGTTGCAGGGTTATTATATAGCGAGGTAATCGCCCAAACAGATATGAATTGTCGTGGGGAGTAAGAACAGTCCAAAAAGAAGGCACACGACTTAGCATGTTCCTAGGCTAACTCAAACAGGTAAAGCGCTCCACATGATGTAATCATCAATCATATATGCCGCCAGTTCAACCTCCTCCGTCGCAATCAAAATGCTCGAAATAGCCTGCTTCAACCTTGCTTCAGTCACTGTAGCCACGAAAGCAGGGGCCGACCGCATTGAGCTCTGCGATGATTACCTAGCTGGCGGAGTGACACCCTCCATCACATCCCGTAACAACATCACTGAGGCAATAACGATACCGATCAACATTATGATTCGACCTCGTGCAGGACACTTCAATTACAGTACTGCTGAGTTCGAGCAAATGAAATCGGATATAAAGCTGCACAAATCATGGGCGAATGGCTTTGTATTCGGCATTTTGGACTCGACAAACCGTGTCGACGAACGTAATCAAGAGCTGGTCCAGTTGGCAGATCCCTTACCGTGCACATTTCACCGCGCCATCGACGAGGTTGAGGATCTTGATGAGGCGGTGGAGACTGTGATTGCGTATGGGTTCAAAAGCATCTTGACGAGCGGGGGAATGAAGAACGCAATCCAAGGTGCTGAAAGAGTTGCAGTACTACAAAAGACGCATGGAGAAAAGATTCAACTTATTCTCGGTGGTGGAGTTAGGGGCATCAATGCACTGGAACTTAAAAGAAAGACCGGTGTGGATTGGCTGCATTCGGCTGCTATCACAAAGTCTGGCGAAGAGGTGGATTATGAGGAGGTGGTGAAAATCAAGGACGTTCTCAAAGATTACTATTAATCAAGCGTTTTTAACTAACTATGGAGATCATCAACGCTCAAACGACATGTGCCATCTTCGAATCAAGATACACAGCCTCCCGAGTGTATATACTCCCAACAATAATCAGACACCCAATCTATGGTTCCACAAACATTATATGAAGACATCTCGGTCGTTATACATAAGAACAGCCGACACACAAACTACGCTGACGCGAGCCTGGAAGACCAAACACCTAGCGAGACACTCTCACAACGCGTAGAGAGCATACATCAATACACTCAAAAGCGGCATTCCAAGCATCTGCCTCGAATCGACCACCGACCGCTCAGCTGCCGCAGAACTCGATGCGGCTGCCACAGTGGTGGTCACAGGTGTCCCGGAACTCGATGCAGAGACCTGAGCGCTCGTCGCAGCGGCCTCGGTGTTCGCTGCAGTTGCCTCGGTGTTTGCTGCAGTTGCTCCGATTGTGCTCGTCACCACACTTGTTTGAGCTGGAATCGTAGTCGCTTCTGTGACAGTTGTTCCTGCCCGTATCGCGGCGGCCGTGAGAGTCACAGCTGGGATAGTGGTTGTATATATGATGACAGAACCAAGCTCGGATGCTGGGAGGGCTCCTCCAACACCTGTACCCGTAAATTGCGGAGGTTTCGACATGGTCGCGGTGTTAGGCTTTGCTTGTGGGGCGTTCGCGTAGATGTTGCCCTTCTCTCCGCTGGAAGAGGTGTACTCTCCACTGAGCAGGTTCGCGCTGGAACCACTGGATGTGTAGTCTCCTGTTGTCAGGGATCCGTACGAGCCATCAGAGAAGGCAAAGTTTGTAGTGAATTTGTCGTAGCACATGGGAATGTTGACACTCTGCACGTTCACGCAGTCCAGAGTTTGTCGGCAACAAAATCCCTCTGTTTGGCGAACCTGAAGGGATTCTGTGGATCGTTTGCGGAAGCTGATACCCTGGACAGATGCGAGGACTTCATTGTAGAGCGAGCTGAGATCCGAGCCGACGGCCGGTGGGTTGGTGCCAGTGGCGCCTTCTGGTTGACATAGGTTGCAGGCATCATCACTCGTCGCTTTGCCTAGCGGTTGAGATGGGAAAGCAGTTGCGGTTGCGACAAGAGCGAGTGAGAAGAGTCTGAGCGACATCTTGGCGTGAGATAGCGAATGGATGGTGTGGTATGGTTACTTGGTATATGCGAAGGCGCTGTGAACCGATCGACAATACACAACCAGAAACCGAGGAACGAATGACAAACGCAAGCAAGACTGCGAGACGTTCAATGTAAAGCGAGAGGCAGGAGGAGAGTGGCAGTGACTGTCAAGGATTTTGCTGCCTCGATCCTACCTATATAAAGTCCAACTCCGACTCAATACGAAAGTGCAGACTAGCAAGAAGCAAGCCTCGTATCCTAGTCCCGTCCGCTGCCGGCCCAGCTGCCTTCGCTTCACGCGCAAAATACACCGGCGTCTTCTACCCATGGGGCAATCAATCTCTATCCCTAGTACATGCTCAAACGTTTCTGCAGCTTTGGAAAGCCCTCCACAAGGGCATTGTGTCCATCCGGTGTGTTCCGCGGTTCCATTGGTAGAAAATTGTACGAGCGGCAGGGCATGCAAGGAAAAGATGATCTAGCAATCTCGGGATGCATCTTGCGATTCTTCAGTGCTCGCCTGATACTACTGTCACGCGAGCCGCTTTGAGAAGACGAGCGCTGCTATTCGCTGAGTGCTTTTTTCTCGGATGCGGCACGTCGAAGACATCCTGGCAAGGTCACATCACAAGGCCCTCTATTCAGCGTAAGAGTATTGGAAAGCCCGCCTTAGAAACTGCGCCGTCCAAACGGTGTACATCGCGGCCCAACTAACGCCTTTCAACATGACACAAAATACAGCTTTGATGTCATACGGTAAAACTAAACACCTCAACAACAACAACTGACTACACATCGCGATGGTTGCACACGCCTTGAGTACGCTAATATCCTCCCCGCACGCGACAATTGGACAACCTTTTAAGGAGATATATTAACGACAACTCAGACCTCACTCTATTTTCGCTCCCATTCGTATCAACGTCGAATCTTCATACGCAAATCCCAAGATTTATGACGTGAGTCTTAGAAGTGAGGCACGAGTGTGCTGCGAGTTCGACGTTGGTATACCACCTTGTACGGGTAGGATTAATGCAAGCTGTAAGGTACGGCGATTAATTGTGGGTTTGCTGCATACGGTTAGTCGGCAGAGATTTCTATCTTTCTGGTTGTTGCCTTGCCCATTGAGAGCCTCGATATCTGTGGAGAAGAGAGGTGTTATTGGTTCCTTCTCGGTGATATTGACGGCCAGGTAATGTTGGTTGACGACATGCCTCGGCGAGTTCTCGGCTGTGCTAAAAATAACCTTGAACACCGCCTTGCAAAGGAATCAGGCGGCCACAGGTCGAACTCGAACCCCTCCATCTCACGAAGAGGGTGGCTGGATTTTGTTTAGAGCCAAATATAACTCCTTAGACTTGATTAGTAATTTTCCATCCTGACTCTTGATCGCTGATCTATATCCTTTAGTCTCGATCCTCTTGGCCGTGTGCCGTGATGTCTTGAACTGCTACCTCTACTCTCTTTGTTTTGATCAGCATGTAGGAATCGTGCCTAACTACAACTTCAGCAAGTACTGTGAACACGCAACAATCTATCTGTCCAGAATCTAGGCCTACCACACCGGGTTTTGCTACAGCCTACCTCTTTGAACGCGGAGACACCTTTCCGTCAGAGAATAAGTACTAGGTATCACATCAGATATGGCAGCCTAGTTGACGGGAGATATTTTTGAAGCGATTATGCTATATCACAAACCTATATTTTTGCGTTGCTCTCTTTGTCTACAGCCAAACTCTCACAACACTCCCAATCGAGATGACTGTTACCGAGATCGGTTGTATGGGTGTCAAGCCCGGTATCAATGTTATGGATGATACTACCAAAGAAGGTCGATCCCTGACAGGAGTCTATCAAGCCGTCACCGCCGCTCTGGGAGGCCCACAGCGGGTCTATTGGGGCCTGGAGATGGAAGATCCGTCCAAAATATGGTGTTTCTTCGACTTCAACTCGGTCGAGGAGCATGAGGAGTTTGCCCAGTCGTGAGCAACCTGAACATGACGAACTGAACAAAGACTGAAACTACGCCATATTTGGTCAAGAAGCCGTCAAACCGCTGTATGATATCATGACGCATGGAGAATTCACCAAGCACGTTGCTCTCACGTCATCTTCTCCTTTGCTATCCCCTATGACGGAACTCATACTCGTTTATCTTCCTTCAGACATCTCACCCGACAAGAAAACTGTAACCGCTACGCAGCTCCAGCAGTTTGTATACAATGGTATTGGCGAATCCTTCGACGTCGAATCTGTGAGCTACGGCTGGGGCGTGGAGAACGACTTCCCGGTAAAAGGAGGTGACGCAGAACAGAAAGGCTCAATTCTCATGGCCTTGATCGGCTGGTCTGGCGTTGATGCGCACAAGAAGTTCCGTGAAACCGAGGCATCGAGGGATGTCTTAGACTCGATTGGTGGTATGGAGGGTATGGTGAAGTTGGCGACCTTGTGTGTTAGATGTCGTAGTCTCGAGAGCAAGGTTGAGTAGATGAGGTTTTCGGGTTGCGTCAAATTTGGGTAGGCTTTGGCTTGTGTAGTATTGGGTATTGATGTATCTCAGTATTGAGAGATTATCGCGCATCTGTATGTCTTCTTCTAGGAGACATGAAAACACATCATTTTGCTTCTAGTCAGATATAAACTGTTTAATAGTCCACAATGTTTGATAGTCTACATTGTCCACGCCACCACAGCTCGGAAGAGGTCAATATAACAATAGCGAACAAACACAAGTATCAAGAGACAAGACGTCCACTTTCAGCGTTCCCAGCATAAATCCCAAATCTATCACCACGCATCTCCAGACGAAATACCTGATCTTCAAGCCAATGCTCCTTACTTCCTGTAGCATCTTCACCCCAGAACTCGCGCCCAGCCAGGAAGCAAGCTGTACCGGCTATAGAACATGGATCATGTGGCAATATCTTCACTCTTCTCATCGTCGCCCAAGATAGTATACCACAAAGCATCATAACTCCTAGCAGTGCTTGTAGCGCAACCTTTGCCTCTGGATGCTGGACCAAGCGAAACTTCTGTGTCGTCAACGATGCTTTCGACGTTTGATTCTGACCATTAGGGTTGATCAGTGTCCGCATCTTACGCGACATCACTTGAGCCATATACCTGCCATACATGTCGCTGACTCCGCTGATCAGACGTGGGATATTTTCCTCGCCAACGATCTCTGGAGCCGGTATCCCATCTTTACCATACACAACTGCAGCGAAGAAAGTACCCAGATCAAATGTATCTGTCTTGAACGTGGTGTTCGATGATAGGACGTCAAAGGTGCTCTGTAGGGGAGCAACAACTGGAAACTGGTACACTCCGCCTATATAGCGCATTGAAGATTCGTCAGGAAGTGGTGGGGTTGAAGTATCAATGGATAGGTCTGGAAGGAGGAATGTCACTCTTGTGTCCAATTCTTGAATCATTTGGGCACAGGCTAGAGTTGTGATTTTAGCTTCTGTAGAGGACAAATTGAGAGGCGGAGAAGTATAGTTGGTCTCGGGCTGCACGGGCACGTTTTGGAAGGAGCCAAAAAAGAACGACAGAGAAGGACAGGCTTGGTCATCAGAGTTGTATGATGGATGGTCTGGATTTGGGTCGAGGGATGTCGCAGATGTGCCACGAGGGTCGAACAGAAGTTGGGAGATAGAACCACCGTATGACGTAGGTATATCTAACTTGGAGATGCGAAGAGGCAGCTCCTTTCCAGGTCCTCCAGAGCACGTGTTGAGGACCTTGGTGTATATCATCGCACTACCATAAGAGGAGACGCTGACTACATTGTCTGCTGGTCCCACCGCCGTACAGTTGAGCACAGCCCGTCGCGCCGGCAGGGCAGTGGTGATTTTCTCTTGGAGAGTGGCATTCTCAGCATAATTTGGAAGATATATAGAAGGAAAGGCGAGGTCGTTGTAAGTCCACTGTGGCTCAGAAAGGTTCCTCCATGTGATAAACTGAAGCGCTTGACCTGCAGAGCTATCACCTTCTGCAAAAGGCCATGAGACGTTCCACTCATCACCTCGTTGGACCTCGAAATCCACGTTGGTAGTAAATGGCTCTGTAGTGTACAAGCCGGACACAAAGATAGTAAGAAAAGCACCCAAAATAGCGGCAAAAGCGGATATTGCTGTCGCTAAATGTCGCTTCTGTATAGCTTGAAAGAGTATGAAGAGTGGCGTACTACCAAGATAGTCTGTGATGATACTGCGTCTTGCTGTCGCTCCTGATTTGCTCGTAAGAGTATGGTAAGGTGCAAGGAGAGCAATGTTGAAGTGTATAGATGAGTACAGTAGTGCTATACCTGTCATCCAGAGGGCGGGAACGACCGTTACCCAAAAATGGCCATTGCCAGTCAAAGTTACCTCTGCAAAGCCATGAGAGTGGTCTGAGTTCCTTTGTAAGATCTCCAGAACGACAGTCGTCGCTAAGCAGAGAAGTATTGCCACAACTCTTACCCAAATGTTTAAAGTGAATGGACACCACCAAGCAGATCTTTTCGGATATCCTGATCCTCCGTTGTTGACATTGAGTTCTTCATCCTGGAAGCTTGGGTCTACAATAATATCGAACCGAGTTCCATGTACGCGTGAGTGTCTGGAAGCAGGGGTGGTAGAGTAGAGTTTGTGGCCTTTGAGAGCTTGAATGGCGCTCTTAAAGTGTGGTTGATCCAGGATATTCGCTACCTGAATCGGACCAAGTGTTGTTGCTATTCCAACGATACTATTCGGATCATATGTGACGACGTCGACCGGCTTGACAAACAGCAGAATTGTGGTAGAGATCAAGCACAACAGAAACATAACAACTATCATAACGGTAGGTAACTTCTTAACATGCAGTCGGTCCTCCGAATAATGTGAGTTTCCTTGAATATAATCTCGTTGTGGACGAAGCATTTGGTCATATACCAGCAAAGAGAATATTCCGGCAAATGTATTGGATACTGAATTACTGAGAGTTTGGACGTCCAGGAGGGGCTTTAGATATGAGTTTCCCGGGTTTGATTTAGTGAATGAAATGGCGGCCAGAGTTAGGAATGCGAAGTTCCCTTCTGTAATGTTGCCAGATGGCTCAACCCAAGGCAATGGCGCATTTCTCGAGGCATTTACTACATAGGCAAATACTGTAGTAGGATCAAGATTGTCTAGCTGAAAATTGGTATGGCCAGATGATGTCGGATATTCGTAACGATGCTGTCCGGCCTCGTCAACGTGCACCGTAACATCTTCAACTCGGTAGAATGGTCGACATATCAAAGCACTGTTGCAAATTTCAATAGAGTTCCTATTTTTGGAGCATAGCACTCACCTGTAGTTTGTGACCTTAAGATTTTTATTTGCTTGTGTCACAGTGACAAGAAACTGAGTTTGGCCCGAACAATCAATCGCTTGGACTTCACCAACATAATTTTCTCCGGCCCATTTATACTGCCGATCAAAAGCTTGTGTGCCGTCTGCGAGATCTAGGATGACCCGAGTCTCGCAAGAATTGGATCGAAATGTCATGTTGGCTCGCATCTCAGTCGTTCCGTTGTAATATGAGGGTTCTTGAGTCAGTTTTGCTTCATCACAATCGAGCCCGGGAAAGACACCATTGGTGGTGGCTGCGTATGTCAAATTCGAAGGAACTCCATCGTCGGCAGGAAGGGTGAAAGGTTCCACCACGAAATGGTCCGTTGTCCATGGAGGCTGTGTAAGATTCTCCCGGTGAATCCCGCTATAAAATGAAACGGCCTCAGTATCCAGATACGAACTATTCCACAGGCTTGCATCAAAAGTCGCCGTTTTCGTGAGGGTAAAGTTTGAAACAGATAAAGACGTTGATTGTATAGTCAAGAGACCAGTGGATATGATTTTCTGGTATTGGTCAGCTTACATGGATTGGCTTGCGAAGAAGAGTACTCACGATCGCCGTCAAAGCTATTGCAACAATCGTCGTCAAGACAACGGGCCATTCAAAGTTTTTGATTGCCGAATAAAGTATCACCGGCTGTAGAGGCGACACAAGATCCAGAAAAAGAGTACGGGACGCAGAAGCAGGACCCTTCGAAAGATTCAACCAAGGTTGGAGTAGTCTAGTAAAGTAATCCACAGGGTTCCAGAGCGCAAGTACCGCAACAAGAACTGTAAAAAGTCAGTAGGGTTGGGAATAATGGAAAGGGCATGCTCATACCTGTTGTGGGGCAGAACCTCCAGAGGTATATCATCTCTGTTGTACTCTTCGAGGCTCCGAGCCCATTCAAGCGAACAGAGACAAGATACAATGCAAGCACCGCGAAGGCCAAGACACCGAAAAGCGTAGCATACGAGATGAGCCACCTCTTTCGCAACCAGAAGGGGTTCCACATCTTGGGTTGTTCGGTGTATGTCTGCGCTGGAACATGTGCAGCCTTCTCTTTGGGAATGGCGTTTGATGGATACTGGTTGGAGATTGTATGTTGCTCAGTCGTAGCATCCTCACTTTGATCTTCGTCAACCCGCAAGAGCTGTTCTATTGTGGCATCTGCGCTGTGCCCTTCGCGAGGCCGTAAGTACTGCGACGAAGAATCTTCAGCGGGCGAAGTAAACGTATGACTTCGTACAACAGCCGTTCCGCTGTCTGTAGTCCTTGTGGACTCGTAAGATTCCCGAGGATCAGAATCGACTAAGTTGATAAAGGTGGGTGAATTGCTGCCGGAACGTTGTCGCAACATCGTACCTCTAATTTCAGGCAATGCACGTCGTGACAGACGGTTTTGTCAGGTTGTTTTGCGCTCTCGTTCAAGGACACAGTGTTCATTATAAGCGATAGTACATAAGCTTTCAATCTTGTCCGTGTTCCAGCCTTGTGTACGAGGGTGGTACAAGGCTGTGTTGTATGCAAGGCATCCTGAGCACAGCCCAATCATGAGTCTCTCGAAGTTGCATGGAGTGAGCTAATAAATGTTACTACCCTTTCGAATGCAGACTGTGATATGGTGGCTGGAATGAGTCCAGTGACCATCAAGTGTTGAGCCCAAAGAGGAAGTCAAGAGCGAATTATGCAAGCGTGATATCTCAGTGGCGTTCAGAGCTGCAGGCTAGTACTTTAAAGTCGAACCTCCGCAAGTATGCGTTTGATGCATTGTCACTCTTGTTTCTATTCTTGGGTTCCTTCTCTCTCCAAAAGCCCGGTCTGCGGCAAGATCAATGTTTACATGGCATTATGTCTGCCTAGCTAATTCTGGCAGTTCTTTCAACAACTAGCTGATCTTCCTATAGATAGTAATTACTTCAATATTGCATATACTATTACCCGGCTCAGTCACTCCTAGAACTGCTTTTTGACAACATCCAACCGTCTCATCTCACCCCTCTGCCTCTTACCATTCCTCTTAATATTCCCACCCACGTAACCCAACCAATTCTCCTCGACCCAAGTGATCGGAATTCCGGCCACAGTACCCAGCACACAGAAAAACGTTGCCCAGAACTGCAATAACCACACCAACACCCAAGACCCCGGCGCAACAAACTTCACAAACTGATCAACCTGATACAGATCGTTCTGCTCCGCGATATAGTACTTGCCATCCCCCTCATTGCGTTGCAATGTAATGACTGTGGTTAGATTGACGGGCGCGTAGTAAAAGGGCACAATCCAGGCGCGGAAGATTTGGAAGATTTGTACATAGAGAAGAAGGTTGGGTTCATCAAAGGCTGTTCGCGCTCGTCAGCTACAGCTGCATCAGCATGCATGCATGAAATATTACTTACCGACAGACCGCACTGTGATGTCAATGTTCGGACTCATAATTTTGTACCACCGGTATATGGTCTGTATTAGGAAGCGCGAGCTGAGTCCTGACTTTGAGCCCCAGCTGCCTGTCCGGCAGAATGGGTGTGTGAACGAAGCATTAGGTGTGAAGTATGTTTCGATTGTTTCGCGTTGGATTGAGGGAGGTGATTGCGTGAGAAGGTGAATCACGCCCGAGATTTCTTTCACTGTGGAGACATTAATATATTGATCGTTGGATTGCGATCTGGGGAGAATATTGACCTGGATTCTCCATCCTAGAATTTGGGTGACTATAGGTTGTTACGCAGGCAGAAAATCGGGGGGTGTTCAATACTTTTTGAGGCGAAGATGTATGTGTAAAGTTGCATGTGAAAGCACTCAAGTGTGACGTCATGCTTCTGTCGCCGTTCACTTCTCGCCGAAAGTTTTGCCTCATAAGCGAATGTTGCTGCGAGAACAGCTCTGTTTTGCCATAATCGGGTGCAAAAGTGCTGACAACAATATGAGATCTGAGAACATGGTTGCGTTGGCTGTGTTACATAAACACACAAAAGATATGCCGGTCTGTTTATCGAACGCATTATGCATTACACTCATGCTAAATACACATGGTTTTGCACCGTAGCGCTGGAAAGGGTTCTATTTATGCCCGTTTCGTATTTTCATGCTTCGTGGTTCTTCCGTTTCATAGGAACGCATCTACTGCGACCTCCACTGCTTGATCTCGGCCTCGTCGATGTGCCTCAGCTTATTCACACTTGGGGACTCGCCCGTCGCGATGCCCTTCGCCAACTCGACGTATCCGCCAACAGTTGTCCTCCTTGAGACAGCATATTGGACAGTCTGAGCCTTAACACGGATGATGCCAATACGCGGGTCTTCTGGGCCGCCGTCGTGCTTGCCGTCGCCGAGATCGCCAATCCACGCCTTGAGAGCTGGAGAGTAGTGTTTCCTGACGATCGCACGGTCGGTCTCGATCGAGGCGTGACCGGAAATGCTAGCCCATTGGCCAGAAGAGTCGATGAAGCCGAGGTTGATAACGGAGTCATCCTTGAGATCATCCGTCTTGCCAGACTCAGTGTTAGTGTGGAAGAGGAGGTCGAAGCCGTGTCCTTCCTGCTCATTGATTAGACGCTGGAACACTCATATTGAGGCTTGGGCCGACAAACCTTAGCGGCCAAGGCCATTGCTCTTGAGGCCAATAGATCGCTGTCTGTGGCATGCGTGGTCATCAAGCAGAACTTGGTGCTGTCGATGAATGTGAAGAGATCCTCGACCTTGTCCTTGAGGGAAACCTCATCCTTGTTCTTCTCTGTGTAGGGGTCGGCGGCCTTGGAGCCGGTGTCTGTGTTGCTGAAGGAGGAAGACATGGTGATGATGTGAGAGTTTGATGTACCGGTAGCTGTGAGGAAAGTGTCAGTTGGTGGGGTTCAATCAGTCGAGAACAACGTGTACCTTTGACTGAACAATGTGCAGCGGGGTAGTGGTGTGTTTGAGGGGCGGTACGACGCGTTTTGTACCTAGTCTGGGCAGACTTCATGACGTCAGTCGAATGTCACCTCGGAAGGACCCTCGTGGAAGACCCCACAATTCACTAGGAGGAAATGGCGCGATCTGATAGCAGATGTAGATCGTGATCGACCACATTAACAATAAGTCAACAGTGAAGGTAAAACGATTATCTTTATATTACCATCAGGATCGATCATGTGTACAAGCCATCAACCCAAGCTCCTACAATATCTCACATATCAACACTTCATATTGAAAGATGGGATTGGAACGTTTGAACTTAGACATTAAAGAAATATACTCCCGATCAAGATTTCCTGATACTTCTAAAGAACATAGAAATACATCGTGAAACCTTAAGATCGACGCCGTATCGTTATCCCATAAACATACCTGCGAGAACCGTATCCCAGGCTGGAAAGAAGAAGAAGAATATGCCAAACCGTAGGCAATGCGATATCCCAGGTAGATTGCCAAACTTTTGAGAACTGATTATCCTTACTGAGCTTATCTCGCCAGCATAGCTTATGCCTCTGTGGCCTCCTCTTCCTTGTCTTCGATGGATGCCTTCTGGAGCTCCTCAGCAGCATCTGTAGCACCGTCTTTCTCCTGGTTGAGCTCGGCGGATGGGGACGAGCCGTTGACGTTCTTCTGAGCCGGCTTGCGAGCAGAGTCACTGGTACCGTTGGTGCCCTCGGTTTCCTCCGCCTCGAGACGCTCGATCTCCTTCTGCGCCTTGGCGATGTTCTACGTGCATTGTTAGCATTGGTTAAAGCATGATGTACAGGCAAGCTCACCTCCTTAGTCTTGCGGTCCTGGTCCTTCTTCCAGTGCGCAAGCTTCTCGTTCAGCTTCTCGACTGTGGAAGGGACCTCAGCTTGGCTCGAGGGAGCATCGACACCAACCTTTGCCAACTCCGCAATGATACCCATGTTGAGGTTGAACTTGGTCACGGCAGGAGCAGCGCCGCCCTTCTTGCCCTTCTTGCCCTTCTTGCCGCCAGTGCCAACGAAGTAGCTCTCTTCCTCTTGGTCCTTCTTGGAGACACGAGTGCCCTTGAGACCAGCATCGTCGACAGTACGTTGTGCGGAAGCAGCGAATTGACTGGCGGAAGCGGTCTCTTTAGCAGGCAGAGCAGATGGGTCGAAATGACGGATCAGCCCTTCGGTAGAGTTGATCTCGTCTTGGTATGCGGGTGCGCTGGCCTCCTCAAGGCGGCTGCTGGCAGCCTCCTTGCGCTTGGAGGCCAGGTATTGCTGCTGTTCCTGCTTCTTCTTCTCGTTGCGGATCTTGCGAGCCTGGTAGTCGTAGTCGGCGAACGCACGCTTCTGTTGGTAGTACGTGTCTTTGAGTTCTTTCCTTGCCTGGTACTTCTCCTGTTGGAGAGCGCGCGCCTTGTCAGTCTCCTCACGGAGGGCCTTCAAGTTCTTGAAAGCCTCGTCCTGCTCGCCCTTGAGACCATCAAGTTCAGTCTGGAGCCTGGTGTACTTCTCACTCAGCGCCTTCTGCTCTGGGTCGTCCAGTGTCTTCTTCTGTTCGGCAATTTGGGCCTTGATGTCGTCAATGCCCTTTTGCTGCGAGTCGAAGGCGGAGAAATTCTTGCGGGTCTTGTTCAAGTTGCTGATCTCAGACAAGGCCTTCTTCTCGTCCACTAGCTTCATCATGCCGCTGTCGACCTGCTTCTGGAGGCGTGCAATCTCCTGGTCGACATCCTCGACAGACCTGAAGTTGACGCGGCCCTTTGCAGTCTTGAGCTCAGCCAATCGCGACTTGAGCTGCTCGTCGAGCTTCTTGATCTTCTCAAATACAGCGTTGCGCGAGCCTTTGTTGCCCTGTTGGGCTGTGCGGATCGCATTCAACTCGGTCTTGAGTTCTTGCTGGCGCTTTCCGTTGGGCGAGTCCTTATTGTTAGGGCGGGCGAGGTCGAGCTTCGCCTTGCAGGCATTCTGTTACACCGTCAGTAAATTTGACAAGAGAGGGTCTGTTGCGACGCAGGTACCCGACGGCTCGTGCGCTGAGTGCATGGACAGAGTTGTGGAGGCGGGGTTACTCACCAGCTTTTCTTGGGCAGCGGTGTGTTCCTTCTCCGCCTGTGCGAGGTCCGTCTTGTACTTTTCCTCATCGGGCTTCTCAGGCTTGGTGATCTGCTGCTTTTCCTGAGGAGCAGCAGAGGCATCGGCGGTAGCCACCTGTGCAGCGGAGGGAGTCGCGAATTCGGCCATGTCGGTGGTCAATTGTATAGATCGGTCGAGTACAGTGGTCGATGCGACGTGCGAAGAGTGTGGCCCGGGGAGTAGGGTGAGCACGGTCAAATTTTATAATTGCTGGGGACAGATCGAGGGACCGAGTGAAATTCGAGGTCGTGAATCCACCTTGGCACGCTAAAACCCCAACGTTGTTCTCGTCTTGCGTTCGACCTTTCAACGATCAACGACACCAATGGCAGAAGACAAGATCCCTATACTCCTACTAAAAACCAAATCAGTGCCAACAGACACATACGAAGAGCTGTTCACAACATGTGACGATCAACGCTACGCGCCCGTCTTTGTACCTGTTCTGGAGCACCGATTCAAGCAGGCTGCGTTAGACGAGGTGCGACGTTATGTCGCTAGTCGGGGGCTTGTACCATTGTCGCAACAGGGACTTGCCACTTACGGTGCTATGATTTTCACCTCTCAGCGTGCTGTGGAAGCCTTCACCCAGATCGTTGAGGAGCTCCGAGAAAGAGGCACCCATGCTGTGGACGAGTTGCTTCCCGAGAGTTTTCCATTATACGTTGTTGGACCGGCCACGGCACGTGGGTTGAGGTCGCTGAACCTGCGCTGTCCCATTCTGGGTGAGGAAACAGGTAATGGAGAAACTTTGGCGGCCTTCATCTTGGAGCATTACAATGGCATACACGCAGGGGCTACGAAACCACCTATTTTGTTTCTTGTTGGCGATAAGAGAAGGGACATTATACCTAAAACACTTGAATCAGAGAAGCTTGACGTACAGAGGAGATCCAAGGTGGACGAACTAGTTATATACGAAACTGGAGAAATGATGTCGTTCAAAGCCAACTTTACGGAAATTTGGCGACACAATATAGAGAACGGATCAAAACTTCAATGGATTGTCGTTTTCTCTCCGACTGGTTGTCAAGCCATGCTCGAGAGCCTGGGCTTCCTGGACACAAACACCGGGAAAGCCAAACCTATCACTAGTCAAAGAGATACTCTCATAGTGACCATCGGCCCAACTACTCGCGATTATCTTATCCACGAGTTCGACTTCACTCCCGACGTCTGCGCAGAGAAGCCAAGTCCCGATGGCATAGCTGAAGGCATCAGAGAGTTTTGGGACAAGCACGGCCATTAATATACATCGCAAGATAACAATGAAGGATAGCAAACTTTGGCGTTAGTCGCTTCCAAATACTTGCGAGGAGTGGAGGTCACACTTCAATGTTGCTAGAGCCATAATGAAGCCATCTTTCAAGTCATCAATCAGTTATCAAAGTACGTGCAACAGGCTACAGGATTGGAAAGAGAGATTGCAAGCTAATACGTATGCGCAGAACGCCCAGTTACATCATGCGCAGCTCTCACTGTCGTGACGCAATTTGTGCAACTAGCCATCCCTTTTGATCGCGTCTCGTTCTGGTAATTAGAGTTCAGCACGTGCGGTGGTGGCACGAAAACGCGTGACGTCAGGACTCACTTAGCCTTAAACGCGAGGCGACCCTGAGGCATTGTATCCTCGTTGTATTTCACCCTTTATCTTTGAATTCCTCATTCATAACACCCAACTTTCGCATATTTCTCTGCAGACTCTCCTCAAACATTCATCAATCAGCAATCATGGCAGGAACACGCGCATCAACACGCAATGGTAGCAGTTCCAGCCCTGCAAAGGGCCAGAATGCTGTCGCTGGAACGAAGAGGAAGCAAGAGAGTGAACCATCTCCCAAGCGTGAGCGCAAGACTGCAAAGAAGCAAGCGACCATTGAGGAGATGATTGGCGACAAGAAACAAGAAGACAGTGAGGTGAACGATACTGCACCAGCTGTGCAGGGTCAAGACGCGAAGGTTGACGCGTTTGAAGAGAAGCCAGCTGAACAGCAAGTCGAGACTAAAGAAGAAGAAGCCAAAACAGACACAAAAGTCGACGACGAGATGTTAGAGGATGCTTACGAGAATGCGAAGGCCGAAGAGACCAACAACGCGGACGAAGAAGCAAACAACAACACCGAGGACGAACAGACAAACGATGACGCGAAGACTTCAGAGGCCAATGGCGACGTGAAGGTAGCCGAGACCGGTGACGAGGCAAAGACAGCAGAGACCGATGGCAAGTCACAGGAAGATAAGACTGCCGATGAATCGAAGCCAGAGGCCATTGGCGACGGTGCGATCGAAGAGTCTTCCCAGCGCGAAAAGCAGATGCCGTCGAACATCCTCGAGAAAGGTGTCATCTACTTCTTCACCCGCAACCGCGTCAGCATCGACGATGCCTCAAGCGTGGGCGATCTGCAACGAACCTTCTTCGTCCTACGACCTCTCCCTACCGGCGCAAAACTCGGCGACGGCGCTCTCCAAGACCTAAAGAACAACCGTCTAATGGCGTTGCCTAAGAAGGTGTTTCCCAAGTCCAGCAATGACAAGTTCATGGCGTTTGTCGAGAAGGCAAATACCACAATCCAGGACCTGAAGGACAACTTCTTCAAAGGCGATGCCTACGAGACCAAGACGCAGGGCACGCGGCAAAACGACCCCGTCACGCCTGTTGCTGAGGGTGTATATGCGATTACGCGCACCGAAGACGCGACTACACATCTCGTTTACTCGACCACAATCCCCTCGGAGCTAGGTCAAGTGCAAGAGGATCTCGGCATCAAGTCCCAAGGCAGCTTCATCGTCAGTGTCAAGAACCCCGAGCGCAGTGGCCCCGCAAGCGCTCAATTAGACCACAAGCCCGCTTTCTCAAAGGAGTAAGTCTCATACCAAAACAACTATGACATGTTCAGCGAACTGACCACGCACAGAATCATCGAAGCCTTCCGCAACCTAGCTTGGTCCGAAGTCAAGCCCCACCATCTCGACCACGAGTACTGCCAAATCCTGCTCATCGGTGAGGACGCCGAGGCGGGCATGGAGCCCACGACCAAGGACCAGAAACACGATAAAGAGACACCGCAGGAGGAGCTGGAGAAGCTGGAGCATGAGGACGAACTGAGGGTTCAGCATCTGCATGGTACGTTACTCTTCTTTCATCTTTACTTGATTTCGTTTCGCATGACTAACTGGTAATAGGTGACGATTCGGTCTTTGACGACTTGAGGATTAGCAAGGAGGAGTATTCTAAGGTGCCTACTACGTGGTGAGAAGCATCGAGACTCGAGGCACTCTGTATAATATTATGTATGTGTGGGCTGGCTGGCGTTTTATTGAGACTTTGTCAGGCGCATGGATATGTGACTAGAAGGTTGTCCTGGGCGGTATTTGCAACGGGACATCGGAACGGGAAAGGGGTTACAAAACGGATGGATAGGTATTTTTCGCGTAGGATCACGGGGAATAGGCGAATGCACCTTACCAAACCATAGCTCAATCACATCGCATTTGTCATTTGCAATCGACCAAATTCTTCGCTGTTCATTAGAGTGTTGGTGATTGCAGTCAAACTAGGATCAAATGGGAAGCGATTAAGCGTTGTACATATCCATGTACACATCAAAGATCAAGTTCATATTCATTCAGATGACGCCCTGCCCATGTCCTGCCCTTTCGCAGCATAAACATCGAACGCACTACATAAACGCCCCCAAAAGTACCAAATCCCACCAGGATAACAACCAATGCCAGACTCCATGCCAAAGACACCGCGCTATGCATCCCCCCAATCTCATCTCATCTTCATGCAAGAACAGTGTATATAATCCCCAAAGCATGAAATCGCCTAACTCCTGTCCACTTCCCCCTCTACTCCTCATCACTACTCCCAAACCCCGCCAGCATTTCAGCTTCCAGCCCATCATCCCCCTCCTCCTCGCCGTCTTTATCCACTTCCTCAGGCCCTGTGGCCTCTGGGCTCGGCAGCCCCGAGCTCTTCTCCGCGGTGAGCACGTTCGTGAGGCTAGTGACACGCTCCATGGTGCGTTTTTTGCGGCGCTGAAGGCGGGATGTAGACGCACTTGCGTCGCTGTCATCGGCTTCGCTTACCTCTGTGGAGGTGGAAGTGCGTTTGCGCTTCTTTTTCGGAGCATTTTTATCTGTGCTTCCGGGGTTTGCGGATTGGGAAGTGGAGCTGTTGTCTGAGCGGACGCTCTCGGCGTCGCTTTCACTCCCGCTGTTGCCCTCGGCCTCGGCTTCAGCTTCGGTTTCCGTGTCGCTCTCGTTTAGGAAATCGTCGAGTTCGTCGTCTAGGCTCGCCCATGTGTCTGCCGTCAAGGCGAGCGTGACGGGGGACTCGGCATCCTCTTCGCCGGTGACATCATCGTCGAGGTCTTCGAAAGGGGAATTACCGCGCTCTGCTGGATCGACTTCGATGGTGTATGGGGTCTCGTCCACGTGTTGCCAGCGCGTGCAGCACTGGAACATCCATTCTGGGTTGACGATCTTGATGTGGGGGTAGTGTGCTGCTTTTTTTACTTTTGTTGTTTTGCGGTCGGGATTCGCGATTACGTGGGTAGTGCGCCGGGTCACGTTGATAGCTACTTCGGCGCCAAAGCTTTTGATCCAGAGCGCAAAGTCGGAGCTGCGGTGTGTTAGCTTGGGCGTTGTGATAGGGGGCGGGTAAGACTTACGTCTGGACATCCACGCCGAGTGGAATGATGCCCGAGAAGACTACGACTGCGCCGTCGAGTACCTCTTGCTTGATGCGCGGCATGAGCTCGCCGCAATGTGGGATCACATCGTTGAATGGACGCTTCTTGGGACTCCTCTCGCCTTTTAGTTCTGCGATGCGGCCGCCAGCTGGTACCGCCTTTGATTTGAGATACTCGTCGTAGAAAGTCCGGTGCACACGTCGCAAATTCGCCTCCATGACATCCAGTCCCCGATCGTCGTTGTTCAAGACGCTGTGCCGAGTGTGAGACTCTGCAGGCACAACATTGCCGTTCTCGACTTGGTGGTTGGGCGACTGATCATCGGTTCCTTCGTCTTTCTTGTCCAGCATAAGCTGCCTCTGTAGGAGCGGCCGCTCGGTTTGTTGCGCAATGATAACCTTTTCTTGTTCCTTGGCCTGCTCTGCTAGTGTTTCCAAACTCTCGCCGACCGCCATTGAAGTGATCAGTTGAGCTTCCAATTCGTTCATGGTGTCATTTGTGCTTTCTGCAGATGCGGATTCGGCAGGCTTTGCGGTGTCCGAGACGGCGTTGGAGGGCTCAGCCTCGGGTTTTTCTGCAACGGGTTTCGCCTTTGTAGACGTGACGAGCTCCTGCTGCTTAGGCAAGAAGCTTGCGTTGATGTCGCCGGCGCCGGGGAAGAAGTTGAAGACGGGCACGCGGACCAGGTGAGGGCTGTACTGCCAGACGTCTGCTCTGTCGTCAATGATGACCACCATGGCCGTCTGCTGGTAGAACAGGCGCTGCAGGCTCTTCAGCTTGTCTGTGTAGTTTTCGTCGCGGCTGAGGATGCGGTCGCCAAAGTACTTGCGGTCGGGGTCGACAATCTTGGCCACTTCCTGGGCATATGCGCGCGTGGCCATGGTGTAGACGTGCATCTCGTACAGCTTCGACATGCGGTCAAAGAAGCCCTTCAGGCCCGGGCGCATCTTGACGTAGTACATGTTGGCGCCCACGTTGGAGACGTTGTCGTCGGGCAGGCGGAAGCCCTGCACGTCCTTGACGGCGTCGTAGTTTGGGTTCTCGGGGTCGGCCTTCCACTCGGCAATCGTCTTCTCGCATGTCGTGTGGATAACGGTCTGATCGAGATCGACAATCAGGATCAGCTTCTTCGCGCCCAGCAGGCGCTTCTTGGTGTCCTCCTCGGCGCGCACAGCCTCCTTGTGGCTGACGAGCAGGGCGACGTTGTCGTGCGTCATGTTGACCGTGGCGCGGTCGACGTTGCGCTCCTTGGTGAGGTAGTCGACCTTTGTCATGTCCAGGCCGCAGTCGGCGCAGAGGCCGCCAAACTGCGTCTCGTGGGTGCAGGGCTCCTCCAGCTCGAGCAGCTCGACGCCTGGGCGCTGGATGACGGTGCCCGCCTTGATGAACCATCGCGTAATGTTGCCCTCGGTGCTCGCGTCGAAGCGCGTGGGAAAGCGCTTCTTGACCGTCTTTTCACCGCCCCATTTGTCGCCCTCGGTCACGGTGCTCTCGTAGTAGTAGGTGAACAGGCGGTCCGACCGCTTGACGTCGGCATTGCGCGCCTGGTGCAGCTCCTGGATGGTGATGGGATAGTGCAGGCCCGGGGGCGATGAGATCTTCATTCCTCTGTGCAGCCGCCCATGCGCGTGTCGACGTCGGTGTCGAGGGTGTGGCAGTGGTAGGCGCGTCGCGACGTCAATCGGCGCATTCGGTACGTGAGCGGGAGCTTGGAGCTTGAGCTTGAGTCGGAGCTTGGCGACACAACTACGCGGTATGACGTTGCAGAAACACGAGCGTGTAGTGATGGTGGTGACAAAAGTGGTAGTAGTGGTGGTGGTAATAGTAGTAACAGATCGCCGCAGGGAACTGGTGTGCGACAGATGTATAAACTGAGTGGCAGGGATCTTGGCGTTGCTGCTCCAAAAAGGCCAAAACGACGAGCGGGCGCCGGGCTTTTGTAGGCGAGGGGAAGCCAGGGGTCATCTTTAGGCTCTCTGGTAGTACATCACGTGAGTTGATCAACAAACTCCCGCTCTCCCTCTCAAGGAAGACCACGCCTCGTCTGTGGGCATGTTTATCCAAACGTTGAACACCAGAGAACGGGACATGGCACATCGGTGGACATATACGTCTACCCTCACCGCTCACGCTAGGCAACTACCTCAGTGCTGTCCAGCCTGTCAAGCTCGCATGAGCACATGTTGACGACGAACTCGTGTTTGGGTGACTCAGTCAGTCGAATGACTGCCTCGATCCCGTTCATGTCCAGTGCGAACAGTCAAAAACAAAAGCTGCCATCACATGGACTGACATGAGATGATATTACCATTACCGCATGCATACCCAAGACAGTCACTCCACAACGCTTCACGCTACGTGTCTATGAAAACCGCTCAAATCCGTCGTTATCAAATCTTGTGCGCTCGTATCTATTCCAAAACCACTTATACGCCTCGCAAATTGTGCTTGAACCCCCCAAATGGAAAACAAAAATATACTCAGCCTCGCTGCGTTGACTCGGAGTTGCGCTTCTGCCCGCCTCTCGACACCATGTTCCCCAACACCGAAGCGCCTCGACCCGTTCGTGATTCATCCTGATTCAGACCCATCACCGCCTGCTGCAGCTCAAAGGGGTGAGATACGTCGACCTCCTCACCCTCCTCGACTATCGTCCACTCATCCTCGAATTCATCCGTGTTGTCGTCATCCTGCTTGACGTGTTTCTTGATGAGCGAGCGAGCACGATCGAGCTCGCGATATATTGTCTGGATGGCTACCTGTGTGCCCTTGTCCTAGAATTTCGTCAGTAAAAGATAGTGTGGTTGGAGTCAAAGCGTGCTTACCTTGCGGATCCTCTGCCCCAAGACCTTCGCCTTGATAATCATACGCTCGCTGTTCGTCGCTTCCCACAACGCTCGGCTGAACACACTCGTGTTGACCTTCTTCAGCCAGATACCAACACCCAAGTCCTCGACGCGCTGAGCGAAGAAGTACTGGTCACCAAAGAAGGGCTTGATGATGGTAGGGATACCAGCCCGAAGGCTTGCTCCAGTCGTACCAGATCCACCATGGTGGACCGCTGCGTCCATCTGCTTGAACAGCCAGTCATGGGGTGCCGACTGAATCTGGAAGATCTCTGCTGGCAGAGGCATCTCGGGCTTCGAAGCGTCCTTGGTCTCCAAGCGATCGGACCAGCCCTTGGACAGCACACAGCGTACATCTGCCTTCAATACCGAGTCGACGACCGTCTTTGTGAGAGCGGCGGGGTCATCGATGACAATGGAGCCGAAGCCAACGTAAACCAACTTCTTGTTATCCTTGCGTGCCTGCTCGATGAACGCTTTCAGGTCTGGAGGTGGTTCATACATATCGGCCTCATCCAGAAACCAGTATCCCGTAACACGGACCCAATCGGGCCAGTCAAGTGGTGGAGGGACCACATGGGGGCTGAAGTTGTACAGAAACGGTCGAAGATTTGCCTGCATCTTGGCTTGAGACGTATTCGACAACCCCAATTCTCTGCGGCGCCACTTGTTGACCTGGCCCGAGATGGCTGTCCAGAAGATGGCGTCGAAAGTGATGTACGTGATACTATTGTACCCACCGCCCATCTTGTTCTCCAAGACCGAGAACGCATGGGGATAGGCTCGAGTGCGAGTCCAAGGCATCGTAAAGGCGCGGAAGTAAGGAATTTCCAAGGCTTCTGCAATGTGAATACCAGCCATCGTGCTGGGACTTTCGATCAGAACATCGGCGCCCTGACACGCCCTCCACGAAGAGCTGCATACTTCGTCAAGCCAACCGCGGAATTTGGCATTGGCCTCTTTCATGAAGCCATAGGTAAACATGCCGTGCTCGACACAGATTCGCATGAGCTCTGCGGGATCACCGCCAACAGGTCTGAAGTCAATACCATGCTTCCGCACCCACGGCTCGAACTCAGCATGCGTAGCAATTCGTGGCTTGTGACCTTCCTTCAAGAGCTCCTTACACAGCGCGATGTAGGGTTGAACATCACCTCGCGACCCAATAGTCAGGCAAACGATCGTCAGCGGCTCCGACGGTTTGAAGTCGACGAAAGAGGCGAGTGGGTCGTCGAAGATTAGTGGGATCCGATCGTGCTCTGCAGCGCGCATAACATCCGGCACATTGACCTGCTTCCCAGCATCGGTGTCTTGTCGCGCCTGTTGTAGAAGGTCGTGTTCTGCTTTGGCTGCTTCGTCTTCGCTATCGACTCCAGAAGACTCGTCATCTTCTTCAAGATATTTGGTGTTCTCCAAGATACGTAGCACCGTGATGGCGCACTCGTCGCGATATTCAGCCTTCGAAAACTCGAAAAAGAGTTCTTCATGCCCCCTGATCACAATCGCAAGTCCATGATATCCAAGTCGAAATCCCTTCTCCTTATTGACGTTTTCGATGTCTCTCATGGGCAGGATGAGCTAAGCCAGTCAGCGCCTTCATTTATGATCAAACTTCGAAGACCAACATACCTTCGTCTTTGAAGTAGGCATCAAGCTACGGAAGCAAAAATACCTCGAGCTGATGTAAATCTTCCCGTAGTTAGGCAACACTCGCTGAAGCGATGCAAAGAATGACGACTGGAGTATTTCTGTCTCAGGGAAGGCAAAGTGTTCCCTAAAGTTCTCTGCCGCCTTCACTGCATCCTCGTCGTCTTCAAAGCCGTGTATCTGATCGTTAGGCTCGAGGCCTTCTGCGGTGTTATAGTGCTTCCGGCCGCCCACCAGCATTCCGGACACCTTCTCATAGTATCCCATTGATTCAGTCGCGAGCAAACTGCCCATCTTTTTCGACCTGTTTCGAAGGAACCCTGCTAAGCCGGAGGCTTTCTGCAGTGGATACGATGCAATGTCCTGGAGAGCAGACGAGGAGCCCGATAATGGTGGTTGTCCTGATTGAGTATCTGTGTCCTCATCTGTGTCATGCGCACCCACTAGCGGTGGGGCGTTGTTGGGCCGTTTTGCAGGTCGTGATGCAGGTTTTATCTGCGGTTTTCCCACTCCAGAAGAGCGTGTGGTATCCTGTGAATTTCTAGCAGGATCTATTCTGCCCGAAGCGGGCGTAGGGGAGTCAAGTGCGGGCGCACGAAATAAATCAGAACGGTCGAGAATTTGTGATGCGGATGCCCCGCTCTCATCCATGGATTGCACTGCAGCCGAAGACTCGGTACCAGGTTCGAGGGAAAGAGTGGCAGACTCCGAATCGGTAGCCCGTGGCGATAGTGGTGATTGATCTCTTGGGCTTCTCGCTCGCCTATCATACTGACCACTAAAACTGCGCCGTACCTCGTGGCTTGGGCGACGGGAGGTGCGGTTGGCTTCCGTGCTGCGTCGCACGTCCCAGCTCTTCCGGTTGACATCGGTACTAGATCGCGCAGATACGTCACCTATGCTAGGCCTGCCAGCACGTGGGCCAGGAAGGGGTGAAAGGGTGGCTCGAACGTTCTCTTTGATATGAGGCGCGTTGCTCGGACTACCCGGTGTCGTATCGTCACGATAATTTGGTGTACGTAGAGGGGTAGAAGTGGTCGTAGTATGGTCGTTTCCTTGGTGATGTTCATTGTCGTTGATCATAATGCGCAAAACGTTAAGTGCGTCTTGGCCATTGGTGAAGAACGAGAAGAAGTACTACCAAGTTTAGCAAAGTCTCACATAACACAGAACCCAGAACAAATAATTACCTCATCAATAGCAAATGTCTCATCATTGTCAATCACGCGCACCTTGACCGTATCCGCGAAATCTAGTATCGAGCTCTCCTCGATTTCGAGGACGTTCTGGATTGGCAACGAGATCTTGACGCTGTTGCCCTCATTGTGCGTACGAAAGATGACCTTCTGAATGGACCTCACCCATTCTTTTGCACTCACCGCACTATCAGCCTTGAACTGTAGTGTCCTTTCGTCGGTGGTAACGATGAATGTGGTCTCGTCGTCACCCTTTTTCTTAGCCTCGAGAACCTCGGCCGAAATGGCGTATTGCAGGTTGATACGGTTTCGCGGAAAGTAGAGCTCTGCTGGGTTTGTATAGTATGACAAGACGTCGCCTCGGAGAATGAACCAGTATCTGTTGTACTTGGATCGACCTCGCTTGAAGAGGTAACCAGTCTTACTGACGTCGTGCTACGATAATCAGCCACTTGTTTGAAGAGAGAAGTTTTGTAAGCTCACATGTTTCTTGGGTATATACGCATAGAAGCATATGTGCTTCTGGGTGATGTACATGTACCCCTGCAGCAGGATACTCTGGAGCAGCCAGCAGGGATATTCTGAAATGACCTCTTCGACCTCGTCAAACTCGAATATCTGCTGTATCCTACTGGAAAGAGTGACTGGCGCCTTGCTCTTAGCCACACCAGCCGAGCTCCCGTTTCTACTCCCCCGACTAGAGGCTTTTGCTTTTTCGACGTGTACGTCTTTTCCGGGGGCTGTCTTTGCACTGCCTTTTGAGGGCTGTTCACTTGTGGGTATCGCAGGTGACGCTTTCTCAGACGGTCGAGGCGGCAGGAACTGGGAGGATGACATCAAGTCTGTGGGCTGCGCTTCCGACCTTCCATCCTTCCTGCTCGACATCTTCAACTTGGGCAGTGACCGCAGCAGCCTGTTCTCCGATGTTGTCCTCTTGTGCTTGTCCTTATCCACCTTGCTGTCCCGCGACTCGTCTGGTGCGTTCTGGAAGTCGTTCGCCGAGCTCAGGCGACTTATTCTTGCAGCGCCGTCCAGGCTGTGGAATGGTGTCTTTCTCTTGCCCTCATCTTCGCTATCGCCCGAATCCACCTCCTGCATAGTCCCAAGATCTGTCTGGGACTGCTGACCGGCTCGAGCAATCATGGAGAATATAGACTGATTCATCGACATGGTGTTGTTCCGCTTTGGCGCCGTGACATCGTCCTGCGCATCCTCCCCGTCCATGAAGCGCTCGGGAATATCCAGCGACATCCTGCGCGGCTCCTTCCTCGACTCTCTGCGCTTCTTCGTTAATTTGCGACTACCCACGCTTCTCCCTCGCTCGTGTGAAGCCATGTTGTGCGTTCGTGTTGTGTGTTCGCGATTAGGCAATCGTGGGGATGTCGAAGTACTCGGAACTAGCGGGTGGAAGGAAGTGCTGCGGCGGGCAACGAGGCTTGGATATGCAGATGTGCTGCGGGTGGCTCACTGCTTCAGGCAGTCACTGAGCTTTACTGGCTTCGGGGCTCACATGTTGAACAAGTGCAGGTGAGTCTAAATGGACCTGACGCGTTGACAGCGAATGAACAATCACGACGTTCACGAGACGGAACCGTACTGGTCTAGCGTCTGAGTAACACATGCGTGCATGTGTACATGTCGAGACGACCGACGGATGATAAGGGCACCAGGCACCTGCAATAGCTGGTTTCTGTGAGAGCGTCACGAGTTTTACTATTATCTGCATCACCCAACAGGCACCTTTCCACACACTCGAAATGCCTGACATGTGGACCATCGACGATACTCGCCAAGCATTTGATACGTCACACGCGTGCTGACACCCTATCGATACAGCTAACGATTTAGCGTGTTTTACCGGTCAACAAGAACGTCGAATGCGGTTGCACGAAGAACAGCAAGGTACGATAAATGTATCAATTCGCTACTGTACACAGGTGTTTCCTGTACTTAACAAACCCATGCGCCATCCATTAAGTCTCAATTACAATTTGAGCCAGACGAAATTACAATCATAACACCTTCAGTCTCCATACAATTTACGTGGACTTTGCAAGGCCGACGGCCGAGTTGCCAAGATCGTAAACAGAGTACCACTTCCTGAGGAAAGCATCACCAAGAATAGCCAGGGGACCTACGGGCTCGGGGAAGTCCATACCCATGAAGGCAGAGATGCAGGACCCTTGTACCTCAAGGATGTAATCGTATGAGGTGATTGTGAAGTTGTGGCCAGTGAGTGTGAAGGTCAAGTCAGGCAGGCTGTCGCGCTTGTCGCACTCAACCGTGAACTGCCCGTTGAAGGACTTCTTAGCACCAATCTCCTTGTTCCTGTCGATTGTTAGTTTATGGCGAGACTGCTTCGCGATAGGTACACTTACAGAAGCTCAGCGATGGTGGAGGGGAGGGCGATGAGGGATGTACCGGTGTCAAGTATGACACCAGTGTTGTCCATCTCGGCAGTCTCCTTGCCGAATGTGATGGCATCGAGGTCAACCTCCCAGTAGGCCTTGCGCCTCAAAGGAAGCTTGACGAGCTTGCCGGTGTAGTGGCTCTCGTCGATACCACCGAATGTCACCTCAGACTCCTGCTGCGCGTTGGTGTCGCCGAGGTAAAAGGCAAAGACGGGCTCGTCAAGGAGACCCTGCTCGAGCATGTTGTAGAAAGGTGGTACGATCTTGTTCACGCTGATGGTGTCGTAGCCCAAACCCATGATACCGTCAAATCGGCCAAAGGCAAATGCAAGACCGGGCTCGGAGGTGGCCTCGGCGAAGTCCTGGTTCTTCACCTTAAGGTCACCAATCTGGAAAACATCGTTGGAAACGAACCCGCTGAGCGAGCCAGATCCGTAGCGGATCTCGAACGAAGAGCCGTTCTTCTTGAATGTCGACGACGATGACGAGTCGAACTTGGTGTGAAGGTAGCACGCAATGGAGCTGCACTCAGACGAGGGCACCCAAAGGTTGGAGCTGCCAGTGTCGAGGATGACCTTGAAGGTCTGAGGAGGAGTTCCGATGGAAACCTCAGAGAAGTCTGTGGCGAATTAGTAGGCAGCAGGATGACGGCGGAAAGCACGTAACGTACACTGAGCGTTCAGGAAGTTGGTGATGGGCACTGGGTGCGTTCCATCGGCAACGTAAGGAGCCTTGAATACTTGCTCCATGTGAGACGCGGTCTTGACGCCCATGTACTTCTGGCCCAGAGCCTTCGCCTGCTCCTGGATGCTGGCGTGTGTCTACGAGGTGTTAGGACGAGCTCCATCATGCACTGCGCCGACCGCGACAGCTTCGCTGATAACTTACGAGCTGCTCAGAGAGTGGGATCTTCTTGAGCTTCATCTTGTGCACGCCTGCCTCGGACGAGGCGGCGAGCGCCGCCGCTGCGAGCAGGATAGACGTCTTCATGGTGACGACGAACGATTAAAAGCTTGATGGGAGAGGGTACAGATGAAGAATGGGAGGAAGTGGATGGATGAGGGAAAGGTGATGGGTGTGATGGAGTGTTTGTATTGGAGCTCGAGGAAGCTCGGGGAGAGGCTGGGGCGGAGTGGCAGGTCATGACGCGCCTGCCTAAACGCTAAAACGCTAGTCTGGGGGCACATGTGACGACTTCCCGGAGATCCCTGTTTACATTCAGCCGGATTCGGCGGAACTGCCCCGTACCTGCCTTAATCGACTGTGGGGAAGGCCTCTGCAGCCTTAGGCCGACGCTTGTGTGGTGATCGGTCCCTGAAAACACACATTCCAGATGCGCTCTAAAGAGCTCTTCCAACTCGACATTTCGCAGGTTGGATATTGTGCAAGACCGTGGGCGAGGTTATCAGTTGCACAAAGAGGGCACGGTACGCGACGGCCCATGCACGGCCAAGTCAGCAGAGGATCGCTTCACTTAGTTTCAGCATATCAGACATTCAAGATAAGGCTTGCATGACAATTATACTGGATTTGTACCATCGAAAGGTTATTCAACTCTACATCACTATATTTCTATTCAAACAGACGCATCCGGATCATCTACATATTGTGAGGCTTGTAGAAACCCTTCTTCCTGTTCCCTTCGCACGTTTTCCAAATCTGCCGCCCACAAGGCAGAGCTCACAGCCGCCGTTAGTAGGAATAACATGCTGAAAGGCGGTACGAGCTGCAAGAACAAATACACAGTTCCGTACCTATGTCTCGTTAGTGATACCAAATGCAGAGAAGTCCAGGTGGAGACTCACCAGGTGTACTGCCATTGCCTCCTCCTCACAAACGCGTTCCTTTGCTTGCTCTCAAATCCGAGAAGCTTGAAGTATCTCCAGTGCTGCAAAGGACCCGCACGATATCCTGTCAAAAGAAGGAATAGCGGTACTCCAACATACGGCACAAAATTGAGTGGCAAGAGGAGAATAAACTCTGTGATTTGGCGAAAGGAGAACGGCGCGTAGACAGCGGGCTTTGTAGGCTTGCCGAGACGACGAACAGGGTTGTTCAACGATTCTTCGGACACGGGTCGATGCTGGCGCACCAGGTCCTCGTGGCCCTTGTAGATGAGAATTGCATCGAAGATGTCAACCTGGGACTCGTCCTGAATTTGATCAGTATTGGTCTGCTCCGCTTCTTTGACATATACGTACCACCAGGAAAGATTCAAACAGTAAAGCCACCACTGCTGCCCCCTCGCCTAGTACGAGAAACGTGCCATTTACCCAAGCGCTCCCTGGCTTATGGAACATCGCAAGGAAGGCGACCTGCGGCAAATACGTCCAAAGGAACAGGTTCAAGTACACAAAGAGACTGAGCAGGACGGCAGGCAAAAGGCGAGCTCTCATCAGAGGGTAGAGAAACGGGTGCGCTACGAAAAAAACGATGCCCTGCTACCAGTCAGTTTGGGGTTGAGAATGTTTGTTAGCATTCGTACCTTGAGGAGATAAGAGGTCGCGACTATGTTGTCCCATGTTGGGCGAATTACGACTTTGGGAATATTCCGTAGAGCAGACTGCTCTTGTGGTCTTGGTTGCGCCATCGTTGTGTCGAGTATAAAGTTTGGAGTTTGTCTTGTGATTAAAATGGATGGCAGCTACAGCCTTGGAGATGACGTACTGGTGTGGAGCTTAGCTTATTCTCGACTGCTTTCTACATGTTCCCCCACCTGATCAATCGACATCTCGAAAACTATAGCGATAACTTGTGAGCGTCTGATTGTTCTTAGGACTCTCTATTTCTTTTTAGATCATCAAATTTCAAGTGTACCAAGGAGCCTACAATCGTTGAAGACATTACTGTTCGAATAACACGCCCTTCGACTAACATTGCATAAGGTTCCTTCATTGTACTCTCGTCCCATCCCAACTTGTTTTCTTCTTCTCCTTTCTACTTCTATCAAGACCACACTACCCTCACACCCAACACCACAATGTTCCACAATCCCTCAGCCAAAACCTGGACACCCACCCTTCCACCCTCCAACACATCCATATCCCTCTTCCACCGCACCCTCCCATCCTACTCCATCACCCCTCTCATCCCCCTCCCCTCCCTCGCCAAAGATCTCGACCTAGGCCACATTCTCCTCAAAGACGAGTCCTCGCGTCTCGGCCTCCCCGCCTTCAAGATCCTCGGCGCCTCATGGGCAATCCACAAAGCCGTAGCCGCATCGTGCAAGCTCCCGCTAACGAGTACACTGGAAGAGCTGGGTGCTGCTGCGAGGAAAGAGGGCGCGAGGCTTGTTACATGCACGGAGGGGAATTGGGGGAGAGCGGTGGCGCGGATGGCGCGGTATTTGCAGATCCCCGCGGTTGTTTTTGTGCCCGAGTTCATGGACGAAGCGACGCGGCGGAGGATCTCTAGTGAGGGTGCGAGCGTCGTGGTTGTGGATGGGGACTATGATGTCTCGATTCAGAAGGCGAGGGAGGAGGCGGAGGGTGGGGGTTTGCTGGTGATGGATGTATCTTTCCCAGGATACGAAATAATCCCCGAGGTACTTTGCTCTCTCACAAATTCATACACACGCGAGTGTGTCTTGATGCTAACCCAAAGCAGTGGGTTGTAGAAGGCTACTCCACAATGCTCTCCGAAACAGACCAGCAGCTGCACGATCTCGGGATCGAAAATGTGACCCACGCTATCGCCTCTGTTGGCGTGGGCTCCTGGGCACAGGCAGTCACTCTGCACTACAAGTCCAAGTCTCCGCCTACGAAGATCGTTGCCGTTGAGCCAGATACGGCAGCAAGTCTCAAGGCGAGCCTCGAAGCAGGGAGAATCACGCCCATTACTACCGGACATACGATCATGAACGGGATGAATTGCGGGACGACGTCGACGACTGCGTGGGAGGTGCTGAGGCGGGGTGTGGATGTTAGTGTCACGGTATCTGATATGGAGGTGCATCGCGATTTGCAGTACTTGCACAGTCAGGGGATCAAGAACGGGCCGTGTGGTGCAGCGCCATTGAGTGCGTTGAGGAAGTTGTGTGCGGAGGCCAAGGAGAAATTAGGACTGGACGAGCAATCCGTGGTGGTATTGTTTAGTACAGAGGGCGCGAGAGAGTATATTATTCCTACAGAGACGTGAAAACACCATCAACCCAACGTCTTGGGCTTCTTCTCCTTCAACCTCTCCATAGCCTTCAGTACGTCCTCGGGATTATTCTTGTCGCCCCTCTTCTTCTTGGGCCCTCTCTTCCTCTTCTCCGCTTTCTTCTTCTCGCCATCTTCGTCGTCCTCGTCTCCGCCGGCCCCCAACCCTTTCCACTCACTAAATTTGACCTTCTCTCCTTCCCGCTCCATCTCATCTGCATCGTCGAATCGCGACGCACCGAACCCGAGATCCATATCCTCCATATCGCGGTCTGTAGCTGCGAGCTCGGCGGCGCGTTTCTTGAGGCGCGCTTCTTTGGATTCGGCGGAGGAGGGGTCGGCACCGGAGAGGTTTTGCAGAAGTGTGGAGTTTTCGTCGAGGTTGCGGACTTTGGCAAGGGCAGCACGTACAGTGGCGTCGGCGGAAGAGAGGGATGGTTCGGTGGTGGCGGAGGTGCTGGCAGTGGTAGATTTGAAGTAGTCTCGTTTTGCGGGTTTTGCGGATACGGAGGGTTTTGGAAGGGTGGATGTGGACGCTTCTGGGACGTCTTCGCCCGATTCCGATGCTTCTCCTTCTGAGAGATCTTCGTCGGCTGCAGCTTTTGGCTCGGTAGCCGGCACCTTGGCCTCGGCTTCTTCTTCCGAATCGTCGTCTTCGTCGTCGAAATTTGCGAGCGGATTGTAGTTCGACCCTACACCCTCGAAGATATCCTCCTCCTCGGACTCTTCCTTCTTGGGCTCCGGCAGATTGTGCATGTTGATCGGCTTCGCAACGTCGTCCAAATCATGCCGCACTTCAAGCGCCGGCTGGTCATCTACCTTCTGCTTCTTGACCTTCCTCTTTTCCTTGCCATCTGGACCTGTGATGATAAGGATTTCGCGGCCTCTGTTGTCAACTTCGACCCTCGACGTCTCCTTTGCAGTGACCTTCCGAAAGCCGGACCCCAGGGTTGGATACTTCTTTTCGTGCTCTTCTGCGGCAAGCCTAGCTGCTTCTTCCCTCTGCCTCTTCAGGTCCTTGAGGATGTCGTTTCGACTCCTCTTGACTCCCGCGACAGGCGGTGGTGTGGTCATTCTCTCGCCCTTTTTCTCCGCCTTCTCACGCACAACAGGGCCAACATCCTCATCCGCCAGCTCGTCGAACGCATCCTCCACCTCTGACCCTGGCTCCTCTTCTTCAACCTTCTCCTCGCTGCCCAGGACATCTTCTCCCCGCCTCACTCTCTCGAGGAGCTTCCTATCCAGACCCTTGACTAGATGCGTTGTCTCAACCTCACCGCCAGTAATCTCCTGCACCAAGTTCTCAAACGTCTCGCGGTCGATCTGGCCCAATTTCATGGCATCCTCCAGGTTCTTGATGCGCTTCGCAATCTCATTGTCCTCGGGGTCCACGCGCTCCTTGGTGCGGTCGGTGTAGCCTTCAGCGAGCTTCGTTCCCTTGGGCGCGGACGCTCTGGCCTTTCTCTGCGGGTTGGCCTTTGCGTTTCGTTCGGCGAGCTGGCGGGCAAAATCTGACTGAATAGAGCCTCTGCCTACTTGGCGACTTGTCTCGCGTCAGCATCTGCATTGCGCGGACACATTGTGGTCGGACTTACGGTGTCATGGGTATGCTGGAGTGTTTGCGCGCGCCCAAGACGGTGCCAGGCGTGCGCGACGAGGACGGCTTGGGCGTGCCATCATCCTGCTGTTTCTGTGTGTCGCTCAGCAGCAGCCGCCGGAACTGTTGGTTGTTCATGTTGCGTGAGGCCTAACGGGTGGACCGGTCGTTAGAGAGGAAAGGTAAAAGTCGCGCCAAGAGGCTGAAGTTGCAGGGATTGGACGCGTGTTTGCGGGGAGAGGCAGCTTCTCCGCAGCGTGCGACGTCACTACCAACCCTTCATCATCGCAGCATTCCTCGTGTCACAGGCATCTTTCCCCTCAACACCATTACGAGCCGGAGTTTGAGTTTTCTGTCTACGTACCAAAAGCCGGGATACAGACAACACGAACCAATGTATCCATTCGTCCGCTCCAAACCGTACCAAACTCCTATAAACTGCGTGCCTGACCAACTAATTGCTTGTGGTGATGTTGCATCAGAACCCCATGCAAACGCATATGTAGATCTGCTGTGGTCCTGTACCTTTCTTCTATCCATTCACTTTTTCCCGCTTTCCCCCCGCCCACCTGTCAATATAAAAGCCGCATGATCACCAGATCACTTCTTTTTCCTCTCTACCTCAGTCACCTCAACCGAGATTCAGTGCTGCAATTCTCAGATGATCAACATGCTCAAGCTCTTGCTAACTGCAGCTTTGGCTGCTACTGGACTCTGCGACTATGTGATGCCAAACTCGACAAACTCAAGCACGACTTTCACGAACCCAATCCTCGATTCTGTAGGCGCAGATCCGTAAGTCCAACGACTCTACATGTGAAATAAGTAAATATTAACGTCCATAGTTGGGTCTTCCGCTACGATGACTACTACTTCATGACCTACAGCAACAACGAAAACATCACCCTCCAGCGCAGCAAGTCCCTCACCGACTGGAACACGGCCGAGTCCAAGTTGCTCTTCAAGCCACCCCCAGGCATGAACTACTCCACAGACCTCTGGGCGCCCGAGATCCACAACCTGGACGGCAACTGGTACATCATCTTCACGGCCGACCCACGCGCCGACTCGCCTCCCCCCGAAGTAGAGATGTGGTGCGAGTACAACTGCCCAGCCGTGCACCACCGCATGTTCGTCGTCGAAGGCCTGGGCGCAGACCCATGGACAGCGACATGGACCTACAAAGCCGAGCTGGACACATACAACCAGTTCGCCATCGACGGCACCTACTTCCAGCACAACAACCGCCTCTACCACATCTACTCGTGCTGGCACCGACAATACGACGGCTGGCCAGCCAACCTCTGCATCACCGCAATGAGCAACCCCTGGACCATCTCGTCGCCCTTCTCCGAGCGCCAAATCCTCTCCGTGCCCGAATACGCCTGGGAAAAAACGCCCTTCGGCCGCGCATCAAACGACCGCCTCTCCTCCAACGAAGCCCCCCAGCAGCTCACGAACCCGAAAACAGGCCAGCAGTTCCTCATCTACAGCGCCGCCCGCTCGGATAACAGGAACTACTGCCTCGCTCAGCTCGAGCTCGTCGGCGACGATCCGATGAACCCTGCCGACTGGCGCAAACACCCGTACCCCGTCTTCTACCAGAACCCGGCTGAGTCGGCGTACGGCGTTGGCCATGCGAGCTTCACGACTAGCCCTGATGGTGATGAGGATTGGATTGTGTATCATGGGATGCGCGATTCGACGAATGGGTGGTATGCGAGGACGATTCGGGCGCAGAAGTTTTCGTGGAATGAGGATGGGACGCCGAAGTTTCCGAGGCCGGGGTATGGGCCGTATGAGGTGCCGAGTGGGCAGTAGGGGGTGGCCTGAGAGGCATTTTTCTGAATTAGCGTATGGTTTGGCGGTGTCTCTGGATAGTGGTGAGAGGAGATGCGGTAGATGGAATGTATGGCATCGTGACTGGAATATAGTAGAGAAGACGGCGTTTCTCTTTCTAGATACGACATCAAGATAATTGCTGCAAAATGAAGAATGATTTGGAATGCTTCTTTACTTTGCCTAGTGATGAACAAAAACGTACACGCGAACAACCCCAGGATATCACAACCCGATCAAATCGCCCCAAGAAAACATCACTCGTTACTCGTCAGCATTCAAACAGCGCTCCTCTCCTTCAAACTCCTCCTCAACCGACTCTTCTCCGTCGCCTCCTCGACCTTCGCTTGCCGCCACCCACAACTCTCAGCAAAGTCACAGATCCGGCACTTAAACGCATCCTCGATCTCGACGCCCTTGGGCTCCCTCGTGCCCTTCCAAAACGCCATTTCCTCGCCCACGTATCCATCGATGATCTCATCCTCGTACACGGTCAATTCAGAACCCAGCACATCCCCCGTCTTCGCAAAGCGGAACTCTGCGCGCAGAATTGGGGAGAGACTGAAGGGCGGGAGCGTGGTCTGGATTTCCGTAATGAGAAGAGACCACAAAGAGAGCAGGTTTGGGAAGGAGGTGGCTTCGGTGGTGGGTCCAATGTCGGCGATTGAGTCGATGAATGTGGGTGTGAAGGATTCCAGGGGGCGCAGGTCGTAGCGCGCGAAGATTGTCTCTGCGTCGACGGTGTTGAGAGAGAGCGAATAGAGGAGTTTGCGGTAGAGCATGAGTTGCATCCATGTTGGGCGTAGAGACGCGCCTGTGGGGAGAGAGGGAGCGGATCGTGTTTTCACATCAGCGATGTAGATTTGGCGATCCGTGGGCGAGTCGTCCATCTGCTCTTCCGTGCTGTTTGGTTGCGATGCGTTGGCGAAGGCTTGCGAAATGCTGAGTTGGCCTGGTGGCAAGGGCACTGTACCCCCACTCTTTTCTGCGCGCGATTTCTCAAGCTGTGCTTCGAAAGCGGGATCTGGACAGTTGTAGGATAGCTCGTCAATGACGCCGTTCACGACTTGGCCTTCAAGGACGCCCCAGACTTCCAGCTCGCGTGTAAGCCCTGTTTCGCGCAGACAGCGGAGTCCAGATATAGCATTCCAGATGCGCAGGCCGAATTTGTCTTCGTTGCTTGCTACTTGCACGGGTACGGTAGTGTGAACTTGGTCCTCGAGCGTTTTGTGTATCTTTGAGCCCGTCTTCATAGCCTGGGTCCGCGGTTTGCGTCCAAACGTGCTGAGCGTGTAGAAGTATTGTAGCTCGCACCATGCTGGCGATATGAGATCGGTCACTGAGAGGCACTTCTTGGGTTTGGTTCGGAAGCGCTCGAGCGGTGGGCGAGCGTCATTCTGAGCAGCGTCTACCACTTCAGGTATAGACAGCTTACGACTAGCCCGTGGTGTTTTGGATTTGGAACGAGAGCGCGGGGCTCTAGCAGACGGAGAGGGCGGTTCTTCAAGAGGAACTAGATGCTGTTAGTTGTCAGTCTATATCGAACACATGAGAAGGTAAGTAAAGGCTTACCACTCCAAGCTCGTCGCGATCGCTCGTCGTACTCGACTTCCAGCGCACGCTCTCGCATGGGCGAACTCTGGAAGTCTCTCTGCGTGTCCACAACCCCACTGCTTCTCTGCTTGCCCTTCGCCACGCGTAGCACGGCGGGCTTGTGAATCTGCACAAAGCCATCGACATCCTGCTCTTCGTCTTCGCGTTCTCCCTCTTCAAACTCAACGCTTGGCAATACCACGCTCTTCTCGGTATGTCTACCCTCTTGTATCGTGCCTAGAGAGACTGCAAGTATAGTATTGTCGATATCCTCGAGGTCCACGTCCGACCCGTAGTCACTCGTCGAGTGAAGGTCGATATCCGAGCCATAATTGCTAGTTGATATTGTTCCCTGTGCGGTAGTAGTCGCCATGTTGCCATCGTCTAACGGCGGGAGGTTCTAGGAGTGGTGGCGATGAGCAAGACGCGCTCTCGCGTGATGTCATGAGATCATTGGTGCGCGTACTCATCGAAGAATTGTCCATAAATCGCGTGGAATTTGCTTTACCAAAGCCAGCTACCGTTAGCATAGTGCTAGATGGTACGTATTATACGATTTCATGATTTCACGACGCGAGTCGTGGGTGTAACTACTTGCTTGTTGCTCCACCTTCCGCGGCACATTCTAAGTGTGAGCAAAGCGAAGTTACATACTTAATCCAAGTTCCACTAAACAGCTATATGTGAGGACTTGGGAGGTTACACCTATTTGGTTTGCAGACTTGATGGGATACAAAACTTTGATTGTCGTGTGGCGATTATCTCTTCACATAAACTGAGTGGTTTAGAGATGTTCGTCACATCTATCAACGTACAACCAGCTCATTCAACCCTGCATCGCCTCTGCAATTCCAACCCGCTCATGCTCTTCCTTTGTTCCAAGCACCGTCTCAACACCCTTTCCAAAGTCCCGCACATCGTCTGCTCTCTCATCTGCGCCACCCCATCTTACCACACCCCTTCCATCCACCCCAAAACACCCTGCAGTCTGCCACCTGTTCCCGCTCTCCGTGTCCCGATTCCAGATTCCTTCTTCACTTCCAAGTTTCTTCACACTTGGGATGCTCCCCAACACATGCCAGAAGCTCGCTGTACCCAGTCCCCACGCCGCATACGCTTCGCGTTCAGCGTCGACGACAATCTGGAGGTTGGGTTGCGTGTTTTTGGAAGGGTCGGGGAGTGAGGCAAGCCAGCGGTCGGTGGAGGACTGGTCGCTGTGTGAGACGGCTATGAAGTGTATCTCTGGGTGGGAGGAGGCGGTGGAACGGAGAGAGAGGAAGGTCTTCTCGGCGACTGGGTGCTGGTCAATACTGTCTTAACGATACGATAGTGCTGTTTGTTTGTACATGGACATCCACAGTGCCTCAAGAAGCTCACGATTGTTGGCTTGCCATCTTGTGCGGGAATCGCAAGTTTAGGTGTTGAGGGCGCATTGTGTCCGACTGAGGGTGTCTCAGCCGTGTTGATGCTAGATGGTGACATCCATGACCAGAATTCTGTTTGCCAGGTCATTGTGATTTGTGAATCAGAGGATGATGTGTTTGGAGCATCAAACAGCGACTGGTTGATGATTCCATGAACGGCGTCATAGGCGGGGATCGCGACCAGTTTCGGGAGCTAATAGTGTCGACTGAACATTTGGCAACACATCTCTCGTAAGCGCATCGCGTCAATTTCAAGCAAGGCGCGATAAGCAAGAGAAAGCAAAACATCACAGGCATGTGAAAGATATGAAGTTATAATGATCGATTGAGATCGTATTCAGTGACTTGTCACTAATGTCGTGGATATACTACATACTCAGCATCGCTCCGATGCACCCATAAACCGAGTTGAAGACCGTGAACCGTGCTAAACCAAACGCCCAAAGAAATCCGACCCGATAACCATCAGCGGCCCAAACAAGTAGTCATGTTGAGCCGTGATCAAGAAGAGACAAGCTTAACCGCGCTCACCACGGAGACGACGAGCGAGCTGGATGTCCTTGGACTCTGCGAACTGTTAGTGACTGACCAAGTGGAGTGGAGTTGTTGGAAGACATACGGATGGTGACACGCTTGGCGTGGATGGCGCACAGGTTGGTGTCCTCAAAGAGAGAGACGAGGTAGGCCTCGACGGACTCCTGGAGAGCACCGATGGCGGAGGACTGGAAGCGGAGATCCGACTTGAAGTCCTGGGCGATCTCACGGACAAGACGCTGGAAGGGCAGCTTGCGGATGAGAAGCTCAGTCGACTTCTGATAGCGACGGATCTCACGGAGAGCGACCGTTCCGGGCTTGTAGCGGTGGGGCTTCTTGACACCACCGGTTGATGGTGCGGACTTGCGAGCGGCCTTGGAGGCGAGCTGCTTACGAGGGGCCTTGCCACCAGTGGACTTGCCTGGGGATTGTTAGTGAGGTGTTGCGATGGAAGTGCGGTGAAAAGGCGGTGGCGAAGGCAAGCTGCAGCGCCAAAGGCAGTTGCAGTATTGCGATGCAGACGATGCGATAGTGATGATGGAAGAGGAGTACTCACGGGCTGTCTGCTTGGTACGAGCCATGGTTGATGAGTTGTTGATGTGGATGAGTGTTGTGTAGATGAGGCTGTTGGGTGGAGAAGCTGTGGTGGATGAGAGATGGAGAGCGGAGGGGGACGCGGCTTATAAGGTTCTGGGGGGCCGAGCGGCTGCCTGGAAAATCAATCGAAAGCACGCTCGAAATCAACGCAGAACACCAACGTCGTTTTGCTAGCGACAGGAACGTCAAACTCGCAAGTGAGAGAAGGCAGGGCGCGGCGATTGGCTCGCTTGGGGCGCGGCCGAAACAGGAAGTGGCACGGTTGTTGATCTGGGAAAGCGCGCCCGTGCGCGTGGTTGATCTGGCTGCCAGCTGCGTGATCCGGCGGCGGCCCACTCACCATATAGACCGACGCGCCCCATAGTCTAAACAATCATCACCATCAAACCATTCTCAGCTACTCCACCAGCCTGCACCACTCCCACACTACCTCTCCACCAACTTCAACCAACCACCCACCTCTACCAACATGACTGGACGTGAGTTTACTCCTCGACGCGTCTCAACGCGTCTTGTTCCATCTTCTTCTACAACATACTGACGCGTTTCTCAGGCGGCAAGGGCGGAAAGGGTCTCGGCAAGGGCGGAGCCAAGCGTCACCGCAAGATTCTCCGTGACAACATCCAGGGTATTACCAAGCCCGCTATCCGTCGTCTCGCACGTCGTGGTGGTGTCAAGCGTATCTCAGCCAGTGAGTCTTCCACTTCATCCTCCCGCTCTTCACAACTAACAGCCTTCAGTGATTTACGAGGAGACCCGTGGTGTTCTCAAGACCTTCCTCGAGGGTGTCATTCGTGACGCCGTCACCTACACTGAGCACGCCAAGCGCAAGACTGTCACCTCTCTCGATGTTGTCTACGCTCTCAAGCGACAAGGCCGCACTCTGTACGGTTTCGGTGGTTAGGCGCATTCTTTCACGGTTTTCATGTTACGACTTCTGCCGCCTTCAATGGTTTACGGTCGGCTTTGGTGCTAGGTGGGATGGTCACAGCCTTGTATAGTAGGCTCGGAGTTCACGGTCATATCAGTCGGTTCTGATTGTTTTTGCATGGAATGATACCATAATTCTTCATCTCTCATCTTCTCGTGTCCTGAATGTGATGTTTGCCACTTTTTATAATAGACGCGCCAGGGCTGAACGCGATGGTCATAGCGGCTGTCGTCTCGTGTATGCGAAGTGTGCTTGGTTCGTTCTTACTGCGGACCCTTGCATGTTCCATCTCAAACTCTAACATTTTGCTATCGAGTGAACAGAACTCAATGTCCTTGTGTGCACCTGGCCGACAGTTCAGCATGACTCCTGCTATGTTTGTGTGACTGCCGCCAATGTGTTGCTGTGCCTGCTGCCCTCTTTACTCTCGTAACGCAATCACGATGGACTAACATTATAATAGATACTTGCCATCATCTCTTCTTTCTTTGGTTCGTTATCCCAATTCTTCCGCTCTGTATCTTCTTCCGTTGTCACCTTACTCTTCGGTACAGCTGCATTAGCTGTGACGTATACAGACCCCTCATGGCAGGATTACCCATTCGCCCGATTCAAAATGACCTCTCATCACCAACGCCGTTGCCAAAATCTGCTGCCAGACGAATCTCTAGCGTGAGCATGGCTCTATCAGTACCCCCACGAGCGCTCTTCTTCGATGTTTTTGGTACCTGCGTCGACTGGCGGGAGAGTGTCATCAATGAGCTACACGCCCAGGCCCATGCGGCACTCAACTCAGCGAGTGCATCTCTAGCATCTCGCGTGAGGATGACAGCTTCAGACATGACGATTGAACATTGGGGACGCTTTGCGCAAGACTGGAGGGACACATACAGAAAATTCACAAGAAACCTGGCAGCTGATCCCTCCTTGCCATGGGTATCGGTTGACGAACATCATCTTACATCGTTGAAGGAGCTTATGGCTGCCTGGAAGATTGAAGGGTTATGGAACGACGTGGAACTGCGAGCTATCAGCTTGATATGGCATCGCTTGGAACCTTGGGAGGACTCTGCAGAAGGTGTTGAGCTCTTGAATCAGCTGTTCTGTATGTTTCCGTCACGTCATGCACCACCTGGCTTAGCTGACAACATCAGATACCTGCACACTCTCAAACGGCAATCACAGTCTTCTTGCCGATCTCCGTAGTTACAGCAAGATTCCCTTCACCCATCTCTTCTCTGCCGAGGACTTTGGCACCTACAAGCCAGCCCCACGCGTGTATCTTGGAGCCGCGGAGAAGCTGAATCTCCCACCTGAACAATGCGCCATGGTAGCAGCTCACCTGTTTGATCTCAAGGCCGCCAAAGAAAATGGTCTGCAGACGATCTACGTTGAGCGTCCTAGTGAAGAGGAGTGGAACGAGGATCAGATTCAGAGCGCGAAACGGGAAGGCTGGGTAGATCTTTGGGTGAGCGCGGGGGATGGTAACAAGGGATTTGTGACCGTGGCGGAGAAACTGGGTATTGATGTTGCTGGTCGCAATGGTCTCAGGAGGCTCAGTACAAGTGCGCCACCCGGTGGCGCCTAAGTTGGTGCACTTCTGTCGTGAAAAGTGGATGGCATGTCATGGGTTTGAGAAGTAGTCACATTAAACATGGTTACCTTTGAGTATAATACAGTCTCTTGGACACTCCTCTTGTTGGTTCTGAGTTGTTCGTGTGTTGTGTCGTTGTTGTTCATGATTGACTATGTATTCATTTTCATCATCAATACTGAACATCACAATATTACATAAAATCATAGTGCGAGCAAATCGACGTCAAATCATACAAAACTTCGAATATGAAATCCTAACCATAAAAAGAACACTCAGACCAAATTTAAGGGCAATTAGACATTGTGTTGTTGAGTTCATTATTTTCATGCTCTGATGCAGGGCTCTTGGTCCAGTCGATCAACTCAATGATACGTCCCATTATCACTTCTACATCGCTAGTATATGTATTAAAGAGCAATATTCACATGAAAGCACTCACAAAGTATATGTTTTTATCGCTTTTTAAGACGTGATAATTCGCAGTGTTTCCTCTTTCCAACGCTATAGCCTTCCCGATGCGGTTAGTTTTCCCGGCCTGCCGAATTCCTACCCCAGACGCGGTCCAGAGTGGAGTAACAGCATCGGCTCCAGATCCGAGGCATCTGCAGCGTCATCGGCTGCCTTTGGACCGACAATGGCTTTGCCGAGCTGTGCTTCTCAAGTCGGATGGCTTCATTGACCACTCCCGTCACCAATCTTCATCCCGCGACTCGCTCACCCAAACAGTACTTGGAATCATTCGAATCGTGCCGGTACTCGCAGTGAGTAAGTAGTATACGCAGGAAAGAGCTCGGTGGAAAAGCTCACAGGAGATTATTGAAACCGAACCGGAGTCTACTGCAGCTCGCGCGATCTCGATTTCTCCGAACGACGACACTTCCAACCCACCGTTTAAAGCGCATCATGTCGACACACATACAAGACCAGGTCTACGCCAATTCCATCTCCGACCCCGAGACGTTCTGGGCCAGTCAAGCAGAGAGCGTACACTGGCACAAGAAGCCCACCAGAGCCTTTGAGAAAACCACAAAACACCTCAAGAAAAGCAATGTCTCGCATGACCATTGGCACTGGTTCCCCGACGGTGAAATATCCACGACATACAACTGTGTGGATCGCCATGTCGCGAACGGCAATGGGGAGAATGTAGCGATATATTGGGACAGCCCGGTTACGGGACAGAAAGAACGATATACGTACAAAGAGCTGTTGCAAGAGGTGGAGACTCTGGCTGGTGTGCTGAGAGAGGAGGGCGTGAAGAAGGGTGACGTTGTGTTGATTTACATGCCGATGATTCCTGCTGCGCTATTTGCGATGCTTGCTATTGCGAGATTGGGCGCCATTCACTCCGTCGTTTTCGGTGGCTTCTCACCTGCCGCGCTGGCACAGAGAATTGAAGCGAGTCGACCTGTGGCGATTATGACTGCGTCGTGTGGGATTGAGGGCTCAAAAGGACCGACAGAGTATAAGAGTATGATTGAGGGAGCAGTGCACAAAAGCAGCTTCAAGCCATCAAAGACGATAATTTGGCAGCGCGAACAGTTGCGATGGGATCCGGTGTTGAAAGAAGAGGGAGAGAGGAATTGGCAACGACTGATCAAGAGTGCGAAGAATAGGGGGTTGAAGGCTGATGCGGTGCCGGTAGAGAGTGGCGATGGGTTGTACGTTATTTACACCTCAGGCACAACAGGTACTCCGAAGGGAGTTGTTCGATCTGCGGGAGGCCATGCCGTGGGATTGAATTTCTCCATGAAGTACCTATTCGGCGTCCAAGGTCCCGGAGATGTCATGTTTACTGCCAGTGACATCGGCTGGGTTGTTGGGCATTCGTTCATTGTTTACGCTCCTCTTCTGGTTGGCGCCACCACTGTTCTCTTCGAAGGTAAACCCGTTGGAACCCCCGATGCGAGTACCTTCTGGCGTATCGTCAATGAGTACAAAGTGAACACTATGTTCACCGCGCCAACAGCTTTGCGCGCCATCCGTCGGGACGACAGCGATAATGAGTTCTTCGAGAAACGGTACGGAGAGAAAGGCGGTCTAAAGTCTTTGAGATCGTTGTTCCTGGCAGGTGAAAGGAGTGAGCCGAGCATTGTTGAAAGGTACCAGAAACTACTGGCGAAGCACTGTGCTCCCGGTGCTGTGGTTGTGGACAACTGGTGGAGTTCCGAGTCTGGCTCTCCGATATCTGGCATTGCCCTCAGTGCTTCGGCAGGGCTGGACTTCTCCTCTACAGACCGACCAAAGCCGCTTCCTATCAAGCCTGGGTCCGCTGGAAAGGCGATGCCTGGGTTCGATGTGAGGGTCGTAGACGATGAGGGCAAAGAGGTGAAGAGAGGTGAGATGGGGAATATCGTCATGAGCATCCCGCTGGCACCGACCGCATTCACAACGCTATGGGAAGACGAAGAACGCTTTTACAAAGGCTACATGAAGAGATTCGATGGGAAGTGGATCGATACGGGCGACGCAGGATTGATTGACGAAGAAGGCTATATCTCGATCATGGCAAGGGCAGACGATGTAATTAACGTTGCTGCGCATCGCTTTTCCACAGGTAAGTCTTTTGACTACTATTTGACGTGCCTTCACACAAGCATACTGACACCCCTAGGCGCCATCGAACAAGCCATAACAACGCACCCTTCCATCGCCGAAGCCGCCGTAATCGGCATCCCTGACGCCCTCAAAGGCCATCTCCCTTTCGCCTTCGTCACGCTTGCTACACATCCGCACCCTAGCCCTGCCGTTCCCGACTCCAAGCTTCTCGCCGAAGTACAAAATTTGGTACGCGAGCAGATTGGCGCCATTGCAACCCTGGGTGGTGTCATCCAGGGCAAAGGTATGATCCCTAAGACAAGGAGCGGGAAGACGTTGAGGAGAGTGCTGAGGGAACTGACGGAGAATGCGACACATGCCGAGTTCGACAAGGAAGTCAGTGTGCCGAGTACGATTGAAGATCGGGACGCGGTGGATGTGGCGAGAATGAAGATTAGAGAGTATTTTGAAGTCAAGGGGAAGCATTTGCACAAGGCGATTGAGACGAGGGCTAAGTTGTGATGCTGGAAGATGTTGAATTTGGTATGGATATAGTGAACGCCCGACCCTCTGTAGATGCTGGTCCAGCCAGAGTGATCAGAATTGATGTGTCGAACGTATTGTTTGGATCTGTAGTCTGTTCTCGAAGCCTGAAGAATAGTGTTCTGGTGAGACAGCACTGTTTGTGACTTTCCAGTCGCGCCTGCCCTCTGTACTCGGTTGGCTCCTTCCACATACTACACAATATTAAGAGTTACTTTCCCAATCTGACTGAGATCGTTCTCCTCACCCCACACTTTCGCATGCTACTGATGCTCCACGTACGGAACTGTTATGAGGCACGGCGGGTATGCACGCGCGTCCACCAACTGAAGCACTGACAAGGCTGACGCTGACGGGTGTCAGCATCGATTTTCCACGAATACCACAGGTCCGCAACGTTCGCTTCACTCCCGTCTTTCAATCTGCCGTTGTGTACGTCAGACTTACGATCTCAGCGAGCAACGTGTTAGCATTGGCTGTCCCGTACCCGCCCAGCTCGATTGCCTTGGTTGCCTTGAACGGCGAACGTGACGGCCCGTACCCGTGCGCGCTTACATCTCCGGTGGCACAAGACACCAAACGTCCAATATGTAACGCTAGGTCGTCGCGATCGCGGATATTCGAGGGTTTCAGCAGCTCGCTGTAATTGGCTCCGTCTGTTGGAGTTGATCCCCAGCGCTCACGTGCCTGGTTTTTACTGCGGGCGCCGCAAGCCCATGTACCGGACTTGGCTCCTGGAGAATTGTCGGTTGTGAACCAAACAGTATGTGCTTGACAGTGCTGGTGCCATGGAGTCGGAGCGCTTGACAGTTCAGTCTGAGCTTCTCCGCTCCTCAATGCTGCTAGCGAGTTCTGCTCTTGCGTATTGTGGTTAGAGCCAACACCGCACTGAATCATCGCCAATAGTTACATCGGATGTGTGCCTGAAAATGGCTTACTACTTGAGAGCAGCCGTCCGACAGTCACGGCACCAGCAAACGCTTACCGGAGACGACGTCCGTTGGTCAGCGCTGCCGTCGGCTCGGGATGCAAGCGTGTCGACGCCAAGCGCTGCCAGCTGTTGCGGTAGCAGGAGAGATTCGCCCGAAGCACAAAGCACGAAGCACGCTGGAATTCTTATGTCGAGGCATGGTACCGCAGTGCTCTGAGGAAGTGTGTACCTGCCGTGACGGGTGGGACTCGATTGCCATTGTTTGCATGCCAGGTTTTGGAGAAATGTCAAATCAGATCCCGGCAGCCTCGACTGCGAGCTTCTACCTACACAGTCTGGGCGCCTATCAGGGATGGCAATCAAGCGGGCCACAGCTACTGCAAGCAACCGCGTTCACGGGCTCGGTGCGTCGAGGCCGTGGTGCCATCCCCTGTCATGGTGTTGTCCTGTCTCGGTTGAGACGGCGAGGTGGTACAGACGAGTGGGATGAATGTCACTGCTCGCATACAAGCGTTTCAGAGACAGCTGTTAGTGGTGAACGAGGGTGTTCCCACTGCTCGAGGGTGCAGCTGTAGTGTGCTGCATGCAACAGCTAGCTCCAGCTACTCGTGCTGGTGTTGAGCTCGGCGGGGATCACTCGACAATATGGCCGTTGCTAGTCGACTCCGCACGGGGCGGCGTCGCACATGGCAGGGAGACCAGGAGAGCCCTTCAGCGCGCTGCAAGACGTGTCCAGGACCGTAGAGCACGGCATGGCTGAGAGAGCACGGCAGGGGGCCGCGGGCCCGGGTCGGCGGCGACGAATGGCCACTGGCCCACGGCGGATGGCCTCTGTCGCTGCGAGTGGCCTGGGCGGGCCTAGCAGCGTTGCAGGCTCGGCTGGGTCAGAGTGAGGATTTGGCCCAACCTCTAGCAGCGTAAAACCCCCGGCCGCCCTGGTGCACTATCGCGCGTTTCTTTTGACCTCCCTCTTCCATCGCCGCCGCTATCGTTGAGCAGCCCTCCACGCAGCGACCCCCTATCCCACGCCACCCGCGTCGATGCGAGGGAGCCCTGATAGACGTTGTCGATAGCTGATAGCTGGTACCACCTCGAGTGCCGCCAGGGCAGACCTGAGAGAACATTTCACGTGGGGACACGAGCCAGCGAGAACCCTGACTGCGCCGACATTCACTCCTAGCTTCCGCCCAAACCACCCCAAGCAACCTCCTCGCCCCATCACCCATCACCCATCTCTCTCTCCGCACCCACGCTCTGCCATACGTGCTCCGTCTCCGTCTTCGTCTCCGTCTTCATCCTCGTCGCCGCCCTCGCGTCTGCTGCCACTGCTGCACTGGCCATCTGCCTCGACGCTCGGTGCAACGCTGTGCAACGCCGCCCGACCCCTTCTGAAGCGCCTGCACCCATCCGCGACACGCGCATCTGTGCCGCCGTGCGACTTGGGACGATACCTCTGGGCCCTCGACCACGCCGCGCTCTGCCGTCGCGCCACCCCCATTGCTCCCTCCCGACGCCAGCTGCGACACGGCCCTCACGAGACGGACGCCTACCCTTCCTAACTGCACGAGCCTGCACTGATTCACCCTGCACGTCGGCACCATGGCAGGGAAAATGACGCTGTACAAGCTGGTGGTGCTGGGCGACGGTGGCGTGGGCAAGACAGCCCTTACTATACAGGTACCTTTGCCACATGGCTTCTGTCGAGAATATGACTAACCGCTCCAGCTCTGCCTGAACCACTTCGTTGAGACATACGACCCCACCATCGAAGACTCGTACCGCAAGCAGGTGCAGATCGACCAACAGTCGTGCATGCTCGAGGTGCTTGACACGGCCGGCCAGGAGGAATACATTGCACTGCGGGACCAGTGGATACGCGACGGCGAAGGCTTCGTGCTCGTCTACAGCATCTCGTCGCGCGCGTCCTTTGCCCGCATACAGCGCTTCCACAGCCAGATCCAGCGCGTCAAAGAGACAGCCATGGCCGGCTCACCCACATACCCTGGTTCGCCCATGAGTGCGTCAGCGCCCGTATTCGGGCACGCGCCAGTCATGCTCGTGGGCAACAAGTGCGACCGCGTTACCGAACGCGAAGTCTCGACGCAGGAAGGACAAGCCTTGGCAAAAGACCTTGGCTGTGATTTTGTGGAGGCGTCGGCCAAGAACTGCGTCAACGTCGAGAAGGCCTTCTTCGATGTTGTCAGACAGCTCCGTCGGCAACGACAGCAGGGTGGTCGCGCCGTCGATAACAAGGGTTCCGGCAGGGGGACTCGCGGCACCAACAACCATGCCAAGGACAGGGTTCGAAGAGAGGACGCCCGTCCAAGCAGGGGAGGTCATGACTCCCGGAGGGACAAAAAGGGGGGCAAGCCAAAGTGTGTCATACTGTGAGGGGCCACGGCCATAACAGCACACCTAACGAGCTACGACCTCTCGTCCTCCACGGATAGAACATACTCTTCACGGCGTCGGGCATAGGAGTGGAGTTTAGCACTGCACGCATCACGGTCTTACCACGTTGGCATTTTGCATCAAGACCGCGGCGTTTTACGGAGTATAACGAATACTGGGCCCATTATATCATTTTCTCGAGATCACGACTTTGCACGGCTGATTGAATATCTATTGTTGACCGACCTGGGAAGGATGGACGGTGGATGGTGTCGAAGCATGTGGTATGGATGAAAAGCCACCCCCAAAAATCAAAGGAGATAAAAAGCCTTGACTTGCACCTGGCACCTGGGATCTGGAATTGGACTTTTGGGATTGGACTTTGGTTTTGATTTGGACTTTGATTTGCGATTGGATCTGTTTACTACCAGGCGATGGATGGCGATACACAACCCCCCTTGAGAGTTCTCATGAGAATACTTTTGCATCTTTTGGTATATATCTACGATATTCACAATTTACATTCACACCCACATAGCTATTACACACACCCCTATCTCCATTTAATCTCATCTAATCTCATCTAATCTCTTGCTGGTTTCGCGTCGCATTTCATCTCCCCCAGCCATGTTCGTTTGTCGGATAGTACCATGAGCCAGGTTTCTACCCTATCGGTCCGCCATGGATGATGCTTCCCGCATCCCCGATAGCATGGACGAGGAATGAAGCACGCCTCGAAGTTCAGCTCAGCTCCAAACATGATGATGTACAAATCGACAGACGTGGGACGATCTTCACTTCTACCTAGCATTATCAAACAATATACCTAGCTCTAACGAACTAAGCCATCCCCATCCCTGGTAAACAAACGGGCCAGCCATCGCCCAGCGCCCATCAACCATGCCATAATCTGCAGGCAACAAGCGCCAGCACCAACCAAACGCGAAAAGCCCATGCAAAACGCAATACACCGCAACACAACGGCATTGCACCGCACTGCACTGCAATGCTACCCGACCCCAATCCCTCCCTCCTTGCGAACCGTTAGATCGCCCCCGGAAAAAAATTCCGCACATAGAGTAGGTACTGGGTATTTCCATATATATAATTGTTTAATTCCCCGCTCCGGTCCCGCGCGCTTCACGGTATCTTCCTCAACCATGCTTGTACGCACGCACATACGCACGCACGCACGCACCGTACAGACGCAACGCGCACTCGCTGGGCCAAAACTACACACCTATCACCCCCCGACATGCCCGGGTTCCCATTGGTGTGTGCCTGGCCTGAATCACAAAAAGCTCCCGCCCCGGATTTACACACCTAGACCATCTTACCAGTGTGTGTGTGTGGGTGTGCGATGCAGTGCAGCGCGGTGCATCTCAGTGCAGAGCAGTGCGGTTGCTGCACACATGGTCTGATCTGGTCTGACCTGGTGTGATATGTACAAATTTGATATATCAAACCCCCCCCCATCGATGATTTGAGTTTTTTTCTAGAAGAGCCCAGACGCAAATGCAATCCGCTGGCAGCTGGGATTGGTAGATCCCATCTATCTAAGTTTGTATTGCGTTTCCCTTCCTTGTCGCGCATCCTTTCGGTGGGAATCTAGTCCTGCGTCTTTAAATTTTTTTTGGCTGTCGGTGTGTGCGGTGTGTGTGTATGTGCCTCGGGACATGGCAGGACAGGGCAGGGCATGGCATGGTGAGGCGAACGTCGTGGTCGAGATTCAAGTCTAGACTAAGTGCCGTGTGTGGGTTCCGAGAGGGAAGGGGCGGACGGGCGGGCGGGATTCGTTGGTTGGTTCGGGTGGTGGAACCGTGGGCTTGGACTTTGTTTGCTTGGTGTGTGCGGTTTTTTTCGTATGGCATGTTTATTTTCGAGTAAGAGAGAGAGACGTCGTATGATGTAGAGAGGAAGGATATGCTTTTGGTGAGGCATTTGTTATGTGGAATGGTATAGCATAGGGGGGTCAAGGTAACTTGGATGCCTCATACAGTGTGCGAGAAGGTGTTGGCAGGGAAAGAGCGCTGTGTGCATGATTCATTGAACCGGCGACAACTATCTTCCGGTGTATTGTATGGGAACATCTTCACCACACTCGTATAGTGTAGATAAGAAGATCATGAGTGCCTGAACGCCATGCTAAACTATCAATATGCTTCTTTCCACCGCCCGTACTCATATGGTCAGGAGGCTCGAACAAGTCGTAGACAGACCAATTGCTCCCTACGCTACCATTCCAGCAGAGTCTCCTGCGCCACCCATGTGCCTCGTATCTGTCAATCGCTATCATCACTGTCTGGTTCACTTCTCGCGGGCGGCCTGCTCGTATGACTAAGAGCAAAGTCAAGGATATCGCTCTTAGACCCTGCGTCCACATACTTCCTCAGACACCACCCGATCTGCACCGCGGTACTCCTCTCGTTGCCCAAGGGATCCACTTGTCTACCCTTGACGAAGATGATCTGCGTCTGGCTGTCCTCACGGTCATACACTTTGTCTGAGGAGCCAAAGGCTATGATGGCGAGTTTGGAGGAGCGTGTGTGATCTATGATGTGGTGAGAGGTGTTGCGCTCGAAGCTGGCTTGGGCGAGCCCGGCGAGGAGGTGTTCGTAGATTTTTCGCGGGAGCCGTGTCGACGAGGGGGAATTGTTGGGCCATGTAGTTACGTTGAGGGTTACTAGGTGGGCAAGATCCCCGAGGCAGTTCTGTGGGTGAATTAGGATATGGCATTCGAACTCGGTGACGTGAAGTTGGAAAGTTGCTTACCACGAAGTTGAAGAAGCTGTCATTCTTGCTCTTGATAACGCTTACTGACGGGAATGCAACGCTCACTTGCTCCAAAGACGGACAGTCCTGGCAAATTTGCGAAAACGAAGCATAGTCGTACACCAACTCATCATCGCAGCTGTCCGGTCCTGTGCTGGTATGTATGCTTAGCTGCTTCAGTGTCTTGCCATGCCGTATAATACCCGCAGACGCCGGTAAGCTTTTCGAGTACGTTAGATCGACGATGAGAGTCTTGATGCCAGACACAAGACACAGGAAGCCATCTATAGCGCCTAGACCATCGTTCTCAGGATTGTCATCGTGCTTGACTTCGAGTGTTTCGAGCTTCTCGGGTAGCTTTGTGCTCTTGCTGAGTTCTGCGAAGAGGGCGTCGGCGCCAGAACAGCCGAAGACGCGGATGTTCTTGACAGTGTGGAAGTCGACGAATTTGCAGTATGATTCCGCAGCGTATCGGAGAGCTACTTTCTGCAACGTGATCTCTTTGAGTGCGATGGGCGTGCATTTCGCGAAGGGCTGCATATGGCTGAACAAGGTCGAAGTGATGAGTCCAGGCTCTGTCGACGAATCGTTTAGTTCGCGTGGTGGAATAGGCGAGTCACTTTCTTCGAAGCTCGCATGTAGTGTGATCTTCTCCAGTTTGTGTGAGTTCTTGAGGAGCATGTTTCCGAAATCCAACACTTCCCTACTATCAGGATACAGCCCGATCTTGCGCACATGTTCAAACATCTTCTCGAAGCCTGGGATCTTCTGGAGCTCCGCGGTTACGTCTCTATCTACCGTGATAGCCTCCAGCCACTTCATGCGCCTCTGCTTCTTATACAGCAACACGAGATTGTCCCCAGAGAAGGGCGACCACGGATGCCATGAGAACTTCTCCAGTGTGTTTTCCGGCAACAGCTCGATGATCAGGCGGGTGCTCAAGTTGGCAAGCAGTACTTGATTGCACTTGTCCGCGACTTCTGCGAGGTAGAGGTCGATCTTCCGCACATGTTGGAGACCGATGTTCTTAGGGCTCAGGAAAGAAGCGAGACGTGTGTCGCTTGGCGACCCAACGTCGAGCGTGACTTCATAGTAGAGCTGCCTGACGGCGATTTCGTGAAGCTGTTTGCAAGCGAGGCAGAGGTTCTTGAGGTCGGTCGGGCGGGTGACCTATGGCGTAGTCAGCTACAAGCTTTGGTGGCACAGAGGAAGTTTAGCAGCTCTTGTGAAGCCTGCCGACTCGTGACGTGTTTGCGACCCATATAGTCCTCTTGACCTCTCCACGATCGCAGTCTTGCGCCTGCCGTGAATGGCGGTTGTACTTACGTGCTCTACAATCAACGTCTTAATGTCCACCGAAAGATCCATGAAGCTCAGCTTCTGCGCCATGTTGAGTACGCGTGCGCCCAGTCTTTACGCAGCCAGTGGTATGGTTATGATCAGTGAGTGCAGTGAACGATGGCTCCAAGCTCAGGGCGATCACTGTTTATCAAGGAACGCTGGTGCTGACGGCCTCTTCCGTTGCTGCCTAGTTGAAGTGGAGATGGAGGTAAGGCTGAGTTGAATCAAGGTAATATTTAGCCAAGCGTCGTCGATTGACAGCTTGTGAACCTTTGAGCCTCACTTTGGTGACGAGCAAGGGTCTCTGCTCCGCCCGCCCCGCGCTAGAGACGCGCTCAAAAGTTGGGGCACACGTTGTGTCTAGCTTCTATTGGACAGGTGACGTGATCCCTGCAAAGCAAGCTGCTTGTGGTCCTTGACCGGTCTCTAGAACAGCAAATAATCAGAGAGAAATGTTTGATACAGCTATCTTGTCTTTCAGTTTCCAAAGAAACATATTCAAGTTCAAAGCTTCTAGACTATCTCTCATACAAGCGCTACCACTACGTTCTGAGGCGCATGCAGATAGTGGCTTACTAAGTTCAGCTCTGCCAGTATTGTGCTGACATCAAGGCAGCAACAGCATGCTCACTGCAGATTTTCAAACACAAACTTGATCACAGTGGATGGTGGCCTGATATTAAGTAACGTTTTCCCATCCTGAGTCATCGCTGTACTAGCCCACACATATTGTGTGTTTGTTCCACTCGACATCCCCTCTCAACTCTTGCAGATCCTCCTCCCTCAAGCACATGGCTACTGCCACCACACCATCATTGCCTTTCGGCATGACGTACATCAAACTCTCTACGGGCGCAAATCCGGGCCGTCTCACAGCTTCTGGCATTCCCAGCCCCAGTCCAAAATCCCACTCATACGCCGGGACCTTTGCCCATGAGCTCAGCATGATATCTGCGTCGGTTCGCATAATAGCCGTGAAGCTTATCTTAGAGGTATTGTCTGGGGACCGGGACATGAACGTCAACAGCGAGCGTGTCCGGAACGCGATGTCTGACGTCTTGGGATCAACATCGTATCGCATTGCAGCAGCGATGTGTCCAAGTGGAGTGGCTAGAAGCGCTGAGAGCGGATAGCTGATATATGTCATGTTTTGCAGGATAACATGGTATTCAGAATGTATATCAAGATACCGGCGGGCATCAACAGCACGGGCAAAGCTCACAATACGGTCTTGGGGGAGACGTTGCTGTCTGGCGCGCAATATGCACTGAAATATGAATGCTGACAGGGCGTCATCGGTGGATATGTAACCGATGAAGTCCTGTGTGAGGGATGTGATTGTGAGACGTTTCAGTAATTCCATGGAAGCGGCGCTGAGGGCGAAATATGACCAAGAGCACTTGTGTGGTGTAGGGAGCGTTGATGCTTGATCCGGTGGAGGCTGAAGAGGCAGTATCTGGTTCTCCAGCTCTGGTCCTGGTTTCCATGCCTCTTCTCCGATGAGTGGCACCAGATCTCTCCTCTCCGTGTTCCCTAGCTTGATTTCCTCGTCTGTGAAGTCCTCGCCGCGACACGCGTTGAACAACCATCGGATCACGACTGCCTCTCCCATCTTGTCACACATACCCAGGGGAAACTATGGGATAGTCGCCTCAATCCGTGTGTTATGGTTAAGGTGATGATGGTTGATCTATCGACTGAGGCATAGCGAAGACGAAAGCCAGTTGAGTATAGAGCTTGAAGAGGGCGGGTTGTGCCCCCATGAGATCGATGTCCATGTTGAGGGCCATGCTTGGGCCAATGGCGTGCTGGAAGATCTTCTAATAGTGAATAAAGAATTGGTAAAACGCTCTGCTCCTACTCTGGTGTGACTTTGCAAAGAAAGTCGTCTAGCGCAAAGATGCACACATGTCCCGTTTGAGCTGTCATATCTAGTTTGAGTTGCAGGTAGGTAGCACAACAAAAGCTCATGCTCCCTCATAATGACTCATCTGAGGCTGGCAACTGGAGGTAATGTGTAACTGCATTTACCAACGAACTCCGAGAAGAGTGTTGAATTTCTGAAGGCTAGCTCACCTCATCCTCGGACATATTTTCCGTGTTCATGGTGGCTCTCGAGGAGCACATGGCTAATTCAGAACCCGGGACATTATCGTCACAGTCTTCGGTCACTACGAGCCGTGGCTTTTCGGCAGCTGGGCTTATGCACCCCGCCCTCCTAGGGGACACGGTGAATCCCGAGATGTTGGAGTTATCCAGATGTGGGGGTTGATTGTATGTTGTTGATATACCTAAACAGATACATCCTGCAAGAGCGGCATCGTTCCGCTGGCTGACGTTACTGTGTGATGGCTGCACCCCTTGACGAGGATTCATCAGGTGCAGAGTAGAGCGTCAGCGGTGAGACGTTCAGTTGGCAAGCTGCCAGAAGGCGGTGACTCGCTGTCCTCGTGACGAAGAAGGGCCAATGCGGGATCCGGCTGCAGGTGATTGTGAGGCTCTGGAAAGGGGTGTCTCAGGCGGAACGCCATGTCCAGTCCAAAGACCTTGTGCTCATTTGGCGGCTTCACTGTGTGCACAGGCTGATGCATCGTCTATGGACATGATTCGCACTGGGTGACACGGACAAAGCAGCCCTTTGGCGGCTGCCCCTATCAAGTGGCAGATGGCAGACCAAAGGACAGGTGCTAAGCGCATCATGGGAGTGCTGTCATAGATGTCAAGGGTATGGGCTTGAGAAATCGCGCTAAAATATCTCCTTCCCGCCGGTTCTACCCTCGAAAGTCGACCACGATAGCTTTCTGATCCCGCGGCCCCCCATTACGCTGTAACAGCAGTTCCTCACGCGTCCCACGGCAGCTTCAATATATACGCCTTGCATGGAAGAGTCAATCGCCGACAAAACGACCATTTCCACCCTCTCTACACCCGACAACCTGGTTACCTTTTTATAGTAGCAGCTTCCGATGAGCTCGACACCACGCTTCGCGACTTCTCCTCTCTTCTAATAGACTCCCGCTCCCTCGGACTGCGTGCGACCTCGGACGTGCGCTCTCACTGCAGTCTTGCGCCATGTCGAAAGCCTCAGAGCAGCCGCAATCGCCGACCAGCACCGTAATGGTAGCTGAGCCAGGAAAGGGTGGAAACGTATGTACCCAATCAATCGTCAGGCCTTACATATCAATTGACCATCTTGCCGCAGCCTCTCGGGACATCCGACTCCACAAGCCTCGAGCGCATACGGCAATTGTTCGCGCAGCCAGTTCTGGCATCCTTTGTGGCTGGCGGCGTAGCTGGTGCAGTCTCTCGAACCGTCGTATCGCCTCTTGAGCGCCTCAAGATCTTGTTCCAAGTCCAGAGCGTTGGCCGCAACGAATACAAAATGTCGGTGCCGAAGGCGCTGGCCAAGATGTGGAGGGAAGAGGGCTGGAGAGGGTTCATGGCTGGGAATGGAACCAATTGCATACGGATAGTACCATATTCTGCTGTGCAGTTTAGTGCGTACAACGTCTACAAGGGGGTGAGTAGCTTCAATTTCACAGCTTCATGTTTAATGTTTTTGCTTGCGGGTATGGATGAAAGTTTGGGCGCGGGTTGGTTAGGAGCATGGGACTTTCACGACAGGACACAGGCGGGGAAGAAGGTCACAGCAAAACGCAAAATCGGTGGAAGGCAAAGTTGAGAACGGGACACGAGACAGCATCATGTCCATTCTTCCAGCTAACACGAAGTAGTTCTTCGAAAAAGAGCCAGGCGGTCCCCTCGACGCATACCAGCGTCTCCTCTGCGGCGGTCTCGCAGGCATAACCTCCGTGACATGTACCTATCCCCTCGACATAGTCCGCACACGCCTATCGATCCAATCCGCGTCCTTTGCAAGCCTCAAGAAAGATACAGGCCACAAGCTGCCAGGAATGTGGGAACTGCTCGTCACCATGTACAAAACCGAGGGCGGCTTCCCAGCACTCTACCGTGGGATAATCCCCACCGTCGCAGGCGTCGCACCCTACGTCGGCCTCAACTTCATGGTCTACGAAATCGCACGCACGCGATTCACGCGCGAAGGCCAAAAAGACCCAAGCGCCGTTGGAAAACTCGCTGCGGGCGCCGTGTCGGGCGCCGTAGCCCAGACCATCACATACCCCTTCGACGTGCTGCGACGGAGATTCCAGGTCAACACCATGAGCGGTATGGGCTACCAGTACAGCGGTGTCTTCGACGCAATCCGCCAGATTGTCAAGACCGAGGGCGTCAAGGGCATGTACAAGGGCATCGTACCCAACTTGCTCAAAGTCGCGCCTAGCATGGCGAGTAGCTGGCTCAGCTTCGAAATGACGCGCGATATGCTCATGGGCAGCTATAACTCGGGCTTCTTGTGAACCATGCCACAACTCGACTCGACTTGACTCGCTTCGACTCGGCATTATTGCCAAACAGCTCAGCAGCAGCCACGCCCAAAGTCGTATCGCGCCGCGACCACCCTACCCCGGATAGACGGGCGTGTACCACACGGGACAACGGAACAGACCGTCCGCGACCCCCCATACGCCATTCTCCCACGATTAGTTCTTCTTTTTGTTTTTGCATTGCGCGGCGGTAACATACTCGTCAAGACCTTGGAGTCTCTTGACGATTCCTTTTTTTCCCTCTCTGAATAGCGACGGCGTCAGTTAAACAGGTGGGTGGGTGACGAAGATGATGATGATGGGTGGGTGCATTCTTTTGGTCGGATAGGGATAGCGTTTAGAAGAATGGCAAAGGGTAGGGGGGAAATAGAGAGAGAGAAGGCTTGTACCAAAACAACTCGTTGCAGCTTCGTCTGCTGTTCTTATCGTCTGTCTTGTCTGGTTCCTTTCGCGCTTCCCTATCTCTCTCTCTCCGCAGGGCTGATAGCCAAGTAAAGATGGCTGGCTGGAGTGGCGTGATGCTCAGCTCATAGACGTGCGTGTGTGAGCTCATCAGTAGCTAGGGGAGTGTATAAGTGCCATGTGGGCTCTCGACGCGTCTTGTGCTGTCAAGGTACTCACTAATTCGCGTTTTCGATGGATATTCATGTCTACACTCTCCCTCTTCAAAATAACAGGATTCCTATGAAAGAAGGTGTTTTCGAGTTTTTTATATTGCTAGCTAACATGCAGATAGGTACTTGACCTTGCTATTTTCCCATTCGAACCCGTTTCAATCTTTCATATACAAGCAAGCAAGTTGGCCCCTGCAAACGCTCAAACGCCGCCCAGAACGTCCAGAGAAGGCAAGAAGTGAAGGACTCGGCACTTGATAACAGACAGCAAACATCGGATACGCCTCCCGTTCAAAGGTCTCTTCCCGCCATTGGTATCACTTCCTCTCCTCTCTCTCTCTTCTCCCCTTCTATGCCGTCGCAGACACAGTCTCCACCTCGATCTTCGGCAACGGCGCCGACTTGCCGCCGAGGTCTGTGTGCCGTGCGTTAGGGTTCTTGGTGTAGTAGTTTGAGATGGCGGATTTGATTGCGTCTTCGGCAAGCATGGAGCAGTGCACTGTTCTTTCCGTCAGCTTTGATTATCAAAGAACCGCATACCCTCGCCATCGATTCAAACAAAGAGAAGGAAGGACAGAGGACGCAAAGTGGTACTCACACTTGACAGGCGGCAAGCAAAGCTCCTTCGCAATCTCAGTGTTCTTGATCCTCGCCGCGTCCTCGAGTGTCATGCCCCGCACCAGCTCCGTCAGGTAACTGCTGCTCGCAATCGCGCTTCCGCAGCCAAACGTCTTGAACTTGACGTCGCTGATGGTGTTGTTGTTGGGGTCTACGCGAATTTGCAGTTTCATGACGTCGCCGCAGGCAGGCGCGCCGACGAGACCGGTGCCGACATCCGCATCAGCCTTGGACATGGAACCTACATTACGCGGGCGTGAGTAATGGTCGAGCAGTGCTGGGGGTGTTAGCTGAGCGTTCGTTCACGTTGGAGGATTAAGTCGTTCGACGTATCGCCACTGATGACGAGTATTTGGGTTGCGCGGGGACGACTTATCTTTCTCATGGTATTGCCGCCTTCCGGCTACTGATACTGCAGGTGCTGCTGTGCGGAGAGGCGATGCGATGCTCGGCCTGGCGACTGTGGAAAGCACTCTGCCGGCCTGGGCGGGTACTGCTGCTGCGACTCTTCGGAACATGGTGATATAGCGTATGTGTGGTAGTCTGGGTGTATAGGGCAATGCGATCGGTATATTTCAATGGGTTGTGTGGATTGTGGAGGTGTGGGTGTAGGTGAACTGGGGATGGTGACGGCTATGAGGAATTGTGAGGTATGATAAAAGCGAACTCGGGGATATGTCATTCGCCTCCGCCTCCGGCGAGAACCCCGCTACCTATCTCCGGCCAGACTCGCTCGCCTTATCAGATCAGATGCAAAATTACACGTGCTTCTTCAACTCTGTACGCCAATAATCGCACCGTATCAGGCCTTTTGATTACGACTCTCACTCTCTTCGCCGTCTTATGCAGTGTGGTTAATCCACAAAATTCCCTGGTCCGCGGCAACTCCACACCCGCTATGCTAGTCCCAGAAATGCACATCTAGACCCCAGGCTTACGAACGCCTAAAGAAATACACATACGCAAACTTCTTCATTTCCTCGATGTCGGCAGCCTTGGCCACTTTCTCATCATTGAAGAGAACCCACGATGCCGCTTGCTCATCGGGCAGCTGTTTGCGGACAAAAGCAACATAATGACTGTGAATGATTAGCATATTCGACGCGACAGTGCATAGTGAAACCACTCACCCTGCGTGAATAGAACTACCCTTGTGGCAGACGATGGACTGTAGTTGGAAATTCGCTGGCAGCTTCTCGCTTCCTGGAAGCGACTTCTCTTTGGGCTCCGCAGGCGCCTGCACTCGTTAGCTCATCAGTCAATCCATTCTGATGTACAAAGAGCATACCTCAGAGCTGCCACCGTCGTCAAAGTCGCCAGGAGCATCCGGATGACTGAACAACCAGTCTACAGCTCGCTCCATGTCGCCACTGGTCTCTTTCAGCGCCTGTCGTGCCTGAGGAGCATTGAAGCCCATAGCGCCAAGATTCTCGATCATCTCAGGGTCAATCACGTTGGCAGCGCTGCCTCCGGAGCCACCGCTAGGGTTGAAGTCGACAGGATCATCGATATCAGGGTCTTCCATGTGCGAGAACAGCCAGTTTGAAGCAGCCTCCGCGTCCTCGTTACCTGTGGCATGCAGAGCTTTCTCACACCTGACTTTGGGGAAACCCATGGCCTCCAGCATCGAAAGCGCTGCCTCGTTTGGCGTCCATTTACTTGAAGAGCTCCCAGTATCGGCATCTTCTGGCAGGAGTTCCTCGCTTCCCTGTAAGCCATTCGACTTGTACGCATCAAACGAGAAAGCTTCGTCATCAACAATGACTGGAACATCCTGCTTGGTAGGAACCCAGTTGACCAACTCAAATCGTCGGGCATTCACTGCCAAGACTGCTGGGAATGTTTTGAACATGCTTCTCTTCGTGAAGCCATTCTTGCTGCCACAGGAACCACACGTCAGTTCAACCATCTCTTCCGCAGTGAAGATGTCGAAACACTCTTTCAGGCTGACGGATTCAAACTCTTCTTTCTCTTTCTTGTCGTCTTTGCCTTCGCTATCAGTGACCTCCATCTGCGCATCTTTAGGAATCCTTCGGATAGGTACGGGAATGGAAATGTTCTCCTGCTCGTCTGTTCGATATCGTACGCGCTTGCAACTGATACATTGTAATCGCTGTTCCATGACGAATCTGAAAGCATCCACGGGATCCTCATGAGGCGCAACATGTTGGGATCGAGAGACGAGCTTGAGAAGATGGAGAAGAAGCTCGAATGCGTCCTGTTGTCGCATGGTAGAGAATTCCGCATGGCCACGTCCTATCAAGTGTTTCAGCATTGCCGGCGCAATGCCCTTCTGGTGTGGAACCTCGGGAGTGCGCTCCGAAACAATGACATCGCTGTCTGGCTTCGAGTAACGACCAGAGATTAACCCGTCTGCGATCTTACGGAGTTGAGTTTCCAAGTCCTCGGCAGGAAGCGGTGCATCTGGTGGTGCCTGTTCGGGGAGGTAGTATCGATTCCTGAACTCGGGCATCGCGAAGAGCGCTTGTAAGACACTGTTGAGGTAGCAGCTGTTTCCTAGATTCTTCAGACCAGTGAAGTCAGAGCCGAACAACGGTTTCAGCTCCTTGCCGTCTTCTGTCACCATGGAAAACTCCCAGCGCAAGTTCTGCTCGATCTGCATTTCTGTCAAGCTCTTCTCCGTCTTCACCCGGTCCTTAATGTTGATGCCCCAATGGGCAAGATGGTTCGGCAGCTCCGGATCAATGCGCTCCTCATCGCAAGAGTAGCAGTAGATATCGGCCGTTCCGTCCGCAGTGAGTGATCCCAGCTTGACAGCTACGGGATGTCCACTGGACGTTGTATGTGCCACGCCGTGCGAATTGCCACCAATACCACCAAACTGAGCACGCCCACAGCCTAGGTTACCACAGGTCAAGCACAACCATAGATTCTCGTTCAGTTCACAGTCTGAGCAGTGGCCTAATGACTGTGACTCGATCTGCCTAGTCGCAGCTTGTTCTAAACATAGCGTATGTTCGCAAGCAGTCAACTCTTGCTCCCAGGCCTTGACCTCCTCTTGCCTCGCGAAAGTATTGGCCTTGAGGACCGCGTCGACAACGGCTGGCAACTTTCCTGAGCTCTTATCTACATCGTCAACTCCACACTCGTAGCACTTTACTGTTGTCGTCGTGTCGAAACGGTCGGTCTCTGTTTCAGCCTGGATGGACAACTTGGTGATTTTCGCCGGTGGCTCATCGCGTGTGACTGTCTTGCGCGTGCGCTTGATGTTCAGAACGAGTGGGTGGTTTGTCGAAGAGACGTGGAGAACGGAGTGCGTTCGATCGCTCGTGCAGCCGCCATTGAAGCAAAAGAGGCAAACATCAAGACCAGTGGGGTCATCCTGCTTTCCATCAACTCACGTCTAAACCGAAAGAGCTCTAGAAAGCTCAAGAAGTACTTCTCACAATAGAGTCGAAGCACTGAGTGCAGTCCTCGCGATACACCGACTGGGTTGGCCCTGGTGGGCGGAGCTCTAAGAAGTGTAAACACAACAAGGCAACATAGCACGGCGAACGCGGGGCACTTACCAGGCGCGTTGACGTGTGTGCAGGCCATTATGAGCTATAGATGACCTAGTAGTGAAGGTGTTTGAAAAGACTTGAGGAGGAAGTCAGGATCAAGACAGAGAGGGTGGGAAAGCTTTTGTTGGCAGCTGTGGCGTCTGTTTGCTAAAGATTCCTGAGCAGCAGCATCCCAATGATGACGGAGCTAGCCTGTAGTTTTGGCGGGGCAAATCCAGGGACCATTTACCGCAAGCAAGACCAACTGTGTATTCCCGCCCTGCAGTCTTCTTAGGGCTGCTAGCTGGTAGCTCATTCTTAGCACCCAAGCCTTCCTACATCTAATCATCCATGGAGACTGCAGTTCTGTTGGTCTGTGGTTAGTTGTAGCAGCTGTTCTGCTAGCTTAGGACGTTGAAGTTAATACGGCGATGAATTGCAACTTCTCTGGTTATTTATTATATGACTTGTATCGTTAGCAGATGCTACAAGTTCCAATCTCCAAGCTTTAAGTGTTTTGTCAAAAAGAGAGTTGGCATCCCTACCTACGTAGATCGCGCACAGCCACACAAATCTCAAAAGTTCGGAGAGCTACAATGCACCATCTCCACGACTCCTCCATGCTCTCACGACGCGTTTTCCAGCAGCTTACCGACAGCGTCCTGCTGTGCTCGAGTTACAGACCAGCGGCGTCTTCTTGTGTCGCTGCAAGATGTACTTGTTGCTGCGCTCGTAGCCGAACAAATACAATCTCCGTTCGCCCCTCCTCGTCCTCGTCGACGAGATGGAAATCGCGCCAGGGAAATGATTTCTTTGCCAAAGAGGCTCGTGTCCAAGGCCTGAAGAGTCGTGCCGCGTTTAAGCTGCTTGAAGTAATCATCACGAGAGTCGTGGTAGACATGTGCTAATGCGACGCAGTTGAATGAGAAGCACAAGCTGTTCAAACCCGGCCAGACTGTCATTGATCTGGTATGCTCACTCGCAGCGTCTCCAGAATTATCCTAATCGCATTCAGGGCTTCGCGCCGGGTTCATGGTCCCAAGTTCGCTCCCCACACCCACCAACGCACTCCTCTCTAAACCCACCCAGGTCGCAGTAAACCGCACATCTCCAGAAGGCCGCGTCATTGGCATTGACATGATCCCTGCGCAACCCCCTCGAGGCGTCTCTACCATCCAAGGCGACTTCCTCTCGCCTGCCATCCAGGGCGAAGTCCGCGCCTACGTGCGCGACCCCGAGCTTGGGCGACAGCGCACGCAAACTATATCTACACAAAGCGATGGGGTCACGGAAAAAGAGCTGGATGTTATGGAACGAGGCTACATCGATATGGAACGACAAGCGCATCTAGGCGGCGCAGAGACGGCACCAGAAGAAACAAACGAGCAGGCTGCAGACACCAAGTTGACGCGCAAGGAGCGCGATGTTCAGCAAGGACGGTCTGTCGATGTGGTGTTGAGTGACATGTCAGAACCCTGGGACCAAGTCGCTGGCTTCTATAAAAAGAGCCTTAGTGACCCGTATTTTAGGATGATGAACACCAGCGGCAATGGGTTTAGAGATCACGCTGGTAGTATGGTGGGATCTCCCTGCTCGTTGATAAAACTCATCGTACTGACTATAGCAGGACCTTTGCATGGCCGCGTTGACGTTCTCGTTCGACACACTGAAGACTGGCGGCCACTTTTTGTGCAAGTTTTATCAGGGGGATGAGGAGAAGGCTTTCGAGACGAAACTGAAGCGGATGTTTGCCAAGGTACACCGAGAGAAGCCTGGTTCGTCACGCAGTGTATGTGTTTTGCTGGTCTTGTGATGATTTGTGCTGATTGTCTACAGGAGTCGAGAGAAGCGTACTTTGTGGCTCTGCGCCGCAAGGAGGCACCGACAAGAGAGGAGGTTTTCCGGTGATCAGCTCGAATAAACTCGAGTGAAGACTGTATGGCCTCAAACAGGACTGGACAGGACGGAGGCGAGCTACAAGTCTGCCACCGACGATCGACCATGTCTCGTGTGGGAGCCCCATAATTTCCGACCGTACGCCATGGACGATATCCAGAAGACTTTCCGCTGCAGGTGTCCGCCATGCTGCAGCCACCATTGCACATCACATATGATCGATGCCGCCATGGGCAGGAGCTCGGTTAGAGGGACGTGACACAGACTGTAGATCAGCGTAGAGGACGAATCACACATGTGGAATGCAGTCCACTGTATTCTTTGGGAGCGTACGTAGACGAAGTGGCAATTCATATGTGGTCGTCTGGAACGCATGCGCTCGGGAACGGATCTGGACACAAGTGGGTCAGGCGACAGGGATGTGGTCGGAGGTGTACGTGTGGGTGAATGACGCTTGAGCCACCGAACGAGACGGACATGTCTGGCTGCCGGCAGCGGTGCTAGCAGCGGTACCGGTGTTGGAGTGTGCAAGAGGCGTGAAGATGCTCATGTTCGTCGAGTTGCTGCTGTCTGCCCTCAGCAGCAAGCAGCTGTTGCGATGGCACAAGTCGCCCTTGGCTGGGGGCTGTGGACCCTGCGCCTCGTCGAAAACGGGCACCCACCCAACCTTATCACCGCACGTTATCCTCTCTTTGATCATCCACCCCCAATCAATCTAAACCGCGCTGTGCGACGTGCCCAATGATTTGCAGCGAGTGCGATGGATTACAATAGCCAGCATGCCTCGTTTGGCGCGCCCTTCTCCACGGCCTCCCCGCAACACTCGCACTTCTACACGGCGGATCCACACGCTCGGCTGCAGCAGCCAGGCCCGAACCCAAACTCGTCGTTTAATGCTGCATACGGCCAGTTCCCTAATGGCCAAGCCGCCTCGTTCCCGAACATGGCGGGCCCCGGCGCCGTGATGCAGATGCCCCAGGGCCAGTCCCAGCTTCACCACCCACGAGGTAAGACCCAGTGACGTGCCCTTGGCGCTACCGCCGTCATGGCCTGCCACACTCTGTCCCACGCCGTGTAGTGTGACGCGTATTGTGCTGACATGATGGTTATGAAGCAGCCGCACTTCAGCAACAACAGCAGCAGCAGCAGCAGCAACAACAACAACATCAACAACACCAACAACAGCAGCAACAACAACAACTAAGCCCCTACTCCAGCGCGCCATACAACCAGACCCTGTCGTCGCCCGCCCACCAGCACTTTGCGCAGAACCGCAGCACAGCGTCCCCTGCGAGTGCCAGTGGCCAGTTGTATGCGCCGCCCCAGCAGCAGCAGCAATCGCCCAGCACCACCCTCGCGTCCAACGGCCAGCAGCAGATGACCATGCAGCCCGCCATCAAGTCGGAGACGGTGCAGACGCCCGTCAAGGCTGTCCCGCCCTCGCCTGTGACGCCGGTCGCACAGGCGCGCAGCGATGAGCGCATGGCGACGCTGCTGGAGATCAATAGTCTCCTCATCAAAGAGGCATGTGAGCTACAAGGCCAGGGTAAAGCAGGGCAGATAGGACCACCCGAAGAGAACAAGCCCCCGCCAAGCAAGGAGTACGTCGAGTATGTATTCCCGACCCTCCTCTCACCCATACCACAACACACCACTAACAAACAACACCAGATACGTCCGTCGCCTCCAAGCAAACCTCTCGTACATGGCCCAACAGTGCGAAAAACACGCAAAACCAAACCAGCCCCTCCAACCAGGACCCGCCATCATGTCTGCGCCCTCAACCCCCGACGAGCTCGTCAAGCTGTACATCAAGCTGCAAAACCTGTTCCCCGGCTGGAAAGGCCAGTCGGCAACGGTGAAGCAGTCGCCAGGCCCTCAGCGCATGAACTCGGCGTCTTCGAACCCGCCAAACAGCGCGGGCCTGCAGCAGAACTGGGGACAGAACACGATGCAGCAGGCTATGCAGACGAAAGCGGAGCCTATTTGAGATGTTGATCGTCTCGGTTCTGGCTTCAGCGCAGGGTTGATTAGATGGTTGGTTGGTTGGTTGTATTTGTAGGATGGGTGGGGATAGGCGCATGTGAAGATTTTTTTTCAAAAATGGGAGGGGATTGGGAGTTTTTTTCTAGCTGTTCTTCGTTGTTTTTTTGAAGTATTTGAGCGTGCGGAATTTCTTGGGGGACGTAACAATAGAGAGAAAGAGGTGGAAGAAGAAGCGGAGTCGCTGCTGATTGAGTCGTGCAATCTTCCATACACAATAATTTAATATAGATAAAAAATGGATGCGGTTAGGAACGGGCTATCTATCTCTTGATCATGTGAGAGATCTTTCGTGTCGGTTCATGAATTCCTTCCTCATCTCATCTCTTTGTGTATATATATATCATCACGCGAAAAGAACCAAGACAGTCTCAAACAAGAGAGTTTTAAGAAAAGCAGAGGGCAAAGAAAACCATCACAAGGCAGTCAAGTCACGCCCCGTCAATCAAGAAAGAAAAAGTATACAATTAACCCCCTAGGAAAGACATTTCAAACAAGACAAGTACCGCCACTATCGAAACAAGCCCGCCAAAACGCTCTTCAACTGCTCGGCCAAGACCTCCTCGTCGCTCTTGCGTGGGACGTCGATGGTAGCCTCCGACGCGTCGGAATCGCTGTTACGGCGACGGCGGCGTTTGCGGGAGGAATCGCCGTGATGGTCATCATCTTGGTGGCGGTGTTGTCGTCTGTTTTCTCGGTCATGTGTATCGTGGTCGTCGTAGTTTCGGTCGTGGTCTCGGTCATCATCGTGTGCTCGTCTATCGCGGTGTCGTGAATCACGGTCACGATCACGATCACGCTCCCTCTCACGGTCATGAAGCTCATCACGCTCACGCTCCCTTTCATCCTCCCTCTCATCATCATCAGGCGAGGCCATCACAGGCGCCTCCTGCTCCTGCGTATTCAAATCGAACTGGACGCTCTTCTCGCCACGAGTCGAGTCCAGCATCGAACTCGGGGAGTCTCGATCACGGTCGCGGTCGCTCAAGAATTCTGCTCGGGGGTGGGGTTAGTAAAAGGGCTCTTGTCTCGCGGGTGGTTGAGCCAACCCACCACGTGCAGGCGCAAAGGCAGACGGCGGCACAGGCACCGGGGCGGGTGCGTCGGGTGCGAAGGGGAAGTGCTCGTATTCAAGGGCCGGAGCACTCACATTGTCTTTGGGACGGCGGGGCTGGCCGTAGGGGGGCTCGTTGTGTGGGTGGGGTGCGTAGGGGTTGCCGTGGTTGAGGTCGTCGCGGGAGTCGTAGGCGGTGCTTGGCGGTGGGGGGTAGTCGGCGGGGTTGTAAGGGGGGTATGGGGATAGGGGGTCGTGGGCTGGAGGAGCCGAGGGCGCGGGAGGGGGAGGGAAGTAGTTTGTTTCGGGGAAGTAGCGGGAGTCGGTGCCTAGGTTGGTTGAGCGACTGGGACTGCCGTAGGGACTGTAGCTAGCAGTCGAGTAGGCCGAGTCGTCTTCGCCTGATCATGTGTGAGCGTGCTAATTGTTGGATGGATAAGGGTTGGACTTACGACGGCGGTCTCGCTCCTTCTCGGCCTTCTTCTGGTCTCGTCGCTTTGCTGCTTCGTGGGCAGCCAGACCAGCAACACCAGCGACGGCGGCCGTCTCCGCTACCGATCGTGCACGACTCCGGCTTCGACTCTTGCTTCGGCTTCGGCTTCGGCTGCCGTGTCGACCGCGTGAGGACGAAGAGGAGGACCGTCGCCGCCGGCCGCGCTCCCGGCTTCGTGAGCGCGCGGAATCGGTATAGATGGGATCAACGCCGTACTCTACTAGATTGGGGTCACCTGATGTGCTTCCACGCCTACCACGGCCATGCCCAGTTAGGCGGGAGAGCACCGACCTTGATCTCGACCGCGAGCGCGATCTCGACTGTGAGCGCGACCTCGACCTGTTATCCTTCTTAGCCCTGTGCTTCTCGTACAGTCCAGTGGCGGCTGCGCCAGCGACAGTGGCAGCAGCGATGGGCACACCCTGTCTGACTCTGCTCTTCTCGCGCTTCCCTTCGCGGTGTCGAGACTTGCTCCTCTTGCGCTGGGAGAGGCCAGCCACGGCGGCACTGGCAAGACCGGCTTCGGCAGCTCTACTGTGGCGGCGCTTGTGCTTGCCGTGCTTGCTCTTGCTGCGCGACGTACCCCTGGAAGAGCGCCTGCTCACGACCGACTTGGACCGCCCCCTCCTCGAGCGCGACCTGTGGCGGTGCTCTTCTATGACCGTGGTGGTGACGGCGGGCTCCTTCTTCTTGCGGCCGGCGGCATAGGCAATGGCGCCGATGCTCGCAATGGCCGCGAGCGTGCCGACCTGCTTGACCCTCGACTTGCTGCGCTCGCGGTTGCTCGAGCGGTCGTCGTGGCGGCGGCCCCTCTCCCAAGAACGCGACCTGGAGCGCTCGCGGTTGCTGAACTTGTCGAGGGCGACGGCGCTGACGGCGCCCAGCGTCCCGTAGCCGAGTGCGTTGCCGATGCTGCCGCCGGCCTCTTCGCCCTTCCTCTTGCGGTGGTGGCGCATGATCTGACCCGCAGCCACGCCGGTGAGGGCCCCTGCCGCGAGGTTGCGCTTGGTCTTGGTGTCGCTCCCCTCCTCCCACGTGTCCTTTTCCTTGTAGTAGTAGCGGTCGTCGTCGCTGTGGTAGTTCCTATCGTCGTAGCGCTCGCGGCCGTAGTCCTGCCTCTCGTCCCGGCGTGGGCGCTCGACCTGCTTGACGCGGCGCTCGTAGTAGTAGTCGTCTTCCGGGTGGGGGCGGGCGACCTGTCTGTCGTTGGTCACCTCCTGGCGCTCCATGAAGTCGTAGGCCGGCTCGCGCTCGCGGATGATGATCTGCTGGGGCGCCTCGTCGCGGAAGATGATGGGCATGGGCATGGGCATCTGCATGGGCATCTGCATGGGCTGCGGGGCCTCGTTGTGGATGACGATGGACTGGGCCTGGGGCTGCGGCTGGTACTGCGGCTGCGGCTGTGGCGGGGGCGGCAGCTGCTGGATCTGGATCTGCTGGGGCGGCGGGGGCTGCTGGACCTGCTGCGGCTCGCGGTAGTACTCGGTCGACCGCGAGTACTTCTCCAGCTCGTACGGGTGCTCGCGGGGCGCCTCGCGCTCGTACTCGCGCTCGTAGTCACGCTCATAGTCGAGCTCTCTCTCGCGCGTGATGCGCACCTCGCGGACCGTGGGGGCCGGCGACGGCGAACGCTCGAACTCGCGCTCGATGCGGTACTCGCGCACTTCGCGGGCGCGCGGCGACGGCGAGCGGTCGGCGTAGCGGTACTCGCGGACCTGGCGGACGGGGGCCTGGGCCTCGCTGCGTTCGATGGTGTAGTCGTTGACGTTGACGTTGACGGCAGAGCGGCGGTCGTCGTAGTCGTTGCGCCCGCGGTGGACCATGCGCATCTGCGACTCGTACGTGTCTTCTTCCAGGCTATGCTCGGGCATCTTGTAGCGCCGCACCGTCGTGTAGCCGCGGGTTGAGCCACTCTCCCAGTCGCGCTCGCGCTCGCGCTCTCGCTCGGCGTAGATGACCGACATGGTGGGCGGCGGCGCGGGGCAGGCGGCGTGCGTGTGTGCGTGTGTGTGTGTCGGTGGTGGTGGAGGATGTCACTCGAGGGGTCTAGGGCTGGCGGAGCGACGGCGGTGACGTCGTGGTGCAGCGTCTGTCACGGGTCTGCACGGCTGCAAGTCAACGGCGAGCGGGACGGCGGGGGGTTCGCAGCAGTGACGTGCAGTGCAGAGCAGCGCAGCGCAGCGATGGGCAGCGAAGAAATGGCAGGCTCGGACGGCGGGACAGGTGGAGTAATAAGAAGATAGGCCCGGCACGAACTGGAGGAGACCCAGCATGTCAAGTCAAGTCAGGTCAAGTCAGGCTCGGCGGGGCGCCCAGCAAGACATCAGGCGCAGTCCATGGCCGTGACTGCCCAGTTTGCCCACACACGCAACACCGTTCGCTGACGTCACAAGCGCAATACCCAGGACCGGACGATCCGCCCGTTGACTAATGCCCCGTCCACTGTCCAGGCGTGTCCGAGCAGAAATACGCCTGTTTTACCACCTTCACAAGGAGTGCACTGCTTGCAGCCCCATGCAAACCCCAACGCTGCCCACCGCACGCATCATACATCGACCCTCACAGCCCCACAGACGGTGTGAGAAAGAGCGAGAGAGCATGCAGACCCATGTGACAACCCACCTGCACATGTCTTGCTTGACTTGACTTGACTTGTCTTCAGCTGTCACTTCTGCTAGTTATCCAGGCAGTCCTTGTGACCAGACAGAATCTTCGCTTCGTTTTGTAAACAGGGTCAGGGAGACCTTGCAGGTGAAACAGGCAGGCAAGCAAGCAAGCAAGCACGTACGCACGCACGAAACAAACCCCATCGATACACAAAATGACATCTTACAACACTCGAATGAGATGCCAGACACTATCTAATGAGATTACCCTACCCTGCATACACCTGCCGTAAAAAAACACTGGTTATCGCACCGTTATCCCTGATCTTTCATCCGGTGAATCCATCCACAGCCACACGCTTGCCATGGGCCATGCATCAGCCTCTCCTCACCGGACCTCCAAACCCCTCATCCACAACATGCATGCATTGACTGAAAACATTATGAACAAGCCGCCCAATCCAATCCATTGATCAAAAGCACCAGAAATTACGTATACTAGAACACATAGGTATACATTCTTTTCCCCACGTATGAGTATCATCCACGTCCAAAGCGAGAGACCGCCCAAACAACAAAAAAGGGCGCCGTGATAGTAGAACTACACTACTACACAATGCCATACACTCTCTTAGCGATAAGGTAGCACAGAGTACCAAATCCAATAAGCCCGCCGGTAATGCACCAGAACCACGTCAGGCTGTTGACGTCCTGACCAGGTACGAGACTGTAGGCGAGTTAGCATGACGTCTTGACCATCAACATGAAAACTTCTACATACCAGTTCATGCCCCAGATACCCGTGACGACGTTCATGGGCAGCACAATGGTACCGAGCACCGTCAGTTTGCCCAGGATATCCGACGTCTTCTCCTGTCGCTCGTTCATGCGGATGTTGATCTGAGCAAGGTAATTGCTGTGCGCTCGCGAGAGCAGACTACACAACCGTTAGCAGACGCACCATCTTCAACACGTCTATAAAACTTACTTCTCGTAATGACTCAAGTTGGCCGTCATGGTAACAATGTGATCCTGAATATCACCGAGGTACATGCCGATCTCGTTGCGCGGTGCAATGTCCCACTGCTCGTTGCACCTTTTGGCAAAGCCCTTGATGACATCCGCCTTGTTGCCCAACAGCCGGTACAGACTCATGACCTTCTTGCGGCATTCGCCCACGCGACGTAGCATGTCACGTCCTTTCTTGGACTGGTCCTCTACCTTCTCGTCCTCATTCTCCGCATCCTCACCATCTATAGAGTGAAGGCGTAAAATGGCTTCGTCAATTTCATCCACCTCCTCCTCAATACCTTGGATCATGGGCTGGTAAGCATCGGTGATGTCGTCGATAATAGCATACGATATCCAATCCGGCGACAAGACTAGGTAGTCGGAAAGTTGGCGTACACGACGACGTACATTGGCTGGATGTGGCGTCATGGAGAAGTGGAAGCTGATCACACCCTCACGGAAGACGACAACGTACAGATTCACCGGTTCTAGGTAGTCCTCGCTATGTTCGTCTTGTTCGAAAGTGCGGTAGTTGATGAAGTAGTAGTGCTTGAAAAGCTCCACCTTCTCGCGCTGTTCCTGCATGAGAATATCTTCCGTCGTGAGCGGGTGAAGACCAAACGTTTTTTGGATAACCGTCATTTCATTCTCAGTGGGAGACAGCACATCGAGCCACCACGCAGGTCGAGGGCCAAATCGCTTAGACTTGTCGTCTGTCGGGCGTGGCGTGGTCGAGCGCGTCTGCTCACCAGACGATATCTTGTCACCCAACTTTGACGCCGACCGCGTTGGTGCTCTCGAATTCCCGTTTGTGCTATAGTGCATCGCGTCTTCGTCGTCGCTGTCATCATCGCTGCTGTCCTCGAGAACCGGAGCATCAGGGATGAAAAGAGTCCTGAAAGTCTGCCCAGGTTGAACAAGCTCGCTGATGTTTTGGCTATGAATCGTGTTGTCGAAGTTCTCGTTGAAGTAGGTAAACCGGAATGGCGCGTCACTCATCTCGCGATGCCACACTTGCCTCTTGGGCCGTAAACGCCCATTGACCATCAGTGGTTCGCTGACTTTGCGCATGCGCATGCCCTCGACAGTTCGCTGCTCCTTCTCTTGACGCGACCAAGCATCCAGGATCTCAAGATTGGGCCATTGGCGTCGTCGACGGCGCGTTGTTGGCTCCCCTGTCGTCAGGGCGACCTCATCGTCATTGCCCAGCTCAGACATGGCCTCGTGTGGGAAACAGACATCTCCTATTGCCGACGCCGTCATGCGGCGACGGAATCCACCGCCGGGTGTCGTAGGCGAGCCGATGTTGGTTCCTGGCGAGGGCTCGTCGATGTCGATCAAGGCATCGCGAGACTTGGTCGGAGGCCTACCGAGCTCTGGAGAGTGGTTCAGGTCGCCGGTGAACATGACATCGTCGAGCCCCTTGACGGCATCGAATGCCGGACTGGTGGGCACCGACGGCGGGTTGTTGACATCGTACTCGTCGAGGTTGGTCTGCGAGTGGTGGTGCTGGGTGAAGAGATTGGGGCGATGCAGCTCCTCGCTCGAGGCTGATGTCCTGCTGAGTCTTCGCTGTCTGCCAACGCTCGAAGTAGTGCTCGCGCCACCATAGCCTGCACTGCCTCTAGCCTCGCGCTGGGGGTTGCCCATCAACGGCGTCCGGTCGTCTGCATCGTCTTCGTACTGGTCATCGTAGCTGACCTCTGGCGTGTGGGCAAGCCTCGACCGGCCGTACCCCCCGCTGGGTGCGCTCAGACGGGCAGGCGAGTTGACAAACGGCTGGCTGGCACGCGGCTGGAAGGCCGACGTGACGGGCACGCTGGGCCGACGCGTGCGTATCGTGGGGTGGTCGCGGTGGTCGAGCAGCGCCTCGCTCTCCAGACTGGTGCTGCTGAGGTTGCCGTGGTGGCGGTAGAAGCCGCTGCTGCCCCGGGAGTCGCCCATGGACGGACGCTCATCGCTCATGTCGCCGGTGCCCAGATCGGGCGTCGCCGCGAATGACTGTCGCCGGTTGCGCCTCTTCTTGCCACCTCGGTGCTTCTTCTTCTTGGCGGGTGCTGTCGACGAGGCCCCAGGCGCGTCTTGCTTGGGAAAATAACCTGGCGTGTTGGGTGTTGCAGCTTCAGCATACGATGGGCCCCCGTTATCTTTGATAGCGGGTGCATTGCCCGACCCTGCTGGGCCAACAGGATTCGGCGTCATGGCAAGATTGTGCGCTGCTGGTAACCAATTGTAAGGGAGGTGTCAGCAGGAACATGCAGACGCGAGACTGAGTTGCTGGCAGGGTGGAGACGCTGGCGACGAAGACTTGAACTTGGACGTGAAACTTCGCTACTAGTATCAGTGACGGAATTCCTGCCCCATGCGCTGGACTTGCCCGTCTGTAGTCTAGATCCTTTCTCATAGCACGGTGCATCAGTGCATGAACCATGGGGTTTGCGCGTGGACATGCACTTCTCCGCTGCACATCAAACCCCGTGCTTCATTTGCATTCCATCTCACCGCGAATATCCCAGCGTTGCCACTATCCGTCTCACCCCTTTCTCACACTAACAGACAAAGAGACGATTGCGCGCGTGCCTTCCTGCCTCTTTAGGTTGGCGCCAGAACAAGGCTTCTAGTCTCGTGGCTTGACATTCTCATGACGTAGTGATCTGCGTTTCACAATAGACATGCAGCAAGTGGAGCACTTCTAGACAAAACAATGTCCCTAGTGGTGTTCATGGCACGAAAAACAGCAAACAACTACAGCTACCTCTGCAAGCTGAGACGTACATTCTTCTTCCAATATATCGTGAACTGGCATTACAACACATATCTGAACAACGGCCCGTAATTCTCAACCGCAACCGCGCCCTTTCCTTCACCTCGAACGGCCGCCTCCTGCATTGCTATCTTCTGCTGTGCCACCGTGCCATACTTGCGATCAAGCTTCTTGTTCTCCCACACAAGCACCGTTCTCAGGCCGAGCGCAAGAATACAGAATAGGAACATGAATGCTGCACATACTGACTGGCCCTTGACGTAAAAGGGTCCCTCCTTCGTTGGATACCTAAGACACGTAATTAGTAGATATCACACAGATGGATCAATTTCACATACAATCGAGTCCCCAACAACGGTCCGCATTGCCCGATTAGGTTCAGGATGACAATACCCGCACCTCGCCGTGTATCTGAGCCTTGGTTGTTCGTGACCCAGGGCAGGACATTCCCGATGGCTGGGAAGATGCCCGCAGCGGCCAGGAACACGCCAAAGTATCTTGCAGCAACGCTCTTTGCAGTAGCCAGAATTACATATCCCACACCACCGATGGCAGTGAGTATCATGATGGTGATGCCGCGTTGTTGTGTACGGTCGGCAATGTACGTGGTGGCAATGACTGTCAGGAATGACAAGAAGAACGGCGGTGCTGTCAAACCTTGCGCACTCACACTTGAGAAGCCCATCTCGGTCAGGATGGTTGGCAGGAAAACCGGGAGTGACGAGAACGCGACGTTTCCGGAGAAATACATCAACTGCTGGTTGTTAATTTCGTCCAGATTATTTTGAAAGAGGGCACTCACGCCGAGGATCAGGCCTTTAGGATCTGTCAGTCCTTCCAACATCTCTTTCCAGTTGATGCCGCCTATCCTTGTCGTCGCGCCGGCTTGCTGTACACCTCGCGCCCTGGCAACAGCTTTCTCTTCCTCAGTCAGGAAGCGCGCCTTTTCAGGGCTATCAGGGAGGAAGAAGAAAGCCACAGCAGCCATGACTATGGTGGGCAATCCCTCGACAAGGAACAGAACCCTCCACTTGGCCAGCGCTGGACTCTCACTTGTAATGCCATACGCTAATGCGCCCGCAAAGCAATTGGCCAGTGGAGCAGCAGACAGGAACATGCCCGCCCTCAGACCCAGTTCATGTCGCAGATAGAAGAATGACAGCAGGTAGGGAACACCCGGGCCAAACGCGATCTCAGTCATGCCCATGAAGAACCTCAGCGCCATCATCGCACTCCACGAGTGAGCGCCAGATTGTACCGTCGACACGAGGCCCCAGCTAAACACGCAAACTGCGGCCCATATGTGCGGAGGCACGACTTTCCACATTATGGACGCGAACCCGAAGCAGATGTACGAGATGTAGAATATGGTGAGGAGCCATTCATACTGGGAGCTGCTCAGGTTCAGGTCCTCCTCCATACCAGCGATGCGCGCATTTCTGGTTGGATTAGCGGGAGGATATGTAGAAGGTAGTGAGATACGCACCCGATATTCGACCGATCTATAAACGCAAGCAGGTACAACGCCGAAAGAAGCGGAATGAGGTGCCAGTCGAGTTTCCGTCGCATGCGCTTCTCGATCTCGGGGTCAACATCCGTTGTTGTTGTGTTCCGGGCTGCTGCTGTTTCGACGTCGCCGTTCCCGTTCTCTAAAGGCGCAACCTTCCTCTCACTGTCTGCTGCCATTGGGCTAGCCTGCGTAGACTCTTTTACCTCTGGAAACAACCTCATCGCAACTCAGTCTACCGGCACCACAAATGTGAAACGCAAAGCGAAAAATGGCGAACGTAGGAGTTGACGAAGAGAAATTTAAGCCTTCCCAAGCGTTTGCCGAGACGGCTGTGCATGCTGTCCATACAATTGGGATGATCATATTAATGATTGGCGCTCAATTGCTGCTTAAGGAAAAGGCTGGAGTATACTTTGCGGAGGTCGATCGTCATCGAGTCAACAAAAGCGGAAATAAGGCCGTTATTTCCAGATGTAAATAACGACACAGTCAGACGCCGATATTGCTTCCGCATTGCGAACCGAGTGAGATTATAGCTACCATCAGCATAGAGCTCGAGCATGCAATCAACTCACTACCAAAAGTCTTCTCTAGAGGCAACATCCCCGTCACAACGAGCGAATGCATCAAATCTTTTTTTATCCTGTTAAGTATTCATCTCATTAAAGTTCAAGCACAACAATAATATACATACTCATATCTATTCCAACCAAACAAAACGCCATTCAATCCTCAACCCCCCATCTCATTCATCTTCAGACACACTCACACGCTCCCTTCCTCTCCCCATTCAAACAGCAATATGGTTCATCTTCTGTCCCGGCTTAACCTGCGACCCCAACCGCGGTGCAGGCGTATATCTTGGCTTGACAGGCGTCTTACTCGCCTGGCCAGGCAGTGTATTCGTCCCCGGGTACGGCGTAGCCGCATCGGGTTGCTTCGTTGCCGGCGCCTGGAAGGGCTTCGGCTGGCCGGGCTTGACGACCGTGTTCTTCGCTGCGGAGGGAAAGGCGGATGAGACGTTGGGGTATGGTCGAGGGAGGCTGGCGGACCTTGTGGATTTTGCTGGGGTGCTGTTGGGGTAGGGTTTGGGGAGGGCCCCGAGGGGCTTTTGGGCGCCGCTGTAGAGGCCGTTTGTTACGCCTCCGAGGGTCTTCGAGGCTCCATTTGTAACGCCCCCGAGAGTCTTTGAAGCTCCGTTTGTTACGCCTCCTACGGTCTTCGTGGCGCCATTCGTTACTCCTCCCACAGTCTTTGAGGCGCCGTTCGTTACGCCGCCGAGAGGTTTGGAAGCCGTATTTGTTACTCCGCCGATGGACTTGTATGCCCCGTTTGTTACTCCTCCCAGGCCTCGCTGAGCACCGCCTACGACACCGCCAGTCACGCCTCCAATGCTCTTCTGCGCGCCTCCCACAACGCCGCCAGTCACACCTCCAACGGCACTCTTCGCTCCACCCACTCCATTCGTAACCCTCTTCGTCGCACCATTGACCTGATTAGCCCCAGGATACTTGTTCGCTCCAATCGGCGTCTTGGACGTCGGGCCAATACTCTTCACACCCGCCATCGGTTTACTCGACGCAGGCAGCGAATTCGAGCGCTTGACAGCCGGCTTGCGGGCCGTGGAGGGCAGCGCTTTCGGGGCAGCTTGGTAGGTTTGGCCCGAGAGCGAAGAGCCATAGGATGTAGCTTTGCGCTCGATGCCTATGCGTTTTTCATTGTTAGACGCAGATTTCTGAACGCAGGTCGTTGGGATTCCATCCTTACCTGTGCCTACACTCCGTCCCGTATTCTCCACAACGTCACCGACTTTTATCAGCGCGTTGCCTGCATATTCGCCGGCAGACCGCTTCCCGGCTTCGACGAACCCTTCGACCGAGTTCCAGATGATGTTTTGTATGAATCCAGCCATATTTGCGTTGTAGTCTAGAAGCTGATGAATAGAATACAAAAGCTGCGGTAAATTGGGAATACGAGGATGATAAGGCTCAATCTGCGTAGTTCACTGACAAGTAGAAAGGTTTCTCAATCCAACAGTGTCAAGGGTGTGTGTTTTTTCCAGGATGGATGTACAAGATGATGGCGAGATGATGCTTTTCGGCGCCACAGGAGCTTCAACCTGTTTCCCACACGAGATGGGACGTTTTACCGGCCCACACCTCCCTCGCGATGACGTCTGTGTGGCACAGATTTGACCGGGGTAGGGCGGGATAGATGCAGGGATTTATGGGGAAGTGGAGAGTGTGGTCATCGCTAATCGGTCTGGCTTTGAGCTGCATGTACGGAAAACAGCGATGGCAGTTTTTTTGCTGCAGGGAGACGTTTGTCTGCCAACTCCAATTTGTACCAAAGAGTTATGTGCAAAGAAGCAAAGCTCAACTCAAAGCGCCGTATGAACCGCTACACACGTAAAACTACAGACTTGGGTATCCAACGCCTAATGATGTACATCCCTTTTCCAACCCATCCCATTTATCCAAAACCACTGCCTGGCAGGAGCATCATAACTTCTTGGGCGCTGCCTTTGTGACCGGGAGTTTTTTCGGTGCAGCTATAGGCTTCTTCGCCCCGTTAGCAGGAGTCGCCTTCTCCGCTGTTGACGGTCCGAGTTTCTTCGGAGCAGTAGTAGACTTAGGAGCAGTCGAAGCCAACTTAGGAGGGGCCTTCGCTGCTACCGGCGCAGGCTTCTTCGCCGTAGGCACAATGACATACTTGTTGGCCTGCTGCGGCTCAGGCTTCTGCTCCACGGTTATAGCACCAGATGAAGTGACCTTGATCGGGATACCAGAAGCTGTCATGACAGTAGTTCCAGTTTTCTTCTGCGCCTTTTCAATCTCCGCTATCTCCTCCTTGCCGATCTTGATAACGAGACCGTTCTTCGTTACTATTGTGCCTGTCTTTTTGGCTTTTTCGACATCGGTATCGGGGATCATGATTGTCACTCCGGATGCGGTTGTGACTTCCTTCATGGGGCCGGTGTAGGGGGCCGGTTTGGGTTTTGCGGGTGCTGAGGGCTTTGCGGGGGTTGGGGAAGATCTTGCGTTTACAACAGTGGACGCTCTTGCTTTCGCAGCACCAGCCGGATTTCTGGCTGCGGACGGCGAATTGACAGCGCTCTTTGCCCTCTGTTGTGGAGATGTTTTCAGTGTATTGAGCAGATTCGTCGGTGTTGAAGGTAACGCTGTGCTGACACGCCTCATCCCAATCCCGTTCTTGATTGCCGTCTCCTTAACCAGTTTCGCCAGGTTCTCTTGCGTAAGCTGCTGTATCTGCGGCATACTCTGGGGCCCAGCTGCCTGTGCTGCTCCCATACGCGCCGCACCCTCGATCATCTTCTCCAGCTCCTCTGGACCCGGAAGATTTTTCATATCGCCGCCTTGACCGAGCAACGATTGCATATGTTGCTCGAAGAACTCTTTGCCGCCAGGGATCAAATCTCCCGGTGACGCACCATATGCAACAGTAAGCGCCATCATCACACTGCTAATCGGAGCGAAGATCTTGACGAACTCGTTCCAGTTGCCGGACTTGACTTGTGTCTCGATCTGAACAGCTGGCCGCGGAACGCTACGCAAGGTCTGACTCTGCGAGCTGCGACTGCTCATGTCGAGGTGTTCTTTCCAAAAATCTTCCGCAGGGAAGCGAGTATGGCGGTTGAAGTATTCAAGCATGTAGTCTTTCTCGCGCCAGCGGTTGCGTAGCCAAACTTCGAAAGCTTTGGTGTTTTGGATGGGGATGGTGTCGAGGTGGAAACGACGCCAGTGCATGTTGACTGATTTTGGGGGTCGGCCTTCGAAGAAAGAGGAGCGCAGTGTAAAGATGTCCTGCCCAAATTGACCGGGAGGGACGCCTTCATAGGCGATTGTGCAGTCGTATAGCCATTCCGTTGTATCTCTGAGTTCGTTCAAACAGAATTTCAGTCCGGTACTTCGTGGCAGAAGTTGATGCTTCATGTCTTGTATGTTGTTCTTCTCTGCCCACTTCTTGCTCTTCTCCCGAGTCGTTGCAGAAAGGTTCGTTCCTTCCGGGAAGATGATGAGCCACATTGGGTTGTTTGGCTTGTTAAGTTGCGCAAGATGTTTCTTGAAGGTGCTCTGATCCGTCTCCCAGTTCCTTGACAGGAAGATGAAGTTGTAGAATTGGCATCCCCATCCCTACTTGGTTAGTCTTCGGCCAACATTGCGAGAAGAATGATACGTACTATGATCGGAATGTTCTTCAGCGACTCCTTCAAGATGATGTAGATGAAGCCATGCATGTTGTTCGTATATGCGATCCACCACAGATACAGCCAGTCAGTGTACAGCTGATGATTTGCCATCAACACCATACGATCTGCGAAATTGCACTGCAAGCTCCCATCTTTCTTCTGCGTGAGTTGGCCTACCATACTTGAATCGCCGCTAACTCGCACGATAGTCGGCGCCCACCATTGAGTCAGACAAGTGACCAGAATCGCAAAACATTCTTTTGTGTAGGCCATGTAACCATCATAGAACTGCGGGTCAATGAGTTTCAAGGGCGCACCCAGAAACTGCGATGCACTTATTCTGTTCCAAAGTCAGTCTGAAAAGCAATTCAGAAACTTCAAACGGATGAATTCATACGCCAAAACTCCAGATAGAAACGTCGACGCGAGCGTAAACGCCCTCTCCGCCTGCGTCAACTCGCCATATCGTGGCGGTCCCGCGGGATGCTCTGTAAGATTATCCTTGGAGACACGCAGCCCAGCGCCGAGATCATCCTTCTTCTTATTGATAGGCGGCGCCATGGTTATGTTGAGTTTGGTTGTCAGTCGAACATTGCCTCCTACAATCCGTCAGATGTCAGACGGGAAGCTATCAGACGTCAGTCCAGGCACGGTTCGAGATCAAGAATGTTGCTCCACTGATCGCTATTCTAGCCCCTGCTGGTGCGTTTCGATGACGTCGCCTGTGGCGTCTGCTTCCCACTTTCTGGTGCTACTTCAGGTCAGGATACGGAAGTTCCCTGTTTCCCCATCATCATTACCGTGGCGAATTCTATCCCGTGTCTTAAGGAGAAAGCTACATTTACCGTTCGCAAAACACCCTTTCATTGCTCACGTTGATTGTTGTGTTTACTCCAAGTTCAAAGGTTAGCATTCACTCCTGGGTACCCCCCTGCATATTTCGTCAGACCTTCGACGTATGCCGAGCCATGCACGCATACTGACATATTTCGCAGATTCTTAACCCAACCCAACTCTCATAAAACACGATCCGAAATGCCAGCCTCCGTAGCCTCAGCACCAGTAAATCGCACAACCAACAAAGCGCCCGCCTCAAGAGCAAAGAAGGCCGCCTCAAGCGCGACCAAAAAGCCCCAGAGCGCTACCAACGGCGCAGTGAACGGTGCTCAACACGCCTCCCCATACACAATCATGGCCTCGCGAATTGCAAACCGCGTCGCCGAGATGGCCGAGAACATGACGTTCGTCGAGCGCGAGAAGTACGTTCACACTCTCCTCTTAGCTTGAGATTAGCGGCCGTTTCTCTCAACGGCGCCGCATCGATCTTCATCGACGCCCATCTCAAACTCAAACGCCACAACCACCTGACTCGATCAACATTCAAGCTAACACACATGCCTTCAGACCTCAGCCACAGCAGCAGCAACAACAACAGCAGCAACAACAGCAACAACCCACCCAAACCGCCAAGAAGGTCCCGCGTAAACTCGAGATGCGCCTCCCGCCTACGGGCCAATCCCCAACAAACATCACCTTCTCCGCACCCTTCCTCGACAACACACTCTCGAAGCTCCTCGCGCTGCAGAACCGCATGCTGACCGTGTCGAACAACATCGCGGCTGTCGAGGAGGTGGATGATAGTGTGAAGCAGGAGCAGTTCATGCAGAGTGCAGAGCTGAGTAGGATCATCGCTTTGATCTGTGCCGAGAAGGCGAGGCAGGGGTCGCAATAGATATCTAGGCTATGAGATTGGCTCGGTATGCTGTTGTTGATGTGGGAGTTTCTGGTTTCGTTCATGTTTGAAAACGGCTATGTCGCGATGATATTCTCATGTTGGGTAATAAGTCTTGTATGAATACGGTTGGTATGAAAATTGCATTCTTTGATGATGGACAGGTCTTGATCTGGGCTGCAAAGTACGTCGTTATGTCTGTCCTGTGTGTCGCATCATGAAAAGAGAATTCGTGAGAAGTTTCGTTTGTAGCCAAGTTATAGACCATCCAAGGAGCACAGTTGTAACATCCTGTCGCAGACTGTCTACACTCACGAGTTATACCAGGCTTTCTCCTTAATCTCCACAGGCATATACTCATACCGCTCCAGCAATCGCCCATCATTCGTTCTGCTACACAAATTGTTAACCACGCATCCTCATCACGACAAAAACGACGTACTTGTACACTTTGTACACGGCCACGCAAAATCCACATGCAACTAATGTTACCTCTTGTTTTTCGCCGCTGCCTCTTCCTGTAGCCGCATCGCCGCTCTCGCACTCCTCGAACCCCCCAGTTTCGGTCCTTTGGGTGGCTCTTTCACGCCCTTAGGGCCTGGTGGTAGGACAGGTTTGCGCTGTTGTCGCGACTCTATGGACTCGAAGTATTCAAGGCGGAAGCGTTCCACCATTGCCTCGTCGTTGTCGCCGGTGCTGGGGTTGTGGAGATTGGGAGGTGCTTCGTCGAAGTATTCCACTGGTGATATTAGCAGGTGTGTTGCGAGGGGAATATGGGGAACGCACGCTTCGATTCACGGAGTACTGCCTCGACCATCTGGTCGCGCCGTATGTCCTCGCTGTTTCTACGCTTCGGGCCCCGTCGCGGCTTGCCGTCTCTGCCTAGTCGTACTTTGCTTGGGGGCTCTTCTTCGCGCTTGAATACGTTCTGTGTACGCTGGAGATTATGCGCAGCAGCATCCGAGCTTAGGTCGACTTCTTGCAGCTTTCCCTGCCCTGCTGCCAGTCGATTGCTATGCTCGACATCTGCGGGATTGTCCACGCCTGTCGTTGTTCCTGTTCTCGAGGACGTCGTAGAGAATGTGTGCTTGAGGTCTGGAGCAATTGCCGCAACGGAAGTTTGGAGGTGAGTTGGAATGGGCCAGCCATACTGACGATAGTTCTTTTCAGCCATGCGAGCTTCTACAAATTCCGTCCTGATACATTAGCCTCCGTAAATCAGATGTGTTTTGTTCTGAACGTCTACGTAATCCATGCCAATAAGAGGAGTTTCCACTCACATCTGCTTATCATCGCGATCCACGACTTGTCCTGTCTGTGCAATAAAGCGACTCGTGTATTGGCCTGGCCTCGACGTGTCGACCTGCACCATCTCCATGCCAGTATCCTCCGCCGCGCGCGAAGCTTCTCTTGGACGGTTACGCGGACGCTTTCGGTTTCGCAAAATCTCTTTGAGGTTGGGCACCGAGTCTTCTTCGTCCAAAGCGTCTCTCGGTGGAGAACGCGCATCGATCGTTGTCGGCGCGTCTGGAGACTGAGCAGTGGAAATTGTTGAGACATCGTTTTCGACATAGACACGCTTTGGGTGTGTAGTCTTGCGCCGTTTGAAGCGGATTGCGGGCGCTGAGTTATCTTGTTCCATAGCGGCCATACTTAACTGCGACGCGCATGGATTGTGGATTGGGTGTTGGTGAGCGCTGGGTGAAGAGGGACCGAGGGTGCTCGCGCTAGACTGACGATGTCATCACATGCATGATCGTACACCACTAGAATAGTCAAGAACGTCTAAGATTTGACTTTTATGAATGAAGAACAATATTGGCCGTTGTTTAGTATGAGAGCAAGGCTAGAGTTGACTGCATGCTAAAAAGACCAATGTGATGGACAGTCTATTAGAATCAGAACGAATTCAAGACCAACAGAGCAGAGCACCAGACACATCCCCACAGCACATGGCTATGTCGATGTTAAGAACCTGCATTGTTGGAAGTAATTCACCCATAACAGAACTAGTGATATCTAGACTCATTGATCATGGAAATGGGGTTTGCAATCACAGCATGTTGATCCCGAAGACAAAGGTACACGCGATAGATATTTCAATGGCAAAGTACCTCAGATGTTGATAATATGCATGGAAATGGTGCATATCTGTTGAACGTCGAACAAAATGCAAGTAACGGAGAAAAACTCTCTTTGCAGAGAAAATGGTATTGGAGGTAGTCTACACAGCGCTGGAGACTATCAGCCATCTTTGGATGGACTGGGACGAAGGAGACGGACATGCACATATTTACAAGCTCAAAGAGCGCCGTCCTTCCTCAGAGTCTCATTCCCCCACGGCTCACTTGTTAGGCAAGTCAGACCACCAGCTGGCTCGCAGCTCTTCCTTCCGCTCAACGGACCTGGCGATGGCAATTTTACGCCACCAGCCTCATATGCTCGTCCCTGGCTGTTGATTGCATCTCCACCCTTGGCGCCCTCCCCTGTTAGAGCACTCTTTCCAGAATCGCTAGCAAGGCCCACGCCTCCGGGTTGCGCGCCGGTAGCCTCTGAGGCGTGCTTCAAAGCCTTGAGCAACGAGACGGTGGTGTCGTATGTGAGATCCTCGTAGTAGTCGTCATTGATCTGGACCATGGGTGCGTTCGCGCATGCGCCGAGGCACTCGACTTCGGTCATGGTGAAGAGGCCATCCTTGGTAGTTTGGCCGTGGTGGATGCCCAAAGTGTCCTCACAAGCCTTCATGACCGAGTCGCTGTTGCAAAGCATGCAGGGGGTCTGTTTGGCATCAGCTACCGCGCCTACCCTCCCATAGTGGCATAACTCACTGTTGTGCAGACTTGAACATGGAACTTGCCAACCGGAGTGCGGTTGTACATAGTGTAGAAAGTCGCAACCTCGTACACGCGCATTGGTGGCATTTCAAGGAGTTTCGCTACCTCGTTCATGACACTGATGCTGCAAAAGCCGTGCTGTCGCTGTCCGAGGTCGAGAAGTGGCATGACAGCCGCCTTCTTGTACTGCGAGGGGTACCGGGAGAGGACTTCCTCGATGAGCTCCTCATTTTGCGGTGTGAACTTGAACGGTATCGAGGGGTTGTTCACGGAGGTGTTGCGGTGCTGCAGGCCACATCAGCGACGCAATTGGGGGGGCGTCAAAGGCGCAAAATGACATACGACATTGAGGCTGTCACTCCGCGAGGGTCGCGTGACGCTGAACGCCCGCCATTGAGTCTGCTGGAACTGTCGCGAGGCCCGGGGGACGCTGCGGAACACAAACGGTACCAGTTTCGACGACATGGTGGGCGGCAGTACGGGTTGGAGGCGATAACGTCGTCGAAGATGTCAACGACGAGCTCGCCCGGGACGCCAAGGTCCCTAAAAGTCTGACCAATCACGCAACAGGCGATCTAATCCCCCAACACTTGGACCTGGACCTCCCTCTTCTGCGTCTCAGCGTCATGTCGTGCCAGCAACGAGGGCAGACCGTCCCTTCAATAGGTGGCACGTACATCATGCCACGACACCGCAGCATGCTGATCTGGCACGCAATCCTCTCCAACCCCAATGCTGAGTCAGGACTTCCTCACGCCCACGGCATGCACAAATTTAGTCATCGAATTGTGCGTCCAAATATACCTGTGAAGAAGACGTCTATTCGACATAAGTAAACGCATAAGTATGTAAAAGCGGATGTGGCAGTGGCTTCCGTGACGCCAACTCTGTCACGTACAAGCCATTCACAGCATCACTCCATTCTCCACACCTGTGCATTCCTACCCGCTGCAGCCGCACATGGGGTCAAATTCCAAGGCCATCGAACAGCCAGTCACCTGCATTCGGTCCATTTGTTTGCTGGCAAGCACAGCGTGGCACGCATATCTCGCTTCACTAATTCGCTAACATGAACAACGTGGCACACGTATAAGTAGCGGTGGGTTTCAAGAGCCATAGAGATACCCGCACTTTCGCTAAATAGCACGTCTTTCATACCAACTTTTGAGAAACATCAGTCTTCGCCATTTCTATCATTCATCATGTGCAATTATACTTTCATACATCTCGAGTGCGGACACAAGGTCGACGACAAAGCATATACCGTGGACTGCCTACAATTCGCACAGACCGGTGTCGCCTGTGATCCTACCGACCCAGCCAATCGTCGACATCTCAGGATCCTGAACGTGGACAAGTGTGGTATGTGCGACAACTGTCTCCATAAAGAAGGACTGGCCAAGAAGCGCGAAGAAGAAAGGTCCCGCAAAGACAGCCTTACCGACGTCATGGAAAGGGAGAAGATTCTCAGAGCACATGAAGAACGTGCAATACGAGAGTCCCGAGAGGATGCTGAACGCAGGCAAGAAGAGCGTGCAATACGAGAATCCCGAGAGGATTCCGAACGCAGGCATCTCGAGCAAGTGAAAAGAGCTCGCGAACTAAGTCTTGCCGACGAAAGGAAGAAAGAGAAACAGTTGGAAGTAGGATTCCAGCGAGTTTCGAAACAGTCCAAGGAGGAATATGACCGTATGGTTCAACAGAAGGAAGAGTCAGACATCGAGTACGCCACGAGAATGTCTTTGGAGGCGGCGCAACGCGCTAGACAGGAGGAGGAAGACATGATAATCGCTATGCGGAACTCGATGATGTCCGATTTCGAACAAGGACCATTTGCGAACGATGAAAACGGCTTTGTCAAGACTGGCAAGGCCACAGACAAGGATGGGCGTACATGGGAGTTTACACTGACCAAGACGGTAACTCACACAGCGACTGCGGTGCCATCTTCTCCGTCCTCACCTCCAGCACCTGCTGCTCCACGGCCATCTGGTGCTATTCCTATGCCTCCGCCCCCACCCCGAGCACCTTCAACACCCTCCACACGTTCGGCATCTTCAGCATCTTCAGTACCTTCGGTACCTTCAACAAGGGCTGCCCCATCGTTATCTGTTCCGATGCCTCCGCCCCCGCCAGCCAGGAGAGCCTCAGCTCACAAGCCAGCGCCTCCTCAGCGAACACCCTCAAAAGACTTCACTTGCCCACCAGTAGGAGACCAGACCATCGGACACTACACAATAGGCAATCGTCGCCAACCCATCCTACCAACTCAAGAGCCACAGGCTCCAACAAGTCCGACGGCAACCCACGTCCGACGAGAACCCGCTCCTGCAGCCCGTCTAGGAGGTCAAATCGGTCCCGATATTCTATCGCAGCCGGGGCCGTATGAACAGATCAAGATAGGGCAAGGGAGGCCTAATCTGCGTCCCTCAGTAGGACCGAAGCGTACAGTTTCCACACCTGTCGAGAACGCGATGGATCCCAAGCTACTAGCTGCCATGGCCAAGCAGCGCTTGTGGGAGGAGGAAGAGGTGGAGGAGCAGCAGTCGGTCATATCGGAAGTCTGCTCGGTGACTCCCTCCATGTCCGCGTCCAACGTCGGCACACGCATCACTACTCCTCCAGGATCTACGATGGAGAGGACCGGTCTTGTTCGCAGCCCAACAGCTCCTGGTAAGTCAAAAGGGTTTCGATAAGTACACACAACGCTAACACATTCTCACAGCCGCACCCGCTTGGGGCTTTGACAATGCAGAGTCGACTGGGAAATCTTCTGCAACCCAAGTCAATAGCGATACTGACACGTGGGAAGCACCAGACAGGGAGTCCGTGAGCGCAAAGCGCATCGAGAAGCACGAGTTTGACGGAATGCGGAAGAAGGGATGGGGAGAGCGAGCGGCATAGTGAGATATGGTTAGTGGTTTAGCGATCATCGCATAAGGGAATTGGCGTTTTTTGGGTGGTTTGAACGGCATCGACCGATCTGGCATATCTTTCTTCATTACCTGTACATCGATCATTATGGCAATGGTTGGGATTGACACCAGTCTTTGAATCCTTGCACTGGAATTAGACTACGCACAATATCATGCGTGTATAGCCAATGACAACATATCCTGTAGTCACTGATATTCCATCTGACACGTGTGCGGCGACTAGCAAATCAAGAGACATAGTACTCGCGCTTCAGCCACCAGCAACATGCTCGACATCGTCACCGGCGGCTATCTGGGCTCCCTTCCCATCGAGTCGGCCCAAGCACCTGTCATAGCTCTGACCCTCCAAGATCAGGAGAGCCCAGACATAAGGCGAGCCCACCTACCACATGCCAGCCGTTTTCATCATACTTGAGGAAGGCATCGGCCTTCCTCTCAAAATCAATGTGCGACGAGTTCAAATTCGGTTAATACATTCGCACAAAACTGGACGTATACCATACCTGTCAGGTGTCAATCCGACATTCGCAGATCCAGCGCTCAAGACGGAGTCACCCCTGCAGCCTCGCCTTAATCTTCTCGTACTTCATGACATCCACGGCGACTTTGACAGACTTGACGTGGTCAACCTGATCGTTAGCCGTGTTGCGTTCATCTGGAACTCTTGCCTTGTGGTTCAACACCCAGATATCATTCGCCATCCTCTCGTGAAATATGGGGACTTCCATCGGTTGCAGCAGTGGTGTCGATCTCTCTACGGCACAGTTTCGTCAGTGGCTCCCTATTATTCACGTCGTACCCTTACCCATTGGGGGCGCTGTCTGGAAGGCGAAGATATAGGATTTGGATGTTTGGCATGCTTTTGTGTGAGCGGAGTAGCACATGATTTTTCTTAGCTGTGCAGTAGTATTGAGCCAGCTCGGCCCATAAGCTGTCAGACCAGCCATTCACAAGGATACATCTTAGAGCCCGTGTTCGAGCGAGAGTGAGAAGTTGCTCACGATGCTACGATCGCCCGAAGTGAAAACCACTGTAGTGACGCATTTGAGAACGTAGAGGTCCTGGAAGAGATCTGGGTTCTGGTAGAGTGGGCTGTCGGCTGGATTGGCAGTGGATTAGATCGAGTTTCTGCCATATTGATGACAACAACGTGATGGTACGAACACCGTACCAAATTTCTTGATTCAACATGCAAAATTGATGTATCACTCTTGCAGCGCGTTGCTTGCAATATGTTCGTTTCAACACTCTCACCCTGTACAGCTAAATATCTTTGGCAATGCGATTGCCACGCCGAGCAGACAGAGGAAAAGCCAGAGCGATTGAAATACGAACAGAACAGAGTAGCCAGTGACGATTCGCTTAGGCACGAAGAGAGGTATGAATTTCGATGAATTATAGATTGCATGTGGAGATCCATGTCTGCTGGAGGGAGCAGTCATGAGACAAAAGAAAGAGGATATATAACCTCCACACGTTGAATTCCACTGCTGTAGTCTTCATGAAGAATTAGTAGTAATTCTCTTCAATTTGCTTTGGATTACTTCAACTCATCACGAAGCAAGCCCGTGTTCTTTTTCTTTTGGGATGGCGTCGTTATATATCAGATATTTTGGGGTCATCCGTTACTAAACTCTCATCTATGAATGGTATTCCTGGATTGCGTTGTCGAGCGACACGGCTGATACGCGCTGTTGATAGCCTGAAAACCCTTGATCAGTTGTGAAGCATGTCCCATTGACGAAACAGAAGACATCGCAGACGACCACTATGGAAACAACAAGTTGTTTAAAGTTTGCCAGAAGATGGAGTGGCGGCGGGAGAGAACGCACAGACGATGCGCGGTCCAAAGACGCGCTAGGGCGCGCTCGCTAGCGTCGGACTAAGGAAATTTCTTGAGTTCCGAATCTTCAACCTCGAAACCAAGCGTTGAGCAACAACGCAACTCTAGCTCAGAAAAATGGCTGTCGACAACTCTCTGCAGTCGCTTCTCGCGACACTCACCTCGTCTATTCAGTCCGCTACGGAAGCTCTCCCAAAGGACGACATCCTGCCACCGAAAGAAGGCATCTCTTTGCTGGATGTCAAGAACGAGCTGTTGCTCTCATACCTCCAGAACCTCGTGTTTCTCATCCTGTTGAAATTGAGGGCTCGTTCGTCTACGAATGGCGACCCAAAAGTGCAGGACCTCCATCCTCAAGATGAAGTTGTTCAGAAGCTAGTTGAGTTACGTGTGTACCTGGAGAAGGGTGTGCGACCTCTGGAAAACCGCCTGAAATATCAAATCGATAAGATCATCCGAACCGCGGATGACGCCATGCGGAGAACCAACCAAGCAGCCGCGAAGCCGAAGTCACGAAAAACTCAAGGTGGTGCAGAGTCTGATAACAGCGATGCTGAATCAGCAGCTTCTGCGCAGACAGAGGACGATGAAGATGAGATGACATTTGGACCCAATAGCGCGGCGCTTGCACGTGTGAAGTTGGATGGTGCGGAAGCGAGGACCAAGGAATCCGCGAAAGATGGCATCTATAGGCCACCCAAGATTACGCCAATGTCGATGCCAACAACCGAAGGCCGGGAAGAACGAAGAGAGCGAAGACCTGGCAAGTCAGCTACCTTGGATGAATTCATTGCAACAGAGCTTTCGACTGCGCCAATCGCAGAACCTAGCATTGGAAGTACCATCATGGACGGCGGTCGTCGTACCAAGTCAGAGAAGGAGCGAAGAGAGGAGAATGAAAGGAGAGAGTACGAAGAATCCAACTTCACTCGTTTAGCCCCAAAGAGCAAGAAGGACCAGACCAAGGAGCGAGGACGACGAGATGGAGGTTTTGGTGGCGAAGAATGGCGAGGCTTGAGTGCTGGCATTGACCGCATTGAGCGGCTGACGCAAAAGAAAGGTGGTTCCAAGGGAACCCTGGAGAAGAGCAGGAAGCGGCCGATTGAGGATGGACCCCGCGGTAGTGGATCGGCAGCGGGCGATGCGTTCGAGAAGCGAAGAAAGGTGGTTGCTAGGTACAAGCACTGATGTGGTTCACATAGCGCGTGGTCGGCTTCTCTATCCGGCTTCCGACACACGATATCGCATTTTATTCTCGAATATATACTCCCAAGTCTCTCGGCTAAGTACTGTTGGATTACCTACACGCATCATGTTATATCTGCCTTGGCGTGGTGCCACGATCCCTACGATCCAGTACCAAACGATCTCTCGAACTAGGTTGCTCTAGTCGTAGAGCCATAGACTTCAAGTTTCCGCATTATTTCCAGGTAGTTGTGGACAACAGTCTAACCAGGAGTCAACTCCGACTCTGGGATTCTGCGAAATAAACCCCTTTTGGGCGTCGTTTTACTTTACGTAACGAATATGGGAATACTCTTCCGTCTCGGGTCCTGAGAGGATGACATTCATCGGCGTTGCTCAGTATATAACATACGTTCGAGAGTAGCCATGCTCTATTTGTCAACTCCAATGCGTATCTCAAGAGCCGTCTCGAATCTTATCATGATCTCTCTACTCGATTGACCTGTTATTTTACTTAGCACTGGTCATGTAGATCTACTCCCTGAACAGTCAACCAGTTCTTCCAAATCCAGTGTCACGGTTTTAAAAATTTCCTTTTTGTCTACAAACGGCAATTCTCAAACACCCTACAAAGCCTATGTCCTGCAAGACCATCTCGCAGAATGCAACAAGTATGGACATAAAAGTAGGCACAACAGCGCCAGTCTTCAATTGATTGGTTCTTTTTATCAGCTTACTAGGCTATCACGCTCTCACAAGCATAGTGTTCAATTCGCCTGTCATCTGCCCATATATGCCACGTACATCCGTAGCATCGGACATCATGGCCAGCCACACACTACCCCCAAGACGTGATGCTGCAGCAAATTTCCAGATGCAACTCCCATCTCATCGAATTCGAAATACTTTCCTCACCTCAGTCAGTGGACCCAATGATGCAGTAGTTGCCCAAACGAGTGTGGAGATGTTTTGATATATACAGGGGGCATGCCGATTTAGTCCGCAATGGTGTGGTGGGGTGGACGATCAGTATATGTGTAATATCGTCTATTATTCTCCAAGTGCTTCTTGCACACATACACAAACTCCTTACTTCAAACACACGGACTTATCCTCTCCGTCTCGGTTCGGCACCACTCTACTCTTTGTCACCGCTGCCACGAGGACATCCTTGCATGCGATCAATATACCAAGAATGTCAGCATGTGGATCCGGGTAAACTCGAGTTTGCGGGGTGCAGCAGACCAGGGCAAGGCCGGGCGTATGGCCTGCTTTGGGAAGGTCATGCGTCAAGAGCATACATCGTCGAAGCGAGGGTTTGAACGACCACGTTGCATACAATGCTGTAAGAGGTAGAGTTGAAGATCTTCAATGTGATTGAAACTCATACAGTGCGTCTGCGCGTATGTCTACCGTCTCGCGCGTCGAGGCTCATATGTGGTACATGCTGTTAATATACAAAGACCCTCTCTTACTCTATGCTAAGAGCTGCGTAGGGCTTACTCCAAGTGCTTTTTGCCATGAGATCTGCAAACCCTTCTGGCTTTGTCCATGTGGATACTCCTTTTCATTGTCTAGACCCAGTTTGTTTCGATGGTTGGATTCGCCTGCGATTTGGAGATAGTCGAGGTCTAGGTGTGAACTCGGTAAACGTCGCTCGTCTGATGTGGATACTACCCAAGTCTTATCTTATGCTGTTCGTCACTCAACTCCGCTGATCCGTACGTGTAGCACACCGAGAATCCGCAACCTGCAGACCTGACTAGAGCCCAGGCTATATCCCGAAAACGGATTTATCAAAGGATCTGTGTATCGCCCAAGTGTCCATTCTCGTCGCACGTGGTGACTTTTCGTGGATCCAAGGGAGATAGAGGTTTCCACAATGGGATAGATACAAGCAAGGTTCCTTAAGGCCATATGAATACCATTTATCATCATGCCATTTGGTTTAGTAGGGTAGCAAGTGTATGGTAGGATCTGCTTCCAGATTTAGTTACGGAGTGGGGATTGTCGTCGGCATTTCTGTTCAAGGCTCAAATTTCAACCCAGCAGTACGCAGCCACATCTGTCGTTTCCCCTCAGCTTCTCGAATGATCTCGGCCGAAAGGAGCAAGCTCGGCGCGAGATGGGCATAGCGTTCCATTTCGAGGACGACGTTATTGATAATGTCGTCCATAGTAGCGGGCGGAGGGAGTAGCTGTGATAGCGAGGCGGTCATGGTTGCGCCCATTATGAGCAAGGTTTGTGAGATTATACTGATGACGTGTTAGAATAGTTCTGTTCGGACCAGCGGATCAAACTTACGAGAGAGCACCCTGGAACAAGTATGGCAAATGTCCTGCGTGGTGCGCGCTAATGTATTCCAGCTGGCGCACGCATGCTTCCAAGCATTTGTGGCAGTTGTCCTGCACACCAGGGTCCATTGCTAAACTTTCGTCTTGCAGAACCAGGAGCACATATGGTCGGAAGATGATTGTGCGGCATGCAAAGTACCGCAGTCTCAGAACGGTTTGGACAGGGTTCTGTAAAGGCACTCTGTCGAGCGGAAATTGCATCGCTGGCGGAAGTCCTGCATACCATTGGTTCAGTTGATAGTCCAATTCGACTACTAGTGGGTCGAGCTGAGCGATGGATGTAGCAGCAGGCCCTTTGGAGTATGGCGTCGTCCGGATGTAGAGCATAGAGCTGACGCGATTGAGGAGTCTTCGAAGAGCGATCTCTGCGAGAAAGTACCACAGTTCATCTCGACCAACCGCTTCCGTCCCTAGGTCCTCGAATCCAGTTGGCAATGAGAAACCTTCCTCGAATTGCGCGATACCTGAGTGGGGAAGGTCAAGTTCCGCAAGAAGGTCACTGCACACTTTTGTCAGTAGAATTACGATTGGTATGACCGCAAGTTGCTTACCTCTCGATCATTACCGCATTCCAGTAAACTCTCTTTCCTAACTCCTCTTCTGCTGGCGATACTCTTCCTGGCGCGCTCAAAAGCAATTGAAGCTTCATACTGGCGCCTGACAAGACATTCCACGCTTCGACAGGACGAACAAGATAGACAAAGTATGCTGCAGCTAAGATCTGACACTGTGCAGCTACCATGTTGTTCCTCGTCATCACACTTGGAAGGAGTGACCATGCTGCAGCGAAGTAGGCTAGTCCTGGAGGATCTTTTTCACAGTTATGTTGCGTGATGCTTCCGGTGCTTCCAGCATGACCTAAAGCGAGCACTAAGAGAACGATGCAGCTTTCCGGACCATCTCGAAAACCATGGGCAAGCGCAGTCTGGTAGTAGGTACTCCATGTGTACGGGTTGACGCATGCATAGAATACGTTCACTCGGTCAAAGTAGGCTTGGACATAGGTCCCAGTGTTCGACAAGTCTAAGCCCCTTGTAGTGGTGAGGCTTATCGATTCACGAGTCATCTCGAGTTGGAGAAGAATCTTTGGATCGTAAGGACGAGACACCAATTCTCGAATCATGGGCGACGACAAAAGGTTTAGAGCCGCTGTGTTGTGTGTCTTAGGCATGGTAGAGATGTTCGAAGGGCCGCTGGTCCATGTACCAATTCCGTTGATTGGCTGGACCACTCCCAGAAGGGGCATGTTGCCGATGCTGCGAGCCAAGAAGTCCTCACTTGTCGAATTACTCGTAGTGGGCGAGTGTGTTGACAATGAGAAGCCATGGGTCAGACTGGACTGGAGAAGGCCTTCGATGCGGTTCAGATGCTCCAAGATCAGCTTATCGCCAGCATCCAGCTTGATTCCTGGCTCTCTGTATACGCATTCTGCATTCAGCTCCGTGCACAGCCTGCATTTTGGCCTTGCCCCGTCACAGCGAGATTTTCTAGATCGACATATCTCGCACTGCAAAACGGTCAGTATGAGACCAAAATACGTATGCTAGGACTGTTGCAGTACCGCAATAGTTGCGCGCCGTCGTGGATAGTCTAGAACGTCGGTACTGTGACGTTTCTTCGTGAGGGGTCTTGAGTCACTGTTGAGCCCATTGGCGCTCTTGCTCGTAGGCGTCATGTCATTTGCCTGAGAAGGTGGCGTGTCGTTTGACATCTCACGATCCGTGCCGGATGACTGAGACATATTGCGTCGCTTCTTGAACGGATTACTCAAACCGTTGCTGCCAGAAAAGTACCCATTTGGAGATTCGAGGAGATGTGGAGACCTCAGGGCGGATTTAAGAGCGAAAGAACTTGTGTCCGACAATGTTGAAAGGCCGAGGGAAAACGAATCTCGCGGGAAATGTCCATTGGTAGTTGCTGCTGACACAGGACTAACGTCTGGTGAAGGTGTAATTCCCGTCATGATTGGTGGACGTACAGAGAGCGGCTGGAGCAGGCTACACTCAAGATGATGCGGCACGGGCAGCCACGATCTGGGTACAACATACAAATAGCAAATGTGGCAGGTGGAGTGAGATGTATATCACTGGTGAGAAGAATGCTTTGAACGGCAAGCGGGAAGAATCTGAGACGGGAGATACAAAGGGTGCGGCCGAGAACTATCTAAATATACGGTGTATACGGTGTCTTACCGCCCGCTCAATGTAGCTTAGTGTCTCGCTTAGAGAGCCAATCAATCGCTCTCGTTTCAATCGCCACCCAACAACTTCGCCATACTATCGCGATCTTTGCTACAGTAACTCAACGTTAACCTTGATTTTTTACTCCACACAGCCATGCCGAATAATAAAAACGCTCCTGATGCTTCCCCTGCAGTCTAGGGAGCTATTATTGCATTACGCGCAGTTGCTGACTTCAGATTTACAGAGATTTCTGATGTTTTGCCTATCTCAGCGGGCACAGCTTCCAACGTTCTCAAACGAGCTCATGAACGCGTTGACGACCCCACCGATCTCACACAACTCCTCTAAACTATACCTGATCACTGTGATTACCGTGATTATGGAGGCAGGCAGCCTTACGTTTCTAATGGCTCCGAGGCCTCCAAAAAGATCAGAACAGCGATTATAGACTACCTACACGAGAAGACTCATATAGCAGCTGCCCTAGCGTTGCAGGAGCTCGGTTTCAGCTCGCTGGCGCGCTCTACAGTAGAGCGCGTCGCCCACGATTACTGTGATGATGAGCACGATTATGAGATCGTTCGACGCGTTCGGCCGAAGAAAACAGCGCTCGATGATGGCGACAAGGAGCTGCGACGTCGGTACGCGTCGTGGCTGTTGTGGATGTGGGCTATACACAACCTCTTGCATAAGGTTGTATTTGTCTCCTACGATGAGACCTCGAAGGCCTTTGGCGGTGTTAATTACTTAGGCGGCAAACAGAGATTTTTATGCCCTAAGGGCCGCGAGATCAATACTAATGAGCACGCTCTACCTGTCGTTAAGCTATATTTTAAGCTTATAATCTGCGCTGCCACCTCTACATATGTACACTGCTTACTGCGTTGCCTATGCGTTATTTGGACTTTACCTAATAAAAAGGAGCAAGAACGGATTAAGCAAAGCGTTAACAAGAAGAATTAAACCGCAGGCCTCTACGCAGGCTGCTAGCAACAGCGCGCGCTTAAACTAGGCACCTAGGAGTACTCCAAACTTTAAGCAATTAATAAAGAAATTAACAAGTACAACGCAGCTCTTACTACCAAGGGACTTAAACAAGCTTATAGAGCTAGCTTTTATAATTATAAGAAGCCTAAGGCAGTCTTTAAAGCTAAGCTTTACTCCTATAAGCAGCAGAAGGAAATAAACGCTATTTAGTACGCTAAAAATATCTTTAAGAACTACCTAATTAAGTACTACAAAATAGTGCGTAAGGAAAATCCTAGGTGTTTTATATTCTTTATTAAAGATAACATTAGTTTATACTACACTGCTTAACAGTACCTTACTACTTCTATTAAAGAAGCTAATATCTAATTTACTCTATACCTACCTTAGTTACCTAATTTATACCTAATTAAGCGCTGTTTTAGGAGGCTTAAAGGTTTCTTAACTTACTATAACGTAAACAGCGCGTTAAAGGAGGCTAAGCTTAAAGCTAAGCGTTAGGTATCCTATAACCAGCCAAGATAGACCCGCGGATTTTGGCTAATAGAATCGCGTTATAGCGCTACATCTTAAGAACTTTAAAATTAAAGCTCTACACTAAAATTTATATATATAGGTTTAAACTTTAATATTTTTTAATACACATTAATAGAATAAATTAAAGTTAAAATAGTTTTATATTTAGAGTAACTACTGCGCTAGCCTACGCTACGCGCGCGTGTTACTACCTAAAAGCTAAGATTTAAGCTGCTTCTTATTTATATAGAGAGACTAGCAGTAATAGTAAATTATTTTATTATACTATAAACACCTATAAACTGTCTTCTGCAATCTCTTATTCTAAATTAAGTTAAGATTTAAGCTTAAAATAACTTCTAAAGGCGCTCTATAGGTAGCTTAGGAGCTAATTCTAACGTAAATTATATAGGCTTAATACTTCTATCTTATATAAAGTTTAATAAGTTTATAAAAAATAGATACGTAAATAGCTTAAATTTACTGTTATTTTTAAAAAAGTATTTATTACTTTAATAGAGACTTAAGTTAAACTATAAGATTAATAAGAAATCCTTAGTAGGCACTATTTTTAGAAAGAAGCTTACCTGTAGTACGCCTAAATAAGTAGTATAAGTTTATAAGTATAATATTAAGAAGGAGCGTTAGTAGAGGTCTCTAGGTTTTATAATAGATCTGTTAGAGTAGATAGTAACTCTAAAGTTAATTAAATTAATTAATTACGTTTATATACTTATTATACAAATTAATTAGTACTAGGATAGGCAAAAGCTTCTAAATTATAACTCTAAACTTAATACGTATTTAGACTACGCTAGAGTAAGTTTTACCTAGTCTCTTTCTCTAATATACTATAGTTTTATAGAGAGCTCTAAATATTATAGTAAATAGTATAACGTTATTATTACGCTAAGCTATTATCCTAACTCTCTTACTTCTTAATGTATTAAAGTAAACAGTACCCTATTTAAGTTTATTACGCTAAGCCTAAACGTTAATAAGTTTAGCTAAAAATCCTTTAGCTAGGTTACTAATAATAATAGGCTACCCCTAACTATACTTAATTATTACTTAGGTATACTCCTAACTACTCTAAGTCTCCTGTATAGATTATGTAGGCAGGGGTAATAGCAACGTTATTAGAGCTAGTAAGGTATTTTTCTAGGGTTAACTACGTTTTTTTAGCAGTTAGGATAACGTTATTAATAGAGCTTTACACTTCTTAGGAAGTAGCTATAATACTTAAGATACTTAAGAAGAAAGGTCTCCTATACTAATTTTGTATAGAGTCTTCCTTGTATATATAGTGCCTACAGCTACAATCCTAGCGCGTTATAACTTCTTAAACAATAGTACTAATAAGAATAAGTTATCTATAAAAATTACGTACTTATTAGGCTTAAGCAGCTGTTTATTAACATTACTAGTAAGGTAGTTAAGTATAAGGTAGAGTATAAGAGCTTTTATTAGGTAGAAGCTAAGGGCTATATAAGCTAGGTTAATTTTATAAAGCCTATCCTCTTTATTTAAACTATAACTATAGAAAAGCTAGTTTAATTAGTACCTAGAATCTCTAAGGTACTAAGTTTTATACCCTATTAAATTAGATTTATAATTAATTGTAGTCTTCTTCTTAGTATGCCTATAGAAGCGTATTATACTCTTATCTACAGCTAAATATTGCCCTAGGCGCTAGTAGCATTAGCTAATGCAATAGATGTACTTAAAGAACTCCTAAACTTATTTAAATAAATATATAAATAGGTTATTAATATTATATAGAGGTATAATATAGATATAATAATTAATTTATATAAACTAATTACAGCCTATAATCTTACGTAAATAGGTGTAGACTACTCTAAATTACGTATTAGTACGCTAGTAATCTTTAATATATAGCTCTAGATATAAGCCTATATATATTTATATAGCTAGGTAACTAAATATCTTATTAGGTGTTATATTATACTATCTGCAGGCGTACTTAGCAGTAGGCTTACGTTAGCATTATTAATAAGCGTTCTTATTAGTATAGCAGCATATTTTTATAATTTTAACGTTAGTATAGAACAACTTAAAGAACTTAATAGTAGTCTAATCCTACTTACCTTTATAGTAAGGTAATTATAGGCTGCCTCTATTATTAAGGTTATTAAGTATAAGCAGTTCCTATTTAGGTAGAGTATTCCTGTTACAGCCTTTAAAGTGTATAGGCAAAGGCTTCTGCTGCGTTTTTTATATAGTAGGGCCTTCTTTAGGCATAAGGTTATTATTAGTATAGCTATAGGGCACTATCTTAGGAACGTATAAGGTTAATAAACGTAAAGTAAAGATATAAAGTATAGATAAAGTTAGTATTAAGTTAATTAATAGTTTCTAAGTTTAAAGTTTATAACATTCGCTAAACACTAACTTACTAATGCTAAGCCATAATCTTATTAGTTAACAGTCGGGCCGAAATCCGCGGGTCTATCTTGGCTGGTTATAGGATAACTATTGTAGCAATTTAATCCGGAGCTCTACGATTATATAGAGAAGCGATTTGAGATGAAATTGTTCAGAGACTTGGCACGTAAAGTACTTAATTATAGAGGCAATAACAACTTTTTGGGATAACTATAGTTATTGCTAGCTTTAAATTTAAGCTTGAAATCTCTATAATTCCTATACAAATAACTGTTTGTGCGAGGATTTGGCAGAATTGATTGATGCTTACTAGAACAGGGCAAGATTTTCGAGCCAAGACGCTACCGTATACACCGTATATTTAGATAGTTCTCGGCCGCACCCTTTGTAGAGATGCGCATATATCGATATTTGAAATTTGCCCCTCCTAGCCTTGCTTCGGCCAGGAAACCTCCATGGCGAGATTATGGACACAAATGCGGGGACGGCATGGGGTGCTCCGCATTCGTGCTTCGACAATAACGGTGGCGCCAAAATATTCGACAGGGATGTCAAGCGGAGGCCTGAAGTAAAATGCCAGGTTTCATGACCATACCAATCCTTGCCGAGTTAACGATAAATTGCGTCTAGTCTTCGAATAAGCAGAAAGATGGTTGTTTAGTTGACCAATAAGGACGATAGTTTAGAATTCGAGCATGTACTCATATCGGTTTACAGAACGGTCCTGCAGGAAGCACGGATGGAAACAATCGAGTTTTGCTTATTTCTGCGGCAAGTCAGCAGTCGCTGATAGAGACTGTACATTGACGCGCCGTTGGGCAATAAGGGCTCTACGTGAAATCATCATCATCGAACGACTGATGCATCTGCGTCAAATGTGTATCTGGACCATTCAAGACACGACTGCGTCTTACTGCTTGCTGCACGATCCACGAATGGAAGGTTCCCTGTCCTCTTCTCCAACCCATGTCTTATGCATATACAGGGTTTTGTCCAGTGTAAGCTCTGCAACATGCAGGCGATAGCTAGGGGTGCCAGCCAGGCCATCGGAGAGTGGGCATTTGTGAATACCCAATCGTTGGATCCAGAGCTTCAGTATCATTACAATGAACTACATCACCGTCAAACAGATCGTCTCACTGTGCGACTGATCGGAAACGGATTGAATCAGTAATGTACTGTTCCTGACGCGCATATCGCTCGCCACGTGGGCCTGCAGTCACTGAAATGTGGGGTAGTTCCTTACTGAGAAGCTGGGATATTAAACGGCCTTGTGGTCTGCGGGAGCAATATCCCAGAAAACTGTCAGACAACGTGGGTTCGTATCGGACCCTTCAGATCTGTATGTGGAGCGGCATGGGCCGTGTCATGCGCCACTTGAACCGGGTAGAGATCTTCTCGGTGTCGTGCGCATTGCGTTCTATGGCGACCAAATAGATTCAAACTGCAATATATGCGGGCCGCCGCCTGGAAAGCACCGTCTCCATTGATATTGCACAGACATGTACATGTACTCTGACAAGATTTCGCCTCATCCACTGCCTGCGAGGGGTGTCCACGAAGTGCCTGCATCGCCGAATCTCTTGCTTCCCTCGCGACTGGACTACTGGCGATCGCAAAGAGGCGAGTTTTGCCGTATGCCATCAAGGTCTAGTTGATGACGATTTGTGGTTCTCATTATTGAGTACTGAGAATCGATAACCCATTCCTACAATTTTCGTACGTTGCGCTCAGTGGTATCTGGAAGATTTGTTAGTCAGAAGGGCCATAGAGTCATAAACCAACAGAGAATGCAAGAGCCTTACCTGCAAGATTCCGCCTTCCCCTCTCTTCCACTGGAGTCAGTGTCGATCTGTCTATCTTATGACGTCGCTTCCAGTTACAGTCTCACGGACAAACAAATAAACCACGTGAAGCGTTCCTGCGCCACACAACAAACAATGAACCCGGTCTTGAATGTCCAACTCCACCTCGGAAGATAGCCCACATCAAACCAAACACCATCATCCAACACAACCCCCAAGATGAAGTCCGAAGCCCTCGACGCCTTCGCAACCCAAACACTCAGGCCCGGAGCCCTAGAGGCCGCCGCCACCAAAACTCCTGAGAAAGACGGACACAAGACGCTATCCAACGAGGAAACAATGGACAAAGAAAACGTACATATCTTCATTTCTCTCAGTCCAACACATACTCACACACCCTAGCTACAGCAAGGCCAAATCACCAACCGCACTGGCTCTGCCGCCAAAATCGTCGAAGACGTCGTCCACGGAGTCCAAGCTAGTGTCGAAGAAGTAGTCCACAGCGTGCAAACAGTCGTTCACGACGTGGTCGCTTGGACGGAGAAGAAGGCGGAGGAGCTGAGCGCAGAGGTGGACAGTACGGGACCATACACGTCACCAGCGACATGTGCGCCGTCGGACTTCGATCCCATCGCGAGTGGAATGCTGCCGGTGATGGCAAAGATGCAGCAAGATGAAGGAGGAGATGGTGGAAGTGGACAGGAGGAGGGAAAGGAAAAGGAGAATGGTGGAGAGTCGAAGTTGTAGAGAGACGGACGGACGGACGTTGTCTGTTAGCAGGCTGACAGATGGAAAATCATGGGTTCCGAAGTATTAGTATCGATACTCAAGGTAGAATCCAAATGCACGTTGTGGTTGTGTACAGACTAGAAAGTTCTTTGCATAAACAGGGTGTGCATGCATTTGACAGGCCGCCACCCTGGTGAGTGGAGAACAAACAACACTAGTTCAACCACCTAGCCACAGCCTCGGCACTATTCATCCTGTCCAACAACCCCCAACCAGCTTTATCCTTTCATTTCCCCATCCTCGTCCTTCTCCGCCAAAACTCTCTTCAAATCCAACCCCTACACCAAACAATGGCCCTCCAATCACAACACCCCCTTCTCCTCGCAACTGCCATAGCGCACGCCTTCCTCGCTCTAGGCCACACGGTACGCTAAACGCTCGCAGACTAGTTCATAGCATAACATTATTACACATGCTGAAACCACCGCAATAGAGCAAGGGATTGGAGCAATTCAAGCATCCGTCGCTGAACACGCTTCCCGCTACGCTGCGTGGTGCCGTGCAGATTGGCTGGTTCGAGGGAAGCGGATTTTTCCTCTTGATGAGTATGTTGGGTTCCTTCTAATTTCTCCGTCTCATGCGGAAATATGTTAATTGACATGGCGGCATAGGTATCCTGAACTATAAGTGGGCGCAAGTCGGGCTCTTGGATGTATACGACAAGAGCATTGCTGCACTGCTGGTCAGCCTCCTTGTTGGCGCAGGAGCGAGCTATATCAAGAGCGGCGACAAGTCTACTGCGGGTGTGCTGATCGTAGTCGGTATTTTGCAGAGCTTGGGTATCAAGAGTGGAGCGTCATTGTGATTGTGATGATGCAGAGACAGGGAGCGTGAGAACATATGAGCGTCAGTGTTACTCGAGACTTTGAGATCACAGGCAAGCATGGAATAAATTGCACTGAATGCACTGTCATGAGATTCAATGCTAGTTGACCGTATCTACAGACGTGGGGTGCTACAATGCTGCGTCGAAGCAGCATCATAGAAACCCATGGCCATGTCCATCAAGTCTGCAGCTGCAGACACCAGGGTTAGAGCATCATGAGAATGCTGCAAAGATACCCAACCCAATTGGAAAAACCGTCGGTCCATCGAGGTCAAGCAAACCAGACCAGATCATTACCCAAAACTGTGAGCGCCGTCACAATTACCATTACGTTAACCCGCCGATCTTTCATGGAAGTCCTGGAACTCAAGCATCAGATATGAACATAGACTCAACCCTGATGCTCGTATTGTGCCAGTATTAGATCACCTCAGGCTTGGTCTCCTCAGACTCCGCCTCTTTCTTGACCGCACCCTTCTCGATGGCCTCCTCGTTCTTGACCGTGTTCTCCTTCTTGACAGCCTCCTTGACAGCCTCCTTGTTCTTGACTGCCTCCTCATTCTTGGGAATTGTCGGTCCGGGGATGTTGACAGGGATGGGACGCTTGGCACTGGCGAGCATGCGCTTCAGACGAGCGATATAGTACTCCTCAACGTTCATGCTGGAATCATTGACATGCTCGTCGTTCGCCAGCTGCTCAAGACGCGCGAATGCGCCGTCAACGTACTCCTCCACCTCTTCAGCCCAGTTGGTCCTCTCGGCGACGTTGAGGATCTTGTTGATGTTGGAGCCGTTTGCTGTCTTCGCGTTGTCGCTGTCCTTGACCGTCTTGTCCGACGTTGAGACGACATCAGCGTTCACGGCGGTGGACGTGCCTCGATCGGGCATGCTGGCGGCGGAGAACGAAAGATACTCTTCGATTCGTGGGTTCATCATGGGAGAGCCTAGACGGATAGGAACTGAGTCTCCGCCTGCAGGAGGAATGATTAGGGGAGCAAGAGACATACTGCCACGTCCAGGACCAACTTTGTCCTCACCATCCTCACTCATCGCCTCGCTAGTGCAGCAGTCGCAATCGTCCTCCTCTTCCGCAAGCGACTGATCGAGGGAACGGCTGCTGGAAGTTACGTCCGTGCCATGATGGAGCTTGCGACCCTCAATCTTCACCTGGGCGAGTCTATCACCAAGCCCAAAGCTGATGCCGCGACCACGAGTCTGGATCCGCTGAACAATAGACGGTACGGGTGAGAGGACCTCAGGCGTATTAATAGGAGGGGAGGGATACATAGCCTCGTTCGCCGCTTCGTTGAGCTGGTCTTGGTTGTCCGCAAGTTGATTGACCAGAGCGACATGGTCGAAGGGCGAGTGGCACCCAGTAGGCACACCTTCGCTGAATGGAGTCGGATTCGGTACCGTGGGGACATCGGACACAGAAAACTGCGAGCCCGAAGAGGTGACCTTGGTTGCAGTGGAAGTCATGTCTGTAGTTGCCACGCGAGGATTAGGTGTCGTTGCAGCAAGCCTGGCGGGTACAATAGTGTCACGGCGAGGACGAGGCATGTTTGAAGTGACAGTAAGAAACAAATGTACCTACTGGCTTATAGTGCGCTCGTGTAGAGCTGTATCGACAAGTGACCGAGTTGCGAGAAAGACTGTTGCGGGCGCTCGCGCGAGTATGTGTTGAGTCGAGAAAGTGTGGGGGAGGGGGGAGTGTGGAGGTTGACGCGCCTGCGAGATTATAAAGGGAAGCTGCGACGCGGCGGTGAAGTGAAGACCAAATATCAGAGGTGACGGAGGATTGTCGGCCAGGAGCAAACAGCCTGCAGGTAGTCGCATTCACTGGGAGCGCGTAAACGAAAAAAATAAACGAAAAAGTCAGTCGGGCATGTAACGAATGTCGGAGAAAAGGTTTGCTGCTTCCTGTTCCTAGAAGTTGAAGTTATATGTAACAATCTGCTGCGATCCGTCTGCCGGGTCTGAGAGAGTCCCGAAGAGCGTCCCCTAGATACGCAGTATCCTTCACAGCGAGCGTTCACCTTGGACTTTCCACATCTTCGTCGCCTCTTCTTGAGCCCATACGTCGAACAGTATCAATTTCTCCAGAGATTGTTCTGAACACCGAGGTGCTTGACGGCAGATCATGCAGTGCAATACCAGTAGACAAGTTCCTCGCATTTCCTTCCTGCTCCTCGGCTCGCCCGTTGCTATTCGTAGCTGCCACGCTCTTCCCTCTGTTTCGCTTCTCTTTTATCCAAGGTATGAGGTTATAGTACGCCCCACACGCAAAGATTCCAATCCACAACACCAGCTCAGTGCTGTAGATCACCGCACCCAAAACATCAAACGTAGACTGGAAGACGACTGACAGGAGGGAAAACACGTCCCCGGCTGCGTCTAGACCAACGAAAATGAACGAGATGCCTCGGACGGTGCGGTGAAGGTAGATGTCTACGTAATGCCTGAGGACACCAGCAGCGAGCAGGACGGCTGACAAGATAGCCATAAGCTTCTCAGGCCAAGTGATATTGTTGTCTTTTGCGTGACGGACTCCGATGATAAGACCCGCTTGCGTTCCGCCCATGAGACAAGCCACGGGGATGACAAGGGCGAGGGAGCGCCAGACGGACCATTTCTGTCTCGGTGAGCTTAACCTCTTGAGAGAAGATGCAGGAGAGATGTACCCGCTCGTAGTAGTAACATTGAATCCAAGTTGTTAGACTTAACAGCGTGAGAATCTGCGGCTGTATCCTCAATGCTATGTTAAACTCTTCTACATTGTTGTACACGCCTAGAGGCACGCCAGCCCAGGCCCAAAGCATCATCATAGTGGGCTGCAGTCCCGTGGCATTGTGTCGGCGGTAGTTGATGATGATCTGAGGTATCAACTAATGTTGTTCTATCAGTCCATCGTTCGAGGAAGGAGTCTGTTCAAGGGGGAATGGTACCTGGATCGACCAGCATACCTGTCATCATTAGTTTGTTTGCTGCCTCGATGCCTTGTCTAGTCACGTACAGCGCCCAAGACTCCCAGCACATTTGCTGCTACGGGGACGTCCATGGTGCAATGTCTATAGTGGATCGCGTTCGTCAAGTCTCTAAGCCGGTTGAGTCCATATCTTCAGATTTCATCAACTTATATGTCTTTCTTCATCACAGCCAAGACAAGAACGAAAGCAAAAAGATTCAAGGGCCCCATCCTTATCGCAGAAAGTGCCTTACATAAGTGAGTGTGTAGCAAGAGAGCGATGATGCATGGTCTGCGGGAAACCCTCCGAAGTCGTGCACAGACAACCGTCACGCATCATCGGCTTAGAAATCACCAATTCAATATCGCGACACTCCACGCCCTCGTTCGTGATACAATTGGGAAGCAAAATGGCGCCAGGACCGGTAGAAACAACCGAGAAGCAAGAGACGGAGACAGTCGCGCCCAAGAAGCTGCCAAAAGGCGTGGTACTAGGCCCAGATGGCAAGCCGTACGTACCTACATGACCGAGCAATGCGCCGGAAGCTCTACGCACATCCACCTCTCTCCCCATATCAGAGAAGCATAAGTTCTAATCGCACTGTCTGTATTCTAGATGTCGCTCCTGCACCGACGTATCCTCCTGGTTCGCCATGTCCAAATCCTCCGGCTCGACATCCAAGCCCGCCAAACCGCCCCGCGACTGTCCGCCTGATGTCTCCGCCCTCGGCCGCTCCTCATGGACACTGCTGCACTCCATAACCGCCACATATCCCGTCCAACCCACGCCTGACCTGCAATCCGAGACGGCGAGCTTCCTGCGCACGTTCGGCAAGCTGTACCCGTGCTGGGTGTGCGCCGAAGACTTCCAGACGTGGATGACGCAGAACACACCGAGGGTTAGCTCGAGGAGCGAGTTTGGGCAGTGGATGTGCGAGGCGCATAATGCGGTGAATGTTAAGCTGGGGAAGAAGGAGTTTGATTGCGCGAAGTGGGAGGAGAGGTGGAGGACGGGGTGGAAGGATGGGAGGTGTGATCCGTGATGAGTTGTCGCCAAGGGCGTTACCTACGGGGATATAGAAGACGTGGACACGATGTATGATATGTGTATGAAGAGTTGGGATGGGTGTTGTAGGCATAGCGGACACACCACTGTACGAACACACGAACTTGCATATACACGGGCATAGGGACGGCGTTTGGGCAAGGTCCCCTCAATCAACCGATTAATCAATCAATCAATCAATCAATCAGTCAATTCATCAAACCCCTCCAGCGTACTCGACACCCTCATTCCAGCCCCCCAACCATCCACCCACGACCCCTCACTTCAACCCTGGAACTCAACCATCGGTACCAAACATCGCAGGCAGACCCAAACACACAGCACGCACCGTGAATTTAAAATGCCAACCCTCTACCGACACCTCACCACACAAACAAATCCCCCTTGACTATGATACGATCGTACATCTTCTCCATCCACTGCCCCCCTACCCACCATAATGAGTAACACGCAACCCACCTCAACCCAGGAGCGCGACTGCGCCATCGCTCTCATTCTCATCGTGCTCTTCACCGCTTCTGTAGCGGGATACTTCATCCGGAGGCGTATCCTCGCGCGTCAAGACGTAGACTGCGACCGCGAGGCCGCGAGAGCAAACGTGAGCGGCCATGGACGTGGAGGCGTGGTAGCAAGAAGTGACTGCAGGTACACACGATCGCGATGGGGCAGTAGCACGGCAGACGAGCGTGCAGCGTACAGACAGCGGGTTGAATGCAGGCAGCGTGCGGATTCTGCTGCTACACTCGCGAAGCCAGGTGGCTCGGGACGACGAGGGAGTGCGAAGGATGGCAAGGAGAAAGACAAAGACAGGGAGAGGAAGAGGGAGAGGGGTTCGAGGTCTGGTACCGGTGCTGCTACACCATCTCACATTCCGTCCTGGCCTGCGCGCCACGCCTCATTCTCTACCATCGTACCTTATGATACATCACGCTTGTCGTCACCTCGTTCACACTCGTCATCCGAGGACGGACCCCATCCTCTGGCTTCGCAGGAAGAAAATGAGGGGATCAGGCACAGTGGGTTCAGAGATGTGATTTGGAGCAGCAAGAAGGAGCATGGCGGGGGTAGACAAAAGGAAGGCGCGAATGAGAGTTTGGATCCTCTAGAGTTGGATCCTTTAGATTTGGACCAAGAGGGTGTAGAGAGCATGGGCTAGGCGGCGGGGAAGGAAATATGATGAATGCAACACGATCATGAAGCATAGGTGGGAGAGGAGAATGTGGGACAGGAATGCGATTATGGGCGAAAATTATGAAACAAGATGAGGAACTCTGTGAAGAAGAAGATTCAAGACGGCCGAGCAAAGGACGCCAAAAGAAGCAATGTATTCTGCCTATGCTGTTCGTACTGACTCGTTCGAGATATTCCAGGTAGGGTAATCGAAATTCGTCTCACATTCCCCGCGTCTCTTGCCGCACAGTGCAGCCTTCACATGAATCCAAATCAAGGAGATGTTGTGCCTCGAGGCAGTGAGCTCAAACCAGCGAGCTTGTGGTATTTCCAAATGCCGTAAAACCGTCACGTTGTAGATTTATTCGTAGCCAATAGTAGGACTAGCGATTACCGCATAATCTCCTGGTAGATGAGAACTGTCATGGGTTAGATATTGCTTTCACATACTCGAGTACTCGACTTACGCTTCAGCTGCTCCTTGGTCAAGTTGTCCTTGTTCTTGTCAAAGTCGAAGAATTCCTCTGGAATTGGGTCGGCAGTCGGCTCATCATCTGGGTCATGGTAGGGCTCGAGGTATGGGTGTTTCAGGGCTTCCTCAACTGTAATACGCTTCACAGGGTTGAAGGCTAGTAATCGCTCTAGCAGATCCAAGGCAAGATCGTTCGTCTTGGGGAACATGGCCTTCCATGGAATCTTCTTCTTGAATGGAAGGGAGCGAATGTACTCGCGAGCACGGCGAGACTTGATACCGTAGTAGTCTTCCATGGTAGGCGTACCGAGCACGTCAAGGATCAGGGTGAGCTGGTGGTGGTCTGCAGTACGATTAGCGTCAATGGCGTGTTTTGTGAAAATACAACACTTACAGTCCTTTCCTGGGAACAATGGCTTGCCGCTCAGCATCTCAGCCAAGATGCAGCCTACACTCCAGACATCAATTGCTTTTGTGTACTCCTTGAATGTAAGCATAATTTCCGGAGCACGATACCATCGCGTGGCAACGTATTCCGTCATGAAACCAGAGTTGTCCTCAGTCGAGGCAGCTGATCGCGCAAGACCAAAATCGCAGACTTTGAGATCGCAGTTGGCGTTCAACAGAAGATTGGAGGGCTTGAGATCTCGGTGAAGAACGTTTGCAGAGTGCATGGCCTTCAGGGCACGCAGGGTCTGGTAGATGAAGTACTGGCAATGGTCGTCGGAAAGCTCCTGCGTGCGGATAACTCGATGCATGTCAGTCTCCATCAATTCCTGCATTCACTGTTAGCTAAGGCTTCATATTTCGCGGAGTTTCTGCGCACCTGAATAAGGTACACTTCAGTAAAGGTCTCGTAGTTTCGGGGCTTCTGAATGTCGAGGATCGAGATGATGTTCTCGTGGTTGAAATATCTGAGTAGCTTCATCTCTCGCAGCGTTCTCAGACAGAACATGGAGTGGTCGAAGGGCGTAATCTTCTTGATGGCGACCTTCTGGCCAGACGGCTTGTGTAGCGCGGAGCTGTTATCTTGTCAATAGCTGCTAGTAATAGCAACGAAAGGTTACACCTACCAGACAACACCGTATGCACCTTCTCCAACCACATCTTGGATATCATACTGCTCCGACACATTGAAGGAGATCTTCCTGGAGCTTCCGCTCCCAGCAGGCGGCATATTGGCGGCTGTTGTGAGGGGTATGCGCTGATGCGCAGAAAGGTCGATCGAGGTGAGCTGCTGCTCAAGGTCTGCGGAATTGCGAGTCCACAAGCGTCGTCAACAGCAAGCGGGATGCGTGTTTAGCAGTGCAAACCTACGAGCGATGTTTGTCAGTAGATGAGCAGAGAGATGCAGCCCATAGCCATTGCTTGCAGGATGGAAGGCGCGTCATAGCGTCTTCACGGCTATGGTGAAACCGCGCAGTGTCATGTCACGACGCAGGGCCCAGCCCAGTGCTCTTGAGACGCTGGCCTAAAGAGTCTTGTCGCTGAACACAAACGCGTACAAACAAGGCAAATGCGGCTATGCGCCCCCACTTCCCAAGCTGCAAGAAGTGCGTGTGACGTACCTGTGGCTGTCCTATGGCAGGTTTGAGTCGCCGGTCTACACACTCGTACTATGCAGGTCCGCTCTCACGCGTCGACTGATCGAGGGGTACACTCCTAATCGACGAGTGTTTGGACAGGCGATCTAGCGTCTGTTCCGCGGTGCTGGAGTTCGGCGGTGTGACAATCACGCAAAGCACAAGAGTCGGGTTGGTGACAGGACGGGATGGATGATCCGCGGAGGGGCAGGGTCCTTCAGGGCCTGATGTTGATTGTCTGGTCAGCCGCAGAAGTACAGTTGGAAGCGGGTGGGGAACGTGACAACGCACAGGAGCTCAAAAGCGTTTGTTCTGACAGCTCACGACAAGCCCGTTGTCTTGTCGCGTGGGAGCGTGAGGCAGGTGCGATGGAGTCGACAGTCGTTGTGCCAAGATAGGGTGGATGATAGCGGGGTTCTTGAGCTGCGCCCCGGACTCAGGACGTTCTACTGTTGGCACACAACAAACACGGGCACTACAAGCAAGAAGAAGGCGGATGAAGAGAGAATCCAGAAACAGAAACAACGCGGAAGAGATTTCAGCGCAGATATAGCTCTCATAAGGCGCAGTGCTGATCTGGAGTCCCGCGCGAGCTTCCTTGCCCGATCTAGGCGCCGACAAGCCTTCGCAGGCCCATTGGTGTGACCCACGAGAGTCACAGAGCGTCGAATGCACGACATCTCAAACCTTCGAGAAGTGTTTCGCCAGTGCTGGGGTATCAGTTTGATGGTCGTGAAGCTGTCGCCCGCTTAGCTCTTTACTTCTGCTTTTTCGCTACTCAAGTCGTTTTCCTCTGCCGTCTTTACCATCCTCTTGCCATCTCATCGTCTCGTCAGCTCGTCAATAGCTGTCAGATTTACAACCTATCATTTACTCATTCAAGCATCAAAATCCAGGTACACCACCAGTCAAATCATGTAGTCCAGCATGTGAAACTGCTGCAATTGCAGGGGTACCGTTCCACGTCTGTAACATCTATACTTAGCAGACCCTGGGGCCGCATATCGTGTGGGTGGGCGTTCTCCCGAAGCCATTGGTCGTCAAACGTGCATCACGTCTCAAGACATCATCACTATCACCAAACGCCATGAATTAGACACCCTTCACATTCATTTCCCCAGAAAAGCTCAAGTTTCGGATGCTGTTTCGATTGTATGTTTGTAGGCGAGCTAATGATTAGGACGTTTTGTCATCACCGTAATCACTAACAAGACATCCCAATGACATCGATACTTATGGATCGCATACTCCTTAATCCAAGGAAATAGGGTCTGCACCACCTCTTGCCTGGCCATGTCCGTTTACCATGTGGTGCCACGCTTGAATTTTCGGCCATTTATGCCGTGCAACTCCCGTACCATGGTACAACACCCCAGACTCTAATGATGTAGCCCCAACCCTGACCGCAACGGAGCACGCCAACAAAACACTATTTGTAAGGTCCCAAGCAGATCAGGGGATCATACCAGAAGCCTCATCATATACTTGTCGCTTACGATCCTTCTTGCCACAACGTGCACACGACTGAGTCACCTCAGATATACTGGCGAGCCAGCAACAGGACTTCCTTGAAAGTCAAAATATGCATTGCAAGACGAAATGCTTGGCTCGTCATAATTCATAATCATACATGGTATCATCAATCCCCAGCTCCTTGCTTCCCTATCTTGTATCGCATCCGTATAGCCCCATCACACCACTCTTGACTTCTCTCTGACCGTCTTCCCTTACGACCTCTCCACCTCACCACCACCCCGTCAGGAACCTAGGGAGTCACGCCGATGACAGGCTCCCCATCGGTGGGTACGCGTTTCCCTCTCGCTCGACTCGAGGCGCGCATGTGCACCATTGTTCTGAAGGAATGTTCTGCATGACGCCGGGGACGTGTTTGCCGCAGCCCCACCATGTGGTCTTGTCTAAGAGATCGTTAGAACTGGAGTGAAGTTTGGAAGGAAAGATCGAAGGAGACGAGGAAGAAGCGGGGTGGAACGGTGAGGACTTACGGCAGGAGTCGCAGGAAGCCTTTTTGCACATGTTGATAGTGTGATGGACGGATCGGAAGGATGTGAAGTTGTATCGTGGTCGTGACAAGGCTGGTTCTCGACGGTTCGCAGATGGTATTGCGCTTATGACAAACACACCGTAGTTCGTAGTTGACAGTAGACAGGCGTAGTCCCGATAGTTCAGTCCGACACTCTTCCCAGTCGAACGACGAGCAAGAAAACCGTATATAAGCACAAGAGTCGAATTGTTTTTTCCCACGAACATGAAAAACTCACCGACATTACACACTTTATATCAATGTATTTCTAACTTCCAACATTATTACCCCGGGGTCTCACAACCCACCCGCCAAAGAGGTCGCCGAACATGGTCGCCGACTTGCCTCGACAACGCCAATCACACCCATGCTCCACCGCTCCACTCCTCTGCATATTCAAGTCTGGTCGCCGAAAACAGGGTGTAAAGTTGTCAGCAATGTGGGTTAGAGTGTGCATGGACGCCGTTGGGATGGTCGGCGAGGCTGGCATGGCGTGCATGATGGTGATGCGCGTGGCGTGAGATTTGAAATACCGTGATTTACTGTTTGCTTGCGAGAATGCTTGGAAAGCTTACAAGCAGGAGTTTGGGCTGCGATGGGATGCACTTGATATCAGAAATGGTGTGAGTTTGGAAGTGTCAACAAGGTGGATTACTACTCGCAATATCGCGCGCCCTTCAAATATACAAGGTAGATACTACTGCTCTAGAGCGGTCTATATCGGGACTTTTTCCTGTATGCCTAAACGCCTCCGCCAGAGTTCCGATAGGAAATCGACACCAAAAGATCACCGCCTCTGCTGCAGGGCAGCTCGCCGTTCTCACTCTGCTACATGGCCAGATTGCGAATGGAAAGCTTTAATCAAAAGTAATCTTGGTCGCAGCCTTCATGGTGTCAACGTCCTTGTAGAAAGCACCGTACGCGTCATGGCCCTTCTTCTTGACCGTGGTGCCAAACTTCATCAATTCTTCGGGGACGGGTTGGTTCGCAGCTTTGAGGACGTTGATCAACCTGTGGAATGATTAGCAGGCTGCAGTAGTGTGATGCAACAGGTGATACTCACGATCCAGAAAGACCCTTGTCGTGATCCGTAAAGAACGTGATCGCGAGACCCTCCTTGCCGGCGCGACCCGTCCTGCCAATCCTGTGGACGTAATCTTCCGCCGTCAACGGGAAGGTGACGTTGATGACCACCTTGACAGCTGGGATATCCAGACCTCGTGCAGCTACATCTGTAGCTACGAGAAGCGGCACTTTCCCTTCCTTGAATGCTGCTAGCGAGGCACTACGCTTTTCTTGGCTCAAGTCACCGTGGATGCCGCCGACGCGGAAGCCCTTCCTGCGGATGAATTCCTCAATACGGACAGCCTCCTTCTTGTAGAGACAGAACACAAGGATACGGTCATCCTTATCTTTGCCAGATTGGTATTGCTTGAGAAGTTGGAGGAGGCGTTGCTCCTTCGCGTGGGGGTCTATGACTTCTACGACCTGCTTAATGCGCACGTTGGCACGCAGCTCACCAGAGGCATTGTCGCCAATGGTGACCTTGACCGGTGAGTTCATGAAAGTGGAAGCCAATTCGCGGACGGAAGGCGGCCAAGTGGCAGTGAACATGAGCGTCTGACGCTTCTTGGACGTGCACGAGATAATCTGGCGAATGGGTTCCTCGAAACCCTTGTCAAGCATCCGGTCGGCTTCATCGAGAACGACGTATACGGCCTTGCTAAGATCTGCAGAGCCGTCTCCAATGAGGTCGTTAAGACGACCAGGCGTAGCGACGACGATGGATGCTTTGCGGCAAGCATAAACTTGAGGGTCCTTTGGCACGCCTCCGTAGACACAGACAACCTCGAGCCCAGCAGGCTTAGCCAGTACGACCAATTGGTCGTGAATCTGGACAGCCAACTCGCGCGTCGGAGATACAATGACGGCCTTGATGCCCCCACGCTGGTCCTGGGGTAGAGATGAGATGTAGCGTATGCAAGGCACACCGAAAGCCAACGTCTTGCCAGATCCAGTCTCTGCGACTCCGATGACGTCCCTCCCTGACAGCAGAGAAGGCCATGTCGCGGCTTGGATAGGTGTAGGTGTAGTGAAGCTGGCGAACGGCGCCCGTTGTGCTTTGTCCGTGATAGGCAGGTACTTGAAGTTTGTGATCGGGCGGAGTTTGCGAACGGCAGGTTTGGGATCATCGATCGTGACGACGTTTTTGGTGAGAAAGGCGTCGATCTCTGCCTGGGGAAGCTGCGACAGCTCTGCGTCCTCCTGGTATGAGCCTATCGTGACAGGTGTTGACTTGGAAGACGGTGCGACGGATTCCTCGGTCTTGCTCGACTCCTTCAGGCTCTTCTTCTCTGCCTTGCGCGCAGCCTTCCTTGCAGCTTTCGCGGCGTCTTCATCCTCCTCTACCACAGTCGCGCTGGGCTCAGTGGCATCCGCGTCCGTTGTCTTCTTTGCCTTCTTAGCCTCTTTGGCTTCCTTTTTCGCCTTCTTCGCAGCTTTCTTCTCGGCCTTGGCGCGCTTCTCCTCGTCCTCCGAGTTGTCTACGCTCTTGCCATTGACTTGCGCATCGCCATTCGTCTCGGTCGCGTCGATCGCAGCAGACTTCTTCGACTTGTCGCTCTTGTCCTTCTTACTCTTCTTCCTCGAGAGCTCAGACTTGTCGTCAGCGGCGACGACGTCGGAAATATCTCGCTTCCCCATCTTGTTGATTTGGTGCGAATGTCGAGCAGTGGCTGGGGAACGATGGAAAAAGTGAATTTTCCATCTATCGATAACGTCTCCGCCAAGCTCAAAGCGGTTAGAGCCCGAATCTGGACCCTTGATCTCGCGTCACTTTCGTCTTGTGTGGACTTTTGCCAATGCACCCTGACTTTGCCAAATCAAAATGGAGGCCAGGTCTTTGGTGAAAGGCCTGACGAACGCTTGCTAGACGCACTGTTCTCAAAGGCCACTGTCACGATTCATCCACATATGACACCATAAACATGACCATCAAACGGCACTCGACTTTGAAATCTCCAGAACGATCATGGCGGACGTGACAGAGCTGAGGTGCTGGCCCTCTTGTGTCGATGCAATAGACTGGTCTCAAGACGGGATCATCGCATTAGCCTCTGATGAACGCGTCGAACTGCTGGTACATACTTAACATGAGTACACTCGCGCATCCATACTAATGCAATTCCAAGTTTCCAAATACTGTCACGTTTGATAGAGACAACGATGTCGCACAATGGCGCCATGTCGCACTTCAAGTGCCCTGGTTCTCCAATGAGGAAATGCCTGTCAAGGAACCTGGGCCTGTCATATCCTTCTCGGTTGGTGAAGAAGTTTCGGCCAGTCCTCCCATCTCCATAGCCTGGTCGCCTCCTGGCCTTGCAAAGCATAGGCGATGTGCGCTTGGTGTGCTCACCGCAAGTCTCCTTCTTTCAATCTGGTCAGCAGATGGGAGGCCTTTCGAAGAGTCAAGCTGGAGCCGGAAACTGATCGTCAACAACGCGCTTGCGGAATACTTTCTCAAAAATGCACCCGATGAACCTAGCCATGTTACTTCTGGGGTTGAGGAGCAGATACGATTTAAAACTCGGATCCGGGCATTCGTCTGGGCGCCCGCATTGCCCAGCTCAGAATCCGTGGGCATCATAGGGACATCTTTGTCGTACGGCCAGCACATTGTAGCAGTGTCCAACGATGATAACCAGCTCGTGTTTGTGGTCATCGGCTCACCTACTTCTACTCTGGGATCAGAGCAGAGCTGGAACGCAAAAGTGCTGACTCACTTTTCCATAACACCGGACCCCGAAAGTGTCTTCTCGGAACCGACGTTCTTTGACGATTTGATGAAACAGCAAACGCATGTATCGCACATTGCGTGGAGTCCCTGGATCATCAGAGGTGGTCGGTATCATTCCGTGATAGTGTACGCTACTAATGAAGATGTGAGAGCAAGAACGATCACGTACGCGTACAACAGTATTACTCTAGGTGACGAAGTTTTGTACCCGGAAATCGAACTGCGAAATTACGGCCCAATGAAATGGGCACCTCAAACCAGAGATGGCGATAAGTTTACACTTGCTGTGTTCTCTAATACAGGCCTTGTTTGCCTGACCGTGTCGGCAAATGATGCTTCCATTCTCGATCGAATCACGCATAATCTTGATGGTCGTTGGGACACGACTTCGGGGGCAGTCTGGGACTTTGATCAATATTCCACGCCTCGTCTCCATATCAGCTCACTACTCTCGACACTCCACTGTTCAACCGCTGTTCTTGAGTTTTCCTCTGAGGGTCCTACGCCACTCAAATCGCCGAACTGGCGAGATCAGATTGAGAACAACCTGGTCCTCTTCAGCGTCAAGAACGACCTCAAAGGAAACAGCAAAGCGAAAGTTTGGGGATTGACCGTATCGCCACTTGGAGACTTCATTGCAGCATGCAATAGTGTGCATCCCTCCGACATGATCGAGTACGGCCCGCCTGCAGACCGACGCGGAACTGTAGCTATCAGTACCCTGCGCCAATACACTCAGATACGACGAGCCTTCCCATCAAAGAATGTAGGCGCGGAAGGCATTCTTTTCACGCTGAAGAAGCTGGTAGACAATACTGTTGAAGACACGGATCAGATGCCTGCTTTCGTTGAGGAGATGGTCGAAAAGCTCATGCAGGCTTACGCACCTCTTCAAGATCCTCGAGAGCCTATCAGCACCTCAGCAAGTGTGCACAAATCTAGTGATCTCCATGAGCTAGTCACCAGGCTCAAGACAGCGGCCTTTCTAGATCCGCACACCTTGAAAGATCGCTACACTATCCTTGCTTCTCGAGCGTGCAACATAACAGACTCTGTTGATCTCTCCAAAACTCTGATTATGTATCGTCTTGCCTGCGCGTCTCAAAGCCTACTTTCTACACTCTCGCAAACCCCGTTCAGCGCTGAAATCCTCGCTCAACACAGGCAGGTGCTCTCCCTGATCCACGCCCTCACCGATCCGGATACCACAGAAGCGGATGTCGAGGATGCAGAAGACGGGCCCAACAGCACCTCGCTCGATTCCACAATCACTGCAGCCGGAATAGACACATGCGACTTCTGCTCCGCGCCTATTCCTTTCACAGACTTGACGACTGCCGCATGTACGAACGGCCACCAATTTCCGAGATGCCAATTGACCTTCTTGGCCATCCAAGCTCCGGGTATCACCAAGTACTGTGGGTTATGCGCCACCCCATATTTGAGCGACGAGTTTGTGGCTGCACAGGAAGCTCAAGGAGGCGAGGGAATCGTAGATCAAGACGGGATTATGCAGGACCTCGACGACACTGCAGAAGGACCAGAAGGGCGACCTTTGCAGCAAGAGCGGACACAAGAAGAAGATACGGAAATGGCAAATGGAGACGGGAATACGACAATGAGCGTGGATGGGGTAGGAAAGGAAGTCCAACAGGATCGAGATCAGCGGAACGGAACGCAAGAACGTCCACACTACAACGGTCCAACGGAAAAGCCGAGTACAGAGGATGAGAGAAGCGAGCCCCCTATTACGCTGGCGCGGGTGTTGTTCCTCGCTTGCGATGCATGTATCTACTGTGGCGGCAAATTCGTGGGGTGAACAAGTCATTTCAAGCTTGTCGTCGTGCCACTTTGTATTATGATACCTGTCGCTCAAGTTTGAACCGCCCAACAAATACCCTCATACTATGTAGAACTCTCGCAATACGTTTAGCAGCGATCAGACGTCAACCAAATATGGTGCTCACATGGCATAGAGGCTTACAGCATTCACCCCCAGTTTTTTTGTAGCTGCATAGCCGATAGATCAACTAGAATAAAACAGCATTTTGGAAACTTCGACTCATTTTGCACTTCAATGTCGTTCGCAGACGCTAAACTTCCCGCTTTCGAGAGTTTAGAGCTGCGGGTTCCCTTCTGGGATCATGGCCTTTTATCTTTTGGTTCTCAAGATAGCCTGGTTATCCGCAAGACATCTAGTAGACGCAGGACAGTAACGGTAACACATGCTAGACATTTAACAGATTCATAAGCAAATGAACCAGTCATGATCTTTCGCAACATGTATCACAGACTATTGATGTTGATATCGAGGAAGAGATAGATGTTGAAATTGAAAGGGGGTATCACATTGAAACATCGCAAGCTACTGTTCTTCCTGCCAACCTGTCAACCATAACCTATGTGAACACTGGCAAAATACCACCTGATGCTATGCCTCACTATGCACCTAACATGTGAATGCTGCAGATTCCGTGAACTATATCTTCATTCCAGTCCGATCTGCTAGAAAAGTTTGTGATGCCCATGGGCGGCCATCTGAGAGTGCATTCATCGATCAACACCAACCTTCCCTGGTCCCTTACCCATTTTCTTATCGTCTCCGAGCTTGGAGATGGAGGTCTCGGTATGCATATGAGGCGCTACTTCGACTAACCAGGCTGGATCGATGGGCATACATGACCGCATATATTCTTTGCTGGTAGCAACAAGTTCCGCAAAGACACACCAGCGTGGGCGATTCTCCATCAATGTGGAAGAGGGATGTATATATACCGTCAAGCCATTTGTCACAGTACGGAAGCTTTGTCCGTCTCTTTGTAACCGCGCAGCGTTGGGGAAGAAGCCAGCCGTGATAGCTTTCCGAATGGCGACGTCGTCAGAGCTGCAACTTGATGGTGGGACTTCCACCCGATCAGCAAGCTTCTCTAGCTGCTCGCGAACCTCTCGAGCGCGATTGAGAGTTCGGTATTGCAAAAAGTTTTCGCGACACCAAAGAGAATCGTACCCACTCTCCACGAACTGGTTCCATATGTTTAGGTATGTCAAGAAGTCGCCCCCTTCGCGGTCGCTAAAACGATTGCGAGCACTGTCTGCAGCTACTTTCTTGTCCTTTGGTCGGAGGAAGAGCGACGCGGACTCCCCTAGTACACTGACGATAGAAAGAATCTCGTCCCGACAGCCGAATTTCTCTGATTCAAGCATCGCTTTTGAGAGTTTAATATCCAAAGGGAGTTCAGCCATCCTGCGGCCTAATCGTGTCAACGCGCCATTTGAATCCAAGGCTCCGAGTGCATATAGGCCCTCGAGCGATTTTATGAGGGCGTCACTTGATGGTGGATCAATGAATTCGAAGTCCAGCAGATTTGATATGCCTAAACTCTTAAGTGTTAAGACCACACCGTCAAGATTCGCTCGTTGAATCTCAGGTTCAGTTGCCTCGCTAAGATCGTTATAAAACGCATGCTTCGTATAGAGTCTATAACAAAAGCCTGCACTTGTGCGGCCAGCCCGACCAGATCTCTGGTTGGCACTTGCACGACTTATGGGGGAGACTGTCAATGACGAAAGTCCTGTTTTCGGATTGAAACTTGACTCCTTAGCATAGCCGGAATCGATAACGTGACGGATGCCATCTATCGTGATGGACGTCTCCGCTATGTTAGTGGCAAGAACAACCTTGCGTGTGTTTGGTTTAGTAGGTTCGAATGCTTTGGCTTGTACGTCTGGAGGAAGTGCGCTGTAGATGGGACAGATGACGAGCTCCTTGACTCTCCCGCCAAGTTTCTTTTGAGTGCTCTCCAAAGCCTCTGCAGCAGCCTGGATTTCTTCCTCACCAGTTAAAAAGACCAAGATGTCGCCGGGAAGTTCAGCCGCAATGTGGATCTGGAAGACGGTCGTTATGGCAGCGCTGAGATAATTGGCTTCTGGAGACATTGTGTAGTTCACCTGGACTGGCCAGGTCCTGCCAGGAATATTGAATACAGGCGCGTCATCGAAGTAGGCACTGAAGTGTGACGCGTTGATAGTAGCGGAGAGGATGAGAAGCTTCATCTCTGGTCTCGATCGACAAATCTCACGGCAGAGCACTAAGAGCAGATCCGACGCCAGCGACCTCTCGTGAGCCTCATCGATCATGATGACAGAATACTTCGATAGCTGAACATCTGACATAGCCTCGCGCAACAATACACCGTCCGTCGCAAACTTGATGGTCGTCTTTGGGGATGTGCGGTCTTCGAAACGAACCGAGTATCCTACCTCCCCTCCTAGTTTGCAACCGTATTCCTCTGCAACACGCTGTGAGACAGACATCGCAGCGACTCGTCGTGGCTGGGTGATAGCAATTGCGCCCTTCTCTGTATAGCCCGCTGCCGCGACGAACTGAGGGATCTGAGTCGACTTTCCGGAGCCGGTCTCACCAACAACCACCAAGACTTGGTGATTTGAGAGTGCCTCCAGTAACTCTTCGCGGTATTTATACACGGGCAGACTCTTTCGAGTATCCTGAATGGTCTTGACTTTCAATTCCGCTGCGTCAAGCTTTGATTGCATTTCAAGCCTGGCAAGGTCAATGGTGTCTGGGTTGATGTTCCCAGCAGCATCCGCCATAAATTTGATGTTGTGACTCTCGTCGAAGACAAATTCGTAATCCTCTTCCCGTGTTCGTTTCGGTTTGCTGATCTGGGCCTTGACTTTCGCCGTCTGCTCATCCTCCCAGAGTTGCACTTCGCTCTTCTCATATCCCTTCTCCTTCTCCTTATGGCGTCGTGTGAGAACCTCAGACTTATTCGAGTAGTCCGCGTCGGGTAGTATGTATCCATCAAGGTGTTCGTCGATGGCATTCCTCGCTTCGGCAAGACGAAGTGTTTCTCGGTTTCGGCGGAATGATTCAATCTCGGCCTTGGATAGTTTCGAGCCAAGCCTTTCTTGCTCGTCTGCTTCTTCAGCGACCTGACGGCGAAGAAGCGCCAGTTGCTCTGCTTCGCGCTTTTGCAGATATGATTGGCGCGACTTCAACCGTAGCTCGCTGGCATTTCCCTCGTCTGTCCTGCGGCGCTTTGGATCCGACATGGTGGGGAAATGACGTGTGAGGGCGTGGATAGAGTTGGAGGAGAGCGGTGTGGTGAGCGTGATTGAGCGAAGTTCGTGGGATGAGATGTGAGGGAATGGCAGCGGGAGACCTCCAAGCTCAAGAAAGTTCGACGCACGGGCCACAATTTAAGAACGTTGGGTTCGCGGGATCACGTGTAGGCAGCAGCTTTGTCAAGGTCACATCAACCGCCTAAAGAACGTGGGTTCCATGATATTGGCCGAGGAAAACCTCTCAACGAACAGCAGTCGTGGCTCTCAATAAGAAGATGGGGGGATCGAACACTGAAGTGCACGTAGAAAGCTATGTCGGAGTCATATTAGAGAAAGACGCGCTGTGCACGACAACGCAGGCCAGCTCTGATCTATGAAAATCGCGTTATCATCAATGACAGAGGCAGGGCACAACATACAAGACAAGCACACTCGACCCTCAGGCATAAGGTAATAAGCCATGACACATGCAACGGGGGACACTCCATGAGCAAAGGGTGGTGTGATGGGGTGACAAGAACAAAATGCAGTTGAGTTACACGAGATGCATAAGGCAATAATCATATGCATTGAGCAAGGTGAGGGGTACAGCAGGTAAGAAGACGAATGTTGTGCTACATTAAGTTGTTGTCATCGGTACCATGGAGGCAACGACGATCAGACTCATTCCTGTTACACATAGTATCTTTCTAAGTAATGATGTGTTAATTTCATGACAGTACAAATCGCTTCAAAAAAAGCACAGCAATTTCTCTGCTACCGACAAGTTACTTGGCATTTCTACAACGTCTACACTGGCCCTCGATTCTAAACAGCAATGGGAGCCTCAGTCCTTAGTGAGATCGGCACGTTGGTTCCGGTGGGCTTGTCAGTTCCAGCGTTCCATTTTACACTGTCAAATGTTAGCCAAGATACCATCCGCTATATTTAGGACAACTTACAGATAGACATCCTTCTCATTGGTCGGCGTTGCAACAAAGTTCATCAAGAGGGACCCAGTATTTTGGTTGCTGTACACACCGCCTCCAAACAAACCAAACCCGGATGAAATAGCGCCAGGTGGAGGGGTCGAGGCAAATCCCACAGTCTTAAGATTATCACCGTCTGCGTTTGCGCCGATGTAGAAATATGGCTGAGACGCTACACTATCGGCGGAGACGACAAGTTTGTTGCCTGTCATAGACACTAAAGCCGTTAGAGAATTAAGGTTACATGAGGCTCATCGACTTACTAATTACGTTTGCCGCATTAGACGCGGAGGAAGGTGCATCCAAGCTAACATAAGCAAGGCCTGAGATAACGTAAGCATATCGTCCTCTTGTAGGTATGAGTAACGAACCGTTGCCATAGAACAGCGTTAAGCCTGTGGGGAGACCAGTTCCATAAGCATACAGATGGAAGTTAGTTGCGGCTGAGAGGACTCCTTCGACGCAAGCCACGATGGCGATGATTGAGGGAGTTTGGAAACGCATATTGGGGAACGGATGAGAAGTGCTGAGGAAAGAAAAAGGGTGTCGATGTCAAGAACAGCACAAGATCGAATACAAGTAAGTCATACACATTCCTGAGTAAGTTCGCGAATAAATCCCCTATTGAAGGACTCCTGACCAAATGCGGAGCTAATTGAGTGACGAATAGTTCTAACTTCATTTGCAGAATTCACGTTGATAACAGCCTCGCGTCCTTAATTTCGTGGCGTTGTCGGTGCTCCTGAAGCGTCGTCGTCTTGTTGCCTTCGAAGAGGAGCTGAGCGAAGTTTGGCATGTCATCTTATCCTCTAAGCTTGAGGAGGTATAGAGGGAGAATCTGCACGCACTGACAGCAAGGAATGGAATCGGACTTTTCACATGCGCTAAAATCGTTGGAGGAGGCGTAAGCGACAAGCGTTATGTCTGCATTAGCGAGGCGCAGCTGAATCTTTATTGATGGCTGAAGTTACTGCATGCATGTAGGTCAGTCACGCGCTTACAGTACTCAGCCTTATGACTCAACATGACAAGAGTGGCTGTCTAGCAATGCAAGTGTTGTCAAGCTCAAGGGAACAGCGGGTGCAGACAATGACAAAAGATACCGAGTCTAAATATCGATACAAGATGTGCAAGCCATGACAGGCCAAGATCGAATATCGATGCTTGATATTGACTAGTCGATCTACCGGATCATAGTTAGCGAACCGTACTCCATTCTGTCGGACATAGAGATCACCATCAGGGGTCGGCTAAGTCTCCGCACGCAAAACCAGGCCTATATAGGCTAAAGCTGCTTAGAATCTCTCATGTATCGGCATCCCTGTTTCCATCGTTCATCGCATGACGCAGAAAGGCTCTCCACAACCTCTGGCAGCCTTGATCGTTAAGACAATCGAGACAGACTAGTCCTATCTTTTTTCCCAAAGAAGACCTCAGCAGGCATATGGGAATAAATGGCACATGCTGATCTGCCGATTCTGCGCATCATGTTAGCGAGAGCCTGCACGCCAGTCTTCGCTTTGGGTCGAAATAGTTTTTCAGTTCATCGTATTCGACAGGCGAAGCCCCACTGCAACCATTGAAGAATCATTCGAATGTCACGTCCTAGTGCTGACGTGTTGACAGCCTTACAAGAAACGTGGGAGCCCCGAGGCCCCGTCACTCACAAACATGGAGAAGTGAGCGTAACCTGTATTTAGCACATTTTGAGTGGAGCATTGTTAGTCTGACGTGGTCGGCGGCTCACAAGTGCTCTTGGCTACCAAATACGGTACATCGCACTTCTCGCCATCGGGCCACACCGACAGAGCCTCTCGCTTCTCACACTCACAAGCGGTAAGGTGCCTCCACAAGCATGTAACCACTCGAGTAGTGCGCCTCTCGCGCCAAGTGGCGCTCTCTGTCCCCCATATTGAACTTCACTTCACGAGCTGAGGATAGGAGTGGATGCCTTATCGCTCTTGGGCGAGCAAGCGGTTTCTCCAAAAATGCCCCAATGTAGAAACACACTTTTAAAAATCTTGTCCACTGCAAGCTACTAAGCCTAGTGCTTGACGCCAGGAACGCCTCTTCTTACCGAATCGACAACAACTAGTGCAAGTGCTTACGTGCAAAGAGATATATCGAGATACGGGTGAGGATGGAGGCCTCGATGAGGCTTAGATGACATGTCGACCGATGAAAGCCTACAGCACAGCACGAGCACAGCTTCCAGTGTGTCTACCTATATTTCGAAGGTCCGCCTGCAGGTTTCTCATGTCACACAACATTCTACATTTTTTCTTATTTTGCTGCTTTTGTACTGCAAAGTATTGTATTCCATAAGTGACTTATACGCCACCGTCGTTTTGTACACGCCCTTTTTGCAAATATCGCAATGCATTTCTTTCACACCCTCGTCTTTTTGACGACAGTGGTCACTGCCAGACCAGCTGCCGATTCATACGAGACTGCTATCGTATCTTCGTCCACTAGCTCTATCACACCATATTACAATGGAACTGTCGTTTCATATCCCAACGGGACTGCTATGCCATACTCCACTGGGACTGCTACACCATATCCCACCGGGACTGCTATGCCTTATTCAACAGGAACTGCCAACTCATCCTACACCGCGACAAGGATTTCATCATCAGACAAACCTACTGGCACTCCTTGTGCCGGGAATACTGCAGCCGATCGGTCTCAGTGGTGCGACTTCAGTATCGATACAGATTGGTATGAAGAGGCTCCCAACACTGGCGTCACAAAGGAGTACTGGATCGAGATTACAAACATGACAATCGGGCCTGATGGCTATTCGCGTGTCGCACTTGGTATCAACAACACCATTCCAGGTCCACTCCTTGAAGCCAACTGGGGAGATACTGTCAAGATTCACGTGTTGAACAGCCTCGAGAGTAATGGCACAACGATCCACTGGCACGGTCTGAGACAAAACTATACAGTTCAAGAGGATGGAGTGCCCTCCGTTGTCCAATGTCCTGATGCTCCAGGAACCACACACACCTACACTTGGCGCGCAACCCAATACGGCACATCCTGGTACCACTCCCATGTGGCGCTGCAATCCTGGAACGGTGTCTATGGCCCACTGGTCATCCATGGTCCCGCGACAGCGAACTACGATGAAGAACTCGAGCCCATCATGTTGTCAGACTGGAGTCACCAGACCGCCGATGCCTTGGCGAACAAAGCAGCGGCCCTAGGACCGCCCAGACTAGATACTGGTCTCATCAACGGTCATGGCACGCTTAACGGCACCGGCTCGCGGTACCAAACGTCAATGGAGGCAGGCAAGAAGTACAGGATGCGACTGATTAACGGTGCGATTGATACTCACTTCAAAGTCTCGCTCGACAACCACACAATGACAGTCATCGCTATGGATTTCGTCCCCGTTAAGCCTTTCCAGATTGATGTTCTGGACATCAACATGGGTATGTCATCTTCCCCTTCCTGTTTCGTTCTAATAGAAACAACAATTGCTAACATATTCATCAGGTCAACGTTACGATGTGATAATCGAAGCAAACCAGGCACCAACTGATTACTGGTTCCGCGCCATCCCTCAAGCTTCGTGCTCCAACAACGGCAACGCAGATGATATCCGTGCCATCGTTCGCTACTCCCCCTCTTCCACCGCTGACCCGAAGTCTGTCTCTTGGCCCGGCAACGCAAAAGACAGGTGCATGGATGTAGCATATGAGTCTCTAGTTCCCCACGTTCCCCACACCGTTGTGTCGCCCATCAAGGGGGACACTGAACTCGCCGTCGGCCTGGCCAAGACTGATGGACTCTTCACATGGAACATTGCACTCTCCAGCATGCACGTCTCATGGGAGATGCCGTCCCTGTTGTCCATCGCAGAGGGCAAAACAGACTTCGAGACGAACGACAATGTATACCTGCTGCCCAATGCCAACGAGTGGATATACTGGGTCATCGACACTGCGATCCCCGTGCCGCACCCAATCCATCTCCACGGCCATGACTTCTACGTCCTAGCACAGGCAGAGAGTGCAACATGGAATGCGTCGGTACCGCTCAACTTAAACAATCCTCCAAGGAGAGATGTCGCGACACTGCCCGCGAGTGGATACTTGGTCATTGCCTTCCTGACCGACAACCCAGGTGCTTGGTTGATGCACTGCCACATCGGCTGGCACGTGGCCGAAGGCCTTGCTCTGCAGTTCATCGAGCGCCAGTCGGAAATCAAGGCAACTCTCGACATCGACCAACTGAGCTCCACATGTAAGACGTGGGATGAGTACAAGGGTGTGGGCAAGGTGCAAGATGATTCTGGTGTATAGATAGGTTGTACCTCTTTGTGACATTCTGCATTGCGAGGCGTTTTGGGGGAGATACCGAATTGTTTTTCACATGGGCAGCGGGCGCATCTACTCTTCTTCTTGCTTAGAACATTACTCATAATTTATGATAACTGTACGATACTCAAATGAACATTACTCCGACAAATTCTTTCTTTCTTTTGACTCACAACACATGTAATCTATGTTTCCATACAAGCCATGTCTGTATTTTTCGCCCGTTTATTCTTTGTCACTCCCTTCCCGTACACGACGTGCTTTGTTTTCCCATCATCGTTCAGTGACGCTGCACAGACCATCAAAACAGAGGTGCCCGTCGTTCGTCGTCCGTCCAATACGAGTTGCTGGCTTCGTATCAGACGTGTTGGAAGCTCGAAGCTCTTCTCTCGTGTGAGCATGGGAAAATAAAAGATGACTTTTTTAATGCATTTACAAGTCTTTGTCTTCTAGAACATAGCACAACACAACACCACACCGCCATTTCAACGGCCTTCTGGTTGGAAAGACGGGTGCTTGTAGGTCGGTCCGGGCTCGGTCTAACAACACAACACAACATAACGGCTAGGGCAAACCATGGGAAGCTTGTGAAAAGTAAACTTGTATGTTTGTGTTATTGTGTTGTTGTTGTGTTGACACAACAAAGAGCCATTGCGGTGTTTGCGTGACCTTCTCTCAAGGTGCAGAGCAGGTAAGTTGCGCATAAGATGTGTTGGTGTTTTGCGAAGTTCCCCAAAATAACACACTATAATCTTAGCAAAGTGAAACCAGGGGACCACATAGCCTATTCAGGAAACTCTCAAACATATTTGCGTTGTATCGTCAGGATACTGTGATGTACTTCGAGCAGTTTACAATCCGGCTTGTTCTGCATCATGAGAGACCTCTTAGCAAAAGCACGCACTATCCGGTGCTACGATCCCCATTACTGAAGCCTGGAGATTCCAATATTCTTCCAGGCATCCTCCTAACTATATGCGACGAGAAACAATGTTCTGTGTGTTCTATAGTTACGAACATTTATTGGTCTCTTAACTGTAGAAAGAACCTTACTAGGAATTTCACCTACTCTTAATGTCAAATCAAACGCTGTATTCTCTCAGTTCTAGTAGGAGTTCAACAAAGCGAGATCGATTTGTAATAGGTATCGTAGTCAGGCTTGTGGTAAGGTCTGCGGTAATTTAGAGAAGCTGTTCCCGGAGCCTACAAGCTTCAGCAATAGGTGTTGCTACACTGGATACAATTCTGACGACATCAAATAGCGTCTGCCTTGACAGGTAGCTGCTCGACTTTCTAACATGTCAGCAAAGTAATACCAATACCAACATGAGCACTCTACAACGTTCTACAAAGACGATTCAGAAATAGACATACGACAAGGAAGGGTACTTGCCCAGTAATCTCTTGTATATCAGACGTTGATTCGGTCATTGACGTAGTAAAGCGTGCTACTGAAAGAGTAGCCCGCTCACACACCAAACACATGAGCACCTTTTCCTCTGAGGAGCCTGACATCACCCCAACGAAAGCAGTCTCATTCCCCATCAATCCATAAATGAATTCATATCTTCCTATCTTGTCCTCAGGATATGCCAATTCTATCCATAACGACATCCCTCTCCTGACTTCTATATCAACTCGCAGTCCCCCGTCCCCACCCACTGTCTGATGGCACTCCACCTCACAACCCAAACATCCCCCCTCTTCATCTGGAATCTCTTCTCTGTCCCGTCCACCCAGACTTCTCCCACGTCTCTCAACACCCTCACGAAAACCGCTTTGTCCTCGTCCGGCTTGTCCACCATACTAATCCCTCCAGTCGTATCGTCTAACCGCTGTAGCGAGGCAGGGAACTGGCTGAGGAAGGAGGTTGAGTAGTGTGTTGAGAGGAGGGACTGGTGGGAGGTGAGGTATTGGTGTTCGGATGGCGAGAGCAAGGGTTGGAAGGTGTCGATGGAGGCTGTGTGGAGATTGAGAGTGTGGAGGGGGTGGGCATCGATCTATCCATCATCTGTTAGCAGATTATAAGGGAAGCCGGGGGGGAGGCCACACACCTTCTTTATTCTTGCTCTCAAGAAACTTCTAACCAGAAACTTGAACCGCTCCACCTCGGTCTGAATGACAATCAACTTGAAATTCGTCTTTGGATCCATATTCCCCGTTTGGTCTTCGACGAGTTCAATCTGCCTACGACATTAGCACAGCATGCCCTATAGCATAGCAGTTCCTTGCATCATTCCCTCTTGCATGAGTTCTCGCACACGTGTCCGTACCTGCCTCCGTATCCTGTCCAACACCCTCTCCATAAGCTCGCTCGGCCATGGCAGAAGCTCAGGCGCTACGCGCTCCGCTACCCAACACCTCGTTAACTCCTGCAAGTCACGTGTCTCCTGCGGCGTCCCGTCGACAGCCACTTCAGCGAGGAGATCGTCGATATCCATCGTATGGCGAGCCCCAGGGAACCCAGCGACACCTGAGGATACCCTAGCGAACCCAGGATCGGCAAGTCGTGAGCAACGACTGTGAAAGTGGATGCGAAACAGGGAAAGATAAAGGCGAGACGTCCTAACAAAGAGTTCAGAGCTGCGGCATGTTTCGGGCTGAGCCGCTGGGTGCAGTTCGTCGTTTCGACGTTTGACGCATGCATGCAAGGACGTGTCTGGCGTGCAGGATGCAGGGTGGGGGTCCGGTCGATCGGCAGCTAGCCGACGTTAGCGCAACGCGTCGCGTTGGATTTACACTCTTTTCGAGTGTTTGGAACGGAAGCTCAGTCACACCCGACGAAACATCTAAGCAACTTGATTAGCAAGGTTCAACTCAACAGATGTCAATTCGAAGTTGCTTCGACGTAGCTGTGACCCAAGAGCCAAAATAAGGTCACGAAAATGGAGTACTGATAGATGTGGAGTATATATTGATTTTCCTAATAACCCAAAAACCTAACGTGAACCTTCTAGGTCACTACTGGCTTCACACCACGATCTGACCAGGCGTCTTACTTGCCAGTGCTTACTTGAGCATTTTTGGTGCCGAGCGGGGAAACAGACAAACCGCAATCAAACATAAGTGGAAATCCCAAAGCAGTGATAAAGAAAGAGTTCTCGGCTTGATAGCACCCAGAGACGAACAATGTATGGGAAGTGGAATCGAACTCGAGCCCCGATGGCAAGTGATCCACCTCACCTGCGGACACGATGAATACCAATTGTGAATCGAAGCAGTTTGGAGCAGTAAGAAAAGCTGTAGTGGTGATGATGAGTGAAGGTGCGTAGACCTGGATTGTATTTGGTTTTGTGATAGGTCTTAGATCGTTCTGAGAACATCTGAGGGCTTTGTTGCCAGCTCTGCAGAGCCATGGAAAGATCCGATTGAGGATGGAGGACAGAACAAAGGAAATTAGGGAGCTCGCGATGCAGCGGCCTAGTGCTATGACAACGCTTAATGAAAACAAGGTAGGTATCCAGTAGGCCCTCTTGAGTAATGGTCAATCGTGGGGTATTGAATGCAAGCGGAAAACGGGACCGGAGCAACTGTAACAGTTCAGGCTGACTGACTGCAGCCGAGATTACTTTCTCCGTCCAAAAAATCCAGGTTGAATGCAAACAGAACCAAATGGTAATCGCTTGAACGCCGCAGGTGAAAATGGGACAAATGATCGAAACACCGATGCTGTGGAACTCCAATGCAGCAGTCATAAAAACGCCAATCGTCCAAATCATCGTGAAATGGACGAGTATCATAAAAAAGTCGTCGGCCAGCGTACAGGCTAGTAAGAAGCCAAACGACGAGAGGCCCCTATACGGTCCGAATCGTTGCTGAGCGTGAAAAGGTTGTTGCCACTTCTTGTGCGGCCTAAGGATGTGGGGCTATCCTCCATCTGGCAGGAATGCTGTCCAAAGGCAAATGTCTTTGCACGATGAAGTTGCTTGCGTTGCTTGAGTTTGTTGAGGCCACGTTCACAAGATTGCTCGTGCTCTTTGGCGTCCATACGAAGATAGTTCTGAGGAAAGCAGCGAGTTGCGTGAGAGTGATAGAAAGAGCTGTAGCCACCATCAAGGATGTATACTTCTGGGAATGTGAGGAGAGGATAGCGATGAGCGTTCTCCTTGCGGTCGTGTGAACGGACAAATTTGGCCCTTCACGAGGTTAGTTGACGCTAACACGAACGAACATGGAAAGGCTTACATGAGAGGTGCGCGGTGGGCAGAGTATTCACAGTGGAGGATGAGGAGGGTTTTGGCGTTTGATGGAGCATTGAAAAGCCGTTCAGCCAACTCCTCCTTGTCACAGAAGTTCAATGCGCCCTCGATGTGTCCACCATTGTACTCGTACTCGAAACGGCAATCAATGACAACCTTCTCATCGTAGACATGGTCATAGTCACCGTTAAGAACATCGATTAGTGTGTCATGTTCGATGCGAGGGAGGCTCTCAGGCTCGTTGGGCGTGAAGTGAGGAAGTTTGAGTGCAGGCGAATCATCGACGTCCATGACAGATTGCAGACCGCTAGGTTGGTAGATATCCTTTTCTTGTTTGGCGTTCATCACCTCACCAGGGCTCTCGAACATGCTCAATGACCTTCTGAACTTGCTTCGGCGAGGAGCAGAAGGCTTCCTAACGGCAGCGAGGGGCGATCCGCTAGCACGAGACACATTGGCGTGAACGTTGAAGGGCTTGAGCTTTGAGGTGAAGAGCGATCCATTGGAGTATGGGCGGCGTTCTTGTGGTGGAGAGGAAGCGAAGCACTCGTCAAGAGTGGGTGTCGTTGTAGTCGGAAAAGCATCACATCCTGCACCGAACTGAAAAGCCGGCAGCGGGTTGTTCTCCTGTTGCTTGAAGGATACTGTGTTAGTCGAGTAGTTTTTGAAGCGAGGAAGAGATGGTCGGAAAAGGATGTTCTTTTTACGTCTGAATGAGGTTAGCAAGAGGAGGCAGAGTCTGATTGTACAAGAACTGACTCGACAGCAGACGCAGGCCGCTGGATGTCCAGTCCGGGCGTAGGGTACATTGGAGGAGTAGGCAGCTCGCACGGCGAGAGCATATCATCGTCGTCGTCGTTGCTCGGGCTGGGGTCTGGAGAGGGCGACAACAGTGGGAGGCAGCGGTCGTTGATGAAGCTGAAGGGAGCTTTGTGGGGCAGAGGCGAGATGTCCATAGAGTCAGGAGCAAAGCACGGCGACGAGTCGGGAATTGGCGGTGTCGTGATGCCTTCCCACGTGGCAGGTGGGGTTATGGTTCCTTCCACTTCTACACGAGGTCAGCACTTATACCACAGCCAGGCGAGCATGCCAATGGCACAGCCGCGTACCTCGTTTGTCCAATTGCTGGAATAGACTCGACGTGAAAAGAGAGCGACGGGGCGTGGCGAGCTGGGGGCTACAACAAAGGATTAGCAGCCGCACGCGGAAGGTCCTATGCAAGGGCGGGCGTACCTCTGGTCGACGTGCAGGTTCTGCGACATGTCGGCAGCCAGGCTGGCCGTGGGCGAGGATCCCCGGATCGACTGCAGCGTGAAGTAGTCTCCTCCGCCCTTCCTCATGCTCATGTCGCGGAAGTTGAAGTTTTTGGAGCCCAGGCTGTGTGACGAGAAGAGCGGCTTCGAGGGCGGCAGGTCGCGTCGGTAGCCCCAGGGGCCAGGGATGGGCGGCGGGTGCATGGCCGCGAGAGGTGACGACATCTCCATGCTGACTGTGTCGGTCTATAACGATCGTTTGCGGGCGTGCTGCTCGTCTCTGCTCAATGCAATGGCGGTGGCGACGGACGGGACACGGGCGGCCGGTGGTGATCCGATAAGCATACAGGACTGGAAAACTAATTCCAATCTGAGGATGCTCGTGCTAAGTAGGCGGGTAGTCGAATTGTTGATTATGGGCTGCACATGGGATGGCAGGCAGGCGTCGTCAACGGATATGGGATGGCGGATAGAGGTGCTGTTGTGTAGCTACTGCCCAAAGTGCTGTCCAATCTGGCGTCCAACTTCCAATAACCCGCAGCCGTGGTGAGAGGGAACTGGGCCTTCTTGGGAGGCAGAAGGGTTAAGAGGAAGAGAGCACGGCGGTTGCCCAGCTGGATTTGAGGGCGCCGAGCTTGCATCGCTGCTGGGGTAACCTGTTGCTCGTGAGGTTAGGAAGCTGGTCTGAGCTCCTTTACGCGCTTGCACACCGGAGGCTTCACTAACGACCAATATTATGCCTGTTCGCGGCCGTGGCAGCGGGACAATGGGGCTCGGGGCAGTTTGCTTCTCCCACGCATGCAGTCATGGCAAAGCGCTTTTGTTGATCTGCTGAATGCTGCCACGGTCTGCAAGTACGCCGAATGCTGATTCACCCTCATCGTGATCGCGTTCAGGCACGACTGCAGCTAAGCTCGCCCGCATGTAAACAACGGTTCGCAGCAGCAGGCCTGCAAACATGCAGACGCTCCACTGGGCATCGCTATGGTTACTGTTGCAGAACCAAGTTACCTCTCCATCTGACGTCCTCTTCCCCTCACAGGCGGTGCACCAGCCCATGCATCACGCCGAGCTGTCTCGCTGCCTGCAGGCCATGCTTGCTCGTCTGCGTTGCCAGAGCAGTCTGGCACGGATCACTTGCGACCAGCATCCTGCCTGTACGCTTGCAAAATTGGGCCAGCTCTCTCCGCTCAACTGCTGCACTGGCTCCCGAACAAGCAGAATTCTCTCCGACCGCTGCTTCGTGAATTCCTGCCACCCGTGCATTCTGCGTAACCTAATGCCCGTCTCCCAGGGAAACCAAACGTCTGCCGCAATAGCAAACATGTGCACCCAACTTCCACAGCGGCTAGCTAGGCCCTGGCCAACGCCTCGTCGAGTCCCGTTGCGGCTTTTACACGGCAGCTCCTTCGTCATCGCTACATCGCAGCTACTTGGCGCCGCCTACTACCAGGGAACCATTCGATGTGGGCAGCACGCTTGCGCGTTGTGGTTGGCCAGAGCCTCAGTCCAGAAGAAGCATCTTTCTGACAACCATCCCTGTATAGGCACGCGTGAGAGATTCACCCGCCGTTTTTGTGCACCATAGCGAGTCATACGCGCCGCTGGCTGGCAACGAGTGCCGTTCGCCCTGTGATTGACAGCCTCATGCCGGATACGGTGCATAAAACCGGAGAGGCAATCCTCCATGGCAAGTCGGTCGGCCTCTTAGTGTGCTCTCGAGATCGAGCTGCGGCTACAGCATCTCGATTGCGACAGCCACTCAACGTCATAGACAACAAGGCTGAGATTGATGATTTCCCAATCTATTCTTGAATTCTTGTTTGCGCCGGAATTGACCAGCGCACAATTCCACAAACAATCGTCTCCCGCACGACCACCAAAACAAAGGTTCTTTGTGTTTTGGGCGGGCTGAACGCCGTTCGAGAACACGACCTACCCTACCCCCAGCAAACCGCGTGCACAAAACCTTCATATCGGACCCCACCAAACAGCCGGTGACCCCTCTTCTCTGCATCAAAGGAGCCAATTGCGACGCTTGTGGAAAATGGCTGCAACCGGTCGCGCGTCGTTACCGGGTAGACGCGTTCGCTTGTGTGTAAACAAACTACCTAAAATGCGCATCGCGCGCCTTGTCACGCGACTTTGAAATAACGCCGCAAGGGATTTTGGAACCCCAGACCTGCTGACGTCCATTGCGTTTCAAGGACCCTGAGTTTTCAGGAATTAGCCTCAATTTCTTTTGTCGTACGTCAGCAGCCGGCCGAGTACATCCGAGCTTTGTGCAGACTTCTTTATGGTCGTGGAGTCGGCCAAGGTTTGGACGGACGAGGTTTGTGAGCAATGGTTTCAGCGGTTGCTGTAGCTCCCTGCCAGAACCAGCATAGGCACACGAGCTGAGGCTTCAAGTCTGGACTTTCTCCGAGCCTACTCTGACTCCGGGTGACATGCTTTTCCTGACAAAATAACAAAGGGGTCCAATTGTAGTTGTTCCTCATCACTCCTTAATAGCCACTCCTCACTACGCTTGGGTTTCATGGCTGTGCTCGTCTCCTGTTGAGTACATGAGACAAGGCATCGCGACGCTCAGTAATGTCCGCGGTATGGTGATCTTTGGCTTGAAGTCAGCTGTGGATGAGCTATCCACCGATGTGCATTAGGGGATAGGGATACATATCACCGAACCGCTTCCAAGCCAATATCGATAACCCTTCATGTGGATCACGCATGCAGCAGTTAGGGTATAAATGCCTTGACGATGCCGCTCTAAGTAAAATTCTTACACTGGGTACAAAATCGGCTCTTTTTACTTCTGGACTACCACTGGTGTTCCATATTCCAGTCATAGACATGTACACAAACAAGCTCGACGCGGTAGATGTGGGGATGCTCAGCAACCCACGTACTCGGTTCCCTATACTACCATTCAATATGACCGGAATGTCTAGGGATCTCGATGAGTTGCAGCTGTGACTCGTCTTTATCCACTTAGTTTATAAACACTCGCTTAGTCGCAGGTGTTATACATGGTGTAGCTTGTGTTTGAGATACACATGGAGACATTGTCTGCAGATCACGCAGTCAGCGGCCCAGCAACGGCATTCATCACGCGTCCTCGACGCAGGTTGCGATGTCACTAGTGTTGCTAGGTGAGAACTCTGAAGGAGTTGAAAGCCTTCAATCACTTTGATGTCATTGGATAAATAAAATCCACGGTCAAAAGACGTTTTCGATTGTGATGTACCTGTGGTTACCGCTTTCAGATCTAAATATTCCCCATAAGGATATCGGGTGAATACGCCCCGACAGTAAATCACTGCTATTTCAAGAAGTACTTGAGAACGTGATTTGGCGGCTTCGAGGACGTCGCGTTTGAAAGCATGTGATCATTCTAGCCAGCGGGCCGAATTGATCCGGATGTGGGGAAGCGCTAGTCCAGTAGATCGTTAGCGCCAAAAAAGTTCAGAGTCGCGACTTTCACGAGGGAACGCTTTCTCAATCACGACGTGACCAGTCAATCGCGAGAACGAGATGGGAAGCAAAAACAAAAAGAGAGAGCGCGAGCCCGCTCAAGGCAACAACGTCGAAGAGGCACCTCCAAAACGTCGCCGTCAAATCGATGAAGGGCATCTGAAGCTCTCTAAGCTCTATGAAGATCTCGCTGCCGAATCAGACGACGTGCGATTCGAAGCTGCCAAACAACTCATTGTGAAGTTCTCGCCCGAGAATCAGCCAGCTGCAAAGGAGGTAGAAACAGCGCTCAATCGTCTAATCAAGGGTCTTTGCAGTCAACGAAAAGCTGCCAGAGTCGGATTTTCTCTTACCCTCACGGAATTATTACGGCAGATCTTTGGCCAAAATGCGGTCAAGATCGAAGGCCTGGAACTCGACGTAGATTCCATTATCAAGATGGTGGAGGAAAAGACCAAAGTTGTTGGCAACGTGCCAGGACGAGTATGTACCAGCTATGTCAAGATGCATCCAGTGCTAACAACGCCAAGGAAAGACGAGACCATCTTATTGGAAAGTTGTTCGGATACAAAGCCGTAATGCAATCTTCAATAGTCCTAGAGCCCGTGCTGTCCTTGGAAAGTTGGAATTCGCTCCTAGACAACGTGTACGGAATGGCACGCGATGTACCATGGCTCCGAGAAGAATGTGGCATGATCTTGGTTGAGGCGGTGAAGAGTCTGAAGGCTCAACCGCAGTATGAGAAGTGCGCACAGGAGATGGTTGAACGGTTGAGCACATTCAAGCTCGTCAGTACGCCTGAAGGAGTAGCAGTATGGCTTACCGTCCAAGCGAGCTACGAGAACGCCCTACTGGAAGGTGTCTGGCACCAGAAAGACCCTCTGGACAAGAAAGAGCGTACCCGCCTAGCCAAGACGTTGAAAGAGAATTTCCGCGGCGAATCTGCAAACGGGAAAGACGACGACGTCAAGTCAGGGGCTGCAAACCCAAATCCGACGTTTGCCTGGGACTTGGTCTTGTCTGAGATGCTTCGTCGAGATGAATTGATCAGAGCAAAGGGCAAGGAGACACCCAAGATGGACTTTCCTCAATTTTGGCTTGATACTGTGGATAGTGAGTTCACCAACATCATTCCAGGACATCACTAACCTCGACAGATAATTTGTTCTCTTTAGCTTCATCTCACGAACGCAAGTCATGGGGATTCAAACTCTTGAGTAGCATGATTGTTCGTGTCCCAGAATGGGCCATTCCAGCGTTATTCAGTCCAAACCTTATGCGAACTTTGATCAACCAAAGCAAGAAGGAGGATAGATTTCTTCACAATGCAGCAGTAGCTGCTCTCAACACCCTTCAGATGAGGGTACAACAGGAACCCAGCTCTGCTTTGCCGATCTTCGTCGCCCTCACAACGAAGAATGGCAGTATCGATTCTGACCAGGCCACCAAAACCAAGACCCTTGAGCATATCCTTATATCGACAGATGATGATACCCTGAAGAAAATCGTGCGTCACCTCAATTCTCTGATCTTACGACCAGAGAGCGAAGACCAAGTTGTTGCAGATAGTCGTCGTCAGACCATCGCTGATTTGCTCTTAAACACCGTCAAACAATACAAGCGATACGACGAACTTTCCGAGGATAGCATTGAGAAGGACAATTGGCTGCATAAGACTCTGGAAGTACTGGTAGAGTATGCTTACTTCGTCTCAAGCAAGAGTGCCAAGACCAGTAAGGTGCCTCTTCCTGCGGTTAGTGAGCGGAGCAGAAACATGTTCCAGGAGCGTCTTTCTTCGTGTCTCACCAAATTGCTCGGTGTCGGCATTGGCTCGCGATCAGCTTTCGCTCTCATGATTGTGGGTATGATTCGATCAAAGGCTACCTCCTCCAAGTCCTTGGACTTGGCGTTTAAGGCAGACAAGCCTGTCCTGAAGACTATGGAAAAGGCGTCTCAAACTCTGGACGCGATTTCTGCCAAGGTACGTTTCAGTCCTCCTATGCTACCGATTTTACTAACGTGCTATACTGCAGGGTTCGGTCGCTGGAAACAAGATGGCTGCGGAAGGATTTATCCTTCTCTATTCGCTCACACTGCTTCAAGTTTACAATGGCGACGGAGATGCAGTAATGATGCTCGACGATCTGGACACTTCCCGCAAGGCAATGTCGAAAAAACAAACCGATTCGGAGGAAGAGAGCCACGATGTGTTTGTCGAGATTATACTTTCGTTCCTCGGCAACCCACGTACATTGTTCCGCAAAATTGCAGAGGAGGCCTTCTCCATCTTCTCATCCGAGGTCAGCTCAGAGGGACTGCAGTCACTCACTGATGTTCTCGACACTGAAGAGAATCTCGAGGGGCAGAAGGAGCTGTTCAACCAAGATGATGGAGAGGCCGAGGAAGCGGAGTCCAGCGATGACTCGGATGACGCATCAGACGTGGAGATGATTGATGGCGAGTCGAAATCTGATGGCGGTGACTCTGACGCTTCGGACTCGGATTCCTCCAGCGAAGAAGATGACGACGAAAGTGAAGACGACGCAGAGCTCACTCAGTTCAACAACCTTTTATCGATGACGCTTCAGACGTCGAAGCTTGATCCTGAAGGCGAGGATACATCGGACGAATCAGATATGGATGATGAGCAGATGGAGGCACTGGACCCACAGCTCCGCAAGATCTTCCAGCAACGTAGTCAGGTGACGAGCAAGAAGAAGGAACGACAAGACGCCAAACAGAACATTGTCCAGTTCAAGTCAAGGGTTCTTGACCTGCTAGCGATATATTTGGAGAAGCAATACTCCAACCCGCTCACTCTGGACGTTCTCCTCCCCGTGCTTCGCCGCACACGCGCCAACGCAAACAAACAACTTGCCGACAAAGCTGCCAAAACACTGAAGACGTACTTGGCCAGCCGGAGGAACAAGACTCCTCTCCCAAAGCCCTCAGACATCGAAGCCGTATGGGCGACGCTGAAAGCCGTCCACGAGGAAGCGAAGATGGGTAATGGCGCCAAGTTGCATGCGGATGTGTGCAGCAGTACGAGTTTGCACATTGTAAAGGTACTTGTTGGACTGGACAAGGCGCATTACGACGGAGCAGTGGATGTGTATGCGCAGACGCAGAAGCAGTGGTTTGCGGATAAGAAGTCGCCGCTTCAGCCAGGGCTGTTTACGCAATTTCAGAATTGGTCAGTTGGGACGAGGCAACAGACAAAGTAGAGGATGGACGGAAAGAGTTGAGCGGTACATGTAGAAGTGAATATTTTGTAATATAACCCATGCTGGCAGTTTGCAACGGCTTCCACACTTGTTAGTAGTCACACGTGTGGCACGAAGAGGCTAGTATTCACTGCTGGGACTTCTTATCCGGATCCAGTCTAGACCCTGAGCTCAGGAACCACAATATAACTCACACATGGTTTTGAGTGAGGCGGCACCAGCTGCGAATAACGTCGCGCGATCTGCGGTGATGACTAGCTGCACGGTCGTCAGCATTGGCGGGCTGAAGCTCAGACTCCATTCAGATCACGCCCTTTGAGATGCAGAAGCAGTGCAGCTATCCTACGACTACTGCGGCCAGCTTCACAGACGATTGCGACTTGCTGAATCGCAGGGTGCAAAGTTTGTGTTGGAAAAGGGTCAATGTAACTCGACGTCGTGACGTACCCTCTTTATGTAAAGCAAAGAGGCTCGCACGCGCAACACCACGACTCATCGCCAACTCCGGGACCGTTACTGGATGGCATGGCTGATATAGGACCATCGCCAGCCCTTGAATTCCCCCCACCGTGTAAGAAGCCCCGTTGCATCGTGCCCGGGCCGGCAGCTCCCGAGTGCCATTGGATTGCGACTGCACATGCAGGCGAGTGAGTAGACCTTGTCAGACCGTCTTGCACCGTCATCACGGGAGAACCTCGTAGCGAGAATGTCGTACCCTCCACCGACCCGCGACGACTACGCATCCGTCTACCGGACGGGCGACAATGGCCAGCTGCTCGACGGCCCGCAGGCCTACACCAAGCTCGAGAACATCAACGAGGCGCTGCAGGCCCAGCAGGCGCTGCAGAACCACGGCCTGAGCCCGCACGCGTCGCAGCCCCAGCACCTGCCCGCGACGCCGCAGCAGCTCAAGCCCAACCGCCTGCGCAAGGCCTGCGACTCGTGCAGCATCCGCAAAGTGAAGGTGAGGCCAACCCTGTGTCACGTGTAGAGCTGCGCTGACCTCTCCAGTGCGACGAGTCGGGCCCACCATGTCGCGCCTGCGTCGCCCTCGAGATCCCATGTACCTTTGATCGCCCGAGCAGACGCCGCGGCCCGCCCAACAGACACGCCGAAGCCATCAAGCGGCGCCGCATCGACGACGATGCCAACTCGGGCCACTCGTCGCCGCACTCGCCCACCAATGCCGCCCACGCGCTGGCGCAGCTGCAGTCGTCGCATCCCGCCCAGCTCTCGGCCGAGGCCATCTGCCCGCTGCCCACCATGAACGCCCTCATCGACGACTTCTTCATGTACATCCACCCGCTGTGCCCCTTCCCGCACGAGCCGTCGTTCCGCGAGGCCTGGGAGCGCCGCGAGGACTACTCGAACCCCGCCTTCCTGGCCCTGCTCGCCTCGATGATTGCCGCTCTGGTGTCGTCGTTCCCGCGCAAGCCGCGCCTGCACCTCAAGGCCCAGATGCGCCACGAGTACACGTCGCACATGGCCCTCGTCGACAAGTGCCGCGAAGTGTGCGCCCAGGCACGCGGCCCGGGCTACCTCGACAAGCCCTCGCTGAACGTCTACGACGCATGCACGAGCTACTTCCTGGGCCTGACGGGCGCCTACGTCTTCCAATGGCGCCAGCTACGTGTCTACTTTGCCGAAACCATGTCCATTATCCGCTCGCTGGGGCTGCACAGGTCAGCGGATCGAGGCTACGGTGGCACCCCTGGGTCTTGGGGCGGGTCGAACTACGATACCTCGAGGGATCTCAAGCTGGACCACATCACCGAGGAGATTGGACGGCGAGTCTTTTGGACCGTGTTTGTGGGAGCACGGTAAGTTACTTTATTCCTATTCTTGAAATATGCCCATGCTAAACGCAGACCAGGACGATGCAGCAGCTTGGCTCCTCGTTTGCAGATTTGGTCATTGCACCTCCCACACCCGCCGAGCCGCTACCTCCCCTACCCGTCGAGGTCGACGATGTCCACATCTTCCCGCACGCAATCGAACACCAGCGGCAAACGGGCGTTTCTCTGTTGACAGGATTTGTCCTGAACGTCAAGGTTTATCTGTCGTATTCTACGCTTTCCACAGCAGAAATGGCCTTTGGGCTGGACGAGATGTTCGACTGGGAGCGGCAACAGCGCATACTCGAGCTGAGTCTGCAGCGCTGTAGACAAATCCTGGACATCATGCCGGAAATCCTCAGAGTGCGATCAAAAGCCGGACGAGATATTGGGATTTCGCAACAGCCCTACTATCCGCCCATGCCAGAGTACTCAAGCTTGAGAGATCCTGCGATGAACAGCTACAACGACATGGAGGTCATGGACATGCGCCGCTACGAAATCCAGAAGGCGAACATCTATGCCAGCCATCTCGCCACTCGCTCATACCTGGTGGAGAAGTATTTCCTGCTCCTAGAAAAGCACAACGCCAAATCGCAAACGGGACACCATAGTTCGCCCAGCATATTGGCAGTTGGACTAGACCGGTTCCTGTCCAATTCGTCGGTGGACATGGAAGCACTTGAGAAGACAATGGCAAACGAGCGCGAGCAAGTCGTCAAAGACCTACTCGTGGTACTCGGCAGCATTGACATGGTGAACATGGAGCCCAGTGGTGACTCGTTCGTAAGTCTCCGCTCCCACTCCCTCGACTCTGACTTCCTGTACGACGTCGACGACCACCTCTCCCTCTCGTGTCCAACACACTTCTTCTTCCGTCCGCACGCCCTCAGTCCGATCGCAAGCTTACGTTTTGTGCCGACACAGACTCAGAAGATTCGTTCGATCGCGAGCACACTGCTCGAAGTTCCCAAAGAGAGAAAGGGCAGCGTCGCCCTGCAGCATCAGGACTATCTTTACAAGTTTCTGGATATCCTGAGCAGGCTGGAGAGAGTCAGTCCTGAGGCTGGGGAGGGTAGCGCGGGGGTCGTCGACGAAGAGACGGAGTTGAGGCTTTGGGCGGATCTGAGGGACCATCAATTGAAGTTCCAGGTAAGTTTTTTCTCTTCCCGCCCACCTTCTCTTTCAGATCATGTACTGACTTTCCCCCTACAGGAGCAAGGCGGTGTTTATGGCTTTGGGAATTAGCAAGCCACGTTACAAGTCGGCCATGAAGTTCTTGCAAAATCGCTTCGCCCCAAGGTAACACGCATAACACGCATAACACGCATACATAGAGGTTCGAGATTCGCTTCCACACCATCCGCTCTCGATACATGGCGATGGTCTTCCTAGCGCGAAAAAACAGCTAGCTTGTTCATATCTACACATTTGCTCGGCGCACATGGGATGGGGATTGGGGAAATGCATGTTCGGTTATAGGTGTTCTGTTTGGGAGGATGGAGAGCATGAGGGCATATAAATCGGATTCACGCATCGGTCTTGGAATGTAAAATCAATGTCATTCTAATCACTTGTGCATGTCTTGCTCTGGGGGTTTTCGCATTATGGCTTTGTGGGCCTGGGTTTGTGGTGAATGTGAAGTTTGTCATGGGTTTTGCTAATGTTCGCGTGCATTTTCGTATCCCGCCCTGTCTTGTCATGTCTTTGTCTTGCAGAGGATAGATTTTGTGTTTTTGATATATGCGTAGGGTATATAACCATGTATCTTTTTTCATCTTCTCGAAGACGGAAAGGGTATACCCTCAATCCCTCCACATCTCCCCCCATCCATCCATCCATCCATCCATCCACCCCACCTCACGGCACAATCACAACCCCCAAACTACTCGCCTGCCCCACAACGCTCCTCGCCAACCCCTCAAGCCCCAACCCACTCAACCTCGTCTCCCCCTGCTTAATCCGCGCAATCTCATAAACATGCTTCAAGCTGACAGTTCCAACCGTGCCTTTCACAGCATTCCCGACCGTGGGGCTGTTCGTGCTCGTCTTGCCCTTTTGCCCGTCGTGATTGTTCGTCGGCCCAGGCACATTGCCAGCACCGCGGATCTTGGACTTTGTGGGCGCGACGCCCGCGGCGGTTAGGAGGAGCGTGGCGGTTGGCGGTGTGCGCAGGGAGAAGGTGAAGGAGCGGTCTGGGCGCACTGTTATGCGGGCGGGGATGGGCGTGCCGGGGTTGTAGTGCGCGGTGCGGGCGTTGAATTCCTTTAGAATATTAGTGGGGGTTTATGTATGGCGAGGTATTGTAGGGCTGTGTAGTGTAGTGGAATGCAGATGAGGCGCATATATTATACGTACTTTGCAGAAATCCATGCTCTTCACTCCCTTGCTACCCAGCGCGGGACCGACGGGCGGCGAGGGCGAGGCCTGGCCCGCGCCGACTATTAATTTGACGATTTGGTCTTTTGCGAGGGCTTTTCGTGCCATTGTGGATGTGGATGGGGGGATGTCGAGGGCGGGTTGGCGATGGGCTGCGGAGTTCTGTCGGAGGTTTCGGAGGGGGGTTGTTCCGGCGCGGAGTTTGGGGGGAGGTTGAGCGCGACGAGGGGGTCTGGGGAGGGTAAGGGTAGGAGCGATATGGTGGGGGGATGGGTCCGAGTCAGATGGGATGGGATTTCGGCGGTGCGATGAGATTGATGATGATGATGGGCACGTGATAGCGCGATTGACTGACGCGTTTGCCTTTCCGCCACTTCGCTTCTCGGACAGGCGCTCCTGCATCCACGCTCCTTCCTTCCTCCCGCCACAATACATACACTGCACCACCACTACACACCCTGCAGTACCACCACGTATCCAGCGTCTGTCAACCACACAATGCAGCGCCCGAAAGCCCTCGCAGCGGGCGATTGCACACCCGCGAAGCCTGCTGCTCGCCTCTACGGCGGCACCCCCCAACACGTCGACCGCCTCATCAAGCCCTTCAAATGCCCCGGCTCCGCAGCACCAACCCGCATATCCGAGAAGCCCGCGAGAAAGAGGAGAAAGGTCAATTACTCCGGAGCTGACGGCGAGAACGAAGACGATAAGCCATATTCCAACGATGATCGGTTGGCACTTGCCACACGCGACGCGAACCGCTTCCCAGTCTTTAAGCCAAAGGACAAGGACTTCATGTTCAGGCAGAAGTTCACAATCCCCCTCATTAATAAGGAAACGGACGCGTATAATCCGAATCGCCCCGCCCCGCTGCTGGGGATGCGGACAGGCACTGTTTTTGTTGCACGGCCGCTGCATGACCCTAGTGGGGAGTTCGCCATTGTCTTGTATGATCCCACCATTGACGATAGGCCAGTGGAGAAGGAAGTGCTAGAGCCCAAGTTAAGTCAGGACGAGAAGGAGGGGCTAGAGGCTCCGCTGGTGCACAAGAGCCTGGCAGAGATATTGGGCTTGAAGAAGAAAGTAGAGGGCGAGCGACCCCGTGTCCCGGTTGTCATCGATCCAAGACTGGCCAAGGTCCTGCGTCCGCATCAGGTCGAGGGTGTCAAGTTCTTGTATCGAGCTACGACGGGCATGATCGATCCAAAGGCCAATGGATGCATCATGGCCGACGAGATGGGTCTGGGAAAGACGCTGCAGTGCATTGCCCTCATGTGGACGCTGTTAAAGCAGTCTCCCGAGGCTGGCAAATCGACAATACAGAAGTGTGTCATTGCGTGTCCGTCGAGTTTGGTCAGGAATTGGGCGAACGAGCTGATCAAGTGGCTGGGCAAAGACGCAGTCACTCCGTTCGCCATTGATGGAAAGGCATCGAAAGAGGAGTTGATCCAGCAAATACGGCAATGGTCTATTGCTTCTGGACGTGCTGTCGTCAGGCCAGTCCTGATCGTCTCGTACGAAACGCTGCGTCTCTACGTTGAGGAGTTTGGGCAGACGCAAATTGGCCTGATGCTCTGTGACGAAGGGCATCGACTGAAGAACGGTGACAGTTTGACTTTCACAGCCCTGAACAGCTTGAACGTGCAGAGACGAGTTATTCTTTCCGGCACACCCATCCAGAATGATCTCTCGGAGTACTTTGCTCTGCTCAACTTTGCGAATCCAAACTACCTTGGCACGAGAATGGAGTTCCGCAAGCAGTACGAGATACCCATTCTGAGAGGTCGCGATGCCGCTGGAACAGACGAGGACCAGAAGAAAGGTAACGAGCGTCTCAAGGAGCTCTTGACTCTAGTCAACAAATTCATCATCCGACGAACCAACGACATTCTGTCAAAGTACCTCCCCGTCAAGTACGAACACGTCGTCTTTTGCAACCTCGCACCCTTCCAAAAGGATCTTTACAACCACTTCATCGCCTCTCCCGAAATCAAGAGCCTCCTTCGCGGCAAAGGCTCCCAGCCACTCAAGGCTATCGGCATGCTCAAGAAACTCTGCAACCATCCCGATCTCCTCGATCTGCCATCCGACCTACCAGGTTCCGAGAACATCCTTCCAAGCGACTTCGTCCACAAAGACGCACGCGGCCGCGACCGCGAAGTAAAAGTCTGGTACTCCGGCAAGATGCTCGTCCTCGACCGCATGCTAGCCCGCATCCGCGCCGAAACAAACGACAAAATCGTCCTCATCAGCAACTACACACAAACGCTCGACATCTTCGCGGCCCTCTGCCGGTCGCGCGGCTACGGCTCCCTCCGCCTCGACGGCACAATGAACGTCTCCAAGCGCCAGAAACTCGTCGACAAATTCAACGACCCCGAGGGTCCGGAATTCGTCTTCCTCCTGTCCTCCAAGGCCGGTGGCTGCGGCCTCAACCTCATCGGCGCAAACCGCCTCGTCCTCTTCGACCCAGATTGGAACCCGGCCGCCGACCAGCAGGCCCTCGCGCGCGTATGGCGCGACGGCCAGACAAAGGACTGCTTCGTCTACCGCTTCATCGCGACCGGCACCATCGAGGAGAAAATCTTCCAACGCCAGTCCCACAAGCAGTCCCTCTCGTCCTGCGTCGTCGACTCCGCAGAAGACGTCGAGCGCCACTTCTCCCTCGACTCCCTGCGCGAATTGTTCCAGTACCGCGATAACACTACGAGTGACACACACGACACTTTCAAGTGCAAGAGGTGTCGCAAGGAAGATGGGCGGCAGGTTCTCAAGGCCCCCGCGATGCTGTATGGCGATACGAGTACATGGAATCATATGGTTAATGATGGCGAGAAGGGCCCGTTGGGTAGGATTCAGGATCTGCTGCTTAGGCAGGAGACGGCGGATGGGTGTCGCGAGGTTAGCTCCGTCTTTCAGTATATTAGTCATTAGGTGTGGGGGTTTGTGCGGTGCGTTGGGTCAGCGTTGGCGTTCCTGGGTATATGGGAGGGACTTCTTTTTTTTTATACGAAGCGTGGTGTTGTGCATTGGTTTGGCGCTTTTTATTCTATGAGCGATATGCGGGTTCGCTTTGGCGATATGAATTTATTCCATCGAAGAAAGTGTATGTCCAATATTGCTCTCTGATCTGACTACGTGGTGCCATACATCACTTCACCCCCCATTGCCATGTACCATGTAAATCTTTTCGCCCAGTCCCTGCACGCTGAAACTCTCCTCCAAGGCTTTCTAGTACACATCATCATGCACACCATAAAAAAATACCGGGGGGGAAATTGCATTCATAATCTCGTCTGCCATCTAGGGGAATCAAATCAAGGTAACTAGGTAACTATGTAGATGCCATGTTCTCCACGCATCGCCGCGTCCCTCCACAGCGTAGCTAGAGCGACATGGGAAAAGAAGAAAAAAGAGAAACGATCAATCCCGAAATGGAAAGTCTCATAACCAGTAGTGCCATCATGCCTACACAGACGCAATATCATGTTGTGTTTTCCAAATCCAAGCACCATCACAACATGCATCGCAACGGATCGAACAGCCCACCTAATAAGGACTGTTCACGATTTCGTTCCGGCCCAAGTAACTCCCCCTGACGCCGCTTTTCCTTGCAGCGCCAACCCGGCTCGGTATCGCGATACTCTCACGGGTAGGCTTCTGCAGTGCGCGCCTGGCCACCATGTCAACCTCGTTTGGCAGCGCAACGATCAAATTCTTGTCTGAGCCGAACTTGAAGTTATCGGCCTTGACCTCCTCGGCATAGCGCTTGATGTTGTACGGATCCCTGCGGTTAGCAAGCACCTTCTTCATGCTCCAGGTAACGATGAAGGGGCCCGTGGCGGTGATGATGGTGGTTTCCGTGTCGTCGAGACCCGTGTTGAAGTGTGCGGTGGTGAAGGAGATTGGGGCTCGGGTCTCGTGCTGGAATTGCGCGACGTGGGCTGGTGTGAGCGCGAGACGGCGGGGTTGGGGTTTGTCGTCTTTGGCAAAGGCTTTCTCGAAGCCGAGCTTGCCGTCGTTCTTGCCGCCTTTCTGGAGGGCGTCAATGAGGAGGAGATAGGTGCGCGTGGTGGCGAGGACCCAGCGGCCGTCTGCTGAGACGTCCATGCCGATGATGGGATCACCAAGGGCGGGGATAAGTGTCTTTGCGTTGATTCCTAGTCTGTCAAAGAGTCGAATGTCTCCCTTCTCGGATGCGACTGCAATGTGTCCCTTTTCGGTTGTGGCCGCGGCGGAGAAAGCGTTCTTTGTTACGTATTGTTTGAGCTGATCGTCGACGAGCTTGTTGCCCGATAAACGAGGGTCAACACGATAGAGGGCGTTGCCTGATAGACCCAAGAATGTCTGCTCTCCACTCATCTGGGCAAATTTCTGCATACTGTTAGCATATATTCCATGCAAGAGGCTACCCCACTATACTTACGCTCTCTGGTGCGAACACCTTGACAGGAATATCATCATGAACCTTCCACTCATCGACAACCTTGCCAGTCTCCAGATCCATCCTGTACAATGCGTTGGGATTATCCATGTTCTGTAGAATCATGTCCTGATCCTGCTGGTGGAGCATGACCCTGTTGGGAGCAAACGCCTTGCCCTTCGGGGTCTTGACATTTGAGATGGTCGTGGAGAATTGAAGTTGGTTGTCCGACGTATGTTTGAAGACGCCAATCTTGTCGCCTCGCACAACAAAGGACCTGTCGTGCTTGTAACCGACTGCAAGTTGTGAGTTTTCGGCTCCGTCCTTTGGACGAATCTCTGTGTCTTCGTCGGACTCATCCTCGTCGTATTGTTCACTTCGTTGGTCGTCACCGCTCTCGTACTCTTCTTCCTCTTCCTCCTCCTGCTCCTCATCAGGAGCGTCGTCCATGGTAAGATCCTGGAAAGCCTCCAGGACGTACTCGCGATCGGTGTCCTTCGCCTTGCCCCACTTGACCTTGTTCAAGTGTTCCCAGAGGGCTTGCATGACACCTTGTTGAAGGCTCTCCAATTCTTCTTGCTCGTGAAACCGCAGAAGCCACGAGTAAGCGGAGCCATCGTCGAGATAGTGGTTGAAGATGAACGACTTGAACTCGTAGTTGAAGACGGGATTGATGTCCTCGATGATGGGCTGGCCAAGCCACTCACGCTCATCGCCAACAATGTGTAGCCAGTAATCCCAGTTGCCGGTCTCAGTCACTGTAACGTTCACTTTTGCATCCTGCAGAACGAATGTGCCAGTTGGGAAGTCGAACAGGTGAAGCTCAGCAATGCTCTCTGCTAGCGTCTCTAGGGCTTCTGGTTGTGCAGCAGATGGCGGTGCTGCTGTTGAGTCTTCGATGGCCTTGGGCACTTGGCCTTTGCCTGTCGCTTTCTTCACCATGACGTCCTTTGTTGTATTCGGGAAGAGCTCCTCGACAGGCGGCGCTGCGGCGATGGGGGCGGGAGACTTGCTGATGGGGCTGGCAACAGGGCTGGCGTCGGGGATGGGATCTTCGTAGTAGGCTAGGGCTTCGAGATCGTCCTCGGTCGCGTGCTCGTGACTCCTCCTGAACTTTCTCTCGTACTGGCACTGCAGAGCAACACGCTCGAACAGGACAGCAGTCTCTGGCTTGACTGACGCGTCGCAAACAAACTCCCACAGATCGCCCACGTCGCCGCTCAGGTCGCACCACGCGAAGATCTTCTCGCCAGTCGAGCGGGCGTCGGTACGGAACTGGAGACCCTCGTCAAGCAGGAACGTCTTCTCGTCCTTGTCGCCGGCAAGAGCCTCGAGTGCGCCTTCCTCGCCGCCTTCCTCGTCAAGCAGGTCCTCCTCTCCCTCTTCGTATGCGCGCTGGATGACGAGCTGGTACTGGAACTCCTGTCCCGTGCGACGGATGGTGGCTGCAGCGTCCTTGAAGATGAGCTCGGAGAAGCCCTTGACGGAGCGCGGTCGCACGAGGTACAGCTGGCCCTGGGGGATCTCGACAATGGTTTCCTTTGAGCTGTCACCAAAGACGAATTTGCTAACTGAAGACGGATGTTAGTGTCACATTCCAACCGTGGCGGGGGAGGAGGGGCTAGGGCGAGCAGACAAACGTACGGTTGCGGAGCATAAACATGGCGAGAGTAACTCAGGTGAAGGACAAGGTGGAAGCCTGACCACCTGTTTAAGGACAAGGAACCGCGCATGTGGGTTTCCCCAAGATGAAGGCTCCAAGACTCTAGAGACAGCAATTGTTATGATGCGGGTGGCGTCTAAAATCCAATCAGGGTCCAGAGCAAACAGGCAGTCGCGCTAGGCAGCTGCCCCACATGCTTGTCTCTGGTCTCACTTGATTCAACTCGCACTCCATCACAGACATACACCTTTGCTTTGGAACCAATACACCGACTACTCCAAGACTTGTTTCTGGAGGCTAGAGAGAACCGTAGAGAAGGGTATCTGGAACCGACATCTGTCGTTGATCGCCAGAGCCATCTAAATTCAGCAGACCACACCTATTCGACGACAGGAAACACACAACAGTCCTCTATGTCCCATCCTCCCAACGCATGCTCGAAAAACGTAATTGATAATGAATAACTACGGACTACCCTCTATCCTCTATCCTCTTCCGTCAAGCACAATGTCAATTCTGGCACTTTTCCACCGGCAATGCCTTCTCAAACCCAATCATTTCTTCCCGACCCGTGTTTTACACTAACCTGCACGTTCAAAGGGTGAGCGCGCCCTCCACACGTTCAGCCCAAGTCTCTCAAAGGCTGCCTATGACTACCTCTCTCCAGTAATGCTTTTCCTTAAATTAATACAACGAATGATTGTCTTCACACCGTTCACATTCTGTATGCTTAAATGTTATGAGTCGTTTGCTCACAATCTACCTTCATGGATTCTCATAGATTGAAGAGCACTACACAAGCCGTGTCTAATATAATTCCCCCTAGTTGGAAGCTAGCAAGTAACAACGCCCGCTTTTCTGTCGTGTCGCTTCTCGCATCTTTCGCCATTCTCGAAAGACCAATTGCGGGTATCCCTATGTCAATTCCATAGCTGTCTTCTTAAAGATCTGCTTGCCGTGTTTCAACAGGAACGTCATTCGGACAATCATGTCGAAGCTTCAGGATTTCAAATTTCCGCTTTGAAACGCACAGACATCGTGTACATGTCTTTAGTGCCGTGCGTGGTTTTCTCTTGTCATGGAGATGTCGAGCGTGTTGATTTCGCTGGTAAAGCTAGACAGTTGGTGTATCGACCCGATTGACAAATTAATGCTGCGCAGCATGAAGCTCTACGCAAGACATTCCAAGACTTTACAATTGGTCCACAGACCTTGTCACGCGTTTAGTCTTTTGTCATGGTCGTCCCTGCTAAGACCATGCCGTACCGCCGATATTTGAATTGCGGAGATTCGGCAGCCGTTGACTCTGAAGGGGGCCACTCCGACCTTTAAAGCATCGAAGCGTGGTCGCTCAGCCACAATGCAGAAGCCACTCAATGACCGAATGAGGAAAGTGCAATGCACTCGATAGTGAATATCTGAATGTAATGTAAATGATGACTGCCTTTAATCAGCTCATCAGAGCTCAATTGCGTCAGGTTCCCGTTTCAAAAGGGGCGCATGAAGCCGCACAAAATACCCTCCAATTTCTTCTTTCGACCACACTTCCGCAACTCCTCAAACGTATCTGCAATCACCAGCATTCTGAATCGAAATCGAACCCCATCTCGACTCGATCTGCCAGTAACCTAAAAATGACGACAATACCACCACTAAGACGCCACGTCTCCCAATACCTGCACCGCCATCACAGCAACCGCATGAAACGAGTCGACAGCGCCCAAGACATCAACGCGCCGAAAATCTTCGAAGGAACAGACGCCGTATCCTCTCGTCGGAGAGTCGCGCTCCAGCGCGTCATCGAAGCCCATGATGCCCTAGGACTCTCAAACCACAATGACTTTCGCCCTACACCGCCATCCAGCGACGTCTTTAACCTCTCCTCCACCATCTTGAACCTCCCCAACGGCGAACTCCGCGCTTTTACTTACCTCCTGCGTCTCTGGGATCCTCGCACACCCTCAGACCCAGACTTCGACGCCGCCGTCGCCCCCTCGCGGCTGCAATGTGAAGAAGCGCTCACGAAACATTTTTTTCGACGGATAGCGATGTGGAACGCGAGTGAGGAGGTGTTGATGGCGGCGAAACAGGATATGGCGAAGAGATTCAAGAGGAATGAGAGTGAGGAGAAGAACGGGCTATGGAAACTTTGGTCAAAGGAGAAAGAGAGGCATGATAATACGTGTAGAGACGCGCTGAAGGAGGTTACGACACGGGAAGGTCTGGCGCAGTTGTTGTGGACGTTGCTTCATGATGCGGGGAGGCCGTTGGCGCCAGGACTGGGGAGGGAATGTAAGGAGGCTGTTAAGAAAATGTATGGGATTGCGACTTGAGTGATTGGAAAGTTTTGTGATGTTTCTTTGACTGTTCGCTTTAGCGCGTTTTTGCAGCATGAACGGATAGGCAGTCGGTCATCTCAGTCATAAGGTGAATGGAAGAAACCGCTGAAACCATCCAAGCTGCATTGACGTCGATCTCGAAAATCACTCCTTCTGTTGTAAGGGTTTTGTCAAGTCGCTCCTGCCATTTCCTAGATGCTGAATAAGCAGGACTTGCCAGAATGTGATGTCACGATGGATCACCCATATCCGATCGGAACTGTCCCTCGTCGCGTTGCGCAGATGGACTCTGCCAAACACCAAACCTGCCGAACAAGATGCCGCTCCTTCAAATTGGTTACAAGAAGATCCACTGCACTGATCTGAAGCCGGAGAAAGATGTGCGCGAAACGTTCATCTTCATGCACGGCCTGGGGTCATCGCAGCAATATTACCATGCCGTCGCACAGGGACTAGTAGTCCATGGCTTTCGATGCATTCTCTTCGACAATACCGGCGCTGGAAGATCCCCGTATACGTACGTTGAACAGAGCATAGAGACTCTTGGAGACGATGTTGTCGGCGTCCTGGATGCGCTGGGCGTATCGAAGGCTATCGTCGTGGGACATAGTATGGGAGGGTAGGCTCACCTGCAGTACGCCGAATGCCTGGCCACAACGCTGATCTTGTCATGCAGTATCGTGGGCGCACACCTCGCCGCTGAGCGGAGCGACCGGTTCGTCGCAGCCATCCTTATCGGTCCCGTGTACCCCAACGATAACGCTGTTCCGATATTCGAGAAGCGCATAGAGACGGTGCAGAAGGAAGGCATGCAGGTCATGGCGGACACGGTTCCGTATGCTGCAGTAGGCAAGAACGCTTCGCCTCTTGCCAAAGCCTTTATCCGTGAGCTGCTCCTGGGACAGGATCCTGCTGGATACTGCTCCAACTGCCGAGTCATCGTCAACGCCAAACCGCCCAACTACGGCAAGATCAACATCCCAATCCTCATACTAGCTGGCGAAGAGGACAAGAGTGCGCCGCTCGAAGGTTGTGAGAAGATGTTTGGCGAGATGGGGACGAGCGAGAAGAAGCTGGAGATAATGCAGGGCGTTGGCCACTGGCACTGCCTCGAAGCATTTTCTGAAGTCACTGACTTGATACTGGCATTTTACCACGAGATACAATGAGGTTCAGGCGCTGCCTCGGGTGACTTGAGCGTGTCGGAAATAACAACTCATGCAACCCAGACCCAGAACTATCGAATAGCCAGCGATGCTCACCCCAAAGCTGCACATGCGGACTTGTCGCCGGCCACGCGGGCGCGAAGTGGTGTCGTGCCCCTCGTGACACAATCATTGGCTACATCAGAAGCCTTGGCGCATGAAGGCGCATGAAGGCGTCTGCACTGAGGGGTCTGCAGAGGGTCTACAGTGGGCAAACGATAAGCAGTAACGCAAGGGCCCGTAGAACTCGATTGCTCCAGCCTTTCACAGCCCCGCTTCTTGCTGGGGAGGATGCAGCCAGGGAGACCCCAAGGGTCTTCATCCTGGTGGTTTTCCGAACGCATGTCTTAGTTGCCCCCAAGATGTCGTTTGTGGCGGTTCACTCGAGATTGCCAGATTCTCGAGGCCTGTCATGTCCTGCTGGCGCTTGTCTAATTCAAGTCTGGTGACCAGGGCCGATGTCGCTATAGCCGCACTTGATTCGCCCCTTCATACTGTCCGTGCAGCGGTACATTTGAAGCGAGAACGAGGCTGTCATGCGGTTCGTTGAGTGTCCCGGGATGCATCGCGCCATCGTCCACTCCTGAGTGTGTCACAGGTTCAGTGAAATGGTTATCATCACTACCGCATAAACTGGATAAATTGCGCGCGACTAGGCTCAATTAGGCAGGATACCAAGCTCTAATTAGATAAAACAAATATAATCCTAAGTTAAACATAATATTGCTTAGCATCCCTTTCTAACCTAAAAACGCTGCAGAAGTGCTCCTATTATATTAATTTATTAGCTAGCTATATCTAAAATGCCTCTAAAGGGTAGAGAAGTTCTTAAATTTAGTATCTATCCTAATCTAGCTTATATAAGATAAAATAAGAGCTACTACTAGGCCCTAATACTACCGCTGCTGCCTCTACGTATAATACTACCTCTAACAGCTTAGCAATCTTATACTAATAGAGAAGCTATATACTAAGAAAACAGTAGCAGTAGTTTACTATTAATATCTAAACTTAAGTTACAAGGTTAGCGCTATATTAGGAGCCTTAAGTTAACTATATTATCTATAGTCTTACTAGCTAGCGTTCTATAAGGATAGCAGTAATTATTTAACCTATAGAATAATTAATACTTTATTACCTTAAAGGAGCTTTTTACTAGTAAGCCCCTAAGTAAACTACCTAAATTAATAAAGTATAAGTTTAGAATAGAGCTAGATTTAAATATAAAGTTTATACTAAAGTAAAGGAGAACTAGGCTGTAAATAAAGCTACTAGCTAAAAGAAGTAATTAGTATATAATACTCTTAAAAGCTTATAAAACAGCTCTCTAGGAGAAGAAGCTTAATATCTATAATTTAATTAACAATTATACTAATTAGGTTATAAACTACTCTAGTAAGCTAAGAGTATATTAGGGGTATATAATAGAGGGCAATTACTAACTCCTAAATAATAAGGAAATTAAGGTCCTTATAGGTATCCTATATTAGATAATTAGTAGATAGTAGTAGTAATAAGCTACTGTTATTAACGCTCTAAAAAACAGCTATTAGATACTAGTTTTAAATAATAAGAATATTTATTAGCTAGCCCTAGAAAAGGTATTATATTAGCGTTTTATTTAATAACGTTTATAGAACTAGCTTATTTCTAGTAGGTAGCTCTAGCGTACAGCTTAATAATTATTCTAAGAGGTATATAATATTAAGCTTAAGTTTTTATTTACTATTAGGTAGTTTATAGGCTTCTAAAAATAATAGAGTATCTCTTATAAGAGGCTTACTAATTAAGCTTAAAAGCTCCTAGCTAATTAGGTAGGTATTATTAATTTATTTCTAAGGTTTATCTAATATTATTTATAGGTTAAAATAGGTAGTAATTAGTACCTAGTAGCGTATATTCTAAATATAGATAAGACGCTAATCCCCTTTAAGTATTTAAAAGGTTATACTTACACTTATACTAGAGATTATACAGTCTCTAGACGTAGTATTAAATTAGGCTAAGGTAAGCGCTAAGCTATATTAATATTATATATCTTTACTAATAGCTCTAAGCCTATAAAGCTAAAGATAATCTTCTATAGATTAGCTAAAGAAGACCTTAAAAGTTAAGAAGATTTTATATATAGTAATAATATAATAGTAGAGTTTAATAACAAGGCTTATAATAATAAGAAGAGTCTTCTAAGCTAGTTAAAGGAGAAGTTTATACCTCTTTAGTCTACTAATAGGTATAATTTCCTACTTATATTAAACTAGGCTAGCTTTTATTAAACTAATAAGGTACTTAACTTACTCTATAAAAACTATACTTTACTTACTATTATTCCCTCTAGCTATATATCTCTTATTTAGCTACTTAATACTATAGTTAATTAAGCCTTTAAGGTAGTACTATAGTACTAAACTAAGTCTCTTACTACTATTAAGGAGAGCCTTAGTAAGATAAAGTTAATTAAGGACTAGCCTCCTTAGTAGTAATAGAGGCTTACTACCTATACTATTAGTAAAGCTTAGAAGGCTCTAAAGCCTAAGCTTATAGTATAATTATTCTAATAATATAGAATCTTATTACTTATTAACAGCTTATATAATAGTAAGCTTAAAATTAAGAATCTTAAGCAGGTAAGCTTTAATAGCTAGTAGACTAAGATAAATAATTACTTAGTAAAGCTTATAGTATTAAAGGCCTTATAGGCAGTAGCTAAATAGGATATAAATAATATAAAAAGTAAGTTTATATTAAATAAGAAGGTTAAGCAAGAGTTTTTAAAAGGTAAGGGTAGTTAGTATATACCTTATAAGTTAAGTTTATAGAGTACTAATAAGGTAGCCTAGCCTAAAAGAAAGCCTATAATAAGAAGGCCTTAATACCTAATAAACTAGGTAGTATAGACAGTAGTAAACTTATAAGAAAACCTTAAATAGTATAGCTTAAAAGGCCTACTAATATAGAAGGCTAAGCTTATTAAGCTACTAGAGTTATATAATACTAAAGAGTAAGCTTAGTAAGGTAGGTAAGGTAAAGTAAGGCTTAGAGCTAGTTAGACTTATAAAGTTACTATAAGGTTTTAAAGCTTTTAACTACGTAAAAATCTAGCTAAATTAATATAAATTTATACTACTCTAAAGTAATTTACTAGAGGTATAGGCTTTACTAACTTATCTTACTACTATATAAATAATAGCTCTAAGTTTAAGTTTATATAAGCTAAGTTTAGGTATAAGGCTAGGCATTAATTAGTATTATAGATAGTATTAAGATAGCTATTTAAAATTATTAAACTCTAAGTCTAATACTAAGGCTTATAATAGAACTTTAAAAGTACTTAGTCTTATATTTAAGCTCCTAAAGCTCTATATCCTAATTAAAAAGGTAGTTAACTTAATAATAATTTTTTTACTATAAGTTTATAATAGTTTACAGCTTACCTAAAAGCCTTAGCTATAATAAGAATAGTAGTAGAGCGTAGTATTATAATAAAGATAGACAGGATAAACTTAAGAGTATAACTACTAAGTAAGCTATTAGCTTAGCTTATAGAATATTATAGAATACTTAATAGAATAGTAGAGTTTAATACCTAGATAGGTAGCTAGTACTATAATTTAAGCTATCTTAACTTCTTTAAATCCTGCTTAAAAACACCTATAATATTACTAAAACTACAGCTATATACGTAGGAGCTTACAAATAATACAGTATTATTAAGTAGCATTTAAACAGTACTAAATTTAGCCTATACACATATATAGTTATGCAATAATAGCTTAACGTTGTTTAGTAGCTTAGGTTCTATTATCTGATTAGAGCTTGGTATCCTGCCTAATCAAGCCTAGTCGCGCGCAATTTATCCAGTTTATGCGGTACGTGTAGTCTCAGGATAAGGGAGGGTATCACCCCTCACATGTGAAGATTGTCGACATCATACTCCAGCGTGTTTGCCTCGCGTGCGACCAGAAGTTCAGCATATGTAGGGCACTTGTCAAGCCTCATCCAACAGCAACTAGTTGTTTGGCCTCCAATTTTATTTGATAAATACGCTATTCTAGTGCCCCAACCCCAGAAGACCATTTTGAGGCGGTGAACTCGACATTCAAAAGCAGCCCACGCGCCCGGCCGTTCGACTTGTTAAGATCGCGTATATCTTGCGCAACTTCTGCACGTTGGCGACATCTGGACCAACCAACGGCTAGATCGACGTTTTTGATTGCTTGATCGTACTGATCTTCTTGCATTAGGGCGCGTCTATATTTGCCGGTGGTGTCCGCTGGTTCCATTTGCTGCGGGTCTTGCCTTGCTCTATTTGGCTCAACCTTTTCTTCCTGGACCTCGAGTATTTTTCGAAATTACATCTGCCACTTCGCACTTCGCATTCCTCGTTTTCCGGAAAGTTTATATACTCGGTTCAGCACTGGCTGCTGGTGAGGATCCCCTGTTGCGGTACTCTTTCCTAATCGGACACGCACTGATGAATGTCCAGACAGTGCTCAAATAGCCAATTCAAACAACTCAACATAATTTACAAACTTCGTTCCACATCACAGCCTGCCACTGCCACCACTCTTTCATGCATTCATAATGAACCGAACCGACAGCGGACACATGGAGTCCTACCAAAAACAATCCTCAAATGAAGAACGACCATCTATAAACAGGAGCAACACCGCGCCCACTCGTAGTCGCAAAACCAAGAAGACTCCAGCAGACTCCATCTCAACTTCGCGAACTCAGGCTGCAGACCAGAAACGTCCAGAATCAGAGAAACGACCAGGACCGTCGCGCCGGACATCGAATACTCCATCATCCGAAAACTCGCTCTCGAGATCGAAAGGCCAGGGCCATGGCTCGAAACCCTCTTCTCGCCGTACTTCGTGTACCATCGTAGATCCATCGAGGCCTGCACGCCATTACAGGATCGCGAGCTCGCAAGCAGTAGCTACCGCGACCAGCCAGGACATCGACGACCCGCTCGCGCTTCACTTCCGCAGCTGTAGCCTGTTTTCCAATCCGTCGTATCGCACATATTCTGGACTACCAAGCCCAGAGATCTCTCAAACCGACAACCCTACTTTCCCATCTGCCGTGCCGCGTTTCAGCTCCGACAGCATGACCGTGATCAAGGAGAACATTGCGCCGAAACAGACCGAAGAAATCATTCCAGTCATCGCAAGCCCAGACACCACAATGAACTGGTTATCACCTTGTACAAGACAGCGCGAGTACAAAAGAATCGACAAGGCAAACACCGGCTTCCGAGGCTTAATACGAAGAGTGGTCCCGAGATGCGTTTCCAGTCCACCAGAGAGGTTCTACGAGAAAGATCAATCAGACATCGGATCCGTTCGACGATACAGGATGGACGACCCAGACGACGACGTGAATGAAAAAGACACCGTCCTACTGGGATCTGACAATATGGAGAGGCCCGCCACAGCACGCAGTTCAGCGAAGAAGTGGACGTGTTTTTGAAATCTAGCACTTTGGAGACGAAGTTACGGCAGCTTTTGGATTTTGCATACTTGCGCGACATCGCGAAGGCGTTTTACCACTATACCCATTATTTGCGCGTGTTGTTCGGGTTTACACACGCCTTTTAGAACTTGGAGTTGTTTTGCTTTGGTTGTTAGTATATGTTTACAGCCTGATTAATTAATCAGAAAGAGAGGACGGCGTATTTGAGAGCTTGGAATGCTCGGAGAAGACCATTTAGGAGTCGCATCTAAAGTAATTGATTATTATCGCATTTTCGTTATGCGATTGTTGCATCCAAGAATTGTTCCCTCTGCCGTACTCACAGTTTAAGCATCGCGCATTCCTACCAAAGAGGTTTAGCCATGTCTACAGCCTCATCAGATCATGCGCAGCGTTGTAATCTCTATGCACTGCTTTGATAATGCAAGCATTCATGTTCCCATGCCGACAGACGAATTCGCTTTACGTTACATTGTAAAGATTGCATCGATGGTATTATTCGTATCTACAACTTCGCCTCCTCCTTGACCTCCCCAATCTTAAACTTGGGCCCCCACTTCTTCATGACGTTCTCGCTGTGGTACTGCAGAAACGTTAGCAATCATGCCCTCTCATCAACCGCTCCCGTTGTCCCATCTCGACACCACCGCTCTGCGCCGCCGCTTTCCGCCGCTGATCTCCACGACCGCCTCACTACAAGGCACTCGCACCCTTACTCTTCCTGCGCAAAGTGTAGAGCCTCGGTGCGCTCGTTGTAAACGTACCTTCCAAAACTGCTTGCTGGCGTCCTTGCCTCCTACTCTCTTCAGGATTTTCGCACCGCCCGGGTGCTCGTCCACAAAGGTGTCCAGCTTATACACGCTGCCGTCGACTATTATGTACAGGCCGTTTTCGACCGAGGCGTGCTCGGCGACTTGCTTGGTTGTGAGGGATTCGGACATGGCTGCGGTATAGGGCGCGGGTATCGAGAGGGGGCGGGTGTGCTTTGTTCGGGAGCGCGATGGTATGGTTTCAGGAGAGTGATGGAGAGGAGGAGGCGGTTTAAGAGGATATATGGGGGTTGGAGAGCGGTATGGAGAAGAAGTCTGGGGTATTACAGGCTCGATTCGTGAGATGGCGTTTGAGCCGAGGTTCGTGACTTGGAGTGGGCCCAGGGTTCTCCTCATGTAACGCCGCGGTGTTGATTGGTGGCTGGGGTTTGGACCACGTGCCTTGGAACTTTCACGGTTCCAAGGGTTTTGTGAGGGGTTATTTCCGACTTATTCAAGTGCGGTTGTCGAAGATGGGAAGACCGGGTAGCTAGGTATGCAGCTACCCGTAATTCTTCTTTACCAGTTCGACTCGGCGACGCGTATATCATTGAGAGCGATGGTTCGGTCGACCATGCTCAAGTCCACTCACTTTGGAGAATCGTATAGTATACATGGAATAGCATAATCTCGAACAGTGTTACGCGAACGCTTTCCTTGGTCGTCAACTCCACCACGACCATTATCCACGAAAATTGGTTCCCAACTGAATCTCATCAGTCGGCGATAGGTTACCCAAGATGAGGCACGTTATCAATCGTCATGATATTGTGGTTGAGATCGATTTTGTGGTAATTCGGGTGGTTTGTAAATCTCCTCTACTCTAGATTTCCCTTCGATTCTTCTCCTCCTTGAACATTTATTGTCTTCGTTCTTCTTTCATTCCTTCTCTTCCTGTGTTGCTATATGGGATCTTGGTATGCGCCAAGGCTTCTAAGATAGATTGAACACATTTTTAGGAGTATGTATCTCAGTATTGATGCAATACCTAGGTAGAACTGACACTCATTAGTCCTTCTCTCCGTCCCTAGTCCAATCTCTGGAACAGCATGGGCTTGCTTCAACTTATAAGCAGAATGTTATTTCGACGGCAAAGCACTACCCAACAGGAGGCAGTACCTCCATCAGGTCGGATTGCATTCGATCTGATTAATTACGACATTCTCGACGTTGTGATGCATCACGTCTACCTTGATCATCGCTCAGACTTACTACAAATCTGTCAGGTATCCAAGCGTTTGTACATGGCCAGCATTCCCTGGATTTACAGAAACATTCACATCGATATCTCCGATGAATCTTCTCCAGCTTTTCTGGCACGTATCGCAAAGGATAGTTCTGGAATTGCTACGTTTGTGCAGACGTTGGAGTTGAAGGGGTGCGCCGATGCACCCCCAAATGCTTGGGCTCCATTACCAAAGTACGTACGCCAGCTGACGGGTCTTCGGAAGTTTATTTGGAATGGTTTTGCAAATATACCTCAACCTTTACTGGATGCCCTGCTTCTCTATCCGAGAGTCACACTTGAGATCAGGGGGGCTCAGATCTATTACAAACGAATCGGAGATGAGTTCGCACCCTCGATAAACATCTTCAACGGTCTGGCCCTATTACAGCTCACACACTTCGTATTCCGACCTCCAACCGTGGATCACCTGTTCAGAAACTTCAAGAGGGATCTTTTGTATCTTCTCGCGAAGGCTCCGGCATTGAGGGAATTGGAAATCTACCGTGGACCAATTGAGGAAGGGTTCCGAGTGTTCCCTCAAATGCTAAATCATGTTGCCTTCAAAAGGAACCTACTTCCACAACTGCATGCGCTGAGGCTGCTCACTTGGAGTATTATTTTCACTGATGCAGAACTTACCGCATGGGGTAACATGGGTGGTTGGACGAACCTGAGACGCCTTGTTTGCCCCCATCCTTCCAACCTCTTGAGCTTCCTATACAAGAGCCCAGTCTTGAGTCATCTAGACCTCCTCATGTACACAAGCGAGAGTATGAAAGAACTTGAAGAACGCCTCGAAGAATGCAGCGGTAATCCGTTCGGACCGATTCAGATCATGAGATATCTACACCTTCTCACGACCGAAAGCACACCAGAAGAACTGGAGCATGTCATACCTTGGTGCGTCATCCGGAAGATTGCAGACACCCTCGTTCACTTTGAATGTGGTGACACATCCCTACGGACCTTAGCACCACGTCCCGCAGCACCAACAAAAAACGATCTCTCGAGGCTGAGGTCGATGTGCCCAGATCTGAAGGATCTTTCTCTAGACCTTATCGTCGATGGTCCCAGCTGGCCGCATGATCTTCTCGCCGAGCTCTGTCAATTTCGTCAGCTAGCAAGATTAGCGCTATGGCTTCACGAGCCGTTACTCGACACACCTTTTCTCCAAGGTCTGACCATCACTATTCTTGGCATCCCTGAAAGTGCCGGTCTGTTCGATTCTCTGACACCTCCAATATCACCTATCCTTGCCACGAAAGAGAACTACAACCATGTTGTCGGAGTAATGATAGCTACACGTCGAGCCTACGGTTTGCCAGTCACTCAAAGGTTCCGAGCTTCTTTCAAGCGAGTCCGCGAACTCTATGAACGCGAACCTGCGGAACACTGGCCTATTCCGGACTACGTGTACGATACCGGTTTGACGGGTCAGGTTACCATCAACGCGCTCTACATTCGGTATCAAAAGGACTATGCAGAGAGACGCGCCCGCGAGCTGTATACTCGCATGACATGTGATGAGCTCATAGACCTGCTGAAGATAGTGAATCAGTCGATACTAGTGACCCGTGTGTCGAGCCCATTGACATTGGACGAGGACAGAATCCTTATATTGGACGAGATCCTACGCAGAGGCAAGAGGCTTCGAGGTATCACGTACAACACCTTGTATGATCGGTTGATAGATGAGTAGGTTAGCCAGACATTGAGGGACGAGCTTTGGGGATGGGGGGAGAAACTTGTCCCAGAGCTCGACGCGAAGCTCATTCGCTACAGAAATCCGCCCAAACCATCTATGAGATATACGAGTTTTATTCGGGACTATCGGTAGTATGTAGAAGTTTCACATGGGAGGCATGGATCTTGGGGGAGGGCAGCGGGGAACACAGTTCTACAATTTGGGTAATATGCGAAAAAGTGCTATTGGTGGAGTTCCAGAAAGGGTATTAACGGGTCGGGTTTCCATTGGAGTTTAGATTTTCGTCAATTTTCTGGTTCTGAGGGGCGATATGATGATATCTTACATCAGCGCATCCAAGCATTGGGTGGGCCAAATAATTATTACCATCGATTCTCGTCGATTTCTGGTTCAGAACTTGTGGGACCAATGGATGAAATTCGAGTAGTCAGCTGGTGCGCGAGCCCGAGTGAAAATCGGCACCGACCAGTGCAAGTCTGCGCATTGGCATTCACTGTTCGAGTGAGTGAGTGGTTTCCCACAGTGTACTATATGTTGGTTCATATCCCTCAGCTGTGCTCAAGACCCTTCTCCCCTCCACCTTATCACAATATAATATTCAACTCCCGAAATATTCGATCGCAAAATTAACTCGCCATGCACTGGAAGAGATCTAAGAAGCGCATTGTTCCGGCAGAAGCTACGTCCTTCGATGATCTGAACGAAGACGTGTTGCAGGTCGTCCTCGAGGAAGTGCGCCGTAACAATAGCAAGGACTTGTTCAATGTCTGCCTGGTTTCGCATAGACTCTACTTGTTGGCAGCCCGACATCTTTATCGCGCCGTTGAGTTCGATTTCTCAAGAATGTCACATCGCCGCCTATTCTATCGACTCGTTCATTCTGGCACACACCATCCGCAGATGATTCGCGAGATCACCATCACTAACGCCACACCCGAATATCGACAGTATCTCAACGGAGTTTCCATGCTCTTCTCGAAACTCACCAGTCTCTCACAACTGAACTGGAATGGGTCGCTGAACGTCCCAGATATCCTTCTGGAGACGCTCAGCGGCCAGTTTCCTAAGGCTGCCCTTACTATTCGTGTCCGACAACCCGACATCCACGGAGCAGCAGGTTTGGAACAACCTCTCCGCTTTATTGGAAACTTTCTTGCCGGTTCACAGTTGACCGTTCTCCATCTCTGTCAAGCGACCGGCAACCGGCTTTATAGCGATTTCAAGACAGACCTGATGGCAATGTTGACGCGCAATCGTGTCTTGCGAAAACTATACATTCATTCCGAACTGGATCGTATCCAGGAGTTTCCAGAGATGCTAGACTGCTTCCGAGGCAAAGAACTGCCTAAGCTCCAAGGCCTCTGGATCTATCTCAAGAACAGGCAACTTTTCACCAAACACGAGCTGTTTCTGTGGGGTGCACAAGGAGGATGGGAAGACCTGACATATTTGTATCTGTTTCATTCTCATCATATGCTCGCCTTTCTCGGACAGGCCCCTCGGTTGACCAACCTATCTCTTTCTCCACGACAACAGGCCAACATCGCTCAACTCGAAACGTTCTTAGACGACAACGACTACAACCCTCTGTTTGACTGCCTTAAGAGTCTGACCTTTAGAGGTAGCACCTTCTCGAACAATCTGGCTCGCCGCCACCTAGTACCCTGGTGCATGCTCGAACGGTTACCCAAGCTCATGAAGCTAGAAATCCACCGCATGAGCTTTGTATCCGGCAGTCCAGGTCCGCTCCTACAAACTCCGGATGTACAGGATGTGATCGAGATCCGGAGGCTCTGCCCAGAACTTACATCCCTATCAATGGACCTCACACTCCAGAACAGATCTGCAGACTGGCCATATGATATTCTGCTCGAGGTAACCCGTTTCGAGAAACTTACCCACGTCGTGTTTTATCTGCACATACTGGACTCCAAGATCGCCAGAGCGTCGGTCAATGAGTTCACATGTTTCAGCGCACTCACACAAATGATTGATGAGATGAAGCTGATGGATTCTCCTAGCCCATTAGCCTTGACTGTTGGCTTCAAGGTCGTCAGGCCGTGGAACATTATGGAATCTAACTGGAACATTCCAGATTATAGGTTCACAATTCGCCGACGAGGCGATTGGAGATCGATCTTGGTCCATAATCAGGCGGGTCAGAAGAAGAACCCCGATTGTCTCGATAAGATAACTACGGATGAATTGGTAGCCAGGAGAAAGATACAGTTTTCCCGATGGTTTGGCGTCGATAGCAAGGGGTATCAGAAGGAGATTCAACGTCGCTATCGAGACGATAGACCGGAGACATAGATTGGGTTGGATAAGTTTGCATGTTCTTTAGAAACAAAACGATATTCAGCGACTGCCTTGGGGTCACATGGTCACGGATACAAAGAACCAGAAAATGTAGACGGGGGCAAGGAGACAAGTTTGATGGAATTGGAACAAGTTCAGTTTGCCAGATTGTAGCATACACATAGACATGAGACGTTAACTAGTAATGTCTTACTGAACTCGAATATGAAATGTTTGTATTGTTTGACGAGTTTCTCCCATGAATCAAAGAGATGTCTCTCGCACCTAACAATCACCCTTCAACAAACGGTCTTGTATCAAGCACATCGGTCTGTATAACCTCTTGTTACACGTTGTTCATCCAGAGAGTCCACATTCTCCAGCATCGTCATCGAGCAGTAAACCACCTCGGTCCAGCTCACACCGTCTATCACACTACGCAAGGCCTCAACCTACTCGACGTTTTTAGCACAAGTTCAACCCAAAGCCACCAAAAGTCCCATCCGATATGTGCTACATCCTCCTCTCCACCTGCAAATCCTGCGCCTGGACCCTCCGAATCCGCTACATGCGCTGCAGCCACGCTGCACTGCACAACTTGGACCCGTTGATATGTCCGAATCGAATGAAAAGGCGACGTCAAAGCGGTGCAACAATACTGTGTGGGAAGTGCGAGGTGAGGAGAGGGAGTTTGAGTTTGCTACCAGTGAAGAGGAGGGTCTCGGCGGTGACGGATAGTGGAAGGGAGGAAATGGGTGGTTCGGAGTCTGGAAGAGGTAGTGGCGACGAGTCTGAGAGGACTGGGAGGAGCAGAAAGAAGAAGTGCGAGAACTAGGATATTGCATAGGGGCGGGTTTGGAAGCTGATGGGTAAGGAGAGGGTTTTTGACGCCATACAATGATACAAAAGTCTCATTCGTTTCAGAAGATTGGTGATTATTTCTCAATACTATCATTCATAGGTAGGCGCACACCTGACTACAAGCACTTCTCCTTATCATCCGATCCGTTCTTTGCGGTCGATCTTGAACGAATCGATCTACAACCAAACATCCTCCCTGAACCGACAACCAGTGAAGACAACCCCTCCTCAGATCTTCCAATTGTCTCACCACTCTTCCTTCCATTGCCACACCCTCTCGCCCTCGACAGACTCAAGAACTCCCAACAACCCAAAAACACCCCCAAAACATGACAACCAAACTCCTTCTCTGTATCTTCCCCTTTTGCCTCTCCCTCGCACGCCTCCGCCGCCGTCCCAAGAATCCGAATCCGAACTCACAGCCCCCTTCCACGATTAACTACAAATCCTCCACGACTAGCCATTAGTCGCCCGTCCTCTAACATCTTCCACCCGCCCTCCCCATACTGTAGCACACTACGCAAGTTCATAGTCTGACACTATCTTTGCAACGCACTCTCGAGCTCACGGTACGAGGATTGAATTCTACAAGGTGTACGTGGGTGTACATGGCGAAGTGAAACACGTAACGCGGGCATTTACAGGCGTGAACAGTGTTGATATGTTTCGAACAGTGGTGGGATAAGGGTGTTGGAGGGCCTGTGTGGCAAGATTGGGATGTTAATAGCAGATGGGATTGTTAGGAGCGTCCAGGGAAGGAATAGTGGGTTGAAATAAAGCTGCAACCGAGGTTGAGGAGGGAAACGCAGTGAGTAGGTCGAATCCAAGGGACAAGTTTCAGTTCGAAAAGGTTCGCGTTATCATGTAATGGGAAATATCTAGTTCTGTTCGACCTTAATTACCAGCGACAACTGCCAACCCTTCATACAGCTTCTTCTTGACCTTGAAGAACGCTGTTGGGTCTGCAAAGCCATATGCACCACCGTCTATCTCGATCGTGCCTGTTGCATTATTCTTCTTCACCGCCACCGTGCCGTTGATGACTAACACACCCTCGCCTCTGAACTCTGCCTCCATGTTCTGAGCTTTCATAATCTTGCGCAGATCAGCGAGACGCACATCACCTACGTGGAAAGGCTGCGCGACGGAGCGTACGGCGGTGATGTTATTTGCCGGGACGACATCGAGGATGGGTGTCGTATCGTTTTTGTCGTGGGAAGATAACACAACGACAGTCTTGGCCATTTTGGCCTTCTTCTTTGCGGAGCCCTCGTCATCTTCAATAGGCTCTGGGTCTAGGCTTGCGGCTGCGAGGCGCCCGGTGATAGCGACAACATCCAAGCGACCGACGCGTTGCCAGTGAAGACTTCGCACCATATTGCGGCTCAGCTTGACCGACCAGGCGTTAGTGTCAACACTGGCATCAACCATTGTGCCGACTGTTGGTGTGAACACATCCACGATGTTGGCTGCTCCAGTGAAGCCTGCGTTGAGTATCTTTCGACACTCTTCCGCAAGGTCTATCGTTTCTGCTTCCTCTCCTGCCACGAAGATGAGCTTTCGAGGTTTTATGAGTGGAATGACCATCTGAAGAGTACGCCGGTCGTGCAAGCCTGAGAAGTCGACAAAGGCAATTCTGCACTTGAGTTCCAAACTTTCCGTCTCAACGATGACCTTGGATGGTCCATCCACTCTGTCTGAATCGTCATCTGGCTCGCTGTCCGAATCTGCACCGTCCTCGCCGTCTGCTTTACGGCGTTTTTGGTTGGCTTTTGGCTTGGAGCTGTCAAGCACGTTGATAAGGTCATCCCATTGCCTCTTCTGTCCTACAGCATTCTCCTTCTTGGTTCCATCTCCCTGAGGAGAATCGCCAGCAGCGTTGTCTTCTTCGTCCGCGCGAGCAAATTCTTTGGGTCTGATGATGTCACCAAACTCGTCTGCTCGTTTCCGCTCAGACTTGAAGGGGAACAGTCTGTCTATGCCCTTCTTTCCTTGTACTTCATAGTCAAAGACTCCACTAGGTTCAAGGAGAATCTTCACGCCCGGCCCTTGTTCTTGACGCTCTGCTCTCCGATCCGCATGCCGTTGTATGGCGGTTGAGTTCATAGCCTTGCCTTGAAAGCCGGATTCTGATTCTTCAGAGCTCTCTGAGTCAGTTGATGATAAGTTGTCTGCAACGTCATCGGAAGTCTCCTGAGCAGCAGTGACATCCCCACCCATCGTGTTCTGCAACTGACGTTGTGTGGCGAGGTATTGCTGGTAAAGAGGAATCTCGTCGTTTTCAAGTGCCACTGTTCGGACGGTACGTAGGGGCGCTTGATAACCAGAAGCATCTACCACGGTACTGGAAGGGTAGGTTCTTTCCGCCCATAGGTTCCAAAGAATCCTTCCAAGACCCTTCTCTTGTCCACTACACTCGCCGACTCTTTCAGTAAGGATGACAAGATTCTTCTCGTCTGACGCTAGACTCCGGATAGCATCCATAGAGAAGCCCCAGTCCAGTGATGCATCGCTTGCCAATATGACTCGTGGCTCGTTTGTTCCCAGCATTCGTGATACGCGAGACTTGCGTTCCAGCAACGTAATATGCCTGAAGTCGAAAGGGGCCGCGGGACCCATATCCATTCCCTTTCCACCTCGATTCCTTCCCTGGCCATCCATAGGTGCTCCGCCGGCTCCAGCCTCGAATTCCTTTGCGATACCCTCCTTCATCCATTCCAGCATGCTGCGTGCATACCGCATAGTCGCACCCCCCGTGGTACTTGCAAGATAGACCTTCGCACCCTTTAGTGGGCTATTGGTCTTGTGCGCCTCATTTTGCCAGGTCTCCTCAAGCAGATATGCCAGTTCTAGAATGCGAGCGCTAGAATCAGAAGGAATCAAAACGGATCCTCCCTTGGCTATTGTGTCTCGAATTCTTGAGAGAAGGGCCTCGTCCCGATCAGCGCCTTCCTGTGCGACTTTGACTAAGCCTGAACCTTTACTACTGCATATCATAGCGGTAGGACGGCGCAGCTGTTCCAGAACGCCCGAGCCGCCAGCGCCAGATCCGAGCCAGGCGGCTCCCGAGAGCACGTGTTCAGTAGACTGGTTCCATTCCACTGCGTAGATGACCGACTCGACGCCAGATTCTATGTGCCATATTGTGCCTCCTAGTGTGTGTCCAGCGCCGTACGCAGTGATTTGTATCTCGCCGAATTGAGCTGACGAAGGCGAGGCGAGGGGCTCATGTGGCTGCGAGTATTTGACAGGATTTATGAGGCCGAAATAGCTTGCGATTTCGTCAGACGTGGGCGTCTGGCGGAGTATGTTGAGCTTCTTTCCATCTCTGAGCGCGGTGGGGAACGAGTAGGCTGACTCGGTGAGAGCTTCGGTGGGTATGATGGACGACGCCAGAGGCGTGGACGCGTAGAGGTCCTGTAGAAGCGTACGGCCGAGTGATATCACCGGTACAGTCGCGTAGACTGGTATGCGTGTGAACAAAGGAAAGTTCTTGCAGCAGTGCACGTATGCTCCAAGATGCGCCGTGGTCGCGTGAGTGAGGAGAACGAACGAGAGTGTAGGTACATGTCTGGAACGACCAAAATCAGCTTGTTTGCTACATATGCTCAAGTCTATATAGCATTGGCTCTGAGCCAGACAGCTTGAGAGCATGCAACTTGACTTTACGCGCAAGCCCAAACCTACCTCTCAATCTCTTTCAGCTGTGCTACATCGAAACTCTCGTCCCAACCAACGTCAATAAGCACTTTGATTCCTCCATCAAACTCCAGTAAGGATGCCGACGCTGATTGCGCCGATTGGGCCCCAAGAAGGGGTGTGAAATTGAACATATCTGCAGCGTTCAGTCGTATGAGGTTGCGCGAAGACACTTATGGATAAGCATGGCGACAAGTCGCCTGTTGGTGGTCCTTCAGGGCTGCTCAAAGGGTGCTGGACGTGGACAAACGCGTCGAAGCTGCACGAGCACGTGACGGTAGTCCGAGCTGTTACGGAAAAGCTGTTTCTCCGAGTCTAACGGTATGGGGAACGCTGACCTAATACTTCCGATGACGGCAAAAAGTCGGAACTTGGATGTGTTCAACCGCCCACACAGATGCACCATCTCGCCAACAGCCCTGGTCCCAGTCTTACACGTGATCTGGTACGAGTAATGTCCAGCATGGGCGGGATTTCGGAACGACTTCTACAAGCACCTAGCTCTCTACCACGCCGCAAATACGCAGATATTGAACTTGCTAGCTGCAAATCATCCTGGCCATTCTACAAACACGGAGTGTCGCAAGGACGACAAAAGAGTCTCTCCTTCGGCTGGATAGTAGATGCTCTGATCTGGCCAGGTTTGAAGACGCTGTGGGCTGCTTCGACAGTTGATCCTCGCCTGTTAGCTTGGAAGAAGATCGGCAGGTAGCTCGAGCAGCTCTATTATTGAGGGCTCAACAATCGATGCATGCAGCCACCTGCAGTGTCGACTGCTGTTGGCAAATGAGACGGCGCAAAGGCTCCAAGCAAGCACGCGCCAGGTCATGTCGCTAAAATATGCAAGTCACACTTCGCGCGTCTCCACTTTCGGTGGGATTTGACTTCCGCCGTTTTGTTCATACGACAATAACGGGCTAATGTAGGTCATTCACTTTACCCGCTTCTGTCAGTAGTCTGCAGGCACATCCACCCCAAGCATCAACAACACTTGGTTTGCAGAATAACAAGATCTGTTTATTGAAAACAGCATGAATCATGATAATCGTCATCTGGTGGGCCGTTGTCCCATGATAGATCGTTTGCCAGTCCGAAACCGCATCATTCGTGATAGCGCAGGGATCTAGCTCCACATCACAGAGAGGGGATCCAAAGATGAGCCGTTCACCCGCCGAATCATGGTGATTTACTGAATGTTATCGTCTCATTCACGATCAGCCGGTGGCGGATTCGATATGGTTTCAATGGTAAAACGCTTTCCAGACAACTCGTATACAGACCTCGAATAGGGGGAAACTTGCACTGTGCACGTAAAAAAGCGTCAATCACAGAGTCCATGTGGAAAGCACGAGACAAAACCTTGTCTCCGCGTACTGAGTTTCTCGGTTCATGCCGAGAGTGTCGGGAGCGTGCTTCCTAACTCCATCAATCCGTCCCGCTCCGCCCGCAAACCAGAACCACAACACAAACACATGCTCCATGCAACGTAACATACGAAGACACCTCGGAAGAAGTAAGTTCCCCTCGCAAATCGGTTGTTGTTCATGTGGTTAAATGAGTGTTGCTCGGTAAAACCAGCCTTACATCTTGACAGAAACATGATTCTAATGTTGTTAAGGCTGCCAGGCGCAAACAAGCACCCTTCGATTTAAGGTAAATCATTTTGTAATTGGCTGCATTTGCTGACCTCTCGATCAAACTTCGACAGGCCGTTATCTCGCCGGACAGACCAGGGGTACGAATTGTGAAGATCTACGGGGCCTGCGACCCCTGTAAAGTGGCTTCCCCCGAAACGTTCGACACGGCTGGTATTCTATCTTCGTCATCTCTCATCTGTCGTGTTCGCTTAAGCTCACCTGTTCTTTGGGTGTTGCCACTCTGATAGGATCCGGAAGGCATGGGCATTGTCGTGAGGTCATACGTAATACAGACAAAATGCGTACTACACGCTGCTCGTGTTGTTCTGACTGTGTGACTGATCATCAACTAGGGACGCCTCAGAATCGGCGTTACGCACTAGTCATTGGTGTACGCGGCCTTGTGCTGATGGATTGTGTTGTGGTCGTCAACGAGATAGAACAGGCTCACCAGCATGGATTGACCTGGGCTGTCATTAACTGGCTGATCACAATACCCATCAGACTGCTGAGGACAACTACAGCTTTCGCGCTTTGTGTTGCTCTCACCGTTTATCTTGGGTCACCAGCTTCGATGCTCAGACATGCTTGCCAACGAGATCCCAGAAGCTGGGTGGATGGCAGGCTATGAGATGAAGCCGGTGCAAAGCGATTTATGCACAGCGGATAGCAGCCAAGGACTAGCAACGCCTCTCATCGTTCTTGAGAGTTTGCAGCTTCCGTAGCGTTCACGCTGGCACCCTTTTTTGAAGCCAACTGCCGCTCTCGATGCTTGGAAAGCTGCCGTCAACACAGTCCTTTGCGTGCTCAGTGCTTGACTGCAAGCTTCGGTCTGCTCCCTGCTTTAAGTAGACGGCGGCCCGGTGCGCTGGTCAAAGTGGGGAAGTATTTCTAGGGTCATCTTCCATAGGTGAAGTAAGGCGAATTGTTCGTCTTTGCAGCGACGCTACTCGAACTTACTATATCCTCTCGTCTCCATCCACATCATTACTGTACAACCTTGCCTCAACCGCAACCGGCTTACTTCTCCTGCACATCCGCACCAACCCTCTAATACCTAGACCCTAGTCATCCAAGTAGTATAACTTCCCCACTCGTTACAAGGGTAGGTTACCCTCGTACGTCTCTTCCCTCATCCGCACGGTCGCACCACTCAAATCTCCTGTCGCCGTCTGCTGCCAACCTCGACCACCCACGACACCCGCCTCTCGACTTCGGCCGATCAATTTCACTTCTGCTTTTGCCCGCCACTGTTCGCCCTAGCCAGCCGTTCATCGGGAAGTCGCAGCATAGGGGTTCGTTCCACCAACCTTGATTGGTTGCTGCCGTTGCGCAACTCGCTAAGCCATATTCCCCGCTCTCACGCAACATACCGCGCGATCTCGAGACATCAGAAGTACACGACGTGGGTCTTCATCCGATAGTATACCTATTTCTGACGACAGGGCCGGCAAGCTCGTTCCACAATCTGCCCCTTCGTGTCTTGCAGCGAACAATTATCGCACAAGACGATAGCTATCACCACTGGACGCAGCTCAGACTTTATTCAAACAGTCCAGTTGTAGTTTTTATCCTGTTTGCACCGTTCAATGTCTAGGTCTTGATACCTGCAACCGCCGAGGTTTCTCATCAACAATCCGAATGAACTCAAGCACTTCATTCGGCTATTCGCCGCCAGGAGGGCGCGCTCGTTTGAGCACCAGCTCTTCTCCACAACCGTCAATGTCATCCGCCAGCGACTCTCCCAACACTACACCTATATTCGACTCGAACATCTTCTCCAACTCAGACACACGATCAGAGTCACAATACGAGTCTCGACTAGGCTCCAGCGAAGTCATACCAAAGGTTGAAGAAGCAGAACTCGAACTAGCAGATGTCAAAGAGGAGCCACTCGACGATGAATCTCCCATATCCCCAACAGAGCCTGTTCGGATAAGACGCGCCCGTGGTCGGCCAAGGATACATCCTCCTCGATCCCCTACAACCCTCACAAAGCAGGCAAAGGCGCGGTCGAAGACAGGTTGCACAACATGTCGCAAACGGAAAAAGAAGTGCGACGAAACAAAACCATTCTGTATTTGCACCTGCAATCTCACTTGTTGTACATAGCTGACGTATTCCAGGTCTTTCGTGTCAGAAGAACAACATCCACTGTGAGGGATACAAACCTGTCGAGATCTGGAAGAGCGGAAGAGAACGAGCAGCAGAAGGTTGGCGTTCCCTGCATCAACCTATGCCCCACGCTCACACAGCACAGCTCGGAAACGCAGCTCAGAGGTCAGATTCGACCTACCTCCTCTTATGGAAGGGGTCGAAAGCGATCTTGACCGTAACCTCTTACAGCACTTCGTCAGCAGGGCCAGTGCTGTTCTCAGCTTACACGGAGACCGAGTGACGAATCCTTTCACCCGGATACTTTTACCGATGGCTCTGCAGCACCAAGGCTTGATGCATTCCGTGTTATGCCTCTCTGCTTCGCACATGTATTCCGTGACCCCATCACAAGAGTACGAAGATAGACAGGCCTTTCATCGAGGCAAAGCCTTGACATTACTCAAGCATGATCTCGAGCGACAGAAAGCTGGCGAAGGCGGTGTCATGGTGTACGAAGACTCTAATGTCGCCCAGATATTGCTTCATCTCCTCCACTCCATCTGCGACGGGAACACATCTGGCGAGTACAGGATGCACATGATCGCTGCGAAACAGATTGCCATGAACCAAAAATCCTCCAATCCGGAATTCCAGTCACTTTTCGACGAGTTTTTCTACTACCACTGGATCGCCAGCCAAATCACCTCCATGGATGGTACTGACGTGCCTATGATGGAGAATTTCAATCTTCCTTTTAAGATCAATCCAGAAACAGCTGGATTGATTGGTGTGTCAGATGGTCTCTTTGGATTCATTTCCAAGATTAGCAATCTACGACGACGACTGCGCGCACGCATAGACGAGAAGCTCGAGCCGAACATGGACTACGAGGCCCTTCTCGCCGCCCACGCCATCGATACTGGTTTACGCGGCTGGGTCTGTCCACAAGAGCGCGGCACACCCCGTTACACTATCTCCATGTTATACCGACAAGCAACCTGGGTGTATCTCTACCGTACAACAAAAGATTCCAAACCGCACCCCTATATTAAGAGCGCTGTGGACGATGGTATACGATACATTAACGAGCTCCCTGCAGAAGGGTGGATCCAGAGCAACGTACTCCTTCCCTTATTCCTGATTGGATGCGCGGCATTCGAAGAGGAGCAACGCATACAGATCAACCGCGCGTTCACAGGTCTGATAGCCTGCACCGGCCTCGGGAACATTGGCTTTGCAAAAGAAGTTGTTGACGATATCTGGAAGCTCATGGATGCCGGGGATGGAGAGAGCTGGGACTGGGAGAAGATCATCAACGCGAAAGGGTGGGACTTTCTCGCGACTTGACAAAAGCTGGGGTTGAGCAATGCGTACACGACGCCATTGTTGGCACAATCTCTCTACTTGATTTTTACGTTTGGCGTTTCATCGAAATTTTCCTGGTCTGTTTGCTATCATCGGCGGTTGCCTGACATGGGTGTAAAATGATGGGTATCTGCAGAGTGTTCTACGGAGACTGCATTGCATACGTGCATGCCTCTCTTCCGCACCAACAGACGGAACACTGGAGTACACTGGGTAGGCACAACTTTTCTCGCGGGCTCATAGGGTGGATTGACGGATTTCTCCTGCATCTACTTCGTTTTCACTCCACACGGTTTTCCCAGCAACAACATTCTCCTATCCCTGTATAGCGTTTCATTGGCGGTTGCCTCGATCTTACACATACACCATGCATTGGGCCAGGCAAATTTGTACACATGGCATAGCGACACTTGTGCATTGCATCATCGCATCGGAGATAAGGCTGGAGGATTTACTTGTTGACATTCATTCTCACGCGTTGGACACGTACGTACACATGCTTAGGTGGATAGTTCAGCTCTTGCGGCATGTATCAAACGATTCAGCATGCGCACTCCTTCGCGGGCGACGCTTCCGCTGCGTTCCAGAGTTTAAAGTTTGTGCAGGGGTGAAGCGATCGACTTCGGGTGACACTGACAAGTGGGGAGTGCAGAAGCACGGACGTGTAGCTTCACAAGTGGAGGCGGGGATGCAGGTTTATCCTCCAATCCTGAATCTCGATCGCGAGCTGTAGTTGGTCTGGAGCGCATTACATCGCTCGATTTCTCGACCCAAAAAAAGTACATGGGTTGAACCTGAAATATCGGGGCCGGATACCAACTACACGGCTATTGAGGTCTTTCTCCGACGCAAAGTGCCGTTGATCGATCGTCCCATGGTCCACGTCGTTCGTGGGGGATTCCAGGCAAAGCAAGACATTGGATGTTTCCCAAACGTTTATTTGGGGCTTCAAGCAAGTATCGCACCACTTCTCGCTGCACCGACTCTCTGGAAAGTCCGACAGAAAAATTGGCAAAGCCACGATGAGCCACAGCTTCTGTTGTGTGATTGGTTGCTTCTCGCAGATGTCTAATCAAAGTGGCTCTCCCACTTGGCCCACAACTCCATAAATTTGCCGGGTTGCCTATCTGCTCTCCACACCAACGGTAACTGTCTAGATGAAGCACCGCCGCAGCGCGGATCGAAATACTACGTTCTACACCCTCGGCCGACGGATATTGCTGATGCGCGCCCATCATGACGCGCCAGGGCAATGCATTGCGTGGCTTCATAACACTCGGCCCTTCTCCCTGAGAGATGTCGTAAACGCTAATCAGACGAGGAATACCATGCTTTGCAGGGTACCTAGTTGATGTACCCAAAAGCACGGAGACTTGTACTAAAATACAGGGCCAAGGGGCACTATCAGCAAGCTGACGGGGTTATCACGATGGACGGGTACTTAGCCTGAAGGACAATGTAAATCAGGGACTGCGGATAGTCTAAAGGGGTTCCCAGATTATGTCGGTAAGTACTCCTGGGCGAACAGGTGGTTGTGTTTGTAGACGTTTCAGAGATCCATGAACGCCTCAAAAGCAATTATATGCATCACAATGCTCGGGTTTATCATAGCGAACGGCGCTGACGAATTGAAGGTACATCGGGGAGTTTGAAGTCTACTCGATGGTACCCAGTAGTGAGTCTAGTCGAGTCCGCAATCCGAAAATACACGGTTTTAAGCCGATGCAGAAGTCATCACGCCGCTAGAGATATTGACTAGGAAGGCAGCGTGTGCGAAGAATGGGCCAGATTTCCTTACGATCGTATGCACGTGCCGACCGTTGATTTTCACTTCTTCCCGTTAGGTATCCAAGATCCTCATGAAATCCGGACGCTCCGGTAAGCAAGCTATTGACTGTTAGAGCATTTTGACTCAAACGCCCCAAAATCTCACATCGGTCACGCAAAAGCCTCCACACTCTCACACCGCACCAACTTTTCGTCTCGTGACTTGCCGTTAAGCCCTCGTAGAAAACAACCTTGGTAAACTTCCAAAAGAAACCTGCTGCATACACTAAACCATGAAAAAGGATAAGAGTCATACGACTATGTGGTGCCTGCGTCTGGTCACAGCCTGTCAGTCGACTAGATAACGCAATCCATGACGCCAGATCCAAGGCGCAGTGTGAGTGTGATGCTTCACCGTTGGGTATACACCGATGTCAGCAACAGCCACTATCTTGGCGCAACGATGATCGTAGTTGACTGAATGCGAACATGATCATCTGGAAGCGCCGATATGAACGCCCCTGCAGCTGGCACGTTCTTACCGGCTTTTGCACAACTCGGTCCAGAGAGCCGTGGTTGTGACTCGAAAGAGAAACTCTAAATAGCGCCTTCAGAAGTAGGGTCTAGAGGCCCAGAGCCGGTGGAGGGCGACCGGTCGTGTTTTGAATAGGCAAAAGCTGGATATTGGAAAACGTGGCTTCACGACCAAGTAGACGTGACCCATAAACGCCACCGCATAGCTTTACATGTCGACGTTGGATCGTCTTAGGGGTGTGTAGTGGCTTGGGCGGCTTCCTGAACCGTAAAGTCCGCTTCTGGAAGAGTCTGCTCGCCCACACTTGAAGTATAAGTCTCAGATTAGCTACTTTTGTATGTATGATTGCGTCTTTTCCGCTCTCATGCTAGCGAAGAGGATTAAAGTTATGGAGCCCCCTGGGTACATAATCGGTTCCTCTCTGTAAGAGGTCAGGGTTTCTATGTCATGTCGTCAGCATCTGGTACTTATATATTTGGTGTGCTCCGATGTTGCACCAAAAGTCGGAGAGTTGTTCCAGCACATGAGGAAGCTCACATGTGCCGCATCATGGGATGCCTAACAAGATTGTCCTCGAGATCATAGCATGATCTAATGAATCTATCCGTACCAAGTAAGTTTCAAGATTGAGTGGTCTTGAATATGTTCCAGCCTATCCTGTCACGGCGCTCTTTGGAATTTGCAATACCGAAGACAACGGTTGTCTCGAACCAACTCACAAGCCCTGTTCTTGCAAGTTGGAAGTCAGTATGCTTCGTGATTGGTGGAGCAGGTACATCTAACAGGGTCGTAGGAAGTATGCATGCGAGCAACACTCGCTCGTAATATATATCGATTCTAAATCATTTTGATCTTGTTTGGAAACGTCTCAAGCTGGTAGGTATCACAGATCATGTTAATGATAGATAGGTGATAGGCAGGATGTTATTCAAAGGCTCGCATTCGCTTTGGACTCGGATCGCCGTGTCCCGAGACGACGATCACATGCTGGAGGATTGTTTCAAAAGAGCAGAGTAATGCGGGCTTTCGCTTTTTTCTCGAACCAGAGTTGAGTCCAGGTCATCGGTAGCTGCATAGACTTTATGAGGGGTTGAATGTCGATTTCTTCGGATGGATAAGTTCTCCCAACTTCGACAAGATAACCCTTAGAACCCGAGTAGGTGAATCGTCCCGAGGTCGCGTCAGATGGAGATGACAATCTTTACGCGAGCCGTTGGAACTTGGCATTGTAAACGGCCCCCACATATCCTAGGATTGCGTCACGCGTGTAAGAGTTATCGTTGCTGCGCTTGCTTCGCTATAGCTTCTGTTTTAGTAGGTCTCACTCATGCCAAACGGGCGACAGCACTGCTCTCGTCATGTTCAGTTGATTGCGAATATGTCCTGAGCAAACAGCTCAGCCTCCCAAAAAGAACAAGGGCAGCCAAGATCATGCAACCCGCATCGGTTGGCAAGCGAGGCACGGCCTGATACAGCTTAGACTGCGCATCTGCATTGCCTGCTATGAGAGCCTCGCGGTGAAACAATTTGCTTGAGCTGACTGTCAAAATCTCCTCCTCTTCTACTCACTCGACATGGAGCTTCCGTATTCACATTGACCAGCATGGAGCCATCAGAGAAGAGCCAGGCCCGGACAGAAGCAGCGGATCACGATACAGAGCAGATCTTGAAATGTAGTGTTCCATCGCAGGTCGAGGTTTCGTTAGATCGCGACACGCCACATTCGATTCGCTCGCCACACAACGACAACGCCATTTCTCTGCACGCAGTCGATCCTGTCTCCGTACGGCTCGAGCACCTCTCGGTTTCTGTCGATGAATCACCCAATGCGCTTGGCCTGCTGTTCTCGAAGAAGAAAGGTGTACCGAGCCCTAATCGCGTCAAGAAGATACTCGACGATGTATCGGCCGATCTACCAAGTGGAACCCTCACAGCCATAATAGGAGGGAGTGGAAGCGGGAAAACATCGTTGCTGAATCAGATGAGTGGACGCCTAAAAGGCAATAGACTAACCACCTCTGGCCGTACGATTTCCAATGATAGCGAAGATGCATCGCGAATACGGAGTGCCTACGTTATTCAGCAGGATATCCTTATACCAACGCTGACTGTTCGAGAGACTTTGACGTATGCTGCGCAACTACGCTTGCCGTCATCGGTTAGTCAGGAAGAGAGGAAGCAGCTCGTGGAAGAAGTCATTCTAGAACTAAGGTGAGGCTCTTGGCCGAGTATCATCTTGGCTACAGAGTGCTGAACAAAATCCTTAGCTTGAAGGAAGCTGCGGATACAAGGATTGGAAATCATGCACACAAAGGCTGTAGCGGTGGAGAGAAAAGGAGAACCAGTTTGGGTGTTCAAGTAAGCAGATCCAGGATTGGGTTGGGGAACGAACTGCTGAACATTTCCAGCTTCTATCGAACCCAAGCCTACTTTGGCTTGATGAACCAACTAGTAAGCTACATCATAATTTGCTTGCTTTTCTTGCTCACGCCTTGTAGCCGGTCTTGACTCCACGAGCGCTTACCAGGTCATCAAGACTTTACAGAATCTTGCTAGGAAAGGAAGAACCATAATCGTCACAAGTATGCTGAATACTACTCTTTCAAGTCCCATCTGCTGACCAATATAGTTCACCAACCTCGATCTGAGATTTGGAGTATGTTCGACAACATAATCCTCCTGACTAGAGGTAATCCTGCGTACGCTGGGAGCGCCAAAGACTGCCTTCCATACTTTGCAAACCTTGGCTACGAGATGCCAGCGTTTACGAATCCAGCGGAGTACTTGATTGACGTAGTCAGCGTCGATAATCGGAGCGAGGAAGCGGAATGTATTGCTCAACAACGTGTGGATCGCATCAAAGCGGCATGGAGAGAACACACTGAAAAACGCTCAATTGAGAAGAATACGCAAATGATAGCTTCGACAGGTGATTTAAGTCTGCGGAAAGAACCAGTGAGAGCAAGACACACTTCTCTTCTCCATCAAGTTCGTGTGCTTACAGCGCGAACTTGGACCGTAACCATCCGCGATCCTATGGGTATGTTTGGTAGTCTTATAGAGGCGATCGGCATGTCAGTCATCACAGGTTGGATCTTTCTAAACCTCGACGGCTCTTTATCCGGTATCCGTTCCCGTCAAGGTGCACTTTACAATGCATCTGCCCTACAGGGTTATCTGATCCTTCTCTACGAGACATATCGACTCACGACTGATATTCAAGTCTTTGACGAAGAATCGCGACAAGGCATTGTCAGTATACCTGCTTTTCTGATCTCAAGGAGGTTAGCTCGCTTCTTCATCGAGGATATTCCAGTCCCACTCATCTTCTCGATCATCTACTACTTCATGGCTGGCTTCCGCGCCGATGCTGGTGAATTCTTTACGTTCTTCAGTATCATGTTGTTGGAGCAGTACATCGCTGTCTGCTTCGCAATGGCATGCGTGGCAATCTCCAGAAACTTTGCCGGAGCGAGTCTGGTGGCGAACCTCGCGTACACGTTACAATCAATGGCGTGCGGATACTTCATTCAATCTAACACGATACCCATATATGTACGATGGACTAAGTGGATGGCCTATGTCGTAAGTTTGGTTACATTCGTTCTTAGAGACCCATAGTTGCTAGGGTGAAGTCCACGCAGTATATCTTCAGTGGGCTTCATCGCCCAGTGTTGGAATGGAAAGCGTGTACCGATTCAGTGCACCAGCTGACAACACTACAGTTTTATGCTTTCGGGGCCCTTTGCGCCAACGAGTTCACGGGCCGTCTCTACGACTGCCCTTACGAAGGTGGTGCTTCGAACCCGCTTTGTAAAGAGTACACCGGAGAATTCATCCTCGACTCGCTCGGTTTTCCTGACAACTGGGTATGGAGGCCAATCCTTGCCCTTTTTGGTTTCGCTATTGCCTTCTACATTGGAGCCGGACTACTACTCAAATTTTGGAGTGTGGAATTGGTTATGGCGCGAGCTAGACCATCAGACATGGATGCTTCTGCTGGCAAAGAGAAAATGAGTGAACGGCCTTCCGGCGACGTAAGAACGATCACCATAAAACTGGACCGTTACGGCATGGACATTGAGAAGCGCACCTTACGGACACGAACGACCAAAAAGATTCTAGAACCACTCACAGCCGAGTTCCAGCCTGGGATGTTGAACGTCATTATGGGCCCTTCTGGATCGGGAAAGACGTCCTTGTTAAACAGCATGGCTGGCAGACTGAAAGACAATATCTCAACTCGATACAAGCAGTACGGTACCATGGCATTCAACGGTCTGGTACCATCGGAGGATGTTGTACACTCCATCTGTTCGTTCGTAACGCAAGACGATGATGCACTCATGCCATCTCTCACTGTTCGCGAGACATTACGCTATGCTGCGGGTCTGCGTCTGCCAAAATGGATGTCCAAGAAGCAGAAGATCCAAAGAGCAGAGGAAATATTGTTAAAGATGGTAAGTTATACGTATTACATGTTGACTTGTATCAACCCTCGGCGACTAACAAGCAACGTCTTAGGGACTCAAAGATTGCGCTTCAAACATCGTCGGCAATGATCTCATCAAAGGCATTAGTGGTGGCGAGAAACGAAGAGTAACGATCGCTGTGCAAATTCTCACCGAACCACGCGTTCTACTCCTTGACGAACCCCTAAGTGGGCTTGTAAGTCCACGATTTCAAACTCAAGGGCATCAGCTAACCTCGTCAGGATGCCTTCACAGCATTGTCAATCATGGACGTGCTTCGCGGCCTATCCTTCGAAGGACGCACCCTGGTTGTGACCATCCACCAACCGAGATCGGATCTCTTCGCTCATTTCGGCAACATCTTACTACTGGCTCGTGGTGGCTCTCCCGTATACGCCGGTCCAGCTCACGATATGCTGCCTCACTTCGCCAGCCAAGGCCACGAATGTCCCCGTCACATCAACCCCGCAGATTTTGCGCTGGATCTCATCACTGTCGACCTCCAACACGAGTCCCGAGAAGCAGCTAGTAGAGCCAAGGTGCGCAGCCTTGTCGAATCCTGGAATCCCGATAAATTTACAAGCGCTCGAACTGGCTCGATCACCACACCAGCAGAGCTAGGAAGCATGGCTCGAGAACCTACATCGTTTGCAGCGGCCTACTCCATTCTAATCAGACGTGCCACGAAGAACTTCTTCCGCCAGCCAGACTTAGTCATTGCTAGAATCATGCAAGTTGTCGGGTTGGGACTCGTGATGGCGTTGTTCTTCGCGCCGCTGAAGAATGATTACTTTGCTATCCAGAATAGGATGGGGTTTCTAATTGAGATTGGACCACTGTATTTCGTTGGAAGTAAGCCAGTCCTCCCCCAACCTCGCACAGTTCAAAGCAGAAAATATACTGACCGCGAGTAGTGCTCAACAATATTGCAACGTATCCCTTGGAAAGAGATGTCTTCTACCGCGACTACGACGACCGTATCTACGGCGTCGAGGCATTCTATCTCACGTACATTTCCATCACGACACCCTTTGAAATCCTCAGCTGCCTTATATTCTCCATTCTCACCGTCCTAGCTTGCGGACTAGAACGCGATGCGCAGACGTTCTTCATCATCGTCTTCAACGCGTTCTGCATCACAAGCTGTGGCGAGAGCCTGGGTATCGCGTTCAACACATTGTTCACGCACACTGGGTTTTCCGTCAACTGCATGTCGCTCCTACTCAGCGTCGCGCAAGTTATGGGTAAGTTTCCCACCAAACCCCCATCTCTACCCTAACTATTAACACGGAGAAATAGGTGGCGTGCTTTCTCTCAGTATCCCCAGCTTCCTGCAGGCTTTCAATCACCTCTCACCCATCAAGTGGGCTATTGGTAACATGGCGCCGTACACGATGCGCAACCAGCGCTTTACATGCGAAGACTGGCAGGAGATCAACGGCCAATGTCCCATTACGACGGGACAGCAGGTCCTCGAGCTGTACAAGCTCGACAAAGATCCAGAGACGTACCTCATGGCTTTGGGGATCTGTGCAATTGTGTACAGGTTCCTCGCTTACGTGGTGTTGAAGATGGTCAAGGAAAGGTGGCTGGGGAGATTGTGGCAGAAGTTGGGTGGCGGGAAGAAGAAAAGAGGGGGGGTGCCACAGACTTCGACTGCGACGGCTGGAGAAGTCGCATAGATGGAGAGAAGGGAGGGTCTTGTATGTATGGTTGGATAGTGTATTGATGTGTCGTTCTATCTGGTTCGATGCTTGCAGGGTGCACCGTCGTGAAATGTACTAAACTAGATATGATGCCATGGCCTTGCATCCAAATTCGCCATCAGAGTAAACATGGAACGCTACTTCAGTAAACAAAAGCAGGTACACGATGATCAGAACACACCCTGGTCTTCGACACTCACGCAATCGCAGTCGCATCCAAAGCATCAACACCTCTTCTCTCTCCGCGCCCCGACCCAAAATACTCACATCACACCTTAAATCCTATGCGACCAAAGATGCAGACTCTGGCCCCCTTGCCGATTCCTCTTATTATCCCACCCAGCATCCTTCAACGTCAACACCCTCGAAACCGCATCGTTGTACTTGAACGTCTGGCCCTTCTCCCACAGCCCATTTCCCAGCTCAATACACTCCGTAACCGCCATATTCTCACAGTCGTCAGCCGGCGCACCATTGTTACACACCTGGATGAGGCGGTTCAGCCCCGTGGTACTCGCCATCTGGAACCGCTCGACGGGGAACTGGGCGCCCGGTGATAGCCACGGACACACGTTGCCCTTAACCTGCACGACGATAGTGTGCTCCGCAGACTCAACGAGCGTGATGCCCGGCGCGACTCCACCGGCGATGGCCGTGATTTCGCCCTGCTCTGGCTGGGCAGGCGGACCGCCATTACCGTCGACAAACATGGGCGCTGGCCGGTCGTGTGGATACATGCCCCCTCCGCCCATCATCATCCCCGGCATCATCATGCCTCCCATCATGCCACCACCAATACCCGCAGGCACATTGCCAAACGCCAGACCCCCGCCCGGAGCCCACAGCGGCGCCGCAGGAGCAAACGCTGGGACAACACCCCCGGCCAGCGCGCCCGGCGGCGGCGGCGGAAACGGCATGCCCCCCGCGTGAAGCCCGAACCCTATGCCGCCGTGAGCGCCTGGGAGAAAGTTGCCAGCGCGGATCGGCGCGAGAGGACCGCCGCCGCCGCCGCCGTACATGAAGGGGTCCATGATGCCCATGGGCGGTGGGAGCATACCTAAGCCTACGCCTACGCCGAATGGCTGGGCGAATCCGAATGCAGGCGCGAGGCCGATGGGCGGACCGCCGATGCCGATGGGGACTGGGGGCCCGTAGATGGGGGCTTGGTGGTGGTGCTCGATGACTTGGTGGGCTGGCTGGCCGTAGGCGGCGGGGGGAGCGCCTTGGACGACGTTTAGGGGCGGGGGTGGGGGGTCGCGGTTGATGTTGGGGTTGTTGCCGACGTTTGCGCACCAGGGTTGGCCGAGGGGAGGGCCGCCGGACATGGAGAGGGAGAGTGAGGAGAGAATATTGAAATTCGGAATTCAGGGGCTCAAGTACAGCGCTATAGCAGTGATTGCTGGACGAGGGTCTAAATTCGAGGGCCTGTAATGATGAGCGAGAGAAGAATTAAGAAGATGATTAACTTCAAGGAGTGAGATACGACCATTTATAACCATGTATGCGCGAAGATGCTGCGTTCGACATGATTGTTGAACGTGAAGTCGAAAGTGTTGGTGGGTCGTGCCACTGCGAACGCTGCGAGATCATGGAAGGCCAAACCGAACACTTCAACATCAAGTACCGCCGTGAAGCACGAACTGATAGAGATGATGAATCAAGCAGTGAACACGTCAATGTTTTGGGTGAAGTGATCACCTCAAACGCAGACTCGCGTTATTGAAGTGTATGGCTCTACGTGTTCGCAACTGGGATGTTATGTGCACGTGACAATATATGCTCTCCATTTAGATATCAACTCCCAATCAAAAGAAAACACCAGAGTAACATACCGCATTAACCACCGATATCGACTCAGTAATACAGACAAGTAAAGCAAGATGCTTTCCTGCTCGACAGAATTCGGCCCCATTTGCTCCGCCCATCCAGCCTTCCAATATCCTGTCTAAATAGCAATAAAGGTGTTGATTGCAATATCCCATAGAACATCCGAACACACTGTAAAAAACATTGATCGTGAAATGTGAAACTGGTAACATGAAAGGTACTGACAATAGGTATGTAGACGTAATAGCAGAAACCAAGTCGAAGTAGTCGCCAAGAGTGCTTTTGGTAGAAAGAACACTGGAAAACCTGTAGCGCAAATTTGGGTACAGGAATGTAACATAAGGTGTCGCCCATCGTCCGTCGCAAGTTTATTTCGTATCGTACAGGCTTTCCGGGCGGACCATCTGCTCCTTCAAGGTACGCCAGATATGCTCACCGATCCTCTCTTGCACAAAGTACCTCCCTGGAGACCATTTGATCAACGCGTCAACCTTCACCTGCTCGAGGTAACCCAGGAATTTGGTGTCCGATGCCCAGAGCGTACGACGACCGATGAAACACAAGGCAAGTGTGCGTAGTTTTGCCTTGCGTAGGAGGCGTAGGCAGTTGATCAGCACATCGTCGTTGAGGAAGCGACGATCCTCGTTGGAGCTGACGTACGTAGTATCCTTCGGAGCAGCATCGTCGAAGCAGATTTTGAGGTCACGCAGATACTGCAGATTCTCCGCACCCATCATCTTCAGAAACTGGAGTGCATCTTGATAGCCAATCTCCTTGGGCTCGGAGATGTAGAACGGCCCACGGGTGCCTTGAGACCTGTCGAAGACGAACGTGTTCTCGCCATAGAGTATGGAACAACCTTCGTTGTGCACCGTCTTACACGTCCTCAAGAACTGGGCCGATTGACACATGCTTGGTGGAGTCCCTGCAGATTCTCTGTCTCGCCGATAGACCTTGAAGTCCTGGTTCTTGCGCACAAAGACATGTCGATAGACCGTGTTTCGCAATTCAGGTGGTAGGTCGGTAAAGCCTGTGCGGCGTCTTTGAGTCGTCGTCCGGTCAGGTATTGGAGTCGTCATGCGGGCTTTCTTTGCCCGCCCTTTTCGCATGTCTTGTCGTGCTCCTTCCTCGTTGACCTGTAGCATAGAACTATCCAGCTTGACGAAGAGTGGTCCATGGAAACCTAACGGGACGTTGAACTGCAGAGTGACAGGCGGCTTCTTAGGCGTTTGGTGGCGGAACACTCCATTCGACTCACTGTCTGTCAGTTCGTCTAGCTCCTGGTCGTAGATGATGGGATCAAGGCGTGGAGAGGGTGGCGAAGGGCTCCGCTTTCGCTTACGTCTTGACTTATCCGCACGGCCGCGATGGTTCATCTCGTCCTCGTCTTCACTCTCACCAGAGGTCAATGGGGAGAATTCAGCCGCCTCAAATTCTTCGAGCTGCTGTTCGAGCGTGGCAGAGTCGACGTAGCCAGCCACCTTTTTCACCTTCCCGGCGCTCCGACGTATTGGGCGGCCTGTCTTTTTATTATATTGGGTCATTTTGGAGGGACTTCCAAGCTCGGGACTGCTGCTGCCGTCTTTGGATATGGGTGCTGACAGTGCTGGCAACTTGGGAGCCATTGCGAGGTCGTCGTTAAGCGTTTGGCACGTGGTGTATGGCGGTGTAGTGGAGGGGTGAGTTGGTGACGTGACTGTCCTGACGGTGAGATCCAGAAGTTGAGGCTTAGTTGGTTGTTTGAAGCCTTATCCGTATAGCAGACAGGCAACTGTGGGGTAAGGGAAGGCGCGTTTGCACATGTGGAGTTACCTTGGCAGCTATCATCACTGAAAGAGGGAGGAGCGGTGGAGGAGCAGGACGGTGAAACGCATGAAGGCGAGAGTTGTATTGAAACTGCTACCTACGAACACGCGCCATCAAAGACCACCATCATCAACAGTCCAAGCCAAGACGCTGTACTCGATGGTTTCACCCAGCTGCCCATGTACAGCCAACGCGCGCCGACATCGCGAGATGCAGCAATACAACTATGCCAATCATATTTGTCTCGTCTCCTCTGGGTGGTGAGGTGTCCGGAGCGTTTCAGCAGCACCCACGTCAGCCAGCTTGCGCCGGCCGAGTGAGTGTTATGCCGTTTGTATGACGTTTAATCACCTTGGATTTAGTTGTAAAGAGCAGGAACACCGGACACGAAGCGAGATGAAATATGTGCGCTGACTAAGGATCAGCTAGTGCCATGCTGGGCAACTTACACGAACCACATGAACGGTGTGTTCCCAGATAACCCGCTGACTAAGTGTGGCGCCACTAGCGAATTGCCGGAAGTAAGCGGCGCCGTCATTCGTTGCCTCTTTGTAGCAAATGCTTCCTGACATTGTTCAATAAAAAGTCGTAGCGCGCTCCTGCTCTTTGAAGCACATCCATTTGCCATGGCGTCTCTCAGATCTGTTTGCCGAGCGCCTCTGCGCCAGCTTACACGCCCTTCCACCTCAGTTGCCACAAATCACCCCAGATTACTGCAACGGCAATGGCGGGGCTATGCGACGACACTGGAGGCCCAGCAGAAGGTACTTGGACTGATGGAAGGGCTACGTTGGAATTGTGCTTACAAGATCCCAGGTGCTCTCACAGGACCTCGAACAAGCCGATCCTACTGTCTATCAAATCATTCAGAGGGTGCGTTGAACGCCACCGGAGCTCTGACTGAGTGAACGAAGCTCATGTAGTATTCGCCAACAGGAGAAGAATCGCCAGAAACACTTCATCAACCTCATCCCTTCCGAGAACTTCACCTCGCAAGCTGTTCTCGATGCGCTCGGCAGCGTAATGCAGAGTACGTGATCTAGGCCCACTATATCAATCTAGGCTCACATGTAGCGCAGACAAGTACTCCGAGGGGTACCCAGGCGCGCGTTACTACGGAGGTAACGAGCACATTGATGCGGCTGAGAGGCTATGCCAGGAAAGAGCGCTCAAGGCCTTCGGTCTGAGTCCGTCCGAATGGGGAGTCAATGTACAGCGTGAGTCGGCACACCATCCACTGCCATTCACTCTGCTTACACCTACATACAGCACTCTCTGGCTCTCCCGCCAACCTTTACGCCTACTCCGCTGTCCTCAACGTCCATGATCGTATCCTTGCTCTCGACCTACCGCATGGCGGTCATCTGTCCCACGGCTACCAGACTGCGACCAAGAAGATTTCGGCGATATCCAAATACTTCGAGACACTCCCTTACAGACTCAATGAGAAGACAGGCATCATTGATTACGACAAGATGGAGGAGCTTGCACATCTGTACCGCCCCAAGATCATTGTCGCGGGTACCTCGGCGTACAGCCGGCTGATCGAGTACGAGCGCATGCGCAAACTCGCAGACGACGTTGGCGCGTACCTACTTTCTGACATGGCCCACATCTCAGGACTCGTCGCAGCAGGTGTCATCCCTTCGCCCTTCCCCTACTCTGACATTGTCACTACCACAACTCACAAGTCGCTGCGAGGCCCGCGAGGTGCCATGATCTTCTACCGCAAGGGCACAAGGCGAGTGGACAAGAAGGGCGTCGAGGAGAAGTACGACCTGGAAGGACCCATCAATTCATCCGTATTCCCAGGTCACCAGGGAGGTCCTCACAACCACACAATTACTGCCTTGGCGGTGGCATTACAACAAGCGCAGAGCAAAGAGTTCAAGGATTATCAACAGCAGGTCCTCGAGAACGCCAAGGCCTTTGCTAAACGTCTGGGTGACACAAAGGAGAACGGCGGTCTCGGCTACAACATTGTGAGTGGTGGCACAGACAACCACCTTGTGCTCGTCGACCTCAAAGACCGGGGTCTCGATGGTGCGCGAGTGGAACGTGTTCTTGAGCTTGTCGGCGTGGCCTCCAACAAGAACACCGTGCCCGGTGACAAATCAGCCATGAAGCCCGGAGGTCTGCGCATGGGTACTCCTGCCATGACAACTCGTGGCTTCCAACCTGAAGATTTCAAGCGCGTCGCTGACGTTGTGCACCGCGCCGTCGGCATCACACAGAAGCTCGACAAGGAGGCCAAGAAGAAGGCCGAGGAGAGTAACCGCAAGAACCCAGGCAGCGTAGCTGCTTTCAAGGAATATGTTGGCGAAGGCAACGACATCACAGATATCGTCCAGCTGAGGAAGGAGGTCGAAGACTGGGTGGGCACATTTGCTCTGCCATGGGACAAGGAGGAGCACTGATTGTAACGAGTGCTTTGGTGATGCGATACGATGCCGTGATCCGATGAAGTAATGCATACGATATGGTGAGTTTTGGAGTCTGGCGGCGGAAAACTGATTTATGTATATGTCATCCTGTTATTCCATATTCTTTATGGGAACTGCAGCAATCATCTGTCTTATTACATACTGAGTTGAGTTGTGAAAGACTCTTTTTCCTTGTCCTACAATTTCTTCAACAGAATAGTCTATGTGAGAAAATAGCTGTCGTCAGGAGTGTCTGTTGATACATTTTTCATTTCATTTCATATGTTCCACCTCTCCTCCCTCTTTGTCGTCGTGCTAATCCCTCGCTCCTTCACCGTCACTTCCCCACACCACTCTCGCCGGCCATACTATTGTCGAGTAAGTCCTAAACACCTCGATCATCACTTCTTCCCATTTCCCCTCCACATCACCAAATGCAACTGCGCCTTCCGCCACCACACTGCTCCCCACATCAATCAGCACACTGGCATCCAAACCTCCCTCAAAACAAGGCCAGCACCCGCAAACACCCAGATCTGACAACACAATGCTCCTCCTCACACTCGCACGCATCCTCGCCCTCACCAACGCACTCCCGCACACCTCCGTCCCCGAGTGGAGTCGCATCGACAACAACACTACAGGAACGACACTCGCTCTACCCAGTGCGCTTTCACCCGCGCCCGAAACCATCACACCGCCCGCCCTCGACGCCACAAACAAGCAAAACACCGCACCATCCACCAGCACCAGCGACGCCAGTCCCACGCCCTCCCCCGCGCACCTTCCCCTCCCCACCTCCCTCGCACGGAACGAACACACCGCCCCGCCCACCTGCCCCTGGTGCACAACCCCAACCACCCTCCTACTAATCGCCTATGACCTCTCCACGCTCGCCATTCTCCTGTATCTCTGGCTCTTCGGATACCTCTGGTGGATGCGTAGTCAGCGCTCAATTAACAACGCGCCGCCGCCGTACGGTGAGGTGGAGGGTTTGCGCCGTGTGGATATGCGGATGTGGGAGGGTGTGGATGCTGGGGTTGTGGGGAGTGCGAGTCTGGAACGGAGGAGGGGTGAGATTGAGGGGGAGATGAGGAGGTTGGGCATGATTTGATGGGATGGGATGTGCTTGGGGGAGCTGGGTGTCTCATGGATGCTGATATCTGGGGTGAGTCGATGGTACGAGGGAGGTATTTTGTTTTTGCGCCCAAAGGACCTGACATCGTCCGTTTCGTTGTATTACGATGGAGAATGCGAGGTTAGCAGACAGACGACGCCTCACCATTTTGTATAAAGACAACAGAGGCAAACAGATTGGATATCAAAACATAGTCTTTGATATTCTCCACAAAACACTGTAATTCTACAACTATCTACTCCTTCCGAAAAGCCCTCCACATCTACTGATCCAGCGGGTATCTATCCAAGAACTTGAAAGTGTACAGACCCTCAGAAAGCTTATCAACGATAGCCGATGTATCTGAGTCTGCGAACTCATACACACCAGGCGTACCAGCCTCGATACCCGCAGCAGTGAAAGCCTGGCTACCTGATCCGATGACGGCAACAGGCTTGCCCCAATGGTATCCGTCTTGCAAGATGGACAGCGGGCGACCGGCAGGGAACAGCGTCGACTTGATGCTTGCGGTGCTGTTTCCGTAGGGCGAACGGGTCGAGTTCGAGTTTGCCAGACTGCCTGTGGGAGCGAAAAGAGCACTGGCAACACCGTCGACAACGATGGCGTCAAATGAGCCGGCAAAGGTCGCCGAGTATGTGGCATCGACTCCCTCGGCGAGGTGCTCGGCTACGACGGTCATGCCGACGTTGACAGCGTCGAGGGCGGTTTTGAGGTTCGCAGCCGCATCGCTCATTGCTGCGTTGGACGTCAAGAAACCGACCTTCAGTCCATCGATTTTCAGCAACGGCTCCCTGGCAGCACTGACGTTGATTGTCGTGTTGTCATGGTAATACTTGTCATCCGCGTCTGGGGCCGTCATGCCAATAGCCTCTGCAACACGCACAGCAACATCGTGGCTGATGCGGTTAAGCTGGATGAGAACGTTGTTCTTGACGACATCGCTGGTAAGTTGCGACGTCTCGAAACGCATGGCGTTGATGAGGAACTGTTGCTCGACGGGCATCAGGGAGTTGTAGAAAAGGCGGGGTTGCGACCAGACGTCTGCAAAGGTGGAAGATACAGCGCGCACGAGTCTTCCTCCAGTGGAGCGGTTGGGGGCGTTGAAGAAGCCACGGCCTTGGTCTTTGGTAGCTTGCTTAGGGGAGCCGGCGTTCATAGTGTTGGGAGAGTAGGGCGCGTTGTTGAGGGGGATGTACATTTGCGCCGCACCATCACGTTGGTTGTTGTGAACTGGAACACGGGGCTGGTTGATTGGGATCTGCTCGAAGTTCGGGCCGTTGTGGCGATTGAGTTGCGTGTCAAGGTAGGAGAAGATACGGCCTTGGAGCAAAGGATCCTCGGTGAAGTCAATGCCCCTGACGATGTGTCCGACTTGGTACTACAGTTGGGTCAGCAGTAGAAAGAATGACAAGCGTGCAACTACTCACCATTACTTGTTCGGTCTCTGCAAAGTAGTTTCGCGGATTGCGGTTCAAAGTCAGCTTTCCCAGAGGTGTAAAGGGAACCAGATCCTCAGGAACTATCTTGGTGGGATCAAGAAGATCAAAGCCGAAACGCAGCTGGTCTTCTTCATCCATGATTTGTGCGCCAAACTCCCACTCAGGGTACAGTCCGTTCTCAATGCTATCCCACAGATCTTGGCGATTAGCATCAGAGTTCTTTCCAGCTGTGGCCTGAGATTCCTCCCACAGCCGCGCTGCTTTTCCTTGCAGAGTCTTGAATCTAAACTTCACGAGCTTAGTCTTGCCTTCGTCTGTGACGAAGCGGAAGGTGTGCACACCCCAGCCATCCATATGCCTATACGAGCGATATGTACCGTGGCCGCTCATCGCCCAGAACAGAGTGTGCATGGTCGATGGCTGTTGGCTGAAGAAATCCCAAGCCTCGTCGTGGGCTGTAGCAGCCTGAGGGATCTCTTTGTCCGGCCTTGGCTTTACAGCATGAATCAAATCAGGGAACTTGATAGCATCCTGAATGAAAAACACAGGGATGTTGTTTCCAACGATGTCTGAGAAAAGTCAGTTCCAAAACCAAGCATACAGTAGTCATGAGAGCAAACCCACCAAAGTTGCCCTCATCAGTGTAGAACCGTACCGCGAAGCCATTGACGTCCCGAACAGTGTCAGCAGATCCACGGCTTCCGGCTACGGTGGAAAATCGAATGAAGACGGGGGTTTCCTTATCCGGAGTGGCTAAGAAAGAGGCACCAGTGATGTTCGACCAATCGCCATAAGACTTGAATACACCGTGAGCACCAGCTCCTCTGGCGTGAACAGCACGCTCTGGGACTCTCTCGTGATCTGGATGGCGAGTCAGCACATGTCATATGGAGTGATGATAGTTTCGTACCGAAGTGCATTATCTTTTCGCGGAAAGTGAAGTCTTCGAGTAGTGTAGGGCCTCGTTCACCCGCACTCAAACTCTCGAGATCGTCGATTGGTCCTCCCGTATTGGTCGTCATGTAAACATCGGTATCGTCGACCTCAAATTGTGCCATGAAATCGTCCGTGGATACAGCGCCTGAACCTGGTCCATCTCGTCGCACTTGGGGGTGATGGGCGGGCAGGTCTCGAGCATCATCCTCCATGAAAGGGCATGCCGCGTGGGCAATGCCGGCGCAAGCAGCAACTGCTGTGAACAGTACGCGTCTGACCATGTTGACGGTTAGCTAAAGAGTGGCGATAGACTGACAAGCAATGGGAGGGCTTCGCTTTATATCGATTAAGGTACCGTCTTGTGCAGCGATCTGCCGTCCCGGCAACCCTTCGTCAAATGAGATTTCCTGGATTTGAGAGCCAGTTCCCGCGTGGTCAAAGCATGGGCATACCAAGTCGCCGGACCCACTGTGGGGAACAACGCTTATACTGAGAACAGGATTCAGTATGTTGGGCGGCGCTAAGACGCTGTGAGTCTATCAAAGACTGCGGAGCAAGACACTGCATTTAGACGGTGCAGCAGACGTTGCCTGAAACGATCGTACAACCCGTAGGCCCGAAATTCGGTGATAGTGTCCATGCAAGATCCTTTGCATCATGCAGTGCAGAGAACTTCATCCTGAGCTTGCTGCCAGGCACGACCTGACCAATAGTCATAAAGTTTACATCGAATGATTCTTGAACAAATGGGCGAGGATTTAGTCACCTTTGTTTAACGAACACACTATGTTAGTGAGCGATCATTAGGGGCATATATCGATCGTCGTATGTTGTGCCTTTTCTAGCCAAGTAGTGAACGCGGCCTGCCAAGACTGACCCGAAAATCGGCCTTTTTTTGGCACCATCGACATTGTGTGTTCGGATTAAAGGATTGCTGAATCAACCCAGCACTGCGCAGCACTATGGGAGGACTGAAGTTCAAACACCCGTTCCTAGTCCGCCAGGATGAAGAACGGCGGCATTTGAGGTTGTAGCCGTTGAACACAAGGGTACTGATCACGCCAGTGTTTTTCAGGTCCCAAGCGGTCACCCCTCTTGGCATCGATAGCGAAGTTTCGGTTTTTACATGGGCAAAACAACTTCAGGATTATGGGAGCACATTGGCCTGGATGTCTAGAATTAGTAATGGTGAGGTGAGGCTCAGGATGGCCCACTTAGCCAAGGCGGAGCGGAATCTCACCCTGGTGACTGACGTCATCAGCTCATGGCCCTGAGCTACGCCAGGATTGCCCTGCAGTTCGACGGAACAACGCGATATGTAACGAAAAACCGCGTGTTGCCAAGATCTCCAGAATGGAATGCTGGGCTGAAACCGTACGTTCAACTTGTCTGGGGGCCATGCAGCATAGTAACCGCCAGTAGTGCCTGTAAGCACTCAAAGTTCGGGCGAAAGCGCGGTACAGAGTTGTTCGCCGTGAAACAATCCATTCCAAGGGTAAGAGATGGTGGTGGAGAAGAAACGAGACAGGTCGCAAATTATAGACCCATAGTACGAGTCCTCGATCATCTAATGTCGTACGCCCCCAAAGATCATTCCTATCAGGACTGAGAGTGTTGTTTGGCCATGGAATGCGCTCCGCTATCAATCGATCGTGTTTCTAGTGGACGGGTTATGAACCCGCCGTCTGGTTCACATGACAGGAGACGGGTTGTGCTGCAATAGCTTTGTGCTGTGTTACGTCCGAACACACGTGCTACGCGCGTCGCGCTGGCGTATGGCTGTCATGACGAGCGAAACATCTGGTCTTTTGCTGCTCGGTAGGACGTCTTGGGAACTCGCCGTCGTGGTGGCTTCTGTCGACAAGTCCAACACAAGATTGTGACGGATAGTTGCGGAAGAGCTTGTCGCGATACTCGCATCTGGGATTGGCGGGAGACAGCAATGGTGTGTGACTACTGGTACTGAAGCGCAGTTTCCGCAACGGGGATGACATCACTGCAACTTGCAAGTGGTACAATGACCCCTCGCTCTCAAGTCACATCAACCTCAAATCGACATCGCAACAACAGAGCAGTAAGTGTTTCACGAAAGCTGCTTTATTTTCCACAAAGGTATATCCTACCACCCTTCCAACGCTATTATCTTGATGAGCAACCGATCCACGAGCGCACTCTGCTTCAAGTTCAAGAGTCGCTAACAGCAAACAGTGTGCAAAGTACAATATAGACACGAACAGTATCTTGACAACACCCCTCACAATGTAAGCTGGTCTTCTTCTCCAAACATCCTCCAAGTTATTCGAACAATCCGAGGCGTCCGTCAACTTGAACATGCGAGTAACCGTCCGTCTGCACACCATAGGAATCGATCACTCTCTACTCGCTCGAAGAAGAGCACGAGCACTAGTACCGACAAGCCAACGAAGCACCGCTTCACCATGGCGTCTCTACGAGGCACGCAGCAGCCAGAGCTATCGAAGAAGCTTTACAAGATCATCAAGTCTGAGAACCACGCCATCGGCGCCTACGAGGCTGCAGCGCGCGAACGAGTTGGAATTGCGCAGCAACTCTCAGAATGGGGTGAAGCGACAGGGGACGAGACGATTTCGGAGATCTCAGACAAGATGGGCGTCTTGCTAGCAGAGATTGCAGAACAGGAGGATCTCTATGCGAAAGCATTGGAGGAATACAGAGGCGTCTTGAAGCAAATCCGGAACACGGAGAGCTCTGTACAGCCCAGTCGTGATCACAAGGTCAAGGTAAGGATTCCCCCACGAACCTCCATCTGCTCGTTCTGACTGACATGTAACAGATCTCAGATGAGATTGCAAAACTGAAGTACAAGGAACCCCAGAATACTAAGATCGTCCAGCTTGAGCAAGAGCTAGTTCGTGCGGAGGCACAGAGCTTGGTCGCAGAGGCACAACTCAGCAACATTGTGAGGCATACTCAGTATTAGGCTCAGAAGACTTACTAACAAATTCCAGACTCGCCAGAAGTTCAAGGAGGCCTATGATCACCACCTCGCAGCCACGATTGAACGTGCCGAGAAGCAAATAATCCTAGCCAAACACGCCCGTCGTCTTCTGAACCTCGTCGACGATACTCCGATAGTGCCAGGCGACGTGCACCCAGCGTTCCAGGAAGTTGAGGCTGCCCGTCAAGTTATCACCGACGCTGAGGCAGATCTTCGTGAGTACGAGCTCAACGTTGATCCTATCAATTCGAATGCGGGGAACCTTGGTGTGGGTGCTATGCCCAGCAACGTAGTGCGCCAGACTGAGTCCACGGCCTATGAACCCAGCAACGTAGTAAGCCAGACTGAGTCCGCGGCCTATGAACCCACTCCGTATACGGATGTGACATCTCCCAGCACCAACACTATCGATGAGCACCGCCATGTATCTTCCGGCTCCTATGGTACTTATGGCGAGGCTCAGTCTTCGCACCCCGTGTCTGATGCACAACGTGTGGAGACATTGGAGAGACAACAGGCGGTCGAGATGCAACAGACACCTCATGTCGCTTGAGTATGGTTTGATGCTGATTGTCGAAGCCGGCTATGTCTGGAAAGTGATACAGTTTAGTACTTGGCGCGGATACTCGCGTTCATGACTTGATGCTTTGGTGGAGTAATGCTTGTGGACAGTGCGAATTGATATCCTGCGAGGTTCATGTTTGTTGTTGGCGTGTCTTAGTACCAATATGAATATAATCTAGCGACACCTCATCCATCTTCCGTTCATACCACGTATGCAACTATGCGTTTTACTGATGCCTTGGAGTAGCATTACACCATCTCTCCGAAAACTGGTGTGTGATTGCGACACGTGGAGAAAATACGGAAAGGGTGCACAAGTGACACGCAGAGAGTGCTCAGCTGAATTGTAGTGACGAATCAGTGGAACAAAACAGCTGGTGCCTGGTGGTCTTGGATAAGGTTTCGAGAGGTGCTTCTATCGATGAATGTTTGTCTGTGCGGTTTGGCGGGGATGTTTCTTAGCGTGGAATATGGCGCCGCTCTCAAGGACACATCAACCTCACCCTAAATTCCCAAACGACCTCATCGTCAGCAAATATATACCGTCCCGCCGCCAGTTCTCCTCGATCCCCCGTCCTCATCCCGAACCCCGCTCCTCTCGCCATGGCGGACCGTAAGAAGAGGGACCGATATGCGGGCGCAGCGTACGAGTTTGGAGCCAACTCAGCACTGAATGCTGGAATCGGCGGAGCTCCCCTAGCCCAAGGCGCTGCTCCTGGCTACGGAGCGCCTGCACCGAGCTATGGGGCCCCAGTGCCTGCGTATGGCGCTCCAGCACCAGGATATGGAGCACCAGCGCCAGGGTATGGAGCACCAGCACCCAGCTATGGACAACCTGCTGCCCAGGACCCCAACGCGCTCAGCCAGCAGTTCGGGCAGATGAACATGGGAGCACAACAAGGGCAGGTGGCGCCACAGGTGCAGCAACCTGCCGCCGTGGCACAGCAGAACCAATTGTTCCCCTCGGACCTCATCGCCCAGCCCTTCCACGTCTCGGAGCTCTACAACCCTCCACCGCCCATTCATCTGCCTGCAAACGCCGCTGCCACACCCTCCGAGTTCGCAAACGAGTCGAGCAAATACCTGCGCTGTACCCTGAACACGATCCCTACCAACCACTCACTGCTGAAGAAGAGCAAGCTGCCCTTTGCCCTGGTCATCAGCCCCTACGCGAGCTTACACGACTCGGAGGACCCAATCCCAGTCGTCCACGATCAGGTCATCAGCCGTTGTCGGCGATGCCGCGCCTACAGTATGCTTCACTTCCAAACCCTATTACACGATATGCTGACATGTGAATGCAGTCAACCCCTTCGTCGTATGTCGCGCCCCAAAGCTGCTCCCGAGCGCCCTCCCATGCACGATCCACGCTGACAATATGGCATAGTCATTCCTCGATCATGGGCACAGGTGGAGGTGCAACATGTGCAGTCTGACAAATGACGTGCCCCAGGTGCGTATCGAATGACATAACATTGGCAATTGGAGGGCTGGCTGACTCGCCATGTAGGCATTCGATTGGGATGCGACGCAACAGAAGAGTGTAAGTCTAGCTCCACAAACAGTCATTCTTAGCATTTCACGTCGAGTGAAACCCGATGAGCTCATAGCTCAGACCGCCTGAATTGTTTTTAAAGGGCTGCACGAAAATGAAACCGTCACATCGTCCAGCTTGTTCATACTGACCTTATCTAGGTGGATCGTTGGCAACGGCCAGAACTGAATTACGCTGTCACGGAGTTTGTGGCGCCACAAGAGTACATGGTCCGACCTCCGCAGCCGCTCTGCTATTACCTGATCATCGACTGCACACAAGCTTCAGTCAACTGCGGTCTTGTTGCAGTTGCTGCGCGAGTCATAAAGGAGGCACTCGACCGGATACCCAATGCAGACGGTCGCACGCGCATCGGATTTATGGCTGTAGACTCGGGTCTACACTTCTTCTCTATCCCACCGGACGGCAGCGAGAGCAGCGAACCCCAGCAAATGGTCGTATCAGATCTAGATGAGCCTTATCTACCGATGCCCTCAGACCTACTCGTCAGCTTGAGTGAATGCCGCAACAACATCGACGTCTTCCTTGATCGTCTTCCAGCTATGTTCCAAAACACACACGTTCCTGGGTTTGCTCTTGGGTCTGCTCTCCGATCAGCACACAAGCTGATCTCGCCGCTTGGTGGAAAACTGACTGTGCTCGCTGCGTCACTTCCTAATGTCGGGCACGCTGCTCTTAGCCCGAGAGAGGACAAATCGTTATTGGGCACTAGCAAGGAGGCCAGCCTGTTACAACCCGCGAACAACTGGTACAAATCGTTTGCGGTGGAATGCTCCAAGAACCAAGTCTCTGTTGATATGTTCTTGTTTTCTTCCCAATACCAGGACGTAGCAACACTCAGCAACCTCCCAAGATTCACTGCAGGCCAGACGTACTTCTACCCTGGATGGAATTCCCAGAGACAAGAGGATGTTGTTAAGCTTGCGACGGAGCTGTCGGATTACCTGTCGGCGGAAATTGGGTTGGAGGCTGTGCTTCGAGTGCGCGCCACGACTGGGTTGAGGATGTCCGCATTCTACGGAAACTTCTTCAATCGCTCCTCCGATCTGTGCGCATTCCCTGCTTACCCTAGAGATCAAGCCGTTGTCATCGAAGTCGCTATCGATGAGACCATAAGCAAGCCTTTTGCCTGTCTCCAGGCTGCCGTACTACACACTACTTCAGGTGGGCAACGCCGTATCAGAGTTTTGACACTTGCTGTACCCACTACGGAAAGCCTGGCTTCGGTCTACGCTTCAGCGGATGCACAGGCCATCACTACCTATTTTGCGCACAAGGCTGTTGAACGTGCATTGTCGAGCGGGTTGGACGCTGCACGAGACGCCCTGCAAGGGAAGGTCATTGAAATTCTGTCAACATACAGAAAGGAGCTGGCGGGCGGCAGCATGGGAGGTGGCGGTCTCCAGCTGCCTCAAAACCTGCGCTCTCTTCCAATCCTGTTCTTGGGTCTCATCAAGAACGTTGGTCTCAGGAAAAGCGCTCAGATACCTTCCGACCTTCGATCGGCTGCTCTGGATCTTCTCTCTACGCTGCCGATGCGATTGCTGGTTCAGTACATCTACCCCAGCTTCTACAGCCTTCACGTAAGCTCTTCGCACCTTCTGGAAATAATTATGGACTAACAACTTGTAGGATATGCCCGACGATGCCGGTGTACCTGACAGCGTCACCGGTCAGGTCATGATGCCTTCACCCCTAAACCTGATGTCTCAATCCATTGTACCGTACGGGTTGTACCTTTTGGATGATGGTGTCAACCAGTTCTTGTGAGTATATGTGGAGGAAGTACCTTGTTAAATCACAGCTAACGTCACCAGGTGGATTGGTCGCGATGCTGTACCAGCACTTCTCAATGACGTCTTTGGTGTAGAAGATCGTTCGCAACTCAAACAGGGCAAGGCCTCTTTGCCAATTCTGGACAACGAGTACTCTGAGAGAGTGCGAGCTGGTAAGCCAACGAAGACCGTCCTCGAGCCACATGGCATTTATCTAACGTGAACCAACAGTCGTCGAAAAGTCGAGAGACCACAAGTCCAAGGGTGTTGGAAGCATTACACTGCCAACACTTTACATCATCAAGGAGGACGGCGACCCAAGTCTCAAGCTCTGGGCACAAACGCTACTTGTCGAGGACCGAGCGGACCAGGGCGAGAGCATCGTGCAATGGATAAGCAAGCTCAGGGAGAAGGTACGTTGAAGTCCACTGTGGTCAGATGAGCACTTGAGCTAATCCGGCATTAGGTTGTGCAGTAAATCTTAGAACAGCAGCGAGGCGTCATTATAGTTTTGCGGCAGGTCTAGTCACGCACGAGTCGACCTTTTGGGGGCAGGCAGGGTACGAGTAAGAAATCAGCAACTTTTGGGACCAGGGCGATTTGAATCATGATTTGTAGCTGTAAACTATGCTCTCATACGTACAAGTCTGTATGAAGCAGGGGAAGGGAAAGGGGGGGGGGGGGGGGGGGGGGGGGGGGGGGGGTCAATCATGAATACTAAACCCAGCAAGCAATGCAGAACTTGATCTACATAATGTGCTTTTCCTGAAGATTCACCTACCTACCTATCTAGGACGACGCGTTCTTACCGCTTTTCCTTGGCGCGGCTGTGAATGTGTGTCACTGGAAGGGGGTATGTCGTGTTACGTCTATGCGATTATCCTTCTGTGCGGCGGATCTTTTGTGCACGATAGATAGATAGGGCGTTGTTGTGGAAAGTCTGCGTGCGTGGGATCTTTTTTTTTTTTTGAAACGGTAGATGGGTAGTACTACTTTTGGTGCATGTAATGCCGGCTCATCTAGAGAGTTCTTCATGTTGTGCGACCGGAGGGGGGGGAGACTGTTGATGCGTATGTTATTCTGAAATCTCAGCTCGTAACTTTTGTTGAAGGAGTTGTGGTTAGCGTGGTGCGGTTGCTTGGAAGGGGATACGATCTAACTTTGGTAGAAGAGTATTGACCGCTTCGTTGTTTGGCGGGGATACGATGTTGGATTTTGGATGGCGGGAATGTATGATGTTGTGATTATACGAGATTTGTAGCGGGAGTGATGCTGTTTTGGGTATTTGGTGGTTGGTACTGGGTATCTGGATGGTGGGTCGGTGGTTCTTGATCTTCATGAAGAGATACTTGGGAAATGATGGGTTTATGCGTGGTTCTGGTTCGCTTGGCTACTGTCCCCGCTTCAAACTCCAATCGTTGTTTGTGGGTTTGGGAGCCCCCACTCACAGATGGACGGATTGAGGTGGGGAGCAGCAAGGCTTCGTTTGTACCCATGTTCAATTTGTGTGAACATATACATCAAAATTTGGCAATTGCCCATCAAACAATTACGGGCCGGTAACTCAGTGGTAGAGGTTAGTTCACTCATTCACTCACTCATCAATTGTCACTAACAGCATCACAGTGTAGGACTGCAGCTCACCAAAGCCGTCTTCCCGAAGTCACCGGTTCGACTCCGGTTCGGCCCTTTCTTTTTTCATCTTTGCACATGGTGGGTTCATCATAGTCTTCAATCGTGATCAGCATCTTTTTTTGCAGCAACTAACAACCCTTGTGCATTTCCTGCTGAAGCTTTGCAAGATGATCGCACAAGGTCACACATGGCTGACTTGCAGGCTGGTTAAATCCGTTACTTCCCGGGATTGATGAGTTTGCCCCTCAACACCATGCAGGCATCGCCACCACAGACCACCTTCGCTGGCGGCTGATCTACACGTCTGTTTCGTCAACGTACACAAGCCTGCATGAACAGCTCGCGGCTAGGCAGGTCAGAACCATAGCGCATATCCACACCCAGGCTATACTTTATCGACGGCCCGGCTATCTTACCTCAGTTGCGAAGTGAAGGACGTTGATGAATTTCGACGGAGGATGTGAATTGAATTCCATGTCACTCCGGCCATCACTCGGGTGCTCCCCAAGATCTGTGGCACCGCGCGCACGACGATATTGGGAATAAAGCATGGGCTCGCCTCGTATGCACGTGGAGGCGCCGTCAGATGACCATGCAGCCTAAGGCCTGAGGAATGCTCCCCGTCCGCATCCTCCGCGGTGGCACAGGCTCAACAGCTGTAGGCCAGGAGCTTAAATTCGGCGTCCCTACTTTGCTTATGTGCACGTTGCTGATTGTGCTTTTCGCAGGCAAGTCCAATAGAGACGGCTTGGATGCAAGCCTTGCGCATGCTTTTCTTGCCACGATCATCCCGAGTTAACGCTTTTCCCGCTGCTCGAAGCGAGAGCAGAAGCAAAGGCTGACACGATCGAGGCCCGGATGAATCACGGATACTAGTCGTTCGCTTCGGCAAGGTACCAAGGTACACTGAAGCCCCCTTGCAGCGGCGCTTGTCCATGCTTTTAGCTGCAGCACCTCAGATTTGGGCCGCCAATGGCTACACTGGGAAGTGCCCATCCTTCGCTTCAGAGCACGGCGCCAGGCTCGATGCTTGCAGTCGTCCTCTGCCAGACGCGCACCGCTGCTGTTGGGGTGGATTGTCAGCCCCGCCATTGGTGCACTCAGCTACTGCGACATGTGAAACGCGTGGTGGGGGGTGTGGCTCCGTCATCAAATATGTATGGAACTCGAGTACGCTTCACGCCCCAGCCACAGATCCCTGGCGGTTTTTGGCTCTGCTCAATCCACCCTCCAGGGCGGGTGATATCGCGGATTGCAGCATTCCGGATGCAGACCGTGGGCCCATCCTCGCGTGCATGAGCAGCTCGCTGCCGTATTCCCTACCACAAGGGGCCTGCAGAACTGGCCGCTTACTCGGACTCGGAAGAGCACCTCGCAACGAGGCTTGGTCCACGTAGTCTGACAGGTGCGTAACAGGACGCCCGCGGGCTCAGCTGGCCTTTTGAGGTTGACAAAGGCTTGGCCCAGTTGCGGCAAGTCTTAGGATCTGCACGCAAAGTGCATCGCCGCAAGGTGGATCGGACTCTAACACTCTAACCCCAGCCTTCAGGCGTACAAGGCCGCTAACATCCATCCCAACCCCTCCTCGCATGCAGTTGCAACGCAATATTGCTTTCGACCCCCCCAGTCCCGCACGAACACCGTCCTTGGGCCTCGCAGACCGTGCTGAATCTAGCTCGTGCGTTCCTGAGAGAGCCGCATTCTGCGTGTCCTTATGCAGCATCGAGTCCTCGAGTGCCCCCGCCACTGAGGTAGACGCCCGCCTTATCGCGTATCGCCCACTCCTCCAAACTCCGAGCATCCGTCGCTCTTGCATCAGCACCGTCGCGCGCGCACTCCTTGACGGGTGCTTTCGTCACGACTCACGACTCACGACGCGGTTCCAGTTCTCTTTGTTGTTCTTTGCTCATTTCTCATCTGCCGGTCGCCGAGTTTGAATGTTGTTGCAACACGGTCTCTATTCGTCGTCGTCATCTCTGTCTCAGCCTTTCTAATCCGCATCGAAGAAGGAGTAACCCGCAGTATTGTTGTAACTGCGTGCTTTCGCGAGAATTCTACTTAGTCTTTGAGCTTGTATTAACCTGAGGCCGTTCGTCGTTGTAGCTGTCCGGGAATTCTCCATAGCCCACGCAGGCTGTGCGCGGTACGTGCGCCGAAGGCACCTCCAAAGCACGTTGAGCAGTGGACGCGCCGAGAACCGAGACGTCAGGATCACTACCTACCCACTGCGTCAACATGTCTACATTTCGAGCTGTCAACACCATGCTGACAGTACCGGATCCACCACCAGGGCGCCCGGGAGAAGAGACCACTCCCACGACTCCTCGCCCAAACAGCATGTTTTTCGCCGAGTCGAGAACAGCAGAGGATGCTCGCGCTGAGGACGCATCCGTTAAAACTCCAACGCGCAACACCTTTACCGGTCTAGCCGCTCAACGGCCACTCCCTTCGTCGCCTTTCACGCCCGCACGCCAACTAAGCGAAACACCCTCGAACAAGAGTGACAGGAGTAGGGAGCACTCGCATAGATCGGCACAGTCTGTAGATTCCCCACAAGACGTCCAGATGGGTGACGACGACGAGGATGACAAGGATGGGTCAGACAACGAGAGCGTAACCAGTGATACAAACAGGCCATCGAAAAAGAAGAAGGGTCAACGGTTCTTTTGCACCGAGTTCCCGCCTTGCAACCTGAGCTTCACTAGAAGCGAACATTTGGCGAGACACATCCGGTACGTCTTGTGCTATGCGTCGAGATTCACAGCTAATATCATGCAGTAAGCACACTGGCGAGCGGCCGTTTCAATGTCATTGCTCCCGGCGTTTCTCGCGACTCGATAACCTCCGACAACATGCGCAGACTGTCCATGTAAACGAGGACATCCCATCAGAATCGCTCGCCGCAACTGGTACTCGATTCCAAAGGCAGATCCGGACTGATCGTGTAAGGCCACCGGGAAACCGCTCGAGGGCAAATACACTAGGCAGCACAGGAGGGCACAGCAGAGGTCACAGCAGAAACTTGTCAGCGTCCAGTATAACATCCACCATTTCTAGTATGAGCGTAGCGCAGACTCCAGACATAAGACGTCGCCCCCCACCTCTCGCCATGGCCAACGATGGTGCTGCTAGGGCGCGTCTGTCAATCAGCACTATGGAGGCCTACAATCCGCCGCTTATGGGAAGCCCTGGACCGCAAATTGTTGATTACGAGGTACAGTCGAACGCTCCAACTACGCCAACTTCAGCCACCTTCTCCACAGCTGCGGGTAGTCCTGCTCATTTTGGGTCAACTCTTCAGTCTCCTGCCTCCAATGCATCGAGACCGGTATCTTGGGCAGGTCACGGCATTCCAGGACGCCGAGTATCAGTTTCGTCTATCGGGAATCCGTTTTCTGGACCGCCCGGGTCGCTTCCTCCTCCGTACATGAGTCCCCTACCACCGCAACCATCTGCCGCTCCGACGTTTTCAAGTCAAAGTAGCGTATATGCCAGTCCTACGACATCGAACTTCCCAGAACACAGAAGAGAGTCCAATGCGGATGCCGACTGGAGGAGGCGCACCTGGCATCCAGGAACATACACAGGTCCTCGCCCGGCGACTAGTGGTCTCGGATACCATCAGACGCCGGATGCCTTGAGACCATCATATACAACGCAGCCTGCGGCCTCACAGACCACTAGGCTGCCTGGTATCGAGAGTTTCGATTATGCACCTCCCCCACCACCTCTTACACGTCAGCAATCAGGTCCGATGCAGATGGAGTCCCCCGCGCGTCCGCTCACTTATCACGCACCAGTTGATTCTAGACCAAGCACCAGACACGAGAAACGTTCAAGTATCTCATGGGATATCAACCGTCTTGAACTCAACAGCCCTATCACGCCGCGGGAGCAGTGGTCGCAATATCCCCATAGCGGACAATCTAGCACAGGGCGGCCGTTGACAGCACCGCATGGTTACTTCAGCCAACGTCAGCCAGCCTATGCTACTCAGTCTGTGATGAGTTCTCCACTGCAATCAGCAAGGAACTCGCAAGAGCAACCTGTTACGCCTCGCAAGAACAAACGACAGGCCTGGTACATGGGACCCATCAGTCAACCAGTACGAGCTATGCAACGTACATCTCCCGAAGACTCAAGTAGCAGCGAAGGTGTGCCAACTCCTGGGATCGCGACGATGGCCGAATATCATCCTGCAATCATGCACAACAATGAACATGTCGAAGTGCAGCCTCTCGGACCTCCGGTGGAAGATTCCAAGCTCATCTCACAGGAATCAATCATGGAAAGGCCGCATCCATTCAGTCCGCAGTATCGACACTACCATAGTCATAGTTTGTCCAGTTCTGGATATCGTCCGCAACGCGAACCTGAAAGAGGTCCAGCCCAGTTCGGACAACCTCTGCCGCAGACGGGCGCCAACGACATGAGACGATTGGAAGCGCTTGTGGCTGTTGCGACGGGAGAGCAGCAGACTGTCGAGAACCGATCCTGAGTAGTGTCGAGCACCCACGATCACGACCCCCTGCATGATCGCATCCTGGAGTGGTATATCCTCTCAGCCCATGTAAAGGACACACATACGATGTTACGAAACCCATGACGAATCTCCTTCGGTTTGGCCGCACGATGTACATCCTTTTGTTTCTGTTCAGCACCACACGACATGCCGTCTCCCTGTTCTTTTGTTGGTGGAGAGAGTTTCCATTGTCACTTTCGAAGATACCCAGAAGAGTAACAGTGCTCGCATTTTTACGGGATACTTACGGACCAACATTTCCTATCGCCGCAACGCAATTGTTTCTGATTTTACGCAAGCGCATCATAGTTTCTTGATTGTGGTCTGCTTTATTTGGAATTCAGGAATATACCAGATCGTAGGATAGCGGGCGCTGCGGGGTTTTTTCTTCCATTATTACATTTCTCGTTGCTTTGCGCTGCATCTTTGTCTTTGTTTCGGCGGGACGAGAGGTGGAATTGGGTATCATAATGACTGAATGTTGGTTTGGGTGGAAGCTTTATTTAGTCTTTTCGGGCAATATTAGTTGTCTGTATATACTTGACATGGCCTTTGGCTGCATCCGAAATCTTCACTCTTGTGCGACTTGATCCTACGTTAGCCATGTAGTGTTGGTAGTTGATAAACTCCTCAGCATATGGGTGCAAGATCTTTGGCTGTTGTATACCGCTTGTTTGCAGTCTGTTGTGATGGGCGACTACGTGATGTTTGTAGGGTCGTCCAGTTTCTCTTGGCAGAGTGAAAGTCGATGCCGGATTCAACGCTTTGCAAGACTTTCCCGATACGGAAGGTTGGCTTGGCGTGGGGCGTTCCCGCTCGAAAGTTCGGAATTTAACTTGTCAAGCTTCACCACTCTTTGCGCCTGTCAATACATAAAATTGGTACTTGAGAGTGCTGTAATTTTCTATTCTGTTGCCTCCTCCTCTCATGTCGGCATACTCGAACACAATTCGAGTGCTCTCGCGCTCTCGCATTCATACATCCAAGACGCTCCTTCCGTTCCTCTACCAAACAGCGACGATCCAGCAATGGAAGCCCACCGCATACCCAATTGCCCGTCGAAACATCTCCCGCCGATCGGGCGACGGAAACGACGTGCCGTTTGAGCACGACGCACACGATGTGCCGTTTGAGGGCGAAGGCGATAGCTTGCCTCCCACCCTCGAAGAAGCTGCGTCCGCACGCAAGACGACAATTACGGGCTCCGAGCGCGAGGCTTTCGAGAGCTTGTACAAGACGTTCACTGCGAAGGGGAAAGCTAAGAAGAAGAAGGGCTATGGGGAGGAGCCTGATGAGGTGGCTGATGAGTACTACGAGGAAGACGACGAGCCCTCGGAGTCGATGGATAAGATGTTCGATGCTGTGTTGAAGGGGTCGCCGCAGCTGCTGGAGGGCACGAGGTACAAGCCGGATAAGAGGAGTATCGGGACAAAGCCGAAGAATCCACTGGATTTGAATGCATTGGCGGAGGAGATATTGAGGGATGGGAAGAAGAAGAAGAAGAAGGAGAAGGAGAAGAAAGAGAAGAAGGCTAGCGACACGATCACCCCAGAGGAACGCGACAGGATGGCAATTGTGCGGGAGAATGCCAAGATGGATGGAGAGCTCCGGCACATGACTAGCGAGGAAGTCCTCGCTGCCGTTCGAGCTGCAGACTGGGGGGACGAGGACGAGCCGGAGGAGACAGCGTACCGGCTCAGACGGCCGTCGAACAGGTCACAGGCCGACGACGCAGCGAAGACCCGGGACCTGATAGCCAGCGAGCGGACTAGAGTTGACAGTTTGCTCGAGAAGGCGCAGACAGACAAGGAACTCTGGGACATTCTCGAAAAGGAAGTCCTCAACCCGGTTTGCAATCTCGACCTAGACGGCACAAAGAAGAAGCCATCCACGCCTGAGAGCGACACCGCCCCAACTCCCAAAAAACGCTCCACCCCCGCAAACCCGGACGTCCTCTTCAAAAACTACCCCCACCATCTAATAACCGCCATCACCACACTACGCGAGCACTTCCCCGCCTCGCCCCTCCCCCTAACCATAGTCCCCACGATAAAAGCCCTCGGCCGCTCGCCCTACGCCCTCGGCGCAACAACAACACTCTACAAGCACCTCCTGCGTACCGCCTGGTTGCAGCAAAGCTCGTACCCGTACATCGACGCGCTGCTCACGGACATGAACAACGGCGCGATAGAATTCGACGCCGACGTCGTCGCGCTACTCGACTCGATACTCAACGAAAACGACGTGATTAATACGGGCCGCTTGGGCAGGGAAATGGAAATGGTGTACGGTATGGACTCATTTGTCGAGGGCATCGCGAAGATTAGGCAGTGGAGAGATGTGATTGCCGGGAGGGTGGGTGTTCCGCGTGGGGAGGCGAAGCCGAGGACGATGAGGGCGGTGACGCCGTTTTCGGCGCAGGGGCGCGAGAGGCCGCTGGTTAGGAAGTCGTTTTATGAGGGGGAGAAGGGCGAATTCAGGGATAACAATAACTTCAGAGACAACAATAACGGCAGATTTAACGACAACAACTTCAGGTACAACAACTTCAGGGACAACTCTTTCAGACACAGCAACAGATTCACCGACGACAACTTCAGATACACCCGCTTCAACACCAACACCAACACCAACACCAACACTAACTCCCAAACCGACACCCGCCCCCGCCACACCCGCAGAAAAGAATCCCAAGATACAAACCGCGTCTTCAATCCCCTCGTCGAAGGCCGAAACGATATCCCCCCTTCCAAGCACAATCCGCCTCAACGGGGGCCGTTGGAGCGGCCTGTGAGGGGGAGGAGCGTCGATACGCCGATTGATGATATTGATGGGTTGTTGGCGGAGGCGCAGAGGGGGTTTGAGGCTCGGGAGGGGTTGGTGGGGGGGCGTGGGGATGTGTTGGGCAGGGAGGATGAGGAGGGGGAGATGGGGGAGAGGGTGGGGGATGTGCATAGTGGGGAGGCGAGGTTTGGGGCGAGGTAGAGGTTAAGGAAAGTGTGAGTTGAGGGTGGATGGGCTTAGGTGCTTGGGTAGTTGAAGGGCGAGTCACTGAAGTGGATGAACAGATGTTATGCATCTTAAACGAGGTGAAATAGAATATACACATATTCATATTCTGCCTTGCAACATGTGCCAAAATATTCTTCAGATGATGCTCTTCTCCCCGTCTCGCCTTGTTTCATTCCATCTCATCACGTCTCTTGCCTTGCAGTAATACTGACTGCGATCTGCCAGCTTTTTGTCTGACACAGGCCACTCGGGTGTGAGAGCGAAATTGTCGTGCAGCTACAGCCTCGAAACTGTCAATGGCAGAGTAGGGAGTTCCGGCGGATAGGTCGACGATTCCAAAGGCGACTGACTTTTGACGCCAAGTGAACGCGTCTCGTCGTTTCGTGAGGGAGAGTCCAAAACCAGGGTGAAGCATCGGTGCTCCATTGGAGCGTCGTGAGTGAGGGACGGAGCGAATTCCACCATCCCCAGCATCTCCCCTCCAGGCCAAGCCAACCCCCTCCATGGCGATCTGGCAAAAGCTGCTCATTAATTAAACCAACCAATCGAAGGTCAAATTTCACGTCTCCGTCTCCGCCTGCTCCTCCTTCTCCATCTCTTTCCTCTCACCCTGCGCATCAAACCCCAGCGCCTCCAGTTGGCGAATAAGCTCACTAATGCGAATCACCTTCTCAAACTGCTCCGGCAGCAGCGCATCCCCCTTCTCCTTCTTATCCCTCAGCTCACGCGCCTGCCTCAATTTCTTCGCCAACTTCTTAGCTTCCTTATCCTTCTCGACCGCCGGATCCGCAGCCTTGACCGGTTGCTCCATCTCCACAGACTTATCCCCCTCCTCCTCCACCACCTTCCCCTCCCCCTCCCCCGTAGCAGTAGCAGCTTTCCTCCTCGCCTCCCTCCTCTTAGCATTCTTATTCCCCGCCGCCGTTCCCGCCTTGACAGTATCCTCCACATCCGCCTTCAACCCCTCGGCGCCCGGCACGCCGCTGGACTTTCCCCTGTTGCGGAACCCCTCGGCGGTGCGGTTCTTGTAGATTTCTACATCTTCGGGTGGGCGGTAGCCGGGCCGTACGCGGATCTCCTTGCGGAGTGTGCCGTCGGGGCGTATGGAGGCGGGGATGTGGCGCTCGCCGCTTGCGGAGGTGGTTATGCCGGCTTTGGAGACGGGGGTGGGGGGTTGGACTGTTGGCATCTTTGCGGGTGGGGATGTGGGTGGGGTGTGGGTAGGTGTTTCTCTGGGGAATGCCTCGTGGCCGTGGGTGTTGTGGAAGGGTTGCGAGATTAGGTTTTAGTGAGTGGGTGGGGGGAAGAAGGCAGTCGAGGCAGTGGTGGTTGTGGTTGTCAAACGCCAGCCAATCACATGCCCCCCGATCGCCGTGACTTGCAACTCTTCTCGATTCTCTCACGAACAACGTCAAGTCTCCCATCCTGCGACAACATCAACCACACGACACAACGTCCCCCGCGCCCGCCCTCTCTTCCACGAAACCCTCAAAATGGCTGGCGTACGTTCAATTGCCTCCCCACTCCCCACTCATCCAGCGCACAGCTAACCACCCTCGCAGTTCCTCGGCACCGTCTACAAGCAAGCCCTCCCCCCCTCCCCCCCTTCGCGCAACCACCCACGACATGACTAACCAACCCGCCCTACAGCGCGGTCCTCCGCAGCAACACGACTATGCTTGCCACCGTCTTCGGTGCCGCTTTCGGCATGCAGCTGTACGTGTAGTCTTGGATGGGGGGATGTGATGGGATGCTGAACGATTACAGGGCTTTCGACACGTCGTCGGATAAGGTGTGGGATGCGTTTAACCGCGGTGTATGTATATTGGGGGTTTGTTCAAGGGGTGGGTAGTGCTGGGCTGACTTTGGTAGCGCCAATGGAAGGATATTAAGAAGCGGTATATGGAGGCGGCTGAGGATGATGAGTAGGGAGGGATTAAGCAGGATGGTGGGAGTAGGGTTGTGGATGGGTGGATTCTCCGCTGAAGGGGGGGTGATGGGGTGTATACTACTGCGTGCGCAATTCTATGGATGGGTGCTGATGGTTGATTGCACTTGTGGCTTGGTGCACTTGTCTGGTTTACTTGTCTTGTCTCGCTTTGCATGTGGTGTTATTGTGTACAGTCATCAGATTGGCCATGTGGCGGTGATATGGCAATGACATGATGGCGTATTGGTGGTGCCTGCCTGCGGACTTCCGTGGGTGGGGAGCTCTCCAGGGCGTTTGGTGACATGACATGGTCCAAACAAACCACCCACCACCCTCACCCTGACATGGAGAGGGCCAGATAACCAATCCATCACCATGCTCGTCTCCCAGCAAGAGCAGACGCTGTGTCGCCAGCTTCGCGAGCTGCCGCGCCGCCACAACTACCGCTTCGATGACGCCGCCGCCCGCGACGTGCGCGAGGTCCTCTGCCGCTCGCTGGCCGGCCGCAGCGAGCACCTCGCCCTGTTCTTCCCCGACGGTCAGCCATCCGACCCCGACAAGACGTGGAGCCTGCGCGAGGCCCAGGGCGCCGTCGAGGGCGCAGAGTACACGCCCGCCGCGAGAGGGAAGCCGTGCGGGCACATCTTCAAGAACGGCGAGGCGACGTACCGCTGCAAGACATGCTCGGCCGACGACACGTGCGTCCTGTGCGCCCGCTGTTTCGACGCCTCGGACCACGACGGCCACCACGTCTTCGTCAGCGTCTCGCCCGGCAACTCGGGCTGCTGCGACTGCGGCGACGACGAGGCCTGGGTGCGCCCCCTCCACTGCAACATCCACTCGCCCGAGCCCGCCGACAAGGCCGCGGGCAAGGCGCGCGCCGGCGACGACCTGCCCGACGACCTGCTCGAGAGCATCCGCATGACCGTCGCCCGCGCCCTCGACTACCTCATCGACGTCTTCTCGTGCTCGCCCGAGCAGCTGCGGCTGGTCAAGACGGAGGAGTCGATTGCCCAGGACGAGCGCAGTTCGCGCCTCACGTCCAAGTGGTACGACCCGGGGGACCAGCCCGAGGAGCGCCCGGAGTACTGTCTGGTGCTGTGGAACGACGAGAAGCACACGATACACGATGTCCGCGACCAGGTCGCCCGCGCGTGCAAGCAGAAGCTGGCGTTCGGCACGGCAAAGGCCTACGAGGTGCACAACATCGGCCGCTGTGTCGTCGTGTATAGGACAGAGATCAAGGACCTGCTCCGCATGGCCAAGATCATCGAGGAGATCAAACTCACTGTGACTATCCGCTCCGCGCGGGACACGTTCCGCGAGCAGATGGGCGGTGCTATTGTCGAGTGGATCTCAGACATTGCGGGCTCCAGTGTCGGCGACGACAACCATATCCTTCGACGTGTCGTCTGCGAGGAGCTGTTGAAGCCGTGGCGCATTGGGAGCGCGGCATCCAACGAAAGCATTGGCAAGGATGGGCTCGACGACTGCGAGCTGGACGACAGGGCCGCCGAGGAGCGCCTCTACGACCTGCACCGTCGCCAACACATGATCCATCACAACGTCATTCGCATCAGGCGGCAGCAGACAGCCAACAGAAACGACGACACGACCGCTTCAGACGAGGACGAGGATGAGGATGAAGGTGCCGGGCCAGCAGACACTGGAGACGACATGGACATTGACGAAGTGGGCGCCCACGATCATGACGGGGACGTGGATATGGATGCGTATGAGAGCGCCGACGAGGGCCGGACAGCAAGACATCTGCTCCCTCCACTGCCGCCTCGCTTTGCTCCAAGAGACGGCGCAACGCCTGCCGATTCAGACGGCGAGCTTGTAGTGAGCGCGCCGTCTCTCAGCCATGTCGAGCCGTCGTTGCCCGTCCCAGAAACACCACAGACACGGTCACTTCCACTACGACCATCGCGACCTTCCAAGTATTGGCTAGAAACCCCAGAGAGCTATGGCAGGAACCCAGAAACCCCTCCCCATGAAGACCTCTGGCAGCGCCTGCGTCTTGACCGTCTGATTCTATACGACTTGCGCATGTGGAAGCAACTGCGCATTGACCTGCGGGACGTGTTTATCAGCACGGTGGTCTCGATACCTGAGTTTAAACGCTTGCTGGGCTTGCGCTTTGCGGGTGTGTACACGGGGCTGGCGCAGCTGTACCTTATTGCGGATCGGGAGCCGGACCATTCCATCATCAATCTATCTTTGCAGATGTTGACGACGCCCTCCATCACCGCTGAGGTGGTCGAGCGCGGGAACTTCCTTACCAGTTTGATGGCTATCCTGTACACGTTCTTGACTACTCGGCAAGTTGGCTATCCATGGAATGTCGACCCAAAAGCGACTCTAGCATTCGAACAGGGTGCGGTAACCAACCGGCGGATATTCCACTTCTTCATGGATTTGAAGTATCTAGTTGGTTCGGCATTTGTTCAGGAGCGCATTCGTGAAGAAGAACGGTATCTGTTGCAGTTTCTAGATTTGGTCAAGCTTCACCAGGGCATCTGTCCGAATGTGCGTGCCGTCGGCGAGCACCTCGAATTCGAGTCGGAGGCTTGGATCAACGCATCGCTCATCACACGCGAAACGAACAAGGCGTGCAGGATCTTCGCGGAATCCTTCTCGTGGAACCGCGACGAAGACGACACGAACATCCGCCGCGCGATACGTGCAGCTGCGAGGGTGGTGATAGTGAACTCGCTAGGCGCTGAGCGAAAGCGCTTCGACCAGACAGAAATCAAAGAGGAGACGAGATTCAAGACGCTGGAAGTTTTCGAATTCGACGCCGAGCCTTCGACGTTCTTCGGACCGTCGTACAAGATTGTTGACTATGTTGTTGCTAAAGAGCCTATGAGTTTTCACCATGCACTGCATTATACTTTGTCCTGGCTCATCGATCGGGCGCGCAGTATGCATCGCGATCATCTGCGCCAGTTGCTGCTTTTTTCGCAAGGAGAGCTGCAGGTTGATTTAAATCCTGTTAGCACTTCTATCCCTGCTCATCAATCTGAAGAGTATATGCTTGCGCTGTTCGACTTCCCGCTCCGGGTCTGCGCTTGGCTGGCCCAAATGAAAGCAGGCATCTGGGTTAGGAACGGGATCACGCTTCGACACCAGATGCACCAATATCGAGGCGTATCGCAGAGAGACGTGTCTCACCAGAGGGACTTGTTTCTGCTTCAGTCTGCGTTTGTATTGTGCGACCCCTCGATATACCTCGCATCGATGATTGATCGCTTCGGCTTGATGGGCTGGATGACGGGGAAATACGAAACCAGCCAGCACGGGTTCGAGGATAGCCAGGCGATTGATGTGGTGGAAGATTTCGTGCATCTTCTCATCATCGTTCTGAGTGAGCGCACGTCGCTGATCCCGGCGGAGGATAACAACGAGTCTCATCTTACCGCCATGCGCAAAGACCTCGCCCACGTCCTCTGCTTCAAACCGCTCTCGTTCTCGGAAATGGCCACACGTCTGTCGGATAAGATACAGAATATGGATGAATTCCCCACTGTGCTGTCTGAGATGACGACGTTTAGAGCCCCGGAGGGTCTTTCTGATAGTGGGACGTTTGAGCTCAAGGAACAGTACCTCGACCTGATTGATCCCTACCTACACCAGTACAATCGTAATCAACGAGAAGAGGCGGAGACTGCTTACAAGAACCACGTCGCGAAGAAGACGGGAAAGCAGGCTCGTGATATTGTGTTCGAACCACAGCTGCGACCCATTCCCTCTGGACTGTTTCAAAATTTGGCAGCGTTCACGCGAACGCCGCTGTTCACACAGATTGTGTATTACCTCCTCGGCTACAGTTTGAGGGCAGCAGCAGTCACGCCAAGTATACCTGCGACACGGGTAGAAACATATATCCAGTTTGTCCTGCAGCTTGTTCTTGTAGCTATTCTGGAGGACAAGTCAGAGGAGCAGGAGTGGGCTCAGGAAGCCCCAGGCTCCTTTGTTACCTCGGTGCTCACCAAACAAGCTAATCTGGGCATTCCGGATCATCCTACTATCCTGTCGATTTTGAAGGTTCTTCAAGAGAAGGAATCATTCAAGGCTTGTGAGCCGAAGATCAACTTGATACTGCATAAGCTCAAGCAACGGCAACAGAACAAGTTTATTGTCGCGGCAGCTGCGCTTGGTATGCAGACTGACAAGATTGACACTGCGTCTCCGGCTAGCTTTGGGATTGCGGAGAAGGAGCTTAAGAAGAAGCAGGCGTCGGAGAGGCAGGCAAAGGTCATGGCTGCGTTCAAAGAGCAGCAGACAAAATTCATGGCTAATCAGGAGTTTGACTGGGGCGAGGACGACTTCAGCGATCTAGAAGACGAGACCGGCGGACTGGTTGAGCAAGAGAAGACGTTCAAGTACCCATCCGGTACCTGTATCCTGTGCCAAGAGGAGACGAACGAACAAAAGCTCTACGGTGCATTTGGCTACGTTTCCGAGAGCAAGATACTCCGACAGACTGACCTGGAAGACGATGACTGGGTCGACGAGGTCGTCCAGACTCCAGTCAGTCTGGACCGCGCAGCAGATGACGTCCGACCATTTGGCGTAGCCGGCAAAAACCGACGCATCGTGGAGAAGGTCTCGGCTACTGGCGAGCGCATCGCTACGAAGAGACAAGAGCTAGGCAAAGGATTTCCCAGTTCGCAAATCAAGCGGGGCCCCGTCTCGACCGGGTGTGGACATATCATGCACTTTGCCTGCTTTGAGAACTACCTTGGCGCGACACATAGGCGGCACGTCAGTCAGATTGCGAGGAATCACCCCGAGCGAGTCGACTCCAAGGAGTTTGTGTGTCCGCTGTGTAAGGCGTTGGGGAATGTGTTTTTGCCGATTATCTGGAAACCGAAGAAGATCTCGCAGTTGGGTGAGCTGGAAACGGAGACGGGGTTTGATGAGTGGATTGAGTCGCAGATTGTCGCGATTTATAGGAATACTGTGGGGACTACGGGGAAAGCACCGGTTGATCTTGCGAAAGATCAACGAGTGCTTTTGGACTATGGGGAACGCGTTTTCATCCAGCCTGTGTCTAGCCGTCTTCCTGAGCTCCTCAAGTCGAGCTTGGCTAGTGCAGTTCCAGCGCCGCAGCCGCCCGCACAGCCGTCCACACAGCCTCAATTCCAGCTTTTGGGTTTCCCGGGCAGATCGTCTTCTGAAGTTGTTGAATCCTCGGACCATGGCTTGGTTGCGGTACCAAGCTCTCCCATATCGGAGCTCATCAAGGTCTACCAGAGACTTCGAGACGCGTTCCGTGTCTGCAAGATTCCAACAGCCTTTATGCATCCACCTACGCCGGCGAGTGGTGGTGAAGATCTAACACATACCGATTCGCTCGCGCAGACTCTGGGCTACTCCATCGCGGCTGCTGAGATTGCGCAGCGCGGTGTGCAGTCAGATTCTATACGGGGCACGCTGATCGACAAGATCTCGCCCCAGGCATTGACGCATCTCCACGTTCTCTCCGAAACAGTCTCGTCCTACATCGCGGTGGGGAGTCTGCGGAACCGCGGCTCGAACAAGACTATGGAGGAGTATGTCGAGACCCATCGCCGACAGTTCCGCCAGCTGTTTGTCGGCCATCCGGGAATCTTCAACCCTGATGTGCTGAGTCTGGATCTTAAGGGTATCTCGCCCTTGCTGTACCAGGATCCGTTCATCTTCCTATCCGAATGCGCCATGGGCGTCGTGACGGCGGCGAACCTCGACATCCACCATGTCATCCGCCTATGCTATTTAGCAGAGATCGTACGCGTCGTAATGGCCTTTTCAACCCTCACCAAGACAACCTCATCGCGCTTCCAACACCCCGAGCAATTCACCAACCCCGCAAAAGCAAGCCCCCAATCCCTCACCCCAACCCAGTTAAACGACTTCCTATTCTTCATCTGCATCGTCTACAACATCGCCGACATCGACGACTCCCCCGCAACACTAACCATCGACTCCCTCCCCCTCCCCGCACACTTCAAAGACCCACACGCGCTTTACTTAATGTACACCATGGTCTCCACCTACGCCCTACCTTTTGTCCGCAAAGCTGCTATCCTAATGCACGTCCGCTTCGGCACAGACGTCCCGCACTCCCCCCCCGAACACACAGACGACCCAGAACTCGCACGCCTCTCAGCCGTCCTGCACCTCCCCTCCCTACCCTCCCTCTTCGCCGCTTTCGCGCGTCGGGATGGTGCAGCGCACACCATGCGCTCCGTGGTCGGCGGCTGGATCCGCCATCTTCTATGGGCGCAGGCGGGTCGTGTGCCCACGCAGCCTACTATCTCGCTCTCCCACCCCGCGATTTTTGAGCTCGTGGGCTTGCCGAAGAATTACGATGCGCTTACTGAGGAGGCTATCCGTCTGAAGTGCAGGGCGACGGGGAAGGAGTTGACGGACCCCGCGCTGTGTCTGTTTTGTGGCGAGATTATGTGTAGTCAGGGGGTTTGTTGTGCGACGGGGGATGGGAGGGGGGGGTGTAATCAGCATCTTGTTAAGTATGTCTCCCATTTTTACCCCTACATTCATTCATTTATCCATACCAGTCGTATGTTATGCTAACGTGGTTTTCTGACAGATGCGGAGGCACAATCGGCATCTTCATCCACATCCGCAAATGCATGGTGCTGTTCCTCAACAACGACAACGGGTGCTGGGCCGTGGCGCCGTATCTGGATAAACATGGTGAAGTGGATCCAGCGCTGAGGCGACATCATCAGTTGTTTCTTAATCAGAAGAGGTATGATGCGTTGCAGAGGAAGGTGTGGCTTGAGGGTGGGATTCAGAGTCTGATTGCGAGGAGGCTGGAGGGGGATATAAATAATGGGGGGTGGGAGACGCTTTGAGGGTTTTGTTGGGAAGGGAGGGGATGGGAATGGGGATGGGAAGGGAGATGGGGATGGTAGGATAGATGCTAGTTTGCTATGCTATGCGATACGTTCAAAGTACTAAATGCCCATCCATCACCATCATCACTATATCCCCAGAGTAAAACGCCATGCCATGCAAAGTCCCATCATAACCCTCCCAAACCCCCAAACCCCAAAAACACCAAAACACCTCGCTAAAACAAAACCTCCCCCCCTCAAAACTCCCCTCCCCCAACTTCTAAGCTCAAACCCAACCGCATATTCTCCACCGTCCTCCCCCCCACCCCCTTCAACATAGCCAAACTCTCCAAATCACACAACTCATCATCATCCATCTCCACCAGACACGTCACGATCCCATCTGCTTTCTTCGCGCCCACGCCTTTCAGTGCGCGGATTTGTGTGACGTCGCGCGAGTTGATGATGCGCAGGAGGTGGGTTGTGCGGGGTGTGTTTGGGGCGTCGCGGAAGATGGGTAGTTTTTTAGTTTGGGGTTTGCGGTTGCGGGGCTTGGGTTTGGGCTTGGGCTTGGGGGTGGTGTCGGAGTCGGAAGTGTAGTGGTCGGAGGGTGGGGCGGGTGTGAAGGCTTCGTCTTCGTCTTCGTCTTCTGAGGCGGAGGCGTCGTCGTCGCGGTAAACGGGTGTGTGTTTCTGCTTTGAGGGGAGCTTGTCTGTTTTCGCTGCTGGTAGGGCGAGGAGTAATGTCGACGAGGACACGACCGCAGGCGCAGAGACATGCTTCGCACCCGCGTCCCCCTTCTTCGCGCGAATACGCTCCTCCAGCGCCGCCATTTTGGCCTCGAGTTTTGCGTTTCCCGGGAAAAAGGGCTGCGCGAGCTGGTACATGCGCAGCGCGCTTGCATCCTCGCCGCGCATAGCGTGCTGCTTCGCCATGAGCAGGAACTGCAGGCCCTGGGACTTTCCGTCGTCGTCTTTGGAATCAATTCGCTGCTCGAGATCGTCGAGGCGCTTTTGCAGTTCAGCTGATAAGGCGGGAGCAGCGCCCGCAGCGTCTTGGAGGGCTTTTTCCGCGAGTTTCTCGTCGATGCGTTGTGCGATTAGGGCTTCGATGGAGGCTTTTGTCATGCTGGCTTCGATGGTGCGGGCTCGTGATGTGCTGTCTGCTGTGCGGAATGTCTTGGCTGGGCGGGATGCGAATACGTTGTTGGATTCGGCTGCGCGTTTATTGCCTTCTGTGCGGCGCACGCCCTGGTTCTGAGATGCGAGGTTAGACACGCGAGAAGCAGCGGGTTTGCGGGAGTCAGAGTATACAGAGAATGCCTTGACGGGCTTTTCCCCTTTCTTCTGCTTCTCGGCCTCTGGGATGTTGACGTTTACGGCTGCTGTTAAAGGTCGGAGAGGTTGTCGTGTGAGGTTTGATCCGCTTGTTGTTGCTAATGGCTTGACCATTGTGCGATATACGGGGTCGTTTTCCACCTCCGCGACGTCGATCTTCTTGGCTCGGCTGGCAAAGTTCAAAGAGCTGACTGTATCCAGATGGTATGCGCGTGTCGGGGCCAGATTGAGGATCATGATGCTCAACCCCTTGTTTTGACCAAGAGACAGAATTCTCGTCATCTTCGATTCGCGATAGGGTATCCGAGCCTGCTTCTTGTTCATTGCCTCCACGCATTGTGCTAGTACGAACAGAGACTTGTTGATTGCTGAGCTCTCCACCAGGCGCTCCTTGTTGTTTTCGGTGCGGCGGTTGTCCTCTGACCCAGCAAGATCGATACACGACGCTCGACTAACGCGGATTGTAGTTTCGGTGGTTTGCGTAATCTTCACGCACAGAATGGCATGCGATCGAGAGGAGTGTGCGTTAAGCTGGGCTGTGGTTAGTTGTGTCTTGGGATAATCAGTCGACCTAGTTTACCTTTGTAGCAGATGTGGATCGGTTCATGTTCGCCTGGTCGTAGAGATGCTCAAATTCCTTCAGCGTTGTGCAGGGCTTCTCTGTTAACCCAACAACAACGGTCTTGCCATGGTTATCTCTAATAGGCAGTCCAGATGGTGTGCGCTTTTCTGGGGGCTCGAACAAGTCGTAAACGCGGTCGCAGTAAATCTCAAAGTACTCCAGAGCAACCTCAACCTGTGTGGCGCCTGCAGTGTCCTTCTCGATCTTCTTGCACCGTCGATATATCGAACTTAGCAGCCGTGGAATAACACCGCGGTCCGCCAATGACTTCCCTCCACGCATTGTGTGCGTCTTGCCGGTTCCGGTGCAGCCATGGGCGAAGATAGATAGGTCGAAGCCATTGAACAGATGCTTTACCGTAGGCGAGACTGGCTATATGTCAGCGGAAGTCTCGCGCCATGTCCGGATGTTATGTAATCTACGCACTCTCGGCATCGAAAAGTTGCTGCTGCGTCGCTTCTTGCTCGTACACAGAACTGAACTGAAAGCTGAAGGACTCGGCATCATTCTTGGGGCTTGGTATCCTGACGACTGTCGCGGTGCTCTCGCCATCGATGGTCTCGGCCGTGACGATCGTGTCCTTGTCGAGCTCCTGCTTGAGCAACGGGCGGATTCGGGCCACGACGCGTACGCTCATTGTGGATGTCGAAGAATGGAGGATACGCGTGGAGGGAATAAAAGTCCAAATCTACAGGAAAAAGAATGCTAAACCGTGGACCTCTCGTGGCGTCGAAGCGCTGCAACGCACGAGGACCGTCCAGGATGCGCCAGCTTTGCTTCCCTCACCGCTTAGACTGTTGCTCTGGCAACCAACTCTTTAATGATCACGTGATCCGATACCCATCTCACGCCACACCTAAATCGACCTCTACTGCAACTGCATGCTTCCCTGGACTATGGCGATCGATCACGGCATCTAGGCAAGAGCCGGACGATGCACGCGCGGTGATCCATCGTGGTGGCTGGAATGTCTCGAAACGCGTGACAAGCGACAACAACCCGTTGGAAGATCACGGACGATATGCCGCTGAGCCTCACTCTAATATCCTATTCCAGGCTTGTCGGCTGCCAGCATTGAAATGGAGAAAATGTTGTTCGGGTAGCCGCCATGTCACACCTCCCCACTACCGTAAAACTCCTGCTCTTTCGATTAACGCTAGACATAGGGTTTCGGGAACTATAGCTAGTGCGAATACTTAAATGCTGCGTTTGCCTTGCTGTACATACAAATAATTATTACTCTATTTAATTCTAGCTTAATAACTATACTATAGCTCTTAAAATATACATTTTAAGCTTAAATTTAAAGTTAATATATATTAAACTTAGGTTTTTTTTAATTTTTAATATATAACGTAATATTTATTACGTAGCGTAGCTTATATGTACAGCTTAGCTACTTAGTACTATATAAGATATAGCGTTTAAACGTTAAAGTTATACCTATAATTAAAGCTATATTTTATAAGTCTTAAGTTTTAGCTAAGTATTCTAAAAAATATATATATAGCTAGTAAATTTATAAAGCTTAGTATTAAAAAGTAAATATAAGTAATAGTAGTAAATACTATAGAGTAGGCTCTAAAATTCTCCTAATTCTTTACTAGTATAATAAGTAGTACTAAATTATAGCAGTGTTTTACCTAATTAAGTAATACTAAGTTACTAGTATAATACTAAGAACTTTAAGAACTTTAAACTTTAAAGTTTATTAAAATAATCTAAATAACTCTATAACTTTAACGCCTACGCCTATTATAATATTTTAACATTTTACCTATTACTATGCTTTAATTACAGCTTTATCTCCTTCTTCTTCTTCTCTTCCTCTAGCTTTACTATTTTAGGTAAGCTAAGAGAATTCCTAGCGCTATTAATAATAATAGGATTTAACTAAATCTAGTCTTTAGTATTCTTTACTAAAAGTTACTCTATTAAGCTAGCTTTATTTATCTAGCTACCTTTAGGTATATTTCTACTCTTTATTACGCACTTTAAATTAGATACTAATATAGCTTTATAACTCTTTTTTTACTAGGTAAGTATCTTACCTTTATCCTCTAGTAGTAAGTAGGTAAATATATTATTATTACTTTTTTTAATTTTAATATTAGCTAGGTCCTTTACTAAGTCTTTAGAGATCTCCTAACTAGTAAAGTCTACCTTATTAATAAAGTCTTTAATCTTAATTAAGTAGTTATTAGTACTAATAGGGTTAATAGTAATACTAGTATAGATAAAGAAGTCTTTAATAAGCTATCTTTTTTAGCTATTTAGGTTATTCTAGGTATTAGTAACAGCCCTTATTACTGCTATCTACTGTGCTAAAATTACTATCTATTTTATTAGGTTCTTCTCTAAAGTATTATTATCTAATATTAACTTAAGCTTCTTCCTTAATAATACCTTAAATAACTTATTAATAGCTACGTCTAATAGTTAGAGTAGTCTAGTATATCTACCTAGTATTATTATAAGATAGATACGTTTCTCCTAAAGTTTTACCTTTATAATATCTATTTTATAAAAGGCAGCGTAGTCTATTATAAGTAAGCTATTACGTCCTTCTAATATATTAAATAGTTCTTTATCTAACTATTTAACTAGGAGCTCTTTATTATTATATACGCTTAGGTTAACTTTAATAGTAATATAAAAGTTCTATTTAACTTACTCCTTTTTATTAAGCTTACCTTCTACTATACTATAAAAAATAAGCTTTAGCTTAAGTCTTAGTATACTATTAGTAAATACGTATAATACTAGAGTAGCTTAGCGCTTAGCCTAGCTAGAGTTAGTAATATTCCTAGTAACTATATACTCTTCTTTAATATAGTAAGTATACTTATTAAAAAACTTAAAAGAAATTAGTACTTTATCTATATTAATAATATTAGATAGCTAGAAGCACTAGTAGCAGCTAATTATTATCTAGACTAGTAAGTTCTAATAAATAAACTAAAGAAATTAATTTATAAGTTTAAGGTAGTAAAGTAGAAGATACTAGCTAGTATAAGTAAGTTATTACTAAAATATATTCTATTACTAAAGAAAACGTTTAAACTAGCTATTTAAGAATATAAACTAGAGCTTCTATTAAAGGTTAGTAATTCTAGTTTTTCCTATATAATAATTATATTTACTAACCTGCCTATTCTTATCTAGCTTATACCTATAGAACGTCTTAAAGATAATCTTCCTCCTCTAGTAAAACTAGTATTATAAAACCTTTTATTCTAACTACTACTACTTAATAAACTACCTAAATAACTTAAGCTTAAACTTAAGATACTTCTTATAGCTATTCTTTAATACTATAACCTAACTACCTTAGCTTATTATAACTATCTTATACCTTATTACCTATATATTATATGCAGTAGTTTTAGGAATTAAGAACTTCTTAGCAGCGTTAGTAAGCGTTAGAGGTCTCTAGTAGCTATTATACTTAAGCCTCTTAAGGCACTGCTGCTTCTATATAGTCCTATTATAGTACTTCTTATACTTAATCTAATAGTATATAAAGTATAGAATAATCTTAATCTTCTATTAAACTAATTAGACTATATAGGTCCTTAATAACAGCTAAGACTTTTTATATATAGGCCTTATACTAATTAACTTATTAATAGTTTTATTACTATAGTTCTAGTATAGCTTATTAAAATAGTTAGAGGTAAGGTTACTTACTATAAGATTACTAAGCGTAACCTGCTTATTTAAGAGAGTTTTAGGTAAGAGGCCTATAGTTATTAATATATAGGTAGTTAAATTTAATAAATTACATAAGTTTTATAAGCTGTTTTAAGATAGGACAAAGAATAGATTAGGCTCCTAGGCTAATAAAATTTTTAGTAGATTCTAATATTAGCCTAAGTGCTACTTAGAGGTATTTATTAGAGCGTCTATTTAGCACTCCCGCCACCCCTACTAGCGTTAATCGAAAGAGCAGGAGTTTTACGGTAGGTGCCATCGCGAGCTGATTGGGCTCAAGCTGAAACACGAACTTGACACCGTCAGAGCACAACCACCACTGCTCCAGTTACCAACCGTACATTTTGCGAGGAGCCTAGTGACACTTGCAAATTAACGGGTCGGCGACAATGCTGGGCCAGTGCTCTCTCGTCTTCTATTTTCATGTCAAACAATGCTCAAGGCGGCTAATGGAGCTTCAAAACCAGATGGGAGCCCAGGGAGCAATGGATTCAACATTCTAGCCCTGAGGTCGTCTGCACTGTCATTTGTTTGAGACAAACAGTTCCTGCTTTTCCCTTACCGTTTTTTGCTGTAATACCCTTGATCTTGTCGATCGTTTTCCTCATTAATAGTGTCGTGTGCCAGTCTCTTTCTATCTGTCTATTGCTGCTCTCGTTTTTCAGTCTACGCGCGCGTCTTTCCAGGCATTCATTCTCTTTCCTTGCACATTTCGCTTCTCTAGTTTAGATAACTGTCTTGACGATGGCTATCTTTTCCATGGTATTGCTGCTGGCAGCTTATTTTTCCACCGTAACTGCAGGGCCGGTCCCAAGAAGACAAGTGTAAGTCCAACATCTCATATACACATACGCATACTAATTCTGATGATATAGCTTCACCAGCGATGTCAATACAATCTCGACGGTTGTCTCCACTGATCAAGTGGTCAATGCAGAGACAGCTGTCGTAGTTGTGCCTATCCAGCCCACACTCATTGAGCACACACTACCAGCTATCACATTCGTCAACCCAAGCGGCGAGCCCCTCGTCACACAACAACCTGAGACCGTTCTTTCGACCTCTTTCATCACATCCCCAGTCCTAACACCGACGTCTGTCGATATCTCAGGCGCAACGCCTACACCGTCTAGCACAGATGTGAAGGAACCAGCAACATCATCTTACGAGAGTAAGGGACCAACCTCTTCCAGTGTAACATTCTCGCCCACCGCGTCCGGCTCGCTTGCAGTTGTGGAAAGTGGAACTCCTAGCGAAACAAGTTACAAGGCTCCCATGTTCACGTACTCACCTGAAGAGGATGAGTCGAGTACAATATTGATATCTTCCACCGCATTTGCAACGACAGCATCAAGCTCTGCCATGGTTGCTTCGACAACCTCTTCAGCTGTCTCTTTGGAAATCTCTTCAATGGCTTCTCTGATAACCTCTTCGATGGCTTCTTCAACGGCCTCGCCGACAGACACACCATCAATGCAGAACTCCACAAGCCTACCAGGTTTCAGTTTCAACGCGACTGCCTCTCAAGGCGCAGACATCCCACAGAGTTCTGCGGTTGTATCTGTCATCATTAGTTCTGCCGTCACCGAATCGGCCGTACCAACGTCGTCTCTGCCTGTTTTCGAGAGCTCTGGGGTACTGACACCCCCTGTTGTCACGAGTCAATTCCCTACAGCTATGCCATCAGGGGTGGCGAACTCAACTACCACGACTGGTGCAGCCGTGATACAGACAGAATACACGACCGTCTTTCCGACACTATCTGCATCGACTCTCCTGTCCTCTGCAGATCAGACGCCTTACTCGGTTTCCACCGCATCATCGCTGACTCAAGAAGCCATTGCGAGTTCGTCCATGATCTCAGAAATCGGAAGTACGCCCACCACATCTGTTCAAACCCAGAATGTGGCTTCAGCGTCTTCCACCGTGGCAGCCTTGCCGTCAACGTCCTTGGTACCGCCGCCTGTTATCATCGTCACGCAGTACACAACAGTTGCGCCGACAATGACACCTGTGTCTTCCAACACACCAGAGATTCCTACTACATCCGCACTCCCCGAGCCAGTTCCTACTTCGTCCGCGCTCCCTGAGCCAGTGCCTACCACCTCCGCGCTCCCGGAGCCCGTGTCTACTTCCTCCACACTTCCCGAGCCAATGCCAACTTCATCGGCCTCGTCATCCGTCTCTGTCAGCCCATCGAGTTCCACCTCCGAACTGCCAGTACCTACACCCACATCATCCATTTCCATTTCCATCTCAGAGCCAGCGCCGTCGTCAAAAACGCCCATGACCTCATTGCTACCTTCCTCCACTGGATATGCGCCTTCATCCATGGTGGCGTCGGACGCTGCACCGAGTACAACGGCGACGCCGGCGCCGACACCAGTACCGGCATCATCATCCGTATCATCAACATCTGAAGGGCCGCTTATCATTACGCCTATTGCGCCGAGTCAGATCTTCACGATTACTGTGACGGAGAAGGAGAAGGAGACTGTTACTGAGACGGCGACTGTCACTGTGACTGCTTAGATGAAGTGTGTGCTGGGAAGGATGGTAATCGGCGCGTTGCAAGATTAAATTTCATAAAATTAGCGAGAATAAGTTAAGACTGCAAAATAATATCACATCGCATTTTGAATCACAGTTTGGAAATTGTGACACTTTCTTCTTCTTCCCTAGATTGTGATGAGATATCTATAGAACATGGCCAAGTGGAAACATGTACCTTCAATCATTGCACGTTCATGCTATCCGACACGTGCCACTCACTTCGGGCTCGTTCGGTCATTGCCATTTCTACATACTCTATCCAAGTCATGTATGAACAGGCACTCTCAAGACGCTCCGTCCTCAATACCCACTCTGTTCCCTCCTCTCATTCGACCCAGCGCCCCCATCCTCGTCATCTGTACTCGTCTTCGCGCCGACAGCAGCATCCTGGATGCCCTGCTCGTCGCCCCTCAGCTTCTCAAAGTAAGCCTTGACGTCCTCGGCGCCTACAGCCTGTCCCGACTCGGCAAACGGTTTCAAGAACGCTGCTACTTTGTCCTTCAGGTGAGCATATGCCATGGCACCCTGGATGGCCTTGACCCGGTCCATGTTGTTGAAAGCCGCTTCGCCGCGGTCCAGAATCGAGCCTGTGCCCGCTGATTGGGCGCCGTCGCCGTCGCCCTCGGAAACGGGCGGCTCGTAGGTGTCTTCTTCTTCGAGAAGCTGGGCGTGTGGCTTCAGGAGGGGGAAGCAAGATGCGCAGCGGCAGAGGTGGTCGCGAAAGTCGGGTTTGAGGAAGAGCGACATGGGTGTTGTGAGGGCGAGAGTTGGAAGAGGTGGTAGGGCATTTAGTTTGCATGTTGCAGGCTCTTCTTTCCTCTTTGGTGTTATGGGCAGGGTTATTGTGTCCTCGGGGATGCTAGATAGGGCGTTGCTGGGATCCTCGGACTTCTGGCGCTTAGCTGGAGCCGGCATCAACAGGGTTGCTGTGTTGGGTTCTTCTTGGTCATCGTCGGAGGCTTTGCGTTTCTTGGATTCACCTTCTGTAGAACCAGAAGGTGGAGCGGCTGTTTCTGTGGCTTGAGCAATGTTGATGTCTTTCTCAAAGTAAACAGGTGGTAAGAACCCGGGAGAGCCAGCGTACTTCTGGATCCAAGGGTTTGCCTGAATACACTTGAAGCAGAGGAAGTGGTCGAAGTCATCTTCAGGAGGGAAACCTGGGGGCAATGGAGCGTCTTCGTCTTCATCGTCATCTTCTCCAGCTCTAGCTGCAATATCATTGCCATCTATGCCGCTGTCGGTTGCTACCGCAGCAGTGATACTTGTCGTGGCAGGTGGCTCCGTCGCCTCCGTAGATGTATTCGTCTGCTGCTCTACCGTGGGCTTGTTGTTTTCCTTCTCAGGAACAACCATCTTCTCAGTTGCGTTATTCGTCTCTTCTGTTTTTGACTTTTCGATCATCTTCCCATATTCTTCTCGGGTGAAGCCAACAAGACACTCAGGATGCCACCAATCTTCACCACAGCCGCCATCTTCGCATGTCCCCAACCCAAGGCACTGAAACATGGTCCCTCTCTCTTGGTCCGCATCGTAGTCTTCTCCGCAGCCACAGAATTTGTTCTTGAAGTTTTGGTTGTAATTGTTGGTCTTCGCCGGCTCTTCCCCACTGACGTCTCCCTTCTGCCCAGTCGTCGGGTTAAGACGGAGCGTGCAAGGTGCCGTCTCCGGTATTCGAGTCGTACCGCAGTCGCAGATAAAATCGCGCTTGCTGAAGAGCTCGACAAGGGTGTGTTCACCATGGCAGGAGATCGAGCACGAGTAGCAGACACCTGCTGGGGTGTACGGATCGGATGGCGTGGGAGGTGGATTGCATGTCAGACACGCGTAGAGGCTCTGTCGAAGGGGACCGAGGTCGCGAGTGCAAGTATCGAATTGCTAGGCAGTGTTAGTCGAGGCGCATGTCTGAGGATGGAAGACTGACATAGGGCAGAGCTTCGCGTGCTTCAGCCTCGAGGCTCAGCTGTTCCTTGATGAATCTATTACACGTAAGTCAGGCGCATTTGCGCAAAGCCAGAATTAGTATTTACTCTGCTGCGGTCTGCGAACTCTCTGATGCTTGCGACATGCTGCTGGACCGTGGTTTCGCAGACATGGTCGTGGATTGCAAATCCGCCATAATGTGTTTTCGCAAGTAAGTATTTGAGTTCAAAACAGAATGGGAGGAGTCGCCCAGATCAGTTCAATGAAAAGAAGTTATAGAACGCAATGCGATTGTACAGATCTGGAGAGGTCAAACTGACAGAGCTACAGCAAGTAGCAAAAAGACACTAGACCTAAAGGGAGCTTAAGTGGGAAGCAGCGCGTCTTGTTGTTTCGCGTTGCTTTCGCGCCAGCCGCCCCCACATCTTAACTCTTCCACCCATCGACCCCTCTGTTGGTACTCGCTCATACAATTTGTGCACAATCTAGAACCGCACGTTGAACCATCATGAGGTTAGTACTCTTGATTTCTCACCTTGTCGCGATGGTAACGACAACGGAGCTTCTGCCCCTCTTCACCGTTAGTCCAAACATCTAACAAAGTTCAGTTCACCACCACTTCGTTCGAATATGTCTTCTGCAAATCGGGGCGTAGGGCCTAGTAGCCGGAACACCAAACGTACTAGGGACGATGAAGATCTCCCTTCTTCTGCGGCGCATCCGCCTTCGAGTCGTGAGTAAACAATGAAACGAATGATAGTAAACAACTAACAGTATCCAGCAATGGCCTCTTCTCCTCCCATGTTACCCCAGGACGATGATGCAGACATGCTTGACGACGACGATTTAATCCGCGATGTTGACGATCTGGACGAAGGCGCCGAAGAAGCTGAAGGAATTGATCTTTTCGCGGACGATTTCGAGAACGACTACAGAGCCCGAGAAAACGACGCCTATGAAGGCGAAGGTATCGACGATGAAGGGGAATACGATGAACTCAGTCCTGAACAGAGGAGAGAGCTGGAGCGCCGTCTCAATGCTCGTGATCGAGAAGCCAGGCGTCGCATGCCTGCCGCTTTTTTGCCAGACGATGATGATCAGGACGGTCTAGCTGACCTTATGGGACGCCGCCGTGTACGGAGACATCGATATGACGAGGAAGATGACATGGATATGGGCGACGACATCATGAACGAAGAATTGTCGCTGGAGGCCCTTACCGATGTGAAAGCCAATACTTTGACCGACTGGGTTGCTCAGCCACAGGTCACCAGGACTATCGCTCGCGAATTCAAGTCATTCTTGACAGAATACACAGATGAGCATGGAACTTCGGTGTATGGTACTCGCATTCGAACGCTTGGTGAGGTCAACGCCGAGTCCCTGGAAGTCTCCTTCGACCACCTTGCCGAATCGAAAGCTACGCTAGCTTACTGGCTTGCCAACACACCCACGGAGATGCTGAAGATTTTTGACCAGGTGGCTATGGAAGTTGTACTTCTACACTACCCAGACTACGAACGTATTCATTCCGAGATTCACGTCCGCATCACCGACGTACCTGTTCAATATACACTTCGCCAGCTTCGCCAATCGCATTTGAACAGTCTAGTCCGCGTTAGTGGAGTCGTCACTCGCCGAAGTGGAGTTTTCCCTCAACTCAAGTACGTCAAGTTTGACTGCTTGAAGTGCGGCGTTACTCTGGGTCCGTTCCACCAGGATTCAAATGTCGAAGTCAAGATCTCTTTCTGTCAAAACTGCCAATCGCGTGGACCGTTTAGCGTCAACTCTGAGCGAACAGTCTACCGCAACTATCAGAAACTCACATTACAGGAGTCTCCAGGAACCGTTCCTGCTGGTCGTCTGCCCCGACACAGAGAGGTCATTCTCCTCTGGGATCTAATTGATTCCGCTAAGCCTGGTGAGGAGATTGAGGTGACTGGTATCTATCGCAACAACTATGATGCAGCTCTTAACAACAAGAATGGCTTTCCAGTGTTTGCCACTATTCTGGAAGCTAACTACGTCGTCAAATCTCATGACCAGTTGGCTGGCTTCCGATTGACCGATGAAGACGAGCGCGAAATCCGACGATTAGCCAAGGATCCCAAGATTGTGGATAAGATCATCAATTCTATTGCTCCGAGTATCTACGGGCATACGGATATCAAAACTGCCGTCGCACTGTCACTCTTTGGAGGTGTCAGCAAGGAGGCTCCAGGGCGACATTCTATTCGTGGAGATATCAATGTCCTTCTTCTGGGAGACCCTGGTACTGCCAAATCTCAGATCTTGAAGTACGTCGAGAAGACTGCTCATCGCGCTGTCTTTGCAACCGGTCAAGGTGCTTCCGCTGTTGGTCTCACAGCCTCCGTTCGCCGTGATCCCATGACGAGCGAATGGACACTGGAAGGTGGCGCGCTGGTGTTAGCAGACAAGGGTACCTGTTTGATTGATGAGTTTGACAAGATGAACGATCAAGATCGAACGTCCATCCACGAAGCTATGGAACAGCAAACCATCTCCATCTCGAAGGCGGGTATCGTCACTACCCTCCAAGCCCGATGTTCCATCGTTGCAGCTGCTAATCCCATCGGCGGCCGCTACAATTCGACTATTCCGTTCTCCCAGAATGTTGAACTCACCGAACCCATTCTGTCCCGTTTCGATATTCTATGCGTGGTCCGCGATACTGTAGACCCGACTGAAGACGAACGACTGGCAAAGTTTGTTGTAGCTTCCCACGGACGAGCCCATCCTCATGTAAATGCCTCCTATGGATACTCGGATAAGTCAAAGGCGACTCAGGATGGCGACGACGAAGAGAGTATGGAAGTTGACAGTGGAAATGCTCCAGTTAAAGACGGAGAGATTCCACAAGAATTACTGAGGAAATACATCTTGTATGCAAGGGAGAAGTGCAGACCAAAGCTGTACCAGATCGATCAAGACAAGATGGCCCGTCTCTTCGCTGATATGCGTCGAGAGTCTATGGCGACTGGTGCCTACCCTATCACCGTAAGTATTGTCCCTGTCGCAGTCATCTCACATGCTAACGATGAGTAGGTCCGTCATCTTGAAGCCATCATGCGTATCTCAGAGTCCTTCTGTAAGATGCGCTTGTCTGAGTACTGCTCCTCTATAGACGTTGATCGCGCAATTGCTGTGGCCGTCGATTCATTTGTCGGCTCGCAGAAGGTCAGCGCAAAGAAGGCTTTGGCAAGGTCGTTTGCCAAGTATACGCTCAACAGGCCTGGTGCTGTTAAAGCTCCCACCCGAGGCGGTCGACAGGCTCAACGCGCAGCTGCTTGATGGATCGGAGGGAGGGAGGGATTGAGTGGATGAAGGTTTTGGTACGGAGTAACACGATACTTTTCAAACATGATGGATGAGGATGCAATGATACCAGGTCAGGGAGCATGTGTAAGCAGGAACTGTTTGATGTCATCTAGATGGCGGGCGCTTGGAGTATGTTGAGTACCGTGATTCTATTTGTACTGAACTGATATATATTCAATCTATACTAAAATTTCCTCCTCACGAATCAAGTCAGACCAGGTAGAGAACCAGCAGTACTTCTTTCTCCTTCCTGTATGACTGCGGACGATGGAAATTGCAATGCAGCAATAGTCAGTTTACTTGGAAGAGGTTAATGTCCTTCATGAATGGACAACATAACTCTCGAAAATAGTTCTCTGACAGCTCTGGGTGTTCGTAGTCATCAAGACCTGATCAAAGTGTAATGACCAAAAGTGGCTAGCTTGTTGTGAATCTTGGCGCTCGGTTAACGCTGGAACCCACCAAACTTTTGCGCTCCCTCAACGACCAAACGACAATTCTACCGGAGCGCAACAACACCCCTCAGGAACCACCAGAAATACATTCCTGCGCGCAAAGATGGCCCCTAAGAAGAACAAGAGAACCGCCGACTCCATCAACTCGCGCCTGGCGCTTGTGATGAAGTCCGGAAAGTACGTTCGCTCACCTCCATGGACGCGGACAGAATGCTGATTTTGTAGGGTTACTCTCGGTTACAAGTCAACCCTGAAGAGCCTGCGATCTGGAAAGGCCAAGCTCGTCATCATTGCTGGCAACACTCCTCCTCTGAGGAAGTCTGAGCTCGAGTACTACGCCATGCTTTCCAAGACCTCTGTCCACCACTTCTCTGGCAACAACGTACGTACAACCTGAACCATTCTCATGGCCCAACGACGAGACACCTGGAAGGCATACTGGGTGTTCTCCGAGGGCTGGCCCTGAGAAGAGGTCTGATCATGACTTCGGAGGGCTATCCACTAACATGTCGGTAATACAGATCGAGTTGGGTACCGCTTGCGGTAAGCTCTTCCGCTGCTCCACCATGTCCATCCTCGACGCTGGTAAGTTTTCATCCTTGAACGCGTATGATCTGCGGGAGACGCTAACACTTTTCCAGGTGACTCTGACATCCTGACCACCAACACCGAATAAGCGCGAGGAAAGGGCTAGGACAATGGGGCAAGATAGACATGATACCTTGGGCATGGCGTAGTGCGCTGTGTGACGATATTCAATGAATGAACAAATTGACGAGCCATCAAGGACTCTTGCCAACACTTCATCCGTGCACCTTGACATGTGTGACTTGTGCGTTCTCCCCTGCGATTGATAAGCTCCATGAAACATCCTATCGTCTCATGCCGAACTGCTGCCGAAGATGGATTTCAAAGCAGTGTGGCGCAAAGCAAGCTCGCTTAGTGCTTGGCGTGGTTGGTAAGCATGCCCACCCACGATTTCCACAACGACGTGACTCCAACGACTTGCCCCTTCGACACCACTAACGTATAAAGAAGACAGGGTAAGGTACGGCTGTCGAACTATCGCTCCTGCTGGGAAACTCACCACTGACGTTCTCCTCCAGTTCGCGCACCTGCTATCGCTCATTTCGACCGTCGGACACGCGCTCACTGATCTCAAACAGTCGACAAAATGGCTCGCCGTCCCGCCCGTTGCTACCGTTACTGCAAGAACAAGCCCGTACGTCATACGAGAGAGGAAAGGCGAGGAGAAGGAATGGCAGACTGACTTCGCTTCAGTACCCCAAGAGCAGGTTCAACCGTGGTGTTCCCGATGCTAAGATCCGCATTTTCGATCTCGGCCGCAAGAAGGCCAACGTAGACGACTTCCCTCTCTGCATTCACCTCGTCTCCAACGAGTACGAGCAGCTGTCCTCCGAGGCTCTCGAAGCCGCCCGTATTTGCGCCAACAAGTACCTCGTCAAGATTGCCGGAAAGGAAGGTTTCCATCTCCGTGTCCGTGTCCACCCATACCATGTCGTCCGTATCAACAAGATGTTGTCGTGCGCTGGTGCCGATAGGCTCCAAACCGGTATGCGTGGTGCTTTCGGCAAGCCCAACGGTCTTGTCGCCCGTGTGAACATTGGCCAGATCCTCATGTCCGTCCGAACGAGGGATGCGCACCGCGCCACCGCCCTTGAGGCGCTGAGGCGATGCCAGTACAAGGTATGTTGGAATGAGTAGAAGACGGTAGGACTATATGCTGACAACGTTGCAGTTCCCCGGTCGCCAGAAGATCATCGTCTCCAGGAACTGGGGTTTCACCCCTCTCCGCCGCGAGGAGTACGTCGAGAAGCGCCAGGAGGGCAGGATCAAGATCGACGGCGCCTACGTCCAGTTCCTCCGCAACAAGGGTAACCTTGCGTCGAACATGAAGCGCTTCCCCCAGGCTTTCGCTCAGGAGGCTTAGATTTTGGGCGAGTGATGAGAGCGTTCGATGATGATCATGCACATTGGGTCAAATGGGATACCGGTTCAAGGCGTTTTCAGTCATGAATGAGGTTGAGGGTGAATATCTGCGGGATGCGCTGTAGAGAAGAACCAATATTCAGCCCGACAATGACAATGATACAACAAGCATGATCCTTAATCTGATGTTGAGTACCGTGCTGGTGATGTACATTTGAACTGATGCTCAGTAAGACCTTGAGGCCCGTACATCTTGCGCCCGCGCACGCGTTATTGGAAGTCAATGGAATACAGAATTGGTAAACTTCACTTGATAGATTTTCCTCTCCATAGTAGTAGTGTCACATAAACCTCAAGTATTCTCCTAAAAATGGTATTGTACTCTTCAATGAATGCTATGCTCTGTATGGTATCACATGATAATCCCATCCCATCTGGGACAAAACAACCCAACCTAAACGCCAATTCCCATCCCATCCCCATCAAAATCCAAAACGCCTATACAAACACCCATCCAAGTCCAACCCCCAACCTTCAAAAAACAAATCTCTCACACACCAACGCCCGCCGCCCCCCTCCCCTCAGCCTGCGCCTTCGAAAACTGCTGCAGCAGCTGCAGCACACCGCCACGATTCGCACCGGGCGCCTCCTCCTCCTCCTCGTCATCATCCTGCGCGAGACGACTCGTGCGCCACGAGTCGCCAATCGTGCTCTCCTCCTCGATGCGCGAGCCGGGATGCACGGATTGGTCGGGGAGATGTGGTCTGTAGCGGGGGTGTTGGGTTGAGCGCGGGGGGCTGCGCAGGGTGGAGGCGGAGGAGGGGTGGTGGTGGGGGTCGAGGAGGAGGGAGGACATTGGGTCGTCGCGGGGGTGGCGGGGGGTGCGGCGGTGGGGGGTTGGGCGCGCGGAGGAGGATGGGGCTCTGGATGAGGTGTGGGCGGGGGGTTCGAGGGGCTGGGCGGTTTGCGACATTGCGCCGAAGGCGTTGGGGAACTGCGGGGGCGGGTGGAAGCTGCCGCGGCCTTGGAGGCGGTTGTTGTAGTTCCTTGGGCCGGAGGTGGCGTAGGTGTCGAGGAAGCCGTAGTAGGAGGCGAGCATCTTGTTGTCCTTGGCCATGAAGTAGTCTTCGCGGAGGTCGACGTCTTCTCTTTGTCCGGCGGGTCTGTTGGCGGGGTTGTTGATGGTGTTGGTGGCGTTTTGGGTGCCTTTGTTGAAGGGGAACATGGAGTATGAGCATGTGACGCCTAGGCCGTCGACTACGATGCTGAATTCGCGGAAGAAGTCGACGATGCGCTCGCTGCAGTTTGGGAGGCGGAAGATGAGTAGGAAGGGCGTGATGACCATGCTTAGGATCTCTTCGGCGAAGATGAGGATCTTGGGTTGGTAGAGTTTTGCGAATTCGGCGCGTACTTCATCGGTGTGGAGACGGTCTTGCCAGGAGTCTGGCATGTAGCGGATGTGGCCGATGACGTGTTCGATGTAGTAGGACGGGTCTGCTACTTGGTCTTCCTGGGGGCTGCTTCCACGAGCGACCCGGTAGATGGTGGATAGGATACCGATCCAGAAAATGGCGGTTTTTCCAGGTGTGATCTCAAAGTTGAGGAATAATTCTGAATCAAGAAGCGTAAAGACGACCAGGATGGAGGCAAAGGCTCCTGCAACGAAGGCTACGAATGAAGATACCTGCTCTGTCTTGTCCTTTGGAAATTGTGCAAGGTACAGATTCGCAAAGGGGTAGGCCATGTTACGGCGGCGATTGAAAAGATGAGGCAGCTCGTTGAACTCGCGAAACTTCCATTGGGCGAATATGGTAAAGTCGCGATTGCTAAGCTGGCCAGGGTCTTTGTGGTATTCCTGAGATTGTCAGTCACAAATTCTGATACGTGTGGAATACAACATACTGTGAAGTACTTGAACAGGTACGATGCAAGCACAAAGACGACGGCGAACGGTGCGCAGATGATGCTGATGATGCCTGTCCAGAAGAAACGAGTTTTCAGCCTCTTCACCAGCTCACGTCGATTTCGCTCCTTCAAAAAGTCTTGATTGAATTGGCCGTTGGGTCCACTACTAAAGACAAAGTCCATCACAGCGAGGTTGACATGCCATCTCGTGGTCTCGGAGAAGACATATCTGTTCCCCAGGAATGGAATCGGGACTGTCACATCGAGGATCTCCTTGTTGAAAAGGGCTATCAGGTAGTTCTCACGTCGCATGAGTCGGCTGGCAATGTCCACAGCATCCAGTCGTTGTCTGCTCTTGGAGTCGAGCAACTTGCGGGTCTCGGGTGACAGGTTTGAGGCGGTGGTTAAGTTCAGATCGCGTAAGGCCATGACTCGGCTCACGACTGACTGCCACTGGACGGTCTGGATGTCTTGGTCTGGGATGTCGAGGAGATGGTGGTAGAAGTCATGCATGGCTCGCAGTCTTGGAAGGTCTGTAACCATCTGATAAATGGAGAACAGCCAGTACATGATGAAGAACCACAAGGCGAAGATCCAGAAGCCATGTATCCTGGTCTGGAGTTAGTAATGAGTAAAGGTTAGAAGGTGGCGTTCACGTACCGCTTCGTGCACTTTGGCACCAGCACTTGGCTCATCTTGTGGCTCTCTGAAAGCTTGGAGTAGTCGATGCACCAACTAAGGAACGTCATGAAGCCGACGACGAAAGCGGATTGCCTGCACCTGTCAGCTGGTGTGCGTTGGTGGGAGGCGCGGAACGACCCACAGAAGCGTGAGGAACCTCCGCAACAGCATGGAGTATATGCCGCAGCCAATGTAGTATTCGTAGACGTCGCGCATGTACGTGTCCAGGTCGGTCTGGTTCACCCACAGCCACAGGGCCTTCTCCTTGGGGTTCGCAGTGAACTGGCCTGGTCTGCCTGTTTGACCCCACGCACGCGACGGGGCACTTGCAGCCTCGGTATGCAACTGCTGCTGTCTCCTTGTCGTGTCCCACTGTGCTCGAGCCTGGTGCGTCGAAGGGCCTGGTACGGGGGGCGGCAGGCCGTCGAGGCGCTGGTTCGGGTTGGTGGACGGGCCTCCTTCCAGCAGCAGCGACTGCGGCACGTCGTCATCGTCGTCTATGTGGGCATGTCGAGCAGGAGCCGGCTGTCTCCATCCCGCGCTTCGCTTTGCAGTCTTGGTCCCAGGCGCGTGGCTCTCGACCGTCATGTGGCTGGAGGCCGTGTCTGCCAGCAGGTGCTCGAGGTCCTGCGGCTCAAAGCGCGCGCCCAAGTTCTCCTCGTCAATATCCATAGCGTGTTGTCCGTCGGTGGAGGAGGAGTGGCGGCGGTGCGCGTCGTTCAGCGGCTCGGTTTCGTACGGCACATCCGAGGCGGCTGGGAGGAGCCTGGAGAAGATGTTGGACGCCATCATGGTGTTCTCGGGTGACGCGCAGGCAACGGCGGGGTCTGGCCTGTTGGAAGGTGGTTCTGGGCAGAGGTTTGGGGGAGAAAATGCTCAGAAGGTCGGTAGGCCTCCATGAATACCAACAGGGCTCTAGTCAGCGATCATGTTGGTCGTGACCGCTGCGTCGTGTGCTTCACATGTGAGCTCTCGAGTGACGCCAAGTCCGATAACGCGATTAGAGCTTCCGCGTGGTCTTTCCCCTCTGTCCAACGCCACAGGCATCGTCTCAACATGTCCACGGGCTATTTCCAGGAGCGTGCAACGCCCATCTCCCAGAATGGTGCTTCACCAGCCACCCCGTCTGTAGCATCTCGTGGCGCCAATGCCCTGTCTAGTCGAATCACGAGCGTGCTCTCCGCTTCTTACGCGGATTTAGAGATTCGCGATGCTTTGGAGACACTCGATGCTCGTCAAATACAAAACTCAGCAGAGACCAGACGTCAACTCCGGTTGCATGTTCAGAAAGAAGTGATTCAATGTAATGGCGAGATCGTAAAGGACTTTGGAGAGGTTGCTGAGGTGAGCACGTTGATCGTTGCAACTGTCCAACCACTAAACCATAGCAGCAACTGAAGCGCATTGGAACGGCCATCAGTAGTTTGAACAGCTACTGTGCTGACATGCGAAGTCATATTGCAGCTGCAAATCGAGAAACTGGACCCGTTTTGGAGGAGGCCACCAATCTGATGAATCAGAAGAAACAGGCCGAAACCAAGCAACAAATTCTGCACGCCTTCCAGTCTCATTTCATCATATCTGAAGAAGAAGCCACCGTACTTTCGTACACCGCGGAACCCGTCAACGAGGATTTTTTCCAAGTGCTCACCCGGGTCAAGAAGATTCACCACGACTGCCAGGTACTACTCGGAACCGAAGACCAGCGACTGGGCTTGGAAGTACTGGAGCAGAGTTCAAAGCAGCTGAATGCCGCTTTCCAGAAGCTCTACCGCTGGATACAGCGCGAGTTCAAGACTCTGGATCTAGAGAACCCACAGATTAGCGCCTCCGTGAGACGGTCTTTGCGTGTGTTGGCAGAACGGCCTGCTTTGTTTCAGAGTTGTCTGGATTCGTTTGCTGAGGCGCGAGAGTCCATCTTGTCCGATTCGTTCCACGCAGCGCTGACTGGATCGACATCTGAAGCGGAGCATATTGCCACGAAGCCGATTGAATTTCACGCTCACGATCCTCTACGCTATGTTGGAGACATGCTCGCTTGGGCTCATTCGGCTACTGTGTCGGAACGGGAAGCTCTAGAAAATTTGTTCATCTCGGATGGTGATGAGATCAAGCGTTCCATCCAAGCAGGTCTCGAGAGCGAGCCATGGTTGAGGGATGATGGAGACGAAGAAGTGTTTGACGGGAAGAAGGCTCTGAACCAGCTCGTCAGCCGGGATCTGACAGGCGTAGCACGTCTGCTGCGACAAAGAACAGAGCAAGTGATCCAGAGCCACGAGGACGCCACTCTGGCATACAAGATTGCAAACTTGATCGGCTTCTACAAGAGCACATTCGTCAAGCTCCTCGGCTCGGATTCCGAAGTCATGGACATGTTCGACACACTAGAAGGCTCAGCCATGCGACAATTCCGCGCCAACATGAGGGACTACGTCGCCGCTGTGCAGAGCGACGTAGCCGTCGCACCAGCCGACCTCTCACCCCCTGAGTTCCTAGACGACGCACTCAAAACACTCAAAGCTCTCGCCAAAAGCTACGACACATCCGTCACGACAATGGACGACGGCGAAAACGACTTCGAATCCGTCCTCACTGAGGCACTCGACCCCTTCATACACGGCTGCGAAAACTTAACCAAGCGAATGCAGCAGCCCGAAAGCGCAATCTTCGCTATCAACTGCCTCGTCGCGGTCAAAGATGTCCTCGCGCAATACACCTTCGCTAGCGAGCGGGTGGGCGAGATGGACGACACCATGGACGAGCATGTTGCGGAGCTCGTCGAGCATCAACACTTGTACTTTGTCCGCGAATCCGGACTCAGCGTGCTCCTCGACGCGCTATCAGCAATCACAGATGAAGCAGACAGTCTCAAAACCATCCCTCAACTCACAGCGTTCAAGCCTGAAGCTCTCATCGCTGCCAGCCAGCAGCTGGACGACTTCCTGCCCTCGGCCCTGATTGATGCGGCTGAGAATCTGAAACGCCTACGCAATAGGAGTATGATTCAGGAGGTCACGGAGGAAGCGGCAGGCAAGTTTTGCGCCGACTTTGAGTCCGTCGAGAGGCGGATTATGGCGGCCGATGACGTGTTGTTTGACGAGAAGGAAGAAAACGGAGACATTGATGAGGAGGAGGATATGGAGCCTGGATTGAGGGATTTGTTCCCCCGGACCAGTGGGGAGATTAAAGTCTTGTTGAGTTGATGAATATCTTCGAATAATACAACCACTCCCGCATATCAGATCTTTCCCCTCCATACCAACCATGTCGAAGTCAGATTCGTGTTCTCATCGTTTCTTGCTTGAATATGCCTGCCCCCCCTTCTCCTCCAATCTTCAATCAACACACCATAACCCAGAAGTACAGAAGTTAAACACAAATGCTCAGTCCGTTCCAAAATGATTCAAGACGGTTTCTTCCTCTCCCACTCCTCGGGCGTGTAGCATTTGGGCGTCCACGCATGAATGGCGGCCACTTCTTCTTTCAGCGCGCCGTTCACCAGGCGGTGCCGCGCTAGTGTTGTTTTCTTGATGAATTGCGCGGACACGATTATAGCTTCGTACATTTGGCCGCAGCCGCCTGGATGGGGGGTTAGGAGGTTTGTGTGTGTGTGTTGGGGGGGGGAGGGGAGGAATGATATGAAGAGAAAAAGATTATCTACATCCTTGACAATGAAGATAATGATGAGAATAACAAAAACAAGGAGGGAAAGAAATGAAAACTGATTGAAGAAGAACACAAACTAAAGGATGTGTAAAAATGCATACACCTAGAAATACACAAAAAAAGAGGTTCCAAACATACCGCTCAAATCCTCAATCTGCACATACTCGGCCCCCAGCACATCCCCCAATTTCTGCTTAATCGCATCGGGCGTGACGCCCGACGTTGGCGGCGCCGTGCCATTGATCGCCGCGCTCATTGTGTATGTGTTTGGTTTTGTTGGGGTGGCGCTGCTGCGCGGGGAGGGGTATGATGGTGAGGGAATCGCGGTCATGGTTGTATGCGGTATGTGAGATGTGGGTTACTATCTTCGGATCTGATAAGATGGAGCTGCGGGGGAGGTTCGGGGGTTATGACGTGTGAGGGGTGGAGGGGCTGTTTTTGTCATGGGTTGGGGGGCATGGTTGGGAACCTGAGTTTGGGGCTGGGTAGGGAGTGTTTATGTATTTCGTTTGGGCTATTTGGGCTATTTGAGATACTTGGGCTGCGTGGGGGAAGTTGGTTGTTGGGTTCTTTAGTAGGGCCGTCGTCTGCAGCAGGTGAGGCGAGGTGCGGTGGGATGTTGCAGGGGAGCTTCTGTCAAGCTTGACCTTGAAACTTGGTCGACGCGTCGTTTTGCGCAGATAGTACATGTTCCGCACACCGCTGAGACGTGGGATTTCTGCTATGAGTGGGGAAAATGTTACGTGTGCGCCGTTTACGAGGGCTGTGGTGAGGGCTATGAAGAAACTGTCAGTCCATCTCTGTTGTGTATACGCTCTTTCTAACAGTCTGCTAGCTACCCGCAAGCCCTCGCAGACAGTTCGTGGGACAACACGGGCTTACTCCTAGAAGCGCCATTTACCCCCTCGCGTCGCCAATCCAACACGGTTCTCCTCACAATCGACCTCACCAAGGCCGTCGCCGACGAAGCCATTGCCCTCAACTCGTCCATCATCGTCGCCTACCACCCCATCATATTCAAGGGTCTGAAATCCCTCACCCTCGCAAACACACAGCAGCAATCCCTGCTACGTCTCGCCAGCCACGGCATCAGCGTCTACTGTCCGCACACAGCCGTCGACTCTGCCCCAGGCGGACTAGGAGACTGGCTCGCCGACATCGTAACAGGCACACCCACCAGCTCCAGCAATGCCGACAAGGAAGCAGAGGACAGGCTATCGAGACTACTGAAGGAAGGCGACAACGACCCGTTTGTAGAAAAACGCCCAACATACACCCTCACGCACCACCCCTCGCAACTCAATCTGCGCACCATCAAAACCCCCTCCCCAACAGCACACAAGCGCCGCCCCGTCGTTCCGCACTCCCCAGCCCTAGAATCTCACCCCGGCGCGGGCATGGGCCGCATCGTGACGTTCGACCAGCCGCAGCCGCTGCCCTCGCTGTTGGACCGCATAGGCAAGGGTCTGAATAACCCGAAGGGCTTCCCCATTGCCATTCCGCAGAACGCTACCGTCGCCGACATCAGTATTCGCAGTGTGGGCATATGCGCTGGCGCGGGGGGCACGTTGCTCAGCGGTTTGGATGTCGATTTGCTGTTTACGGGGGAGATGAGCCATCATGAGGCGCTGGCGGCGATCGAGAAGGGACAAGTTGTGATCAGTCTGTTTCATAGTAATAGCGAGAGGGGGTTTCTGGATGCGGTCTTGAGGGGCCAGTTGGAGGGGCAAGTGGAGACGGAGTGGGATGCGGTTAGGGAGGAGAGTGGGGATGATGAGGGACTGCGCGAGGCGCTTGAGGATGAGGAGATTGAGGTTGTGGTTAGTGAGGTGGATCGAGATCCGTATGGGATTGTGGTGCTCAATGGTGGGGATGCGTAGGTGGTTGTTGCGAGGTGAGTATGTGGTTGTAGTTTGGTGTCGGTCGTGCGTCTGTGTACTTGACAGTGTGTCGATGCTGTGTACTCGTTCGGCTGATGGTATCAAGCACTGCTATTTCACCATACCTTCATGATCTGTAGATTCAAAAACAGACTTAAGTATAGGCACATCCATCGTAAAAGCATTGATCCCTCAAATCTCGATTACACCCTCTGCGCCTGGCAGAAACACGACTTACAACCAGATATGGGAGTGAGAAGGCTTTGAGGTCTTGCAAATAGGAGATGGATGCGTGCATTGAGAGAGAGAAGGAATGAGTTTGAGGAGAATTATGCTTGGTTCGGAGTCTACGAGGGTGTGGGAGGTGATAAATAGTAGGTTTTCATGTTATATCTGGCGAATACAGGCTATGTTAGAGATATCCAAATCGTCGATGAGCAGGTTGTCGATGAGGAGATGGATGTGAAAGTACACTGAAGTTCTTCAAACGGGCAGTACCTAACGGATGCGTCGAAAGAACAAAATTGGGCAACACCAGACTCAGTTTGGAGTATACAGGAACGAAAAAATCGCTAGAAGAGATAATCTACATGTATAGCTGAAGAGCCCCAGCGATCTTTGCATGTACTAGAATGAAGGTGAAAGAGCCTCGAAGTCTTCACAGGTGACTGACCGACCCTGAATTCTGCGCCTTCCTCCGAGCTTCGAAAACAGTCACCACACCACACCCAACTTCACAACGCGCTTGCCCTGCACCAAACCCTCCACATGACCAAAACCCTCGCCTCAACTTCCTCGAAACCTAACAAAACAAGACAAGGCATCCTCGCAGGTGGAAGCGTGACGACACTCTTTCCACAACTACACTTGGGCTTGCATGCATAATCACTCACTACAGACGTCTAGCAGAGCGAGCGCCTGAGCTAGGTACGCACTCGAAAGTCCATCGTCGAGCTGCACGACCAAAGCATTCGCACCCGCACCCCGTCGACGGAACATTCTCCGCCGTAGAAGTAGCGCCGAACCTGCTGTGCGACAGCGAATCGGAGAGCGAAGCAGACACGCTATGCCACCATCCAACATGTCATACCCCTACAACCGTCTGTATACGTCCAAGACCTCATTCCATATGGCGGTCTGAATCTACGGTGAGAATGAAACACGCCCACTAGCGAAATCCACGCATCGCTCCGCCTGCAGAACCGACATCAAGGCGAGGAACTGATCGTTTTCGCTAAACTTCGAGTCATATCCAACAAAAACAGTCAGCAGTTGCGCCCAAATCCAACCCCACAAAACTCGTACAGGGTAATCAACCGCAAATGCCGAAAACCGCCGCCCAAACCCCAGCGTCCCACTCGATCCCAAGAGCCGATACGATGCCACAACACATCAAGCTATATAACCCAGCTAAATCGACGCCGCTTCAACAAGAGCCTGGCGCAAGCCAACTCGAAAATAAAACAAGCCCATCATCCCCTGTGGCGCAATTGGCTAGCGCGTCAGACTGTTAGCGAATCTACGGATACCGAGCAAATCTGGAGGCTGGAAGTTCGAGCCTTCCCGGGGGAGCGATTTTTTTTGGCTGGCTGAGCTGCTGTTCGTCACTCGCTGCCTACCCGTCCATCTGATACCCTGTATATTTGCTTGTATTTTGTTTTCCATCTTGCATTGCTTCGTTTCCTTGGAATGAATGGCATGTGTGGATTGGTGATGTTGGCGAGAAGTTGATTGTGTTTTGGCTGTTGGTACGTTGTTTGTCACAGTCTGTGGGAGGGATGAGATGGCGGTTTTGGAGCGCTCCTTGCGCGTCCTCTGGGCTAAATGTGATGGAAATAATTCTTAGCACAAAAACATACTGATTAACACCAGGAAGAATACAGACAGACTTCAAAGAGGCACACGGTGGATGTTTAATGTCATGTAGCCATAAACGTCAATCCATAATAATTCTAAAGCCACTTCAACATATTCGCTATATATAAAAATTTCATTATCATTATACATCGACTACCACTGCAGGGCATGTTCTACTCGTTACAGCACAGCACCTCGCATCTAGAAAGGCCACACCCAATCCTCCGTCTCCTTAGGATCCATCCCCTCATGGAAAGCATAATTCTTCGCCCTGATCTGCTCATTGCGCAGCGTCTCGCGCGCCGACGAGCCCTTGTTGCCCAAGGTAGGAATATTATCAATAGCGTCGATAGCCAAACTATACCTATCCGTGCCATTGCGAATCGCCAGCTCCAGCGGCGTATCAATGTTGCCCTTCTCCTTGTACCCGCGAACCAGCAGGTTCTGCTGGCCCTTGCGTCCGTATGTCAGGCGGTGGACCAACCACGGGTACGAGTGGAAATTGAAGATACATGGCACGTTGTCGGTGAAGATGGCCTTGTACTCGTGCGCAGCGAGGCCGTGGGGGTGCTCTTTCTCGTCGATCAGCTTGAAGAGGTCGACGACGTTTACGAAGCGGATTTTTAGTTCTGGGAGATGCGTGCGCAGGAGAGCGGTTGCGGCGAGGGCCTCGTGGGTGGAAACGTCGCCGCAGGATGCCATGACGATGTCGGGCTCTTCGCCTTTGTCGTTACTGGCCCATTCCCAGATTCCGATGCCCTTTGAGCAGTGGTCGATGGCTTGTTCCATGGACAGGAACTGGAGGTGCTCTTGCTTGTCTGCGACGATGACGTTGACGTAGTTTTCGCTACGGAGGCAGTGATCCATGGTTGAGAGGAGACAGTTGGCGTCGGGTGGGAGGTAGATGCGCACGACCTCGGGGCTCTTGTTGGCAACGACATCGAGGAAGCCGGGGTCTTGATGGGTGAAGCCGTTGTGGTCTTGTCTCCAGACGGTAGATGTGAGGAGGATGTTTAGCGACGATACTTTGTGCCTCCATTCGACTTCAAGCGCCTTCTCGATCCATTTGCAATGTTGGTTTACCATAGAGTCGATGATGTGGATGAAAGGTTCGTAGCTGTTGAGCATGCCGTGTCGGCCAGAGAGAACGTAGCCCTCAAGCCAGCCCTGTCACAATTAGCAGGCAATTTTGATACGCAGAGAAACAGTTACATACCTCGCACGTATGCTCGGACAGGATTTCCATCACTCGGCCGGCATAAGCCAAGTTGCCGCCATCCTCGTCCTCGTCGAAGTATTCGCCAAGCCAGACCTTCTTGCCCGCCTCGTAGATCTTGGAAAGCTTATTTGACTCCGTCTCATCGGGGCCGAACACACGGAAGTTGTCCATGTTGTTCTTCACCACATCTCGCAGGAAGCCAGCAAAGTTTGCCATACTGCCTGAGTTGGTCACACCTCCTGTCCGCACTTCAACAGCGTAGTCGCGGAAATCAGGCAGATTCAGTTTGCGCCTGATCGAGCCGCCGTTCGCAACCGGGTTGGCACTCATTCGCCTAGTGCCTGTCGGGGCCAATTCCTGTAGCTCGGGGATGAGCCTGCCAGATTCATCGAAATGCTTCTCAGGCTCGTAACTGCGCATCCATTTCTCAAGTTCCTTGAGCTTCGACCTGTCCTTGAGGACCTCAGGAATAGGCACTTGATGCGCGCGCCAGAAGCCTTCTTGGAAGTGGTCGTCGATCTTCCTAGGCCCAGTCCAGCCCTTGGGCGTGCGGAGCACAATCATGGGCCAGCGAGGCCTGAATGGCTTGCCTGAATCACGGGCCTCCTTCTGGTATTCTCGGATCTTTGTGACGCATGTCTCGAGCGTTGCAGCCATGGCTTGCATCATTGTGGGGACGTCGCTGCCTTCCACGAAGTACGGAGTCCATCCATAGCCGAGGAAAAGGTTCTCGAGTTCTTTGTGGTCGATACGGGCGAGTACAGTGGGGTTGTTAATCTACATGGTGTTAGTCAAGCCCCACGAGCATGGCGATTTCTGACTGAACATACCTTGTAACCGTTCAAGTGAAGCACAGGTAGAACTGCTCCGTCGGTGATTGGGTTGAGGAACTTGTTGGAATGCCAGCTGGTGGCCAGAGGGCCTGTCTCCGATTCACCGTCGCCAACCATGGTGAGCGCAATGAGGTTTGGGTGATCAAACACGGCGCCGAAGGCGTGGGAGATGGAATATCCCAGCTCTCCACCTTCGTGCAAACTTCCAGGCGTCTCCGGTGTGGCGTGCGATCCGATACCGCCGGGGAAGGAGAAGTACTTGAAGAAGCGCCTCAGACCCTCCTCGTCCTGACTCTTCTCAGGATACACCTCCGAGTAGACACCCTCAAGATATGAGTTTGACAAAACGGCAGGCGCACCATGGCCAGGACCGGAGACGAACAGGACGTCCAAGTCGTACTTCTTGATCAGGCGGTTCATGTGGATCCATGTGAACGATTGACCAGCATCCGAGCCCCAATGGCCCAAAAGTCGTCGCTTGACATGATCCAGCGTGAGTGGCTCACGGAGGAGAGGATTCCTCCTCAGATAGATCATGCCCAGGCACATGTACATGGAGGCGTGGAAGTAGTCCGTCATCTTGCGGACTTCATCCGCACTGAGCGGGTGCTCAGTGATGGATGATCGAGCATTTCCAAAAGCAGAGATGCTCAGCTTCTCGAGGTCCTCTGTGGCCTTCTCCGGGGCTGAATGGGCGAGTGGCAACATGGCGTCCATGGTTGAAGAGGAGTGGTCTGCAACAGCAGACGGGCGCCCTGAAGTAGGTGGGGGCGCGTCCGATGATGTATGTTAGCAACGGATGTTGGCGGAAGGGTTCAGTGTGTGGAGCCTTCGAAGGTTCGGAGTAAGCTAAACTGACAATCGAGTACCAAGGGAAGGTTCGAAGAGAGTGGGGTTATGAAGCTTTATGGAAGCTTTACACGCTGTCAGTCAAGCTTGATTTCGGTCAGTGGCTGAACCAGCTTTCCTGCTGCATTGCAGTTTACGCCATTGACCGTCAAACGCATCACTACGATTGTATTCCATCATTGACCATGAGCTTATTACCACATTGGGTTCTCGTTTGTTTTTATGGGCGTCGTTGCGTCATGGCGGGACGATGACTTGATACCCCACTTCGCGTCAAGGTACACACGGACAAGGCTGCCGGACATGCCGAAGCACGTCAATCATGACTCGTTCCGTAAGCGACTCGAGAGAACGCGTTCGAAGCAACCAGGCTCTCGGTATGTCTAAATATCAGGAGACAGAAAGCAAGAAACAATCAAACGAAGAGAACAACTAGTATAAAGCAGAACTCGCTTCAGGAACTATGTTTACATGTGCACACGACTAGGGTGATGTTCTAATTAGGTAAAATCATTCACTTCTGCGCCTGATATTGGGAAGTTTTCAATGTCATGTCGAACGAAGAAGCCTTGTTTCCCGGTAGGTGGTTCGAGTTCAGACACGTCCTGGCTCTCGGGAAATCTCAATAAGATCTGTGGTATCCAAGATCGTATGACTGCTCCAAACCCAACCCGACAACGGACCTATGTACTCGGAAGATCTTGCTTCCAGTTTGTAGTACAAAGGATGTAAATAATTGTTTCATTCATCCCAGCCTGACCACCCATAAGGGGAGAGAGAAGGTGTGTGTGCGATATGCCTCTATATACTACGCTACGCCATGCCATGCCATGCATACTTTTCCGCAGCCCAAAAAGACACCAGCGGCCAAAGAGAAAGCGAAAGACAACCGTACAGCGAGAAAGACAACCGAATGAACAACCAAGCAACCAGATATACGAAAACAGCATATAGTACAACCCCCATACCTTGCCAAAAAGACGAACGCCAGATCCAAAATGTACTACGCAGTCATACTCCCAAATTTGCACTTGATCTGTGGTCCCGTCTAGTGCTTTAGTACGTTTAATAACGTATCGAAGATCTCATCCCCATCTTCATCCTCGTCCTCGTCGAGCCTTCGTCGCTGAGTACCCCCGCCATGCTCGGCATCATCGTCTTCCGTTCCAAACCCACTGTCTTCTCCCGAGAAACTCGCGTGTTCGTCCGCGCCAGCGCCGGTGTCCGGTACAGAAGACTCGCTATCATCATCGCCGGTCGCTACGCCGTGCCAGCTCTGCTCGCCGTCATCGTCGTTGTACACATCGTCGTCGTCGGGTTCGGTGTCACCCCCGTGGCCATAGTCGCCAAAGTCGGGGGCGCCAACAAACGGGCCCGAGTGTGGTGTTGCGTAGCCAAAAGGCGTGGATTTCCCTACTAACGCGACGGAGCGTTGACTAGGGCGGCTCGCGACATCGGAGTTTGATCTTGGGAGGGGCTGGGATGAGAAGAAGGGCGAGGGCGGCTCGCGTGAGCGTCGAGGTGTGGCGTTCCAGATTGTGAGCTGGGCTTCAGCGCGTAGGACTTCTTCTGGTCGTGGTGAGGAAGAGGTCGTTACGCGGCGCCTTTTGAGCCTTGTTACGGATGCGCTGGGGTTCCGCGAGTGAACGTGTGGAGCGGATGAGTGTTTCACGGGCGATGAGTTGAAGCGACGTTTGGATGATCCTGGGAGGAGCTCGACGACAGACGCAGAGGCAGTCCGAAGTCGATGGTGGCCATGGCGAGGAGGGGGAAGCTCACTCTGAGGGGACAATGGCTGGAGATGTCTGTTCTTCAAGATTGAACATGGAGTGATAGATCGTCGCCATTGTCGGTCAGCTGGTCGTATAGACAGTAGTGCTGAGTTGTGGCTTCCGAATGAGGAGTTGATGCTAAGTGGAGGGGCATCGTATGCTTCAGCAAACTGCCAACACGCCTCTTTGGCATCTGCTTCTGGTATTTGTGGTTGGCAGTGTTCATCATTGCCTTCCATTGCTGAATTTTGGTCTTGCTGGATACGAGGCAATTGTCGCAGCTCTTGCCATGTCCACGAACTACCCATCTCATCGCTCTGTTGCATATATGCTTCGCGTTGTGTTACGTATAGTCTCTTCTTACCTCCTGACACGCGCATCATGATGCCAGCTGACAGAAACTGCGCAGACCAGAGCGCGGAGCTAGACATCTCAGCAGGTCCAAGGAATCGAAGTCTGGACTCTTTCATAACCTTCTGCAACGGGATGAAAGAAGCACGAAGACCAGGGTAGGAGACGATGGTCGAATCCTCGTCTTGGTCTGTGTATTTGAGATGTTCCAGCAGATCGCTGAAGGCGTTTGACAGAGTGGCCTGAATATCTCTGGCACTAGCACTCTGCAGTGTGACATCCCGAATGAAGCCCCTACTTCGAAGCCTTTGGTATACCAGATTCTTGCTTCCACAAGCTTTCGGGAAAAGCCAGTCATTGGTAGACTCAGAGGCCCAGTCGCTGATAGCCTCGCTACTCCACCCACCTTCAGAGTCAGTAAAGATAGAGTCTTTGTTTGACAATCGAGCGCCTGGGGCAGGACTCGAATCAGTGTCTCGCATAGCACCCATCACACTCGAATGTGGCGATCGTAGACTAGAGCCAAGCTTCGAATTCCGTGCCTGAGTCCATTCTTCAGAGTCTTGCGTCGTGGCCTTTGTAGCATCATGCATAGGCTCATCAGGGGAGAACCAGATTCCACGCAATTGACGGCCCCAAGGTAGCAGGATAACCTCGACCTCCCAGGGATGGAAGGTAGTTGGCATGCGTGCGGCCTCCAATATATCCAGCCGGTCTTTGATGTCGCCAATCTCAGTCTCTGTACCCTTGCGATCCATAGCAGCAAGAATCAGTGCTGAAGAAGTTGTGGACTGCAGAGAGTGGTTGGAAGCAAACGAATCCGTAACCATGTCAATGCGCCGCCGATTAAAAGAGCTGATACTTGCATCAATGTCGATTGCTTGGTGATGCTTGTCGTGTTCGTCCATGCGATGCTCAAGATCAACCAGCTTACTATCGTACATGTCAAGCATTTGGTGGAGGTCTTCAGGCTGCACGTAGTTGAATGAACCGCTCTCTAGCATATCCAAACGGCTTCCAAGTTCTCTCATTGTGTTGGCCACGTTTGGAATTGAGTTGAGAAGGTTGTGCAGTGGAGCGAGATATGAGACAAGCTTTTGTAGCACGTGGGGCGAAGCTGTTTTGAGTACCTGCTGAAGTTGCTCTTGCGGTGCTACAGGAGAGTTTGTCGTCTGCAGCTGTGTAGGAGCAGACTTCGCAATCGTTGGTCTATTGGGTGAGCCATTGGGTTGCTGCATGTTTGATGTCAATTGCGCCAGTGTATCTATCAGTTTCTTGCCCTCCTGCACGGCATTGTCGGCATCTCCCAGATCGGGCGTATTTGCGATGCTTGGAGTCGCAGCCTCAGTAGCACTCTGAATGTAGTCGTGAGGATTGTACGTGTTTGGCACGGTATCACCACCCAGGTCGAGCTGGAGATTGCGATTGAACTCGAAGACGGGTCCCAAAGGCCCGCGCGATGGACTGGAGAGTGTATTTGGTCCACCCGCGATCGACTCAACTCCCGTTGGGGCCCTCTTTGGTTCACTGTACGACCGCTGCAGTGCTCGCGCGATGTCGTCGTCGTCGTCTGCCACGGTCGGCGAGACGGACTGCCGGTGATTCAGGTTGTCAACACTCCCCAAGTGCATCATCGAAAGGCCAAGACCTGCAATGGTCTGACGAGACTGGTTGACGTTGAGATGCTGCCTAGCGTCGGTGTTAGCTGCTGGACGGCGGTCGCGAGATAGCATGCACACTGAAGGGATTCCAGGAAGACCGGTCGTGCTGGCCTGTGATGGAGTGTCCCGACCTTGTTCAATGCGACCGCCTTGTCGCAGTTGCCGCAGACTGTTATACGGATGCGACGCCTTGGTGCGCCCGCTGTGTATGTCCTGACTTGTTCCCAACGCATGGCCCTCCACCTGTCTTGCGCTTGTGTGTACGTTGCACTGCGACCCTGGCACCAATTGACACTGTTCCCCACACTGTGCGTGTGCGCCGTGGAGCGGAGCTGCTACTGAGGGCGCAGGCCGTTCTTGCGCACGCGACACGCTCAGATGGAAGCAGGCATGGTGTCCACACATGCACCAGGCCGAGCGCTTGCCGCCTGGCGGATCTTCCGAGCTCTCGTCATGGAGGTCGGGGTTGTCCTTGTCCCAGAACTGGTTGCATCCGCATGCGCCAAAAGACTCGCGGTAGTTGCAGGGCCCGTTGGGGAGGGAGTGTCTCGCAGACGGGGTTCGCGCAGCGGTCGCGGGGTAGAAAATGCGTTGCGAGGGGATTGTATCGTGCTCTGCGAATCCGGCCATGAGTGGCTACCACTGGCATCCCACAGAGGACGCGCTCGATCTAGAATGGAGACATGTCGCGGGATCTTGGGGAGCTTTCATCTTGTTAGTGACCCCCGTGAACTTTTGGTGGGGCCGGGCGCATACCGAGAGTCTTGCGAGCAACGTGCGAGGGACCAAAACTTTTGTCGAGGGATGCGACGCGCCTCTTATACTCTCGACAGCGCACGACGAGGGACTCGAGACTCGAGGTTCGCGGGTGTGTGTGGAGCCGTGGGGAGCAGCCGTCAATAAAGTGACTCTTTGGCTGCAGCCATGCACACGCGCAACGGCTCGAACGACGCTCCCAAGAGCCTGGAAACGCGCCTATCAACTATCGCCGCGCTCTGGTTGGGTCGATAAACATAAAACTTCCGGGGTAACGGGACGCCATTGCTTGGGCGACGACCCCTGCCGTTCACCATCTCAGCCCTGACGAACGCCATGAACTGTATAGCGAACACAACACTCCACCCGCAGACTGGCGTGTGCAACCATCGATTCGCCTGTCCCACGAGACAACAGTGCGTCCAAGACCACAACAAACCACGCGATGCGACAAGTAACTTTTACTTTTTGCCCTGTTGAATGAGAAGAGGCCGCTCATTGGCCACTACTTGCTTCTGCAGGACCATCCCGCATCTGCAGGAGGCGAAACTATGGATCGCCGTGCATGGCAATGACTAGAATGGATGATGGCCTTGTCTGGGCGAGTACGTGTGTACAAGGCAGACATGCAACGTGATTTTGGTGTCGCAACTTTGTCGTCAGCGCCGCGTTTGCGTCGTCCTCGCAAGCAACAAAACAGGCAGGTGGTGTGGATGATGAAGAAGGCGCGATTGCCTTTTGACACTTATAAACTACTTTCCGAGCTTGTCACTTGCAGGTTACTCGTTCTCAGAATCTCGATCCATCGAATGATGGCGCCACGAACATGTCGCAGGAGGATAATCTCGGTGCAACATCCGAGCGGTAGGGAATGTCGTGGAACCACATACAGCGCTTGCAGCACGACATATACTCATCATTAGATGTTGGGAAAATCTTGTCTCGTCTTATTTCTCTATCGTTATCAGCCTTTTGGCCTATACGGCATCACATTCACAGGCTCTTTGTCCGGTCATGTCCATTGTCCACTCCCACATTTATCATTTTGTTCTATCCCATCCCACCTCAAGCAAGCCTCAGGCCGTTCTCCTCCGGCTTGAACCATTCCCTCAGCAAATCTTGCAGTATCTCATTCGCTCCGCTCTTTGCTTCCTCGCTGCTCTTGCCCTGGCACTCAATGTACAACTTGATCTTTGGCTCCGTCCCGCTTCCTCTGACTGTAAACACCGCCCCATCATCCAGTTCACAAGTAATCATCTGGCTGCTACTGTCCACGGGCAGATCTGGCGTATGATCCTTGCTCCTCGAGTCATAACCCAGCGTCAGATCTCTCCAGCGCACAATCTTGCGGGATCCAATGGTGGTGGGGTGTGGGCTGTCCAGAGCTCGAACAGCTGTGAAGACAGAGGTTGTTACTGCCGGTGAAGGGGACACAAGGTAGGTGTTGGCGTCCTCAAAGTACCCGAGGTATTCGTACAGTTGCTGGAGCTTGGCGTATGGCGTAAGGCCTTGGGCAGACCACTCTGATGCAGCGGTCAGGAAGACTGCCGCTGCGCTGATCGAATCCTTGTCGTGTACTGTTTGTGGAATCATGTACCCGAGAGCTTCTTCGAACGCATATGCAACGTTGTAACCTTGAGCATCAAGCTGGCGTGCTATATTGCCGAGCCATTTGAAGCCGGTGAGAGTCTCACTGAAATGGAAGCCTTCTTTCTTGGCCAGCGCCGCAAGCATCCTGGAGCTGACAGTGGATGCCAGCATGGCGAGTTTGTCGCGGGGTTTTGAGGCTGGATACCGTTCGAAGATGTAGGAGCCGATGAGTATCCCGAGCTGGTTTCCTGTGAATATGTGCCATTTGTCACCTGTCTTCTCTGCTACTGCTAAACGGTCGGCATCTGGATCGCTCGCGAGGATCAAGCGTGTTGATGCCTTCTCTGCAGTCTCAATGGCCAAATCTAGTGCTCCCTTTTCTTCTGGGTTTGGGAACTTGACGGTGGGAAAGTCAGGGTCTGGCAAGGCTTGAGCTTCCACGACGGTTATCTGTGAAGCGATACCGAGCGTTTCCACACATTGCATCATCGCTGGAAGGCCCACACCATGCATGGGAGTGTACACGAACCTAATGTCTTTACTTATCTTGATGTTGTGGTTTTCAAGATTTGCTGCGTAAAGAACTGCTCTGTGATATGTGTCTGTTACGAGCCCTAGAGAACCCTCAACCAGAAGAGAGCTCTCCACAACTGATGTGTCCCAGGTGACGGGTTTTAGATTCTCTATAATCGACTCCGCAATGCCGCTGTCGTGAGGAGGAATAATCTGGCAGCCGTTGGACCAGTAAACCTTGTACCCATTGTCCTGGGCAGGGTTGTGACTCGCAGTGACCATAACTCCAGCAGCAGCATTGAGCTCTCGCACGCCGAAAGGAACCATGGGGGTGTGCGAAATGGTCTCATACCACCACACCTTGATGCCTTTGGCGACAAATGCTGCCGCCGTGAGCCTGGCAAACTTCTCCGAGTTATGTCGTGCATCTCGGCCGATAACCACGCCTCGTGTCTTGACGTTCTGCTCGGTCTTCAGCAGGTATGCTGCTAGTCCCTGAGAAGCTTGGATGACTGTGAGAGAGTTCATGCAAGCAAAGCCAGCCTGCATGGGCCCTCTGAGACCAGCGGTTCCGAACGCGATACGATAACGTAGTCGCTTTTCCAGCTCATTGGTGTCGCCGTCAGCAAGCAGTTTGTTGATTTCGTCGGTGGTCGACTTGTCCTCGTCGAGCTCCAACCACTCCCGTGCCAGCTCTTGAATATCTTGGGTCATAATCCTCGTCGGTGATCGAGATCCTGTTATGAAGCGAGCAAAAATCAAACACCAAAATTGAGTGAGCAGATAGTGTACTTATGAGGTCACAAAATCGTGAGCAGTGGACGCTGGAAAGATCTTGCACGCCTGGTGACGGCGGAGATGGCCGGCCTGTCAGACAGAAAGAGCTCAACACCGCACCTGCTGTTTTTGAGGTCTTGGCTTATGGCTTTCTCATATTACAACTACGTTCTCTTATTACCGTTGCGTATCTACCAATATTCTAGCAATGACTGAGCATACTGCACACGTGTTTGTGACGAGCGCGATCAGCGGTCCGCCGTTTGAAGGCCCGCATGGAGCGATGACCAAAGAACCGTCCGAGCTTCCAAGAGCCCACCGTGGGGAGTCTCAACACCGACTTTATCACCTCACTCTCTCCTCACCCACTGGCTGGCTCCGGGCAATTATCTGAGGCAGTGCTGGTTCGTGGTTAGATGGAGACCGCGCCCTGAACCTTCCTATCTTCAACGTCGCCTAGCAGCAAAGTCACACTCACTCAAGGATAAATTTGTGTACTCGATTGCTCGTTACATCTGCAGACATGAGCGTGCAAACGCAGAGGAAGTCGAAGGTTCTCAGTCGTAAAGAGGTAGAAGGCCTCATCGCCAATGGCCGGTCGATTGTCATAGTGGACGGTAAGGTCTTAAAGGTCGATGCATGGCTACCATATCACCCTGGCGGGGATAAAGCCATTCGACATATGATCGGACGAGACGCTACGGATGAGGTTACTCGGTACGACGACTTGTACATGTCTTGCTTTGAATGCTGCTAATAACTATGTCGTAGTTTCCACTCCTCGCAGACACTCGAACTCATGAACCGCTACCAGATCGGCCGTGTCGAGGCACAATGGACGAACTTCCTGCCGCCTATACAAGGAGGAAAGTTCAGGACACAGGAGGAATTAGAGAGACTATCCGCCGAAGCTTACACCGAGTCGTGTTCGTCTTCAGAGCAAGATACTACAAGTTCGTCGTCCTCGGCGGAACACAGCCCTATCTTCGAACCCGTAGATCGATCTACCTCCACCACGCGCAAACGAAACGCGAGCAACCTGCCTCGGGCATCATCAAGCTCTTCGATTTCCTCGGTTGGCCTCGATGATGCTGCAAAGCCCGCGACCATGTCCGTGTTAGACAGGCGCACACAACAAGAGCTGGACTTTGATAAGGCCAAATATCCGTCTCTAGATGCGCAAACACAAAACAGCATCACACAAAAATATCGCGAGTTGCAAGACCGCATCGAATCTGAAGGGCTGTACAAGTGCAACTACGCTTCGTACGGCATCGAGTGCCTCCGCTACGGGGTTTTTCTCTGCACGTTTCTCTACATGCTCCATGCCGGGTGGTACATCTCCAGCGCTGTGCCCCTAGCCTGCTTGTGGCACCAATTGACTTTCACCGTCCATGATGCTGGGCACATGGGCGTCACTCACGACTTTACGACCGATACGACCATCGCCATGTTCATCGCATCCTACATGGGTGGGCTGAGCGCCTGCTGGTGGAAATACAACCACAACGTTCACCACCTTGTTACGAATCACCCAGAGCACGACCCAGACATTCAATACATACCCTTCTTCGCTATCACGCATCGCTTTCTCGAAAGTCTCACGACAACATACTACGAATGGGTCATGCATTACGACGCGTTTGCGAAGGCATTAATACCCATTCAGCAATACACGTACTATCCCATCATGCTTTTCGCACGCTTCAACCTCTATAGGCTCTCTTGGGTATTTCTCCTTAGCGGCACGGGTCCAAAGAAGGGTCCAGCGTGGTGGCACCGCTACTTCGAGCTTGTGGGCATCTCTTTTTTCTGGACGTGGTTCGGCTACGGAGTTGTGTACAGATCTATTCCGGACAACTTCAGTCGCTTCTGGTTCGTTCTCATCAGCCACGCGCTGACGTCACCCCTGCATATTCAGATCACGCTCTCCCACTTCGCGATGAGCACCGCTGATCTTGGTGTCCACGAGTCTTTTGCTCAGAAGATGCTGCGCACAACTATGGATGTAGACTGTCCACAGTGGTTGGATTTCTTCCACGGCGGTCTGCAGTTCCAGGCAATCCATCACTTGTTCCCTAGGATTCCTAGGCACAATCTTAGGAGGACACAGAAGCTTGTACAAGAGTTTTGTAACGAGGTCGATATACCTTACGCTCTGTATGGCTTTGTGGATGGAAATAAGCGTGTAATTGGAAGACTGGCAGATGTGGGAAGGCAGGCTTCGATCCTCGCTGAATGCCAGAGAGCAATAGCTGCTGAAGGTGATTACGGCTTGCACTAGTGTAGCTTAGTCGATATATATCATCTGCTAGATGACATTCCAAACAGATATCAAAAGCCAAGAGCTTCCTCATAGCCCTTCCACGCCGTGCCAATCGGCTGTATCAGAGTGTAACTAAGCACCGTCGTTCCCAACGGCTGCACTCCATTGATCATATACAGTGGTGTCATCTCCCCGTCATCGCTGAAATATAATTTTGGCCTCTCTCGCCGATTGAACGTCTCCACCGACCCATCCGTAAACATCACTGTCGAATTATACGCCTCATTTACCTTGAAATTCCATTTCCCCTCCAGCGTCCGCGAGTACATGTGTGCCCCCACACGCGGGTATTTTACCCCTTTCTCAGCGATGTCGATCATCCAATGTGCGAGCGCGTGCCAGTGCCCTCGCTTGTCGCGCCAGATGAAGGGGTCTTCGGTCCAGGTGGGACTGTAGTCTGTAGTGTTCCAAGGAGCAGTGTTTATCAGCTCGTAGTTGCCATTCCATGTGTTGGCGACATAAATCTTCAGGTCTTCAGCTGCGAGGACGATCTCCGAGGTGGGCATTTCGGGAGAGTACGCAGGGAACGGCGCGGGATTTGTTCCGTTCACGAGAACCTGAAAGGGTGTCCACGGTCCGTTCATATCAGGCGCAGCAGACACGGAGATATTATTTGGCCACGACTTTCTTTGCATACTGTCAGCTCCTGTACGACTCCTGAAAACCTGCGACTACTGGGACTCAGACGGAGGCTTACTTATCCACCCCTTTGCAACTTGTCGGGTCGGGAATATCCACCCCAATGCCCCACAGCAGATACTTCTCATCCGCCTCACTCCAGAACGCGTACGCATTGTGTCGAAAACTCCCCGTGACGTTTTGCGCCCACTCGTACGGGCCCTGGGGTCCATTCCTGCTCTCAGCACGCACGACGAACGATGCCGGGCGCCAGCCGCTGAGTCCGCATCCGCCCGCAAACTGGTCGGCGATCAGGTGGAAGAGCGTTGGGTCTGTGCGGTCTTGTAGGATTTGGCCGCCCCAGGATGAGTTGCCGCGTGTGCCATAGTGAGTGGGGGATGTGAAGTTGGTGTGGTTGTAGCCCGTCCAGCGTGTTGCGGGCGCGAGATCAAGACGGCCGCAGTCGGGGCCAATCCAGCCTGGATCACAGATGCAGGTTGCGGTTTGGTTGTTGTTGCTACTTGGGGTCGGTGTGCAGAGGCCGTTGAGACTGCAGTCTTCGTCTGTGGAGCATGGCTGCGCAGCACCGATGGAGGTCAGGAGGGTGAATGGGAGGATGTAACTTTTCAAACGCATCGTAGGAAGATCATGTATTGCACACGCGGGTGTCTTGTCTCCCCCACTTCGTTTATAAACTGCAAGCACATATTGCTGCTGATGATCGCTCCTCGTATGAGAAGTTCGCAGTTGATTGACCCGAATTATATGAATCGGAGCAAGTTATTCCACTTATATGTCTATCCCAATACGACACGTACTATGTATGCCCCGCATTAGCATTCTTTTTCGCAGTTGGTATGCTCATGTCCATCCGGTCAACCAGCGGCTGTATGTATGTTGCGAGAACGCTCTCGAAAGCACTCACGTTGTAACACCTACGAGACTGACTGGATTATTAGTTCAGTCATTTTACTTTCAAACGATGTATCCTGTCTCCACTCTAAACCCGCTTAATGTACCAAGAATGTAGAGACTTCACCAATGTCAAATGAAGACATGACGAGCTGCGACACCAATGTGTCTTAAATTGTGACTCAGACATGGATGCTTTGGGAGTCTCAGAGATAATATTGAGAGATCATTGTTGCAAACTCATTCACTGAGAATTCCAATGAGGGAAGAAAAGAGGGCTAAACCATACAGCAGAATCTCTATAGTAATCTCCTTGTTCGAACACAAGAAAGCAAAGGGCAAACATCCTACCCTCTCTTCCGTAGCACTATCATGGAAAGAATCAAGACTATCACGACTACACTGCAAAATGCACGAGAAATCGCCAATAGCCCGCATTGCATTGTGATCTAACATTAACCATCCCTTTGCCTATCCCTAGGTTGCTCTAACCCAACAATGCAAGCCCTCGTATACGCACTATTCCACAACCTGATCCTATAATCTCCCCTACTAACCAGACTATAAGTTCCCACTCAACAAAGCTATCAATCAACCCACCCAACGTCCTCCCAGTTTACATCAAGCAACACATCCCAACATAGTCGCAAACTAACCACAACAACCAAAACCATGCCCACCACTGTAGTTGTCGAAGAAGCCGCGTATCCAAAGAAGAGCACAGACACGAAATCGTCATTAATTCAACGTGTTTGGGAGACGGTGTCGAAACCCAAGCCAGAGGAAAAGGAAAAGTATATGATGGAGTGCGATGCGTAAGTTGAGGAAATGGCCAACGGAGTTGTCGGGGGGGTATAGTGGTTTGTCAAGCTGTAGTGTTGTAGAATCGTATCAGGAGAATGAGTATGTTCTTTGGGTAGTTTCAGAACGCCTACAAACCACCAAAGCGAACAATAAATGTGCCCAAATTGGGTTCTTCCTGCAACGACTCTCTTCGTGGTCTCGTTTTCAATTCTGCGAGACTCTATGAACGTAACTGTGTTAGAAGGCCTCGCCAGAGATCATTGTGTCGTCTTTTTGTGCGTAGTAGACGTACGATAGTCCCCAACGCGATGTCTGGTCATTACCTTGATCTAGTTTTCATATGGTCGTCTCATCAACCTAGAATTAAATCCACAAGCTCTTTCTCCCTCACTTGTTCCCAAACTTCTGCTACGACGACTCCACAACCTCTCCGATATGCGACACTGTCCACCCACTCAATCCAAAGCACATAGTAGCAGTCTTTCCGTTGTGTTTCCCAAGGTACCTTCCCGCTAGCTTTGGCAAGCTCGTAATCGAATATCCTTCCTGTGTAGCCTTTACAAGTTGCCACAAGTTCGACTTGCTTATGCGAATTGAGTTCCTCTGCTTTATCGAAAGCACGTAAATCACTGTTGTTGTTGAGGATCAAACATCCAACATGGTGCCCTCTGATGTTGGTGATCTGGATTGAGGGCGCATCATCATCGTAAATCCGTTCAATTGCCTTGCCTCCGTAGAGAACTGCCCTACTGGTCTGGGCGAAAATGTAAGATGTTTGTGGTAGAGGCTTCATGTCGTCTTCGCATATGGAGTCAAAAACCGGGACAGGGTACCAGTAAAACCTGTCAGGATTGCTTGAGTGCTTGAAGCAAGAACTTGGGATATTTAGAGGAAACGAATCGTTACTGTAATCATTCACACGCATTTTCTCCAGCTCTGGTCCACTATCGACTCGTCTCCATCCATCAGGAAGAGTACTAGTCTTATCTTGCGCCAGTGTCTTGTGTTTATGCCAGGCAGATTTTATTGGTCTCCTTTCAATTGCCGTTGACGACTCCATCGTGAACCACTCAGCAACGGGGTCTGTGAAACCATCGATATCGGTTATGCCAGTTACATGCACACTGAATTCGGAGTCCCATGGTAAATGTACAACCCCTGCCCATTTGATCCAAGACCAACTTGGCAGACAGTATGACGCCGTATCTGAATGCGGTGTCTTCCGTGCCTTTCGTTTCGTAACTGGGTAGACAGGCATCCAACTCAATGTTATGTCGAAGTAGAATTCAGGATGCCCGAAGATCAGCCCGAACTGATGAGTGCGATGCAGAAAGGTCTGCGTCCCGGCGAATGCAGCAAAAGCGTCTTCTGGATGTGTGAGAATCTTTTGATTGAAGCTCATGATTAAACTGTTCATTGTATCGAGCGTAGGGATTGGTGAGTGCAGCCATCGATCGTTGAGATTCACGAGTGGTCCATTGGCACTGTTCTTCTTCGCGACGATATCCTCGAACCAATGTACGCACTGACATCGCCATTGGATAATCCCATTTTCGAAAATTAACCTACGCTTTGAAAACAAGTTCTCTTGATACGTCCATGCTCTTTCATAGTACGACGAGGGCCCATGTGCCTCCCTAAATTCTCGTGTTGGGACGGCCGTCATGATTTGTTCTAGGCCCGCCAACTGGATTGGAGTCTGCCAGACTTTCCTAGGTGCAGTCAGACCTTTGAAACCACGTAGTCCGTAGTTGGCATCTACACCGTCAGCAGCAATTATAGTAAAGCTGGCGCAGGCATAGATCCGGTGCATCTGCCCCAGTTCGGACAGCAGCTGAGTAGGATTATCCTGTTGGATGCAGAGTGCGTCACACCATAGATATCTTTGGCCTAAGTGTCGAACCACAGCAAATGCATCCCGGATCGTTTGCGGGACATGTAATGCGAGCTCTCCTACAAAAATTGCGCCTGGTATAAGGAGTTGATCACAAATATCGGTCGTGTTTCGAAGTGTTTTTGTTTGGCCCCATTGATAGCTGAGTGCAACATACTCGGCATCGACACCTGATCCGAGAACGAGGCAACCACAAACGGTGTCGACAAGATACGTAGGTCGAATAGCATCCTCACTCCTCCAAAGCGGTATTGTCTTACACTTCTCTCCATGTGTCTCGTCGCAGATTTCTATCCAGCGTTGAACCAACCCTTCATCGATCCACTGTGTATCCAGGAGCGATACTGTTCCTGGGTGGTTTATGACATCTTCTCTGTAAACGAGTCGCATGCTCTCTGTTGTAGACCACGTGCGTTTGTCTGATGTGGAGTAGGCGACTCCGAAGAAGATACCCGTTTCGTTGTTATATTTGTGAAGACTCAGATCCAGATTTTCGTAATCAGGAACAGGACCGTACATATATTTGACATTCTTGAAGTACAGTGCATGTGGGCAATCTCCCTCTAACAAAATTTGGACTTTTCCCAGATCGATATCGATCGCGTGTTCACAAGGTTCAACGTAGAAAGCAAGTATTTTAGCGCAAACTTCGCAACTTGGCCGTTCGAGTGGTCGGTGGTCCGGTTTTGACGGGATGATACCGCTCGCTAGTGTGTTATTATCGTTGTCCACCATTATGAGAAAGATGGGGTGTCAAGTGAGATGCAACGCGTAAGTCATGGCTGCCTGTTTGATAGCGGCAGTGGGGTCTCATGCTTAGTAATCGGAAAGGAGGGGCAAACTCCGTGATCACTCAAGTTGGGGAGCAACATTGTGAGCTTCAAGTGAGTAACTAGTAATATTGTAACTCCTCCTTCCTTTAAGTCACATCGGTGCTTGCTGTTTACGTCAGGGTCGTGGATCCTAGACCGCTGACACGGGCAGGCTGCCACAGAGTGAAGTATGCAACAAGATGTTAGCACCCAGAGAAACGGCATGATTAATTCCAGAGGCAGAAAGTATCGATATCGTCGCAAGATTCGCATCTTGAATCAGACTGAGTCGAGCTGTTCCCCATTCGTTTATTATATGGAGAAATTCGTCATGCCGGACGGGGTATCCCATAATGCATCCCATGAAAAGTCGAACGCGTTTGGGTCTAATATATCCGAGAGAAGGAAAGTTGTATCGTCAATGCTTTGTAGGGGCTGAACGTCCATACCGCTCCTGTTGGGAATCACGGCAGAGGGTTCCAACTCAGTTGGCTGCAACTCTCTCGCGTTGAGCGCCACAATCTTCGATACGGGATCAGAGCACCGCTCCAGACAATAATTCGCAATATCCCAATCGAAATTATCTCGAGCATATTGAATGTGAGTCATCACTTGCTCGAGCCTCAACACTGAAGTATTTCGTATCCCATGATCTTGGGTCTCGACTGTGCAGCGCAGGGACACCGTGACGGCGTGCACGAGCAGCTGTGTTGCATACGGCAACCAGAAGTCTTGAAACTGGGGTTCACCCAATGAAAGAATGAAATCAAGAACTGATGACGAGGCAATGCGCAGTTGCTCAGCCCTGTCGCGCCCCAGATTTGGGTCTCTGTCCAGAACCGCTGAGCGAAAGGTCAGACGAGCAAGAATGAGCCGGATAGATAAGAAACAGAGCCAGAGATTGCTTGATCCCGGCCGACTGGGTAAAGATAGCCACCCTGGTAATTGCGCTTCGAGGTCGTTTAGTTCGCGCTTCAGACGCTCAATCTCCCGAGCGAGTTGTGCGCGATCAGGCTCGATTTGATAGACCAAAGGATGAATGTCTCCGAGCAGCTCAGTCAAGGTACACAGGTGAAGAAAACACGTTACTGCTTGCCTCTGCTGAGGAGTTGCCTTCGCGGTAATGAGAGAGTTGACCGTCGGTCTGGGAACGTCGTGGTAACCTTTGGAAATGTGTGGAGGTGCACCGTAAGCGACGCTAGACCAATGGTCGGTTATGAGACAACACCACCATAGGCGTATCCTAACTGCTTTCTCATTGTCTGTGATATTCCACTTTGAAGGGTTTCTGTGAAGCCCAAACGTTTGAGCCAAAGAGATTGTTTTTCCACAAAGTGTGATGTTCCCGACTATAGAGACTGAAGGACGTGCAATTTGGTCGAGTATGGCAGCCTGAACGGTTGGTATTCCAGGGCTCAAGAAGTCCTCCAGTATGGCTGAAATGCCTTTGTTCGAAATATAGTGAATATCTGGACGAAAATGCATCTTGAGAGTATCAGACTTGGCCCACATGGGCGAGCCAATCTCGTAAATTACGCACATCAAGCTGTTTGGTAACTTTTCGAAATCGCCATTGCGTAGCGTGGTGTATGTTTCATGATCCAGGACGGGGAAGTTGAAATGTATGTTGTTAATGAACAGCTCAACGACTTCACGTTTGAAAGGTCCTATGATCTGTTCAACAATTTCGAGCTGATCCCTTCCGCACCCGCTGTTAGGTGGTAAACCCTTCCGAAATCTTGGAACTGTAAGATAGACAACCGGGTCCTTGATATCGTGAAAGAGTGTTTGATATTTGGAGGGCTCGGATGTTTCGGCTCCGGCTTTGCGATGCTGCAGGATATGGCGATTGAAAATATCAACATCCTCAGCATGATGGGGAGCCAACATGATAGAAGCAGACGAATTGTTTGCAGTTTTGTGCAGGATTGGTGCTGAACGAGGCCGCGATGGACCGTCTTCAGGGTTGCTGAGTCGCCGCCTCTTGGGCGGTCTATGGTCTCCGTTTTCATCTGAGGGGGAGCTGGTAGTCGAACTGTCGACGTATTGACATTTCAAACGTCGTTCGCGGCACGATAGACATGGTTCGCCCGGTATGTCTATATGGCAGCGAATCTTGCGGGATCGACATCTAGTACAGGCGGGCACCTTGTGCGAACGATAAGGTCGGGTCTGTATGGGCGCAGCGCTGGCCATCAATTGTCGAAGAGGCTGAGGTTTGTTGGTGGTCGAATAATGTTGGGGAGTGAGGTGCAGATGTCAATGCACTTGCTCCACTTATTTCTTCGTGCATCAGCCAGCCATCGCACTCCACATTTGGATCGCATCAGATCGTGTACACTGAGGCAGCTTTTGTTCAGCAAAATTCATTAGCATAGCTGACTTATCCACAGTCGATGGCAAGCAGCATATCACCGGTTAATGTGGCTGATCCGTCTCTAGATTCCTGCGTATCCCTCGAAATCCCTTCTACGTCGACTACCAAGTCGACGGATACATCGCTCCAACGTCTCACCCTGCGTCGCCATTAGTAGTGTAGTCATCACTCAGTGTTTCGCAGCTGTATCCCGCTTTCCTATGACTCGGCTGATTAATCTACTTTGAGGGTTCCTCACAACTGAAGACAACACAATATAATTCACACGGATGACAAGGAAAAGTAGGCTTGGATGCTTCGAGGAGAGCTTCCAAAGCTGAGGCAAGGCCATATCTTACACCAAAGCGACTACCATGGTGACGATTGACGTAATGTCTTCAGCAGGGTCCCTCAAGGATCGTCGGTCAATTTCGGCTTCACTTGTATACTGAGCAGCATATCTTGGAGATTGGTCGCCAAAACAGGCATGTAGATATTGCTAAAAACACGAAAACGGCAGCAGTCGGACAATGTTTAGTGTTGATTTTTGTCTATATATTTTGTTACTCCGTTTTCGCTCATCACAACAAGCCAACAACTTCGAAAGAGTTGACTCGCCCTCTTGGCTTAGTGGTAAAGCGTATCACTAGTACCTTCGGAACATGATAAGATCGCTAGTTCGATTCTGGCAGAGGGCACTTCTTTTTGCTGTTGCATCCCCTATTCCTTGCTGGACATCGCTCGTTGCATACCGGCAGTCGTGTGGAGGCGGGATTAGGCGAGCTCTCCGATCAGCCAAGGTTGTTGGTGCATCACTTTGCAACTTTTTGGAACCCTCGAAACTCTATATATCACGGTCGATCCTGATGAATCATTAAGATTTAAACAGTCGGGTATGTACATAGGTTGCAGCTGGGTTGCCTGTACAACCTGTTGATTCGTCCGAGACCCGTGTGTTTTCGACGAATGACGAAGCCTCTTGAGATTGCGACTCGACATTTAGCGACCCAGAAAAAGCAGCTCGAATGCTTAGCAGCAATCAAAGGACCCTGCACCTGCGGGCGGCGACTAGGTTGTCAGCCTTGTCGTTTTCTATAAGACATGGTGTCGTGGTCTACGTAATCGTCGCAACCGTGACTCGCAATTTTGAATGCAGCAGCGATGCAGTTGACCGTAGGTAGGGGAACTAGCAAAAGACCTCCACAATTTGAGTTTCGATCTGCCGTTGCTTCTTGAGCGGCTTGCGCCTTCAAACACACCAACGATCGTCGAGAAGGGGCTTGCTCCGCCCTTAGCACCGCTAAATAACCATCCCCTCAAAACCAATCATAGGAGCTTGGTCCCTGAAGCTAAGACAGATAGCGTGGTGATATGCTGAACTATGCACGGACGGGCCACATCAGCCGTTTCCCTATGGCCTGCCGTCCTCGTTCTTTCCTCGCTTTCGCCCTCCAAATTCACTTCGACTTCTGCGGCCAGGCTGTCGTTCGCCCTTCGTTCATCGAGCGCGGCCTTTGCACATCACTCTTTTACACAATCACCATAATCCACTCCTTCATGTTTAGTGCTTAGTTTCAACCCTACCGTAGACAATCAACATCTCAATCCGGTCGCGCGAGCTGAAGACAAGAGGCAACGATATCGCGTTCACTTCAGCCGCCTAACTAAGACCACTTTCACTGTTATTGTACTTATTAGCATCATACGCGACTGCGCTACGACCCGGTCTAATCATTCAAGACAACACACACTTGACCTAGTAACTTTGGTCGACGCGTCCGTACACTTCACTCTACAACCTATAATTTATAAACTGCGCACCACCCGACTCAGTCAGTGATTCGCGTGTCATTGTGTACAACATGGGGCATCCGCACGCACACGCACATCTAGTGCAACGACAGCGCAATCGCGATGAAGAGGAGGACAATGGTGCAGTCGCCACCGTCATCTCCGTACAGATTGTGACAATGCCGAACACGTACACTGGAAAGGTTGTGTGGGTCACCCAGTCAGATGAAGTGCCCAAGACGCTACTCGCGCCTGCTACACGAGAGCGCGAGACAAGTACAGCAGATGAGGATCAGCCTGAAGCGACTACCAGACGAACTGCGAATACCAAATCAACTGTTACCTCGAAAAGGCCCTCTTCAACGGCCAGATCAGAGGCAGAGGAGACGAAAATGACAAAAGCGGTGTCAACTCTAGTAGTTGCAACCAAGTCTCCTACAGTCCATCCTGCGTCAACGGTCGTGGGCCTTGTATCTGTAACAGCATCAGCTACGATATCGTCTACTCCCACCGCTGAGGCCTCAGCAGGCGGCATGTCTGGAGGCGCCAAAGCTGGTCTTGCACTGGGTATCCTGTTTGGAGTCGGTGCCCTCTTGGTTGGCATATTGTTCCTCTACGGCCGCAAGAAGAAGCAGATGGCTGGAGACAAGAACAATGAGAAGACTGGCGTGCACAATGCGCCCCCTCCTCCACCACAAGCCGGAGCTGTTCCTAGCTCGCAAACTCAGCGCAACCTGACTACCGCACCGCGTTTGAGCTTGAGACCACTCACCGGCTTCTCATCGACCTGGAGCGACAACCGCAAGAGTGGAGGAAACTTGCTTGCCGTTGCCGCTGCCGCGCCCGAACCTGGGCGCCCCACCAGTGCTTGGGAGCGACCTGGGGCAACGAATGCTACTACTGCTCCTGCCACCCCTGTTGCTCCTGTCAATCCATTCAACGATGCTCAGGCTCTTCCTAACAGCCCTCCCAACAACCCTTTCACTAATGATGCTGCGGTCGACGCTGCACAGGTTTCTACTCCTGGCTCGCCTCTCAACACTCCTCTGTTGCGTTCAACGGCACCGAGCGCTAACTTGGCCAATCCTGCTCCAGTCATCGCTACTGCTAACGTCAACGCTACACCAACGCCATTACCAACCAACATATTCCCTGCACCGCCCAGCATCAAGTCCATCGCAGATGCAGTTCCACCAAGCCCTGCCTGGACTGAAGACGTTCCCGCCTCGCCTGGCCCAGCTCCCGGAGGTATGCCAGCAGTCGTCGCTGTGGCTGGTGTCCGTCCTAATGGCCCACCTGCTGGTCCCAACAATGTCCACCGTGTTCAACTTGATTTCAACCCATCCATGGCTGACGAGCTTGGACTTCGCGCTGGTTCTCTGGTTAGGATGCTCCATGAGTATGATGATGGATGGGTAAGTACTCTGCTCTCGCAGCACTCTTGTATGACACTAATACCCTTCAGGCGCTCTGCATCAATATGGATCGCTCTCAGCAAGGCGTCGTTCCTCGAACATGTCTGTCTAAGCACCCCGTCAAGCCTCGCACTGGTCCGCCTCCTCAAGGTCCTCCGCAAGGGATGCGCGGCCCTGTTATGCGTCCGGCGATGAGCCCCAGTGGCATCCTTCCCCCGCAACCGCTCTCGCCCGCCAATGGTCGCATGTCCCCTGCTCCTCGCTCTATGAGCCCCGGTCCGAAGCAGATGTCTCCTCCTCAAGTGCAAGGATCCCCACGTGCCCGATCGAACAGCAATGCTCATTTCAGCGGCCCTCCACCTTCCATGTCACCCGGTCCTCGCCAGATGTCTCCTCGAATGCAGGAGCCACCGCGCGGCCGATCAAACAGCAATGCACCATACGCTGGACCTCCTAGGTCAATGTCTCCCGGCCCATACGGAGGTGGCCCCCACATGGCCCCTCCGCCACAGATGGGCCGTCCTCGATCCAACTCCGCCAGCCAGGTTATTGCACGTCGGGGTCCTGCGACTGGTCCCAGCCCCATGAATCCCAACCCTGCAGGCGCGTCTGTGCCCCGGAAACCAGTTCCCGGCATGGCAATGTAGTTTATCCGTTATGAGAGTTTCATGAGGGATAGCTATGCGTATAGTTTCTTTCATTTGTGATTTGCTTTCACGTCTACGTTTACATTTCCGTTCTGATCATGGCCGCTGCTTCTGACAAGTTCTCAGACTGTATGATTCATATGGGGGCAGTGCCAACCAACTTTTCTTGTCTTCACCACTTATACCCATAAGTGCATGCATCTGTCATTTTGCCGGATTTTTCCCGCTGGACGATCTGATGCAAAGCACTTTCTACTGGTCGATAATGTCCTGAGGATATTCTGATTTCGGAGGAATTTTGCCTGTCCGCTGGGAGGGTTCGGGTCTGGAGAATACAAGTTGAACATGTAGTCACTGCCAACGGTGTGCTGGCCACTTGGGTTTGATGCGATGTGGCAGGAGGAGGTTACATAGAAATTTCATGAGTTTCCACCATCTCGGCGTGTCGTTACTTGTCTCGTACATACCCTCTTGGTAGTTGATGTTCACAACAAGATCAAGCCGAAAGAAAGATCAACCAATGTGCCCAAGCCGTACTCATCCACCTCTCGGCTATTTGTGAGCATTGTAATCTTCTCGTTAAAATTGTAGGACAGGTCTAGTTCTGATATGAAACGCATGACGTTGACCGATATTATCAAGCCTTATTCTCGACTTAGCCTTGTACTCCAATCAAAGGTTTCGAGAAGTAAGAAATACTTATTATGGAGAAAAATATTGAGTTGGCAGATTATCTCATAACCCATCTATGTACCTGGCTTGCAACTTCTGATGCAGATCTATCCTTGACCCATCTTGATAACTCCAATGTCCAAGTGTAATCCTATATTCTAGCGCCGTCTCAAAAGAATCACAAGAGAGTGTCCCCAAGAGCGCAACGAACGATGGAGCATCCAGCGCGAACAGTCTCAGCAGCTCCTTCCTGGTCAAGACTTGGGTTGACTTCCACAAGATCCAAAGCGATTAAAGAGCCAGTCTCCGCTACGCACTCTGCGATAAAATCTCCCTCGCGTAACGTCAAACCACCTCGTACGGGCGTTCCGGTGCTGGGTGCCCACATTGGGTCCAGAGCGTCGACGTCAAAGGAAAGGTGGATTGGAGTGTCGCTACCGATCCAGCCCAGTGCCATGTCCATGACCTTACCAATACCGTGTCTGAACGATGCACGTTAGCGTCGTCAACAGCCAAATTGAGTCTGATGCATACCTGTCAATGTCGTGCATTGAGAATGCCTTGATGCCGTGTTCACGAAGGATTTTCTTCTCGCCACTGTCAATGTCTCTCAGACCAATGTACACAAGCTTCTTCAAGCTGAGACGGTGGTGATCCTTCAACCACCCGAATGTTTCCTCATTCTCTTCAGTAGCTAGCCCAGTCAGAAACGCGACGGGCATGCCGTGAATATTCCCGCTATCTGATGTCTCAGGTGTGTTGATATCGGCGTGAGCGTCAACCCAAATGACTGCAATATCTCTCCCCAGCCTCTCGCGAACCGCTCTCGCTGTGCCAGAAATGGTACCAATCGCGATGGAGTGGTCGCCTCCAAGAGTCAAAACGAGCTTGCCATCTTTCGCGTGGCTGTACACTTGTTCGCTGACCTCCCTGGTCACGGCGCTGACGAACTTTGGTCGCTTCATGCCCCGGTGGTCTGGGTCCTCTGATGGCAACATTTCGGCATAGTTGTGCACTTGCCCGTCGAAGGAAACGTTGTACTCTAGCTCTTCTTTCAATTGGTCGATCAGACCAGCTTCGATCAGTGCTATTGGGGCAGCGTCGACACCAGCTTTTGGCTGAGGTTCGGTTAGCTTTGGTTTCTAAGTCGATACGAGAGCCTTACCTGGCCACCGCTGAACCCGACTGCAACCACGCCCAAGTCATGACGACTGGTGAGGAACTTGGGCTGTATTGATGGTGCGGCCGTCATTATGTGTTGTGTGATCTGCAACAAATGTCAGACGCAAGTGATATAAGAGGGACTGCTGGATTTGCATGGGTCGCAGCTGTCATCGAGATAGTAGCAACTCATAACTAGCATAGAAGAGCAGAGACAGGCTTGTGTGTATACACGATAAGAAACACATACCTGTTGATACTCTTTCGCGGTGGTGCGGTACGATGAAGTGCAATTTGTTGGTTGACGGTATATTGTTATCGACGTGGATATTGACACGGTAATGCAAAATCAAAAACTGGATGAACCAGAAATTCAAGAGACGAGGGCGCGGTCGCGCCCTTTTATCTCTTTGCTGGCGGCTCTTCTTAGGTAATTCGGTCTTGTTGAATTTTCGTTCATCGCGAAGACCTGTACTTAGGGGAACGATATTTGAGGCATTCGGGAGATTTATCACTTAGGGGACGAAGGGCGACGCGCTTTATCTAAGAGCCCCCCACTAACACGGTTGGCCGAGCAGCGGTGTGCCGTTGATCAGTTTGCTTCATGGTCGAGATGACAGCCATCTTATCAATTTCCTCAGTATTTCACATCACCAGAGCGTATTGTATCAAGCTCATGAATGTGTAGATGGGATGTCTCGTTCAGGGAATGTGTAGTCTTTTGTCTCCAGCCTGCTCGCATCTGATTGGCTGATCTCACACCGGCTTTATTCGGCTTATCGCAGATCTTGTCCGACAAGACAAAGCCAGCTGATCTTTCGCAGCCACCATTTACTACTCAAATCCAAATCACATGCAAAAGGGATATGCCACTCCTGTAGTGCATTGATTGGATACATACATCCGTTTTAACACAACCATCCCTAATGGTTCTCACTTCGGCCATCCGTTTCGCCATGACTCGAGGCTCAGGAACGATACAACTCCTCTGCCACGTCAAACCAGGTGTCAGTGCAAACAGAGAGGGTATCGCAGCTGTGTCAGACGAAAGAATTGAAGTATGCGTTGCAGCTCAAGCAAGGGACGGAGAAGCAAACAAGGCTGTGAGAGAGATAATCGCCGACGTGCTACGGGTTCCCAAGTCTGACGTGGAAGTAGTAAAGGGCATGAAGAGCCGGGACAAAATGGTTGCAGTGACGAACATAAGCACGAATAGGAAGCCAGAGGAGGAGATTGTACGAACAAGGGAATTGCTGGCAGACAGCATCGGCCGTTGAGTAGTTACGATTACAACACATGCATTATGCTATCCTACATCTCAATCATCCCATCCATTTTATTACATTATCATTATTCGGAGCACGTTTTTATCACCACGTTGAGGGCGACTTAGTATTGGTAAGCAGTGGGGCCGTCGACGTCCGCTGTTCACCGTTAATCAAGATTTTCACAAATGGTACGACCGGAACTTACAGGTGATAGCACTGAAGCCCAAGCAAGTGCCGACGAAGCTCACACCATCCCGCTGTCCATAAACCTGGTAGCGGCCATCGGTCTGGGGGCAGGCAAGGAAACCAGTATCGTAGCTCAAGGTTCCAAGAGTCGATCCCTCAGGGTCAGTCTTCTCGAACATATTGGCGATAGCGCCCGCTGGAAGAGGGGCGCCGTCTGTGCCTGTGTACGACAAGGTGCCGTCAATCGCAACGTAGACCTGCTGGGGAACAATAGAGCCGAGCGAGAGACTGCCGTCGCCACCAATAAGGGAAGTGATGTTGCCAGGTGGGCAAGCGCCCTAATTGTGCATTAGCCAGCTGTCGCTCAAGAATTTGGAAGAACATACAACGCCGTCAGGACAGCTAGCCGAAGGTTCACCACCGAGGAAGAACCTGCCACCGTTGGCTTGGAGGGGAAGAAAGTGGATTGGAGAAGCACTGCGAGCAGAGATGACACTGAAGTATTCGACTTGGGGAGTAGGTGTGGGAGTAGGCTGAGGAGCAGGGCAGTAGCCCTGAGCGAAGACGCTGGTGAAGAGAGCTGCAGCGGCGAAAGTGTACTTCATGTTGGCGGATAGCAGATAATTGATGAATCAACTGGGAGTAGAAAGGCGTCGAGAACGAAAGATTATTGATGTTTGGAGTCGAAGCTAATAGAACGATGATGAGGCGGCAGCTCTCCGAGTTTATGTCTCTACATAAGGAGCTATCGAAGACATCTCCAAGCTCGAATACGATCGCTTCGGGCTTAGGTCCTACCGAAGCGGGCGGGATGGGCCCTGCACCAAGATATTGAAACCTTGAACACGAGGCGATTGACACTACAAAAAGCTCTGTGTCTGGTCACAGGACTGGTAAACGTATACTCCGACTGCCGGCCAACCAATCAGGTACGGCTTTCGGAGCGTTGTTCCCGCAGATTACGGGCTCAACCTCTTCTCCTGCATGATTGTATTTTGGGAATACAAAATCTCGCCACTGAGCTGGGGAGATGGCACCAGGTCACTACGTGATTAACAAGCTGTTTTGGAAAGACAGATCTCCTTCCCAACAGCCGATTGTACAAGCGTATACGAATTTGGACTGTGTGAACATCGCAATTTCTGCTCTCGAATTTGGGGTTGGGTGAAATGTGATGTAAGATCGAATGACGTAGATCTTCGTACCCCGCAAAATACCCACACTTCAATCTAATGATCCCGCCCATACCCAGCCTCATCGTCCCAGGGATAGCGATCCCCACTATACTTTAAACTGTTGAGGGTCCTCGGGAATGACATGGTTCAAGAACGTAGCGTGATATCAGCAAGATCAAGGCTCGTCGTAATCAAAAGCATATCTTTCCAAGCACGCCACCTACGCTTGATATCTACGTGATGGGTATTTGTTTTGATGCTCAGAAGAGGACATATCGTTTGCAACATTACAACGTCGTGATACGTCTTCCATGGACAGACAGAGTTGCAAGAGGGTTCCATGTACGTAGACTCTCGGTCAACTGTAAAAGCAGGAAGTAAGCTGCATTCTTTGTAACTCCTACAAGTTGCAAAACTACATAAGTAAAATATACAAATGTATACGTAAGGTACATACAGTTACAAATCCAGGCACGGTATTTCTACACTAAACGCAGTTGTAGTTGTCAAGCTGTTGCGTGATTTTGCTGCACCTTGGTTCGAGAGGTAGATCACTGCACATGCCCTAGCATAAACGAGCTTACGTTGCAAGACTATCCAGAACATAAGGGAATCAGTGCATGTGAGAACTGTACCAGCATTATGCTTTCAAGGAGAAGGAAACCCACGTAGCGACGAACGTAACAGCACACTCTACACGCGACACCGTACTCGAGACCGTTCACTGTACTCAAGACCATTCAGCGACGCCTTTGTTCAGAATTTCCAATATATCTCAGACGAACACAGAACAGTACTTCCACAATCATGGTTAGAAACGCGTATATTCTGATTGACATCGTTGGCTCCAGTACTAGCAAAGACGGCGTATAGTAATCACACAAACTTAGCACGTCAGACTGGAGAAACTTCTGATTTGAACACCATTCATTCGAGTGCACTACCAATTGCAAACTGCGCAAAACACCCCCAGCGGAAGACTTTTCACATACCAAAAACTCCAAGCAATGCATGCCTTTCCAAAGACTTGTCGTGACAATCCCCTGCGTTCCTCATGGGTCGACCTTGAACTTCAACCTCACACCCATACTCGCCAGCTCAACATCCAGATATTTCAACACTCCCGGCACGGCAACAACCGCCACGTCGTCGCCGCCCATGAATCGCATACCTTGGCCATCTGTCCAAACCTCGCTCGTGCTCTGCACACCGTCCGCCAATGTGGCGCACCTTCTGCACCGAATGGTCATGTTTTTGCCCCCTTGGTCCTTCTTACGTGAATACTCGCTAACTGTAGGCGCGGTAGACAAGAATGAACCACAGGCGCGACATATAGCAGCTTTGGTGTAGTCGGAGCAGTTCATCAGACGATCTTGCAGTAGGAAGGCAGTACCGTGAGCAATAAGCGCGTCGCGCTCCATTTCTCCAACACGGATACCACCACCCTTCTTACGACCCTTGATGGGTTGCCCGGTCGTTGAGTTGACGGGACCGGTGGTACGCACTTGGTACTTGTCGTTGACCATGTGACGGAGACGTTGGTAGTAGACAACACCGATGTAGATATCGGCGGCAAGTTCTTGACCCGTGATACCGCTATACATCGGTTCGTTACCGTAGTAGTTATAACCAGCCTTCATAAGCTGATGGCCGAAGAAATCGACGGCGGTGTTCTGCTCGTCGAAACGGAATGGCGTGGAGTCTTGAGAAATACCATGAAGCGCTCCTGCTTTGCCTGCCAGCGACTCAACGAACATACCGATTGTCATTCGAGATGGGAAAGCGTGCGGGTTGATGATGACATCAGGTTGGATGCCAGACTCCGAGAAGGGCATGTCAATTGATGGCCATTTCTGCGAAGCAACACCCTTCTGTCCGTGACGAGAGGAGAACTTGTCGCCAATGACGGGCGAACGTGGAACACGGAGTTTGATGCTGAGCTTTTGACAGGGCTGGGTGCCGTCTTCCGAGCCGATGATGCGGACTTCTTCGACAAACGCCAGCTCATCTTCCTTGTATTTGAAGTAGCTGGTATTGCCATCACGGTTTATGTAGTCGCCGGTAGCTGCGTCGTACGAAACAGTATGCCATGCAGCAAGTTTGTCGCCTGAGCGCAGCATCGCACCAATACGAGGGAACCCATCATCGTCAATTGTTTCCTTGTCAGCTGCCTTGACAAGCCCTTCAGGAGCGAACCCAAAGAGTTTAGTCACGGTCCGACCAGACCGATTTCTCCGACCACCCTCTTCAAGGTCGCAAATCTTGGTCTTGTAAATGGTACCGTGACCAAACCCACGCTCATGTGCAGATTTGTTTATGATCATGGCGTCATCCATGTCGTACCCTGTGTATGAGATGACAGCTACAACAGCGTTCGTGCCGTTGGGAAAGTTATCCAAGCCATACTCGTTGTGGAGGGGCGGTCGTACGATAGGCGTTTGACCAGTCTGTAAGCGGTAGGTCTTGTTGTCCGTTCGGTATCGCCCGGCAGTTCCAGGTGTTCCCATTGACTGTTTACCCATCTGACACTGGTACATGTTTCGGGGAGATTGGTTGAAGTCTGAGAAGGGTGTCATGTTGGCGACGATGGAGAATATGTTAGTAGGATCGAATTCAACATGCGTTGAATCGCCCGACACGATTTCAGCATCTGTACACGCTATTGACATATACGGCTGCTCGAAAGGCCCTACATAGTCTAGCTTGCCAAGGGGCAGATACTTGACAGGTCTGTACATGCGCGCAACTTGTGAGAACATGAAAATACCGGGGTACTGGCCGCCACTTGAATTGGGAACGTAGCCAATCTCGAGTTCCAAGGGGACATTGTGCGTGCCTTCGACTTTCCAGTAACGAAGTGTATCTGCAATGACTTTGGCTTGCTTTGGCGAGCAGAAACCCAAAACGCGGCCGTCCAGCTGTACGACCACACTCGCGTCAAGTGAGGCGGATGATTTGCTTGACACGCCCAACTGTGCAACGAGTTTGGGAATCGCTGAGACATCAACGTTCTGTGTTGCCAACTTGCATTTGTGTGCAAAGTGGTTGAGTAGCCCACATGGAGCTCCGTCAGGGGTGTGAACGGGACACATGAAGCCCCAACTCTCGGGCAGCAGTTTTCGTACAGTCGTAGTTTTGAGTTGCGCGAAGAAAGCACCTCTGTGCACCATCCTGAAATGACTGATGAATCGGTAGAAGTTGATCTTTTCTGCCACGACCACGAAACCAGCTGTTTGCTGGAGGTCCAGGCCAGTAGGACTGATGAGGTTTCCGGTAGAGAGGAAGTATTCCATGGCCTGGCCAACGTTCATGGTGGTCTTCTTGAGCACTTTCTGGACAAAGTCTTTCTGGAATTCTGGGGAAGTGAACGACCTCCATTCTGTTCTGCGTCCATAGTCGTTCAAGACAGGGCGTAAAGAATTCAGCCAGTCGTCGAGTCTCTCCTTGATGATCATGCCGTACAGCTGGCCTCCAAGCAGAATTTCCTGGTTCTGCACAGCATCTGGGTTGTCGACGGCACACTCGCCCTCAACAAGGGAATATAGTTTCCGGGTCATGAAGAGCAGCATACGGAACTTGTCGGCATCCTGGGCGGGAGTAACGTCATATGCCCCCAGGTGTGGCAGGACAATTCTTCGTAGGAACTCGGTACCGGCTTCTTCGTCGCTTGTGTCCTCGGGGATCTGCAGTACGACCTTGAACTTCTGTCCTAGGTATGCCCGTGTCTTGGCTTTGGAGTGCAGCCCATAGACCTTGTACGTCCGGAGCAGCAGTTCCACTCTATCGGTCACAAACTGTTTCTCGGCAAGCCCTTCTGAGCCAGCTGCGCCGACCAGGCCCTCGAAGATCTCCCGGTCGTTCGTTTCAACCAAGGCCTTGAGCACCATCATGACGGGCACGAGGTACTCTGCCTTTCTCCACGAAAAGCGCAGGTTGACATTGCCGTCGCTTAAGTAGTGGAGGGCGTTTGTCTGCGACGTCTGATCTGGTCGCATGGAACGAATGAGGATACCGTATTGCGTGTAACCCGGCCCGCGGTTCATGAAGGCCCCACGCTTGATGGCCATGGGGTAGTTGCGCCTGTTCACCTGCAGCATGCGGATGATTTTCTCGATGCCGTTGACGATGAAGTAGCCGCCCAGCTCCTCGCTTTCCTCCTTGGCCTTGATGAGCGCGTCTGGACTCAGGCCTTCGAGGTGGCACCGGTTAGACTGTCACGAGAGCGGTTAGCATCCGCGCTGCTGTGCGAAGTCCAGTGGAATGGGGAGATCTCACCCGCAGCATGATGGGGATGGTGCCCAGATCGCACACCTCCTCCTGCCAGTCCATGTTGTTCACCTTGTACTCGAGTCGTGCGCGCAGCTTGCCGCGGTAGGTGGCGTGCCGCTCTCTGCACTCGGCGGGGAGGATGGTGCGGTTCTTGAGCGCGACCTTGTTCGACGAGGGCAGCACCGACTTGTCGAGAAAGACGTCTTGGATGCGCACAGAGAGCCTGTTGCGCGCGCCCACCTCCTCGGGCTGCGCATACGGGTCGCCATCGACGAAGACCTTTGTGCCGATTTCACGGATGCCCTCGTCGATCTGCCCGCCAGGTACGAAGATGGTGTTGAACGAGTTGATGTGGGGGTCGACTGCAGCGGCGAGCGTGGGGTAGGCTGTCTTGTCCTTGGGGGGGTTCTGGAAGAGGCGCTGCCGTTTCTTTGTGTCGAACTCCGTCGACCATTGCGTCTTTGTCTGCGTCTGCGACTGCGGCTTCCTCACTGCGGCAGGCGCCATGGCTACGGTGCGCGTGTTGTAGATTTCGTGGAGAAGCGGCTGATTCAGAAACAAAAGGCGCAGCTCACCACAGGCCGTGCAGAATCGTCCCAGTCCTCGTGCAAAGACGCAGAGAGAACGGCGGCATTGATATCTTCACAATGGCCCAACTTTTTTCGAGCTAACGGAACGGGAAACGCCTCTCGCTCATAGTGGTGGGCCCGTGCGCCAGCTCAAAGTCACACGCCCGCGGCGGCTCGAATACATCTCCGCTGCAGGGCGGCGCAGCTCCTACCCTCCAACTTCTTCACTGCCTTTGCGGCTTCATTTGCATGCGTTTTGGGGCCTGGTCAATTCAGTCTTGTTGCTAAGCTATCTACCACGGCGTCGCCAGCCAATTACTGCCCGAAGAGGACCCCGCAGCAAGGATTCCCAGACTTCCACCCAGCGCCCATCACCATCACCAGTCCTCGCAGCAGCCAGCCCATCTGATTTCGAGTCATTCACAACACCTGCCCGCTCACCATGGCGAGCATATTCCGACGCATCTACGACTGGCTGCTCCGTCTGTTCTGGTATGTCCACCCTCCTGCTGTTTCTCGGTCACCTGCGCCGGCGTCGATGCTTGATGCGCCATTTGATAGCTCCGTCTACACGACAAGACCATTATCGCGTCTGACAATGGATACTGACATGCTTCGCTGTGCAGGGCGACGGAGATGGATATCACCATGATAGGTCTGCAAAACGCTGGCAAAACGTCGCTGTTGAGGGTTCTGGCGGTGAGTCTCGTCCTGTTCCGGAAGCGATCGTGCATCGACCGTGTGTGCGCGCAAGCCCAAGCTGATTGACCTTTTCCAGGGAGGAGAGTTTACTGTCGAGTACGTCAACATCCATTCCGTGTAGCGCAAGCCGGTGGCGACACTGTTTTACGTGTCGCCATCGCACTGTTTCGTGCGAGCATCGTAGGTTTGTCCATGCGCTGATACGCCCATAGCTCCATCCCAACTGTTGGTTTCAACATGAAGCGTGTCCAGAAAGGCCATGTTACCCTGAAGTGGTGAGTACTCCTGACGTCCCGCCTTGGTCACGCACGTCTGGTTGTTGCAGTGCCAAGCCCGTTGCCAGCCTTGCAGGGTGCAGGCAATCTGCCACATCCAAGTGTACCTGCTGACCGCGGGTGTAGCTGGGATCTTGGAGGTCAACCGAGGTTTCGTTCCATGTGGGAGAGGTATTGCCGCGGCGTGAATGCAATCGTGTAAGATCCGCTTGCACGTGTTTGAGGTTTCGCGCTCATCGTCCTAGGTTCATCGTTGACTCCGCTGACAAGGAAGCTCTGCCGGTTGCGCGCGAAGAACTAAAACTTTTGTTGGAGAAGCCAGCTTTGGAAGGTATCCCCCTTCTCGTCTTGGGCAACAAATCGGATCTTCCGAGTAAGCTTTCGGTGGACGAGTTGATCGAAGAGCTCGACCTAAAAGCAGTGTCGCACCGAGAGGTGAGCTGCTACGGCATCAGTGCCAAAGAAGAGACCAACCTCGATGCCGTTCTCCAATGGTTGATTGCTCGAGCAAGCAAGTAGATATGACATGGCTGGCGGTTGAGTGGGCGACAACGTGACCAGCGAGGTCTTGACTAACACGCATCCGCGCGTTGCATTCGACTCGGTTCGGTGTTTCGCAAGTTCACGACCCTGATGTGCCAAAAGGCCGTTAGCATTCTACGACAAACTTAATGATTCTTACGACGTGACGGAAGAAAAGACGGGCAGATCAGCACTGCAGGCTAGCGATGGCCACCTCGCACTCCCCTAACTCGAGCATATTTCCTGATTTCATAAGTTCTTTCGCGGCAGTGTGGTGCTGTCCTCTTGGCTGACAGAACAGAAAGCGTATCGAAGGCTTCCAGTATATTTATCTGATCATGTATCAATTCATGTGTTTCGTTACTTGAGCGAGGATACGGCGATTATAGCGATTAGGAAGGACCGGTTTGTCCCAGGTGTTGTTTTAATCTTTCGCATAGTAGTGAAGAGAGTTCGCACTCTACACTTCGTACAATGGTAACTTTCATGTCTTTGGCACGACTGTTCGCGCATTGCTCGTGACTCCGCCCTTGCCGTGTGTACAGGCAGTAACAGGCTTTGACGGGGAAGGTCTTCTTCTGTTGGTTCAAACGGCTGGTATCGTGTTCGCAGGTGGTCGCATCTCTTATGATGTAGGGTCGATTTCTCCTTCTGACGCGAATGCAGTCACGGCTGTCGCGCATCGCACAGCGTCCATTCGAAATGGAACACGCATAGCGCAGCGCACAAGAACAATCACTAGGACATGGCATGAGCGAGAGTGACTGAGCAGCGCAGCGCCCGTTGTTAAGGAGGGCGCATTCGACAGCTATTATTTCCCGTGGTTGACAACACATCCTGCATTAGCGTTTCCATGAAATTCGGCCAATCATATGTCGATTATTGCATAGCTGGGCGTGAACCCCTGCTTCCCGTAATGGACCGAGGAGCGTGATGTTTGATCCTTTGAGAAACGGGCAGGAATTTGCGATGGTGGAATGTGGTGTGGCGTAGGTGTGGCTCTGGGTGGGTCAACGAGGCTCTGGAAATTGGCAAACTGTGGGGATCAGGAAGTCAGAGCATGGAAGTGTGTGTGACATGCAATTTCCCGGAGTAAAAGATTGTGTGACGGTAGCTAGACGACAAGTCTATCCTCGAGACGGATAGCCAGATTCTTTGTCAACTGTAGAAGCGGGAAATAAGCTGCGTTCTTCGTGGGTCCTTTGAGCTGCAAAACAGCACCAAATGCACTTGACAACAGGTCACGTTAGGCGTATACTAGAAACTCAGGTGTGAGAATTCTATAGTGATCTTATACGTAGTTGTTTGAGTTGCTGTAAGCTTTCGCTGCACCTTAGTTTCTGGTATTTCGGTCAATCGAGAGCCACAGTATGTAGGTTTGCTAATGGAAGCTATGTTCTTCTGCTGCATTCATTCCATATTGTTTTTACCAGTAAAAGTGTCAGTCTGGAGACAATGGCATGTTGGTCTGGTTGTTCAAAGCTGGACTACAGACTGGGACGGTATCGTGCCAGATGCCAGGGATGTCTAATGTACACAAAGCATCTTTGGACTGCTCGTTCTCAAGTTCACCATCCTACAAAAACATTGCAAGGCTTACGCCGGCAATACCGAGAGGCAAACAGATCTTCTGGATGCAGCTGGAATATGGCCAGACCTGCAAGGGCGTTTCTCAACCCCGACAAAGAAGCATCCACCATTTTCCATCTAGCCATTCATTCGTGACTGCGCCTCCGCGACTCCTCACCATCAGCCCAACTGAGCCTTGCAAATCAGCGACCGACGAAAATGATCGACCTTTCGGTCCTCCGGTCGTGCCGGCGCGGTCAGCAACCAGGCCCTTGGCTGTGGCTGAGCATTCGCACTTAAGCTGACGCCGTCGTCATTGCTAGTAGCTCTCCACTGCAACCTCTCACAGCATCGCGATCATCAATCTAAACACTTCCAAGTCTGCGCATTTCTTCTTGTTTGCCAGCCAAGTTCCTTGCCGAGATGCCGTCTATTGTGGCCAGACAGTTCAACTATGGCGATGACGAGTAAGTGGCTGGCATTTCCTTGGCCAGAACTTGCGTTTGTAGACGGGATCTTCAGCACGGATCCTGCCTGCCATGTTCACGTCATACATGGCGCATCACCTGCAAGCTACTTACTTACCCTTCCTTCCCCGTTCCTTTTTTCCCACCGCTCCTAGTTCAATTCTCTCGTCGCATTGCAACAACACCTCGCCGACACGCAGTTATCCCGCTACCATCACACCCTCTAATACACCATGGCTCGCAGGTGTGGTTACAACAGATATAATCAATATGTCTGCTACAAAACTTCCGCATGGAATACATGGGCCCGCTGGGTCGTCCTAGGTGTTATTGTGCTCGCCTTTCTCATGCTCTTTTTCATTTGCAGGTAAGATGAATCCAGTCGCGTCCTTCATATCAATGAACCAGCCACTAATGTAAACCTAGCTGCTTGACCGCGCGCAAGCGTCGCAAGGCCGGTCACCAGCCATACTACGGCACCGGTTGGGCCGCCCGTCCTCCTGCGTACGGCGAGACACAGGGCACGCAACCCTACTACAATAACAACAACAACACGCAAGGCAACGCTGCTCCTCCGTACTCGGCCACCACCTCAAACCAAGGCTACTACGGCAACCAGCCGCAGAGCAATGTCGAGCTTCAGCAACCGCAACAGACATACGGCGGCGCAGGACAGAACATGTATGCACCTCCTCCGGGTCCGCCACCAGGCAAGACCTACAACGGAGTTTGAGAAGTCGATGATACGAGTTCATCACATCGGGACGCATTGAGGTAGCGAACCTGACATATGAATGAGTGATACGATTGCAATTGGCGTTGGACATGTGGCGCTTTGGTGATTATTGTTGAGATTGTAAGCGTGGAATCAAGCCCTATGATGGTGCTACGGACGAAATGCTTTGAGCTCCCAGTGATTATGGGTCGCGTATGGATACCTCTTCTGTTTAATGTCTGTACTTAATAAGTCTTCTCTTCCGAGTAGTCTATGATAGCTGTATCATGAAAATACGATACCTCTATGAGCACTATTACTCCCACCGCACCTATCTCGTGTTGGATTCAAATGTTTATGTGGCGACTGGTATGCATGAGTTTATGAGAATAACATGGACAAGCACTCAATAGGAATCACAATACATCCCAGCATCACACGAACCATAGCAGACTTCTACTTTTGTGGGAGTATCACTGTGTATCCTGATATCTTAGAATAGAGTTCGAGTCTCAGTTCTCCTCCAGCGTCAACCCTTCAATTGTCTTCGCGCCCCCTTCAGCGCCAATGTCCACCTTCGCCTTGTCCTCTCCCTCTACATGCCCGTCAGGTTGAGCCTCGACCTTGCGTCCCGGGTGGTAAGACCCCTTGTCCTTCTTTTTCTTCTCCTTCTTCGGAGGCGCGGGTGGTGGTGGGTAAGCCTTGGTCTCAATCTCCCTCCACTGTTCATTCGCCTGGAACTCAGCCTGAACGGGCTCGAGCAGTGTGTTCAGCGCCGCAGTGACAGCCGGCTTGAGGTCCTGAGGTTTCAGGATGTCGTTGACGTAGTCGTCTTGCATCTGCTTGATGTTGGTGTAGATGAGGGGTTCCTCGTCGCGGCGCTCGACGACGAATTTCGGCTCGCCGTGCTTGAGGACGCCGGCGGGGAGGAGCACGTATTCTACGAAGCTCAGCACGCCGTTCTCTTCGACTTGCTTGGGCGGCGCGAAGGCTTTCTTCAGCTTCTTCTTTACGGCGTCGGCGTTGTCAAGCACATCGATCTTCGAGTCGGGGTCCGAGGCGCTCATCTTGCCGCCTTGCAGACCGGGGACCATGGGGTTCATCAGGTGGGCGCGTTCCTTGTAGCCGAGCTTGGGCAGGACGTCTTTGGCCAGGGCGAAGATCTTGCGCTGGTCGACGCCGCCGAACTGCACGTCGACGTCGAGGTACTGCTCGTCGAGGGCTTGCATGAGCGGGTAGAGAAGTCCGCTCAGCGGCGCGTTCTCCGTCTGCTTCACGACTTCGGCGCCTGCCTTCTTCGCGTCGCGTTCACTCGTTACGGAGGCCAGGCGCAGGACATCCATCATGTATTCTGGCGTCAGTTCGAAGGACGACCCTAGCACGAACTCGAGCTTGTTGATGGGGACGTTGACGGCCTTGAGCAATGCGGTGATGGTGTAGCGGTAGTATTCTGCGCGGAACTTGACAAGCTCGATGGGCGCCTTGAGGTTGTCGAGGAAGCCGTGGATGTCGGCGAGCAGGATCTTGACGTGGCAGCCTGCAGCGAGGAATTGTGCGATCTTGAGGATGGGGACAAACTACACTACAGTCAGTACAACACACCAGACCAATCTACCCGTAGAAGATGACATACGTATCCGCAGTGCGGTCTGCCTGTCGTCGCAGTGCCCCAGTAGATCTTGAGCGTCCCACTCTCTTTTATGGCCGCGTCCATGATCTCTGGATTCAGCACCTCCTGCAGGTTGACCTTGATGAGGGCCATCTTCTCCTCGCCTGACATCTTGGCCGCCGCATCGTGTGCAGACGCTTCCACCTGGCTCTTTTCTAACCTCGACCTTGCATCTTGCAGCTGTGCCTGCAGCTCTGTGATTTTCTTCTCAATTCCCGCGATCTCGTCGTGGATTGAGGTTGAGTCCGCCATGGTGGGGTAGCGGGGGGATAATTTATGCCAATGGAGCGAACGCGGGAAATTCAGTTGTATTGAGCTTTTAGTACCGGAACGATGGACGAGGGCAGATATATATGCTTGTCCCCCAAGCTCAGCTGAACAAGTAGTCTTGTCAGCGGGTGATTCAGAGGCGAGCTGAATGAGTCTTCGTGGGGCTGCACCAGTCCAGATGTCAGGGTTCAGGAGCTAAAAACAAGGGTCCGGAGAATACGGTAAATCTGACTATTGCTTGCTACTTTGTGTCCACATACAACCAAATGATGAGTTTTTGAAGAATGCCTTTCTTTTACAGTGGATTACTTTGTTTTGGTCGTTCTGAGTTGAATTTGAAGATTCCTTAACCGTCGAGATGCAGTTCCTTGGGCCGTCAGCCTCTCGTCCACAACAGACACGCCGATGTTAGCTCAAATGCACGCCGTATCTCTAGGGCTGGGCTGACTTCTACTGGGCGCTTGGCTGTACGCCGCATAGAACAAGCTGTCTTGTCGATACGGTGGACCATAGGAACATTTAAACCAATTCCGCGCACATGGCTTCGAACAACCCATGTATGGAAAAACAAAAGTATCATTAAGGAGTGAATAAGAAGTTATGTTAGTCTAATGTAGAGCCGAAGCTTCGCACAAAAATCAAAGCAAATAGCGCAAAATCGTAGAAGAAGGATCAGTAGCAATAGCCACCAGCCACAAAAGTAATCATGCCAACGCCGTCGCCGTGCCAAAAATCAAATCCGACCAAGTCTCCATCTGTAGCCCCTACATCTCTGCCTCAAACTTAATAGCTCTTGCACTTGGCAAGGCAGTTGTCCACATCCTGTGCAAGGTTGGCTGGGATCATCTTCCTGAACTCCTCAATGTTCTTTCCATCAATCGTCTTCGGGAAGCCCAAGGTTGCGTTCACAACGCCCGCATTCAGCGCAAAAAAGTTCTGCGCGACCTGGCTCGTGCCGGGGTCTTCGTTGTTCAGCGATGCAACAAAGGTAGCATTCTCACACGCGTCGTTGAACTGGAAGTGAATCGAACCCATGGGGAAGACAGTGCCTTGAAACTGGTCTAGAACGCCGGCGATCTCGGGTGATTGGGGAGAAGCCACGAGGCCGTTCTCGAGGACGTAGCCAAACTTCAGGTTGGAGCCGGAGACGAGAGTCAGGAACTCGGTGGCGCGGGGGTGAACATGGGGAGTGTTGATACCGCAGGCCTCGAGGAAGCCGAGGGTGGTGGAGATGCCGAGGCCAGTGAGGATGGGAAAGGTCTCGATGTTCTGTTTGATGTTAGTCGAATGATAACAGAGACGTAGGGGAGTGTATGCGACATACAGCTGCCTTTGTAGCGCCTCCTTTCGCGCCATTCGCAGGTGTAGCACCGTTGAAGTTGAAGACTATGAGCTTCTGCAGAGCTTCGCCAGTGAGGAGAGTTCCGCCCTGAGTAAGAAGCCGTTGGAAACGCTTGATCGCTGTGGGAGCTGTGAAAAGGTCGCGGAAGAGTTGGGTCTGGTCTGGTGCAGGGGCAGGCGTAGCGGGGGTTGGAGCAGGAACAGGAGTAGGCACGACGGAAGTTGAGACAGGAACAGCCTGCGGGAGGGCCTGAACGGCACCGAGAGTTGCCAGGCCGGCGATGAGGACCCTTGTGAAGGAGAGCATGATTACTGATGAAGAAGCTAAGATAGCCGAATAACCAAAGAGATATATGAAAAGAGATAAAGAGATATGGAAGTAAGTATGGTTTTTGAGATGTAAGCTATGAGATGAGTTCTCCAAGGACATCCCACGGTGTTCTCTTTATACTTGGAAGCCAACATCACCCCTTGTCAGTATGTTCTGGTCGGAAGGCTTACCATCCGGATACCGCAGCCAAAGTCATCGCTTGCTGTCGCCAGCAAGAATAAGCACAGCTCACTCGAAAACGGGCGAAGCAAGTGTACATGAGACTCGTAACGCATTCCCCTCAATCACCCATGCATTCAGAATTGACAGGCCCTGTAGATGGTGCGTGTTAGCAGGGCGTTGTGAACTCCTGGTATAAGAAGGTAGTAAGAATAGCCCAAATCTGGGGTGCTTAGTCTCTACGGGCGTAATGCTGAGCTGGCCAGAACGGTCAGTTGATATGATTCCCATATCCAAGTGTCGTTCACCAAGCCGAGAAACATCGGGCGAGTGATTTACCAACAGGCACAGCACAAGCTTTGTTCCCATGTGGTGTGTTGGATGTTTTTTGGTTGGTTGTCGTGTGAGGTCGACAGAACGGTTGGCGCCTCAAACTTGGCGAGGAGGCTTGTCACCCAAAATAGAACGAATTACAAACAAACAACTCAACTACCAACACGGCAGCATTGATGCACAGCCTCGCTATGACTGTGAGGCACTCGGAAATGGTACAAATGGATAGAGATATTATTACGGAGGGCTCAAGTTTGAGGGCTAAAAACAAACAGACGCTTAGCGCTACAGACGCGAGTTGAATAGGCCTGCTGAGCAGTACTCAGCAATCCCAATGGACGTAATGGAAGTAGAGAAACAAGACGATGCGACGTATATGCAAAGCAAACAACCATAGCCAAATATACTAGTCAGAGTCGAATTCGACATCCATCGAGTCCTCCGACCCCCTCCAGAAGGGAAGCTCATCCAAGGTAAAAGCGTCGTCACTGAGGATAGACGGCGGGCCTTTCGAATGCATAACAGTCCCTTCCTCCGGCTCTTCGACTTCCAAAATATTGTTGGTATTTGAAAAACCTCTATCTTCGAAGGTGAGCGATCCCCTCCTCTCAAAGGTTCCGCGTACACGGCGGCGAAGTCGACGAGCATTTGGGTCGACGTCGTCCATAGGGTCGTTGTCAGAGTAGCTGCTGTCGCCTTCGACGCTCTGACTATGGGTTCGCTTGAAGACGCCTGCACTCCACCTCTTCTTCTTTTGCCTATATATGCGTTCTCTCGCCTCCTCATCTGAAGACGTTTCCTCCAGAATCAATTCTTTCAGCTTATTGATGACTTCTAGTTTTTTCCCACTTTTCTCACTCTTTGCATCTTCAAAGTAGTCTGGCTGCACGACCTCTATGTTGCAGTCACAGTCTGAGTCGCTATCGAGCTCTTCGAGTATAAAGTCGGCCTCTTCTACGCGACGCATGGGTGTTTCCTCCTCCTGGTCGCTGTCTTGTTCAGATTCATCGTCAATCTCAATTTCGTCCTCGTCGTCGTCGTCAATCTCGATCTCAATTATATCCTCATCGTCATCATCGGAATCTTGCAAGGTTGTTGCATAAACCCGCCCAGAGTCGGTGGAAAGGCGCGAGGACGGCTCGAACGACTGAGGACGGGTGAATTTGAAATGATGACCTTGGCCAGTCGGTTCAATGAACTCCAATGGTGGAGTGTGGGTGAATTTTAGAGCGCTCATGCGGCTGGAGAGCGGCGATGTGTTGCTCGCCTGAGACGGAAAGCGCGCATGGGAGCGGATGCCGGGCGTCATGGGCGGTGAGGTGAGGTGAGTTTCGAGCATAGCCGGTGGCTGCTCGTGCGTTGCCATGGGGTGGGTGATGTCGTGATGTTTATCGGGTAAGTTGCGTCAGACGGGCGTGAGGGAGCCAATGATGATCTGAATTTTATTCTGCTGATCTCAAGGTATCAAAGTCCGACGGTCGAGTCTGGTTTTGAAAATGCGGAAAAAGGGCTTTGCAGACAATATCATTCTGGAGGCGATTGGAAGTGCTTAACTGCGAGAGCTGAGCAGCGTGGGATGTGCGGCGAGATGGAGAGGTTACAAGTCAGACCCTGCAACGCCCTGGGCTTATCGTGCAGGTCAAGAGAGGATCTTATAGGCAGCAATGCAGGGAGGGTAGCTCGCAGGACGAAGAAGCCACGGAGCGCAGGTCAGTTCGGGAGCAGTGGTGCGGTGTTGTCGAATGGAGACGGGTGCGAGACGAGGAGAATTGGAGAAGGCAGGCCTGGGGTGGTCACAATTCCCTGTGCGGGACGTCGCCAATTATCCACCTAGGTTTGCGTGGTGAACAGGCGGCCGCGGTGCGGATGCAGCAGCTTGCAGAAGTGCTTGCTCGCCATGGTGCCCGATGCTGGCCACGATATGTGGTCGCGGACGATTAGTTGCAGCGTGAACTGGCAAAGTCGAGTGCCACGCAGCCAATGGCGGCAGCGTGCCAAATTGCGACGCGCATGGCGGGTGGGTTGCGCTGGCACACGAAGACGACTGTTGGTGAGAGGGTGCAGCGGGGCATGGATGCATGAGGCCACGCCAGAAGCAGCTGGGCCCACGCAGCAGCGAGCAGAATGGAAGCGGCTCCGGCGGAATGCGGCTCTGCTGGCGAGATTGCGAGGGCTCGACGACGTGGAATTTCGCCATGTGGGCCTCCTCGGACTTGCAGGCTGGCAGTTCGGAGGAGACTTGGAGCGGTGCACTTGGGAGCTCGTCTGTGGTGTGTAACTGCATGGGCCACACAGAAGACACACCTCGCAGCTGTCAACAGCCACAGCACACAGCTTTCGTTGTTTAACCATATCGATGGGCTTCAGGTATGGTCAAGCATCGTCGATGGTGAAGTAGTCAATTGCACCGAGATGTACCTGGCAAGTGCACAGATCGTGTTCTGCCATCAAGCCTGTGTCACAGAATGAAAATGAGCCCCCAGACAGTTTCGATCAATCGAAATAGCAGGAACCAAGATGCAGCGAAATCATGCAACAACCTGACAACTAAAACTAAGTTTAGTGTAGAAATGTTATGCTGGAATTCCAAGTAGTATGCCCCTAATGTGAGCTTTTGTAGATTTCAATCGTGTAGTTCTGCGGATGGGAAGAGCTACATCAATTGCAGCTCACTCACGCTTTACAAGACGGAGAGAATGTACACAGTTGGTTTATGCGGGGCGAGAGTCGACACTAGACCAAATGCGGACAAGCGCAGTCTCCTCGAGATCTCGACAGTGGACACATTGAGTGAACATTGGCCGTGGCAGCTTGCGCAGGCAGCTTCCCCAGAGCAATTCGCACCACAACACCTCTCCCGCGCCTCCCCCGACCCGTCCCCCTCTGCTGCCGCCGTCGCCTGCACTGAGAGCACTCCCGGCACCCGTGAAGCTGCGGCTTCGTCCCCAATCCCACCATGTCTTCCACCCCGAGCATGTTGACCAAGGCAGGCCGCCTCTCGCCCATGCGCCGTGCTAGCATGCTGACCGCACCCAGTTCGAGTCCAAGTCGTCGAGGGCCAAGGGCATTGCCTTCCACCCCAAGAGGTAGCTGCGCCCGCCCTGCACGCCCACGCCCACGCTCCCCGCTGACCGCTGACTGCCCCCAGGCCCTGGATCCTCGTCTCGCTACACTCGTCCACCATCCAGCTATGGGACTACCGCATGGGCACCCTGATCGACCGCTTCGAAGAGCATGACGGGCCGGTCCGCGGCGTCGACTTCCACAAGACGCAGCCATTGTGAGCATCCACCACGACTCGCGAGGGCCACACAGAGCCGTATACTGAGACAAGGGCAGGTTCGTCTCTGGCGGCGACGACTACAAGATCAAGGTCTGGTCCTACCAGACCCGACGATGCTTGTTCACACTCAACGGCCACTTGGACTATGTCCGCACCGTCTTCTTCCACCACGAGCTGCCGTGGATATTGAGCAGCTCCGACGACCGTAAGCTCGCAACACGCGCGGGCAGCGCAATCGCTAACAGGCCTCAGAGACCATCCGCATCTGGAACTGGCAGAACCGTAAGTGACTCCGCTTCCCCTCCCTATCCCAAGCTAACGTGCGCAGGCTCATTGAGTAAGTCCCCGTGTTGCTCCCACCGCCGCCTCACCTAACCATCCCAAGTCTGCACCATGACTGGCCACAACCACTACACCATGTGCGCACAGTTCCACCCCAAAGAAGACCTCATCGTCTCCGCCTCGCTCGACCAGTCCGTCCGTGTCTGGGACATCTCCGGGCTGAGGAAGAAGCACTCCGCCCCGACGTCTATGAACTTCGAAGACCAGATGGCACGCACGAACCAGAATCAGGCAGATATGTTTGGCAACACGGACGCTGTCGTCAAGTTTGTCCTGGAGGGCCACGACCGCGGCGTGAACTGGGTCGCGTTCCACCCCACACTCCCACTGATCGTTTCTGCCGGTGATGACCGCTTGGTGAAGCTGTGGAGGATGTCAGAAACAAAGGCCTGGGAGGTGGATACATGTCGAGGACACTTCCAGAACGCATCCGCGTGTCTATTCCACCCTCATCAGGATCTGATTCTCTCTGTGGGCGAAGACAAGACCATCCGCGTGTGGGATCTCAACAGGCGGACATCCGTCCAGTCTTTCAAGAGGGAAAACGATAGATTTTGGGTGATTGCGGCGCATCCCGAGATCAACCTTTTCGCGGCTGGACACGATAATGGAGTCATGGTTTTCAAGCTGGAGCGCGAACGTCCTGCGTCCGCCGTCTACCAGAATAATCTTTTCTACATCACCAAAGAGAAGCATGTGCGATCATACGATTTCCAGAAGAACATCGAGTCGCCATCGATGCTTTCTCTGAAGAAGCTTGGAAGCGCATGGGTGCCTCCACGGACTCTGTCCTACAACGCCGCCGAACGTTCGATTCTCGTAACATCTCCCGCCGACAGCGGTACCTATGAGCTGATAAGTCTCCCACGCGATGCTTCAGGCGCCGTGGAGCCTACAGACACGAAGCGTGGCTCGGGTAACTCTGCAGTCTTCGTGGCCAGGAACAGATTCGCAGTTTTCACACAGGCTAATCAGCAGATCGACATCAAGGACCTCAGCAACTCTACTACAAAGACGATCAAACCTCCGCATGGTACCACCGACATTTACTTTGGTGGTACTGGTAATCTCCTTTTGATCACCCCGACCTCCGTCGTTCTCTACGACATTCAGGCCAAGAAGAATCTCGCCGAGCTCTCCGTCAATGGTGTTAAATACGTAGTCTGGTCAACCGATGGGCTACACGTAGCCCTTCTGAGCAAGCACAATGTCACTATCGCTTCGAAGAACCTTGAGCAAATCAGTACTTTGCATGAGACCATCCGCATCAAGAGCGCAACATGGGACGATACTGGCGTTCTTCTCTACTCCACCTTGAACCACGTCAAGTACAGCTTGATGAACGGAGACAACGGCATCGTCCGTACTCTGGAACATACAGTGTACCTCGTTAGGGTTAAAGGACGTAATATATACTGCCTGGATCGAGCAGCGAAGCCCAAGATACTACAGATCGACCCCACGGAATACCGGTTCAAGCTGGCTCTCGTCAAGCGGAACTACGACGAGATGCTGAACATCATCAAGAATTCAAGCCTTGTCGGTCAAAGCATCATTTCGTACCTGCAAAAGAAAGGTTATCCTGAGATCGCTCTCCAATTCGTTCAGGATCCCCAGACACGGTTTGAGCTTGCCATCGAATGCGGCAACCTTGAGGTAGCTGTGGAGATGGCCAAACAACTCGATCGCCCGAAGCTCTGGCAACGTCTCAGCAATGAAGCGCTGGCACACGGTAACCATCAAATAGTAGAGATGACCTACCAAAAGCTACGCAACTTTGACAAGCTTTCCTTCTTGTACCTGGCAACAGGCGATCAAGACAAATTGAAGCGTATGGCTAAGATTGCTGAGCATCGTGGGGACATGACTGCACGTTTCCAAAATGCGCTCTACTTAGGCGACGTGCAAAACCGGATCGACATGTTCCAGGAGATCGATCTCTACCCGTTAGCCTATGCCACAGCTAAAGCACATGGTCTCGACGAGCAGGCTCAGTCCATTATGGAGGCAGCCGGTGTTACAGAAGACCAGATCAGCGTTCCTTCCATAGGCAACGCTCTCTCGCCAGCCAAACCCATCGCACCGACCCACAAGGCGAACTGGCCAACTCGCGCGGCATCATCGACCGTATTCGAGAAGGCTTTGCTTGGAGAAGATGTTGGCGGTGAAGAACCAGCGGCTAATGGTTATGGGGATGAAGACCTGCTTGGCGAGCCGGAAGCTCCAGGTGCTGCCGCTGAGCTTGGAGGCGGTGACGAGGAAGATGATGTAGGTGGTTGGGATATGGGTGACGACGGTGATGTGGAAGCAGAAGATGACTTTGTCGAAGTTGAGGGTGCTGAAGCAGGCGCGGGTAGCAGTGAAGCTGACATCTGGGCACGCAACTCACCTTTGGCGGCAGACCATGTCGCTGCAGGTTCGTTCGAAACCGCCATGCAGCTCCTCAACAGGCAGATTGGCGCTGTCAATTTTGCTCCGCTTGAGGAGCGGTTCCAGGAGATCTACCAGGCTACGCGAACATTTTTGCCTGCGACACCCAACATGCCCTCAATCGTCAACTATGTGCGGAGAACAGTCGATGAGACAGACTCACGAAAGATTCTGCCCATCATTCCGCGAGATTTGGAGTCTGTCTTGGCAGCTGATCTAACAACTGGAAAACAATCACTGGTGAAGAACAAACTAGAGGAAGGCGTCGCCGCTTTCAAGAGGTTATTACACCTCTTGATCGTCAACGTTGTAGCTTCACAAGCAGAACTTTCTGAGGTAATTTCATATCTCGCCTTCCCAACTATGAAGCGCTGACAATCTATGCAGGCTAAGAAGGCAATCCACACCGCCGCCCAATATACGCTCGCAATGTCTATTGAACTCGAGCGCCGTGCACTGCTCGGCGGCGCTACCGATGTCTCTGGCCTTTCGGATGACAACAAGAAGCGTGTTCTTGAACTGTCTGCCTACTTCACCATCCCCGAGCTAGAAGGCCCGCACAAGTCGATTCCCCTCTCTGCCGCCATGAACTTCGCCCACAAGAACAGACAACTCAACACGGCACTCAACTTTGCCAACGCCCTGCTCGACCGCACTGGCAACGCGAAGATGAAGGAATCGGCCAAGCGCGTCAAGACTGTTGCGGAGAGGAACCCTGCAGATGGCATTGAAATCGACTTTGATCAATTTGCAGACTTTGAGATTTGTGCAGCGAGTCATACACCGATCTACGGAGGCAGCCCCAGCGTGGCTTGTCCGTATGATGGGTCGAAGTATCATGGAAAGTACAAGGGAACTGTTTGCAAAGTTTGCGAGGTTTGCCAGCTTGGTGCGCCAGCGAGTGGGCTTAGACTTGTTGGTTGAGCGAGGTTTGATGTTGAGAGGTACTTGATAGCATACAAGCCTAGACGGTTAGACAGTGTATCGGGGCATCTTGGTGCAACGGGCGGGTGTGTCGCGCAGCTGAGCCTGAAGGAGTAGGCATGTGTCATGAGAGGGGATCAGATTAGGCGGAGTGTGTACTCCGCTCCTGTATCACAACAAAATGCGAAACGATATCATGTTCAGAATTACAGTACCAAACTCTTCGTACTCTTGTACAATGCATAGCGATGAGTGGTGTCTGTTGACAAAAGTGACGTGATATCAATTGTTCTACATCAAGGAAAATTTCGCTCGCAATATACTACTGTCCAATGCACTGACCTCGGATTCAGCCAGACCGTGACTCCAACAACATGACTTTTCTGCACTTGTTCTTCCTCTCTGCCTTCTTCACTGACTTGATCGAACACGCATCTCTTACGCTGTCTTCTTTTTTCCAATGCTCGTGTCGATGGAGCTCAACAGCCACACGACCGAAAAGACTGCAAACACACCCAGTGTGATGACGACAGGCTTCCTGTATCCAGCAGCCCAGGGGTAGTCGTATGTGACAATGAGGTCCCGATCTCTGAACTCGTCAACGAGATTGATGGCCGTCAAGCTCAGAGTTGAGCGGCCAACAGTGTCCATGAAGGTCTTGTGCAAGCTTGTTGAGTGGTCTACGATGGGAACGGTAGTTGAGAACTTGATGTTTGTGGCACCCTCTGGTAGAATGACGCGCAGGTTCACGCGGCCGTATGTGATGCCCTCGGCTGAGCGGGGACCCTCGAGGAACGGCACCTTGAGCACGTATGTCTCGCCAGTCGCCAGCTTACGCAGGTAGCTTGACAGATCGGCGTTCCATCCAACGCGGAAGCTGTACTTCCAAGCCCCAAAGATGGGGTAGCGAGGCTTCAGCTCCAGCAGGCCCTCCTTCTTGCCCGGGCGGAAACGCGATGTCGACACATTGCCGATGTCGTCGGTGAAGTACGGGTCCACGGCTCCTGGGTGCAGCGGCAGGTTCAGGCCTTTCAGGGCAAAGGTGGGTGGGTTCATGTACGACTGCTTCTGCCACTCGACGCGCGAGAAGTGGTTCTTGAGGGCGGCGCCCTGGTTGACGAGCCAGTAGCGTTCCTCGGAGGCGAGATTGCCGCCCCAGTGAGAGACCTCGATGTCGCGCTCCAGAACGGTGGCGTGCATGACGGGCCTGGTGTATTCGTAGCGCACGCTCACCAGCTGCTCTGCGCCTGCGGGCACGTTGTTGAAGGGCCCGTAGGTGAAGGTCGAGCCCTGCTTCTGCGGGTCCGTCTTGCCCTCGGCATTGAGATCGGCGGGGAGGGTGGTGAAGTCGGGGACATCGGTGCTGGGGAACTTGACTTTGGTCCTCTGCTTCTCGGTGGTGTAGGCCGAGGGCGTGTATGCGCTGAAAGTGTATTGCAGGTACTGCTTCGCAGTCTGGGCGATGTCGGCGGGGACGGGCGAGAGGGAAGAGAGGAGCGAGTAGGAGATGGCGAGCGTTTGCTGGGCCTTGGGGGCGAGCGGCTGGGGCAGGTGGATGAGGTAGAATTCCGTGGAGCTGCATGCCATTGATTAGCCTCGGTCACATGGTCTGGCTGTCATTGCTAGCTACCTCTCAGCGTCCAGTCCCACGACGTCGACCTGGAACGTGCCCTTCGCCGCTGCCTGCTTGTCCCTCACTTCCAGCCCGCCGACCTTTGCGATCAGGCTCGTCTCGAACGGCAGATAGTACTCGGACTGCGGCTTCGAGTCGATGTTCTCAATCACGACGTTGATGGTCTCTCGCGGGTATGCCTTGTCGAGGTTTGTTGTGCGGACCAGATTGGTGTTCTTGAAGACCTGTGGGGGCTTGAAGGTGCCGGACAGCACCTGCTTGGACAGCAATGGCTTCGACTGGTTGAGTTCGGCGCATGTGAAGCCCGAAAGCGCTGCCAGGCAGCTTGCGAAGAAAGCGGTGGACCTCATTCTGGGTAGCAGCCAAGTTACCCAGTCATCTACGAGGCGGATGGAAAAGGGATGGGTGGTGTTGTGCGGTTGGGCAGTTCCTGACGACGAGCTGGTGCTGGCGTACGCGCGCTGATGCGTCGTGTTCACTTCGGCCGACTTTCGCTCCATGCGCTAAGCTTCCCGCCGCAACGAAGCTCAAGCTTCACCCCACCATTGTCGCTACCCAGCCTACTTACCTCACCATGACGCTTCTTTCCAGGGCGATTGGGAGACCCAACATAGCTCTGCGAAATGCTCGACCTCACGCGACACTGGGAAGGCGCCATCTGACCAACAATGGCTTCTTCCGCGTCTCAGAGGAAGTGCGCGAAGCTCTGAACTCGAAGAAGCCTGTCGTCGCGCTTGAGACGACCATATACACACATGGTGCGCACTTCCCAATTCTGCTCCTCGATTGTGGTGTTAATGTCCCCACCAGGCTTTCCTTACCCCGAGAATGTGGCCCTTGCATCCCTCCTCGAGAGCGTAGTGCGAACTAACGGTGGAGTCCCCGCTACGATTGGAATCATAGACGGTGTAGCACGAGTAGGGTTGGACCCTGAGGAACTCATAAGGCTCACTGCGTCGGCTGGAAATGCAAACACATTGAAGCTTTCAAGACGGGATCTGAGTTACGTGTGTGGTCTGCGACTGGCTGGCAAAAAGTTTACTGGTGGGACTACGATAGCGAGTACCATGTTGCTCGCCGAGTTGGCTGGTATAAAGATATTTGGTACTGGTGGTCTTGGTGGTGTCCATCGCGGTGCTGAGTCTAGCATGGATATCTCCGCTGATTTGACCGAGCTGGGCAGAACACCAGTTGCAGTCATCTCAAGTGGTTGCAAGAGCTTCCTTGACATCCCCAGAACCCTCGAATATCTGGAGACCGAGGGTGTGAGTGTCGGTACATTTGCGGATGGGCGCACAGGGAGTGTAGACTTCCCGGCCTTCTGGTCGAGAGACAGTGGAGTGAAGAGCCCGACTACAATCGCGGATGAAATTGAAGCTGCTGCAATAATACGTGAGTCTTGGTATGGGAATCACTTCACATCCACATACTGACCGACTGCAGACGCGCAGCACGCTCTCAAAATCTCATCCGGCCTTCTCTTCGCAAACCCCGTACCCGCAGACTTTGCCATTCCAAAGGACGAGATGGAGGTTGTCATCGAGGAAGCCCTACGACAAGCCAACGCTTCAGGTGCATCGGGCAAAGACAATACGCCTTTTGTCCTAAATAAGATTAAGGAGTTAACCAAGGCAAAATCCATCACTGCCAACAGAGCCCTTATAGAGTCGAACGTCAAGCGAGCTGCCATTGTAGCCCGAGAGCTTGCCATCTTGGATGCAAAGCAAGAAGGGTGAGCCAGACACTCTTGCTGCTCCATCGTAGAACTGGGCGCTGATCGTAAGTACGTAGACGGGGCTCATATTACTTCACTCCTGTTCAGTCTAGTCCTGCGGCTACTGCGGAGGGACTAATGAGTAATTCATCTTTATCGACGTTCGATCTTTCATCTACGGCTTCCACCACTGCTTCTTCCATCTCTGAGGCTCCACCAGATGTTGAGATCCTTGTGGCAGGTGCTCTTGCGGTTGATTTCTCCTGTGATTACGCTCCATTCTCCACATCCTCTAGCCAAACAGATCCATTGCCGCATACTTCGAATCCAGCAATCATCAACCAGACCCTGGGCGGTGTAGCTCACAACATTGCCAAAGCTGCCCATTTTCTCGGATCTACCGTCCGTCTTCACAGCGCGGTCGGTGATGATCTTAGCGGCCGCGCAGCGTTTGGCCAACTACAAGACGAGGGCATGTCGACATCTGGCATTGAGACACTCCCCAAGCCAGCACGAACAGCGCAGTATGTTGCAGTCAACAACGCAAGCAAAGATCTTGCGCTCGCAATGGCAGACATGTCGATCTTGGAAACTATACCTAAAGAAGCAACCGGGAAACTCGCGACTACACTTTTCAGTAATTCCTCAACCCGTCCGAAGGTCTTTGTAGCAGACGCAAATTGGTCATCCGAAGCCCTGCACACCTATCTTCAAGCCGCACGACATCCCTCTACAACAACCATCTTTGAGCCGGTTTCCACCGCAAAAGCACTTCGTATCTTCCCGCCCAAGTCCACCACAAACGAAACACAGGTGTTCCCCAACCACCTAGTTGACATCATAACACCAAACACCTACGAGCTCATCGCCCTCCACAGCTTTGCTCATGCATCTTCGCTATTCGAAAGCCCCGCCTGGTTCTCCGTAATCGACGCACTCGGTATTCCTTCAACTGGTCTCCGCGTTCCCCTGACCTACATGACAACATCTGAGATCGTGGACCAGGGAATCCCGCAACAGGCCATAAAGTTACTTCCTTTCTTCCCGACTGTACTGGCCAAACTCGGTTCGCAGGGCGTTCTGCTGGTCAAACTACTCACTACTGATGCTCCAGAGCTGCATGCCGATGCCGAGAGACAGTACGTTCTCGCTAGGAGTGGAAATGGGGATGAGAAGATCGGGGGGCTTTATGTACGCTTATTCCCACCAGAGAGAGTTCTATCGCCCGAAGAGGTGGTCAGTGTAAATGGCATAGGCGATACATTCTGTGGGGCCTTGGCTGTCGGAATAGCAAGCGGCGTAAAGGTACAGCACGTTGTCGATTTTGCTCAAAAGGCTGCAGCATTGAGTTTGAGGAGTAGGGAGAGCGTGAGTCCAGAATTGAGGGGATTGAGTGACGATGTCGCACAGCTCAACAAGTAATACAAATAGCTATCCTAGGCTTCTTTCCATGATGCAAACGTCGATGTGGTGTGTAATAGCACTCAACATTGCTCGTTGGGGCTCATTAGTTGAGTTAATATGTCTGATGAGAACGTGGCAGAGTCGTAGCAATATTATCAGGACATTCTTGCGACTGTCTTTCTTATTGAGTTGTTTTCTTCGTCTTGTTTCATGTTGCCCTCCTGTTCTCATCTAAAGCATACAATGCACAGTTTCCTTGAAACCTTTCTTGTGTAGAGATCCTTGCGAGCCGTCCCAAAAGTCCGAGAAGTTACCATTAAATCCCTTGTTCTTACTTACGGATGAACTGAACAGATTTTTCAATCTGGGTGCATTGTCTCCAATACGGACTTGTCTTGTCACTGTGGTGCCATGGGATTGGCTCTGGCGATGCCTGATTGAACATGTTGGTAAACGAGGGGTCGGGAACAACAAATTCGAGTGACGTCTGAGTTTGTACACAGCGAACGAAGAACGCCAAAGTCTAGTTCTCGCATGTGGAACCAAACTCGTGTCGCATTTCTATAGGGGCGGAGAGAGAGGTTCCAGGTTCCAGGTCGGATCGATTGAATGAAGCAGCCCCACCTCTCCGCAACGGCATGATGCTGGCAGGACCCGCCAGGAAACGACAGCTCAGGCACCAAGACAGCAGAGCAACTCTTGCCATATCATCCTTCTTCGATCCTCTCTACAAGAGACAATCGACTCCAAAATGTCTCTCATTTCAGGTGCGAGCTCTGCGTTATTCTCGTGACAGCAGCTGACCAGACAGACGCTATTTGGGCCGCATCCCCTACCACCACCCGAGGACAGCCGACTCCTCTGTCCTCGGACCCCAAGGGCGAGCGGATAGCATATGCAGTATGTACCCGGTGGTTGACTCAGCCATCTGCGGGCTAACTGGTGTACCTCCAGTCGGGCAAATCAGTCTTCCTCCGCTCCATCGACGACCCCGCCGTCAGTAAACAGTACACGCAGCACACGACCCAGACCACGGTCGCGCGCTTTTCGCCCTCCGGCTTCTATGTCGCCAGTGGAGATGTTTCGGGGACAGTAAAGGTGTGGGACTGTGCGGGAGAGGGCGCGACGAAAGGTGTGTGGTGCCTGGACACGATCTGGGGAAAGTGAAGCTGACGGGGCATGCAGGCGACTACCACATCATCGCCGGACGAATCAACGACATTGCTTGGGATGGCGACTCGCAGCGTATCATTGCAGTAGGCGACGGCAAAGAACGCTTTGGACACTGCATCACGGCAGACAGCGGCAACAGCGTAGGAGAGATCGCAGGGCACTCTTCGCAGATCAACTGCGTGTCTATCCGCCAACAACGGCCTCTACGCGCCGTAACCGGCTCGGATGATACTAGCTTGGTCTTTTACCATGGCGCACCATTCAAGTTCAACACCAGCCTCAGAGGGCAACACAACCGCTTCGTCTATGGCAGCGCCTTTGCCCCAGACGGTTCGGTCTTCGCTAGCGTAGGCGCTGACAAGCGCATATGGCTGTACGATGGAAAGACTGGCGAGGCAAAGGGCCAGATTGGAGATGGAGTTCACACCGGCAGTATCTTTGGCATCTCTTGGTCGAAAGACTCAAACAAGTTCGTCACGGCCAGTGCAGACCAGACCGTCCGGATTTGGGACCCAGAGGCGGGCAAAGCCATCCAGACGTGGAGAATGGGCGAAGAGGGCGTCGTCAGCGTGCCTGACCAGCAAGTGGGTGTGGTCTGGCCGACGGGCCGTAGCGACGGGTTGATCGTGAGTGTTGATCTGGAAGGAAACTTGAACTACCTGGTCGACGGTAACCCAAAACCAACGCGAGTCGTACGCGGTCATCAGAAGAACATCACGTCAGCCAGCATCTCAGGATCAACCTTCGCCACGGGAAGTTACGAGGGGCGCGTTCTTGCGTGGGACGTTTCCACAGGACTCGCAGATAAAATCGAAGGTGCAGCACACTCCAACTACGTGGCAGGCATCACTGCCACCGAATCCAAGGGCGAGGCAGAACTTTACAGTGTAGGCTGGGACGATACCCTGCGATCCATTTCCATTTCTAGTAAGATCTTCACTGGGGAGGCAAGTGAACTGAAGTTCCAGCCGAAGGGTATCGCTGCGACATCGGGCGTAGTACTGGTTGCATCGTCCGAGTCTATAGCCGTATACTCCAACGGCGTGCAGAAGAACTCACTCTCAGTCAAATATGCACCCACGGCTATCGCAGCTTATGGATCTACTGTCGCCGTCGGCGGAGACGATAAGCTCGTACATATTTATACCCTTTCTGGCACAGATTTGAAAGACACGGAAACGGTGCTTCGCCGCGCTACGTCGCCCATATCCGCAGTAGCGTTTTCATCATCAGGCGATAAGATCGCGTTTGGCACAAGCAACGGTAAAATTTACGCTTTTGAGGTGGCGGACTGGAAGCTTATCACAGATCGATGGAGTGCGCATACCGCGCGTATCACGTGTCTGGCCTGGGATGCGAGTGGAAAATACGCCGCAAGCGGGAGCCTGGACACGAATGTCATGGTCTGGAGCACTGAGGATCCAGGAAAGCGGATCAAGGCACTCAACGCTCATAAGGATGGTGTTTCGGGTGTGGCGTGGGAGAAGGCTGGGAAGGTCATCTCAGCTGGGGGTGATGCAAGCATCAAGGTATGGATTGTGAAGGACTAAGCCATTAAAAACGGTATTTAGGCTTCTTCTCAAGTAAGCGACAGTTGCGTAACAAGGCAATATAATCTTTGATCTTGTGACATGCAGATATGCAGGCATCTGATAGATCTTGGTATAAATGCCGGTGGCCTAATGCTGTCGTCTCATACTCGTATCTGCACATTCACCGAGCAGATAAGCTGCATTCATCCCAGAGCCGACGAACAACCCTAGAAAATTTACAAAGGATGAGGCGGACCAAGGCGATAGGTCTGGGCTTGTGCGGAGATCATCAGTGTACTTTCCGGTCCTGCTTCCATGTTCGTGTTTCGTCGTATTATTGTGTTCTATCCAATCAATGCGTCATTTCATATAGGCTTGTTTCTACATCTCACACTTCATTCCATTCAATCTTTGTCGGTTACGCGTCCGCAGAATAAAACTGCATCTTCATCAGAATCAGGTCTCATGCTCTGGTCGAGGCTAACTCTGGAATCTAAGGACAACTGTATTGACTATTGCTCGCTAGAGTCAGGCTGTCATTTCTCGCGTTCCCCGCTGCTTTTGGGTTACGTGCGTTGGCCAGTTGCCTTGTTTGCCTTCTTTTTGACGACGTCTGCTTCCTATGCGCGATTAACGGATTGAGGCTGAAAGTATGCAGCCAAGGAGGGTCCTGCAACAGGACCAGCCAACGGGGCGTCACGCCCTATCTCAAGCTGCACGTTATATGGCTGCCTCGGATCCATCATTTGCGTGGTTTCCCCCGTTTCTCTTGCTCTCCTCTCTACTATCCAGTTAGTGCCGCACATCAGCAGCTATTCAGCCTTAGTTCTAGCTTCCGCTCATCTTACACTCCTCCTGTCTGCTTTGGCCTGATGGAAGACTATGCGTATCCCAACGGGAGCGGCAACGTCAATATGCGCCGCTTCCCGAATAGCCAAGATCTGGACTTTCATCTCGCGAACGACAATGTCAACTCCATTGGGCAAGAGCGATTTGTCCCACAGCAGATCAGCCATCCGTATCCTGAATCATCGAACACACATCAGCCTTACAACACTACGCCTCGATACTCGTTGTCGATGATACCAGGCCAAAGAATTACACAGCATCCGGCCGTGTCTCCGACCTATACCACCGCGCTGTCGAATCCGCATCTTATCAATGGAGTCCCACCACATCCTGCCAACATGTCACGATCTACTTCGTATAACTCTTGGACTCAAGCTGGCCAACATCAGAGTGCTGGTCAATATCGTACGCCACGCGGTTCCTTCAACAACGGTTCGCATACAGGGGCAGTCGTTATGTCACCTTCGGTCTCACAAATCTCGGACTCCTCGTCCACCCAGAACGAACATCAATTTCATGGATCTCAGTCTCGTCCAATCGTCCCGAGCTACTACGGGTCACAACCAATGAACAATCATTACAATCTGGCTGTAACAGAGGCAATCGACCCATCATTCGACTTTGACGCAAGTGGTACATTTAGGAGGCGGCTGATGACAAATGGGAGTATGGCATTGGGTCAGGAAGTCACATCTACAGAGTAAGTACCATCCTTGCTATCAATGAGACGATCAACCATTTGCGCAGTTTACATCTGTACTCGACCTCAAGTTTGGACTCTGGAAAGACCATCATTGTCCATAATGGATACTCTTGGTATGGTCATGCTCGCCCGAGTACCGCAACGCTTGCCATATCATGGACACTTCCGTGGTTGTAACAACTGAATCCTCGTCAGTGGAATCAAAGCCGAGGATAGTGTGCTTCCGGGTGACCACAACGTTTTGAGCACCAACCCGACTGTTTGGTTCAATCAGCCGCCTTGAATCCCCACGTTTGACCACTGGAAGATGATTTTGATCCGCAAGAGTCCGAATGAGTCTCTGGACTGGTCCTACATCACATCGCACCACGTGTGGTCTAGTGACAGCGGACTAACAAAAAGCTTCTTTACGCATCTGATTTGATTGTCGGACTGGACACGGCGAGCTCCTTCCATCCTCACGCACGGAGTGATATGTTTTCCATCCTTTACCTTCGCCAGATTTGTAGACTTTCGCCCTCGAACAATAACCAGTCACATATCCAATCCTCAGGGTACCAGTGCGGATAATAGAATACCGTGTATGCCCGCTGTTGTCCAATGCAAGGACCTACATATGGTTTCGGAATCTATAAGGTTGGACCGGATCTGAGCATCGCCAAGGACTGAACCATATGGATGTTTATATTTTTAATAGCGCGTTAGGCCCCATATTCGAACCAGCATACCAAGGACTTTTAGAGCGAAGCCCCACGGCCTCTGCTAAGCAAGGTGGGTTTGATATATTCCTCTTATCAAGTTCTTTTATCACATGCAATCAACTCATCGAAGATTTGGAGGAACTCAAGACGTAGCCGCAAATAGCCGAAAAATCATCGATACTATCTCATTCCTCAAGGATGTGTCGAACTTCGTGGACTTTGTCATATCCGGATATCATCTTTGCGTTCCGTGTTTTCATCGATGCTAATGGTACATCCGGATTTGTTTGTCCATGTTTGAACCACAGATCACGCCGTCGAGATCCACTCTTGCCGTGCGCCTGTTTCTGTATTCGGTTGGATGAATGGCCACCCGTGCCAGTGGAGATACCGATCTTCCACTTTTACCTTGGATGAAACATTGTTCACCCACACGAGTGCTCAGCTACCCAAGCTTTTGCCTGTATTATCCTCGAGACTTAGGACCCTCACTGTGTTCTGAGCGTCTGCTACCATCCACTGGGAGCTCAAACCGGAGAGGTATTCGCATGCGGTCCTGATTCCATGTATCGTCAAAATCTACAACTCATGACAATAGCACTTATGAATGCCGCATTGGAATCCTTTCAGCGATATGAATTCAGATTTTGGTACGCGATCATCAGGACATGTTCTAACGAAAGCATCATCAGTGACATGAATTTTCCGGCTGTCTCTCTTCCGTCTTATCCAAATTTGGAGTTGTTTGGTCACCAAATTGCGCACCAAAAGCAGTTGTAAGTTGCCCAACTCTGCAGTCAACATAGTTCTCTTTACTAAATACACTTCCAAGACTCGCGTCGCCAACACCGGACATCGACACCGTCGCTACTCAATCTGCTCCACCACTTTCACCGATTCATAAACCCTCACCTAGCTCTCAGCAATTGCCTCGCTATCAGGAGAAAAGCTCGCCGCCGTCAGATGCTGCTCCCGATCCTATTATCGGTCATGTTCTCGCGTCCAAGAAATTTTCATGTTCGAGCCCCGAGTGCGCCGGGTCAACATTTAATCGCCAAGCTGATTTTCGCCGTCACTACAACGAGAAGCATGTTTCACTGAAAATCGAGCATTTCTGTCCCTTTGCAGGATGCCAACGTTCGGCAAAGCCGTCTGGAGGGAAGAGCAAGAGACGCAGCTTTGGGGGAAGGAAGGATAAAATGAAGGAACACATTCGCAACCAGCACAAGAAGGTGGGTAGAAAACGTAAAATGACCATGCCTGACGAGGATGAAGAGGATGAGGAGGAAGATGACGACGACGATGAAAGCCTTTCGGACGACCAAGTACAGCGCAAGACTCGCCGTCGACGACATTGATAATGTGAGGCACCAACTGTTACCTTTGGATAGACCTCCGGCTCCACATAGACCGACATTTTGGAGCCATACGTTTGCATTGCTCACGGTGTTCTTTGGCGTACAAATACCCTCGGCGTTTTTGTTATGACTTCACTTTCAAGATGGGGATTTGCTTTGTTTCAAGCTTGGTTGATGAGCATGATGACTATTGTTTTAGCGTTGAAGGAGTTTACTTAGTTGAAGACCGTTATCTAACGCACCTTCATTTTTCGAACTGTTAGAAATCATGCGGGCGGCGTTAGAAGACACCATCAGAATATGAAATTTGTGCATAGAATTTTCGTGTTGAACTTTGCGTGAAACCAAATCAAACCAGCCCCGCACAAGATAAGAGCATGTATTCGTTCGTTGTGAGCCTGAGTAACACCTGCAATAGACTCTAATTGTGGATTCAATACAAGGCTCCGACATCTTGCGAGTGTGACAAAGTACAGTCGAATGGGTATATAGCTTCGAGTCGATTTGCACATACTCTATTCAAGCCTTCCCTCTCCTTCCCCCTTTATTTGCAACGTTTTTCCAACACTTTAAGTTCCATCGCGTCGTCTAGACCCGTGCTGTTAGATTCTTCTCCACATGCACATCCTCCGTCACCTTTTCCCCATCGAAAGACTGGCCAGTATGCTGCGGCTCTGGTCCATTATCGAAGAGTTCATAGAGTGGGGGCATAGGCTCAACATTCTGCCTCAGGATGTTCTTCTTGAAATACCACGGCAGCTTCTTGCGGTAGTAAGCGGAAAACTCGCGATTCCCGACATCGAACACGGTGTCGAGCTCTTCAAGCGTTAGGGCCTTGGTCTCAGGAAGGAGGAAGTAGCAGTATATCCAGCCGAAGAAATTCCACGCCGCGTACCACCCGAACGCGCCTTGTGGCGTGAAGGCGTCCACGAGCGCAGGCCAGGTCAGCGAGAGGATGAAGTTGAAGCCCCAGCATGTGGCTGTGGCAAATGACATGCCAATGTCGCGTAGGTGTAGTGGGAAGGCCTCGGCGGAGTACGTGAATGGGACGGGGCCTTCGCCGGGGGAATATACAGCCATGAAGGTGTAAATTGCAGCGGCAATACTTCCCAGACGTGCCTGGGAAGGCTGGCCATTGGAATCAAGCTCCGGCATGAAGAATGACATGCCGCACCAGATGAGACAAAGACCCATAAGTGGGAACGTGGTGAGGAGCAGGTTTCGACGGCCGAAGGTATCAATTGTGTAAACCTGACACAGGAATCAGCAGCCATTATCTCTAGAGCCTGAAAACAAGAGCTCAAGATAAATTAATGATGTTCGGAACTCACAGCAGGGATAGCGAAGAGAAAGTTTGTCACACCAGTGCCCATGGACGTAAGCAGGGCCTCAGAACGGGAGAACCCAGCCTGTTCGAAGATAGACGACGAGTAGTACGCAATTACATTTACACCACAGTACTGTTGTAAAGTCATAACAAAGAAGGAGCTCTGTGCAGCGCGGCGGTTACGACGGACGAAGAAGAACTCCTTCCATAGGCTTTTGCCTTGGCGTTCGGCCTGCTCGATTTCAAGAAGTTTGTACGCATAGTACATATCGCGGGCAGCCTGGATCTTGTGCTTGCGAAGACGACACAGAGCGTTGAAGGCCTTGTCGAACTTTCCTTTCTCCATATACCTAAAAGGGGTCAGAATCTCATGTGAAGGTGTATGGAGACAGTGATTTACCATCGTGGTGATTCAGGGCAAAAGTACACCTGCACACAAACGATGAGCGGTGGGATACTTGTAGAAGCAAGCATCCATCGCCAGGGAGACAGTCTACCGAGGATGGTTACGTTTTCAAAGGCAACGGAGACGATGAATCCCAGCATGATTCCAAATGCTGTCCACATTTGCCACATCATAGTAAGGGCACCGCGAATTGTCTAATTTGAGATTAGAACTTGTCTTAACGCTTTGGAGGGGAATATGTTACCTTAGCTGCGGACTCGGCTGCGTAGACTGGTGTGGTGGATGATTTGGCACCGACGGCGAATCCTAGAGCGAATCGAGCACAGAGAAGATTAGGCCAGCTATCGACATAGTGAGTAAGAGAATCCCAGATAATCCACAACGACATCGACTTACTTGTTTGCGCAAGCCATCCAGATTCCAGTGACGAAGGAAATGATGCAAGAGATGAAGATAGTCCCTCGACGACCAAAATACCTGTTAAGTGGTGCATTAGACCAGCATCCGATGAGACAAGAGCAGAGATATGGCGCTCCATTTAGTCTAAATCCACAGTTAGTATTGATGCCGTGCGATCGTCACCCGGGCGTTACGCACAATCCACGAAGCCACACCTGTTCCTCCCCAATACCGAACTCCTCAAAGTAGTAAAGCTAAGAGGGGATTAGTACTATGAATCATGTAGTATGACCAGATGCCAATCAAACTCACTTGAGCACCGTTCACGGCCGTCTGATCCATGCCCTGTACGATGGCCGACCCAGCACAGAGAACAACCAAAAAGTACAACATCTTCGGTTGCGACCAACGATGCGTCACTTCATGTCGCAAGAGATCCTTCTCCTCGGCGCTCAGCTGACCAACATACTCGAATCCATCGTCACGTTGGCCCACACGAGCTATCAACGCGCCTTTGCGGAACACGTCTTGATACTCTTGCAGTCCTTTCTCAACACACCAGGTATCCACATCGGCAATGACTGCCTGCTCGCTCAGACCAGCGAGAGGATTGCGAAGTTTGGTGGCCACGGATGGCTGCTGTGCTTGAGAGGGCCGGCGACTGGCATCGTCTATGTGATCTGTAAACCCAAGATCGGACTTGCTGCTGTTTCCTGGGGAAGATATGGTTGGCTCAGTGGCCTCGATGTCGAGCTTTTGAGGAGGCATTGTGATTGCTCGATGATATTGAATTGAGTGCCAAGGAGATACCCCTCCGGCTCTGCGAAAGAGGTAGGTGTTGGAGATTGCGAGGCATGGTGCAACGTATTATATACCCAGCCACTGAGGTATTCGTTGATATCTGTTCAACTTGCCACAGGTATAGATACCCACACACGACCCTCAGCCAGTAAGAAGAGCTTCTTAAGGGCGATGAACCAATGATAGTTGATATGCGGGGACTCGGCGCACTATGATAGTGCTCACTTTCCTCTCCAGCATTCGGCGGGTCGAAGTGCCATGGGGTAACCGTACCCCCATCGATCTCTCCATGGTTTAGCGCGATGGCAGACGTAACCACACATTGTCGTCAAGCAGCGGAGTGCCCTTGCCAAGCTTATCATCTGGTCTCATATCAAGCACTACGATGTCATAGTGGGTATCTGTCGTCTGGGCGGAGAGGTTTCTTTCTTGGCAGCGGAATGCCGAGCGAGGAGTTTGGGAGGCCTTGCATTCAGTAGAGGTCTAGTCAGTTGCGGGATGCAGCAACTCGGTATTCAGCATCGGATGAGATCGGTAAAACGACGGTAGTAACTATGTTGATCCTTGGCTAAGTGTGGAAGTCAAAACGATGTGAAAGTACAGGAACAAGATGTATGTAAATATCCAGTTTAGTGGAAAAATGTAAAGTTAAGAAAGCAAAATCATAACCCTAACTTTGTTTACAGCAGTTAAGATGTTCCAATATTTCAATGTAGCTTGCTTCAGCATCTTGCGGTTGACCGAGAGGTCAATAAGCTTAGCACTTGGCGGTGAAGATCGGTACCTCAACAGGCAGCCCGTCGGCAGGACGATCCGATTCCCAAGACATTTCCTGGTCCCTCGTTGTCATGCCTGGGGTTAAGTTGTGCGAAGGTCTAAATTACTCTATGCAGAGGTTTTGGGTTGATAAGCGGCGCTTTGAGGCATTGTTGGAAACCAGTCAGACTGTGTTGAACTTTTGGACCCGTCTTATTCGAGTGAAGATTCCAAGACACTAAACTCATGAGTTATGCTTTTCTCCTGTCTGAGACGTATCATTCTCCTTATTATTTGTTTTACCCGCGCACAAGAAGTCTTGCCAGGTCCAATGGGAAATTAATACTTCCGACCATCAGGGCCAAGTCTCACGCAGAAGAAAAAGTTAAGAGTATAGACGAACGTGTATATTGCCTGCTTGAGCAAATTGCTTGATCTTGAAGTCCATGGCTAACGGACAAATTGCAACCAACACATGAGGAATGTCGGCGTGATTCCATGATTTGGTTGCTCACAGGGATATTCTAACCCTGTATAGCCCAAGGACTGTGCGAAAAGCAGCTTGACAACCTAAATCTGACCAAGAAACATCAACACCCGTGAGAAGCGCATGATTCGACTTTTCCGCCACGACTTTATTCTTCCAGAATTGGTCGTTGACCCAGAAATCGTATCGATGATCAGTGGGATAGGTACCTCCCAGCGTAACCAGTTCATGACTTCCACAAGCGTGCACCTGTCGAGAGTAGAGTATAAATTGCTCGTTGGATCGAGCAGGACACCGGACTTTCATCTCAATGACGAGCTGTCTTGATTGCGAGTGCTCAGATGTCGAAATAGCTCACATTCTTGCGAGGTATCAAAAGCCTTGATGTAATAGACAGTTTGCCAAATGGGTGACGATGGTCGATGCAGCGAGCGCGGTGTATGTCAATTTATTGTTGACTTGTACAACGAGAAGGGTCGTGCCTGGTGACGTATACTAGAGCAACAGTGCGGTTGTCCAGGGGCTGCGTTTGACTTCTGCCATAGTGAAGCAAGTGATAGACAACCTTTCTCTGGTTCTGGGCAGGGACGTAGGGGTTGAAGGCGCCAAAGATCAAGTATGTGCAAGTCCTGAGACGTCACAAACAGCTATCGCGACCCCCTCTCGAAGGTTGAATGTAAACGATCAGCGTAGTCCGGAGATATCCCTTCCCATGGAATTGACGCGATCTTCCAGACCTCTCTTTTTCTTTTCCAGCTGGCGTACTTCCTCCTCTTCTCGACGCAGGTCCTCTGCGCTCAAAGGCACGTCGTCCTGTGGCTCCTCGTCGGGCTCTTCTGCTTCGTCGTCTACGTAGTCGCGAGACCGGTTCAATCGGTTCAACTGGGTGGTCTGTTCTGCGAGGCGTGCTTCGTAGAACTCGACCGAGGATTCGAGTCGGGCGTGTCGCTGACGCATGGCGGCGATTCTCTCCTGCGCACCTGGTATTGGGCTGCTCTGTCAGTTTGGATGGATGATGTGAGAGTCGGTGTGACGCACTAGACGCCGAGCAGCTTCTCAGCCCCCTCCAGCAGCGACTCCACGTCGACTTCGTTCCTGTTGCCCGCATCGTAGGTGCGGTAGCCCAAGCCTGAGCCAGCCCCTCCACCGCCGCCTCGCCGAATGCGTTCTACCAGCTCTGTACCCAAGACGGCTGCGACTGCCGTGTTGCGACGAGGGGCGCGGACGGCATTCGCACCTCCGCCTGAGATGTTCGAGCCGGCGGCGCCATTGGGGTTGAAGATGGTGTTGCGGCGGTTGGTGGCTGCAGGCAGGTCGGAGGCCTTGGGGGCGGCCGGGGGCGGGGGGACGGAGAAGAGGGCGCGCTCATGCAGCTCCGTGTCGCGTATCAGCGAGGTGATGTCGTGGTTCTGCAGCAGGGCATTGGTGAAGATCTTGGGCGGGGCAAAGCTGCGGCGAGTTTAGCTGGGGGACGCGTGGAGGGCGCAGTGGACGCACGGCAGGTCGGAGATGGAGGCGGCACAGAGCGAGATCTGCTCGAGGTGGGCGTCGAGCAGCGACATGGCGGACGTGGGCGGCGTGGAGGGCGTGGACAGCGGAGGGTGCGTGCCTGAGTAAACAAAGCCGCCAAGCCGCGGGACCATGACGGTGAAGCAGCTTGTAGCTTCCGCCGCCAGACTCACGACGCACCGCACTCAGCACACGCCCAGCACCAACACACCGCCCGCCCGTCCACACCACACTACACGGCCACACCCCCCGTCCGTACCTTCCTCTCCCCCCGCGCATCCCCCCAGCAGCGACAGCCATGGCCGAGGGCATGGAAGGCGTCGTCAGCGAGGGCGAGCAGCCCCAGCCGGAGAGCGTCGAGCAGAAGACCATCGCGGGTGAGTGCCGTCCCCCTGCTGTATGCCCATACAATGCCCTTCACCTCGACGTGTCCCTGCCCCGCCTGCTCGACGTCGCGGGCGGCGGGCAGGATGTGTGCCGGCCACCTCCTTGCCACCGACATGGCGTCGTGCAAGTACCTGGACCGCCGCGCTGACCCAACCACGGTAGACATCCGCGCCAACTTCGTGCTGCTCGAGCGCGCCGTGGCCCAGTTCGACTCGCGCTTCACCCTGCGCGCCCTGCGCTCCATCTCGTCGCTGCGCAAGCGCCTGACGGACCGCGTGCTGTGCTCCGTCATCATCCTCAGCTACTCGCCCAACAATGCCACGGCCCGCACCTTCATCGAGTACATCGGCATGGACGGCCAGGCCATCCAGAGCGTCGTGGCCCAGTACAAGGACGAGGTGCAGGCCAACAAGACCAGCACAAAGGAGCCCATGCCCGAGATCGACGTCTACATCGCCATCCTCATCCAGGTCTACCTGTACGACCAGAAGGACCACGACGAGGGCTCAGAGTTCTCCGAGAAGCTCGTCGACAAGATCCGCGAGCTGAACCGCCGCACCCTCGACTCGCTGGCCGCCAAGGCCTACTTCTACTTCGCCCTCTTCCACGAGGAGATGGACCCCAAGCCGCCCTCGAAGCAGTCGCCCGTCATCGCCATCCGGGGCAAGCTGCTCGCCGCCCTGCGCAGCGCCGTCCTGCGCAAAGACCCGGACACGCAGGCCTCCGTCACCACCCTGCTGCTGCGCAACTACCTCTCCACCGCCGACATCACACAAGCCGATCTGCTCGTCGCCCAGACGCAGTTCCCGCCCAACGCCCCCAACAACCAGGTCGCCCGCTACCTCTACTACCTGGGCCGCATACGCGCCATCCAGCTGTCCTACACCGAGGCCCACGAGCACCTCGTCAGCGCCACCCGCAAGGCCCCGTCTGCCGGCGTCGCCACGGGCTTCTACCAGGCCTCCATGAAGCTGCTGATCGTCGTCGAGCTGTTGATGGGCGACATCCCCGAGCGCGACGTCTTCAGCCAGCCCCGTCTTGAGCGTGCTCTGGAGCCCTACTTCCGCCTTGTTCAGGCAGTCCGCGTCGGCGATCTGCAGGGCTTCCTGAAGATCGTCAACACCTTTTCCTCCACATTCCACCGCGACGGCACCTACACGCTGATTCTCCGTCTGCGACAAAACGTCATCAAGACGGGCATCCGCATGTTGTCCCTGTCCTACTCGCGCATCTCTCTCCGCGACATCTGCATCCGCCTTGGCCTGGAGAGCGAGGAGTCGGCCGAGTACATCGTAGCCAAGGCCATTCGTGACGGCGTAATAGAAGCCTCGATCGACCACGAGAAGGGCTTCATGCAGACTAAGGTGGCTGGAGACATCTACGCGACTCGTGAACCCGGCGAGGCATTCCACGAGCGTATTCGAGCCTGCTTGACGCTGCACGACGAGTGTGTCAAGGCTATGCGATACCCCATGAACCAACACCGCTTGGAGCTTAAGAATGCACAGGAGGCTAGGGAGCGGGAACGGGAGCTTGCCAAGGAGATTCAGGACGGTGACATTGACGATGACGATTCGGGCGGTGACTTTGAGGGCTTGTAGAGGTGGAGGATGGTTCTTCGATATGTGAGATGGTCACTTTCTGGCGTGCATCATAGACTAGCGTGTCAGATCATATTCACGAAGCATGATTAGGACGAATCAGACAGAGGATTCACAAAGCATTGATTACGTACATGGTGAACCGTGAAGATGAAATAAGAACGGCGCTACGTTGAGACAGCTAGATCCCTGTGACGATCGCACCTGGACTAACCGGCTGCAGCGAAATCCGTCGATTAGCCTCCGCAGGCGTCATCAGCTCATGACATGTCCCCGCATCAAGTCGGTACTCAACAACACTTTGTTTCGAACGCTGTGCAGCCATGCTTCAAAGTCATCATGTGAGTTGTTCGTGTCTGTGGGGTAAACTCAAGTGTCGACGGGTCGCTAACGATGGCAGGATTGACGTATCCAGGCGCCTTCGCCGCGCCATTCTTCTCAATGACCTGTCGCTTGTGAAGCGCATCGTGGAGAACAATCCACGATGGTTGCGAAACCCAGACTTTGAGGATAAGAGCAACACGAGCCTGCACCTGGCGGCCAAGCATGGATTCACAGCGATCGCTGAATTTCTGATCGACCAAGGCCATGAAGATGAAATGGCCAGCAGAAACAACGACTGGGAAACCCCGTTGATGCTTGCTGCTATGGCGGGCAAGGAGGAGGTCGGAGTCATGCTCGCAAAACGGTTTCCAGACTGTGTAGCCTGGCAGACCAAGTCAGGACTTGACGCTGTATTTTCTCCTCTGAACACGCCCGTCTTGCTCTTTGCTGATCGCGTCGCAGCTCATGCTCGCCTGTCGCTCCGGCGCAGGAACCCTTCACCTCATCCCCACTCTCATCCTGCACGGTCCGTCCATTCTCACCAACGCCGATACATCAGGCAACACAGCACTCCACCACGCCTCAGCGGCCGGCGAACTAAAAGCCCTTCGCATGCTCCTCCAATATGGCGCGAATCCGCTCGCGTCCAACGCATACTCGTGGACACCGGTGCATTACTCGGCGACAGTGGCGGCGGAAGCCTACTTCAAGACACTCATCATCGAGTTTGAGAAGAAAAAGGCAGAAGACAAGAGGGAGTTGGCGTTGCGGGAACGACAGAGGACCGCGGGTGTGCGGCTCGTCACTGATCAGGATGGCCTGATGCAGGGCGGAGGCGAGAGACAACGAGCCAGGGATGACGCGGCTATTGCGAGACTGCCGGCTCCCGGCATGGACTGGAGTCCGGTGGAGAAGAGGAGGGCGATGACGCCTACAGAGGGGAGAGGGTGGACGTTTACGCCTGGGGGGATGAGGCCGAGGGCCGAGACGGGAGAGTCGATATGATGTGGGATTGGCATCGTGTCTTGCGAAGGAGTTTTGGCGTTCCGGTCGCAGGTTCTGAAAGAGTGATATTGCTGGGCGTTATGGTCAAGCTGGGCGTTATTGAAACAACGCCTCACATGGATGATCATATCAAAGGAAGCAGGGTAACAAGTCAATGATCTTCTATTGTGTAGCAACGAGTGACTACAGCCGAGTCCCATCACTGTTTCGCAATGCATTGAAGCACTAAATACCCCAACCAACAGATGCTCCCTCGCATGACCGGTGAAATGCACCACAAACTCCAGGCCATGCTTGGCTCTTTGTGCCCCCAAAGAAGACATGGACGAAGACATAGAAGAAGAACAAAATAGCCAAGATTCCCATAACGCCGCCCATATGCAGGTCATAAATCTGAAAAAAAAACGCTGTGCTGGAAACATATCACGGCAGTAACTTATATACCGAAGAAGGAAGGGCTTTCTGGCAAAATGCCAGCCATCTCACGACCGCACAAAGACGCTGTTGAGCTTATTCAACGCGTTGCTATCCGCTGCCGAGCTGTTCTTGGCCAGTCGCTCCGGCGCCAGATCGCGGGGGAATCGTGTGGCGGTGTTGGGACTGCGGCTGCCTGAGCGACTGGTGTTCTGGGCCTCCTTGTCCGCGCCGTCGCCGTTGAGGAGGGAGCCCAGCGTGGGGAGCGGGCGGGGTGTCGGCGCATCGGCGGTGGGTTGAGGGTGCGACTTGTCCGGTTCTGGCGTGGGCGGCTTGTCTGCAGCAGCGGAGCCGTTGATGGCGGGCAGCTGGGGGCCCTGCTCGGGGAACGGGGGCGCAGAGTGTGGGGGTGGTGGGGCGGACTGGTGCTGGGCCAGCTCGGCGGTCGAAGGCGCGCGGGCCGGGGGAGTTTGCATGTACTGCGGCGACTGGTAGGCTGCGGCGTGGGCGGCGTGTGCAGCGTAGGCGGCGTGGGCGTGGTGGGCGAGCATGGGGTGGCCGGGAGGACTGGCGATGGCGGGCGGCGGGCGGTCGTAGGCGTGGGCATGGGCCTGGGGGTGGTGGTAGGGCGGCTGGGCGTAGATGATGGGGCTGTAGAAGTAGGGGTTGTGCGTGTAGTAGGCGTGCAGCGGGGGCGTGCCGTTGGGGGGCGTGGGCGGGTAGACGGGCACGGCGTACATGGGCGGTGTTGGCGCATGTGCGTGGGCGTGGGCATGGGCGTGCGAGTGTGCGTGTCCATGGCCAGGTGCGGGTGCTGGGCCGGGGCCGGGGCGAGCATAGGGCGACGTCGGCGTCAGGCTGTGTGCGGGGGCGCTGTAGGGCGAGGGCGGCATGGGCCCGCGGGTGACGGGCGGCACGGCGTGGACCTCGTTGATGGAGGCCTCCGGGTACATGTTCTTGGGCGGGCGGATGTGTCGCAGCTGGGCGTCGTTGGTGGGCTGGGCCAGGTTGAGCGAGTTGGAGCGCGAGTAGTAGCTGATCAGGTGCAGGTGCTGGCCGCCCGACGTGGTGATGCTGAACGACTGCTTCATCAGCCCGTCGGCCTTGTAGCGGTAGCCGTCCGGGCCCTCGCCGTCCGAGTCGCCCGTCGCCGAGTCGTCGGGCGACTTTGCGCTGGCGCGCTTGACCGCCGGCGCCGTGGGCACTGCGCTGCCGCCGCGCTTGCCCTCCATCTCGCGGTACGTCAGGAAGCTGCCCGACACGCGGCTGGCGCTCCACGACTTGCCGTCGGTCCAGCGCCGCATGCCCGCCTCGCGCTCGTCCCACACAAACACCGAGCCCGACTTGATCTGCTGGCGCTCCTTCTCCGAGAGGCGGCGCTGCACCCGCGGCAGGATGCCAATGCGACAGGCCTCGAACAGCACAATGGCGTCGTTGGGCGTGCGCACGTGGCCGTGGTACGTCTCCATGGCGGATCGGGGATCGGGGGGGGAAAGGGCAGGGTGGACCGGTGATGCAATGTGAAGCGGCGGGCGTTGGGTCAGGGCACGTGTGCGTCCGAGGTGGTCGTAGGCAGGGGACCAGAGGCTCAAGAGTGCTCCATGGACGGCGGCATGCTCCCTTGATGTAGCTACCACTCAGCGGGGCGTATGGGCTGCGCGCCTGCTTCGTGATCGCCGCCCAGCCTGGTAGTGGCGTTTGATAGCGAAATAAGGCCTACAAGCGGCCGGGACAAGCTTTGTTTCGACGCCGTTGACTGCCACCCCCGACACCGTCCATCCTAGCGGGCCACTCCCCAAGCCTGCCTACGTACCCAGCAGCCCCTTTCGCGTCATGTGCGACAGAGGCCACTGCCGCACCCGTGTGCAGCTGCAAAAACAACTCCCTCTGCTCCATTCGGCTCAAAAGCAGTGTATTTGCGGGCCTTCTGTCGTCGCCATGGCTCTTCATCACCGCGTGCCCAGCTGCCCAGTCCGCCGCCGCGCTCGGCCAAGCTTTGCGTAGCTCAATAACTCTAATCAACACTAATCAACTCAAAATATATGGTTAAAACTGTCAAGCTTCCCTCGCTTGGCTGGGCCCGTGACCGCCTCCAGACACCCCACAGCCCTCGCCGTGTGCGCCCACCACTCTGCTCGGCCGTCTTGTACTGCTCGGCTGCGTCCTCGAGTGGCCACGGTTGCATCATGTCACCAAGGTTGAGCAAGGGCTGCAAAGACGACAAACATCGCTTGTCCTGGCATGGCTTGGCATCTGGGCGTCTCTCCACATTCTCCTCAGCCCGCTTGGAACCAAGAAACAAAACGACACCTACACTGCCTCACACATCACTACTCGCCACGAACAAGCATGCAACAAAACTCATCTCTATTTCAACATGCCTGTGCTGACTGCTGCGTCCAACCCACTTCGCATACCTCGTATAGAGCAACATCCGCCTGCAAACGTTATCGTCTACGTGGAAGTAATCGCTCACATCGCGCCCAGCTCCACGCCAACCCAATCGACTCCTCGCCTTCCATCAGCCATGGCTTGGGATCTCGGCCGGCCGATGGATTAAGCTTGGTACCCGTCTTCTAAGCTTACCTCGTGCCACGAGGTACCCGTTGTTTCCTCTCCACGCACATGCTGTGATAGGCCAATAGCTTGCTAATCACTGACCCGCTTCGGAAGAATGTATTCTTGCTACCTGCTCTCTTGACGGCGGCTTTGCCCTCCGCAGCATTCCGTACGTCTCGGCAAGTGACCAAATGTCGACCATAATTGTCGTACGACGCAGGCAGACATTGTGTCCACTGTAAATTCGCCTAGCTAGCTAGCCGTCTTTCTAGCCGGACGCACACACTCGTTAGAAACTGCCCAAGCCAGTATGGCTATCGAGCTAGTCAATAGGAGTCCATCGTAACTTGCAATCTGAGCCTCAGCCAGAATGACAAAGGCCCGAGTCGTGCTTCATTGGCGCACCTCACTCTTCAGCTCGCCAAGTAACGGACACGAGTTTCCTGTCGCAATTCTCACTCACTGCAATGATGGCCGCGTCAGCCAGTGCGCAAGCCTGTCCAGGACTTGAAACCCCATGCTGATTTGTAAGACATGACTACACATGGCGCTGCATTTGTTGAAATACAATCGAATCAAACGCAAGATAGCATTCACCTGTGCCTGTTTCTGTCCCGGACAAACTGCGGCTCAGAAGTGGAAATGATGCAAAGATAGTGCCGCACCATCGTATCCTTGTACCCCGGAAAGTCTCCAAGGGTGAGGATTTAGAGTAGGCCAAGCAATGTAGCGTCCGATCCTTTTGCAAACCTTCCCTCAACGACGCGCGCACCGCCGTGTTTAGCGTCGTGAGACGGGATGCCCCAACGCTTGCAGGAAGCTGATCAGCGCCGTTGACAGCAATCATACAGACCAAGCGGCTTGGTCCGTTATGCTAATGTATTCCATGGCCAAGTACCTTGGCCATTTGCTTCCAACCCAATGCTCCGCTCCTTCCTATTTCCACCCCTATTTCTGCACGAAGGAAAAAATGGCTTACAGCCCCTCTCTTTTATTTTTGCGACCAAGAGTGAACTTGTGTCTGCAAGTCGTATGCAGCAAAATAGTAAACATGGTGCCAAGCAGTCACTGACATGTCTTAGTAATGACTTCTCCACCGCGCATTTGTCCACGAATCATGAGGCAATCAAACAATCCACACATCTCATGATTGATTTGCTGCACTCATCCGATGTCATTTTCTATCCTCTTCCAGCTAACTCGATATCATCTGTACTCTCTACTGCTATCTGGGAATCGACATCTACATCTTTAAACATACGATGAAAAACATATCCTGTGACTGCAGCCGCAGCCGCCAGTCCAAAGTAGAGCCATTGCAGGTACGGATCTCGAGCCAGAGGAGCAATAACAATACCCAGTGCACTGCCTCCCGCGCTAGTCAACAGAAACAAACTCATGATGAAGCTCTTCATATTCTCGGGAGCCCGTGCATACGCCAGCTCCAAGCCTGTAATCGAGGCGAGAATTTCGCTCAACGCGATCAGTGCATAGGCTGGCGTTTGCCACGCCACGTGAACCTCGTTTGGCTTGAATTTGCCTTCGCTGAGCTGTCCAGCGTTACATTCAGAGGGGTTGGAATAACATGGTGGTGCCGAGTAGATGAAAGATTGCAAGACCCCAGCATAGAGCATGGCGAGCGCGGCAATGAAGAACCCAAGGGTGATGCGTGTCATCGGCGTAAATGCAACATGAAGGCGAGTGCGGATGAAAGGATAGACAATACGGTCAAGCAGCGGGATGAGGAGTATAATTGTGACCGGATCAATGTTCTGCAGTATGTCGTTGGGGAGGCCATGGAGTTGCATCTGACCGGCTGTTGAGGTAACGTTAGTAAACGAAGTTTCGAATAGCTGTTATCAGTACTATTCCGTACCTTGTGAGATGAAATTGTTCATCATTTGCGAATATGTGACCCAGTAGATTGGAAAGAACAAGAAGACCTTGCAAGCAACCAATGCGCTTTTAAGCTCATCGACAAATTCGTCATCCCACGATATTCGATGCTTCCTCGACACAGATTGTTGGTAGGAGGGCTTCGCTTTTTCCAAATCCCCACCATTCCGCATTGCAATCCAGACGGCTTTGAAACAGTTTCCAATGACACCGCCCTGGGGCGGCTTTATCACATATCTCTTCTTGCCCGATACCAAGACGCCATAGCCAACGCAGAACATCATCAAAGGCAAGAGATACGCGCTCCAGAACCCAATATGCAACTCGAGCATCGTCGTAGCAATCGCTGAGACGGAACCGAGATTGATGCACATGTAGAAGATCATGTAGATGCGCTGAATGGTTACCTCTGGATCTACAATGACCCGTTGGCCGCCACGTAAAGTCTTGACAAAGGGCTTCGTACTGCGCACTTGCTCTGCGATCAAAGGACTCACATTACTCTTGATGCCACCTGTCCCGAAGCCAATGACCGTCATGGCCGTGATGAGTCCTGGAAACGCTATCCCGTTCTCAATACCCCATGGCAAACTCGTAACGAACAGAATCATAATGCCGACCATGTATACCACGCTGAACCACTTGATGGTGACGTATTTTCCGAGATACTGATCAGCGACAATAGCTCCTGCAATTGGCGTGACATAACACCAGCATTGGAAGAGATTTGTCAAAGCGGTTGCACCGGATTGTCCAAGGCCGAGGGCTCCCGGAAGTCCATTGGCATCGTGGTATCCATTGGCGATATAGTTCTGGAATGGTCCGGATAGGCCGTAATAGGCGAAGCGTTCGCAGAGTTCGACTATGGCGACGAGGAAGACGCCGTAAGGGAGTTTGTCGGCCACCCGCGGTAACAAAGCAAGATCTTCTGATGTAGGTTGTGAGTCGTCGAAGTGTACACTTTCCGGGCCCTGATTTTCCCCATCTCCGTGGTCATGCTTATCCTCATGTATTCTTGATTCTGCGCTCGCGTCTTCGGTCTGTGCCACAGTCGCGTACGCGCCGCGTTCCTCGCCGCTTTGTGAGCGCCATGCTGAAGACATGTTCTACTGCGCCCTCCACAGACAAAATGAGAGCTACCTATACGAATGCAGTGTCTTTTTTCTTAGAATGTAGGCTCGGCTTCAGACATCATATTCGGGTCTTCCACTCTTGAGCAGCTCGTCCAAGTCGAGCCACCCACTGAAAAGGTCTGTGAAGGGTAGAAATTCGAAAACTAGGTTAGGTGTATTTTGAAATCTGGTTGTAGAATCTACATCGACCCAAGCCTGCAGATCAATATTGTGGTGTTGAAGCCACGACACGCGTTCGCGGAGTTCGACCGGACCTCGTATGGGTCTAGCCGGATTTGGAGTCCAAAACACCTCAATAGCCGGCGCGTTTCTACACTGTAAAGATCTCTGCGAAGTGCTTATGCTAGAATTCTTGATTGATTTACAAACACATCGCATTGACGAGTGTTTCTTTCTAGTTATAAGCTGTAGCATATCACTGCTTATTAGCAAAGAACTCATCCAGCTTTTGCTCGATACCCGTGACTCCCATCTCGCCCACCAGACTTCCTCTAATCCATTTGGGTAATTTACTCTGAATACGATGGCTCCCATACCGTTTGTCGAGCATCAGGATAGCCGCGTAGTCTCCTTTGTGTCGTATCGCTCTACCCACACATTGGTTGACCGCGCGCATACATGCGTTTTCGTAATAGTCTCTCGCCACCGCTTTCCCATCCCCTCCTTGTTTGGTCCCCTTGGAAGAGATGTACTGCATCTTGGCCTTCCATTCCGCTGAGTGTGGGTTTGGAAACGGCAAGCCGACGACTACCACGCCACGACCGAGCGCGTCGCTAAAGTTGATGCCTTCAGAGAGGGTACCACCTATGACAGCGAACAGCAAAGCTCCACGACCGTTTCCGTGGGCGACGGCAGCACTATAGGCGCTAAGAACTGAGTCCACTACCGCATCTCTAGCTGCCAAGGGTTGGTCTGGAGTACGTTGCTCACTGCGCTGTTCGAGATACACAGGTTTGATTTGAGCGAGCTGTTCCCAGAAAGTACACTTTAATAAAGAAACAGGCATACGCTTCCACGCCGCAATGCAATTGTCAAGATACGAATAGCTAGGGAAGAAGACGACCACGCCGTCGGGGATGTGTTGGGCAATGCCGACTAAGGCGTGTCCGAGATCGGCTATCGTCTGATCTTTGTTACGATTCGCAAACGTGAAGTCAAATTCAGCGCTCGTCATGGTCTGCGTAACGGGTATCGCGAGTAGACTGGATGATGGGATGACGTGACCGCAGGACAATGTCATTATCTTTGAAGGATCTAGGTATGATAGTAGATGCTGCTCGTAATCACTCATCTACGTTATGTTAGAATGATGTATATCTGCCTTGAAGGACTCGTTTACTCACCGGAGACATGGTGCCCCCTGCCAACACAACTGCTCTCGCTTCCTCTACGATGTCCTTGAAATGGAATGTCGGATCCAGGAGCATATATCGTAGGTTCACCCCAGTATCGACCTCTTTGGAGTAGAAGAAGCGACCTTCGTTTGAGGGGTTCATCAGCGACAGCAGAAAAGTCTGAACATGCATCAAGACTGGCACACTATTTTTTGGCGTTCGCGTGTCTTTCTTCTTTGTCGCCGGCTCTATATCAGGCTGGGTTGTCAGGTCGGAATAGACGGTATATCCATCGACCTTCCGGGCAAGTCTGCTGTCCTGAAGATAGGTATTGAGCTTGTAAAGATTGATCTGGTCGACGCCTTTGCCAGCCATTATGGACACCATATCGACCAAGCCATCGGTGAGCTTACCATCGTCGTTAATCGATGACAAATAAGATATGATGGAGTCCATGATCCGAAGTGTCTGAGCAATGTAAACACGGTTTTTGCCCTTGAGTCTATGTTTGAACTTTTGAAGGTAAACGGTAAGCTGTGCGCGTGCCTGTTGTACCTGGCCAAGTGTCATGGACACAGAGTAGATACCAGCTATCGCGTCCATCAAGTTATGTGCTTCGTCAATGATGACTACGTGCTCTTTGAGTGAAAGTCCGAGTGCTTCACGAGCGGACTTTTGAAGCAGTAAAGGGTACGGCAAAGTAACGATCTGCAACAATCAGCATAATAACATGATTGGAGGGCGGGACTTCGTTGCTTGCCTCGCAGTACTTCGTCGCCGGTCTCGAGGCATAGTAGGCGCAGACGCCTAGTCTTTTCCCCAACGCTCCCAGGTCTTCAATGTCCCTGATCTTCGCAAGGGCATGATCTCGAAATTCATTTACCAAGACTTCACTTTCTTTCGTTGGCATATGTGGGCATTTCTTTTCTGCGCCACCACTAGCCTGCTGTAGCTCAAGACATCGCTCGTTGATGGCGGTAGCATTACCGAGGTTGCGTACTTTGCTGTTGATACAGAGGTTTTTTCGGGAGCCCAGAGTTAAGTGTTTGATGTCTTCTACCAGAAGAGAGTCACCGCTGGCTTCGGAATCTTCGTCTAGAGTAACGGCAGATGGCAATTTGACACGCGCAAGCTCGCTCGAGAACTGTGTCAATTGAGAGTGGGTCCGTGAACAGAAGAAGATCTTCGTTCCATCCAACACCTCGCCGTCTTCTGTTTTTGGCATGCCTGAAGAGTACCCAAGATTTTCCATAAGTGCTTGAGTTTCTGCGGAGAGTCCAGAGTCGTCGAATACACCGGTATTCGCCCTATCGACTGAGTCTTTGTCGCTCTCATAATCGTCTAGAACAAACTGTGCTTCGTTTCCATTCCCACTCACTTCGCTTAACGTCAGCTTCTGTCTTTTGAACCGTGGCTCTCCATTTTCGTAGAGGTCTTTCGCTCTCTTTTCCTTTGCCTTGATCTTCGCGATGCGGTCGTCAAATTCTTGTTTGCGAGAAAGGGCTTCAAGTCTGCGTTGCTTCTGCGCGTGCTCGAGAATCCATGAAGGCTCATCACTATCGTTTGGGCCAACTTCAAAGCCGCGCTCAAAAGTTCGTCGATGATGATCGCGTAGCCAGGTCAAAGAACCGCAGATCAGACTGAGGGATTTGCCAGTCCCCGTCGGTGATTCGAATATGCCAACTTTGCCATCTTCTAAGCATTTGTAGACAGCATTCATAAACTCTTTCTGGATATCGTAAGGCTCGTACGGATGGTGAAAGTTCCGCTCGTTGGAATTGTCGTCCATAGTAGGTAATGTATGGAGGTTGAGGAGATTGAAACGCGTCGCGTGTTCACGTGGATGCAGCTAACCACATCAAGACGGTGGGGCACCCAGCTTCGCATCCTCACAGTAGACCGCATATAGATAACTTGAGTCAATTCTCTAGACGGTACGAACACTCTATGACGCTAATTAAGTTGAGTTGCTGTTGTCCGCGCACGAAAAAGCAGAGCTGATAGTACCGTCTTTATACGCGTCCATGATCTGCGCAATCACACCGTATGTCCCTCCAATCGTGAGGAATACCGAGATCAGGATCAGTATGACATGCAACATATACAGTGTCCTTTGCCAAACACTACCCTTCCAGTAATCGGCGTGGTCGTAGATCCAAAGCCATCCTGGTAGACCCAACGCTAGAGGCGCAAATGCGATGCTTCCAGCGAGACTGAGCAGGTAATTGAAGATCGGCACACCTGACGCAATCAAGAAGCTGACGATAGTTATTCCAGAAATGCAACCTAGCCAGGTGCTCCAATGAACAATGGAGTTGGTTTGGAGATGCTTCGAGTTCCTCAGAATTCGAACAAAGATGTACTTTGCACTGACATGCACAAACAGCGCACCGCTGACGCATAGCCCAATCAGCCCTACACCGTATGAAATCTTCTTGACGGTTGGTCCAGCACTTCCGAGTGACGGTGATGCAACCCATTTGCCGCACCATCTGTAGACCACAAGGCTAAAGGACAGGTAAGCCGCTGTGACTATGCCCATGCACAATTTGACAGCTTTGCTGTATTCCCTCGGATTCCTCATCTCCGACATTACGGGCAAAAAGGCGGATGTTCCGGCACCCGAGCAGAAGATCGTACTAGCCGCAGTAATACCGGCGGCGAAGGTAGGGTGCCCGATCACGTGGTAACCGAAGTCGTATGGCCCGGTTTGCGGAGCGGCAGCGGGGCGATCAAGTGTGGTGACTCCAACACTATTCCAAGTCAGTCCATATCTCTCTCCGAATAACTTGAGTATGCTTACACAACGATGAAAACAGCTATGAAGACCGAAGCGAAGCCAGCCCAAGTTATCCAAGCGATTTTCTCGAATTTGCGAACACTCGCACATATGCCAACCATAATGGCAGCGATTATGGAGAAGTAGTTTGTGCAAAGAGCGTGGTTGGACAGCGCGTTGAGTGCAGTCGAGACACCGACCATGCCGGATGCACCGACGATAATGAATGCGACGAGGAAGAGGATGCCAGTGACCTCCTTCACAACTCTTCCCCCCACGAGCTGTCCCATATCGGCGATACTATGACAGCCTGGATGGTTGTTGCGAAATTTGCCTTGTACAAGAGCGCAGTAAGTGTTGAGAAACTGCCATCCAAGAACGTTGATAGCTCCTGGGAACGCGCCAAGGGTGAACATGGCAGACGGAATTGTCAAGACCCCTGTTGCGAAAATGACTGGAAGTTCCATGGTGAGCACGATTTTCTTGACTGAACATTGTGGCGGTACTTACGTTTCAGAAAGATCACAGATGTATGAATCCATGACACCGTTCGAAAGTCGATGTTGCCATCTCCCTTCCTGAAAATCTCGCCATCATCTAGGTCAACCTTGCCGATATCGATGCTGTTACTGCTGCTTTGGACGGGCTCAATCAAGTCCTGATGCTTCTCGTTGGTTGTATCCATGATGGAGAGATGAGTGGAAGAGCAATTGGCTATAGACAGGATAGCAACAACTTTGCGAGGACTGTAATCCGGCTGGGTCGTATATATATGTACCGGTCGCAACGGGGTATCTGATCATTGCGCAGATATGACACGCGCTATCTTGGAATCTGGGGATTGCGGGCTAAGCTCCACAGCCCCATTGATTTGGAGGTTTGCCTTTATCTTGTGTCAGGATAAAGACTCATGAACCGTGCGCTACTTACTCCAACCGTGATACGATTCAAGGGTATGAGGCGGTCCAATGATGTCCCCAGTCGAAGACATGCACACTTCTCTAAGCGATACAATCATGCCTTCTGAACTGTTGCACTAAATGTAATGCGCTGTGGGACCGAGGATGTGGTTCTCGATTAATACAATGCAAGATCGAAAATTTGAAGTAAATTTTATTTGCCGAAGACTGGGTTATACTGCCAGAAATTGAACCTATACCTCTTGTACAGGTTCATGGCACTTCGCAAACCAATCGTAGTCATTGTTATATAACAATGTTGGCTCAGTCCCATCCTGGTTTGTCCCAATTTGTTATCAGCTATTTGAGAAACACCAATCAGATCATCGGACTAAAATATATACAAAAGTTTGTCCGCTCAAGCTTGCAACGTGCGACCAGTGCCATCTAGAGCATCTGCCTGCTGCTCGATGGTTACATCCACTGGAACTTTGTAGCTATATTCAAGCAGTCTGAATACGTCCCTGGCAATGTGCAATCTTGCCGCAACCTTTGGGAGATGTTTCAACTGGTGCTAAGGACAGATCAAGTTGCCCTCGATGTCATTTTTCCTCTGACTGATCTAAGAACACACTGCGTACTCTCACGTCGCTGGCGAAGGAAACTCGGTTTGTGTAACTGCTATTATCTTTCCGTCATGTAGTCTTATACCTCCTGATAACATTATCAATACCACTGCCTTGGAGAGTACAAAAGCGATTACTCTCCACCATTCCTGACAAAAGGATCAGTATTGTCAAATGTAGAGGTCGATTGCTTCCTGGAAGAGACTGAAACTGTGAAGCTGAAGTACTGATGATATGCTTGATCCACTAAGATGTTTTTCAGCATTTGTCTTTTTCAACGACATTGAGCAATCGCAAAACCTCTGGTAACTGATCGAACGTGAGGCCGACGGCCGACTTGGCAGTTGCCGTCATGATGGGCAAGGTTCAACGCCCCCACAATTGGAGTAGACTCTTATCTTATCAGCCATCTCCAACTCAACAAAGGATTACCCCAATCGCCGATTGGCATCCTCCGAAACTGACCAACTTGACATGCCATGTTTCAATCGCGAAGATACTGCTTGTAGAAGTGAGTTTGAAACAAAATCGCCAACATGAACCGTCTGATGAGAGCGGCGCAGATCGTAGAGGTAAGTGGGAAATCAACGTCACTGCAATTCGCTAACTCTGGATGCAGTATGAGAAGCCGTATGAGCTCTGCGAGCGAGCGATCCCTATATGTGGAGATACAGACCTCCTTATCGAAATACACGCTGCAGGCTTCTGCCACTCAGATCTTCAGGTACTGCAGGGCCAATTTGCAGCGAGCCTTCCAATGGTACCTTCTCATGAGCCTGCTGGCAAGATTGTACAGGTTGGTGCTCAAGTCCGTGGCGGATGGAAGGTTGGGGACCGTGTTGGAGTACTGAATTTCAAGAACGCTTGCGGAGATTGTGTAGGTTGTCGACAGTGCACGCGAAGATCAAGTCGCACTGACCCGCGCTTCTGCGAGAAGCGAGAGATGGCTGGCTTCAAACACGATGGCGCTTTTGCAAATTTCATGTTGGCGGATCCTGAGACGACTGTCCATCTGCCCGATGAAGTTTCCTTTGAGCAAGGGGCACCACTGATGTGTGCCGGCGTGAGTTTTCCATTCTTCGAATTTTGCCACGTAAGCACTAACGACGTCAAAGGCGACAGCTTGGGGAGCGTTGCAAAAGATAAGATCAGACGTCAAGCCTGGTGAGGCGATTGCTGTTGTTGGTATAGGTGGTGTTGGTCACCTGGCTATACAATTTGCGAAACAGATGGGATACCGAACTGTAGCCATCGACAATCGCCCTGTCGGTCGCCAATTGGCGCTCGAAGTCTCCGAACATCTAAGACCAGATCTGGTTATTGACTCAGCGGCTAACAATGCCGATGAGCAGATATTGAAGATCACTTCCGGTGAAGGACTTGCAGGTATTATAGTCTGCACCGACTCAATACAGGCGACCTCGTGGAGTCTTCAACAGCTAGGCAATAAGGGGATATTGGTGCCTCTCGGATTACCCAAAGACAAGTGGCAGTTTGATTCAGAGGCCATGGTTTTTCGAGAGCTTACTATCAAAGGCAGCTATGTTGCCAGCACAAAGGATGTTGAATCGATGCTTCAAATAGTGGCAGAGAATGGCATTTCCTCCCACGTCACACTTCTCGATTTCGATCAAATACCCAGCGTGGTTGAGATGTATCTGGATAAGTCAATGAGAGGGAGACTGGTAATACGAATGTCATAACGGATAATATATGGACAATCACTTCGCGATTTACTCGTAATTAATTCTATACAATTTGAATTTGAATTTTACGTTCGCTGGGGTATGGCACCAGAAGGTGAGAAGGAGAATTGAGCAGAAATAAAACTGGTTCAAGGGGCATCGCTGGGATTGCGAATACATCTTAGCATTGAGATATATGCTTACTTCAATACACGGATGTGGGCCGATTACCACATGCATGATACCATTTTGGGATGCAGCACAACCCTATGGAGTTGAAGGATGAGGCCGTTTTCAGTATCGAAGTTTGCTTGGACCGACTCGAGAAGGCCTACGACTCTTGACTTACCAGATTGAGGTATACCATTGAAGGTGTAATCCTCGCCTAATCATGATTTGGTGGCTAAAAGTCCTTTCGTCCCCCTGGCTCCATAGCATGTGACTTTTTGATATTACCATAATGCCGAATCAAACAAGTAAATGCTAAAATTAATTACCCTTGTTAAGACAGCTTTGTTGAGCAGAGACAAAATTGCTTTAGTGACTATATGTGCTCTTTTTGTCTTCAAGCCTGACTATTTCTCACATTATTCGATGTTTGATCTAATTGATGGTATACCCGCCATCTACGACGAGCGCGTGTCCTTGAATAAATGAAGCCCGAGGGGAACACAAAAACAAGACTGCATCTGCAACTTCGTCTGGAGTTCCCATCCTTCTCATGGGAGCGATATCGATGGCAGGTTTCAACGCTTCTACCATCTCTTTGGAAGACATAGTCATGGGGGTCTCAATGACACCGGGACAAACGCAGTTCACTCTAATCTGAACATCGGAATAATCAATAGCGTTTGCTCGGGTCATGTTGATGATAGCAGCTTTTGAGGCGCAATACGCCGCTGTGCGAGTCATATTAGTTAAGATCTTTTGAGAGCCATAGAAGCAGCCACCTTACCTGCGCCTGGTCTTGCGACAACTCCAAGTTGACTCGCAATGTTAACGATAGCTCCTCTTTGCTTCGGTGACTCTGAAAGCGGTTCTTGTTTCAACATGTTCCTGAGTTGGGCTCGACAACTGAGCCATGATCCTCTGTAATTGATGTTGTTCAGTCGATCAAACGCATCGGTCGTCATGTCCACCGCCTTGATCATGTTGGCCCCTAATATTCCTGCACAATTCACTGCGTAGTCGAGCCTTGAAAATTCCGCGAAGACTCCATCGATGAACGAATCAACGAAACTCTCATTGGATATGTCCCCAATCTTATCAAACACTCTGATGTCCGGGTTGATAGCAAGGATAGCACCTTTGGTCTGGGCAAGGCTATGCAAATTGATGTCCGTGATAGCAATGCTTGTACATCCTGAACGAGCGAAGCCTTTGGCCACAGCGGCACCGATGCCTATGAGAAGTCAACGCTTGTGATGGCTCATACATGAATAATCAAATAAACTGACCTGTACCGCCAGCACCAGTGACTACGGCTACACCCAGAAGCTGTTCGGCAGTTGCTGCCATGATCGAAAAGTCTCGAATAAAAACCTGGTCCGCAAAGCCTCTGGCTTGAGGAAGCAGACGGCAAGATGGCGTTTAGCTGGGATTATATTTGATATAAGCAGTAACTCCTGTGTTTTGGATTGCACATACTTCCGTGATAGCGGTAACAATTTGGAGTAGCCTGTATTGGCCAAGTTTCCCCGAATCGCCGATACTGATCTTCACAACATCATGCCCCCCGCCTTTCACCTCCAACTTCACCTCCAACTGCGATTCCGAATTCCGCAACGGGGAGACCACATGCACAGACTTACTCACACGTGCAGCCATTGCTCTCGGAGTTTCAAACGCGCAGAGCATCTCACGCGGCATCTTCGTACCCGTGCTCCACCACCTACCGAAATCCATAAATAGAATCTAGCTGATCATCGCTGTAGATACAAGAGAAAAGCCATACTCATGTCACTGCGGGGCGGCCTTCACGCGTCGAGATCTTTTGACTCGACATTGGCGCTTATCCCAGCATGGTGAAAACACTGGCACTACTGTTTCGATGGAAGCTGGAGCAATACCTGATACCCAGGAAGTTACATCAAATTTCAACAATCTTTCCTCCGATGGACTTCATGTTGCGGGTGCGAGTACAAGTGTGGGAAGTAATATACATACTTCTCAGAACACCCAAGCCCGCTTCAGGATTGACGATCCTACTACGGTTCCCAGCGAGGTGCATAGACAGAATGATTCTCAAGGTGGGTAAATATCTGTATGATAATCTTGTTTCGATATCAAGTCTCGTAGTTGTGACTTACCATTTTCATAGCCTTGCACGGAGATAACTGTCAGGACGAAGGGTTCGAAGAGTTCCGAGATTTCGTCAACTTTATCGACGGCGTAGGATTGTCGGCCCAATGGACACCAGAATATGACTTCAACTGGCTGCGAGCTGGTGAGCAGCACCAGGAATCACGACAAAATTCTCGAGAGCCAGACTCCTTGCATTCGCCAGAAGTCGAGGACATCGGTACGCCATTCAGTACATGGTTGCCCTCGGCGCCGGCCGATGATCAGGTTCATCTTCGCACCGAGCCCGAAGAGAGTGAGTCGACTTCACGGTCTCCTACATTGCCATCATCCATCTGGTTTACTAAATCTATCATTCTAGAGATTCGCGAAAAGAGAGCCAACAACGGAACCTATAATGTGACAGAAGAACATCGAAATTTTATGATCTTGTTGCTTGAGAGCTTACCTTCGCCGATTTCAAAATTTGAAATACCCTCTCGTCATACTTTGACACGATACATCACGGCTTTCTTTGGAGGATTCCATTCTCATTTTCCATTTATACATGCGCCAACATACAAGCCATCATCTTCCCCTCTAGAGCTGACACTATCAATGTGTGCAGCCGGAGCACAGTATTGCTTTGAGCGAAGAAGCTCAGAACGTTTATTTCGCATAGCAAAAGCAATCGTGCTGGAGAGACTAAGGCAGAAACAGGTGTATTTCGGGTCGCAAATTCTGGCCTTTACCGCCTCAACTGACATTATTCCACAGGAAAGCGCCACTGTGTCAAGGCATTGGGGACCATGGCTACCTTTGGATTTGGCCAAAACCCTACTTATCCTCGTAGGATTTGCTACATGGGAAAAAGAAGATCTGCTTCAACAAGCATTTGCACTCCGAGGTCTTCTTGTACAGATTCTTCGGGACATCGGCCTCAAAGAGGATGACCACAATAGCGGCGGCTCAACATCACGGTCAGCGAAGTGGGATGAATGGGTGCAACGAGAATCAACCCGACGTACCAAGTTAGTAGCTTACTGTTACATCAACGTTCACAGTATTGCGTACAACACTCATCCACTTCTCTGGAGTAGCGAGTTACACTTAAGACTTCCTTGTTGCACTTTGACTTGGCAGGCTCCCAGTGCCACGCAATGGACTGCACTACAGCGTGAGGGAAAGGAAGAACAAATGCCCTTCCAGCAAGCATTGTCGATTCTTCTCCAAGGAACAACAGATCTGGGATCGGTACTACCAATACCGAGTCCAATTGGAAATTATATTCTTCTTCACGCACTGATACAACGTATACATGTTGTTCGCGAGCTCTCGTCTCCGGCCACGTCTCCAGCGACTATCTCCACATCGGAATTACAAACACTTAGGTGCGTTCGATTAGTCAGCCCAACTATTCCGCAAATAACTGATCTTATACCATGTGAAGTTGCGCTCTCCGCTCTTGGACCTCGTTATGGCAACAAACCCCGGAATCGACGCTAGATCCCAACAACGAAAGCGGTCCCATTCCCTTTACGTCCAGTGCCCTCTTGGTCGTGGCGTATGTCCGTCTATCGCTGGATATTGGCCAACATCGATATCTGGAGTCGCGCGACCCTGATGTGATAGCTAATGGCCTTAGTCAGTTGCCTGAAATCGAGCGCAATGACAATCTTCTATCTGGCTTGTTGTACTCAACACACGCACTGAGTATCCCTGTAAGATTGGGAATCGATAGGGTTGCGAGGAGTCAAGCTTTCTTCTGGAGTGTTCAGCATGCTATCTCAAGCTTTGAATGCGCCATTTTCCTGGGCAAATGGCTCTGCTCAATTCCAAGTCCTTTACTGGAAGAATCGTTGTCTCGTGAGCATCTCCTGAACCCTGGGTTTAGCTTCTGCTGACGAAAGTATCTTGTTCAGGATCAGAGCACCGTATTCTTCACTGGATTCGATGCATCGTCAAAGAAGCATATGCTGTCGTTGACTTTGATGATGCAGAAGAATCCGAAGGTGAGCTGATCGTGCCCAATGACACGTTTGCTCTCGGCTTGTGTGTTCTCAACATCTGGTGTCGATTTTTCCAGGGAAATACTCAATGGCCTTTTGTCGTGAACCTAGGGTTGAGCCTCAAGAAATACATCAAGACGCTTATCACAAAACACGATCAGTGTTTCACTGAATCACGTTTTTGATGTGTCTTTCAAAGACTGCATCGTCTGTTTCGGATCATAGGAAAACCGCATTCAGTACATAATCAGGCAGTACGGATGCATGGGAATAGCAATTCCAAGGTCACGACCAGTCGTGATCCATCATGTCTCTGAAGATACGGCGAGAATAAGGCGAGATTAGGGCTGTTTCATGTGCTCCTTTGTCGCGGAGATTCGGCGTATTGTATTTCGGCTGACAGAGACAATCAATGCGTACGCTAGTGATAATTTTAACCATTATATTAAGAAGCTCAATCCACAGCCGAACCCGTGGCACGCACCACTTCGGATTCATCGCTCTCACGCTAGGACCTGTCCTTTCATCTGCCTGACACACCTAGCTCTAGCCCGCTGCGAGATTCGCTACACAGGCCATGATGCGGCCTTGTCGCCTGTATTGATATTGCGAATGTCGGAGTCAACCCACCCAAGGATTTTTGGAGTGCGGTAAGGCTGGAGAGTCGTACGTTAATACATACCCTGAACTGTGACAAGCATATATAACAGGTTGTTGATCCATACTAAAGCCATATTCAAACCAGACCGTTCATTCGTTTCACAGTCTTGTCCGTTTTGTACTTTGATTCAGTCACTCGTTTTATCTTCTATCATGGTCAAGATCGACTCTTTTCTGGCCTATATGGCCTTCGGAGCGGGTGCGCTGGCACATCCCTTCGAAGCTCGCACCATCAAGCACATTGACAGACGCTTCTGTCCTCATGAGGAGACCCGTATTTTGGCTCGCGCTGATTCGACTTCCTCTGCGAGTATACCTAAGGCGACCGCCTGGAATCCGCCATCGACAATGGTGACCGCGCTTGACCAGGTAAGATGAAAGTCTTCAAAAGTGATATCCTAGGACTAACGTAAATAATAAAGGTATGGAATCAAACAATGAAAGAGAATCCAGATGGCCTCAAGGACGAAAATTGGATCATCGATCAGCTGATGGCCAGCAACGGCAGCCTTAACTATTGCGTACGATGGAATCATTCTGGCAAGAGCAATGCTACCACGCGTGCCTCGACTGTAACGGCTCTACAGCGTTCTATGCAGAAGTGGTTCGACACACTTGTGGGTTTTGAGGGCTTCCCCTTGACCAAGCTGAACGTCAATGTTGTTGGTTACGCAGTCAAGGATAAGAGTCTGATCCAGGGTGACACAACTGGGCTTGATGTCTACACCACGGCTGATGCCGATGGTGTGCCCGAGTGCGATGTGCGCTGCTATCGCGGTGCGCATCTTGATGGTGATATGAGCGAATGCCCTGGTGGCACAAGTCGTCACTACGATATCAGTTTGTGGCTCGACAAGAGCCTTGGGAGCGGTGAGGTAGGCGGTTACGGCTACAACTGGGGTGAAGAGATTGGTCCGGACTACTTCTTCGACAACATCAACAACGACAACATACATATCTTGTTGCACGAGATGGGCCACGGATTCGGTCTGCTTGGTATGTCATTCTCGTTCTATCGGGTTCATAAGCAGCTCCAATGTAACTAACAATCTCACAGACTTCTATGATTGGGAGCCTAAAGACCAGTCTAGTTTCATCATGATGGCTGGTAGCGCGATGGAGATCACCGAGTTCGATGCTTGGATGCTGCGCGACTGGTGGAGGAAGTTGAAGGCGGTTCGAAACTGGTAAACCGAGGTGCCAGAAGTAAGAAAATACTAGGAATAGTGCATTTAAGTAGAGTAAGTAGTACAAAGTAAGAAAAAGTTGTAAAACATACCTTTAAAATTGTTAGTTACAAGTTATAAGATTTAGAAACTACTAAGAGTTATAATACAAAAAATCTTATGTTTAAACTTAATAAATAGGAAATATAGTATTTTTTATATAAGCTAAAAGATAATAGTACTAAAAACCTAAACACTATATTAAGAAACTAATTTAGATACTAAATTATTAATAAATAATTTATTAAGGTTCTAGAAATATATTTATTAAAGGGTTTTTATTTAATAATTTAATTTGTCTAAATCTTAAACTACAATGTTTTTGTAAAAAAAAAAAAAAAAAAAAGGAGGCTATCTTAAAGGTTGAATTATAAAAACCTATTATTATATCTTTTTTATATAATATTTATATACTCCTACCAAGACGTTTCTAAGTAAAGAGAAAAGCTATAAAGTAAAGAAGCTATAGAAACTATAGATTAAAGTCTTATATAAATATTCTATCTTAGTTATATAGGCAATTTAGTTGCTTAATAGTATCTATTACTTAAATTAGCTATAGTAGCTATAGTTTAACTTAGCTATAAGTTCTTTACTTTTTACTCTTTATTACTATAGAGAAGAAGTCTTTAATAGCTAGTTAGGTACCTATAGCTAAAGAACTAGTAAGATAAGGAAACTATAATCTAGTTCTCTCTTAAGTTTCTACTTAAAATATAATCTCTAGAAACTAATTCTAGATTTTAGAAAAATTATTATATAATTCTACTTAAATACTTCTTTTTAAATACTTTTTCTATTACTCTACTATATTACTATTTGTATTACTATTACTGAACTACTACTATAACGCTTTATAACCTTATTATTATTACTACCTTTCTAGCTTTTTTTTATAGTGCTTATATATTATTAAACTTTTTACCTTAATAAAAACTTCTTCTATTCTTTTTCTATACGTAATATAGAAGAGATATTAAAACCTACTTAACTTAGCTCTTATCTAGGCTTAATATATCTATATTATATAACTTAGCAGCTGTCTTTTACTACTTTATTAAAATATTCTTTAAATTTCTAGGAATATTATTAAGTTAAAACAGCTAGGTATAAAAAGTATCTTTCTTTATCTTTAAAGTTATAGCCTATTTGCACGAATAATCTAGGTAAATTATTATATTATAATAAAACTATAGGAAAGAAACTCAATATATTAGCTAATATCTAGTACTTTTATATTTAGTAAATATTAGTTTAAGTATATAAAACTATTTCCTCAAAGTAGATATACTATCTATTTAGTAAGATTTCACTAAGTATACTACTATAGAAATCGATAAAAGTATAGGTAACTACTTAATAAGGATTAGTTTAGTTATATACTTTATATTAAATTAAAAAATATTTCTAACTTCTAGAAATCTTAAAACTTACTTATACTACTAAGTAAATAATAGGTAGACTTTAAGAAGTACTAAGTAAGAATGAATTTTATAAGTAAGGTACTATATAATAAATCTTTATACTATTAAAGTCTTTTATTTATATTCTATCTTAACTTAACCTTTTTATTAGTATTATTAAAACTAGATACTAATTTTTATAGCGCTATTATTATAGTTTAGGGAATTTAGTACTATTTTTTATAATGCTTTATTAATGTTAATATTACTCTATATTACTATTTCCACTCTAATCTCTAGAGAATAGAGATTAATTTATAATCTTAAAATTTTTTTTTACACGTGTTTTAATTATTAATTAGTTTTCTTATAGCTAAAGTTTATTTTAGTTATAACTCTCTACTTTCTACTACTATTACTATTACTATACTTTTACTATATCTATTACTACTACTTCTAGCTTTGTCTTAATTTTATATTTAATATATAGCTCTATAGTAAGGTATTTTACCTTTAAGTTTACTACTATAATTCTTTTTTTCTAGGTAGTATACCTAGAATTTATAAAAGCTTACTTAGAGTAGATTTCTTATTTAGTTAAAATAGTATTTTTATACTACTAAGTAGTAGGCTTATTTACTTAAAGAAGCTAAGTATTAATAGAACCTTTATTAATTTTATAAACTTATATTAGATAAAGCTAGACTTTAACTTTACTAAGTTATACTTTAAGTCTTATACTAACTTAAAAGTACTTTTAAATATCGTTATCTTTTAAGTAGAAAGTATAACTATTATACTAAGTAATACTATTTATTTCTTCTTACTACGTAACTAGGTACTTAAAGATCTTACTAGAAATTTCTAAAGTACTATACTTTTACTAGTAACTACTTACTTTAATTTTTTAATTATTAGCTTTCTATAAGATAGAGTCTAAAAACCTATAGGCTATACTAATAGAGTTATATTATTACTTAGCTATAATTTAATTTATAAAGATAGATAAGATAGAAAGATAAAGACTTCTAAGGTATTAAAGATACTTATATACTAGCTTATTAATATAAACCATTATTACTAATACTTTCTCTAAAGCTGCTCTAGTTATATACTTAGTATTACTAGTTAATTAAAGAATTCTCTATACTAATCTAAAGTTTATAACCTATAGTAAAACTAAACTTTAACTAATGTAGCTATCTAAGCTTTTAAATTTATATCTATACTAGTATAGTAAGTAGTAAGTTTTTAAGAGACAGTGTACTTATTAGCTCTCTATTACTATTACTATATACTTTAACTAATATTTACTATATATAAAAAAGGCTAGGTATTAGCTTCTGTATAAAGTTATTATATTAGATTTCTACTGTATTATTATTCTCTTCTTATATTAGAAGCGTGAATACGCTATATACCTTAAATAAAAAAACTTCTATTACGTAGTTATAAGTTTTAGATTACTAGTTAATAAAAGAGTGTTTTTAACCTAATTATAGTTTATAACCTAATACTAATCTAAACTTTAAATACTACCTAGGCTTTTAAATATATATCTAAATTAGTATATTAAGTAGCTAGATATTAAGAGATAGCTAGTTAGCGTTTTACTAGCTATACTCTATACTTATACTAATATTTACTATGCAAAAAAGGGCTAAGTAATAGCTTCTATACTAAGCTACTATTTTAGAATCTTACTATATTACGTTAATCTGCCTATACTATAAGTATAAACACGCTATAAACTTAAATAACCTAAAACTAAACTAAACTTTAATTACTACCTAGGCACTTAAACACGTATCTATGTTAGTATATTAAGTAGGTAGTTATTAAGAGATTGCTTATTAGCTTTCTACTACCTTTACTATATAAAAAAGGGCTAGCTATTAGCTTCTATACTAAGTTACCATATTAGATTCTTACTGTATTAGGTCTATCAATTTATACTATAAGAATAAAAACACTAAAAACCCTAAAAAATAGACTATAGGTATACTACTTAGAAAAGAAGACTTACAAAAGTAATATAGAAGGTGTTAGAACTTACTATAGAAATTATTAATATAGAATAAAGATTAAGTAAGAGGTCGTAGTAATATAACTAGTAACAGTAATAGTAATAGTAATAGTAATAGAAAGTAGAGAGTAGATAAGTTACAACTAGGTTAATCTGAAGCTAAATAAAAAATAAAAATTAAATACAACGCGTGTATAACTAGAATAGAAAAATAATAGAATATATTAATCTCTATTCTTTATAGATAGAATTAATTAAAAAGAAGCTAAACGCAAACTTTCTAGAGCTCTATTCTAGACCTCTTCTTTAATATAAGGTACTATATAGTATTTAGTTACTTCTTAACTTATATATTACTATTAAACTATGTTTTACGTTATTTCTTATTTTTTATTTAGTTAAGTTCTTAGGAATCTTACTATAGGAATCTAAAGTACTCTTGTTCTACTAAGAACTATCTAAAGTAGTCTATAGTTATAAAGTAGTATAAATAATTATACTATATACTCTAGCGTTTTGTTATAGTAATATATTATTAATAGAAAATCTTAGTTAAAGTAAAATAAGTAATAGAGAATAACTTAGACATAAGTTTAAAGATTTTGAGTTATAAGACCCCTTATCTACTAGCTTACTTATAGCAGAAGGTAGCAACTAGACTTCTTCTATAATTACCTATTTCGAATATAGTAATATTAGTTTTCAAAAGAGTTGTAATAATAAAGCTAGAGTAATTAATAAAAACTAGACTTTTTAGCTAAACCTGATTAGAAATAATAGCTTTTTAGGTGTTTAAACATTTTTTCTTTATAGTATATTAAAGTAGAACGTTACTAAAGGATAGTTATTCTACTATTCTAATATTATAATTTATATACTTCTATTAATATATACTTAATATTAAGATACTAGGTATTAGCTTCTACACTTAGTTACTATACTATAGTTTTATAATCTCTTGTCTATATTCTAATAAAATAAGTATTAATACGCTATAACTCTAAAATAAAAGCTGCTCCTAGTAAGTAAAACAAAATATAGGGTTACTATTTACGAATATATAATTATAAAAGTATACTTAAAAGTAGAAAACTATATAATAAGACTATATAATTTATATAACATAAGAGTATAGGTAAAGATAGTAGGATTAATAATATTTGTATAAACAGTAATAGTAATAGTAATACTAGTACTAATAGCAATACTAATAGTAATAGTAATAGTAATAGGAATAGTAATAGTAATAGTAATAGTAATAGTAATAGTAATAGTAATAGTAATAGTAATATTAATAGTAATAGTAATAGGTAGAGTAATGTAATTCTAATAATAATAGTAAGGGTAAGACTAAGCTAAAAGCTAATTACTTAGTAATCTTCTAAAGTTTAATTACTTTTATTAGATAAAACCTATTTAATAAACATAGATTAATACCTAAAATATAGCTTTGAAAGTTCTAATAGTAGTATAATATACTATATTCTATTAAATAGTATTACTTAGAAGTTAATTTTAATTAGGATAAGTAAAGAA